CCAACCCCAACCCCAACCCCAACCCCAATTTTTATTGAATAAATTTTTTTTGTTAATTATTTATCTTATAATTTAAAAGTTATTGTTTTAAATTCACAAAACTCAAAAAAAAAGCAAATAACAAATTTAAATAAACAAAAAAAGATAAATTTTATTTATAAAAGTATTAGTTTTTCATCAGAAATAACAATTAATTTTAATCAAAAATTAGTTTAGAGTCAATTAATTTTTATATTGTGAATTTCGATAAAGAATTTAATGAGGAATTTTTTTAATAATCAAATCTTTTATTATGTCTAAAATTTTGAAATAGTCGAAGAACAATTTATCAGAATTAATAAATAAGTATATAGACCCAGATGTAGAATCATAATTGTTAGAGAGTTAAATGATAGAAAGTGGTATTGACTCACATTTAAAAAATTGGGAATTAGAAATAAACAATTTGGAAAAAGATTTGCCAAAATAAATGCTTAGCGACATGAGGAAAATTTTGTAAGATAATTAAAAAAATAATAAGAGATCAAAATCAGTATAAAGCTCATTTAAATATGGGATGGATAATTAGTCGATGAAACAAAGTAAAGAGAGCAAATAGAATACTTTATCTCACTCTATAAATAAAAAATAATCAACAACTTTAAATGAATAAAAATCATTTAAAGAAGTAGGAATACCATATAAATAATAAGAAACTTATGATAAATAGATTAAGGAGTAATCATTAAAAAAAAACATGCAAAGAGCACAATCAGCCTAAGAAGTCAGAGGCTCAAATTCAAATTATTGCTATAAAATATTTCCTGAATGGAATATTTATACTAATGTAAACTTTTATTCAAAATATTAGTTTATTTTAGTATAAATTAAAAATATTTATAGGTATCTAAGTAATTTTAATCTAAAATGAGTCATAGAGAGCTAAAATATGATGTAAATTAAAGATTGATTAATGATGAAAATGACTTAAATAATAGCTAATAAAAGTAAAGCTTAAGAAATAGTATTTAAAGAAGTTAATCTGCAGCTTAATTAAAGGTATTGTTATATAATTTTAAATATTTTTAAAATAAATAAATTATTTTCATTCAAAAAATATTTTTCTAAATTAATTAGGAGTCATACATAAATAATATGGTGTAATTAAATGATATTACAATTGACCAATCTCATTTAATCTAAACTAAACCCTCATTAAACATAAGAAATAACTAAAATTTGATAGAATAAAAATCTTTAAGTTAATAAAGTCAAATGCTTGAGTATATACAAAATTCTGATAATTTTTAAAAACCTTAATATGTAAAATCTGTAAATGAAATTTTGTAAATACCTGCTAATCAGATTCAATAAGGTGAAAATATTAAATCTCGTTATAACATATTAAATTGTTTAGAAAAAAGGTAATAAGGAACGTAAAACTATTTCTTAAATTATAATAAAAACCATATGGGCTAATTAAATAGAAGTAGTATTAACAAAACAAATATTTCTTAGTAATATCCATAAAAATATTAAATAATTATGCAGAGCCTTTAAAAACCTCATGCAATCTAAATGCATAAAAGTTAATTTAATCAATCAAATTAGGAAATAAATTCCTCTTCACCATCCTAAATGATTTCTTCATATAAAAACATCCATTATACACAAAGAGATAGTAGTTAGAGGAGTCGAAAGAAAATTTTTGATGAATATTCAGCTACTAGCTATATATAAAATGTAAAAGATTCATATAATAGAATTTTTCCTAGGAAAAATTGATACGATATTGTTTGTTTGTTTAGTTATTCAATAATATAAAATATTTAATATTAGCTTTTCTAAATTAATTACTTCATAAATATTATTAAAGAATTAATCGATTTTAATTCATAATTAATTTGTTCTTTTGATTGTTTGATAATAATTTTATTACTCAAATTTTTTTTAGCTCTTTTTTTCAAAACTTAATTTATTAAGTCTTTTAAAATTTTTATAAAGTGTGTAATTGTTTCATCAATTTATGAAAAAGCTAAAAAGGTATAAAATAATAAATAATATTTTATTTAATGTGCATAATACTAAAATCTATTAAGTTTAAGCTTAAATTTATATTTAGATTAATTTAAAAGGAATTTTTATTGAATGAACTAGTTAGAAAATGAATGTTTTGTCCTTTTGTTCTTTTTTTACTAAGTTGATTTAATAAAAATGAGTTTTATTATTTAAAATATCTTTTGATAGATTAATTAGTTTGAATAGAAAAATTCTATTAAAAAAGGTTATTAAGGTGTAAATTACAGAAGTGGCTGTGGAAATTTTAACTCAATAGCAGCAAAATAATGCAGTATTCAAGGTATCAAAAATAGAATAATGAAAGAGGAGTATTTTCATATATTTATTATCATATTAAAAAATAATGTGAATAATCTAAGAACTAACTAATAAATTGATTGATAAATAGATAGATTAAAAGTTTATTAATTAACTAATTTATAGGCAGATTCTTTAATTTATACATAAACTCATAGGTTGATTGAATGATTGATTGATAGTTATAACTAAAAGATTTTTTATAGAAAATTAATTAATAACAATATAAAGCACTTTTCTAATTTTTTTAAAGTAAAAAAGACATACTATTATTAAAATAGTAGTGTTATTTAATAAGTTATAGGATTAAATATAATACATTAAAAGATAAGCTGTTTCTTTAGTTAATAGTTGCTTTAAGATTATTTTTTAAGAAATATAAATGGTATAAAAACTGATTTTTAACAAGTTCATTAAGAAGAAAGATGATAATGAGAAATGGATTTAGTTTTCATCGTCAAATACAAATATTAATTTAAATAGGCTGCATGAATGCAGCTTAAGCTAATTCTATAAAGCAATTGCTGAGCTGAGAAAAACTAAAGACAATATACCATAGTTCTCGATTGAGAAAGTATCGAGCTCTTCACATGAGTTAGCTATTTATTTTAATTAATTACCTAAAGATGTGCTTAGTGATATTAAATTTCTTAGTTTTTTAAGCGATTGTAGTATAAAAAGAAAGACTTAAATATATAGTAACAAGAATAGAAATTTTCATAACTTGCCAACTATTTAAGAGGGAATGTACGAAAGTGCCTCTTAAAAAATTAACGTTAATGAAGAAGATGATTAGCTTGTTAGAAGATAATCATCAGCATTTAGTAGGACAATTAACAACAGCATTAAAAATTCTCAATATCTATACGAAATAACAAAAAGTGATATTTCAAAATCACTATTTAAAAAATCAGAAACGAATGAAATAATAAATGAAAATGTAAGAACATAAATTAAATATTATTTTGAACTATTTATTAATTATTAAGAGTTAGTTATTGATTAAGAGTAGAAAATAATATTCAAATATTTATTTTTTACTTGAATTAGTTATTAGTTAGTATAAATAATTATTTAAAATTATTTTGAATAGATTACTTATTTATTTATATTTATTTTTTGCTCTTAACATACTTGTTAGAGATGTTATTTTTTAATTAATCTATTTTATTCATTTATAATTAAATAGGCTTTAGAAAACAGTATTCAGGTTGATAAGGACATAAACATTTTGAGTAACGACTCGTCATTCAAAGATATTGATGGAAGTTATGATAATTAGTTTAAAAAAAACTAAGGTTAGAAGATCAGATAAGATCTTTCACTTACGTAAGAGGAATTAAGCTGCACTGTTGTTACTGAAATAGATGAGGATACAAAATTGTAAAAATCATAATACTTTGGTAACTTTAATGAAAAAATGCTTTAAACCCTTACAACAACAAGAGATTACAATTCGTCTCCTAGATCAAAAATAATGGGTTCTATCAGCAGTCCAGGATCAAATTAATCTTTGAAAATGACACAAGAATAACAAAAATAATATATATAAAGCCAGTAAATATAATTAAATTTATAACAACAAATTTTTTAAAAGTAGAACCAAGCTGCTGAAAAGCAAAAAATTCAACCTAATTAACAAAAAATAAGATTTACTTAAAGCATTTAATGTTAAGATTAAATAGTAGAGCCTTAATTATAAATTAAAGAATAAAATTTTGTTAGCTTACCCTCATCGACTAAAAATTAAACAAAACAAGGAACTCAAAAATAATAAAATAGTAATGAATATATTATTAGCAGTAGTAATTTTAGCAACACTAGTTTGAAAAATAACAATATTTCTCAAGTGCAGGGCGCCAATTCAAACTAAATTACTAAGCTAAGCAATAATTAAAATACTACAAATACCTTTTAAAATAAACCAAATAAGATTTAAGAAAGTAAATTTCAATAATAAAATGCTTAAACTTTACATTATCCAGGTAACATAGCTAATTCAATTGTAACAGATTTTTATGATAAAAGTCTCTCATAAACTGTTGTACCTTCCCTTCATCAAAATAATCAAGGAACTAAAATTAATTTAGATATAAGTGATAGTAATGCAACTAAAATCAATAATAAGTTTAAACTAAGTAACAATACTCAATCATAAACACAACTATCATAGAATTCCAGGCAGTAAGATTTTAGTTCTTAAAATGGGGGATAAGCTGGTAATCAAAACGAAATGAGTTAGACTCTTAATTTTAAATAACAGGCTTTATTTCAAGCTTAAGGTTAGTTTAAGTCCATGGAAAGTGTACCTTCAAAAGAGGAAATTTAAATGAAATTTATTAAAGAAACAATTTCTCACTCTCAAATTGGCAAATAGGAGAATGAAGATAATTATAAAAATAATAATAATAGATAAGATGCCTTGGCTATTTTTAGCAGAGAATAGATCAGTACTGATAGAAAAAATAGAGAGACTGCCTGCTTTTCTTAGGAATCGGTGTAAGCCATTAGTATGGGATAAACATTAAGTTACAAATAAATAAATTAAAGAAAGCAAAGCTAAATAATTCTTAGTCAAGTAAATTTTGATTAAGCAGAAGAAGAAGTTACCTATAGACCCAAACCTTAAATTGAATAATAATCAATGAGTTAAACTGTTATGATTAAAAATTAACCTTACTAATAGAATAAATAGTAAACTCCAAACTAATAGCAAAGCATCAACCAAACTTTCTCAAATCTATAAAAAAAGAATAATATGATGGATTCTTACATAGGAGGATAAGCCACTAGTGAAGTATTATAAATAGAAACTTATGAAAATATTGGTAAACTAATTTAAATAAAATCTACTTACTTACTTGCAAGCAAATAATAAAGATTTATTTATTTATTACTTTTTATAATTTAGATGAGGGGAATATATATAATACAAAACAAAATGAATATCTACCAAGCATAGACTCAAGGAAAGCTTCATAGAGTGGTATTTATTCCAAGGGTAATTAATTAATAATATAGATAAATAATTCTAACATAATTTTAATGCAATATATTTTAAATAAATCAAATAGAAAATTAGAATTCAATATAATCTCAGAAATTGTTAACTTCTGAATTTAACAAGCAAAGTGTTTTTTAAACAGGACATTTCAAATCAATAGACCCAAGTTAAGTGATGGAATCAAAATTAAAAAAGAGCAATAATGAAAATTAAGATAGATAAAATTAAAATATGCTTAACATTTAGGATTTTTAAAAGATATAAGAATCAAAAATAATTGAAAGATAGGAAAAACAATATAATTCTTAGCTTTCATTTTCACCTAAAAATAATCGAGTTTATCAATCTAGTTAAAATATTCCATAAATACAAATTTAGTAGTACAAATTAGCTGATGTTTCAAATACACCCATCTTGCTATCACCCAAACATAGCCAATAACTATATTCTGTTTAACAAAGTGGCTCAGTCACAATAGTTCCAAAAAAAAGATTTGAGTAAGAATCAACAAAAGATGAGACTTTAAAAACTGATAAGATAAAATAGAAATATTATATTAATTTTAGTAATAACAGAACATCTGAATCTCAGGAAATTGAAGGTAAAAACGATCCACAAAATATGGTAAACAAAATTAAAAATCTAAAAAATAATATGTCTAATTTTAATTAGTAAGATTTTAACAAGAAAAACCAAGAATCAAATGCAAAAGATGATCAAAGTGAATAGCCTAAAGGAGAAAAGAAAAAGGTCCTTCATTCAAAAGATTAAAGCAGTCAATTTTCTAACAGTAAAAAGTAAAAAGGATACTAAGGTGGTTAATATAGCGGAAGCTCAAGTGGTGGAAAAGATAATTCAAATATCAGAAAAAATAATAATAATTTGTATCAAGATATAAGTATAAATATATATAAAAGTTTAATTCCACATAACCCGATTGGTTTTTCAACTATTATGAGTAACCCTTTACAGGTTAGTGAAATTACTGGTTTAAAAGGTTCAGTCTCTGTCACAGGAAATCTTTAAGTTGATGAAGCACCCACAAAAGAAAAAATTTACAAACCCTTTAACCCTATCAAAAATTCTGATTGGTAGATAACATTTAATTAAAAAGGAGATGTAGAAATAAAAACTTCTTAAGATATTGTACCACCTGTTGAAAATTATGGAAAAAGTTTTAGAAAACTTTGTAAATTAAATATCTTCCTTATTTATTTAATTACTTTCTTTTTTGCTTTAATATAATTTATTTATTTATTGTTTCAGTGGTGTAATTTATAAAATAATAATTAAAATATAAAGATCTGACAGGAAATGAAAAAAATTAGGCTATTCTTGATAAAGTAAAAGTTATTTTAGAAGAACAAAAATTTACAGATATAGAAATGATTGGTAGAGGTTCTTATGGACTTGTATTAAAGGTAAAAAATTGGCAAGGTTTTGAAAGAGCTATTAAAGTACAACTCATAAATGCTTATAATCAAGATTAATTCAAAGATGGAGAGTTCAAAATAGGAAAATATTTAACTGATGATGGTACAGAAAATCTTTTTGGGCAAATCATTACCCTGCATAACATTTATATAATATAAGACACAGAAAGCGAGCACATGATTTGTTTAATGGAAATGGAGCTTGCTGAGTCTAGTTTAAGTAAATAAATAAACAATAGGTTGGAAAAAGGAGTAATGATTGATCCTTTTTCTTAGGAAGAGGTTATTTTTATTTTCTATCTTTATATTATTTAACAAAATTATTGATTAAATAAATAAATTAGTTTATTTTTATTTGCCGTTGGTGTATTCAAACTCTTGTAAGAATTCACAATAGTGGATGTGTCCATAGAGATATTAAAACAGATAACATTCTTAAAATGGGAAATAACTTTTTATTTACTGACTTTGGTGAATCTGAATATGTGTACAATTTAAAAAATTTTCATCAAAAATAGACAGATACTTTCAGAGTTAAATAAAGGTTTTCAGGAACTTAAACTTATCTATCGCCTTTATTAAGGGAGTGTTATGATAATCTAAAAAATAATTAATCTGATCAACTCTATCATGATCCATTCAAGAGTGATATATACAGTTTAGGATTAGTTTTTCTATAAATTTAGCTATATATGAAAGGAATGAATAAAGCAGAGATCACTGCTATTTTAAAAGATCCTAAAAAAGCTTATGAAGAGGCCAGAGCAAATAATATCAACCATATTATACTCAAACAAAGATATTTTATTTATGAAGGCTATGAATATGAATGCATCAATATTTTATAGAGCATGCTTGAAATAGAAGAAAATAAACGTATGTCAACAATTAAATTAGCCCTTATTTGCTAAATAGATAAGCAATTTCTTTCTCGTATAGTTATTCCTTACCCTAAAATCTTTAGACCAAAATAAATAAAAGAGGATTATGGAAATAATATATGTAAAGTTAAATATTCTATTAAGTATATGGAGTATGAAGGTAAAGTTTTTTTATATTCTCTCAATAATTTTTTTTCCTTCAATCATTTAAATATTATTTTTATGATTTTTAATTACCAAAACAAACTAGATTTTTCACTCATTTTATCACTGAATAAGACCTTTAAATTTAATTATAAAACCATTTAATTAAGCACTAATCCTTATTCATGAGTTCCATTTATTTTAACATTAAAAAGAATACACAATTTTTAGTTTTAATCGAATTATTTTATAAAAAACATTTGAAATTAATCACTAATTTTTGTATTTCACATTTAATTTCAAATTTTAATTGTTTTCTTTCTTTCCTATTTATTAAAAGGAGAAACTCTTAAAATTGGGGACAAAATTTTAAGACACGGAAGAGGAAAGTTATTCAGACATGAATAAAATACCAAAACTATAATTTATGAGGGTTACTGGAGTAAAGATCTACCTCATGGCTAAGGAAAATTTTCTAAAATATTTTAGGATGACTGGGAGTATGAAGGGTAATTCTATAAAGGAGTTTTTCATGGAAAAGGAGAAATAAAATTTAATGGAAATACAATTTATTCAGGAGAATTTAGGAATTATATTTTAAAAGATTTTTTAATTCCAAAATAAATGTGCCCATAATCAGGTACTTTCAAGCTAATAGCATTTGGCAAAAAAATGTATAAAATCAAAAAGAAGGCTGATAATTAAGAGTAAAATTATTATTTTAGTGATTTCTGTAAATTAATTCTATCTATTTTAAAAATAATTGTAGGTTTTGTTTACAAATTAAACTTCACTAAATACCAAATATAGAAAATTTGCTTTGTCTTTTGAAAGATTCTAAGTCAAATTTTTAAAGGCTAACATTAAAAAATTATAAAAAGATAAATATGGATAGTATCTCGCACGCTCCTAATTAATCAGATGTTTACAAAAAGAGAGATATATTTATTATTTGCAAAAAAATGAATGTAGAAGTTATTTATGATGAAGAATTTACCTTTCTTGATTATTAATTAGAAACCATTTTATAAATATGCAATCAAATCGAATATATTGATCTTAAATTTATTTCATAGGAACAAGCTGCTAAATTGTTCAGTGGTGAAAAAAGCTTTGATTATTTGAAATAAATTAAAAATGCAAATGAACAAAAATTCAGTGAAGAATTTTTTTGTAATCTTATGAATTCCAAAATTGTTTCAAGACTAAATATTATAGAATATGAAAATAAATCCTTATTTGGTTTGGGTCTTAAACGTATGTTTGAAAAGAGGGTTCAAGTTTAATTTGTTAAAGAAATTAATTTATCAAATTCATATATTTCTGCTTAAAACGAGTCATTTTAGAGTTTCTTTGCCTCAGATTGTCTCAACTAAATTATAAAGTTGAATTTACATAATATAGCATCTCTTAACGATGAGTCTCTAAAAATTATTTCTTCATCAAAATATTTATAAAATTTAAAAGTAAATTTTGCATTCCAGAGTTATTTCATATTTCATGTCTATTTATTTGAAATTTTAGGAACTTGACATTTCTGGATGTACAAAAGTTACTCATAAAGGACTGAGTTAATTTTCGATTCAGCTATAATAAAACTTGCCTTAGCTATAGGTTTTAAGGATTGGAGGTCTGGTAAATCCAAAAGTTGATACAGGTTTAAATAAACTTTTATTCAACCCAACTATGAAAATGTTAGAATCCCTATTTAAAAATGCAAGCAATTTATAAGAATTAGATATGAGCAATTCCTAGATGTTAAATGATTCAGTAGTCAAGGGCATTACAACAACAAAGCATTTACCAAATTTACTTTTCTTGATTCTTTCTAAGTGCCCATTACTTACATATAAATCCTTTGAGTATTTTCATAGACAAACAAATAACCTTAAAACTTTAGAAATGGTTGATTTTTCTTACACGAAAATAAAATTAAGTCTAAGTATTTTTTTACACATTAAAACAATAAACAAATATTTAATGATTTATTTATTATTTTAACTATTATTAGATTTAAAAAAGCCAGCACAATTTTTAAAAAAACTTAAAATTGCAGAATGTCAATAAATTGATTGGAATTAATTAGCTGGATACCTATAGATCTCTCATACGAGTGAAATCTATTTTGATTCTGACTTGCTTGAATTTGTTTCTAAATAAAAAGAAGAAGACTTCAAACAAGCAATCAGACTACTTTCTAATAAGAAAATATTTTTGAACATAGTTTCAGAATAATCTCTTGAATACATAATTAAATTCTTTGAAAAAAGAAATAATCTTGATATCAGATTATTTAGTTTGACTTACCCAGAATATTAACTGGAAAAATCTGTTATAGTTTAAATTAAAAAATAAGATAAGCACACCAAGTTTAAAATTAAGGACTATTAAGGAGTATCCTTCAAAGAGAGAATTTAGGAAGCAAGAGCTAAGGTTTTCAAGTATAAGCATTATCAAATCTTAGAGCAGCCTCTCTGTGTCCTTGATCAGGATTATGACAATTACGGTAATTAGCAGCTACCAGCTAACGAGGAAAGATTTGAAGATTTAAAAAGAATCTTAAATGGTAGACTATTTTTAGAATTTCATTTGCTAGATTTAAAAAATGAATAACAATTTGCACATTAAATAATTAAACCTCTTGCTTAAAGTAAATTTACAAGAGGTTTAGAAATGATTGATTTATCTAATTCGATTATAAATGATGAAGATTTGTAAGAATTAACCAAGTCCCAATACTTTCAAAAATTAGAAAGTATTTGCATAAATAACTGCTAAGAAATTACTGAAACAGGCATTAACTGCTTGATTGAATCAATATAGGGATTTCCAAGTTTAAAAGAAGTACAAGTTCAATAAAAACTTGTTAACTTTTAAAATTTGGATCTAAACTCTTTATAAAAAAGAGGATAAGAATTTAAATTAATAATTGACACCTTACAAATCAAAAACTTAGAAGTTATAAGAGATGAAAAGATGTTTTTAAAATATGTCCAATAAATATGTAGTATTAATTAGAGCGTAATAAGCACTATATTTGTTATTGGTACTCCTTTTTTGGTAAACAAAATTTTAAATTAGTTAAGTTAAAATACTCCATCTCCTTTAAAGTATGTTACTATTGATGTGTCTATTAGCTAAGAAAACGAAATTGAAGATATCTAACAAGCCCTATCCCTAATTTAAAATTTTAAATAGATAGAGAGTTTATTCTTTGATTTTAGAAAGTAATTAAATTAACTCTTATCCAAGCAGTTTTTATGATTTTTTATTATCATTTAAATTATAATTAGGCTTAGGTTTCTTTCTTACTCATTGATGAAGAGTTTATTTAAATACATAGAAAACCTTTAACTACTCAAGCAATTAAAAATTATGATAAAAAAGTAATGATATTAAAAATTATTAATTTACTTATTATTCATTTTAAATTATTTTTACAAATTTTCATAGTTTTTTAAGTTATTTTTTTAGTGATTTATCTAGAATTTATTAATTTTCGTGAAAAATATTAATCTTATTTTTATTTTATTGAAAAGTTATGGAAGAAAAGAGTATTTTTTAGAAGGAGTTCACATTATTGAGTTATTCGAAAATTTAAAAAAGTTTACACAACTTAAAAAACTAAGTGTTTATTTTAAATAGTAAATAAATTCATAATTAAATTTATATTAAAATTAATTTTTACAAATTATTTAAAATTAAAAAGAAAAAAGAATGTCAATCAGCAAATAAATAAAATAATGACAGATAAAATAGGTATTTGTATTAGATCTATTGTTAAAAATCTTTAGGAGATGAACATTTAGTTAATAAAGTAATTTACTAAATCATAATAAACCATAATAAATAAATAAATTCAAAAATATATAATAGTTGGGATATTCAGCAAAGGATATAAGGTTTTAGCATTATTTAGTTCGGATAATTTGAGGTGTGCAAGTCTCTTTAGTCTCTAACTTTAAATTTCAGGAAGTAAATTGTTTTGATCAATTAACCTGTAAGTATAACAAAATTCATATAATAAAATAGCATGCTTAAGTCTAACAGAGACTACATAAAAGATGAAACAATTAAGAGCTTAACAGATTGCTTAAAAGGGATGCAATTTTTGAGATAATTAAGTCTTAATCTGAAAAAGTAATTAATTATTTTTATATTTTGCTAAAAATACAAAATTAATTATAAAAACCTAATAATCAAATTAGCTGGGGTAAAAAGAATGAGTATATTACAGATTAGTCACTCATTTACATTAAAGAATTCTTGTAGACAAATAAAAATCTTAAACTATTTGATATAAATCTTAAGAACTGGGAATAGTCTTCTATTAAATCAATAACTGAATTCATCGAAGCAATAAATCAACAGCAAAAGTTGTAAACATTATGGTTGAACTTAGCAAAGTATTTTTTATTATCTCTATAAATATTAATTCTAATACTTATGTTACTAATTTAAAGTTGGGGTGTTTTCAATAGCACATTAGTAGGAGATGCAATAGAGAAAATGCTAGAAAAAAACGGAGAATAGATATAAAACCTTAAAATAAACTTTTCTAAGTACCTTAATAATTAATTATATTCATTGATACATAATTTAATATTCTCAAATATATAAAAAGATCATACAAGCTACATTAAAAAAATGTTTCAGATAGCAATCTTATTAAATTATTTAGAAACATCAGCAAAAATAATGATTTAACAAGTATTCATCTTAATCTATCAAAGTAATTTTTTTACAAATGTTATGAGATATCAATTAATTTATTAATATAAAGCTGGGGTCAAAATAACGAATCAATCACTGATGATTGCTTAGATGGATTTAAATAAATCTTATCAAAAAAAAAACTAAAATCACTCACTCTCAAGATAAAAAAGTAACATTGCATTTTAATTTTTTAATTTAATAATTTTTTCTAAAAAAAGTTGGGGATGTGAAAATAATCGAATTACAGATTCTTTTATCCCGAATTTGGTATCTCAAATATCTAACTTAAACGATATCGAATATCTCTATTTAAACTTTTCAGGAATGGGATAATTTATTTCAGATAACAAAATAGGAAATTAAGAAGCTATTTAACAATTAGGAGAATAGTTGCTGAAATCAAAAAAGCTAAAAACTATAAAGTTAAATATGAACAAGTAGTTATTTTTATTTGTTTTAAATTAAAAATCTCAAAAATAAATATAAAAAAGTTGGAAAACTGAAAATAGCGAAGACTGTTTATTTGATATATTCAAATAGCTGTAAAAAAGACCTTAACCTTAAGAAATACAATTATCTTTAGCAGGGTAATTAATTAAATTTATTTTCTTCATTTCTTATTAGTAAAAATATGATAAATTTTCATTCATTTAATAAATAAATTTCTCTTTGTTTAAGTTTTACAACAATTTTGCATTTAGTTTGTGACTATTTATTTTTATTTCAAATCTTGAATTCAAATATATTTTAAATTTAAATAATTAATTGATAAGTTAAATTTATTTGTTAATTTTAAAAAATAAAAAATAGTTGGTTTCAAAGCAAAGATAAAATTTCTAGAAAGTAATAAGAGAATGATTAGTAGCAGATTGAATCAAAAGCTATTTAGAAACTTAATTTCAATTTCTCAAAGTAATTTGATTAAAATTCTAATTTATTTACTATCAATCAATTTTTTTATACTTAAAGTTGGATGAGCATTACCTAGGCAATTTAAGCTTAGAATATCTATTTCAATATGTTTTAATTAGAGAACATGATAGATTTAACTCTCGATTTCTCTTAGTAATTTACTTTTTATTAATAACTATTTAATATATTTAACTCAAAAAATTCTAAAACAAAGACTGAATAATCTGCAGGATAATTTTGAATCTGAGCTGATTGTTTTACTATCTAACTTATAGGAGTTATAAAACCTTAAATCACTAGATTTAAATCTTTCATAGTAAATTTTTATAAATGAAAACTTAGATTAATTCATTTAAAATAGTGATCTAAGCTAAGATTTGGATATTTCAAGAAACTTGAAAATACAATTAGAACAATGCTTAACTAAGCTAATTTAATTAGAAACTCTCAAACTGAATTTAAAAGGGTAAGCAAAATTTCTTTAGTTCATAAATAAACTTATGAATCTTTAAATAAAAGGTGGAAATTTAAAAATTCAGATATATAAAATGAAGTTATAGAACACATCTTTTTAGGTATATCTCGCCTTATCAAAATAAGAGTACTTAAGATTAACATGGATAAGTAATTTGATTTATACACTCTTAAATTTTAAATTATTTATTTTATAATAAAATTAATTCTTTAAATTTAACTTTTTTGGAATTTTTAAATTTAAAGTTGGAACTCTAATACTGATATTAGCAAGGCAAACTTCGAAGTATTTAGCAAAAATTTAAAAGATTTGAGAATATTATCCAAGATTTACCTTAGCTTTGAGAAGTAATATTTATTTAATTATAAAATATATAGTTTTAAATATACATTCTTTAACTATAAGTTGGTATTAATAATCAAATAAAATTTCTAATACTTCATCTCCTCAGATCACAAAACAATAAAATGAAGATTAAATTGCCTCTTACTATAATTTCTTAATAGAAAAACTTTTGGAAATAATAAATAATGCTAAGTTGCTTGATTACTTTTATCTAAATTTACAAAAGTAAATAAATAAATAATTTCATTTTTAAATTAGCTTACTTATTCTATTAAATTATTAAATAAAGCTGGCCATTTATCAACAAGAAGCTGCTTAGTTAATTAAAGAATAATTTGGGAGACATGAACATACAACATAAGCTAGTAGGAAAGCTTTTTAACAATTACGCTGTTTTATGATATTTTGACTTTGAAAAAAAGATTAATTTTTTTAATAACGAAGAAAATGAATTTACAATAAAGAAAAATTATTAATGAGAAATATTTCAACAAACAAAAATCTATAAATTAGTAAAATAAAAGGAGTTTGGAGTATAAATAAACAATAAATAACCAAAAATTATTTCAAATTAACTTTATATACAAAATTAACTTATAATAACAATGGCTCATCCATAACAAAATTTGGTTAAATTAGTCATATTAAAATATTAAAATGTATTAGCAATTGCTAAGAAAATTGATAAATAATAAAATTTCTTTTTGCCATCTTTAATCTTTCTTGTATATCAACAAATTATTATTCTACTAAATTAATTTTTAGATAGTTCTATCTGTATTTATATTTTCACCAAAACATATACAATTAATTACCTATTAATTCAATTTTCTATTTCTCAGTCAATCAATCATCATCAACATAATAATACTTACTTTTTTTATTTTTTTATAGTCTAATTCTTGGATCTTGTTGCTTTTTTTCTTTTTCTTTCCTTTGAATCAAAGCATTTAAATTATTTAAAATATCTTATTTCTTTTTCATTTCCTATTTAATTATTTTCTTTTAATCTTTTAATTACTAAGCTTTATCTATAACAGCCATAATATTTATATTTTCGTGATGGAACTGTTCGCATGTCTGTATTAGTTTCCCCATTCCCTCTCTTAGTATCTCTTTTTCATTTTCTTCATCATTTAGCATTATGCTTGAAAATCTATCTTGGTTAGAAGCTGAAAAAAGACTCTACATACTTCCTCTCTCTTCGTTATTTTATAGCTATCTAGATCTTAAGCTGTGTCTAGAAGAATAGTTATAGTTTACTTATATTTAAAAAAATAAATAAATTCTTAAATTTAATTAAATTTCAAATGAAATTAAGCAATAATTTTTTAATTCATTTTTTTGGTCATATTTCCATTTTACAAAATATATCTGGCTTCCTTTAAAAAATAGCATGTGAAAAATCCAAAAATATTTTTATTTTTTTCTATTAAATTTTTTACAAATATACTAAGCTGCTGATCTTAAAGAATAAATCTTAATTAGAAAATAAAGTATATATAAAGAAAAGCTAATTAAATTAGTAATAGAAATAAAATTAGTTAATAAATTTACAGTTTTAAATAGAGTAGGGACTTTCGAATTTGAAATTTTTTTAGTTTTTAAGATTGTTCATTTATGATTAAGATCTTTAATGCTTCATTTTTTATGTTTCCTTCAAAAGGTTATGCTTAACTTATTAATCTTGAATCATTTCTTTATCAGTTTTTGAAAATCTTTTTTGATCAATTTCTTTAACAACTTAGAGGTAAAAGTCAAGAGTGGCATACTAATTTTTTTTTTTATTTTCTTACTTTGCTAATATTTCTTTCATTTGTTCTTCAAAGAATGTTAAAGCTGGTTTTTAATCTAAACTTATTTAGCTTGAAGACTTTCTTATTCTATGCTATCCATTATTAGCTTATTATCCTGCTAGAACAGAAATATTTTCTGATGTGTTAAGGATTGATCCAGTTCTTTCGCTTGGAGTTTGATTTATATTACTTTAAATTTCTTTTTATTAGTTCTATTTGGATATAGTTTAAAAATTTTGTAGTTTTTCAAACTCTTTAGGTCCTTTTATTATTTTTTAAAATAATTATTCTTAGTTTTTGATGGAAGCATTAGACTTGAATTCATTGGAAAAACTATTTATTCTTCTAGATTAAAAAGGAGATATTAATTTATGCCTTTGAATAATAGAATTATTTTGAGCTTGTCCAAAAGTACTGATATTAGTTAAATTACTATTTTTAATACTTGAAAGATTATTTAAAGGAGTATCTTAACTATTTGAATTACTGATCTTTTAGCTGTGTGAAATAAACTCAGATGTTGCATTAGAATCTTTTTTTTTAAATTCATCTAAAATGAAATCCTCATCAGCATTTTTAATAAATTTATCCATAAAATAATTATTAAAATTTTCTAATAGCTGCGGAGTTGGTTCCATTTTTTTCTTATGCTTCAGTTAATCTAAGTCATTTTTTACTTTAGACCTTTTAATGATATAATCATAATAATTTTTGCTCCAAAATTAGTTTGTAAGAATAATTCCATTTGATTTGTTAGAATTCAGTCTTTTATATTCTTAATAAATTATTTCATCATTTGTATCTTAATTATTATTCGATATATATTTTATTCTGTTCATTTTTTGTTCTATTTTTTCTAATAATGCACTTTTTACATCGTCTTTATTTTTAAGTAGCTTATCACCATCTTTAACAAAGGCTTCAAAAGTTTTTTTTCTTTGAAAAAATCCATTTTCTTTAATAAATGGAGGAACATTAACTGCATTGGTGTAAATATTCATTTTATTCATAGAATTTTATTTAAGTAACTTAGGAGTATTTTCTTGTACATTACTTTAATTACTCTCAAATTTATTACGTGAGGTACTTCTAAACAATTACCTCTCATTATTATCAGGAGAATAAACAACTTCTTATGTTTCCCTTCTAAATTTAACTGACATTTTTTTATGTAGCCTATCTGTGACAGGTTAATATCCAACAAGTTTGTTAGAGTCAATACTATCTTGTAATTCTAAATTCATCATGAATAATTTTTATTATTTTTACTTTTTTTGCCTTAAATAAATAATAATGATATTAAACCTAATTTTGTTATGATTTTGAAAAAAATTCTAAATTAAATAAATATTAGTAACCATTAATTATTCAATATATTTTAAGTTTTACATTAATTTTGTGAAGTATTTAATTAAAATTAATTAGCAAAATAACATGCTAAATTAAATTATCTAAATCTGCATATTTTACTAATAAAATACTATTGTCAATAAAAAATTTCATACTCTATTTAGAACTGAATTAATTCACTTCTTTTTTATTTTCATAACATACATTCTAATTTTATAGTTAAAATTTTAGAAATAATTTAGTGATTAAATTTTTAAAATGTGTTTTTTACTATTTAACTATTTCCACCAAGTATTTATTTTAATAATTTACTTACTTTTATACTTAAATCTACAATTTAATTCATTAATAAATCGTTTTATTAAAAAACTAAGTACAGTAAATTAAATACAAATTTATTTATGAAATTTTTAAAAGTAATTTAAATTTCAAAAAAAAATTTTTTAAATTATTTAAATTTTAATTTTCTTTGAATTCTTGCATTTTATAAATTTTAAAGTTAAAAGATAAATTTTTTTCATCATTTTTTTAATTTTAAGCATTTCTTAAATAATTATAAATTAACACCTTGTTGATATTTATGAATTAATTTTACAATTTTTTCAAAATCTTATCAAAATCAAACTTTATCAACTTAACTTCAAAATAAAAGCTGAAATCAACAATATAAAATTAGTTAAATTTATAAAGTTTATTTTGGTTATGAACTAAAAAAAGAAAGATTCTTTATCATGATTTAAAATATATTATATTTTTTGCTTTATTAATTTATTTATTTGTTGACAGAATATTTGTAATTATATTTAAAACATTTTAATTAATTGAATTTCTTCATAAAAGTCAAATATCATGATCAAATTAAAAAATTTTTTAAATTAAATTCTGAAAGATAAATTTTGGAGTGATAAATATATTTAATATTCTATTTGATATTATATCAAGACAATTATGATGAAAATAAATAAACATATTAATCAATTTATTCTAGCTACCTTTTCAGTAAAAAATAACTATCTATTACAATATTGAATTTTGTAAGAAAAGGTTTTGATAGTACATCTATTTACGATGATTCAGTTTATATATTATATTTATAGATAAATAATTAATTCTAAAAAACAATAATTATCATTTGATTTGAAATTAAAGCATAAATTGATTAATTAATAATTAAAATGGATTAATAAAAAACAACTTTTTAAGATGAATTGAGTTAATTTGATATAATGCTAAATGAGTTTGAAAATGAATAAGAAATATAAATGAAGGGAGTGTTATTAGGTCAACTACATAAGAAATATAAATCAATTTGCTAACTTATAGAGAAAGAAATTAGCACAATTGATATGCGCAGAATGAGATCTGCATTAAACCCTAAATATGAAAAATTAAAACTGTTAGAAAAAGAACTTCTAATTGAAGCTGATTTATTTTTTTTCTAAAATTTGTTAAAAGATTTTAAAGTTAAATCTTGTAAGTTTTACTAAGTCAAAGGAACTCAGGAAGAAATGTCTGCTTGCTTTAAAAAATTTTTTATAATTTTAAATAGCATATCAGATTTAAGACAGATTAAACCTGAAAATTAAAACTTAGTCAGCAGGGTTCAGAATTTATTCAAAGAATATGGAGATGAAATCAAAAAATTTTAATAGAAATTCTAAATGGATATTAAAGCTTTTTAGTAGTAAGAATAGGAAAGATAAAATAAAGATAAAAAAAACTAAAACTAAAGCTTTTCATCCCAAGATTCTGCAGAAGATATCGATGAAGAAGAAGTAAGCTAAATTCCTACTATTCTAAATTAAGGTAAACATAAAAAAAATAATGGCTCAGTACTAGAAAATATTCATTTAAGTAATGATAATCCTGAAGAAGATCAGCATTAATTATAGGAACTAAAGCAATAATTGTAATAAGAGTTAATATAGAAACAAAAATAATATCTAATGACTGAAGAGTAGATATAAAAAGAAATTTAAGAAGAAATTAATTAAATTTGTTAAGATATAAATACTATCAATGCGATGATGAGTGAGATAGCTAGGCTTGCTCATAGTCAAGATTAACATTTTGAATCTTTAGAATAATAAACTGAATAAACTTTACAAAATGTAATTGAGGCAGAAAAAGATTTGCAAATAGCTAGTTAAGAATAGGTCAAATATCGTAAAAAAGTGTTCTCTCTATCTGGAGCAGCTCTAGGTGGTGGTTTAGGATTTTTTGTTGGAGGCCCTATAGGATCTGCTTTAGGAGCTACTGTTGGTACTACTATAGGTAGTGTTGTGGGTTCAGCATCTTCAAAAAAAACATTTTGAAAAGCAAAAAGAAAAAGAGTTTAATAAACAATAAATAATAAACAATAAATTACTTTATAATTAATATAATATTAAATAATATTTATATAAAAATAGATATATAATAACTAAAATGTAATATTAAAATTGCTTCATTAATTTTTAATTTAAGATTGCAATCTTGTTATGTTAAAATTGTTTCCATTTTAAAAAATATATATTAAATATTCAATTATTATTATATCTTTCTCTCTAAAATTAATAAAAGAGAGTTTTAAAGTAATATTTATTTAATATAAAAGGTAGCCTTAGATGCTTTTAAAATAATTAGATATAAGCCATTTTGTTTACCTGAGTTATCTTTTTACATAAAAGAAAGATAGAATATATTTCCAATTCTTGATTTACTTTTTTATTAAGAGTTATTATTAGAAAAAAAATTAATACTTGCTTCCAAATTTAACAGAAAAATTGATTACTGTACTGCATTCAATTTGATTTTTTTATGATAAAGATTTATTAATTTTTAAATAATATCAAAAAATTATGAGTAATTAACTATTTTCAGGGTTTGCCTCACAACACTAAGAATCTTTTTATAATAAAAATGTAGAAGAACTGCTTTTCTTAATTTCTGAAACACTGATTATTTGCTTCAGAAAAAGTTAATCATTTGAATAGAAAATTTTAGTCAATTTCTCATTTCAATATTTAATAAATAATAAATAGAATCAGTTGATCTTTAAAGATTTCAAAAAAAGTTTCATTAAATATACATTTAGTTAGTTAGATTAGAGTTAAATAAACTAGCCTAACCAAAATATTCGGAATCTGTTTAAGAAATAACTTCATACTTTATTTTTGACAAAGGAGGATGTGTCTCTAGTTAGAGTAAAAGAGTAAGAAATATTGTTTAAACAGCGCAAATATAAATCAAATAAATTATTTATAAGGAAGATCATTAAAAATAAATGAATAAGTTTATGAACAGCAATAAAAGCATATTAGAGGAGAGTTATAATTTTTAGTCCTTAAAAAAAGTAATAAAATCAGCAAATAATAATCTATCTTTCCAATAATACTTATATCATTTTATATTTTTAACAGGAAGGTATATCATTAACTCTAAGTTAAAGGAGGAGTAAGTCTTCCTTTTCAAAATTATCTCAGTAAAATAATCAATAAAAGGAGAAGAATAATTTGGGAAATTCAAAAGTGTTAAGAAACTATTCCTATTCGTCTATTTAATCTCCAAAAAGAAACCATAGAACCCAATTGCCTTCTACTAAATTTGTAAGCAGTTTTAAACTTATAAGTTAATTAAAAACTTGAATATGTGTAATTAATTACAGATTGAGTCGCCTAGATAAAAGAAATCTAACTTACTTAGAAGCTCTTCAATTTCACTTTAAAACGACAAATCTGTAAATGTCCAAATAGATATTCATGATAAGAGAATATAAGTTAATAAGAGTGCCTAAAATAGTCATAGGGCAGAAAGAGTAAAAAATATTAAAACACGCCAAGAAGAATATAATTATGTCAACTAAAAGCTTTTACAATAAAATAAGAATATTTATTCTAAATAGGCAATAACAGAATCAAAGCAACCTTACTTGATATAGCCTCATACTTAAACCATAAATACTTCTTATAATCCAACTCTTGAATCATAGTAAATATTTTATTATTAACTAGTACTTATCCAAAAATAATCTTAAACTTTTTTACATATTAATCTATTACAATTAATAAATTTTAATATCTTGTTATTTAGAAATAAATATGAATTTTTAAAGTATTTTTTGTTTTAATTGTATCTCTATATTAAATAAGATCATAGGATTTCATTAAAGAATTTAACAATATACCTAAAGAAAATAATGTTGGGGGTAAAGCATACTTAGATATTTATAAACAGTCTCTAAATGTTAATATTTAATTGTAAGACCAGGTATAAGAAAACAAAAACTAAATCAAAATAAATCAAAAAGCTAGTTTACTACGTAATATAGCAGCTGCTAACAGTGTAGATAAAAAGAGATCAAATTCTCCATACAAGCTTTAAAATAGCCTTATATCTAAAAATGTTTTAATAGGAAATAGAAGATATTCTTCATATTAATCTAATCTTGATGTTATTTCAAATAATACATAGCAAACATAAAATACTATTTAATCTAGAGCTCAAACACAAAGAGGTGAACCAAATAAGTTACAATTAAATAATATAAAAATTCCTTAGATGCAGTATTAAAACACTAAAATTTTAAATAGTATATAACTCATTAAAGAAGATAGAAAAGCTTAAGGAGTTTAAGGAGGTAAAAAAGCTATAATTATTAACTAAAACAATTTAGTTAATCATCAATATAGACCTAATATTGATAATTTGCAATATAAAGAGAATGAATAACCTCCTTAGATGTAATATTATACAGTTGAAAATAAGAAAAATTTATGATGGATGATACAAATGAGATCTAAATGATAATTTATTTGGTTGTTTAAAATATAATAATTATCATGCGAATAAGGATCAATAAAATAATTAAATGTTAAATCTTTTAATTAATTAATTTTAACATATCATATGCTTATTTGATTTTAAAAACATTAAGAAAATTATTTTTTGAAAGAAATATGCTCTATTTTTTGATTTTAAGAGCCAAATTTTGAGATATATATAAACAAATACAAATTTAATAAAGATTGTAAAAGATTGTTAAAAATTTTTATTAATTTTATGTTTGAGATATAAAAAATTAAAATAAATAAATTATTTAAAAATTTTCAAAATAATATTTTTTGATTAGTTTAAACTTATCTTAATAAGAATATATTAAATTTAATAGCTTTTATCTTTAGTAATATAAATTAATTTTATTTTAAACTGATACATTTCACTAAATTGTATCAATTATAATATAGAATATATATAAGTGCTAATTAATAATAATTAGATTGAATAGAAATTAATTAGTTAAATTAAATTTGAATAGATAGTTAGTTTAATTAAGTTCGTATTTTTAAAAAAATTAATTTAATATATTTTTGTTAGAATATGAAACATTAAAAACAAACAAAATAATAAGTATTGCTTTGTTTAATAAATATTAAAATATAAGTTAGTTAGCTAGTTAGTTAGTTAGTGTTATTTAAAATATGTTATTTTTTATTTAGTAGAAAATTGGTAATTTATTTCAAGAAAGTAATGCATGCGTTTCATATTAAAAGCTATTCTTACAATAGATTAAAAAGTACGGATTGGCTTATTGGTTTTGATATGAAAAAATCTGATCCACTTTATTGGGCTTTGATCTTAGAAGCTATGTCAATAAAGGCAGAGCAAGTTATTACTATAACTTTACTCATTTAATGTTATTTTGAATACTATTTTATTTCATAGGTGGCTTCAAATCCATTTTTAATGGGCATATTTAAGTCCATCAATATCAAGCTGTAGGAATTCTATCCACAAGAAAGGCATTTCTTTTTTTATTTAAATTTTTCAACTCCTTCTTCGCCATTTAGAGCAGTGTCACAATTAATTTATTTTGCTTTTAAAATTTATTTCATGACAAAGTGATTAAAAGGTTCATCATCCACACATAACACCTTAACACAGCATGGTGAACTAAGTTTGATTAAAGAAGGCTGTTTATCGTTAAATGTGCTGAATTCTCCCACAATATTTGGTTTTTCGTTTTCTAGCCTCTCATCAGCAATATCTTCTTAAAAAGAATATTATTTATTTAGACAAGATTCTGTTGAGTTTTCTATTTTAGAATCGGACTCTTCTCTAATTTCTTTATCGCATTTGAAATCAATTTTAAATTATCCCTTATTTTGTGTGTTCTAATTGGAAATTTCTTCTTTTGTAGATATGATTGTATTGTTTTCATTTTATTTTATTGGAATTTCTTAACTGACTGATTAGATTAGTTGTAAAGGTTGGAAGTTGCTATTTTAAATCTTAAAAGAATTCTAATTTTATATAGGTAAATCACTTCCGTTTTGTGATCTATCCCTATTCAAAGGTAGAGATTAATCATCTTAAGCTCCAAATGTTATTCTAGTTTTTCTACTCACAAAGCTATTAGTATTGATGTTTATACTTGAACAACTTTACCTCTTTACACTAGATTATCTTTTTAATATGTCTTCTTATGCCTCATTAAGCATTTTTTGTTCTTCAACTTTATTAGAAAAAAAAGCAATATCCACATTAAAGTGTGGTGTATTTAAATTTTCAGTATGCTTAATATGGAGAGAAGTCTTTGGTCTAAGACTATCTAATCTACTAGAGGGTTAAATTTTTTTGGAAGTAGATAACTTTTCTTCAATAATCTCTTATTTGACTGACTCTTACTTTATATTCTAAAGAGAAATAGGTTCTTAAATTTGATTATTTTTTGATTATTCCATAACTTTACGTTAAGAAAAAACTTGTTAAAACTCATTTAAATCAGAGTTAATTGATGATATATTCTAATTTGTTGTATTTTGATTTTATTACATAATTTACTATTACTAAGTGATATTTTTTGAACTGTTTTAAGTTTAGCTTTATCTTTTTTATTAACTATTTTAAATTTTAGAATTTAATTCATTATAATTATTCCGATTTTAAGGATTTTAAGGAGTTTTAGGGATTAGAGTGAAATGACTTTTTTTCCCACATAAAAACTAAAGTGGAGAAACACTTCCGGCGAGTTAGTTATAGGTTAAAGGGGTTCCTATTAAAGACTCATTTATGTCCTACTCTTCTTAGTTTTACTGTTATTAGTTTTAAGATCCAGAACCACCTCCAGCTCTTAAAAATAGCATATTTTTAAAAAGATTTTCAACCTGATACTCCTCAGTCTGCTATTCGAAAAATTGAGCATTCTAAAAATTGTAATTGAGAGTGTTAAAGCTAGAGTTTAAAGAATTAGGGCCTTATTGACTCTGTAAATTATTAGTAATTTACTGTATTTGCATTTGTACATTAGTATTAGAGTTGGGAATTTAAGAGTGATGAGCACTAGACACACTTTATTAGTTTTGATTTATGGCAAATAAATTTTAACTTAATGTCATTGAAGCTTAATAAATGTTATTTTTAGCCAAATTTGCGCTACCACCTTATTGTGGTTATTACTAATTAATTAAGATAACCTGTTAAGATGCCTATAAAGACATGAAAGGGTTTAAGCTAATTGTTTTAGAAACTGCTGGTAATTCATTAGGACTGTTAATTTTAGATGAAGAAGGTACATTGTGTATTAGAGATGAATCTGCTAGGTTATTATCATAAACAGCTGTATTGTCAAGTATTGTTGGTAAATGGTTAAGGATTGCTTCATTGAACTATGATGGATTCAATTTCATGGTTTATAATCTTTATTTTTAGAATGCTTAGCACTCCACAAAAAATCTAAAAATTGTACCTGATGCGCTTTCATTATTTCTTTCAAACTAAATTCCTAAATTTTCTCTACCACTTAATTTAATAGCGATAAGATTGGATACACAAAGACCACCAACTCCGTTTCCCAGAGAATTTTTACTGATTGACTCATTACAAAATCCATAATTAAGTAAATGTATTAACTTCTTAGATTCGCTTTCATCAAGTCCGACACCAGTGTCTTTTACTTTAATACCTAATAAGAATATTTTCTAAACATAGTTTGATTCGTATAAATTATGAGATTTCTCTGTCTTTGGAGTCGTAGGATTGTTGCTATAAACAGCTTAAATTTTAAGTTCAACAGTGATTTTACCATGCTAAGTATATTTTATTGCATTTCTAATCATAGTCATAAGTATAGATTAGATGCGGTGTTTATCTTGGTAAATAAACTCTGGTAATTATGGGTCAATATAAAAATCAAAGGATAGTTTTTTATATTCTATTTGCAATCTAAATAACTACATTATTTCTTCTTTAAATTTTAATAAGCTGAATTTTTCAATTTGCAAAACGAATGTATTTTATAGAATCATATGATGATCTAAAATGTCATTAATCAAATATTAAATAACTGCTGAATTGTACCGTATAGGTTTTATCAATTATTCTCCTGATTCTTAGTTCATTTAACCCAATGCTACTTCTGAGAGGTTATTGATACAGTTTAAAGCAGTACCAAACTCATGTGAAACCGATTAAAACGAGTCTATGAAAAGTTTTTTCACTAAGAGAACTTCCGCCTTACTCCTATTTTATTCTTCGTGCAAACTGTGAACAAAGTACACATTTTCAAAAAAGCTTGCTGAGAAATCTCTTCTAAACACTAATCTGATCTTTTCACTAGTTAATCAATTGAAATAAATTTAATATAGAGAAAATAGATATAAAATTCAGAATCAGAAATGAAAAATATAAAGCAAAGCTAATTTAATAATTAAATTAACAGGAAAATTAGTAAATAAATTAATAAATACTTTTGAAAAGAGTACAAATTAGAAACTTCGACTGTTTTTGAAGGACTGAATACTTTTTCGCCTTTCATTGGATTTACAATAATATCAATAGAAATATTGTCTAGATTAAATTTTTTAATAGAGCAACAAAAATTATCACTTAATTTTCTTTAGTGAAATATGTTTGACTTTTAGTTATTTTTTGGTGTTTAATTTTTTTTATTTTTTATTATTTTTTTATTTTAGTTTTTTATGCTGTCACAATTTGGACATGAAGGAATGAATTATATTTATGATCCCTTCATTATTCGGTATGTCACTTATGTGATTTCATTATCTTTTTCAAGTTCAAGTATGTTTTAAATTATTTTTTTTAGACTATTCATAAAGCAGGGTCTTTCGAATTGATAAATATTTTGAACAAACTCTTCTTAAGATTTTTGTTAAATTAAATTGTCTTGCTTAAAAGATGTTTAGGAAGGATCTCGCAGTTGCTAAAAGGAAGGAATAATTAATGTTTAAGGTGACTGTTTAGCTTGCTTGATTGGTTAATTAGGTTAAGATATTAGTTGTTTTAACTAAACGGTAGGAAGTTAATGCTTTGTAGGGCTGCTTTACTTTAATTTACCATTTGAATTTTCTTCATAAGTTAGATCCTATGGGATATGATTTAAAGTCTGAATGGTATTTTAGATAGTCTATTACATTTCTGTTTGATTTTTTATGTCCGATTTGCTAATATTTATAAAACTTTTAGGGATTTAATTTGCTAATTAAATTTTATTGCTACTTATTCCTTCATTTAAGACAAGTTCGTTTGCTGAATACTTGTAATTGCTTAATGTTGAATTAGAATTCAAGTTTAACCCGAAATGTATATTGCTAGACAAGCTTTTAATAGCAGCCTTTCTGTACCCTAAAAGAGCAGGAGATTAGGAAAAAGAGTTACGAGATGAATTGTTTTATGTTTATTTACTTTAATTTTTTATTATTTCTTATTTTTATTTAAATTCCAAAAGATTTTCATTATTAATATGATTTTCAGTTAATTGTTAATTTTTAAGATCATTAAAGGTGTGCTTTGTTTTATCTGTATTTGATGTTGTTGAAACTAATTTAAAATTAGATGTTGGATATTTTTAGCTTATTGTATCATGATGAAAAAATGATTTTATCAATTCCCTTTTCTTGTCTGATTCATAAAACTCAATTATTTACACATAAGTTGTTTCTAAAAGATACCTAAGCTCTTGCACTTACTTTTGATGTGCATCTTCACTGAATTTTTGAAATCCTTTCTTTTTTTAATAATTACTTAAATTTCTTCTTTTTAAATTTTAGAGAGCTTTTGACTCAATTAATTTTTGAGATAAAAATGGCATTGCTTAACATTCTAGAGCTAAGGCATCATTACTAGTTGACTTAAAAATCTTTATACTATCAGAGTTCAGATATGATATTTTGGTGTCAATATACTTTTGTGTGTTGTTAAATAAATATTGATCTTTTCCATCTAAAAAAGCATTTTATGAAGAAGCCAATAGATCTATCAAATTGTTAGAATGGTGAATTATATTTAGATCTTTATCCAAGCTGATTATAGGATAAGTATCTGCTATTGGGACTTACTAGACCTGCTATAAAAAAGTATTCTTGTGAAACTAAAACTTTTCATTCTTTGCTATATCTGAGAGTTTCTTATCACAATCTAATAAAAAAGGAAAATTAGGAGTAGATTTCATTGTTTTTTATTATTTATTTTAAACATTTAATTAGAAACGATCTGAAAGTTAACCTTATTAAGGCTTTTAATTATTTATTATGTTGAAATTTATATGCCTTTAGCTATTTAAAGGAGGAGATCCTTTTAATGAGCTTGTATTTAAAATATTTGCACAATTTTTTTCCATGTTAAATGTGAGATAGCTTTAAATTTTAAATCCATCACTTTATAGCATTTTACTATTTCCTTGCTTTGCAGTAATATCTGCTATAGATACGTCATCTTTAAATTAAAAAGGATTGTTATTATTATCTTTACTTCCTATTTTGTCTATCAAAAATGGATTCTTTAATTACTTTGAAATATTTTTTTTATGAATTTATGATGTAGATGCAAAAAAATTATTTTGGCTTTGAGAAGCATCCATGGAAATGCTTAAGCTATGCTAAGAATTATTTCTAATTGAGTTTAGCTTATTAGCTTAAATATTATTCTTGTCAGTTGAATCCTATTTCTATTTGCTCTTTCTATTTTTTAAAATATTATTTGCTTACTAACGTAAATCATTCATATCTAAATTATGTAAAGTGTACAATCCCTAAGTTATTGTTTAGATGTTGCTTTATTTATCGCTATTCTTATTTTAATTTGTTTACATGTTTTGAGTTTTTTCTTTTTTAATAAGATTGTATAAAACTTCTTCTTCCTTCTGACTGAGAGTTGTACAATCCTTCAGTTAGTTCTTTTTATACTTGGTATTAAAACATATGAATGGCAAAGAAATTGTGAATATTATTAAAATAATTTATCCTATCCCATAATAAAAGCATTCAGAAGTTTCGAGCATGGCTAAGACTATGCTCTCAAAGAGCATTAAAAATAAAAACCAGTTTTAAAGATAGTTTTTTATAATAGTTTATCTTAATGAGAAGTAGTATAAAAAAATAGCTGTAATATCAAATGTTAGCCACTAAATTGATTAAAGTTAATCTTAAAGATAAAGAATCCAAAATAAATAATATAAGACATTAAATAGCTAGAGAAGCAGAGTAATATTATATAAAACGATTTATCCATCCTTGTAGCGCTAATAATTTTAACTACAAAGAAGAGTAATTAAGGATATAAATATATAACCAAGTGAGAAAAAAGTTATTCCAATATACATGTGCACTCTATTATATCCATTATCTTAATTGTTAAAAATGCTCTGTTAATCTGTAGTTTTTTTAAAAATAATTTTAAATTGAAAATGATATTTACAATATAAGTTACTTAAATATTATACTGCGCATAAATGAGCTATTTAAATTAGCAAAACAAGATTATCTAAAAGAGAAGGAATATATTCTAATTATGATTCACAAATTACGTTTAAAAAGAAATCATTTCCTTAATAAATAAATTAATGCTTTAAAGTTTTCTGCTTTATGGTGATAATTTCTTTATCTATTTAATCCTAATAACTATTTTATTCATTGATATTTATTTATAGGTTGCCATTCGCAGTTTAAGATGGTATCCAATTTTATTGAATTTCCATTTTCACTCAAAAAATAAATTATCTTTTTTTAAGAAACTCAAGAATACTCAAAAGAGAAAGTTAATACAACTATAAATGTTTATTTATTATTTACTTTTTCAAATAAAAAGTTATTTGATTTTTTTTAATAATTTTGCTTATCAAGCAAGATAGATAGATAGACGATTATCATAATTCTTTGAAGTAAATTAAATAATTATTTGATGAACAAGTGAAAATTTAAAATAACAAAATTAAGATTTCAATTTTTGTCTGATTTATCTGAAACAAAAGAAAATAGTAGATGAGCATAACAATCACAAGATTATTTATTATAATTTCAAAATACTAAATTTACAAATAGTTTTTTTTTAACGTTAAAATAATATTCTAAACAAAGTAAGTTTTTTTATAAATTTTTTAATATTACTGTTTTATGAAGTATTTTAAGTGCAGATGATAAAAAACTAAGCTCATTTTTTCTTATTTAGATTTTCTATAATATTTAAATATAAGACATTATAAGCCTTACTAACTATCTTATACTGTTTAATTAAATATTCTAATATAGAAAGATTTTATTTCCTTTTTTTTGTAAAACAAACTTTTAATCATAAAATTGGATTACAAAAGTACCATATTTATTTAATTTATTATGTTAATCACTATTTGTCATTTTTAAAAAAATATCTTACGTTATCTGCTTAATTACTTAATAGAGTAATTTTTTACATATATTTTTTCTTATTTCAGAAATAATTAAAAAATTAAGTTAGCAAATTTTAGATAATTAATTTGTTGTGAATTTGATTAAATTAAAAAGAAGGAAAATTTGATATTTATTGAAGAAAAAGAAATTTAAAAACAAAAAAACTCAATTAAGATTGCATCAATTGATCAATTGTTCAGTTTAAGCTAAAAGAAAATTTAAATATTATAACCTAATAGAGTATTTAAAAACAATATTTTTATTTAATTCTACATAAATATTAGATGACTACTTCTATTTATACAAATAAAAAATATTTACTAAATAATAGCTTTAAATTGGAATGGCTACTTTCTGAAACTATTTTATTTAGTTTAATAAATATAAAAATAATATGATTTATTTTTAAGTAATGCTTTGAATAAATAATAATTTTGTTTAAAAATGAAGAAAATAAAAAATTCTATTAAAATTCATAAATTTTGGCTAATTTTGCTCTATTTTAACTAAAAATCCATAATTTGCTTAATTAATATCTGTATTTAAATAACTTATTTATATAACTAAAAAACTTAATTAAATATTCCAGTTATAATTCTAAAGTTACTCACCTATTTATATGTTAATAGAGATAAATAAGAAGTAGGAATGCGAATATAATCTAATATAATATTCATTTTTTTCATCGCAGGATAAAATTTTCATCTCTTTAATTAGATCTGAAATAATTCTATTTTTTTTCATAAGCAAAATTATCATTCTTTTATTTTTTAGAAATATGATTGACTAATGCTATCTTGCTTAATGCTAAAAAAATAGATTTACTATAGTAAAAATCTATAATTTTTAAAGCTTATAATTGTTAAAAATAAATTAATACCATAGTACTTGGTATGTAATGAGTTTTTAAACTATTTAGCAAAGCAGCATTAGCATATATTAATTTTATTTGGCAATTTTTAATTTCAAATCATAAAAAAATATGTGTTCAAATAGTAAAGAATGAGCAAAAAAAATTGGACTAATATTTATAATGATAAAAAATAGATTTAAAAATAATAAATTTGAATTAATTGCTGTATTTAAATATAATAGAAATGAATACAACAGAAAAAAAAAAAATTTCAAATGTCTTAATTGAATTTTCCTAAATTATCTATTCTATATTATATAATATAAATACTTACCTTATAAAATTAGTAAATAAACAAAAATTATTTAATATATTCAATTATTAAATATTAAACTATTCTAATTCTCATTCTAAAAATAGCTTTTGATTCCCTAAATATAAATATTAGTTCTTTAAAATAAATTATAAATAAAAAATACATCCAAAAACACTAGATTCAATTTTATTTATTAAAAAGAAAGCTGAATGAAGATGTTCATATACAAATATTTTCTTTAAAATATATTGTGAATGCTTATACAGATGTCATCAGAGAAAAAAGATCTAAAATTAAATATTGAATTTATACATACACATTCATCCTATTTATTTTAGTATTTATTTAGATAATTAAAAAGATATTTATTATATAAATAACATATCTATCTATCAATCAATCTATTTCAATTCATTCATTAATATTTAATTTTTTTTGTTTGAAAAGCAAGAATATATAAATAACTCAAACATGATTTATAGTTTTTTTATTCAATAAGGCTTGATTCCGTTCTATAAATATTTTAATAATAATTGTCAATTTAATAATTGTTAAATTACTTCGCACGTAATCAGATCAGTCAAATATCACTCTATATCAAAATTTTATTTATTATTAAGATAACTTCGAATGAAAGATATGACCCAGTTAAGCTTCTAGATATTTCAACATCCTGCAAATTTATTTTCTATCCCTATCAAAAATTGCTATAAAAAATATCAGTTTGGCAAACAATTTTAATAAAAAAAAGTAAATAAAAACAAATTAATTTTTAATATAGCAAAAAAAAAAAGTAGAAAGCAAACAAACACTAAAAGAAATGGAACACCAAATCATCACCTAAAACGTCTACGCTCCTGATACTGAAGCCAAGCTTGATGTTGCTAGAAAGCTTTTTGCTTAGTTTGATTCTAACAAGAACGGTACTTTAGATCCTAGCGAAGTTGCTGGACTCATCAAGACTACTTTTGAAAATATGGGTGTTAAGGACTACAGCGTCACTGCTGATGATGTCAAGCTTTACATGAAGAGTGTTGATGTTGATAACAACGGTCTTGTTTCCTACTCTGAATACGAAGAATACGTCATTGCTTGCCTCAAGAAAGCTGGCTTCGACTGTGAAGTTAAGGAAAAGGTAAAAAGATCTGCCAAAAAGAGAGACGCTGCTACTGAAATGAAGTTGGACGTTGCCAGAAGACTCTTCGCTAAGTACGACTCTGATAAGAGTGGTTAATTAGAAGAAAAGGAAGTTTATGGTGTCATTACTGAAACCTATAAGCAAATGGGTATGGATTACAAGCCCACTGAAGCTGATGTTAAGCTTTGGATGTCCATGACTGATACTGATAAGAATGGAACTGTCTCTATTGTTGAATATGAAGATTTCGTCATTTCTGGTCTTAAGAAGGCTGGTTTCATGGTCAAGGAATTCACTCAAGCTTGATCTTATTTTAATAAACATATTTCAAATAAAAATTGAACTGTATTTGTGTATTTCATGTCATTTCTTAAAATTTTAAATGATTTTTTTAATATCGTTTCTTAAATTTCACCAAAAAATTGTACTGATTAAAAAAAAAATCAGATTAGAATTAGAACAAAAAACAAAATTATCAAAAGATATTTATTTATTAATTTTCAAACAATAAAAAATAAACACTCTATCTAATCTAAATTCCCAACAAGTAAATTAAAAACTATCTTTGCCTTAATTATATGAGCTAGAACTATCATAAATACCAGTATATTAAAGGAAATTAGTTTTTTATCAAGTCCTAGCTTTTAAAATATAAAAATCTATTTACGATTTCATTTTCATATCTTTTATTAGCCTGATTATTTATTTATTTACTAACAAAAACCTTTTATCCTTATTTAATTTAAAAACGATATTAAAAATATTCATTTTCGTTAACCAAAACACAACACAATATTTTTTTCTTAAAATATACTGATTTTTTTTAGAAATTTAATAAAGATTTTGATTTGTTTTTTTTTACACGTTTTTTAAAATAATAATTAAAAATAATTGTCGATTCGAGCGCATATTAGCCACACTATTATTTTTTTAATTTACTCAACTATTCAAAGTACTTTTACAAAATTAAAAGGACTTTTGATACTATCTAATATTACTAAATTAATTAGTTTATATAATACTCGCATGAATTTGTACTTTTACTTCATCACCAAATATCTTTATAACAAACTATCTTTTGAAAACACTACTTAAAAAATTATATATAAATTTTAAATATTTTAACATTTATTATTCATCAAATAACTCTCTCAAATATACTATTTTCATAAAAATTAAAACAACTGGTCTTCAACATTTTTATTATTTCAAAAGCTTTGCATTTAAAAATGTTCAAAAAATTATATTCAGATAAAATTCGATGTAACTTTGCATATTGATTTTTGCTACTTATTTACATAAAAATTATTCCAAACATACATACATAAATTATCTTCTGTTATTTTTAGTATCTCAAATAAACTCCAAAAAAAAAAATTATGTTTTCAAATTAATTAGAATAATAAACACTTTTAGATTCATTTTATTTTCTAAAAAAATATAAAATTTTATAAGAGTTAATTCAAAATAACAGATAGGTTATTAGAATAAAAGTTAATTTAATTTAAAAAACAAAAAATTTTAGTAAATAATTAGAAATTAAATCGATTTTAAAATTTAATTTAAAAAACAGTCTACAGTAAATTATTTAGGTGTCAGATTTTCTTTTTTTAAATGGATATTAGATTATTTTTAAGCATTAAAAAACAAGATATACTGAATCAAATTATTATCTTTATTTTTAACCCATAAATTTTTTATAACAATTAACTTTTTATTTTTTTAATTTTTAATCCTTTTACAAACATTTTTTATTTATTTGATTTTTGTTAAGTAAAACAGTTAATATTTGTGGTGGATATTATTCTGGTTATCCCTTTTTTAATGATCTTTTAACTCATTTTGTTATTATGGAAGTAAGTAATGCTTAAGGCTTAAGAGTTTATTTATACGTAAATGTAAACATTCTTAAATATACCTCAAATAAGGAGAAGATTGTTAGAAAAAAATCCAATAAACTAATTATTAATCTTTTGTTTTAAATTATTGTCAATATTCGATCACTTGCATATTATCATCAAATTGTTTATAGAGTAGTCAATTAACCTTTTTTAAAAAAGTTAAAAACTTGATTTATTGAAATATAATATTCGCCCTTCATTCTATTAGTTAATTTTCAACAAGAAAAAATATAGTAATTTAAGAGAATAGCTTAATTTTAAGTAAATTTAAAGAAAAAGTATAAAATATTGATAAGCAAAATCAATTCGCTTAAAACAATAAGTTTAATTTATAAAGAGAGAGTGATAAAATACATAATTAAAAAGGAGTACTTCAACCCATTAACATAAAGAAGCTGTAGTCTTTGCTTAGATTTTCACTAGTATGAATTAGGCTGAAGAAGAAAGTAATACAAACAGTGTTTTTATAGATATAGATTCTCAGTAGCAAAGTAAAGGCTAACCAAATTCCAATCAAGCATAAGTTTTATCATCAACATGTAATAAATAAATATAAATAACTATTTACCTATATAAATTGAAGCAAAAGTTAGCAATTAAGTATTTAAAATAAGTTAGGAAGAACTTAATTTTTATATTATAATAAAGAAGCTTAAGACGTAAGCCAGATTGTTGACTCATAATAAGATAAATATTTTAATATAAATTATACCGAAGCAAATAATTTGCAGAGCCTAGATGAAATCATGAATTTCTGCAATTCATCTAAGGCTCGCTCTTCATCTATTACAGTTGATTAGAAGGATTTGGGATCATTATCAGGAAAACATTTGAAGGATAAAGATGAAATTTTATCAAATTTTTCATTATTTCCTAAATTGAATATAGAGAAAATATAAATATCGTAGAGTTATTCATACTCAGATAGGACCATAGATGCTTCTAACAAAAATTAGGATTAGGATTAGTTAGGTGATAACTTTTTAATGGAAAATAAAGCTAGTAAGACAGAATATAAAGGATGTGAACAATTATAGTAAGAATTTTAAAAAAATGAATTTGAAATGAATGAGGAATAAAATGCTACTTTTTAAGGGGATAGTTAAGAATTAACAAGCATTTAACATAAAAATCAAAGCATACCTCCTTTACATGAAAATAGGATGGCAAAGTTAAAAAATAGGATGAATTTAAATATTTAGCCTTAAGCAGCAAAATCTGGAGATTTGTAATAAGGGAGCAATCAAAAAGAAAAAGCTAATTTTTCTTCACCAATTAATGAAATACAAAGCGATAACTCCTCTTCTAGCAACCAAAAAGACAAACTTAATATTGAAGAATTAATGCAAGAAAACAAAAAACATAATTTAATATTAGATATCAAGAATAAAATGCACAATCAAAATTAGGATTAAGATGAGGCTGAGGAACTTGTGTAAAATGATGAGTAAATTTTTTTAAAAGATTTTCAAGCAATTTACTATGACTAATTTAGCAATATTTTCAAAAACTATTTATGTTTTAATTTTATTAGAATAGAAAATATTGATTGATTTCAGATATAGCTGTTAAAATAAAATTAATTTTAAATGTTATCTGATAATATATTTATTATCAATAAATCAATTAAAATATTCATCTATCTATATATCTATTATTTATACTTACTAGATCTATTCATTTTACTTTAAATATTTTTATTATAGATTTACAAAGATGTTTTAGTCTAATTGCCCAATTAAATCTCCAACTCTACCAAAGCCCAAAAAAAAATTAGATTAATCTTAGCATAAGATGAACTCCTCACTTGAAATTTCAACAGAAAGAAAATAAAATTCATCTTCTAGTACAATTAAAGAAGATCTCTCTATTAAAGGCGAAATAAATTCTTAATTGAGCAAGCAAACATTAGAATCTGATATATAAAACTATTGCCAAACAAACAATAATAATTAAGAAGCACCATAAATCCAAAGTTTATCCTAAGTAGATAAAATTCCCAATACTCATGACAATAATTAAGGTATATAGCTAAGTTTTATAGCAGATATAAAGTCTGTAAGGAATTCCAAGGTAAATGCTTTTAGATCAAGACTAACTTTGAGCTAACATGAAGCAGATAATGAAGAATTCAGAAAGAAAAGTTCAACTATTTCTGTAGATCTATTGTAAATGCAAGAGCCAATTTCGATTAAAGATTTATAAAAGAACTATTCCTCTCACACTACAGAAACTCCTTTGACAAATAAAAAAAATCTTTAAGTAAATTAAAAGAGACAATCATATTCTAAATCTTTCAAATCTGATTTTCAAATTGATGAGACAAATGATGAGTATAAAGACGTAGAATAATCACAAATTCACTAGCAGTAAATGAATAACGAGGTAGTTACTTCTCTTGAAAAGACTGTTTCCAGAAGATTTGAAAGGAAAGATCTTAGAATAAAAGTAAATCCTGTTAAGGACCAAGAAAAAGAAGACGTCTGGGATTCGTAAATTATTTAAATAAACCTTACTTCCATAAATAATATTCAATATAAATTCTATAAAAGATTCTAATTATTAAATAGATATTGATTTTTAATAATTTTACTAAAGATTGATATAAATTATTTAGTAACTTTTGTAATTAATCAATTGATATTTAAAAGAAGTTATTAATGTTATTTATTCATTTATTAATAAAACAATTCTTTTAGGGATGACTTAACTTCTAATGACTAGAATGCATAAGAAGAACCTATTGTTACAAAGGCAAAATAAGGGAGTCATAAGTTTGAAGATATTTATTATCTGCTAAACGGTAAACCTTTGGGAGAAGGTACGAGTGGTTGTGTTTATCAATGCAAAAAGCTTAATTAAGAAGATGAGACTGTGTATGCAGTCAAAGTTATGAGAAATGTAGATGAAGAGATGAGCAAAAGTATTTTCTAAACATTTGGAATACAGTATCGCCTTTAACACGAATACATCTCTAGAGTGTATGAAGTTTACTTCAACGAGGATAACTAAACTGTTCACTATGTTATGGATTTTATACCATTTAGGACACTTGATTCTGTAGTTAAAGATAAAAGAAGAAACATGAAAGAAACTGAAGCAAGCGGTATTATTTAAAAACTTTTAAAAGCTGTTATGTATATGGAACAAAGAGGTGTCTGTCACCGTGATTTAAAACCTGAAAATATACTTATCTCTGAAGATTTATAGTAACTTAAAATTATTGATTTTGGCATTAGCAAATCTTTTGTCAAGTCATAGCGAGTACAGCATATTACTTAATACTATAAGCATAAGATGTATACACCTACTGGAACTCCTCATTATAAAGCTCCGGAGATACTACTTGGAGCTGGATATACATAATTAGTTGATATGTGGGCAGTTGGAATTATTGCATATCAATTAATTGCTAAAGGAAAGCATCCTTTTAAGTGTGATTCAAATTAGGAATAAGATGCAAGAATTATGAAGTATTAGTTTGATTAAACAGACGAAGGATGGGTAAATGCTTCTTCTAATGCAAAAAATTTTATAAAATCTTTACTACGACCAAATCGTATGCCAGCTTTTGAGGCTCTTAAGCACCCTTGGATTGAATAAAGAAAAATTGAAGTTCCTGCTGATGATGATAACCACTCCTCAAACAAGTAAGAGAAAAAGCCTATAAATGATAATATGACTATTTCTGTTCCAACACTTTTCTTATAAAAGCAATTTAATCATTTTGGAATTACTGTGACAAACAGCGAATAACGTTAGAGGAGCGGGTTTTTGAAGAGAGCAAATTAGGGAGAAAACTATGATGATTCTATTCCTCTTAGGGCATGTAATACAATTTAATCAACTAATGAATTTGATCTTGAAGTATCAGGAAATAGCAATATATAAATTAGCAATTATGGAATTCAAAGCCAAAATTAAAATAATAATGTTAATGAATAGTAAAATTTAAGTCATGGAAAGCTATAAATACAAATTTAAGGTTTGAATAATAATTTAAATAGCTCAGAATAAGTAACTCCTGTTTTAGGTAAAAAAAAGCACAATATACAAGGTTTTGCATCTACTTAAGATGTTGTTCATGTAGTCATGAGACAGAAGCTTAGTGAAAGCAAAGAAAAAATGATGTAATTTTTTTTAAAGGCAAATGCTATTATAAAAAGTTTGGAAGAAGAAAAGTTGCAACAATAAAATTCTCTAAAACGTACTCACTCAGCAGAAAAACAGAGCGATTCTCCTCAATCACCTGAAGAGGTTTATAGTAAACCCTTGCTAAACAATAGCATTAATCAAGGGATGCAGGCATTCAGCATTTACAAAAATAACTCTATTGGATTCAATCCATAGAAAGATGATCCTGTAGCTTTGAATAGCAGTGGCTTTGAACAGAATTAACAGTCTATTTTTATGCCATAATAAATAATACAATAATAGAATTATACTTAAGGTTCTATTGATGAGTAAACACGAAACAAAATTAAATTAAATAATAGTTTTGCAGGATAGCAAAACCTATAAAATATACTAAGCAAAGGAGCTCAAAGCAGCTTATAATCTCTTGGAAAGAATACTTCCATAAATGAAGGAAATAGTTCTATGCAAATTAATTAGTCAATGAATAATGCTATGATCTACTCGACATCTGATTTCAGTAATATGAAATTCTCTAGTTTAATGTCAAGGAAGACAACTAATATTAATAAAAAGGGAATAATCGAGAAAAGGTATGTCCGTCGTAATAGTCAACAACAGACTAATTGCATGGAAAAAAGTATAATCTTTACTAAGGAAGTAATTGGTGAACTATAAAAAGACCCTGCGATATAGGAAACTATTGAGTAGTAACAAATACTTTTAAATTCTACCTTACCATTTACAATAGGCTAATCTATCTCTAATAGCGAAGGCTAAAATAATGAGCAGTAACAAATGACTGATAGCATTCAGCTAAAGAATTTTAACCCAAATTACTATGGTAATTAGAATATAAAACGCTTTAGTAGTTATGCTCGCAATTAACAGTAAAATTTAAATAATGCACAACTCTAACAAAACTCAGCATCATAGAGTATTAACTAATAGATTAGGTTATCTATGAACACTTCAAGACCAATAGACATATTTTCTAAGGGCATAGACAGGGTTATGAACGAAGAAGAAATTTAAAAAGAAAAGGAAAAATGGAATTTAATTCAAAATAATATGGATTAAAAAAGTGATAGTAGTAGTGGTGATGATGATAGTGATGGTGATAGGGATGATAGCTCGGATGGAAATAATAATGATTCAAATTCCTCTTGCATGAATCATTAAAGTGGAGACAACACATTTATAACTGACATTACCAAATTTATGATTTTAAATCCAAACCAAAATAATTAATTTAATTAAAGTGAAGTTTAAAAGAATAAAAAGGATGAATCCTCCTCTTAAGTAAACTAACAAGAACAAACTTAGGCTTAGGCAACAAATCCAGAAAATTAAAACCAAAAAAATGAAAACTTAAATTTAATTGTCAATAAAATAAATGGTGACACTTCCTCTTTAAGCAACATAGGCAGCGAAGAATAAAAAGATTAAGAAAAAAAAAGTTTATCACAATCTCCTATTAATAGTTAAAATTAATCGAAAAATAATTCATAAAATCAGTAAGGAGGAATATTTTAGAGCGCCCCTTATACTAATTATATGAACAGTAGTAAGGATGATAAAATAAATTAAACTTTACTAAGCATTTAAAACCCAAATAGCAGCAATGTACTCTAACCTGCAGCTGTCCTTACTACAAATGGTGGTATAGCCACTAAAGAGAATATATCAAGTAATAGCTCACTTTCTGGTAAAGTAGAAAATTAACCAAACAAAATAAAAAATTAGAATAATTAAGATGAGAAATAATAAAATTAATAAGTATTAAAAGATTCTATGAATAGCAGCTAATAAAACCAGAACAATTTACTTTCATGTGTTAACTGCAACTAGTCTAATTTAAATTGCAGTAACTGTGAAAATTAATTTAAGATAGACACAATTCTAGAAACACATGTACCAGACGTGACTACTTCTCAAAAAATAAATTCAAACCTTAATTAAAACGTCTTTACAAATTAATAACTAAATTAAAAAAGATAAATTGATACTTCATAAATTATCGATGAAAAAGTATTAAAACAAAAATAAAATTAAGCAGAAACTAGCATACTTGAGTCGTCAGCTTGCAATAATTTAAGTTTTATTGAAATGAATAACTCAAATATATTTGCAAGTCCTTATAATTAATATGAAGATTTTTTAAACACTTCATTAAAAAAAAATACTAACTTGTTGAGTATGAATGTTAGTTAGGCTTCAAGTATAAATGCAAATATTTCTCTTAGCGGAAGTGCAAATAGTGGAAATACAATTCGTTCACTTCATGCTATGACAAATGCAAATAATAATCAGCACGGAAATAGTAATAACACAAATAGTGATTGTGGTAGTATTCACCTTTAATAAGTAAATTAAAAAGATAAATCAAACTCTTCGAAATTTAAGTAGTCTGATTATATTAACAACTCCCAATTTAAGAAACCACACAATAAATTTGATTTAGATATGTCCGAGTCGCAATCATATACTCCTTAAGAAAATCCATTATAGACTAGTATTTAAAGATAAATATTAGATTCAGGATTAAATACTAGTAATGAAGTAACTCCTTCTAAACTAATAAATGGTTTAAGTGAAGATATTCCTTAAAACTCCTTAAATTTGGCTTAATAAAATGTTTAATCATTCAATTCAGGGCATAGTGAACATAGTAAAGAATCTAGCTAAGGTAGCAAGAATCAACAAATTTAATAAAATTCACATTTAATGGAAGATTAAAATATAGCAGGTCCTCCACCAATTTCGCCAAATAAGAAGAATTTAAGCTAATAAATAGATGCCAAAGATGACTCTTAAAGTGATAAAAGCAGTTTTAAATACTCAAATTAATCAGGAAATAATAGTTTAGATGGCTAATAAAAGCAGCAAGATTTATAAAGAGAACAGTAAAACACACTTAATTCTAAATTAAATTAAAAATATAAGTACTTAAATTCTAATTATTCAACCATAACAGAAGAATCTGATATTAAAAGTTGTTTGTCCTCTTCAATAGCATAAAGTTAAAAAATTGGATTAGAATTTGAGTCTACTAACTTATCAATAGGTTAACATTTTAATAAATAAAACTATACTAGATCGATGACTTAAATGGTATAAAGTAACTCAGAAAAAAACGAAAACAGTTAAAATAATTATAGTGGATAAAATAATATAGCAAGCTCTACTTCAACCATATCTACTAACCAGTGTAATATTACAACAAATCTTTAACTAAAGGAGTTAAAATAAAGGCAAGACAACAATAACCAAGCTGGTTAATCGCTAGATGAATTTGATTCAAATGATGATTTAGAATAACAACATAATAATGAAACCAAAAGTTAATTATTAGATAGTAACAACTCTTAAAAAAAGCTGAATTCTTCATCGTTTAAAAACTCAGGATTTTAAAAAATGAGCTCATAATAAGGTACAAAATCAAGTCCTCATTTTAATAACACAAAGAACTTAGTTTCTAATTAACTCGATGAAGTTTTCGGATAAATGTAAAATTCCTCATCGTTTATGAAATAAGAAGAAGAATTCGATATAAATGTAGGCAAGCAAATTGACAGAAGCAAATCTCCATTTAATTCAAAATCACATCCAGCTCTATCACCAAATAACAAGTAAATATCTAGTTTACAAAATAGTAGCGAAATTGAATAATTACCTTCATTATTTAGTGAATAACCTCCAATATTAAAACATAGAAGCAGCAGTAGATTGTTAGAAATGTCTGTTGGGCTTCAATAAGTAACTCAATCAAGAGATTTATCAGATGATCACAACGAAGTAAAAAATGAAAGCTCCTAAAAACCATAATTTTATAATTAAGATTTACACAAAATAGAGGTAATCCCTGAATTAAAATATGATGAAGGGGAAGTTGATAATTCTAACTCAGATAATGCAGATTTAAATAATGAAAAGAAAATAGATGAATAAATTAATGAATGAATATATAAAACTTGGAATTCAAAAGGATCTATCTACTAGTTATAAAAATTAGTTAGGATCCTAAAAACACTATCTTATAAACTAAAACATTTTTGATATAACTTTTTAATAAAATTATTCATGTTAAAATAGAAGAATAGAATCAAATAATAATTATTTCTAATTATCCAAAATTTTAATAATAAATAATAAAATAAATAATTTTAAGAACAGATTAAATCAGTTTTTAATTCATATTTATTGTAGTTAATAAAATATATTTTACTTGTTTTTTAATAAATTAAATATTTTAAAATGTAAGCAATTCTAATTTTGCTCTTCATACATATTTTCATTAGTAAAATTACACATATTATTATTAATAGTAGTAGAGAAGATATTTTTTGTTTTTGTATGCAATAAATTCAAGCAATTCTTCTACTAACATTAATTAATCAATTTTTTTAGTTTCAAAAGAACTGAAAAACCACAATAAACAATTAAAGTCAAAAGTTGGAATTAAGTTAAATATAATTATAATTATAGTATGTTAAAAATTATAATATTAAATTAATTTTTCATTTAAAATTTTTATAATCACACAGAAAATTTGTTTACAAAAAAGAAATTTAATTCTTCCTTGAAAATGAGAGTAAACAAAATTATTTAATTGATTTGATCTATCTTGAATAAATTGATAAATTTTGTATTTTTAGATGTTGAGCTATTTTATTCAAGTAAGATCATATTAAAAATTAAAAATATTTCTAAAATGATTTTTTTTTGCAAATCTGAATTTTAAAAGCTAATAAATAGATTAGCTTTGTTAGATTCTCTTTTTTTTATAAAGTTAGTTTAATAAGAACTTCAATTAAATCATATATTTATCATGTTATCAAATGTATAAAAAATGAAAGTCTTCAAACTATTAAATTATTAATTGAAATTGTAGATTTAGAGTAATTATTTATTATTAGATTCTCTAAATACTAACAAATTTTAAAGAAAAGTAGTTCAATCTAAAAATCAATAACTAATATTAATATTAACAATTTTAATAAATATCAAATTTTATAATGTTTAATTCAATGACAAAAGAAATTAGATTTTTAAAGAAGCTATTAATAGTGATAATATCTTTATCATTAACAAGAGGAGATCTTTCATGCAAAGGAATATACTAATAAGATGTTGCATTCTATGTTATCTAATCTATGCCTTACGACGTTTAAGTAAAAGAACAAATATATTTTGGTTACACCGATGATCAAAATTTAAGATCTACTTTTAATTACTCTCCATAAAATCTACTTTTTAATTCTTCCTCACCAATATCTCTTTTAATTTCATAAATAAATGATGATCCATCAATAAAGTTTATTTAATGGGATAATAATTAAGGAAAGAGTAGCCTTTCTTCTTTTTCTAAAGGTTTAGTTGCTATTTAAGAAGAATCAGAACATGGTAAAATTATTTATCTTATTTTTTATAAATTCTTTTATACTTCAATTTGTATTAACACTTTTTTAATAAAAAATTTACAAAATAAATAATTAATTCTTAATAGGATTGTTTTTTGGGTATAGCATGAATAACTTTTTGAAAATTAATAAATCTAAAATTGAAATGAATCTCAATCAATAAGATCAAATGTTTGGCTAATAATTCTTTTGTATTTCTCTAGACTTAGAAAATTTAGAAAAATTAGCAGAAAATTTGTTGATTACAAAAATTAATGTTTAATTTAGTAATATATCCTCTTAATTAAAATTTAAAAATCTCTCTAGACTTCAAAATTATTTAAATATTCACTATCCACTCGATTACAAAACAGTTGATTTGAATTTAATAAATTCAGAAGTAATTGTTAAAATGATCACTTAAAATTATTGGATTTATTATAACACCAATATATCATCTGATTTTGAATCATTGACTATAGATGATTAAATATCTGCAATATTAAATTGTGATATTCTTTTTAAAAACTCTAAGCCATCTGTAAATTAATGCTAACCTCATTATACTTCTGAGACTATCTTAACTATTCAACATAAAAATTATAAATTAGACTCAAAATAAGATAAATCAAAATGGATCCTTTGTAAAAATAATAATCAAAATACAACACCTTTTATCTGTTTAAGTGATTTAGATAATTACACACCACGCTACTTTCATGGTGGTAACCTATTCTGCTTTAAGAGCAAATAACTTCATTAATTATATTCTAATATGATCTCATCAATCAATTTTTGTACTTTAGACGATATACTTCATTCAAAACCTAGAGATAATAAATTCACTGAATTATAAAACGAAAATAAAGAAGAAAAAGAAAATCCTTAAAATTATTATTAAGATATCTGATAATAACAATTGCTAATTGCAGATTTTTTATTTGTATTAGAGAGTTAAACAGATAAAGGTTAGACCTATAACTATTTATATTTCTAATTGAAATTAATATAATAATAAATAAACTTAAATAATAGTATTTTATATATTTTTATGTAATTTGTATTTAGTTTATAATAATTTAAATAAATTTTAAAATGTTTATTTACTTTTTATAAAAATTTTATTCTAAAAAAATATTTATTGCTCTTGATTTTATAGATTTCATTAATTAAATGTATTGTCCACATATATATTTAAATTAAAAAATCCCAACCATCGCTTAGTTTGGATAAACTAAAAATATATTATTTTGTTTGAAAGTTTGGAATTAAGAGATAGTTTTAGCTTTGCAAAATTAGGCTATTAATTTTTAATTTGCATGCTCTTTATGCTTATGCAGTACCTTAGTACTATCAATTTTTATGCAATTTCATTATTATAAAAAATAATTTAATTGACGAATAAATATTGGTTATCAGTATTATAGTTCTTATTTCGTTGAAAGAAAACAAGCACTTATTGAAAATAATATATCAAATAATATAAAATCTTTTGTGAGTTGTTTACATTCATTTATTTTATAATTTGTAATCCTAACTTCTAAAAAAAATATAATGTTGATTTGTAAAGACAATAATTGTAATAAAATCAGTTAAAAATTCAAAAGATCTTTAAAAATATTAATTAAGAATAATTAGGGCTATAGCAAACACTCCTATTATTAAATTATTGCAAATATTTATTTTTATAGCTAAAGAAAGTCAAACAAAATTTAGGACATTTTACTAGGTAGGGACTAAATAAATGTAGAATAGTATAACTGCTAATCGGGCTAGAATCAGTATTTACAACTTTCAAAATGAGGTTAATGCTCTTTTACAATAGCAAGAAATGCTAGAAGAAGAAAACAATTAGCTAAAGCAACGATTAAAAACTAAAAATGAAGAATTACTATTAAAAATTACAAACAGTTTGCCTAAAAGCTTTACTGATAACTTCTTAACGGGCTTAAAAAAATAATCTCTACATTTAGATATGGTTGGAGATATAGCCATGAGTAGTATTTTAAATGATTAATTTGAAACTACATGCTCAAAGCAAGCATAATCGGATATTTTATACTTGAGATCTATCATTCAGATTTAAAAAGAAAAATTAAAAACAGCAGAAGCTAAAATAATAGAATTAAATGATTTTGTTCGTTAGCAAGATAGTTTGCTTACATAAACGAAAGAACTACTAAAATCAAAATGTGCTAAAATTTAATTACTTGAAGAATAGCTATAGGAAGAATAAAACCATTTGGTTTGTCTTCCTCTTTAATAACAAGAAATTAAATAACAGTAGTATTAATTTAAGAAGTTTATGGAGACTGAAGAAGAAGAATTTGATTTTGCTCTACAAATCGAAGAATCAAGAAGAAGTTTATTAGAAAGAGGGTTTCAAGGCGATTTGTGCACTCTGTCTCCAAGCGATATTAATGAAACAAAAAAGGAAAATAGCAACTACATGTATCGCTTATAAAATTAAAACAATATTTTGTATAATAAAGACTCTGTAAATTTGTCAAGCAGACTAAGTGCAGAGAGAATTCCAAGTTAAAGAATCCTTTAAAATAATAAAAAAATTCTAAATTAGATAAGTTAATAATAATCAGCTTGTAATTCTAGCAGATTTAAAAGCGATGTGAATAATGATATAAGAAAATCTTATGATAGGAATACAGGTCCCACTAATATTAACGTCTATTAAGTTTCGCCATTTAATTATAACCAGGTTACAAAAACTGAAACAACTCCTCATAAAAGGCAAAATTCAATATCAAATGGGCGAAGGAGATCTAGAGCAGAGAGGTTATAAAAGAGCACAAGTTCGATGATAATTTATACTTCAAATGAGTATAACACATTTAACCCATTAAACTGATCATTTCCACTAATTATAAGCTCAATATTATTGTTAATTAATTAATTAAAACTGTAAATAAATAAATAAATATTTTTGCCTATAAACAATATCTTAGAAAATAGATATATTTTCTTTATCTTAATTTGTAAAATTATTTATAATTAATAACTAAAAATCAACAAAACAAACTCATCTTTAAAATTCATGTTCTTTACTAATATATGTATTTTATTGCCTAATATATTTTTAGATATTTTAACTTTGTTGAATTTTTTAATATATTATGATTGGCCAGTATGTTATTTTTATTTACATTGTTATTTGAATTAAAATTATTAAACTTTTTAAACAAACAAACTCTCAAAATTGAATAGAGTAGATTAAAAATTATAAAAAAAAAAATAATCATTTTGAATTTATAAAATAAGAGAATGAATTTTTAAATTTAATTTTTCAGTTCCATAATTTTGATTTGAAATTATTTACCATTTATTTAATTATTTATTGGGTTAATAAGACATGCTTTTCAATATAAATAAAAACGATATGTGCTTAAAAGATAATTGAAAATGCTACCTTATTATTACTTGCATAAAACAAAGGATTTTAGGAGCTAGGAATATATTGTAAAGCTTTTTATATGCAAGAAAAAGAAAAATAAGATTATACTTACTTATTCACAATACTTTAATAAATAAAAATAGATAACTCTTTCTTGATTTTAATTAGGGATATTTGTTGAAGTTTTTACATTTAAATATAAAGGAAGCTAACCCAAATATCAAATAGTTCAAATGAAAAAGTATAGCCAGGGCAATAAGGAAGTAGCTCGTCCTACTGAGGACCAATCAAATTTAGATGGATAGAATTTAAAATAAAAAGAGGGTACATTAAAAGAAAATCGAAATAGTGCCAAAAAGCAGAAAGATTCAATAAAAGTGAATAATAACACAAGCTAGAGCGAAGGCTAGTATAAAACAAGTTAGGACGAGGATTAATTATAAAATGAGAATATGAATATAGTAACTAAAAACTCTATTTAAAATTATAGCCAATCTTAGAATAATTAGAATTTAACAACTTTAAAATACATTTCTAATTCAGATCCCATTGATATTACTCCAAATGAAATTCATTTCAAGGATATATAAATTAACTAAACATATGAGATTACCTTGTACGTTAGAAACTTAACAAAGAAACCTCGTCGTATTAGAGTATTTTAGCCATAAACCCCACATTTTAGAGCTGATTATGAAATGCAAGGAGCTATCGGAGCTGGTTTGGCAATGAAAGTAACTGTCACATTTGAAACTACTTATTTAGATAACTTCAAAGATGTAATGAAAATTGTGAGTTAAGATAATTTTTCTAAAGAAGTCTTTTTATATGCTTATCAGCCATGTGCTTAGCTGGTTTTTGAACCATTTATTAATTTTGGTAAGATTTTGTTTATATCATGTTAACAAACAATTAAATAATATCAACCAATTTTACTCAGCTATTAAAAGATATAGTTAAACAGATAGATTTGAGATAAATATTATTATTAACTTATTGATAAAGTTACTTTTTTTAAATATCATTTGTTTTACGTTTCCTCATATAAATAAAGTAGATTTATTTTTATTTTGTTGAATTATTACAAAACAGGTTTTGTTAAAGTTTAGCAGCAAAAGTAAGAGAAGATATTTTTCAAAAATGAAGGTTCGGTAGCAGCTAAAGTTGAATTAAAATCAAGTGATCCTGCCGATTTAAAAATAGAACCCCCATTCTTTTCAATACAACCAAAATAGGAATTTGCAGTTACTGCAACTTATGAAAGTTAAGAAGCTGGTTTATTTAGGGGTTTTGTCTATGTAACAACAGAAGCTTAATGTCTTCAGAAAGTAATAGATATTAATGCAACTATAGTCGAGTTTACTTAGTTCTTAATAGATGATAGCGGTAACCAAACAACTTAATTTGACTTTGGTACTTTTTATTATGGTCAGGAAAAAAAAATACATGGTTTTTTGGTAAATAATACTCCTAAAAAGTATAAATACAAAGTTAATTTTAGATTTGGACTTCTATATTCTGCTGAAGATATTGCAAGTTTATAAACACCTAACGAAGTAGGAAGGGAATAAACAGAAAAAATTATGAGTATAGAACCTTCTGAAGGAGTAATAGATAGTTATTCCTAAGTAAAAAATTATTTAGTTGTAATAATACTTTTAAAAATTATCTTCTTAATTATTTATAAAAGCTTCCTATTGTATTTAAGTGTCATTCTTAAGTACATCCAAAGCATTAATTTTGGACTTAATCTTATGCTATTTCAAAAGATGAAATGAATGCTGATGTAGAAGATTATTCTTATTCAGCAATATTTTCATATGATGGCTAATAGTCTAACCCAACTATAATACACGTTACTGGAAGAGGTATTTGCCCTACCATTAAGTTATCTAAAAATCTTATTTAGTATGGAGAATGTAATGTCAATGATTATAAAGATTGTAAATTAGAAATCGAAAATAGAAACAGAGATATCCCAATTTCTATATCTTGCTCTAAAATACCCTACTTTACACTATCTCCAGCAACAGCTGTAATAAACCCTTAATCAAAAGCTGTTTTTGTTGCATCATTTCAGCCAAAAGGTAGTTTAACTTTTTTGTTTTAGAATGAATATTTATCTCTATTAAAAATATAGCTGTTGGAAGTTTCTAAAAAAATATGCAGATATTACTTTTTAATGGAGCTTATAAATTAGATCTTAAAATGCTAGGTAAAGCTTTGGATATATCAGAAAAAACAATAACAAAAAGAGGACCAGAAACTTTGCCTGAAAACTTTGAAAATGAAAGAAAATTCTTAGATGAGGAAAATTTATTTTAAACAAGAACAAAGAAATAAGTAAAAATTTTAATAAAATCAATTTTTTTTACATTATTTTTAATTCAGTATGAGGATAGAATTAATGAAATCCCTGACTGGGTAGTAAATAATAAAGACCCTACTGTTATGGACTCTTACATGAATAGCAAAAAATACGATGATGTCTTAAGAGAGCACCGCAAAGAACGTCTTCAGAAAGAAAAGGACAAAATCGTTGCAGCAAAATATGAAGAAATGATTGAAAAACTAAAGTAATTAGGCTTAGCTCCTGATCAAGATGGATAAAATTAAGGTGCAGAATCAGACGAAGAAGGAAAGGGTGGTAAATTTGCAGATGCTCCAATTGATTATGCTTACGAAGTTGGAATGATATAAAATAGGCTAGATACACCTGAGTTACCTCTTCCTATTTCAAATGAGCCTTTGTATGTTAATAAGCCTATTGGTAAATATGAACCATATGCATAAAATGTAAGAGATTTAAGTTGAAAAAATAATTAATAATTAATATCCATTCATTTTTTAATAGTAAGAAAATATGAAGTCATTCAATCCTGATCCAAATGTAATAATAAAGAAAAAATGGCACTCTAAACCTTAAAATCATAAAGAAATAAGAGAAATATCTATGAAACTGTAAGGAGAATAGCTCTAAAAAATATTCGCAGGCCCTGTATTTATTGATTTTGGACCTGTTTATGTTAAATCTACTATTTAAAAAACTTTTACTATTCGAAATGATCTCAGAACAGCCATTTCTTGCAGACTAATTGTACATTATATTTTAATTTTTATAAAATTAATATTAAAAATTTAAATTTAGGTTGATAGCGATGAGCTGTAGGGATCATACTAAACTCTATAAATTATTCCTCCAAGCTAAGTTGCAGGATTTGATGTGGTTTTAAAAAATAATACTCTAGGGTAATTTAGAAATAATGTAAAATATATAATTAATGAATAGCATGCATTTGAATTTTAAGTAATTGCAGATATTCAATTGGTTAAACTTGAGTTATCTAGAGTTTAGATAAAAATGAGTTTCTTTGAAGATAATCATGAAATGATTACAAAAGAAACCTTAAAACTCACTAATAATGGTAATTCAACGGGTAAATTTGAATGGGTACACACTTTAAACAAAATATTTACTATTACTCCTGAAAAGGGTGAAGTACCTGCTAATTCATCTTTAAACCTAACGGTTACTTACAAGCCCTCTTAGTAAGCTGGTTCTAATTCAATCTCTTCTTAAAATAATTTGTCAGCAAATGCTCCAAATTCTGCCAGAGATTCTAATCAAGGTTCTAACTAAAATGACAAATAAAGCATGGCCCCAATAACAAGAAACGAAGAAGAGAAACTTGTATTAAAAGTTTAAGATGGTGTAGAAGGGGCAATTAGATGTATAGGAACAATCTAAGAAGCTAGATGCATGATTAAAAATGTAAGCATATTTTTTCATCCTCCTAAAAAATAATTAATTTTATTTAAAATTAATATGAATAGACTAATTTAGATTTCAAAGAAATTGCTGTTTCAAAAGCAGAAACAAAAACATTCTAAATCAAAAATCTAAGTAGGATCTAGGCTATATTTAGTATCGATTAAACTAATTTACCTGAATGTGTATCGATTAATCCTTTAAAAGGAAGAATCGGTCCTGATGATGTTAGGGATATTTCAGTAACCATCTTAAGTAACCAAGAAAATACTTTTAAGGGTGATATTATTGTTTACATAAGAGGTGGAAGAATCCTAAAATTGCCTTTTTAAGGATAAACAATAATTCCTTAAGTCAGCATATTAGAAGAGCTATTTGATTTTGGAAATATTACTACTTTAGGTAAGTTTTATTTATAAATAGAAAATTTATATAACAATTATTATTTTGTATAGGAAACTAGGGTATACTTAAAATGTCCCTGTAAAATAACTCTAATATTCCTGCAGATTTAGTTCTAGATATGAGAACAGATGAAGATTACGAAAAGGCTTAACCAGGTATAGAGTGTTTGTCTATTGAGATAGAAGGTGAAGATGATGATTCAGTTCTACACTCAGTACATGAAGAATAAAGTGAAGAGGAAGATTAGCAAAATAAAATGAATAATGATGATAATGAACCAGATTTTGATGGCCCTTTAAATGAGAGTGTTGATAGTTTAGAAGAAGAGAGTGAAAAGAAAAAATCAAAGCTATTTAACTTAACTGTTTATCCTAAACAGACATTGAATTTTGTATTAAAGTTTTGTCCGAAAGAAATTATGTAAATTTTTTTTTTCTACTTTTTAATTATTTAAAATATTCTATTAGCTCTTATAAGCTATTGCTTCCATTGACGCTTTCAGGTTATGGGATCATCCCTTCATTAGAAAGGTACATCACATGTAAAGGTCTTCATCCAAAATTCTTAATTGATCCATAAACATGTGAGTTTAAAAGAAAAGTTATAACTACGCCAGATAAATGTTTTCCTGATAAGATGGAAGTAACTTTAAATAACCCTGATAGAAGAAGCATCAAATGGAGAATTGATATAAGTGGTATAACATCTGATAAAATATTTTAAGTAGAACCTTCTTCTGGTATAGTTGAATCATGCGATTCGGTGAAAATTGAAGCACTTTTTAATCCATATGCCCCAGGCAATTTTACTTAAACTCTACCTTTATACATTGAAGAAGATGATGAAATTCCTTCTAACGTACCTTATGTTGAGCTAATATTAAAAGGTAGTCTATTAATTCTTTTAAATTTCTTACTTTAACTCTTTTATTAGTGACTTTTAATAATTTTTATTTTTTCCAAAATTAGGTGAGGCTGCTTTCCCAAGACTTCAATTTGACAGGAAGGAAATTATTTTACCAGTTGTGCCTCTCGGGATATAGTCTCGCTGCACTTTTAGGATTATAAACGATGGCTATGAAAATTTGAATTTAAAATATAAAATTATTTAAGATATTTCAAATATTAATGTAACTTTGAACTGGCCTGATGGAAAAAATTTGGGTATAACAAAACATAGAATAAGAGTTGAGGCCGTATTTTCAAATAAAAGACCTTTATCATTTACAACTAGAATAGAATTTTATGATGACTCCGATCGTGTGTATCCTATTTATATATCTGGTACAACTGATAACTGCCTATTTACTAATCAATCATATCTGTAGAGATGCAAAGGGGAGTATTCAATATATTTAAATGAAGTAAAAGATGATAGTAATAAATTTTCTATCGGAAACATTATGATTAAAGAGGAAGATGAGGACATTAACTCAGTAGATGGTAAGACATAAACTTCTAGGACTCATTCTATTGCTGCAACTAAGAAGAAAGGAGGAGCTGCCTCTACTCTGAGCTATGGCTCTACTAAAAGTTCTAGAAGCATGCTAGGATATTAACCAATACCAACTCCTTTCTTAGATTAGTCTATTGAATATATAACTCGCTGGCTGAATTATCATGTTCTTTAATAGCCTATAAACAGTTTTCCACAAAGCGTTATAGAGCAAAATGGCAGTCCTGTATTTGATTTAATTACATTTTTAACTGGAAGAACTTAATTCCCATTCAGAGCCTAAATTGACCACCTTACAAAAAGAACTGAAAAGGTAAAAGATGATTGATTGATTGATTATTATATTATTTGATTATTATTTTTTCTTAAATAACTAAGTCCAAAAAACTGATGTCCTAATACGATGAGTTAATAAGATCATTAAAGGTAGAAGGAGGTATGCTTAACCATATCAGGCCAGAGTATTTGCTAAGTTATTAAGACTATATTCTATATGTGAAATAGCTACCTAGCTAGGTCACTAATACAATTAGTCAGAATGTTTTAAGATTGTCTTAATCAAGATTTATGTACCTTGCTCTTGACTCATGGATACAAATATTTTATTAAATACTAAAAATTTACTTTTTAAACAGACTTAATGCTAAAAATTTCAAGTTAATTCCTGGAATACCCGCAGAAAAAATGTAAATTCCTAATTATATCGAATAAAGTAATTTAATCTCTCCTGCAGAATCTCTTTTATTGTATTGGCTTGAAATAAATTATGAATAAACTCACCCCTTAGCTTAGAAGAGATTATGTTCTTTCGATTTGGAACTTTAAGATGGCTAATGGATCTAGTCACTTATTATGAGCTATGTTGGAAAAAATAGCTCGAGATATTTTGGAAATATGAAAATGGTTTGCTCTAATGAGTAAGATTTTAAGTATAATGGAGAAAGAATAGTTGAAGCTATGAAGGAGATTGGAATCAACTCACATTTACAACCTCAAGATTTCTAAAAGGTTTCAATGCGTGAAATGATTCTTTTCAATTTGTAAATGCTTTATTCTCTCCCTCACTACATTCCAAAAGGAAACCCTATTATGTTTAGTTGCATCTTAGGAGAAGAAGTATAATTAATTAATTCAGATAAACTTAAAGATTTCCCAAAAAATATTAATTCTTTTTTATTTAATATTTTAGATAACCAAAAATATAGAATTAACTAATCCTACTAACAGAACTATTTGCTATCATGTAAAGCTTGAGGGTCATCCTGACTTTTCTCTCGATTCAGAAGATTAGTTTATGATAGAGCCTAAGAGTTAATACAAGTTTAGAGTTAAATTCACTTCAAGAGTAAGCGATTCTGTAACAGGAAGAATCATTTTTAATAACAAGAAAGAAAGTAATGTCTAAGCAGCTGCACTAGTATTTGATTTAAAGTCTAATGTTACAGGTAAATTTTTTATTTTAAAACAATTTATTTTAAAATTAAAAAATTAAACACAGGCAGAATTTCTGAAAAGATAATTTAAACAACTTCAAATTTGTATGAAAACACAGAATTTTAATTTTAAGTTACTAATAAATTTTAAAATGCCGAGTGGGGAGAATTTGAAGTGAATATAGTTCATGTAAAACCTGAAAAGCCAGTAGAGAAAAAGAAAAAGAAGGCAGCAGGGGCACCTTAATAGAATTAAAATAATACTAAGGGTAAATAAAATGGTGGAAAAGAAGAAGACAGTGATAAACCTTAAGCAAACGTATCTAAAATTGAAGACTAATAATAAAACGATGTGTTCCCATCATTCTTCTGTAGACAGTACAATACTGCGAAGTTAAGAATAAAGAGAGGAGCAACTGCAAACATTAATCTTATTTTCTTACCCTTAATTATTGAGTAATAAAGATGCTATATCATTTTTAAAGGTAATCTATTTTCATTTTTTAATATCATAAACCATAAGAGATTTTATTTATAAATTAAAGATCCTAATATCGGAGAATTCTAATATGAAGTAATAGGGAACGTAGAGCTTCCTATGTATAACAACGAAATTATCAGGCTACCTTAAAATGGCTAAACTATTTACGTAGACGACCCAGCTAATATAGAAATACCACTTAGTTACCAAAATGAATCTATGAATAGAGCTCGTAAGCTTGCAGAATAGTTAATTATGGAAAAGAGCAAAGAAAAATTCTTGAAAGGTGATAAAAGTGCACTTTAAAAGGCTGATAAATTAGTCTTCCCAGGAGGTTAGCCAGATGCTGTTCAATATAATATAGAAATAACCCCTTCTGTACCTTACATTCAAATTCCACAAATATTTACTCTCACAAACCCATACAAAGTACCTACATATTTTATTTTCAACTTTAAACTAAATATTTACTGATTATAAATTCAAGGGTCTTCAAATAAACTAACCAATTGAAAAAGAATAAAAACAAGAAAATTCAAAGAGAGGAAAAATTCTTCCAAAAGAAAATCATGAAGAATAATAAGAGCAAACGTAATTTAAATTTTACTTTTTTTAGAATTAATTTATTAATTATTTATTTATTTATTCTTTTTAGTTAAACTGTAGATTTGGTAAACAAACTTCCCATTTCGCTTCTCTTTAAAAATGCAGTTAAAGATTTTAAAGTTTCGCTCACATTAAAAAATGTAAATTTGACAGATATTAGAAGATATAAATTAGAAATTAGTGCTTTCCCTAAACCAGTGAGATCAACATTAGAGTTTAGAGTTCCAGCTAGGTAATCTACTACACAAGAAATACCTATTGTAAATAACACAGAGAGAGACTGGAATATTAAAGTTAATTTTGTAAGAGATAAACTCCCTAATTCAAATCTCTTTTCTTTCCCAGCTTCTTTCTCTAAAGAGTTTTTAGTTAGGAAAAAATCTTAAGGAAGTTTTCCATTAACATTTAAACCTAAGTGGATTTGTGAAGCAGAATGCAAATTAATTCTTCAAAATCCACTCACAAATGATTTGTTTGAATATAATATTAAGGGTTTCGGAGAGGAACCTGTAGCTGAAGATCATTTTGTCATATAATGTTCAGCAAGATAAACAAAGATTCATGATATAGTAGTTAAAAACCCATATACTGACAAAGACGTTACATATAAAGTAATTCATTTGATTAATTTTTAAATACCTTTCTAATTATAATTCTTATAAAAATAGGTAGAAACTGATTTGTTAAATGCTTAGGGGGCTCCTTCATTAAAAATAAAGGCAGGATAAAAAGGTACCTATAAATTATCTGTCACCCCTATATTAAGTGGGTAATATACTGGTTCAATAACTTTTACTGAAGATGATGGAACATATCTTTGGTACACAGTTGTTTTGCTAACAGCTAGCCCTGCAGCAGATAAAGTCCTAGATTTAAATTCATTTATCAGATAGGCTTGCACGTTTGAAATTTCTATATCAAATCCTCTTGATTAATAAATTTCTTTTGATGTTATCATTAACGGAGATGGTCTTATTGGAGAAAATATATTTTATGTAAATAATCAAATTATTTTTTTATTAATTAATATTCATTATGAAAATAAAAGTTGGGGCCGAAAGAAACTAAATCTTATGAATTGATCTACAGTCCTTTGTATATCGGAAAAGCAAAAGGTAGTATTGCATTCGTAAATGAGCATTTAGGAGAGAAATGGTATGAACTCAATTTACTCAGTGAAGAATAAGCTGTAATCAAACTGCCTATTCTTAAAACAGAATTGGGTAAATTTAACTAGCATAAAGTTTAACTCGAAAATCCTACTGACAAAGAAATCAAAGCCATTAGCAAATGCACAAACACATAAAATTTCGAAGTTTTCCCATAAGATATAGTTTTAAAACCATTTTCTTCTACAACTGTATACATTAGGCACTCACCTTCCAGCTTAGAAGTAAAAATTATTTAGCTTTTAATAATTACAAAATAAAATTTTTTTTCTTAAAGCAAGCAGAAAGTGCTGAAATATCAATAATCACTGGAGAAATAGGTAAGTGGAGATATTCTGTTTATGGTATGGGTATTCCTCCAACAAAGTTCGAGAAAAGAGAAATATCAGTTAGCATAAATAAAGATTTCTCAACATCTATTCAGTTTAAAAATCCATTTAAAGAATAAATTTAGATTTAAGTCTATATGATTGCCGAAGTAATTTTTAAGTAAAGAGTACTTATTTAACTTAAAAAAATTTATTAAAGAATTAGAATAAAGAAGTTTTCAAACTCCTACTTAAAGGTAAAAAAATTCCTGGAAAATAAGATGGTGAAGAAAGGTATTTAATGCAAGTTGGAGGTTTGTAAGTATTAATGATTCCTTTCTCTTTCATACCTAGAGAGATCACCAAATATTATTGTGAAATTGTTTTAGCAATGAATGATAAAATTGAGTGGAGATATCCTATTGAAGGTATCACTTAATGCACTTAGTCCACTGTAATCCAAAACTTTAAGTGTCAATGTAGAGATAGCTTAGAAGAAGACTTTTCTATTTAACTACCAGGAGTAATTTCTTTAAATTTTAAGAATATTAAACTTATTGGATGAAATATAAAAATTAAAAGAATTTTTAATAGTTTCTGATAAAAATTACTATAAAATTTCTTAAAAAACTGTTTGTTAAATGAAAGTGAAAAAAAATTTAAATAAAATTATAATTAAATAGATATAAAGCATAATGGGTAAAGATGATACTTTTAGTTTTGAAATTAGGTGCTTGGAAGAAGAGTATAGTAATTTAGTAGATAAATCACTTTAAATAAAAACAACAAAGAATTACTTGAGTGATCCTAGTGATAGATTAGAATTTTAAGTTAAATTTTAACCTCTAAAGCCTTACAAAGCAACTCTTGAATTCCATGTCCTTAGAAAGGCTGGAGGAAAATGGAGGTAATTAATTCATTTAACCAAAGCAATATAAAATAATTTTTTTATCAATAGGTATTTTATTGATGTTGAAGCTACAGAACCTGAACCTGATGACACTATTGTAATCAGCTCCAACTTACACAAAACTACCAGTGTTTCATTCAAATTAACAAATAAAACAAAATAATTTGCACCATTTGTGGCTAACTTCTCTCCTGAGTCAGATAGTGAATTTACAGTTTTCCCTAAAAGTGGAACATTAGAATCATATGGAAGAGATGGAACCACATTCATTGTTTCATTTACTCCTGTTGAGTATGGAAAGATTAGAAGTGGTAAACTGATAGTATAAACCGAAGATATGTATTGGTAAAATACCATTTTAAAATTCCTTTCAATTAAATTAAAAAACATTTGTATATTAATTAGGTCATATCTCATAAAGGGTAAACTTCCTAAATATAATCCACCATAAGCAGAATCAAGCTTAATTGATGACAAACTAGAGGCAGAATTTGATTTAAGAGTAAATAGTACTCTTCCTAAAAACCACCTACTTGATAATATAAAGAAAACAAAAATAAATGCTAGCATTTCAAAAAATTTAAGTAGAAGTATCTAAAATTCAAACGACTCTACTAATTTAATATCTAGGACAATAGGTTAGATAAATAATCTTTCATCAAGCATAAGTTACATAGGAAAGAACCCTTAATGATATATATTAATCATATATAATAAATATATAATTAAAATTTAGGAATAGTTAAATTTATTATGTTCAGTATTTATCTTTTTATTTTATCTTAATTCTTGTTATTCCCACTAACAAAAAATCATTAAAAATTCATTTTATTTCTTTTAGGATGAATATAGCAACAAAAATCTCTATTACACCCTCTAAATTAAATATGATATGATTAATTTTGCTTTTTATTTGTTAAACTGCTAATATCTATTTTCATATTATTTTTAAGATATTTTTATATAGCAGTATGAATATTTAATTTACATTAATTTATTATGTTTAGTTTTTAATTCTATAATTTATCATAATTGTTATGAATCTCAACACAATACTAAAAGCACTAATTATTTTTTAAAAAAGTAAATAAATAATATCAAAATAATTTATTAATTAATTACAGCTGCCCTGGAATTTATTTTAAAATTCTTTATTGAAATCAAAATTTTTAATAAAAATTTTAGATTTTATTTTAAGTCTTATTTGAGCATTTTGTTAGATATTATTTTGTTTGTTTGTTAAAATGATTCTATCTATTTTATTATGTTACTTTATAAAAAAAATCTTTAAAATTTTTATTATTCGGAAAATGAACATTCAATCTCAAGGTAAACATTTTTTTTTTTTATATGAATATTAACTAAAAAATCCTATTTATTTTAATGTAAAAATAATTTTCTCTCAAAATAAAATAATTTATTTTATTCATTTTTTTCTCAATCAAAAAATTTTTTTGTTTAGTAAAAAATTAAAATAAATAATTGTTTTTTATTTTTTAGCAAAGATTTTGGATAAAAATTTTTGATTAATTTAATTTGAAATTAATTGCTTTGATTAGTGACCATCAAAGTATGTATTGATTAAAAATCAAATTGCTTTTTAATTTTTTAAAATAATAACGATAAAAAAGATTTTTTTAGTTTTTATTTAAATATTTGCACTTATATATAAATGAATGCTAATTAACAAATAAGAGATAGGTTAAATACATTTGGTAATTAATAAAATTTAAATGACACCTTAGAAAGGAAAAAGACTACCCTAAGATAAATGTTTTAAGCAAAGACTGTTAAGTGCGAAAAGCTTTCTAAGAGTATATTGTTACATTTTGATATAATTAAACAATAAATGCAATTTATTTATACTTATTTGATTAGGTGGAATGACTTGGAATCATAGGTTATTAGAAGTGAGTGATCATATTAGATACTACAGTGTTGAACCTAATAAATAATTAAAAGGAGAAGTAGCGTTGGAGGATGTTTTTGAAATAACTTTTCCAGATGAGTCAAAAAAAAATCCTAAAAGAAGCATTTGTTTTACATTTAGGGTTGATAAATATAAATAATTTAAGGTAAGAATTAAAAATTTGCATGTTCAAATTTGAATTAATATAAAAAAAAGAATGGATAAGAAATTTAATAGAAGATCACTTATAGTAAAAATAAAACTGTAGGACATTTAGTATGGGCCTTTAAGTTTACTGAAAAGGATATGGATGAGTATTAAAAAATAAAAGATTTAATTGAGCAAAATAATCAAAATTTAGCTTAAATGGGTAACTCTATGATATAGCAGTCATAATTTAATTAGAATAATATGTAGGGATAACAATAAAAAGATCGCTTGCAAGACTAGATTCGATTATAGTCACAAAATGAGATTATAGAAGGAAATGATTAAGAAAATAATTAAGAAGATATTTAAAAAGATAGTGATGATGAAAACTAGAAGAATGAGAATTAAAATAATTAACTTAATGGGAGAGATTATTTTTAGAATTGTCTGTAAGTTAATTAGTAAGTTATTTACTTTGTTAGTTAGTTATTTAGTTGTTAATTAGTTAGTTAGCTATTTTGTTCTTTATATTTTATTTAGAGAAATAAAAATAAATAATTGCTCATATTGAATTTATATTTTATATTTCTATATTTGAAGAGGGAATCAATACAATTGGGACGAAATGTACAATAAACTATTCGAAATTTATTATCAAAGAATAAAATAAAATAAGTAATTATCTGCCTAAGAAGAAATATAGATGGCAATATATTTATTTACTATTATGGGAAAGTATTGATTTTTTTTTGATTATAAAGATTTATATTTATTAAATTTTTCATAGATTCCGTGAAGAATCTGTTCTATGTGTTAAAGAGCTTATTCATGAGCTCATATTTCCAGAGAAAAAAAGATCATATATTGAAGTATCTAGAGAACATCCTATGTACTAATTTAAGTAGCAAGGAGAAAAGGTCTACGAAGTAAACAGAATATTTGTTAGGCTATCATATATACAAACCGTTTATGATAAATATGGAGATATTGTTGATTATGAAGATGTAAATACGAAAAATTTGAGTAATGAATTTAAGGCAAATAACTATTTAACTAATACCATCCACGATATAGTAATTTAGAGCAGAATCTTCGAATTAAGAGTATAAATATAAAAATAAATACTTTTTTTAAAAATGAATTTTTGGAATTTAAATATAGATTCCTTTGACTTGCTAGGTAGAGTATTTAGGTTTTAATTGTCTCTGCTATGCTGTGCCAAAAGTTGAAATGGTATTTTTATTTACAATAAGGATTATTTTAGTAACATCAACATTAATTAATTATTTAGCCAGATGATGAAATAAAAAAGTATCATAACAAGGGATATAGCAAACTAACTAAATCACCTTTAGATGCATAAAAAGCAAGCTTAATTTAAGGTTTTGATATTGAAGATAAATATAAAATAAAACCTAGTATTGAGATGAGTATGAAAGCTATCAGTGATAAGATGAAATTAGAGCAATTGATCAGTATGGAATCAGATAAGAAAGGTGGTAATTTTCTTTCTTATTTTTGTGAGGTTCACGATTGGGACCAAAAAGCCTCTTCAGAAAATAAGAACAATTAAGATACAAATTAAGATACAACTATAGACACTAGTAATAAGTTATATTACATATATCGTACATCTACTGTTTTACCTCTCCACATAGAAGTTTCTGAAAAGCTAAATAAAAGAGTAAATCTTTTCAAAGATAGACTTCGAGAGGAATATGCCTGCAGATTAGATAAACCTATGTCAAATTCAGCATTTATTGTGAGTTAAAATACATAACAAGAAGTAATAAATATTTAATACAAAGTCTAATTTTATTAAAAATTGGTTTTTGTAAAATGAAGCTGAGGGTGACTCAAGCCTCTACAATTCTAATAAACTCTGTATGTAAATAAGTGCTTGATGACCTTGAAAGTTTAAAATTAATAGCAATAGGCCCTGAATCTATTATAAGAATAATGCACAAATATGGAGTAAATATGAGACACTTGGGAAAGATTGCTAACAAGGCTATTTTACCTCATGTTAAAAATCTTTGTATTGCTGAGATGATTGCAAGATCTACCAAAAAAATTTTAAGAGCCAACATATCAACATACATACTTAAAAAATTCAGGATTGGTGAGAATTTTGATGAAGACGATGAAGCTGTTCTCGCAAGTAATCCCAAAATTTTAATTAATGTGAAATAATTAATCAAACTTATCTATTTTTAATCAATTGATAATTAGAATTTTATGGGTTTGGTCAGACAGTAATTCAACCAAATAATAATGCCGATATAGATAAAAACTAAAATGAGAGGCCTATATATCAGAAATTGATTGAGTTAAAAAATCGTCTTTACAGTAAATAATTATTTAAATCAAAAATATATATATATTTATTTTGTTTATTTTATTTTTTTAAAGACGAAATGAACTAAGATAACTCAGTTGAAAATAATTAGCAAACAGTAAATAGTGAATATAATTGGATACTAGATGAAGACAATGTTACCTCAATTCTATAAAATCCTAATTCTAAGAATAAACGTGACTATAAAAGACCTATTTCGAATAAGAAAGATTAAGACTAAAAGGATATGATTTAGAGAATTTTCCAGAGAAAATTAAGAGAAATATATTGGGATTACTTAAATCTCGTTTTTTCAAATGATGAAGAAACAAAGATCTTTTGGTAGGAAATATTGAGACCGTAAATACACAAAGATTTCGGATATGATATTGGTACCACGTTTCCTATAGGAATTTCTGAAGGATTTGTCATTCATTCTATAAAATATCATTGGAGAATAAATTTCCATGTTTATGATACCTTCAAGCTTTTTACTGCTCAGCCATTTGGCTAGTATGAGAAAATAAATTTTTTCTAAATTTGTGTAAAAAGCAAGATTTATAATATGAAAAATTTAAATATTCATAAACTGGTTAACTTGCATAAAAAATATATAGAAGAGGGAAAGTATGATCTAGCTTTTTATTACCTATAAATAAAAGAAAGTAATCAAACCAATTAAATAAATTATTAATTGAATCTTTATTTTTAATTTAATTTAGTCCTTTTGACATCGTCAAAAGAAGTTGAATACAATCCTCCTCAAGCACATGAGTTAAGTTAAATTTTAATAAATCAAGCCTATGTGAAGTATAAGCAAACTAAATCTTAATTTTAAAATTTAAATCCTCAAGATCGTTAACAATAAATAGATTATATAGAACTATTGATAAAGTAATCTATGAAATATATACCTCTTTTCCATGGCGAAATAATTAAACTTGCAGGATTATATGAGAAAGTTAGATTTTTTAAAAAATAAGAAAAAATAGAAAAACCCAAAAATTTTGATCCAAAGAGTGATATTGGCAATATTTTATCTAATATGGATGCTCTTACCAGAATACTAGAATTTCATTTAGGAAGAGGCCATCCTCTATATTCTTTTCTTCTTTGTTTCTAAGCAAATTAAAAAATAAAACAAGAAAATCTTTACAACTTAAAAAGTTAAATGTAAATAATGAAACAAATAAAACTTGATATAAAGCTTTAAAATTGGTATGATTATTTTCAATAACAACCTTAAAAATCTTTTGAAAAGTAGGAAGAAAAAGATAAATATTATTAAGGGCTATTTAATGCTTGGGAATAAAAATAAGAAATTAAATTGAAAGGTATCCAACTAGATATAAATAAGCTTACTGCAGGTCTAAATGTATGCTTAAAATTGTATGAATAAGCTATTGATAACTCATTAAACACTTTAGGTATATATTAATAAATAAATATTAATTCATAGAAATTTAACTTAAGGCTTTCAAATAATAAAATCAAATTGAAAAATAAATCCTTCTTTTTTTTAAATATTTATAAAAAAAAAACATATATTAAAAATTTACTTCATTACTTAATTTCTTTCTTTCTTCTGGATTTTTAAAAATTAATTTGTTGTTTATTAAAAATATTTTATAAAGATTTAATTTAACAATTAAAATAAATTTTATCTATTGCTTTGATGTTTATTTATAAAAAATATAAAAAAATAACTATTATTTGAGCATTAAAAATTTAAAATAATTAAATTACTTTTATAAGATGATTTTTGTAATAAATAGGAAATTATCATATAAAAATAGCTGAGTTTTAGCAAGACTTTGCAATAGTTGATTACTAAATGTTTGAATTACTTAAATCTCTGAAAAAACTTCATAAAGCATTATGTATAATAGAAAATTGGGAACCAAAAAACCCTAAAGATTTGTAAGGTCTTATAGAGTTAGATGCAAAAGGTTATAATTTTCCTTTCTTAGAAACTGGTAATGTTTAAAAGCTTGCAAATTTAAATATTCAAATAGCATTGATAGAAACTAGCTTAAGTAATAATTAATTTTTTTAAGATAAAATATTAACTTTATGAATTTATTTAGATCGTTATAGTAGCTCTCTTACATTTGTATAAAAGTCTAAAATATATTTGAAATATACAGGATTGAAATAGTATAAGCTAAATGTTTACACATAATATTTAATTTGCTACTGTTTATATAACATGAGTTTATCAAGTGAAGAAGAAATTTAAAAAGTAATTATTCCCTTTAAAAAAATTTTTTTGTGATTAACCTCAATTTCCAGTTAGTTTAACAAGTTGAAGATTTATGGACATTAGTAGATTAAAATGCAATTGATTAAGAATTTAAACCAGATCAGGTTTCATATTTGTATTAATTTTGCTTCAAGGTGAATAAATTGATTTTTTGGATATCTTAGATATTTATTAATTTTTTTTGTAAAAATGTAGGTTTTAATTGAGCAAGAGATGAAATAGTTAGATTTTAAAAGTAAATTAAATTTGATGAATATTTTAGATGAAGAAAATGAAAGATAAGAAGATGTAAGGATATTTTATATATATGGATGAATTTTAATATGTAGTTTTAAAATAATGTATCTAGATTTAGGACGTTTTTGATAATTATGCCTTTAAAAACAACTTTACAGGATAGCAATATGTAATGAGAAGGAAAATTTACACAAGTTCAAAACTGTATGACCCATTTTTGAAATTCAAAGAAGCCCCTATAACTGAAGAGGAAAAGCTAGAAATTATTAAATAGATATTATAAAGCAACCAACAAATTTAAGAAATAGACTAAATGCCTAAAATTAATTAGTCTTCTTAAAATAAATATGATCTAAACTTATATATTAAATCTGTTTTAGAAGATATAGAGAAATAGTATAATAACTTTGACAGATTACCTGATCCTTATTTAACGAGGGAATAAAAACAAAGATTTACTTAAGAAGAATAGATTGCTTATTTAGAATACTAAAAAGAAGCAAACATAATTGAATATAAAGAAAAGATTAAAAAATCGTAATTTTTTCTAATTTAAGCTTTTTTACATTTTTTTTCAAAAAAGGATATCTTATAGGACATTGCAAGCCTTGATGAAAGCTCTTGGATTCAATTTCTTTTACTACGCTATAAAAAAATCGTTCAGTTATTAAAAACCAAACTAAATAAGTAAAAAAATATTTCATAAATTAAAATCTGCTAAATTTATTTTTGTAAAAAACAGAAAAATAGAAAAGATAATAGAAAATTAACAAATGAAGTGAAGTCAGTCTCTATGCAAATAAATTGCCTTACTAATAAATTTTATTAATTTAATTAACTATATCAATATATAAATCTATTTAAAGCTTAATTTATTTATTTATATTTCTTGATTTCAATAATTTTTTGTTAATAAAAAAATAATAATATTTGTAATTAACATTATTTCTTACTCTCTCTTAATTATCTTTTAATATAAAATAAATATTTAAGATCAATTTCCATCAAAGATATCATTTTAGTTTATTTTAATAAAATATTAAATAATTCATTTTTTGTATGAAGAAAATTGATTAAAAAATAAAATAATTTAATTGATCATATTTTGCAATTAATTAATAAATTAATTTTTTTTTTTAACTTACAAAACAATATTTTATATTTTAAAAATGGTATTTTTATGTTACATTATTTATTAAAATTTTTTGATTTGTTTTTTATGGTTTAAATTATTTTGAGGTTAAATCATATCCATTTAGTTTTTATCTGTTATTATATGGTATCATTTTTAGACACAAAAAATTTGAATTAGTAACTATGTTTCTAAACAAAACTTACAGGATACAGTAAGCAATATTTTAATGAATTTTTAAGAAGGAATATAAATATTGTATCGATTATTAATAGTATTTTTTTTAAGTATTTTGGATTAAAAAAATATATGATAAATAGATATATTGTACTTTGATCTTTAATTAATTTTTGATTTCATTAACTTTAAAATTTTACAAAAATTACAAAAAAAACTCAAAATTATTTCATAGATTACATAAGCAAGTAAGTAAGTAACGACAGCAAAAAGCAAATATACTTAATATATCTTAGACATAGTTTAAAGGTAAAAGAAAAGCAAGCATAGAAACTTGCATAGAAGATGAACAAATATAGCTTATAGTTTAAATCTGCTGAATTTGAATTGGCATTCTTTTAAAACTAAAAAGATAATACCATTTTGGTACTAAAAGTAGGAACAATAATTAACATATTGCAATCTATAGTCATTTTGATATTCTATTTATCAGAAAAAGACTCTCAAATTTAAGATAAAATTATGGGGGTTTTATTCTTTGTGGTAGGAGTTACAACTTGGTGTGTTAAAATTTAAATTAAGAAATGCCAAAAATTCACAAATTCTGTATTATTTTTCAAAAACTGTATCATATGCATTATAATAGGAATATATCAACTCTCAAAGGATAGTAATCGCTCCAATAGTTTTATGGGGTATTAACCTCTACTTGGAGTTCTTCTAGCCATCGAATTTATTACTAGTACTTAAGGAACTAACTTTTTATTCAAGATATTAATGTGCGCTTTAAATATCGTCTTTTTTGTAATATTTTCTTAACATACTTATATTTTTTACTTGATTAAATACCACTAATTTTAATTTATTAATACAGTTTTTAAGCAAAAAATATGCAAATTAGTGATTACTTATTATTTGTTTATTTTTACAAAAATACATAATAGAGTTTAGCTTTTTATGGAAATAATTCTGCATGTTTGGTCATAGCTACTTCTCTAGGTGCTTTTTATTTTTTGCTTTTCATTTATTTGAATGATAAGTAAAACAGAGATCTTTTTCTTGATAAGCAAAAATCTTCTGAGTTGTCTTTCTTAATTGATAAACTGCTTCCTATTAATATTGTCGTAATGAAATATAACCCAAAAGAGGAGAGGAGCTTTTTGCATTAAGTAAATAGAAAGGCTTAAAACACATTTAACATATCTGATAATGATGCTTTTAAAGAGTTTTCTAAAAGAGTTATTGTGAAACAAGACACTCAAGATGACCAAGAAAAAGATTCAGAAAACTCAGATGAAAATATGAATAAAAAGTAAAATGAACAAGAAAAAACTCTTTTTTTTTAGATAGAAAGTATTGCAAAAGAAAATTATTTAAGACAAAAATAAGAAAAAAATAAAGCTAGTAATGAAAAAAGGTAATCACTTGCAAAAAGTGAGCGAAATTCAAAGCTAGTCATTAGAACAGATAAAATAGGATCTATAACTAAGCTATAAAGGAATAAAATAAATTCACTTTATGAGAGGCCAAAGAAATTATCTGATGAGGTTAAGTATAACGAGAGAGTTAACTCTGGAGAAAAAGAAAGAGTGTAAAGATTTTCTATATTTGAACCATCTAAGGCAAGCTCGTATGATAGAAATAAGAATAATTCTATTGATAGATATAACAGACCAAAAGAATCTTCTTTGGAAAGAACTAAAAATATTTCAATAGAAAAGAATGTTATAGGATCAAATGAAAGAGTTACTCATAACTCTGGCGAAAAAAATAAAACACTAAACAATTCTGTTGAGAAGGAAAGATCTAGATACAATGTAGAGGAGAGGAGCAAAAAAATTTCATTTGAAAAAGATAAACTAAGCAATAATAATGCCACACCTCATCACATTCGCGGTAGCAAGAGATCATCTACATTAAAAATCGATAATACAACAAGTAATTTATTCATTATAAATAGTTTTTCATTTTATTATATTTCTAATAATTAATTTTGTTACTTAGCATAAAGTGGAGGCCAAGCAGGAACAAAATTCGTAAGAAGAGTGTAAAAAAAGGGTACAATTTTGAGAAAAGTTTCCAATTTCAATCTAAAGTCCGGAGTTGCAAACTCTAAGGTTAAATACGGAGAGGATGTTTATGATAGAATTGACATCTTCTAAGGAGTTTACACTCAGAAAGATGGGAGCTAAAGGTAGATTTCGATAAAAATTTACACTTACAATGTGAATGAGTAGTATTAAGTCATATTAATTGAAGATGAAACATTAGAGGGTTAGGTTAAATTCCTCAAAGAGCTGAATAAATTTTTATATAAAAGTTTCTCTGAATCCTTAGAGCAATTTAGAATGCCTTTAGCTTATTCTTTGATGAAATTAAATGAAAATTATGAAAATTTAAGAGCAGGCAAAGAAGAAAAAAGTCCAACTAGCTGTACAAACTTTAATTAATATCATCATAAAATTTTAGATGGAAATAGGCAATCTTTTACTCAGATTTAGTAAAGCGATTTTTCTCAAACAAACATTTCACCAATTAACAAACACAAGCACACAACTACAAATAACTCTATTTTTTACTCTAACATTAACAATATTTTAATCAAAAATCCTGAGAATTTTTCTGCTATTAATTAAGATACAAATTAATCATAATCCTTGAATAACATTTAGCAGTACATTTAAGATTTACCTTCAAGCAGAAGGCGTGCTAACTCGCTAACCTAAGAGTCAATTGAAAGAATTTATGAGTCAATTAATAACACCCGATACTATGGTTTTCTAACTTTGAACAAGATTTATAATTATATTGATTACATCTCTATCCTATAGTAAATTTTATCTTGCTCATTATTTTAAAAATTTTTAATATTTCCTGTAAATCCTAATTAAATAAGACCTTCCTCTAGTCATTTTTTTTTCTTATAATCAGCTATATTTTTTTCAAAAAAAAAAATACAACCCTTGTCAAATTGGTCTTTTTTATTAGCAAGGGAATACAGGACATTACTATTTGAATTTATTATTTTAAATTTTAATTTAATTTATTGATTAATACAGAAAGAAATAAATAGAATTAAGATTGAGTGAGATAAGTATGAAAAGGATAATGAATGATGTGCTAAAGGTAGTTGAATACCAGGCATGCAAAAAGAAGGTTAAGATAGTCTTTATAAATGAGTTAAGATATGACAGAATTACCTCTGATGAGAGGAGAATAAAGTAGCTGCTGTTAAACTTTCTGGTAAATATTTTACATAAAACAAGTAGAGGCTATATTATAGTTAGAGCAAGCACCAAATCAAAACAACTAGAAACTATCAAAATATCAATTTATAATTCAGGAAACTACACTTATCCTATTTAGTATAGGGCAAAATTTAAACTAAATTCTATTAACGATATTCTTAATGCTAAAAAGAATAAAGATTGCTTAGAATAAGCTATCAATTCATAAATTGTAGGTAAACTCGGTCCCTACGATAAGGTTTCAGTGAGCCCTGGAGAAAGTGGGATAGGATCTACTTTATCATTTTTAATTTATACCGATATGAATATTTTAAATCTCCCTCATAAATTTGTTTCAGTGGATGATGTCGATTTGCAGATTTAACCAGGATTTAAAAGCGTAGCAAATATTTAATAAGAGGGAGAAATCTCAGACGGAACCAGTTATGATGCTACCTATAACATGAATAAGCTATAAGTTGAAAACCAACACTAAAACTAAAATAAATAATTCTTTCCATAAAGTTAATTTTAAGATATTGCAACAATTTGTGAAAGAGAAGACTAAACTTAAATGTACCTTTCTTCCAAAATATAAAATCTAGGATAGAAACAGCAGTATATTTTGCTTGACATACAAAATGATAAGAGCAATTTAAGCAGTTCTTTTTAATATTCTCCTCTGCATCCCATTACTAATAATTAAAATCAATAATCGTATGAGCCTAGCTTTTAGTTTAGCAATTTAGAATAAAAATTGAAAAGTTATAAAAATGCTGAAGAAGCTTTATTTGAAAATTAAAATAAAATTGATAATTCCAAAATAATTGATCAATATGATTAAAAGTCATATCAAATGGAAAATAATAATGATGATGATAATTAAATATTAGATTACGAAGGGGAAAACTAAAGTTACTATGCTTCAAATAAAATACCGAAAAATATCAAAAATAAACTAAACGAGTCAATTTCCTCAAATAATCGAGATATTAGATCTTAAACAAACAGCTACAGTTATCCATTAAAGTAAGAAAATATCTCAAGAAGAATGACAGCAAACAGCAGAGAAGAAAGCAGGTAATTCCTTGAATAAAAATTAAAATTAAATGCAGAATAAAATAAAACTCAAGCTGCCCATTCAACAGTTACTTTAGATTAAATAAACGAAAACTCATCTCCAAGATTAAATATGGATACTACTTAACCTTTACAATCACAATAGTTTTTGTAACCTTTCACTAATAATAAAAATAGCTAAAGGTTAATAATAACGAGTGATAATACTGATAGTGCATCGAAGTAGAAATTCAATATATAGAGCTAAACAAATTTTTATAATGAAGATAAATCTGAAAATAAGATTTCAGTAATTGGATTTTCTTCTCGGTAAGCAATTAGCAATAACAATAGCAATAATATTTAAAACAACGATGAATTAATGAACTCTTAAAAATTTAATAATTTAAATAATTCTGGCAGATAAAAAGCAAATATTATAAAATTGTAGCAATCAAATGTTGAAGATACTTTAAATTTAAATAAACATTCTAATATAAATATAACATCTTTGAATCATATTTAGTGAAGTTCTCAATTGCTATTCAAATTTACACAAAATTTTATGATCATTTAAATAATTCTTAAAAATGAAAAAAATATGATAAATGAGATTTTTAAGCAAACTTAAATTTAATTATTCTAATTCCCTTAAAATAAGCAATAAACCATAACTTGTTAATATAATAAAAATTATTAATCCAAAATTAGTTTTAATTATTAAAGAAAAATAAGCTTAAATTAACTAAATCCTTTTAATTATTTAAAATTTAATTTTGTTTAAAAATTTTTTAATTTAGTTTATAAAATGTAAATATTTTAACCTTTAAATTATGAATAATTTTTTGTATGTAAATCCAAAATATTTTAATATGTTTTAATTAAAAATTATATCACTTATTTATATTATTTATGTTATTTATGTGAATTAAATTTATTTTTAATTCATCCTTTAATTAAAAAATTATAGATTTAAATATTTAAAAATCTAAAAATAGAAAAATAAAATCTACTCAAAATATTCAATCTATTTTGCATAATTTCCTATCTAAATTAAAATTCATAATCATTTTTTTTAATAAAACTACTTTTAAATTTAAATTAAAAATTCAATTTCATTTATTTTTTATCATTAATAATTAAAAATTTTATAAAATTATGTTAAAAAATAAAGATTTATCTTTAAGTAAAATTAATTTATTTTCAATTCAATAATTAAATTTTTTTTAAAAAAAGCTAACAGATTTTATTAAATTATTTATTTATTCCTTTTTAATTAATTTAAAGGTTTTATGAAAGGATATTATAAATATATAACATGCAAATTAAAAATAAAAACAGCATGCCTGAGAAAATGAATAACCAAATTATTTAAATTTGGTACTCAATCATAATAATAATATCTTAGTCTGTCTTGCAAATATACTTTAATAAATTTAAAAACTGAAAAATGGTTTAAAGGAAAATATTGTCATAATAGATCATGAGAATAAATAAGTTGGAATATGGATATAGATTTTTCTTTCCCATTTTATTTATCCTTGACTAATATTTTGTTTTTAAGAATACGTTTTAGGATTATTAAATAGAAAAAAAGACAGAAGCATTAAATAAAAATATAAAAGGTTATGTTTCAAGAAGTATTGCAATCAAAGAAGAAGCGCTTGATTTGAAATAAAATCATAAAAAAAACAGGAAACAAAAAAATTAATCAAATCAAAAACGAATACTTGGATATAAAGAACTAATGAAAAGCTTAATAAACCAAGAAGAAAAATATGATTAAATAGAAATGAGCCCAAATTAACTGAAGATTGAAGAAACGTAAGATGAAGTGTACTCAAACTCTAATTAAATTATTCAATCATAATCTAACGATACAAAAAAGACAAATAAATGGACATAGAAGGAAGATGAAGCTCTTAAAAAACTAGTTTAAAGTTTTGGAGAAAAAAATTGGAGAAAGATTTCTGGCATGATGGAAGGCCGTAGCGCTATTTAGTGTCTACATCGATGGTCCAAAATTTTAAAACCTGGGCTTGTAAAAGGTAAATTCATATTTACATAATGGAATATTGTTTTTAATCATTGATGTATCAAAGTATAACATTTTGGATTTCAATAAGGATTCATTTTAGTGTATTTTTTGTTTAGATTTCAATACAGTTTAGTACTGCTCATAAAAATAAGGGTATTTGATTGAATAGCCTAATTTTCTTAACTTATAATAATTATCAAATTTTTTATTATCAAATAATACATTTAATTATCTAAGATTTATCTTTTAGTAAAGCACAGACAGACAGACTTGCGTGCATACATCAAACATAAGCAGCAAGTTATTTAATTAATTTGTGCAATCCTTAAAATTTAGTTTTTTATCTTTTAGTCTTCTCTCATATTTGCTTGCATCTAAGCTAAAAAGACAAAAAAATAATTTAAAATAGCATAATATTTTTATAAATTCTAATACAATTTATTATTGCGTTTATCAATTGATATACTTGACTACAAAGATATATTTTTCAAAATTTGTTACAAAAATAAGAAAATTCAAATAAATAATTAATGATATATAATTTATATCTCTATTATTTAACATGTATTTTAAAATTGCATTTTACTATCAATTAAAACAATAATAAGTCAAATAAGATTTACAAAACAGCTTCTTTTTCTCTTTTTATTAACAAAATTGTTATTAACTGATTTGCAGCCTAGCTCATTTTGCGTAATTAATTATTTTGTTTTGTTACATTTAAAAGGTCCTTGGACTGCTGACGAAGATGAAAAACTTATATACTGGGTTTAGTAATATGGACCTTATAAGTGGTCATAGTGCTCAGAATTAATAACTGGAAGAAGTGGAAAATAATGTAGAGAAAGATGGTTTAATAACTTAAATCCTAATGTCAAAAAAGGTAACTGGACTTAGGAGGAAGACAATGCAATTTTTAGAGTAAGATATTATTTTAGATTATTTGAGAAGCCATTCATTATTCAGATTTAACTTTGCTTTTTGTTCAAATTATTGAGATGTTTTAAATATCTAATTAATGTTGACACACAAATATTTTATTACTTAGGGTTACCTATCGCACGGTAGTAGCTGGAGTAAAATTGCTAAAAATTTAGAAGGCAGAACAGAAAATTCTGTTAAAAATAGATTTTATTCAACTGTAAGGAAACTTTTAAGTGATATGGAAAAGAAAGGAAAATATGTTAATCAAGATAACGAATGCGATATAAAGAATATCATTTAATAATCTTTATCTGAATATAGCTCATCTTAAAATATGATTAAATTATTAAATGAAGAATTAGATTAAGAAAATTAATAAAGGAGAAAATCCTCTACAACAGTGACGAACTCAGCTTCAATACAAGATTGCAATGAAATAAATATGAATTTAACCTTATAAACTTAAGAATCAAAAGGTGAGCATAAAGAATAATTATAAAAATTAGATATTTAAAATATACAGGATATAAATAACGAAAGCAATGATATTATTTAAAATATAACTGATGATCTATCAAATTAAAATTAAAAAAATTAAATTATTGCTTAAAAAAACCCCAGCGATAAAGAAATTTTACTATAAACTTCTGATAATTTTTAGTAAGATCTTGAGAAAGATGATATCTAAAAAGATCAATATTAAATTTTAAATAAAGATTTTCCATAAAATCAGCAGTATGAAAATGGAAATCATGAATAAATTAATAGGCAAAATATAGAAGAAAAATTATAAAAGCAAAACAATTCAATTAGTCCTTAAAATATAGTTTCTTAATAATAAAATTAATTATAATTATAAAACCCTACTCTCTAATCATAATAACTTTAAATTAAATTAAAAGATGAGTATTCTCAATAAAATTGCTTATATAGATTAATATTAGAAGGCAATGTCAGTATTAAGAAGACTACATCTATGCGAGACTATTCATTATATTAAAAAAATAAAGCAAAGACTAGAAGTAAAAAGTATTAAAAAGAATCATCTGATGATTTTAAAAAAAATATGCAAACTGATGATGCTAGTCCCAGCTCTTAAAGAAGCTAAGACTAATATCCTATTTCTTTTAATGCTTAAAACTAAATTTTTTAAAATGGATTAAGTTAGAAAGGAAGTATAAATTATGAACTATCAAAAGAAGAAAAGATGATGGTTTAAGTTTCATAATTTCATAATGATATCCCTCAAAATTAGCTTAAAGTTTTTAACGAATAAATGTTTATTAAATAAACTATTTCATAGTAAGAATAAAATAATAAAAATACCAAGTCGTAAAAAAAATAAATTTTATCATAATTGGGGAAAAATAGCAGCTAAGTATAGAATGGAAAGAACAATAACAGCAATTTAAGCTATTTATTAAAAGAAAAATTAATGAGTATTAATTAGCTATCCAAATTAAAAAATAGCGAATAAAAAAGGGAAGATTCTGAAAGCAGAGACGATAGTCTTAGCTAAGTATCAAGTGAGGCAAACATTGATTTTTAACCTAAAAAAGGTAATAGCAAACAATCTATACCAACTGTTTTAGAATAAGCTTAGAAGCTTTAAAAGGAGATTGAAGAAAAATAAAAATAACTCCTTATGCTCAGTCTAGAAGGAAAGGTAGATAAAAAAAAATAAAAAAAAGGGTATTATGATTAAATTGATGAAAGTAAACTGATATAAAATAAATAAATAGATGGTTAATAAAAATTAATTAAAGTTAAAGAAGAATATTAAGATGATGAATATAGCTTAAACAAAGATAAATCTGAATTCAAGAATAGTAGGAAATAATAAAAACCTTAAAAGGTCTAAATTGATCATGAACAGCAAAAGTAATTATTACAAAAAATGTTGCAGAGCCAATAAAACAAAAAGTTAAATAATTAAAATGAAGTAAACCCTCAAAGTAAAGAAGAAAATTTACCTAATAATAAGTTAAATAATTTTAATAAGAAGCTTCAATCTTAATTAAAGATTTTAAATACACTAAATACTCTTAAATTATAAAACAAATTTAATAAAAATTATGATAGCAGCGAAAGTGATGATTTGAATTTTAACACCTAAAAAAGTGAAGGTGAAGACGATTAAATTGATGAAGATAATTTCAATAAAAATGAGTTAGGTTATGATTAATAAGATGATGATGAAGAGGAAGAAGAGGGTGAAGAAGAAGATGATGATGATGATGAAGATGAAGATGATAATGATGAAGAAGATGATGATGAATATAATAAAAATGGAACTGGATCTAAGTAAATCTCTAATAAACTAATGAAATATTTAAGTTCGAGCTTTGCTAAATTAATGCACTCTATAACATAAAAATATAGCAAAAAGTATTAAATAGCAAAGTAAAATAAGGCTAATAAAAAAAATTAGATGAAATAGTAGGCTCATAAATAGAAAAGCTTAGATTAACTCCTTTAAGCATAGTAATACATTTAAAAGAATAACAATAACTTATCTAGTTAAAAATATATTAACATTTTATAAAATTAAAATGTCGTCAACTAAAAAAACAAAAACTAAAACAGAAATAATATTTAATAATTTGAAAAAAATAATAATAAAAAACAAAAGAAAGATGTAGAATCAAACTCTCAAAGTGAAAATAAAATTTAAAATAATATAGAAAATAATAATAAGTTAAATTAGAAATTATAGTAATAAATAATTGAAGGAAAAGACAATCAATCAAATTAAATAAATAATGTGGACTTCAACCAACAATAGTCTTTGATGATTTCTTAACAGCAGAAGTATATATAATAAGAGCTAAATAAATAAGAAAATTAACAATCATTATTATTAAAAATGGATGCATCTAAGAAATAACAAGCAAAAAAAAATAAAACTTAAAACACTCAAAGTAAATAATTACAAGAAAATACTAATGATATAAATAAGCAAAACTAAAACTCTTAAATGGAAATTGAAAGTATGAGCTTAAGTTCTGATAAATCTGTAAAACTAGGATAAGAAACTCAAGTAAAAGATGAGAATAAAAATAATATTATCAATAAAAAAAAATAAATAGCTGATTTAAATAAAAATAATTCTGGTGGAAACATTTTACAGCAGGATAATTTTATGAAAGATTCTGATTTTTCTCTTTCTTCTTAAATTTAGCAAAATTCTAGCTAAGAAAATATTAGAATGAATCATTCTTATCCTTAAATTAATGGTTAAAGTAATATATAGTTATCACAAGTCTCACAAAAAGATTAATCCTCAATTTATACTGGAGAAATTCTTAATTTAAGCTAGGAATCATTTGCTTAAGATTTAAGTAAATAAAATTTGAATTAAAATGGTGAAAAGTTAAAATACAACACTTTAGACTCATAAATGTATAAAATGAATAATCCTATTAGTAATAATATGGCTAAAGTAAACAATTCTAATAATTTATAAAATAAAAGTGTTTCTAATTAGAAATCGAACATAAATCAAGCAAATGCTTTTTTAAGTATTATGAGTTAAATACCTTAGGATGCATCAAAAAGCGATGACAGAATTGACTATTTAATTAGTCAGCTTTAATCTTTAGAAACTTTACTAAACACAACTAAACAAGAACTAAATAAATTAGAGTCAACAATAAAAGAGCCAGATCCGAATACTCAGCAGAATCAATCTCCTACACTTCTTCACAATGATGAAATGAGCAATATGGGTATTTTATCAAACCACAACCTAAATTTTATAAACTTTAATTAATATCATAATCCTAACTTATCTATGCAATAAACTTACAATCACTCTGATGAGCTGGATTCATCACTTATTCACCAATCAGAATACAAGCAATCAAATTTAAAATAACTCTCAAAGTATCATAGCTAAAATTCATAAAATCAAAAATTGCATAATAATTTAATGCAAAACAGCTATGAAGGTAGTAGTAATCACTCTCATAATATAAATTAAACCTAAGACGAGGAGAAAATGCATGATAATAATTAAAATCATATCTCAGATATACATTCTATAGATTTTGCATTTGATAACAAATATTCTAATGAAGATATGAATTATATTGGAGGCTAAGAACATGAAAAAGATTTATACCATCTTGGCAATATTTCACCATCTCCAATAAAAAATAATTAATATAGACACAAAGACAACAACTAACATAATGACTCATCTTAAAATATGCAAGAAAAAAGTGCTGATGATATTGCAATCAATGAAGAAACTGAATCAGATAATAGCTACCTAAATAAAAAGGATTCTTCTAAAATGGATGCTTTTAAAGTAATAGCTTGATTTCAAAAATATAAAATGTATAATTAAATTTTGAAAACTGAAATAAAAAACAAAAATAGCAATTTGAATTATTATTATTTGTCAAAACTAAAACTGAAAGAGTGAGTGTAAATTAGTTGAATAGCTCAAAATTAAATTATAATTAAGTAAAGAAAGATTTAATAGTTAATAATTTAATCAAAATATATTCATCCAGAAATTAATAAATCAATCAATACAAATTTTTGCATTTTTATACTTATTGCATTTTTGTATTATTATATAGTAAATATTTAATTGGATTCATTAAACTGTTGAAAATTTATTTTTGTATTAAAGTAATTCCTATTAAGTTAAAACTAAATGCAAATTTTTATTTAAAAATAAAATTTTTTATCGAAAAGTATTTAAAAATATTTATTTTTTTTACTTTCAAAAAATATTAATTGATGTTACTTTGATTTGATTTATTTATCTGTTGTTTTTAAAAAATTTATTTTTTTCAGGTTAAATTTTCAAAATTGACTTTTAATCTAGACTAATAATACCCCTTTATCTCACTTGATTGAAAAATATTTAGAAATAATTATTAGATAGCACCTAGAAAATTGAAAAAGCTAAGAGGTTACTAGTAAGATATTTAATTTAAAATTAGTTTGCCATCTAAAAATAGAAATAGTAAAATTTGAGCTTGCTTTAATACATATTTAGTAGATTTCATTTTATAATATCATAAAATTATTGATTCAGGATAAGCATAGAACAATAATTTATTAAGGATCACATAGTAATATTTTTTACTTTTTGTAATAAAAAAAACCAAAAATTAAAGTTCAATTAATTTTAAAACATAAAATCAAATTGCTTAAAATTAAAAGACAGTCATTTAACATTAATTATAACAAACAAATTAAAATTATAAAAATTATTCAATGCTATACTATAAAATATTATCAAGATTCTGAGCTTAAGCTTTAAAATTAAAGTCATTTAACATAAAAAGCTTGTTGATTTTGTAGATTAAGCAATTCCATATTGGTAATATTTTTTAAATTTTAGTTAATTATTCACAATTTTTTTACAATTAAAAGATTTAAAAAATATAAAATAGAAAGTTTTAGCTTTGTAATAAATCATTAAATAGCAAACATAAATAAATATAGCATATAAACATAATATAATATAAAATAATAATATTTTGCTTTTCGTTGTTTCTTTTCAAATAATATATTAAGTTAATTATTTTGTAAATTAGTATTGAGAAAAAATTATTGTCTATTTTGCTTGTTATTTTTTTTGTATTTACAAAAATAAAAAATAGCTTGGCTTAAAAAAGGTGTTTAAAATAACGATAACAGTTATTTCAATTGTTTTAAATTAAAGCAATTAATATATCAAAAATACAATTAATATTTAGATTTTTGAATAATAAGAATAAGTAAAAAATATTACTGATTTAATTTTGAAGAAAATCATAGGTTACTTAATAGAAAAAAAATTAGTTTTAATTGTATTAAATTGAAAACTAAATAATAAATTGTCTCAATAATTATGTGGTAACGAAATAATTAATAGATATTGGTTTTAATTTAAATTAGCATTATATTTCCGTTTGCAATCATGGAAAAGAAGAGAGAGAGAGTCTTATATTATACTCCTAATTCCTTGGTTAAAATTAAAAAATGTATTACTTAAATTCAACTCTAGGCTCTGATTTAGCACTTAAGCTATAAGGTTTTTATACATTTAATATTTTGTGCTTCTATGGAAATACTCAGAATTAGTCATCTATTTACTTTTTATATTTTTATATTAGTAAGCATATAGCTATAATCACAATAAATTACTGTTTAAAACTTCAATTAAAAAGAGTTTATTTATTAAAATTCTATATTCACACATTTTTTTAAACTTTTATAACAAATATTAAATACTTTATTACAATAGGAAGCTTACTTGTTTAAGCATTTATAATATAAAATATTAAAAGATTTTAATTTAATAAAATCCCTTTTAATAAATATGTAGTTCAATAAAAACTTAAAAAAAGTATGCTAATGATAAATATTTTAGGGATAGAAGTATTTCTGTATTTTCTAAAATATTAACTTATTTTATTTGTTAATTCATGCATTATTTTTAGTTTTTATGAATATTTTTTAGTAGTATTATGGTTTCTAATAGAATATTTTGAATATTTTTTGAGTATTCACTGTTTCAAAAGCATATAATAACTATTTTGTGTTAAATACAGGTAGAAAAAAAACTTATCATATACTAGATAATTAATTTGAAGTAATAGATTCTACTTTAAAAGAAATTTAAAGAAAGAAGCCAGTATGATAATATTACTCGTTAAATTGCAAGCGTCTTTATGTAAAAATATTCAGAGTTAACCAAATATGTCTTTTTAACATATTTAAAAAACTAATGAAGTAATATTTTATTTTTAAATTAGTATTATTAAATAAAATTTTATTTTAAGAAATAAGCTAAGAATTATTTGTAGAGTTTAATGCTTCTTTAGTAGATATAATAGTATTTGAGATTTTACTTAAGTATATAAGTAAATATTTTGTTAGAATTTGTATTGACTTACCTAATCATTTAGAATTATTATTTTCTAATTTAAATTGCTTTAATATATTTTTATGATAGAAAAGTATTATTTTACGTAAATAAATTCTAGATACTCAATTAATACCTATTTTTTAAAACTTTGTATTATTTTTACTAGAAATAGATAGAAATAGATAGAAATAGAGTATTTGTATTAGAAATATGATTTGCTCTTTTCTTATCATTTAATTAATTTTCTTTAATTAATTAAAAAAGAGATGACTTTTCTCTAATATGTTGTTTTTAGAAGTGGTCATCCATCCAATATTACTTTTTGATATATTAAAATAATAGAAAAAATGTCCTATTTTACTTTTAAACTAAATTTGCTATCAAAATAATTTATGCGAGAAGCCTTATTGACATGCACAGCTCTACACAAAAATGGAAATAAATGACTTAAAAATAATGCGCAAAACATAAAATCGAAATATATAACAAAATGTGAAACTATTTATGTAATATAATGATATCAAATACAACTTTTTACCTGATATCAAATATTTTTGTAAGTGTGAGTAATTATTTGATAGTCACCTTTATGATTTGTCAAGTCTCGCTAAAATTGATACTTAAGATAGAGGATATGGGTTAGTTTGAATAGCTTTTGGTAATATAATCGAAATTAGGTAGATACAAGTTTTGCCTTTATTTATTTTTTTAATTCAAAACTTTAAAAAGATAAGTTAGTAAGAGGGTAAGGTTGGTCGATAATAAAAATCAAACTGCTTTCGAAAAATATTGAGTAAATAAAAAATTGATTAGAAATCATCAGGCTAGAAAAAAGACCAGTTTGTGAATAGAGTATTGAGTAGAGTAGCATTTTAATCAACTAAAGCAAAAAATACAATTTGAATGATCAAATTAAATTCTTTTGCTTTTTTATTGTTTAGTACATATATCTCACAATTTTTTTAAATAGATCTTTTTACCTTGACGCAGATTTCATAATAAATAAATTTATATTAAATTAGATAAATTCAATTATCCCAAAAAATTCAAGACATTTCGTCTTTTTCGCATAAAACTAAACAAAAAAAAAATCAAAATTCACAAACTCTTACTTAGAGTACATACAATACATAAATTACTAATAAACAAATAAATACAAACAAAAAAATCAATATTATAAAAACAAACTTGAAAATAAATGAAATTGGTTATCAAGAGAAACAAATTGAGCTCATCTTGCTCCAAAGAAATTATTGGCAGCTCAAATGCTAGCCAAATCATTCGTGAAAAAAAGGTTGCTTTGAAGGTATTACGTGGTTAAAATGTTGATATGCTGGTCCATGAATACTAAGTTTTAAGCCAATTAAATCACACCAATATTATTAAACTTGCCTCTGATAAACCCTTCAAAATGTTAAAGGGTGAAGAAGGTAAAGTTGGATTAAAATTAGAACTCGGTCATATTGATCTTTTCCACTTCTTGAAATAGAGCTAACCTGCTCGTCTTAACACTCCCACTGTTAAATCTATTTTCCGTTAACTTGCTTAAGCTCTATAATATTTACATGATGAAAAACAATTAGCTCACAATGATATTAAATTAGAAAATATCTTGCTTTTCTTTATTTAAAATCAATAAACAGAAATTTGTCCTAAATTAATTGATTTTGGCCTCGCATCTGCTTCTAAAGTGTAAACATCTACTATTTACAATAACTGGTGCAATCGTTCACCTAACAATCTTCCTCCTGAGATTATCGAATAGCTTAATAAGTGCTGCGATGGCACATCCTCCCCAGCTTTAAAATCATTTGACAGTTTTGATGATGATGAAGAATCTGAATTTGATCTATCAAAATGCGATGTTTTTTAATTTGGCCTAACACTTTTCAATGCCTTGTTTTTAAACAATGCTTTCTGCTGGGAAAATGGGTCATCAAGCTATGAAAACTTCATCAATAATACCCCTGAAAATTATTGGTAATAAGAAAAAATATAACACATGCTCAATATGCTAAGAGTTGATTCTTCTTAGTAAGAAATCGAGCAAGTTGTTGATTTATTCAATCTCTGCTTTAAATATAACCCTTCTGAAAGACCTTCAATGAAATAAATTTTGGGACACGCTTGGTTTGTTTGATTAAACTCATGTATGCATGTTTGATTGAAATTACTGAAAGAAAATAAATAAATTAATTAATTAATTGCTCTTTCTTTCCCCACAGTAATAAAAAACAAGAAATTAATAACCAACCTAAAAAAATAATCATCACTTCCTTCATTTCTCAAATAAGAAAAATTAATTAAACACTTTACTTTAATCATAAAGCTGAAAACAAATATAAATTTTCTATTCCTCTATCTTACCCTCCTTTAAATTACTAACAAATCAATCAAAAAATAATACTTTCCTTTTAATTTTTGGCAAGACCTTCTAACAAATAAATAAACAAACAAATTAATTATATTAACAGATGTATATCAAAAAAAAATAAATCATAATTAATAATTATAAAATCAATCCATCTAATTTATAAAATACCATATTCTTAAATAATTTATTCTCAATTTATAGTAGTTGTAAATCTTATTCTCAAACAAACAATCAAACTTCCTTACTTACTTCATATCGTATTTTTAAAATAATCGCTTATCAAAAAAACATTCAACAATACAAATATTTATTTCTTAAGTTTTCTTATTTATTTCAATTTAGATTCATTAAATTGTAATATTCGATAGCTAGCGCAGTAGTCTTTTTGAGTAACTTAATTCTTAAAAGTAATATTTATGTTCAATTATTTCAGGTCAGTTTTTGAGGTTATTAAAAAAGTATTAAAAATCTTATTTTTTTCCAGAGATTAGGTATATCTTTCTTTTTATAAGTGTTGTCAAGCTTACATAAAGATAATCTCTATTTACTTTATTTAATTAATATTGCACACAATTTGTTTCTACTCTTCATAGTATAGCGAATTAATTTTGTGATGTCCCCCACACTATACTCCTTTAATAAATAAGAATTCAGAAAAGAAATAATAATAATAATCTATAATTGCCTTATACATTAAATGTAAATTATAAGGAAATAAGGAAATAATGTTAGAAAGAGTAAATTGATAATTTTTTTCTCTAAATTTTGGTACTTAGTTGACTCCTTTATAATTTATATTCCTAATTTATTTTTCATTTCTTTGTAGATTTTACAGACAGCTTCATATACTTTTCCGCTTCTAACAAATATCAATTTCTAACATATAAATTAAAGGTTAAGTTCTAGCACTTTAAATATCAACTAAATATTTCCTTTTATCACTATAAATTAATATTGATAAGGAATCATCTAAACCTAAACAACAATTTTACTCTTTAAATATAAATCAATTTTTAATCTTGTATTGAAGCTTTTTTAATGTTATCCTTTGATGATGCTTATCTTCAAGAGTGTTTGTTTTAAATTACTAATTTTAATTTAAATTAACAAATTGACTTTACACTCTTGCATTATTTTAGTGGATTCTATTTAACTTTAATTTAGTGATATCAGATTAATAAATAATATATTAGTTTACATATGTATAAAATTTGAAACGAAAATTTCGAGAGAATTTACTCATTTAGATAGAAAATCAATGTGTAATATAGATCTTTCTAAATCTTAGAATATTTTTTCAATGCAATCTATTTTAAAATTTCGTTATAAGTTGTGCTCTCAAACATAAAGAAATTAATCTATTCTTAGAAGAAATAGAAGAATATAATCTTTAATTGCGGTTCGGAAGAAGAGACAGCAAAAATAGATTATAATTTAAAATAAGACGCATCGATATATTTTTTTAAAGTTATATTCACCTCAAAGTAACTTTTAACTAAAAAAATAGAAGGAAATTTAAATAAAATTAACATGTAAAATTCAAGAAATAGTTCAAATTATTATTTTTTTGCAATTAATGGCTTTACTTAAAAAGCTAATTATAATTGTTTGTATTTTTAAAAAAATTTGGCTTCGATAGACTAAGTATTAAGAATAATCGCATTTAAATTTCGAATTTACTTAAATACTGGGTTGATATTTACATGGAAATCTCAAAACATGAACAAAATTGATATTATTTAATTAAAAATACTATCAATGATATGCCTTTGTACTTATCCGGCTATAAAAAGATAAAATTAATTCATTGCTAACCAACAGCTTAACCATTGTAAATGAAGTATGAATAAAAAGGTCAACAAACAAATTGATTCACCACTTAATATCAATTTTTATTGAATTCTAGTAAAATTTTAAAAATAGTATGGGGTATTAATAAAAAAAAGAAGTGTAATTATGATGTTTTTCTATATCACCAAAGAGTTTGTATATTAATTTATCCATAAAAAAAGGTATGTCTATTTGTAGGTAAGATTCTAGTTACTTAATATTATTAGTGAAGTAAATGTTTCTAAAAATTTGAAGACTCGCAGTTTTTTTAAATATAAAAAAATGTGATTATTTATAATTAGTTTTATATATATATCTTCAACCACTTAATTTTTTAACAACCTACTTTATAGATTTAAATTAGAAAATTATCAATTTGTAAAACACAAACAAATACGCTATTTTTCAATTAAAAAGTAACACATCTATCTAATAAATCATATTGATTAAAACTAATAGCCTGAAATAATTAAGAATTACATTAGACATTTAAGGTAATAAAAGAATTTATAATATAAATTGATTTATGGTTATCTGTTAAAATATTAATAATAATAAATTTATTTTAATTGATATAACATGCATTAAATGAAGATAATACGAATTTATAGAATTATTTTAATAGTAATTTGAATGTTAGCAGAAAAAGTTTTATTTGTTACTTAATAGTTAAAATAGATTTTGATTTTTTTATATATCAAATGGAATAAAAATTTTAATAACAAATAAGTTCTTACGACAGTAATAAATTTATAATTAGTTATTACTATTTTTATAATTTATAGAAGTTAATTTGATTATTTCGAGCATAAAAATAGGTCCAGTTGATATTAGAATTCTGTAATTATAATAAATAATTTTATTTGCAAGTAAATATATATATACTTATAAATCCTACTTAGCGATGGTAAATATGTTGGTATTGTAACTTCTTACCTATTTTATTATTATAATCTTCTATATTTGATTTTTTGTAACATGAAAACGATTAAATCTTTTAGAGTTTAAAGTAAATTTATTTGCTTAATAGGCAATTTACACTTACAAAAGCAAATACATTAATAAATACATATACATATCAATCTAATCTTGAAATCAATTCAAATCAAGCAAACAAGCGAACAATTAATTAATTTATATTGATACAAAAGTAAACTTAATTTATTTTTAAACACATAAATTAATTATTTAATCAATTAATTCATTCATTCATTCATTTATTAAATATTGGGAAAAAAATTTTTTAATAAATTTTAAGAAAAATTTCCTGCATTCTTTTTTTTTCATAATTAAAGAAGCGCTTTATAAATATTCAGGCTTACTGAAGGGTATTTTTATTATATTGTTTTAATTATTTCTATGAAAAAGGTAATAATTGTGAATTTGTGTCTTCTCAGTTTTTAAATTAGTAATCTATGTCATTTTAATTATTAACAAAGAGAGATAGGTTATATTCAATTTATAAATTTATACTTTGATTCAAAATATGTCATGATAATTAGCTATACAGTTTTTTAAATAAGTAACGGTCTAATTAATTACTTCCACTTTAAAGATCAAATCATTTTTATTATTAACTTTCCGCTGACTGCTTTTTTGCTGCCATGTATTATTTTACCATATTTTTTAATTAGGTTTCGTTCGGTTTTACAAACAGTTTTGGTGGGTCTGCAAAAAGGTCCGCTAGACTCTCACTAGGACTTAATTAATTTTATTGTTGCTTTTAAATTTGTTACTATCCTGTTTTACCATTTTCTTTGTTGTCTTTTTCTTACTAAATAAGCTTAATTATTAAATAAAGTTATTAAGCTGTAAGTAAATGTAGAAATATATGAATTTTCATAATATAAATAATTATAAATATTCCAAATTTGTATCTAGAATATTTTCTTAAAATCATAATTTACCTTTTTTAGATTGAATAGCTAAAAGTTTGCTCTTTTGAATTAGTTGAACTCACGTCTCCATGAATTTATACGTTCTTTAATGAACATATTAACTATTTCATCTTGAAGTTTGAAATCGAGCTTTATTCCTCCAGATTTCTGAGCCTTTTTCATTTCACTTTTCAAAAAATTTTCGATGTTTAAATTATTCGTTTGTTTATTACCTAAAAATTTTAATTAAAGTAAGTTAAAATTATGAATGGTAAATCTTATAATCTAATAATTTAAATATATAATTAATTTTTATAGTTTTACTATTTATCATATCATACAAAACTTATTGAGTTAGGTAATCGTTTTAATTACTCCAATATCTCTTAATTTCTTCTTTGTATTTTATTTTTCTGCGCCTGAAGCTTGAGAATTTGTTCTAAAATTTGATTACTTTTAATTATGTTAGAAAAAATAGATCTATAAATTGATTTTCTTTTATTTTTCAAATTACCTCTGAGATTTAACTCTATCAGCTTGCTTGATAATATGCTCAGTTCTTTGAAATTTAAAAAGAATTTGACTACAATAGATTGGGCTTTCTTTTTAGTCTTTACTTAGACAGCTTTAGTAAATAGTTAAGAGCAACTAGATTTAATAAAAATTAAAATGTAATTTAAATACATAAAGAATTAATCTTTTTTATTTAGATAACATTAATGAATAGTTGTTTGTTTAAGGGTAGGGCAGAGAAATTAAAAATTTTGCAAAATAAAAATTAATATCTTTCAAATTACATTTTCCATTAATAAAGAGTTCTTTGAAATTTATTTTCTCCTGACTTCTTTAAGAAGCTAATGAGTGCATGAATAACTCTTCTTTTCCTCATTTTAACATAACTGATTTATGCTCGTTTAACAGTCTCTATCTATTATGTAAATCAAATAAATAGAATTAATTTATGTTTAAATAAATAATTAAAGTAATTCATTAATAATAAATGTTAATTTAGATTTTATCTGTCTAAAATTTTGTAAATACTATGTTAATTTAACTAATTCTATATTCTTCTATCAAGCGCTCTAAACATTTAAATAAGTTTTTATTTTGATATCTTTAGAATCCAAATGTTTGAAAATGTAATCTTCTCTTTCAAAATAAATATAAATAATTTGATTTGAATCTTAAATCATTCATTCTGTTAGATTCTGAATTACTTTATTTTTACATATTTTGATAAGAATAAAGTATTTCTCAATTAAATTATGATGGTAAGAAGTAAATTTTTTATTGCTTGCGAAGAGTTTAAGTCATCAACATAATTTAAGTAATGTTAATCTAAAAAAGAATTTTTTAATATGATGCAATAAATAATTAATTACATGAATAATCTGCTTTAGCTTAGCCGCTAAAGAAACCAAAGAAAATACCTATAGCCAAATAGTTTAAAACTTCTTTAAGACCTCATCTAATTAATTTCCTATCCGATTTATTTGAGACAGCAGCCTTCTTTTTTCTTGATCATCTATTTTCCTGACTAGTGTTTCCTTTTTCTCGCTGTCTTGATATCTTTTATTTTCTAGAACATTTAGAATTTTCATATTGTTGTTGAAGCGCTTTTCTAATTCTTGTTGCAATTTAACATCTTTATTAATCCTTAGAACCTTCTTATTATGCTTAAGGTATTCTAAACCTTAAGAGCAGTTTAAAAATTTCATTTTTCTCCTATTCATTATCTCATCTATTCATTCGAAATTTAATAATTAAAATTTTTTAAATTAGAAGTAGAAAACTAAAGTAATAGCTCATTTGGTGATATTGTAGCTATCACATCTATTTAGAAATTAAAAAATTTAATAAGTTATCTTAATTGTATAGGCATTATTGATTAAGTAATAGTGGGGGGTTTTAACTTAAAAATAAATAATAAAATTGAAGATAACTTAATTTGAAATTAATTAATAAATAATTAATTTTTTGATTTAAAATAAATAAACATGTAATATTATAAAATAAAAATCTATTATAAATTAAAAATATAATTTCTTAAATTAAATTTTTATATTAAAAAATTATAAAATAAATATTTTTTAATAAAAAGCAAAATAAAATAATTAAATTTATTAATCTATTTTATAGCAAATCCAGGAATTAAATTCTTAATTCGCCACTTCCATAAGAATTTAATACCTGGAATTGCTATAATAATAATGATTTACTATCCTATTACCAAATTTAAATCACTTATCACTAATTTATCCTTTACATAAAAAAATAAATTTAATAATTTGATAGTAATATACTTATTTCTTCTTAAAGAGTTCGATCATCCATTAGCTGTAGTGGAGGTTTCTATTCATTTTTTACTTTTTTTGCAAAACTATTTGAATATTGTAAATCTGGTTAAGCTCTAACAATATTAGGTGATTTAGTCATCTAGAAATCAGCAGTTCCAAATTTTATTCTAAGCAGCAATTTTAAATCTGTATCTGTATTAAAAGAGACGAAGAGGTACTATGAATTAAAATAGTTCGTTTTGGAAGGCTCAGAGAATCTTATTACATATCTATTCTTTTTAATTTTAGTTTAAGGAATAAGCATTAATTAAAGTTAAATTTAATGACGCTTATTAGCTAATTAAGCAAATTAATTATTTGCTTAAAGGGATATTTCCCAAATAAAAAATAACTTTCTGAGAAATTTCATTTAGTTAATTAATCAAGAAGAAAAATCTTAATTTACAATGACCTTAAAAAAAACAAAATATAAATATCTATTTTGATTTGCTAAAAACCAAATTGATAAGCTAGAATAAATAATAGCTATTCATTTAAGCTCGAACTATAAAATTTTAGGAATTAATCTATATTCCAATTGTATCATCCATCAACACGAACGAAAATTTAAATAAAAATCATTATAATAACATCTATCTCTATATCTTAATTTACAGTTGCCTTAATAATTAACAAAAATATAAAAATCTATTTTCATATTTGCTATAATTGATTGGCTAAAAATAAATAATAACTATTCATTTAAGTTCGAACTATGAAAATACCTTTTAGGAATTTATTTATCTAACAAAATTTAATCATTTCAGATTCAACAACTTAAAAATTCAAATAAAATCATTCTAATAATTCTCTATTTCTTGCTTGTGCTAACAAAATAATTAAAATTAACCAACTTCCTATCTTTAATTTGAAACATTATTAAAAAACACTTTTTAAATTTATTCCTCTCTAAATTCTTTTACTTTAAATCCAATGTTTAAACTTCAAATAACAAAAAATTCAGAAAAAAATATTTTTAAATAGCTTTTTTTGCTTAAAAATATAAATTTTTTCTCATATTTTTGAGATAACTATTTTAAATTTTCTAAAATATTGCTATTTTGAAATTTATTTCAGTGATTTATTTATCATTTGATATTAAAAATAAAAATAGTGAAAGCTTACTTCAAAGATCAAGTTGCTGTTGAAGATGTTTGGATTCTAATTTTCTGTTGATAAGAAAATTTTTAATGAGTTTCTCTTAAAGGAATCTATCTAGCTTAATTCTTTAAAAAAATAAATTAATTTACTTGGTAAATGGTGGTTCTAGCTTTTTAAATTTTAAATACATTAAAAGCTATAAAAATAATTTAACCTTACATATAAAGAGGGGCTAATTTTTATTTTTTATGTATATCTTGAAGTATTTAAATCCATATTTTTCTAATTCAATAACCTATTACGGCATATCAAGTTCTATTATTAAATTTCAAAATGTAAATGTTAACAATTTCAAATATTTATGCTAAAATAATTTTTAATATATTTCTGAACAAAAATTAATGCTAATTACTATAAACTCCATATTCTAGTTTCATTTCTTATTTTATTGGTTCTTCTACTTCAATTATTTTTGCTTTATCATCAGTTTAGATACCTTATAATGCAGAGTTGAGACTGTCTTTGTATATTTATACAAAATGCATCTTTTATTCAATGTCTTGTAAAAACTCAGAAGAAATTGAAGAAGAAATCCCCTTTAAATTTGAAAAAGCAGTTTAAGGCCTTTTAGTCTTAAATCTTTCTCCATCTTATTCCACTAATTAATTATCAAGTTGCATTTGATCTTATTTTTCTTAGTTGATATCTGGTGATATCTGCATCAAATATTATTAGTAATTATTTGTTATGCTCACCATCTATTTTCTGTTTATGCTTTTTCCAGCTAATTGAGCAGCAGCTGCGGCAGCTGTTGAAGGTCTTTGTAAAGAATCCTTTTTTAATTGAAAAAGCTCATTTTTTTATATTCCTAATTATCCTTATCCCATAATTTATGCTTAAATACTATTATCTATTTACTGACTCTGTCTATATTGAGAATTCAAGAAAGGATTTTATGTAAGCATTTAACTTGAAGGGGAAATTAAATTGTTCATTCTTAAATTTTTGACAGTTTATGACCCAAGTAAATTTGAATTATTTCCCATTAACGGAGTGTTAATTATTAAATTATTTGCTTTTGCTTATTTCATTTTTTAGTTTGCATCATTACTCTTCAAATTACTTTACTAAATTTTAGAAGAATCAGTTTAAATGGTAAGCTTAGGTTAATTATTTGTTCCTGCAGATGTGTTGCGATTTATCATGATGACTTATATAATTTAAAAATATAAAAATTTAAATTATATAATCCTATTTATACAAGTTTTTCAGCTATTTTAAAAACAAATTCCTACTAAGCTATGAATTAAAAAGTAAAACTTCTTGAAGAATATTTGCAAAATAACAAAAAATATACAAAAGTTTTTTTGCAAAGTGTTTTATATTTTTTTTACATTCAAAATGTAATTTTGATGTAGATTAATATTCAAAAAATTATTCTATTCTAAATTTTTTTAATTTAATATTTTTTAAAAATCATATTTTGCTTTTAGTAAATAAATGAAAAAAGCTAAAGAAAATATTTTTTTTATATTAAATATTTAATTTTGCCATAATTAATTTTTATAAGTTTGATTAAATTTAATTTTTTTTTTAGTTTTGAAAAAAAAATCAGCTTTCTTAAAAAATATTTTTTATTAATTCATTTAATTTTAGAAGTTTAGAAGTTTAATCATTTTATTTTAATTAAATAAATATTTTTAAGATCTGAATCCTTTACATTTATTTATCTTAGATCATTCTTAAAAATAGAATTTTAGGCTATTTGTTAGTACTTCTTAGTTATTTTTCTGTATTTATTAACTAAAATACACTTTGTTAAAAAGTTAAAAATAATTAATTCAAAATATCTGTTTTTATCAAATATATATATTGATAGATTTTATATAAAATCTTATAAAATTCAAGTTATTTATTTGAAATTACTATTATTAAAATAAAATCAATAAAATTTTAATCAGATTTTCAAAATTTTTACTTAATAAATTCATAATTAAAGAAAATGAAAATAATTAATAAATGACTAAAACAGATTAACTTATACAATCAAGCAATATTTGATAAATCAAATCATTTAAAATAAATTTTTTAAGGATAAGGTTGCAAAACTTATGGTAGTGAGCAGAAACTAGAAAATAAAGAACCCTTAGAAAACATAAATATTTTAAAAATTAAAAATAGATTAAAATTTTAATCAGAATTCTAGATAGTTGGAACACAAAATAATTTTTCAATTTATATCATATTATTGAATTAATTCTTCAAATTTTTCGTGAATTAATAAAGCCTTATCAGTCACATGCTCAAAGTGTTATTATGTCAATTCTTCGATGTATTCATTAATTTTGTAGTATTGCATTTGCTAAAGGACAAATATCATAATATCTTAAGATTATACACAATCTAGAATATATTCAAATGTTTTAAGCAAGCTAAATATATTGTCAATATCATTAATTTATTCAAATATTTATTTGGCTATATTCATAAAGTAATAATCTTAAATTGCTCTTCTAATAAAATTTTCATTTGAATTGTCTAATAAATAAGCAAAGAACAAAGCACATTAATTTCTTATTTTTGGCTTATCTTGCTGCATCATTACCATAAACTTTGAAACTAAATTTTTTTCAAGAAGCACATCTTTGATATTTTGTGATGAGCAGGCTGCCATATTTATAAAAGTATACATTGTGTGAATTCTAGCTTTATAATTTGAATGATCTGAGTATTTTTTTAAGACTGAAATGTAATCAAAAGTGACAAACTCTTCTATATTTCTATCAGAATTGTAGCTTAAATAATTGACTATACATAAGGCAGGTATTATAACTAATTCTTTATGATTATTCTCTAAGATATCTAAAATTAAAACATATTCGCTGATTTCATTAAATTCAATTAGGGCTTCTATTTTTGCCATTCCTGACAATGCCCATAAAACTTATTAAGTTATATCTTCGTCATCTTAATTGTAGCTCTTTTTAAGCTCACTCATTAAATAGTGAATTATATACTTAAAGCTATCCTATTATTTTGATAATTTATATTTAATATTTTTTAATTTTTATTTAATTTAATATGACTTAGTCCTCTTCAGAAAAGTCTTCAACAGTTAAACCGACCATATTTCCAAAGGTGCACTCATATAAATAAATTAAATTGGTTCTAAATGCATCAAATTTCTAAAAAGGTTAGAAAATAGAATATGCTTTTAGCTCTATTAGTTTACTCTACACGCAATTTTAATCTGTACAACTAAAGCTAGCGAGAGTGAATAAGGCCTAAATATTTTTTGGTAAAAATAAAAGAATTTAAAATATCAAAAGAAACACATTAAGAGAAAGTTTGAATGGTATCTGAGTAATAAATAAATCAATGAAGAATGATAATTACATTATTAATAACAATTTCATCCTGCTGATTTTTAAGAATTTCTATTAAATTATCTAAAACTCTATATTCTACAAGCTTAGAGATAAATTGCTAATCCCACACGTAAGGGATATTTTACATTATTTTTAATGACGTTTTAAAAAGCTAAGGATAATTCACGGCTGTTTCTTAAGAAATAAATGCAATTAAATACAAAGGAAAGTCTGTTTCATTCAATATTTGTATTGATTCTTTAAGAATTTCTTCGCTTGAGTTGAAAATGGTGTATTGAGAGAAAAACTTAACCACTTAGAAGCATTAATCAAACTCTCTTAAATTAAAATGAATTTATAACTACTGCAATTTTTAAGCGACCAATTACTCATTCTATTATGAAAAAAATTAAATTTTTTTTAGCTAAACATTGTTAATTAATCTAAATTTACTTGAGATAAACTTTTGATGTCTTCAATTTAATTATGATTGAAATCAGGATCATTTTTGTTGGTGAATTTCAATCTTGTAAAGTTTAACTATCTATTTAATTTCTCTCTTCTGATTTTAATTCTATGATTCTCTTGTTTGAACTTAATTGCCTATTTGAGTTCGTGTGATTCGTCCTAATTTTACTAAAAATCTTACATATTTATTTTAAGCTAAGTCTACTTTTTTAATTTCAGAAATTTTAATCTAAATGAATTTTTGATATTGTATAAAATTTTTAACATCACTAAAATTTGCGCTAAATCTATTTAAACTTTAGATTCTAGATCAAATTGTCACCAACAAAAAAAAAATAACAAGCTCTAATAATTAATTTATTTAACCAAAAATGTTACTTTTTAAATAAAATATTTTATAAAAAATTTTAATTCTTTATAAAAACAGATTTGACAAAACGACATTTGGTATTAATTTATAATTTCTTAAATTATATTAAAATGCATTTAATAATTTATTTGTTTATCCATAATTTTGTGTCAAATACTTTATTATTTTTAATCGTTATTATTTATTTTTTATGCAGAAAACAAAATTTCAAAAAATTTAATTTATTTATTAGATATTAAATTTGAATTTTATTGGTTTAAATCATCTCTCATTAAATAATACAATCTTATTAGCTTAAGATATTATAAAAATAAATATAAATATAAACATAATCTTTATAATCAAATTCTAAAGACATCCTTTTACTTATGAATAAATATCCTTCTGTAGAGATATCTAACTTCCTAAACACTCAGAATAACGCATCTGTAAAACAAATTAAAAGATCAGACAAATATGCATGATATATATTATTTATTTATTTTTTTAGGATAGCTAAAGGGATAAGGGCGATAAGGGATTAAAAAAATAAAAAATGCTGCTCAGTGAAAGTTTAAAAAACATATAACTTGTAAATAAATTCTATCTAAATGAACTTGTTTTCAGATTTTATTTGTTAGTAAAATGAAAATTTAGAAGTTGATATCAGTGATTAAAAAATGATGTACACAAGATAAATCAGGGAAATGGACTAGGAAAGTTTGTCTATAAAATCATAGTTAGTTTTTAAAAGCTTATAAATTTTAATACAAAATATTTTAATTGTTTAAATAGAATAGACTATGTCAACTTATAGATCAACCAATAGCTGATACTGAAGAAAGACTTACAATTTAAAATACTAAATTGCAAAGATAAAATAGAAGAATATCAAAAGTCTCTTTAAGAAAAATCTAATATGTAAAAATAGCTAACTAGGAGTCTAAGTAATGGGATTAAATCAACTGTAAATAAATAAAAAAATCAATAAATTCTAAATGTTAATTTAAGTTATTTATTAAAAGGTTAAAGAAAATGAGAATTTAAAATAAATACTACTTGAAAAGCAATAAAATTTAGGTTAAATGGAGAATGAACTAATCGAAGTTTAATAAAAAATCTAAGAGCTTTAGTCTGAAGTTGAACTGTTAATATCTACATCAGGGCTTAAATCATAGATGATACAGCATTGTAGATAAGAACTGCAAGCAAATTTTTAGAAAATGGAGTAATCTAAAATGGAAATAAACTCCTTAAGAGATTTGCTGGCAAGTTGCGAAATGGAACACAAATCTGCTTAATCTCAAGTAAATAGCTATTTTAAAATTAAAAAATTTTAATTTAAAATGTGAAAATAAGGTTTAAGAATGCAAAAAATAAAAGAGTGATGAACAGGAATTGTTATAAAAGCAATTATCTCAAATAAGAATTGATTAAGAACAAATATAAAGAGAAAAAAAGGCAGAGTAAAAAAAGATGGTATTTATTCATAAGCAAAGTGCTATTCGAGTGATATTTAACTCTGTAAATAAGATAAAAAGAAGATTTTATCTTGAATTTATACTTAAATTGTAAAGTAATGATTAAGAGAAGTCCCTTGTAAGAAAAAAGTTAAGAAGAGTTTTAGTTATATAAAATAAGCTATTTAATAAAGTTGTGTAGTTTTATTTGAGATAATGGAGATCTAAAATTAACTTAAAATAGTAAATTGATATTTTTACTAAATTCTAAATTAAAATATTATTAAATAATTAAAAACTAATCTTAATAGAGAAGAGGAAAGAAATTCAAATATATTAAAGAATATCTATGATTTTAAGACAAAGGCAAGGTTTTATAAAATATGGAGAAAATGCTTTGAACAAAGGTAATTTTAGCTCTATAGAAAATACCAATCCCTTTGTAATTTAAATATAATCGATAAAGCTTTAAATAAGATTGTGATTTAAAGAGCTTTTTCTAAATGGCTAGGATAAATAAAAAAAGTTTATAAGTTTATTTTTTGTCTAGAAAGAATTAATAAAAATATTCAAAATAACCTTGTTAGGTAAGGGTTTAATTCTATTTAGCAAGAGTGTAAGAAACAGTTATAAGATAATTTGTTTGAAGAAAATATAAATTTTGTTGTTCAATAAAGGTATTTTATTAATTTTACTGATTAAATCAACTATTTAAAAAATTGTTTAGAATATAATTTTAGTGCTTTTAAGAATGGAAGAATTTCTAGCTTACAAAAAAAAGGAAAAATATGATTATCCTTGGTCGATCATTAAAACTATGGAAACTATTTATTAATAAAAAAAAAATGAGATAGTTGTAAATATTTCATATTTCTATTAATCTTAAAAGTAAAGAAGAAAAATTCCTTAAAAAAATCATCAATTCTTGGAATTTCATTATGTAATTCTTTATTTTGGGGTTATTTTTATTTAACATTTTTTTATATAAAAGATAAAATGAGAAAATTGAAAAGCTTAGAGAAAAGTAATAATAACTTAACTCTTAGTAAGAAAATATTTCATCCAATTTAAGAGAGACTGAAGAAGAACTTTTGAATACCCAAAAAAGTATAAATTGAAGTGAAAAAAATAAAATTTTAATAAATATAAAATTTAAATTAAAGGGCATGCTTTATAATTAGTGATAAATAGACAGAATTCCTAATTATAATCAATAATTTATAAATGGAAATTAGCTTCAATTTGCATTAAGAATTAAGGGAATGCATTTTATTCAATTTTAAATGGGATTGTTGCTAAATAAAAATTACAAGTAAATATTGCATAAGAAATTATTTAATTTTAAAAAATTTTTTTATCAAAAAAGGCTTTTGTTACAATTAAAAAATAAAATGAAAAATTTATAAAAAGCTTGGAAAACAAAACTATTGCCTAGTTTAATGAGCAGATATCAGAAATCGATTAAGATATATAAAAGCACGAAGGCAGTATATAATTGCACAAAAACCAATAAAGTATTTTTAATTATTTAAATACAAATAATAATAATATTGTTATTAAAGAAATTAGAAATCTTTAGCAAATAATAATTAATAAAGAAAGAAAGTTAAATGAAATAAAACTCAAATATTTTTCTAGATTTAAAGTAACCAGCAGAAAAATTTCTTATAAAAAGACTTATTTATCAAGATTGTTTGGGATTATATAGAAAAAGTCACTATATTGTGGATTTAAAAAATTATTCTAGCATTATCAAGTAAGCTTTCGTATTAAAATTATTCATATATTTATATTTCATTTTTAATAATAAAAGTATGAGAATAAACAATAATAAAACGAAAAGCTTATTAAAAAATAACTATTTAAATAGTAAACCAATTTGGTTAAGCTTGCAATGGAGTCATTCAAAAATAATATTTAATAAAATATTCAACTTAAAGTGTTTTTAAGAAAGAGAATATTTCAAATTGAAAGATAATAAATTAATATTTACTTCTATAAATGGGCTAATATTCTTAAAACCGAATAAAGTTAAAATTACTATAAATTAATTGAACAACAAAATGATTAAACTGAAAATTTAAAAGAAGATATCGAACAACTATAAATGAAATAAGAAGTTACAAAAAATCTAATTAAATAAAAAGATAATTACTACAAAAATAATTTAATTAGATTTTTAAACAAATATATAATGTTATAGTATAAATTAAAGTAAAAAAAAGGCTTAGCTCTTTGGAAAATTAATTTAAAGCATAATGATAACTTAATTAAACTCTCTACTTTGGTATTATCCAATTTTATTTAATTTCTATTTTTAATTTATTTTATTTAAAAAAAGCTTGATAAATACTTTAAAGTACAATTATAAAGAATATACTTCAACTGTATAAAATAATATTCTTTTAATATTGATGTTTGTTAACTTTAGTTAAAAGTTCAAGAATAAGAAAAGAATTTCAATGAATTTAAGAAGAAACATGATTCAAAAGTTAAAGAAATTACAGAACAATTAACCAATTTAGACTAAGTTTAATAAAATCAGAATCTGAAAAAGCAATAGATTAAAAATCTCTTAAAATAAAAAAATTAATGGAAAATTGATACTTTCCAATAGAATTAAGGTTACTTAAAGATGAAGCTAGCATATTTTAACTGGAAGTTTATATACTCAAAAAATACAAAAATAATTAATTAATTTTATAAAGTGATTTATGCAAATATTTTAAGATGCAATTTTAATATTGTAAAAAATGCTTATAACTAGGATAAAATATAAAAAAGAAAACAGTATTTGGTTTAAAAAATACTAACAAAGAGAAGAATGTGCGATTTGAGAACATGGATAAACAAATGGTATATTGTATCTGAAAAGAAAAAAGAAATTCAACTTTGCTAAAAAAATTCAAATCAAAATTTTCAAAACTAAATTGCACATGAAAAAAGAATAACGACAATTTAGAGATTTTTAAGTTCTTAAATAATTTTAAAAAATATGAAAATTTAGAAGTAGTATCTTTTAACATTAAAGAATTACGTAAGAAGCTGTAAAATTAACAATAATAGAATTGATTAATGCAAAAAGAACATTTAAAAGAAGGATATCAGGACATTTCTATAAGCTTTAAAACAAAATTATGTTTTGAAAAAGCAAATCAAGCAAAATTAATAATTAATAAATCAAAAAAATAATTTTAAAAAGTTAAATTATTACTTTTTTTAACTAAAATTCTTACTCTAAAGGAATAAAAGGTTTGCAAACATAATGAATAACATAATTTCTTGCAACCAAATACTTAGTTAATAATTTTGCTTCAAAAGTATAATACAAGCTAGTCATGGATAAAAAGTAAATTTTTATTTTATCTGATATATTTTAATATTTTATTTCATCTGATATTATTTTATTCATCTATCTGATATTGTATTAATGTGCTTTAATTTTAAATAGCTTTAAAAAATTGATTTCAAAAACAGAGGATTGACTTAGCTCATTACTTCAGCTTCTTAAATTATGATAAAATGGCTTTCAAATATATTTGCAAATTTAAAAAACTTTTCTAGTATTTAATCTTATAAGAAAAATCTCCTGAAAAAGCTAATTTTAAGAAAAGTTTAATTCATCTAAAGATCTTATATCTCAAAATGGAGATTTAAATCAAACTAAATGAAATAGTTTTAAGAAGATTCAGAAGAAGGTGATTCGAAACTCGAACAAGTGTTTTTATCAAAAAGATTCGATATTATTCTTGAATTTATAGCAAGTAAAGGTTATGACATGAGCCAGCTTAAGTCATATTTAAAATAAAAAAAATAAAAAGAAATAGATTTAATGCATAAATCAGCAACAAGATTAATTTTGAATGCATCGGAGATGAATTTACTTCCTAAATCTTTCAATACATGGTTAGCATTCGTATAAAGAAGGAAATCTATAAAAGAAGCATGCTCTAAAATGCTTCCAAGGATAAGATAACCAGATTTACTGCAAGCATTTAAGAAGTGGAAGAGCAAAACATTTATTGTTTATTCTAAAACTCAATTTGATACTAGAGATGTGCTTTTAGAAAAGTAAATTTTATTTTTTTTATTTTTTAATCAAGACATTTTTAATTAAACAGGATGGTGGTCTTCAAAGAAAATACAGATAGACTAGAAAAGTAGTTAAAAGAAGCCGAAAATATGTTGAATGAATAAACTAGCTTGAATACCTTACTAGAAAATAAAAATGTATTTTTTCTTCAAATAATTATCATTAAATTTTTTTAATATTTTTAAGGTATTGGCTGAGAAATTTGCTATGAGAATTATCAGTTTGTTTGAAAAAAAAGTATAAAAATAAGGTTTTGATAAATGGATCTCATTTGTAAAGTAATAACGCATAGATGAATATGAATACATTCAACTTCAGTCAGATGACAAAGTGAATGAATTGCAATTAGAAATACAAAGACTGAATACATTATTTATGGAATTATAAAAACAAAATGAAGAATTAAGAGCCATTTCTTTAGAAAGTATATCAGTTGCAGAGGTATTTAATTAATCAATAAAATAAATATTTATGAACTTTTTTTATTAATTTTATGTCAGTCTATTCAGAATATAGCAAAAGAAAGAGATGGTACTAACGATGCTCTTAAGGAAAAATAAATTTCCATTTAAAACTTGATTGAAGAAAATAACTCCCTTTCTGTTAAGCTCAACCTTGCTTAATCATAGACTGCTTAAATTATGAAGATGTCTAAGTTAGAGAAGTCCTAAAAAAATAATTTTCCATAAGAGACTTCTTCTACTCACACTTCTTATGAACAATCATTGTGAATTGCATAATAAACTTATATTTAAAGCTGATTCATTAATTAACTCTTTAGCTTCAAACTTTAGTATAATTTTATAATTGTAATTATATAAAATTTTGTTTATTTTTTTATTATAAAATACCAATTTACAAACAACCTCAAAACAAAACACATTTTTTTAAAGTAAAATTATTTTTTAAATATTAATCTTTTCAATTAACTTTTGTTTCCTCTTTAATTTTCAATAAATATATATATATATATATATTAGTAAATTAATATGTCTGGAATTTAGATTATTTTTTTAATAATTATTCAATATGAACATAAAACGGATTATGATAGTTATTTGTGTAAAATATTTAAGCAATTTATACTTTAATTCAAGTAGTTAAACATTTTAAAATAAAATATGTAAATCATACTAATTCAAGGCAAATTTAGTTTATAATTTTGATAAACTTTGTTTTGACTCTATTTGAGTTATTGACTCTTTCAGAATAAAAAGATATGACTTGAATTTATATTAATTTAAAAAAATTTTCAATCAATAATGTATATTAAATAAATAATAAGAACTGTTTGTGTTAAGTATTAAAATTTCTGCTTTTAATTCTAAATGGTAAAAATTTTGCTAATTTAACACATATTAATTAAAGAAATTTTTAGCTTAGTCATTAATTTTTGATGAATAATTTGATGTTAACTCTAATAAATAAATATAATACAAAATGAATATTAATATAAAGTTAGCAGAACTAATAACTTAAATAAATAGTTTTATTATTATTTATTTATACACTTATAATTTTTTTTTGTTAATTAAAATTTAATTATTTATAGACTTATAATTGCTTATTAGTATTATGGATTATTTTCAAAAATGAATATTATGATCACATTTTATATAATGAGGTGAGTCTTTCATTATCCATTCTTCGATTTAAATAGTGCTATGATAAATGCCATACTGTCTGCATAGTTCAGTAGTTTTATTTAGAACCTCACGAGGGTTTTCAGAAATGAAAATGTGGCATGTCAATGATGGTTTGCCTTAAGATAACTACCAAATATGTAGGTCATGTATTTCCATTACGTTTGCTATCTTTAACAACTTTTCCTTGAAGTTTTATACATCTATTTATGATGGTGTACCTTCCATTAATACTTTAAAGCAATCAATGCTAACGTTTTTAGTAGTTAGTAAAACAAGAATTGAGAAGATATATGTGCAAATAGGGTCAGCAAGATGCCAATAGTTAAAGCCATCATCTCCACCCAAGAAATAAATCAAGAATGCTGCAATAAGAACTCCAATAGATTATAGTAAGTCACCTAATTATATTAATAAAAAAATGATAAGTATTATTTTCAGAGCTGACTTGAATTTTTTTGATTATAATCATCTTTTTTGGTGCAAATTCATGAGTTTTTAATAAATTTTATTGTGATTCCTAATTTTAGCTATTTTCAGTAAAAATTTAAAAAGAAAAATAGGAATCACTTAGTAAGCAAAATTTCTCTATGTGATTATAATTCTTTTTTAATAGTGTTACAGAGAGTAAATTTCTGATTTTATTTGCAAAATTCAAATTCATCATTTTTTAATAATTTTTTACCTAAAACATGAATCATTGCTGCTCTTAGATTATAGTTATCTTTAGCTTCAACCTATGATATATTTTTCTTCTTATCTTATTGAGAGTCGTGCTTGTGATTATTGTCGTGGTCATGGTCGTGATTATGATCCTGGTTGTGATTGTGATCGTGATCATGGTTGTGGTCGTGATTATGATCATGATTGTGGTCGTGATTATGGTCACATTTTTCAGAATGTTAGTGAGCAATTACAGTATTTGCATTTTCGTTGCTCTTTTATTATTATTGCTCTGGTTAATCAGAATTAGATTTGCATTCCTTGATTTAAATTATTTTTATCAAATAAAATGTAAATTAATTAAAAAATGATCTTACATCATGATTATGTTATTCGTGATTATTGTGATTATGAATATGGTCGTTTTTTTAATTTTCTAAGTCACCTTTTAAATTATATTAAAATTTTAAAAAATTGGAAAATAAATTCAAATTAATTTTACTACTTTGTTAATTCTGGTTATTTTATTCATTCTAGTGGTTATGTTAGCAATTGCTATCATGTTTATGTTCATTCTGTTTAAGAGCTTTCATATTATCATAATTTTTATGATCATGAACTTTATGTTCATGCTAGTGTCCACTGCAATGTGATTTCTTATGATTTTACTCATGTTGATGTTCACCTTCATGTTTATGTTTATGATTTGTATCACCATGATCATGATCATGATTATGATTGTGACCATCACCATGGCTATGGCTATGTCCGTGAGAGCAACCGTGGTGGCTGTGTCCTGGACCACTGTGTAAAACTTTAGCCATTATCAAGTTGCAGATTAACCCAAAGACAGCTGTAGCAAGCATATAAACAGGTTATTCAACAGGTTCTTTATTGACTATTCTAATTGTAGCTTCATATAGCAATATTATTGTAACTATCCAAATCAGAATAATACTAATAAGAGCTCCGATAACTTCAGAACGATGGTAACCAAAAGATAAAGATTTAGAAGCAGGTTTTGAGCTTATCCAAACGGCAACAATCGAGATGAAAAATCCACTCAAATCTGAGAACATGTGAGCAGCATCACTAAGAATAGCTAGAGAACCTGAAATAACACCACCAACTATTTCAGCAACTAAGAATATAAAAGCTATAAAGGATACAATGAAAAGCTTCCTCAGAATTTCTAAGCTATGATTATCTGAAGGAGGCTTGTAGAGGGTTCCGTGAAGGGATATTTTGTCAGATAATGTATTACACTCATCAGTGTTTTCTGTTTAATAATTTGCAATAGTATGAGGTTATGTATGACCTTTGCACATTTTTTTCAGATTTTAGCTTTTTTTGTATATTTTGATTAATTGAATTATTTTTATTATATTAAAAGATCAAATTTTCATTTTTTTAAACTTCTCGTTTTGGATGTCTTCATGAGTAAATTTATGAACTAGCCTTTTTAGTATCCAATGTAAATTTTAAATTAATTGGTCATTTGAAGAGTTTTAATTAATTAGTCTTTTTCATATTATTTAATCTTTAATTATAATCGTTTCTAAAGAAGTTCCAGAACAAAACTTCATGAGTTTAATTGGTTGATGAGTAAATTAATAATTATTTAATTATTTATATTATTTGGTGGGCTTAATAAAATTTTGGGTCCTTATTTTATTAATAAATAAATATTATTCAAATTACATAATTTTCTATTAATTTTCTAGAAGTTAACTTCATGAGCATTCTCAACTAATTGATGAATCAACTTCCAAGTAATTTAATTAAATTAAGGCTTTGTTGTTTGATAGTTATTTGCTTGTTTAGTCTTTTTCTATCAAAAAAACTATCTATTCTAATATTATTGCTTATATGCTAAGTTATTTCTTCTAAACGCTTTATTATTGTTATATAACTTTAGAAATATCTATTTTATGTTGAGAAATTTCATTTGAGAGAAAAATACTTTCATTTTAGGAAAAATTGTCTATTACTTCAAATATTTATAATAAAATATCAATTTTTAAAGAAGCTGCTTTAAATTGTTTTTATGATTAATTATCTCATTCCGTTTAATCAAAACAAACCCTAAAAAAAACTTATTTTTTAACCATTATAACTAAAAATAGAAATTTTGGAATATGAGGTTAATTAATTTTTTATAAGTGAGTTTATTTAAGATAAAGCTGGAAAAATATTTTGGATTATTTTAGATTTAAAAAATTTGTCTTCAAAATAATAGGAAGAGTTATATAAAAAATATTTTATAAAAAAATTATCAAAATTAATTTCTTTTTTAAGTTTAATAAAAAGTAAAAAAAAATTTAAAGTATTAAAAATCCTCCTTTACAAATTTTAAAGTAAATTAACGAATTGACTAAATAAATATATAAAATATTATTTTAAATTTTATAGTTTTTTGAGTTTTAAATACGTTTATCGTATTTATTAATTTTTAAAATAAATTATTTTCCTTATTAAAATTAATAATAATTTAATTTAAATTTTATTCTAGTAAGAAATAAAGATAAATTCAAATTTTGTTTATTTTTTTAATAGAAAAGAATCATTTAAACGTCTTTATAATATTTTTCAGATATTAAATGACTTAGCAATTAATTTTAAACAAAAAATTAATTGATTTTTGAGTAAGAATTAATTAAATTTCTACCTTCGCATTTGTTTAGATTGTTTTGAAGCAAAAATAGAATTTAATAAAATAAAAACAGCAACTAGATCATATATTTTGATATTTCTTAGTTAACTAAATATGAATATTATTTTTGTTTTTTTATTTGCAGTTTGCTTTGGATTAGAAAACAATTTTGTCTATGAATGGGATTCTAACAATTCATTTGAAATTTAAAATGTTGTATTCTAAAATATTGTATAATGCAACGATGATTTAGTAGCATTTTCAGCAAATAACTCAACATCAATGAGCCTACACTTTTTAAGAAACATTAATGGTACCTTAAGCTAATTAAGTAACTTTACTTACTTATTTGCAAAAGATTTTGCTGTATCAAATGATTGCTCTCTAATGGCAGTAATCGTAAATAAATCAATATCTATTATATAAATAAAACCATAATAATATGATCTGGTAGAATTAATAAATATATAAAGCTCATAATTTATATATGCAAACAGATTTAGCTGTGATAATAAGCAGCTCTTCTCAATAGATATTTTAGGATAAATTATTATTTACAATCTAGATTTTTTAAGTTTAAAAGCATCACAATTGTAAGTTGAATTTAGTGATTCAAGCTACTAAAACTTAACAGGTTACTACTTTAAGTGTTTTAGTAATCATGGAATTATTTAAACTTTAAACAATGCAATAAGGATATTTTAAGTAGATAGCTAAGAAAATCAATACATTCTTATTACAGATAAAGCTTATTTTTTAGAAACCAGTATGCTCAGTTAGGTAGAAATAACAAACGATAATAACTATTTAATAATAGTAAATTCTAATTTTGAAATAAAAATAGGAAACTTAACTTAAATTAAAAAATTTTAAAATCCTAAATTCCTGTAATATTTTTCAAATGGATTCTAGTTAACTAATATGGGTCAGTCTTAGCTTTTGTAAATCTAAGTTTCTAAAAACAACAATTATCTTTTTATTTCTGTAAGATCTTAAGGCATTTAAATTCTAGAAATTACTGACGTCAACAACCCTAAACTCTACTAAAATTTATAAATAGATAATGTTTAATTTTAATTTGTAATGACTAATTAAGACAAGTATGGTTTTATCATAGGACTCAAGATTATATAAACAATAATATAAAAATAAATTCTATCAGATGACTTATATCCAAACCTTTTTAATTTTCATTAAGTTATAAAAAGTTATGAAGGTAGTACTTATTTGAATAGATAATAGTAATGCTTTGTCAATTAAGATAGTAGTCTTTTTTATGGTATCCTTAGGGAATAAGGAATAGAATAACTTGCTATTAATTAGTCCTACTAATATATTTTTACTTTTATGTATTTCCCAATTCAAGATATTTTAAATTATTCTATTAGTGCCTTCCTTTTAGATGAGTAAAAAGGATAATTTTTTATGTCTTTACAGTCAGATACAGAAAATTTGTTAGCAGTACTTAATATGACCTAATTTGATAATAACAACAAAATTGTAGTTGTCAATATTCCTAACAATTTAACAATAAATTAAATGGCTTTAAGCCATAGTAAAAATAATCTTGCAGCTACATATAATAAATCAGTTTTAATATTTGATGTTTCAAAACCTAATAATATGGTTTAGCTTGCTAGCATTGATCTTAGCAATTATGTCTTTTAATTTTGCTCAAGCTTAATATTTGCGGAAAATGATAGGTAATTAAATTTACTCTAAATTCTCATTAATTAATTAATTTATTTATTTTTGATGCTTTTTCAATGTTTATTATATATTAAAAAAATTTTGAAGAGAAAAAAAATTTATTCCTTGCTTATTTTATGAATATTCACAGTATTTTATATTATATTTATTTTATTGCAATAGGTATTTATTGATAGTGGCTAAATTTTAAGGATTAATTTTGCTAAATATAGAAGATTTAAGTAAATTCTATTTAAGCGAATTTTACATTACTCATTCAGCAGAAGATATAATTACATTTAGTTCAAATGAGAAATTAGCATACTTTATAGATGGATTTCAAGGAATCAAAATTGTAGATTTATCATAAATACCTAAAATTAAAGTAATTGGCTAGATTTAAGAATTTTAAGGTTGGGCTACTCATGTAATGCCTATTTCTAATGATAACTTCATTTTGGTAACTTATACTCATTTAGAAGCTATCAATTTATTTGATATTAGAGATATTTAAAATCCAATATTTATAAGCCAGTTACAATTGGATTTAACAGAGTATAATTGTGCATGCGTTACAACTGATGAAAAAACTTTATATATAACCACTTAAAATGATATTTTTAGCTATTCCTTATATTCTTAATAAAAAATTCACAAGTAAATAACTATAGAATCTACTTAATATTTTGCTTCCAACTAGGATTTTGCTCTTTAAAATTAAAATGTGAAATTTTTAATTGGATAGAAAGCAAGTATTAAATTAAATTTTATTTATCCTTAGTTAGACACAAATATTATTAACTTATACTACTATAAAGATTATTAAATTAGCTAACTACCAGGGTGGATTAATTTTTTAAGCAATAAACAAATTATTCAAATAAATTCTATTAAAGATGGAGTTAATGCTTATTCTTAAAACCCTTCTTTAAATATTTTAATCCTTGAAACTCAACAATTCTTAACATAAGAAAATTTTGTACCAATTGATTAAGATATTTAGCTCAGCGATGATCAAATAGGAATTATATTTAATACACTTTAGAATTATAATATTATCAATTATAATAACTACACTGACTTTGAATATTATTCTCAGTACTTTAGCTAATTTAAAAATCAAATTGCAGCCTCTTAAGATTTTAATGGAAATTAAAATTTGGAAAGCATATTCCTATTTGTTTAAAATACACTGCTTAAAAGCAAGAAATATAATCCAATATACTTTTATTTACAAAATTCATTAAGTTTTAATTTCGAAAACAATTAGATCAGTACATTATCATCTACTGTTACAGTCTCTTTGACAATTGATTAAGTCTTAGGATAGCTTTATATGCAAGATTTGCATCAATTTACAATAAAAAACTAGTAAGGTGGTTCTATTTTAAAACTATTTGGGAATGTAACTAATATAAACTCTGCATTTATTCAGTAACAAGTAATATTTATACCAAATCAATAAGCGCCTTAAAGAAATATTGATGATAATAAAATAATAGTGGATATTTTTATAGATGATAACTTAAATTATCCTTTAAAATTTTAAATTGATTTAAATAATGCAAGCTTTATAAAAATACTTGGGCCTATAAATGTAACAGAATCATTGTAAGATTAGTTTGATTTAGTTTACTAAGATTCAAAAATCCAAGTTGACTCTTATATAATATGTTCATTCAAAAAGACTACCTTCAATGATACTCAAAATCTTCCCATAACTTACTAAGCAAGGTATTAATAAGATAATTAAAGAGAAATTTCAATAGAAAGCTCAAATTGGTTATAATTTGTTTATGAGAAAGCTGATTTACGAATATAAGGCTAAGTACCTGAATCTTTATACTGGAGTGATGTAAAAGTTACTATAACAGCTTTTAATGGATACACACAACAAAGCGATTCTTTTATTATGAAGGTAAGAATTATCTCATTTTTACTTTTGTTAAAGACTTTTTTGCAGATTACTTCTCCTATTGCTTTTATTTTTACACTCTACTAGTACAGAAATATTCCTTATAATATCTATTATAAGTAGAAGCTTTTCTATCAAAAAGAAGTAATATAAGTAAACAAAGAATACATTAAAAAAATTCCCATTTTAAATCATGATTTCAGAATAGCAAGAAAAATTTTCAAGGCATATAAACAATACATTTAAGAAAATTATATTTAGTAACAGTAAAAGCAAAAAAAGTTCTAAAAAGAAGTAAAATTTAAAGACAAAACAAGTTTAGATTTTGAATTTTATGAGCAAGAGTAGCAAAAAAATTATGAAAATGATCAAGTTAATGACTAAGTTTTTTAGCTAGAAAGAACTTTTGATATAAAAACTATGAATATAGATTAAGATAATAATAATGACAGCCAAAACTCGGCATAAAATATTCGCTTTTAAAAATAAATAAAAAGTGATGTAGAATAAAAAAGAAAATCATCCTCTCAATCAAAAAAGAACAAAACTTTAAGTTCAGATAGTGATAGTGACGAAGAAGAGGATCTGTTGACAAAAATGATATAAGGGTAAACTAGAAAGAGATCTGCAATTATATACACAACAAATGTATAACAATTCTTTAAGTCATAATAGAATAATAGTAAATTAAATAAAATTATAGAGCTTCTGAATGGTTAGTAAGGTAAAAATATTGGAGAGGAAAATTAATTTTTAGCTTATTTATCAACAAATTTTGTCAACAAAAAAGGCTGTTTGAAAACCAAAAACCTCTTTTAAGATGTCCTTGAAGCAAAATTAATATTTGTACATAAGCGTAAAAAGTATAAAATAAGTTAATTTTAGGACGAGTTAGAAAACTAAAAGTCTGTCCTTTACACTTCGCTGAAATCATTCTTTGCGAGATACCTGTTGCAAAAAGATAAAAAAGCAAAAATTATATATAGATTTTTGAAAAATCAATGTAAACTGAGCTAACAATATACATAGAGAGATTGGTATAAGTATTTAATTGAAATTAGATCAACTAAGGAAACAGATATTAATGGACAAAATATTCCATTTCCAAGACTTTATGTAAAGTAGAAATAAATTCAAAGGTTATTTTAATAATTAGGGTTGTTAATGAATTCAACTAATGAGTATAACAATGAAAATAACTATGGTATCAATCTGTATTTAGTAATTGAAGTCATTTTCTCAGATGCCCTAGGTTTATCAGTAAAAAATAAAAATTCTTTTTAACCAGTATCAGGTGAATCACTACATTATACTCAGTTTGCAATAACAAGAGTAGAAGCGCTGATTTAAATTAAGCGTTCTTATTGTTTACGATAAAGAGAGTGTATCGATAAAATTTATAGAGCTTACGGTAGTAGTAAGAATTCTTTATTACCCAATTGGATGAATGTTAGCTAAAAGAAAAATTCAATTATAATAAGCGGAGTCCCAAAAAATTAAGATGTTGAGGAAATAGTGATAAGAATATATGACCGATTCGATTTTATTGCAATATAATACAAGCTTCAAATAGTAAATTCAGATAAAAAGTTAAGTGAATAGGTAAATATGCTGCAATCTCATAGTATAAATCCAATAAATCCTATTTTAAGTTCTAATTTATTATTATTTTAGCACAAGAAAAAAGTATTAGACTAACCATAAATCAGCACAAATAAGAATATGAACAGTTTAAGAGAAAGTTTTGAATCAGAAAGTATATAAACTGATAAGCAGGATAGTTATCAAATGCATAATAATTCAAATTTTAAAAATATAAAAACATCAGAAGACTTATCAAAATCATCTAACTAACAAGAATTATCTGAATAAATAGATCAAGTAAAAGAAATCCCTGAATTTTATTCATTTATATAATAGATGTAAACTTTTAAAGTAAAATGAATAAAACTGCATGCATTAGTGTTTATTTTCAAACTTATTTTGTAAAATCAGCTCTAAAAATATTGTTAAGTTTTACTAATTAGTTAATTAATGAATTCAAATTATTAATTAAAACTAAAATGAAAAAATAGATGATTTTTTTTGATGAAAATACTTTTCAAAACAATACAAAATTAATATATTAAATTTTTATAAATATATAAAAAGTATTTGATGCAAAAAAAAAATATATTAATACAATCTTTACTGTTTTTTTAATTTTTTAATTTTTAAGGAGATAAATGACATATCAAATTTAATTCTAAGTAAATTTGTTTTTTAAATAATTGAAGCTGTATTGTAAATAAATAATATGAATCAATCATTAACAAACATATTTTTTTATAAATAGAAATTAAATTTAATCCTAAAAAGTAATATATCCTAAATATTAATTTTTATTTTTAAAATCATTAAAATATAATTTTCTACTTGTCTAATAGCATATCTAAGATTTATTTATTGTATTATCAGATATTATTAATAAAACTTACTTTCATTAATTCAACATATTTATTATAACTTACTTAATCTTTCTTAAATAGTTATTTAAAATAAAAAATAATTAATATTTAAAATTTATTTATTTATTTATTTAGTTAGTTAATTATTATATTAATTATTCCCTTTTTCAACTTTTTCAACGTATTTGTATTTTTTTAGTAAATAAATTTTTTCTTTAGTATGAGTATTAGTTAATGTTGATAAGACTTCTAGAATGAAATCAGATTTTTAAGATAATTGAATTAACTTTTTAAATCATCATTAATAAATTAGTAAGAAATTTATAAATAAAGCAAATAACTCAAATTTAAAGTAAAAGCTATTCAAAGTAAAAAAAATATATAATAAATTAATAAAAAGTAGAAGTAAGTAACTCTTTATATATAATATGAGTTAAAATTTTATAGCTCTTATATTAACTTGCTTTTGTTCTTTATTTGTGTATACTTATCAGACAAAAAAGGACATATAATTTGTATACAATGACCAAAATATTTATTAACTAAATTTCAATAAATCTATTATATCATAGATGAAGCAATGTAATAATTTTCAATTCATTTTCACTTCTCTAGGCTATGATGGAATATCTATATTAAATACTGATTAATAATACCAGCCTATTTAAAATATAACTTCTAGCAACACATATGTAAATGGATTCGATATCACTCCAGACTGTGAATATCTTGCAATGAACTATAAATAAAATTTAACTATCTTCTAGCTTAGCAAATCCTCTCAAAAGTATATTCAAATTTCAGCATCATAAGACTAAATACCAATAAATGTTATAGATATGGCTTTTAATTTGAATAATAGTTTAATATATCTTGTAGGATCTTAAGGAAATTTATAAGTCTTTTAATTTTTGAGTGAGACAGCAAAAATAAATCAAGTGAAATTCATTTTCTCTTCTTAGACAGGGTATATAAGTGCTTTGAAAGTTAACTTTTTTTCGTCCTACTAAAATCTTATTTTCTTAACGACTACATACTCAGGAATTTACGTATTTGAGCAAATGCTTCTACTTAATAATTAAAATGAATAAGTTTTTTTGTTTGAAATAGGGAGCTACAAATAGATGCAAAATACTATTTTGATGACAAGTGATGGTTAATATTTAGTTTTATTAAACTAATGGAGTGGTATTAGTATTTTAAATATAAGTTAACTTTAGTAATTTTAATAAAATAATTAAACATGCCCCTTTAATACTGTAATAACTAATTGGTGGCCAACTTCAGCATTAAATCCATCTCCAATTGATGGTGCAATTTCAAACAAAGACTAATATTTATTTGTTTCAGCTAGATCATAAGGTATCTACATAATCGATATATCAGATATCTAAAATCCAATATTATTTTAGCACATTGATTCTGATGGAAGTTCTACTGCAATATTGTTCTCTTCTCAAAAAAATCTAATATATTTATCAAACTCAATTTCAATTAAAATATATTCTTAAGTATCTGCTTATCTAAGTAACTAATATCCAAATTTGTTTAATATGCATTTAGGAACAGAAGAGCTCGCAAGTATTCCAGCTTAATACAAGTGGAGGTGTTATATTAATTCATAAAGTTCAAATTACTATTGGGGAGCCTTTGATGATATAGGATTAGTATTAGCAAAAATTAATGAAGATGGCTATTTTTAGTTAAGCAGAATAAATATTACAAATTAAATAAACTTACACTCATTTTATGTTGACTCGCTGCTATTTGATACGAGCCAATAGCTCTTAATTTTACCTCTAGTTAACTTCTAATAAATATTAGGAATATATAACATTTCTAAGATAGAAGAACCTACTCTTATTTCTACTGTTAACTCTAACTATTTTGCTCGATTAGAATAATTAGCTTTCAACTCCAATAAAACATTAATAGCAGCAAGTTTTGGTTAATCAATTCTGATATTTGATATATCTAATATTAACAGTCCTAAAGTTTTTAATTAAATTCAATTGAATACACTAATTTTATCCCAATGCTCAGGAATAATGTTTGCATAATAAGACAAGTAAAAATAATAACAATTATTTTTTCGTTTTCCTTTAAATTAAAAATTGTTTACTAATATCATTTATTAAAAAATAATAAAAAATAATTAATTTATTAATTAATTAATTAAGGTACATAATTATAAGCTCTAGAGGTTAAGGATTTATGGTATTTGAATTCTAAAGTCCTCAAAATATTACACTTGTTAATTAGTATTTAACTCATGGAGGTGAAGATGTTAGGCCATTAAATAATAACAATTAGTATGCATTTTTTATAGATGGATATAATGGTGTTTTAATTGTGGATTTACAGAAATTACCAGACATATCTATTATAAGTACTATCTAGCTTGAAGGATGGAGCAATCATGTACTTCAGTTTGGATAAACTGGATATGTCATAATTTCTACAGTTGACAGAGGGATGATTTAATTATTTGATTTAAGCAATAAAAATGAACCTTTGTTTATAAGTTCTTATCAAAAGTCAAATCAAAATGCATACTCTACATGTAAGACTTCATCGGATAGTTATTTATTTATAAATAACCAATTTGGAGTCTAAACACTTCCTTTGAAAAGTGATTTTTTTATTCATTCATCTTTTAGTGTTTTATATTCTGACTCCAATCAATTTCATCCAATAAGTAATTTCTTTGAAGTTGGCTAGAACATTTTACTATCTTTAAAGTTTATCTACCCTTAAAATGGTATTTAAATATCAGAAATCACATATTACTTTAATGATTAAGTTTAAAGTCTTCCTTCTTGGATGGATTATTCATCAACTAACAGCACCATAAATATTTAAGTATCAAATTAAGGACTCAATTCAAATGATATATCTTTGAACACAATTTTAATTAAATCGCAGTTACCTGTCGATGATATAATCAAGTAACTTTGCTAAAAATATTTTAGCACTTAAAATAATTTAAGTCAAATCATATTAAATTTCTTGATTAACAGTGGAATTATCGACAAAAAGTATTATTTGAATGTAGAAGATTTGTAAAACGGCATTAAAGAGTTACAAATTCAACAAAATACTCTCTTTTAGTAATTAAACATTGACAATTAGTTATAAATTTCACTCTTATAAAAACTAAAATATGCCTTACTAAAATCTGTTTAATTTAATCCTGTTTATTTTTATATAAAATCTTCTCTTTTTTTAAATTTAAATAATACATCAGGAAACGTTATAACAACAAAGTCTTAGTCTGCATCCATTTAAATTCAAGCAAATCAAACTCAAGGTTAATTTTATGTATTAGATGATAGTGGAGTAGCTATTACATATTTTAACAACAGAAGTACAATTCAATTATCAGGGGATACGAGACTACTTAACTTTATTCTTTCTGAGAAAAAAATTATCTTCATTAACAATACAAGCGAATTTGACGTGGATTAAATTTAATTAGGCATCTCGCTTCAAGATAATATTAATAATCCAATAAACAAATTTTGCTCCCTATAGCAAGCAACATTTATATCGATAAAAAAGCCTATTTTTTTAGCATAGACTTTACAGGAAGTGTTTGAATAGTATTATTCTAAAGGGATAATTTAAGTTGACTCCTATCTTTATATTTAATTTTAAACATAAATTTTTTAGGATCCTAACAACTTTTAATTGCAATTTAGTGCTTAATATGAGACTTAAAACACACCAGTTGAAGACATAATAGGTTCAGGATGGCTCTAATTTAGTTATAATTCTGATTCCCTCAAGCTTCAAGGATTAGTCCCAGAAAGTCTCTTTTTAAACGAAATTACTATTACAATATAAGCATATAATGGATATCAATTATTAGAAGGTCAGTTCAAAATGTATGTAAATGCAGTTTCGTTCACTTATTTGCTAAATATATTCCTAAAAGTAGTTGGTCCCTTAGCTGGTGTTATCGGATTTTATAAATATAGACACATCCCATATAATATTTTATACAAACATAGGCTTTTTAGCTCAATAGAAACAATCCAAGTAGATTAAGAATACATTAAGAAGTTTCCCTTACTTAATTCCGATTATAGAATAGCAAAAAAGATTTTTTCCTAATACAAGCGTCACATAATAAAAATATAGGAAAGTGAACATAAATAGGAACAATAAAAAATAAAAAATGAATAACTAAATAACAATAAAAGCTTTAAAGCTCTCAGCAATAACTCTATATTATCTCATTAAGATAAAAATATGTATACATCGGCTTATATGAACAAAAGAAAATCAATTGAAGATCATTCTTATTTCTAAAAGAAGTAGAGGAGAAGCATTTTTTCACCAAATTATCATTTATCAAATAGTAAAAATATAGATGAAATAAAAGAAGAAAATAGTAAAAATATAGATGAAATAAAAGAAGAAGGCATATATCCTAACAACCCAACTGAAGAAGTTAATGAATCATATTCAATAAAAAAAGAAACATCTTTTTAGAATGAGTCAAAATCTGTTCTAAATTCTAAATTTAAATTAGCTTAATCGATCCGAGGAATTAATGACTTCGAAATTCAAAAGATAGAAGAGGTATAAGATTCTTTTATTTAAGATGTTGAGGCAGAAACTAGAAAAATATCATCTGGTAAAAGAGAAAAAACTCTAAGTTCAGATAGTTCCGATGAAGAAGTAGAAAATAATCTTGATAAATTAATTGATGGAGTTCATAAAAGAAGAAAGATGGATACAATTTTAAATTCATAAATTAATAATCTCAGTAATTAAGAAACTTAGTTCTAAAGTTTCATTAAAAAATATCAGTAAAAGGAACTAAATGAAAAGAGTAAATACAGAACTGACTTTAGAGACTATGTAGTTAGAAAATTTATGAGAACTAATGGTAAACTCAGAATGCATCAAATCATTGAGGACATTATTTAATCAAATCTTTAAGTATCCATTAAAAGAAAGAAAGTTAGTATTTTAAACTACAAGGATGACTTAGAAAACTAAAACTCTGTTTTGTATGTGTCTTTGCTCTCATTTTTTGTAAGGTTCTTGTTATCAAAAAACAAACCAGCGAAAATTGTATATAAATATATTAAGAAATATTGTCTCAAAAATAACCAATATACTCAAAGAGATTGGTACAAAGCAATTGTTGATATTAAAGCTACAAAAGAAACAGATAAAAATGGAATCAATGTTCCTTTTCCTCACTTATCGATTAAAGAAGAAGAATTTTAGAAATTACTTAAAAAAATGTCTATTAATAGGTTTAGCTAACACACCTACGACACTAATAATAACTTGAAGATAAATCTATACTTAGTGAAAGAGGTGTTATTCGCAGATACATTAGGTTTACATACTACAAATATCAATTCGTTTTAGCCTACATTTGGAGAATCTATTCACTTCAATTCATCTTAAATAAGCTCAGTAGAGGCTTTAATACCTATAAAACACTCAAAATATCTAAAAATTAAATAATTTTTAAATCTAGATAATAGATAATATGGCTGTAGTTAAAACTGCAAGCTCCCTAATTGGGTTAATTTTAATTAAAAATCTAATGTAATCATTCTTCATGGTATACCACTTAAACATGATGTAGAAGATATTCTGATAAGAATTTATGATGTAGATTCATTTATTTTACTTTAATATCATTTAAAAATTGTCAACAAGAATGTGGATTACTAATTCAATAATTAATAATCTATGATTCAAATAAATTAAACTTTTAATATGCTAGGCTCAATTTCATAGTCCAAATAATTTGCTCCATTTAATTAACGAAATAAAAAATATGAGAATTCTGTAATTTACCAAAGAACCTATGATAAAAATAAATATAAAACCATCAAAGAGTTACTTGATGATGATGAAAATAAAGATACTTTAGGAATATCTAAAAATGATGATAAATCATTCAATGCTATGGATTAACTTGAGATAAATACTGAATTAGAAGAAAGAAACATGAATATACCACAATTTTCTAAATATTTAAAAGAAAGTAAATTTGAAATGCAAAATAGTAAAAACCATAATTAATTTATGTCTTTTAGCAAATGATGAAAGTTAGTTATTATTAAAAATAATAACAAGCATTAATTCTAAAATATTTCTAAATATAATAATTTTGAAATTCTTAAAATATATTGATTGGTTGGTTGGTGTTAAGCTTTTTTGAAAAATTTCATTTATTCTATTTTGTTTTTATTTTTTAAATAGTAATTAGTAATCAATCAAAAATCTGTAAATAATTAATCAGTAAATTTCTTTATAAAAAATTCAATAAAACAAAAAGCCAATAAATAAAAACAAAAAATTGAAAAAATACTTAACAAAAAATAATTTAAAGATTTTTTTAATGGTTTCCTATTGAATATAAATTAGAAAATATTGTTTGATTATAAAAATTATTTAATACTATATGTTTAACTAATATAAATCAATGTAGACTTATGTTAATTAATATATTTTAGATTAAAAATTATATTAAAATATTAATAAATAAATTGTATAAAAACAAATATTAATTATTGGTTACAGATTAGATAGAAGTATACACAAAATTAGTATTTTTTGTAAATTATTAATCATTATTTAATATTTAAATACTTATTAGTAGATACTTTTTAACTTAGTCATAATTAAGATTATTAAGAAATGATTTAATATCTAATCTGAGTTATTTATTTATTATAACTTAGTTTTAAATTTATAATTAATAAATCTAATTAATAGATTGCTTTTATATTATAAAAATGAGATTATACAGTATAGATTTTATACAATTAAGCTTATAATAATATTTTAATTTTAAAATACATTTTTCATGAATAATTAATAAACTTTATAATACATTATTTTAAATTAATTTTATCAATCAGAAAATTCAATCAATGATGAATGTTATGATCACATTTAATATAGCCAGGAGCTCCTTTTTAGCTATATTCTTCAATTTAAATAGTGCTGTGATAGATTCCATTTTATCTACAAAGTCTGGTACTTTCTTTTAATACTTTTTTAGGATTTTAAGAAACAAACATATGACAGGTCATAGAAGGCTTACCCTTAGAAAGAGACCATATATGTAAATCGTGAATTTCTTGAACATATTATATAGACTGGAGTTATTCCTTAAAATCTTGAATGTTAATTTCTTTGGGACTGCCTTCCATCAATACTCTAATGCAGTCTCTGCAAACAGGAATTGTTGTAAATAGAACCAAAATGGAGAATATATAAGTGCAAATAGGATCAGCTAAGTGCCAGTAGTTGAAACCATCATCACCTCCTAGGAAGTATATCAATAAAGCAGCAATTAAAACACCAATTGATTAGATAATATCACCTATTTTTTAAGAATAATTTTTAGATTTATTAGCTTTATTTTGCTTATTTTTAAAAATTTTGTCATTAATATTTTAGTATCAAGTAGAATTTTGTAGTAGATTTAAATTTTTTTTATGGTCATTATGTAAACTTTATCGTGACGATACTTACATTCAATCAATATTAATGTTATTGACTAATGTAGAAAAAATATGCAAATTATGTATTATTGTAGATATGATTAAATATAATTGACATATTATTTTTGAGTGATTCCTAAATATAAAAGTATTTAGAAATAAGATATCAAAGCATATGAATCACTTTACTTAAAATTAATTTTGACAATTATTAATTCGTAAAAAAATTTATCTTTAGTTAATCTAAGAAGTCAATAAGTTGAAATCATTTGATGTTTGTTTAAATTTACTAAAAATAATAAATAATTTTTAGGACCTTGATAAAAGTATCTTTAATATCCATAAAAACAACCAAATTAATTTTTGAGTTCAATAAATAAAAATTTTGTTTGCAAAATTAAGGAAGCTAAAAGCTAAATTTAATTTATAGTTTACCAATAACATGGATCATAGCAGCTCTCAAGTTGTAATTTTCTTTAGCAGATATAACAGATAAGTTCTTTGATTTTTTATTCTATTTCTTTTTAGTATTTACAACAGAAGCTTCATTTTCAAAATTATTTTCGGTGTTCATTAAACAGCTATCAGCGTTTATGTTTAGAACTCTAGAGTCTACCCTTTTGTCAACCTATTTGAATGATTAATTAAAAATTAAAAAATCAACAATTGAATTTTTTCTTTGTTTGAATTTTGATATATAGAGTAATATCAATTTTAAATCTCTACTGAAAATTTAAAGTAGATCCTTAAAAAATTTAATTAAAACTTTTCAATTTGAAATTTTATTTTTCTATTAAAAATAAAATTATTTGGTATATATTTACATTTCTATTGCTATTGCTATCACATTAGCCTTACTAGTTCTTTTCATTAACTTTATTTTCTTCATCGCTATGCTAGTGAGAGCAATTCTTGCTATGTTCATGCTTCTTTTTATTTTTATTTTATTTACTATCTTCTTTGTCTTCATGGCTATGCTCGTGATTATGTTCGTGTTCATGGTCATGGTCGTGATCGTGATCGTGGTCATGATCATGATCATGATTGTGGTCATGCTCATGGTCGTGATCATGGTCATGGTCGTGGTCATGGTCATGGTCGTGGTCATGGTCATGATCATGAGAATGTTATTTTGCCATTTTATTATTTTCTTTATTTGCACTCTTTTAATCTTCCTTACTTTAACAATTGTCAGCTTATTGATTATTTTATTAATCAGAATCAATTTTATTGCTATTATCATGTGAAGAGCATTTACTAGATCCTTTGCTTTTCTAGCCTTTTTTATTTTTATGGCTATGATCATGGCTATGGTGTTTATGATCATGATTATGATTATGGTTATGTTCATGTTCATGATCGTGATCATGGTTGTGATCGTGGTCATGATTGTGGTCATGTTCATGATCATGGTCATGGTCGTGATCATGATGGTGATCATGTGAGTGGCCATGGCCATGGCTATGTCCGTGAGAACATCCATGATGGCTATGACCAGGAGCGCTATGTAAAACTTTTGCCATAACAATGTTGCAAAACAAACCAAATCCAGCAGTAATAAGCATATAAAGAGGTTCATCTACAGCTTCTTTTGTGATAACTCTGTGTGTAGCTTCATAAAGTAATAGAATGGTTAAACCCCAAATAAGTACAATACTTGCCATAGCTCCAATAACTTCAGCTCTATGATAACCATAAGAAAGCTTTGATGATGCAGGTCTTTGACCAATCCAAACAGAGAAGATGGATATAAAGAAACCAGATAAATCTGAAAACATATGTGCTGCATCACTAAGAATAGCTAAAGAGCCTGAGAGGACACCACCAACAACTTCAATTATAAGGAATATAAGGGCAATCACTGATGCTATAAGTAATTTAACCAAAACAGTTCTTGTAATATTCTCCATCTTAGGAAGGTCATAAATTTTGTCCCAATTTTCGTTGTAATCTGCATCTTCATCATCGTCACTGCTCATATAAAATTCTGAAGAGGTATTCTTTTAGATGGGTTGTTGAGTCTCCTCCTTAATAGAATCCTACTCTAGCTGTTCCTTATTATTAAGAAGCCTCTTTTGTAAATTTTACTTAGAATCTGACATTTTATACAAAAATTTAATTCTAGAGTAAATGGTTTAGACAGATATATTTAATTAAATAATTAATTATTATGATTTGAAGAAAATTATTGATGATTTAAAGACCCAATTATAAAAATTTTTGCGTAATTTTGAAAAGATCTCCTAAATTATCAAAATTATTACAAAAGCAAATGAAGTAAGATATATCAAATTACATTTCTTAAAGCGCATATTATTTAATACTGTCAATAAGTATTTTTTATATTTATGTCATAAAGTTTATAAAAGTTAAGCAAAATGTTACTAAATTATTCCTTTTTGAAGTAGTCATCATACTTTATTAATTATAACTTGGAGTTCAAAGCAAAATAACTTAAGACCCACAAATAATCTAGCATTTTTAAATAGTAAAAATAGCATATATTAATAAAAAAGATATATTTCTAAGCTATTTTTAATTTTTGTATGATTTTAATAAAAGATAGATTAAATATTTAATTAATATCTACAGTTTATTGGATTCATTTTACTCCAGTAATATTTACTGTAGCCAAACAATAAGTTATAAGTCAAAGCTATTTTTTAATCACAGCAGCTGTTTATATATGTCAATTTGGATAATTTTAAAAATGATAATTTATTATAAAAACTCTACAATCAAATTTTATTCACATATATAAAATTTTTTAAGATAGATTAATAATTTCTAAAAAGTAAAGAGTTGATTTATAAAATAATTAATGTTGAGTTACTTATAATTAATATTTCTTAAGGATGATAAAAAAAATAAAAAACAATTAAAACAAAACAACAAAAACATAAATAGTATATCCATTAATTAATTAATTAAAATAAATTATTTAGAAGAAAATTTGTTATCAAAAACAATTATTAAGGAAAACAAATAACATTTTTATTTGATATTTAATAATTATTATTATTAAAGTTTTTATCAATTCTTCAAATTTAGAACTCATTTCATTTTTTATTTGTTAGCTTATTATTTATTTTTCTAATTTTATATATTAATATCTGTCCTAGATTAATTATCTTCTTCATATTACTCACCTCCATCAATTTCAGTGAAAAATTTTTTAATTTTTTGCTTATCTTCTTCATAGTTATCATAATATAATGTTAAATCGGTTTATTCTAATTCTTACATTTTTGTTTGATTTAAATCATTTTAATCTTTGCAATTCATTACTATTATTTTGAACTTAATATCATTTGCTTTGGCTTGTTCTATTTATTCCTATAAGTGCTTCATGCAATCTACATCTCCGTTATCAATTACAAAAACTACATAGGTTTTAGATTCCTTATTTTATTCTAATCTCACTAATCTATTTAGAAAAAAAAAAAATATGTGTTATTTGTGCTCATTTAAAACTTAATACAGATTTAAAAAATGAAACGAATAAATATAATTAATTACTCAATTTATTCATATTCTTGAAAATTTATTTTTCTGTTAAAACACTAAGAGTATGTTTTATTTCTAAATTCTGATTACGAGCTTCCACTAGAATCTATGAAGCTTTTATCTGGTTATGAAATTAATGATTATAAGTATTGCTTTCCTGGATTTTTTAATCCAACTATTTAAATATATAATTAATCAGCCTTATTTTTTTTTTAAACTTGTCCTTGAGGAGTATTTGAATATGGTTTAGATGATGGACATCCCATTGTATTTAGAAATAAGTATTTTAGTTGAAATTCTTTTCTTATATATTATTTCAATTAAAGCTCTATTTTTTAATTATGATTAGTTTTTTAAAAATTGAGTCTAATAATAATAACAAATTTTATAAAAGAATTTTATACTTTATAATTTGATTTCAAAACAATAAATAATTATTTTAATTATAAAAATAATAAAAAATTATTTTTTAAATATTTCTTGATTTTATTTAAACTATCAAAATATTTTTTGTCATTTTTATCTAATATATATTTTATGGTTTTAATTTTTTCTAAATAGTATTTTTTTGGTGTGTAAAATAATTTGTTTTAATTAATCTATTTAAAAGATATAAAATATTTATAATTCATTATCATTAAGATTATAACAAAATAAATAACTTTTAAAAATTAATTCAATTAAAATAGAATATGGATTTATTAAAGAAAAGGGTTTTATATTTGACCTAAATTATTTATTTATTAATTGATTGATTGATTCTAAATATTTTAAAGTAAAAGGCTATGAATGAAGAAAACAAATAAAATGAAAAACTCCTTATTGCTAATTAGTTATGGCTGTTTTTTGTGATTATATGGAAATATATTTTTGATTGTGAATTCTAAGAAGTTTGTTTGAAAAATAGTTAAAAAATTTATACTTAACTTTGAATTCTAACCAAAAATGCTAGTTTTGAATAAAATTCATCTCACATTTTACACCTTATAAATTGAGTTTAATCATAATGAATGATAAAATAATGAATGAGATAAATTATTATTGTTTTTACTTGATAAATTTTTTTTTAAAGCATTTTACATAAAAGTAAAAGATATATATTACAAATCCTTTAAGACACTTACTAAAGTAGTTAAATAAAGGAATATTGATTGATATATTTAGACAAATCTGCTAGAAATAAGCTTAGCGTTTAGTTTTTTATAGATCTATTTGGTTAAAGGAACTAGTTTCATGCCTGTTTTAATCCAAAAGTTTTTCAACCCATTTTTTGGATCTATTCTACTTCACATCATTTTTTTCATTCTAAGTAATTAATTTACATTTAAATTAAAGCTAGCTACTTTATGCAACTTCTAAATCCAAATTAAATGTAAAATAATATTTTTAACCCAATTAATAATAAATTTATAATGATTTATTGTATTTCATTTTTAATTTTGGCATATTTTTATCTAATGCTCTTTTTTAAAAACATAATAGCAACGATTGTCATGTTTTTAGAAGATGAAAAAAAATTTTAAAAATATTTTTAAGCGACTCCTTTTTTGACAATATTATTTTATATACCAATGAAGATATTGTTTTTTTTCATGGTACTGACAGATAAAAAGCTAAATTGTAAATAATATAAAAACTATAGTATGATCTATCTCATTTTATTTATTATTTGGGTAACTCTTTTTGGAATGTCTAGCGGAGTTATCAGTTACAAAGCAGATGGAAGAGCTTTTGTAGTATCGTAGTATTTATTAATATTTATAGAGATAAATTATTTTATCTTAGCTGATTTGAGAATATAGATGATCCTAAAATTTATTTCAATATTCTACGCAATCATCTTTTCTGGAACATTTTCTAGAGTTTATTTTGATTAAACAGACAACTTATAAATTATTTGTGATACATTACTATTTATTTGCAATTCTTTGGTAGTTCTTATAGTGTCTTATAAAATCCTTAAAAGCCAAGAAGCTAAAATGCATAAAAATAGAGAAAGTACTGACTCTAAAATTCACACTGATACATAAAAGGAGAAATGTGATAAGCATTATGAATATGGAGATATTTAATCTCATAATAAAAATTAAGCTCAACCTTATTACTAAGATGATTAATATGCAAAATAGAATCAACATAAAATGAATTTAATTGAAGGTTCAATAAATCATGCAATAGGCTCGAAATAGTAGGTATTTAAAAGTAGTGGAGCTAATTTAAGTAATTATCATTAAGACAGATAAGAAAGCAACCTTACCTTAAAAAACATTGAAATAGAAGAGATAACAAAAAATATGGCTAACACTCCTTAAGCAGGAGAAGCTGATGTTACAGAAGAAACAAGTATAGCAAGATAAATATCTAAATAAAGCTAGAAATAATATTCGCCTAAAAAGGCTCTTACAAATAATAGTAATAAAAATGGAGGCAATAATCAAAATAAAAATATAAATACACAAAATAAACCAAGCAACAGCTTCTTATATTACGCCCGTACTTATGATGATTAAATATAAAAAACTTAGTTTGAAGTAAGCTTTAATTTGGGAGTAAATAAGATGAAAGAAGATCACGATGAAACTTCTAATAACCTTCTTTTGTAAGATTTCTAAAAAACTTAACAGCCTAGCTCAACTTCTATAATCGAACCATAGAGTCAAAAGCAAATACAACTTAAATAATTTCAAAATAGCAGCGCTTCATCAAGCTAGTAGAAAATATAATTCAATAATAATACATTTAATGCATAATAATAGATTGATAGTATCGCTTGCTCTGGAATGTTTGCTAATTCTAATGAAAGAAGTAATACTAAAGAAAAAACAGCATTTTTCAACAACGCTTACAGTTAAGTTTAGTTAGAAACATTTAATCAGATCAAGAATAGCTAAATTATAGAAAAATCAAGTGAAGATCAAACGATTACAGAAATAAATAATGAATTTGAAATTTGCTATAATATTTTAAATTGTGTTGATTTTGCTGCATTTAAAATGGATATTTCTGGTAGTTGGAAGATTGATTTTCAAAATTAGGCAGCAAAAAGGCTCTTAGAATAAAATAAGATGGACGTGGCTCAAATTTTTAAAAGAATTACCAATATCAGTCTGAGTAAAGAGTCTTATAGCACAATCTCTAGTTTAGGTCTAATGAACAACGATTATAAATTTTCTCCATAAATCAAAAATTCTGGGCCTAGATAAGCAAGTAGCAAAATATTTTAAAAGTATATGGGAGCAAGTCAAAAAAATAAGGACGAACTAGTTAGCTCTTTAGCTTAGTTAAATACCTTTTCAAGAAGAATAGATATGTCGGAGCTGAGACTATCTCCTAATCCCTCAAATAATCTTAGCTGGTAACAAAACATAGCATAGCAGGAGAATAATAAGAACCTAAATAATTATTCAGTCAAATCAAACCAGTATTAATCCTGCTAAAGCTCCCCCTCAAGCATTAATTCTATGACTGTTTATTAGTTCATAAATAATAGTAATTAAAATTAGATTGATTTTATTGAATTTTTAAGATTTGTTTTCTTTAATTTTAGCATTTATTTATTTACTTTTTTCAACCAACATTCTGATTAAATAAAATAATAATCATTTAGATAGCTCTCTATAATTTAAATATCTCAAAATTACATTATTAAAAGTAGATAATTCTTTAATAAATTTTTATTTTTATTTTTTAAGTTAAGAACAGTTTAAGGAGCTAGAATTTTGATGCTTCTTTAAGCATGTAAAATTCTTATAGGACTAAGTCTTAGACATATGATAAAAATTGTTAAAAACTTTAAATCTAAACCTTTTCCCTTGAAGATGGTGTGCGTCTGTTTTCAAATGAAGACATAATTAAAATTTACATTGTTAATAATAAGTATATTGTTGTTATAATTGAAAACATGGAGAAATATTATGATGCTGCTAAAAATCAAGTGACAAAGAATGTACAAAATCGCATGCTTTAAACAATTTCTCATGAGTTTGGAACATATTTAGGTTTTCTGTTTTCAAATCTCAATATATCTATGCAAGATTCAGAAGTACCAGAAAAAATGAAAAGTAAATTTTTATATATAAAAAATTTCTAAAAACATTTGGTAAAAAATAAATAATTTATTTATTGAATAGCTGAGTATCTTATCCCTTTTCACCAAAATGTGATGCTAATCCATTTATTAATTCAGGATTTTAAAGACTATCAAGATATTCTAATTAACAGGTTCAAGATTAGGTTAATCAAATCAGATATAATAAAATTATTCAAAGAATCTATAGACTTAGTAAGAATGTAAGCAGAGGATAAATAAATATAAATCAAAGAACACATTCAAAATATTTAAAGCAACATTCACATTGACCCAATTAGATTTAAATAAATATTAATAAATCTTCTTCAAAACTCTTTGAAATTCTCAGATTAAAATACTTAAATAGATATCTACTTATAGCATCCTTCTGATGATAATGAAAATCTACAAGTTATTGTTTAAGATTAAGGAATTGGGATGGATGAAGTAAAATAATTATTTATTATTTTTTAAATCTTAACTAAATTTATTTCAAATTTCTCTTAGGAAGAATAAAAAGCTTTGACTAGACTTTTGCAGGAAGGTGTAAGCGAAAATAAAATATCACATAAAACATCTGGATATGGTTTTGGGTTGACCGTTAGTAATAAAATAGCAGTTAAATTGAATGAAGAAATTATTTGTGAAAAAACAAAACAACCAGATTCCAAAAAACAAAAAAAACTAAATTAATAAAATCAGTAAGGATTATATTTTGAGTCTATTCCAAAGAAGGGTAGCAAGTTTTGGTTTTTTATCAATGTTGAAAAGAGCGAATATTTAAATTAATAGCAATAAATCATGTTCTAGTCTATTTCTAATTAGAAAAAGCAAATGCAAACAAGCATTATGATGGTAAATGACTAGCTCATTGAATTCGAAAATCGCTCTCACCTTACAAAAACAGCTTCTCTTAATCACGAATTACGTTGTACACTTTAAGCTGATAGCGTATTTATTGACGAATAACATAAAAATAAATTAAATACTTACTCAGTTTTTCCTTCACCTAAATTGTCTTAAGAAAATAAGACCTTTAGTATAAAGTAATCTTTAAAGCATTCGAATGGAAGTATCTAGGATAGTACTAGTAGCGACACCAAAAATATTCATAACGTTCCACCAACACTATAAACAAATTAAACAAATATACATTTAAGCTATATAAACTCTAGTTCAGAAAATTAGTCACCTAAACCTCCTCAAATTAAGGCAAATAATTCTACATTCTCATTCAATAATGCATGTTAACAAGCATAGAGAAATACATCCAATGATATTAGCAAATGCACAAAATCTGTGTAATATTTATTTTGATATCTTTATTTAGAATTTTCTTATTTTTTTAAATAAATATTATCATAGAGAAAATAACAGAAGCATTGAAGAAGTAGAATAATTAGAAATGAGTGATCACCTTCCACCAATCCCTAATTCAAATATAGAAGAAAAGGCATTCGAAGTACTAAGATAAAACAAACTTTCAGATACAGAATTAAGTTTAGAACAAAACGATTAAATTGGATCACTTAATTAAATTAATTTAAATATTGGTGATTTATGCCGCTAATAAAAATCAGAAATGTTCTTGTAAAGCATTGACTTGCCTTACATATTAATAGTAGATGACTGCTAGACTAATCATTACTGCTTGATGTTATATTTAGAAAAAATATTTAAAATTTCAAAGAAATAAATACTTCAAGCCTACAATGGAGTTTAGGGATATGAAAAGTTTTTACAATATCAAAGTAAAGTTTAATAGATTTGTTAAATATTTATCTAAGAATTTAATTTATAAAACAAAGGTAAAATAAAATTAATTTTTATGGATCTTAACATGCCCATATAAAATGGAAAAGAATCAACCCAACAAATTAGAGAATATGAAAAAGAAAACAATTTAAAAAGCTCTGCAATAGTTGCTTATACAGCATATAGTGATCCAACTACAGAAAACGAATGCCTAACTGAATGTGGATTTAATTACTTCTTAGCTAAGCCTCTTACAGATGCTAATAAATTAAGAGAAATTTTGCAATATGAAGAACTAATTAGCTGATTTTATTTAAAATAAATATTATATTTTTTGAAAACAACTTCAAATTTCTTAATGAATATTTTTTCCAGGTTCTTTTAAAATTTTTTCTTAGAATTATAGTTCTTTGGTATCATTTAAATAAATGATAAAATTTTCTATTAAATAAATAATTAGTTAAACTTACCAAAATAGTAAATAAGAATAAACTAACTAATTGAATGACTAAAAATTTTGGATTTGCTTTCTTTACTATAATAAATGTATATAAGAAAAATGAATAACTAACTAACTAACTAACAAAATAACTTAATAACAAACAAACAAATAAATTAATTAACTTACTAACTACCTCTCTAACTTATAAATATAAATTGAAATACACTACTTGAAAATATATTAAATATATGTTACCTTGCTTTATTATTTAACTAAATATAAATTTGTACTCAATACTTTATCAATATAACTAACTAACTAACTATCTAGCAATTAGCTATTGTTCATTATTCTTAATCTCCTTTCAAATTAATTTATATTATTTCTACCTTTTTAATTCATTTATAAACTTACTTTCTGTTTTTCTTTCTCTAATTATATCAAATATTCTACTTTAATTAAATATTAAAATAAATTTATTGTGTTTGTTTAATCCTTTTTTAAATTATATTAAATTCTCGGAGATTCTTATTAATAGTAGATTGATTAATTATAAATATAAATTGTAATAGGCAGAATAGTTAATTTTTATATAATTTACTCATTTTAAATTTATGTTTCATTTTAAATCCTTAACTTAAATTTTTTTATTAAACTTCATTTAAAAGACAACAGAAATTAATAAATTATTTGTTTGTTTACACATAAAAAATATTTGAAAATTAGCAAGGTTAGTCAAAATGCTCAAATAGTTTTTTATGATTAAATAAACTTTTGAACGTAATTTAAATATTGCTTTGAAGGCTTTCTAAATGAATGACATGTAAGAAGGGCAACAGTTACAGTCATCAAAGCTGTTGCTTAATGGCCTGAAGATTCTTTTGGAGGTGCTCCGTGTAATAATACTGTTATACCAGAAGCAATTTAGTATAAAATAAAGAATGAGAGTAAACCAATTTAGAATCTTTGATGCTTAGCTAAATTAAGGGATAAACTTTTGTAAAGCATGTATCCTGTCCAACTTGCAGTCAAATAAGCACAATTTCTATGGTTAAATTAGACTAAAACTCTATTTTCAAAGAAATTCAAGTACCAAGGATCTCTTTTCATCAAACCATCAGGAATCATTTAGCCATTCATGTCAGGCCAAGTGTTAAAACCCTATATAAATTCAATATTTTAGATCCAAAATATGTTTATACAAATTTAATTACTTTTCCAGCATCTATTCCTGCTACGATAGCTCCAGACATAATATTCAAAGCTACGAAATGTAATAAACCAATACCTAAGCCTCTCATTGTCTTAGTACCAGCTAAGTGAGAGAGCTAAAGTGCTTATTATTAAGGTTTTCTAATTAAAGTTAAACCATTCCATAATAATGCTCCATAAAGAACTATGGCCATATTCAAATGAGTGAATAATCTATAAACTGAAACTCTTGGCTTAGTTTAGTAATCAGGCTTTTATTCAAAGCCACTCTTGACCATCCACCAGCCAATTAATCCTTGTAAACCTCCCAAACCAAGCATAGCTGTTAATCTGAAAAACATGGGCTTTTTTAACCATCCTAATTTTTATTAGAATTAATTTTATTCTTACTGAGTAGAATTTATAAAAAAGATGTTTCGGGAAAATTAAAAAAAAACATTCAATTCTAAATAAAGTTTATTTATTATTTAAAAAAAAACATACCTAAGGCAGCAAATCCTAACAATGGAACACCAAACAAGATTCCTAAAGAGGAGCCCCATAATCTGTGAGCCCATTCAACAAAAAATATTTTCTTAAATCCATTTAAATCCATATTTTTGTTAACAAGTTAATATTCAGGATATTTTTTATAATTATCAAATTCTTTTTCCCATTCTTCTTATGTAGAGGGAAGCTTGTGATCAATTGGTTTCCATTTAGTCATAGAAAGACCTATTTATTAAGATAAATTACTTTATATTCAGTTGAAAACTAATCTAAATTATCTCATTTGGTTAAATAATTATTTACCAGATTAGGTAAGACGAGTGTATCCACCTAAAACTATCATTCCAAAAACACCTGCAGCAGTCAATAATAGCCATGAACCTATTAATTTTTCTTTTCCAGGTTTAACTAAATCATGGACAGGGTTTGTAACAGTTTCATCAAGCTTAAAATCCTGTTAGTATTTTGTTGCTTCTTCAACAGAAGGAATTTATACAGCATCTTATTTTGTCATTCTTATATAATTTCTGGGAATATTTTTGTTTAAGCTAGTGTTCATTAAGCTTAATGCGCTGTATTTTCCAGTATTAAGTGCTTAGACTCTACCAAACTTTAAAATGTTTTTACCAAATAATCCAATCATTCTTTAAATTTAAAATAGTCTATTCTGAATAAACTTTTATTAGAATTAATAAATAAATATCTTTTTAATGCCAAAATCTTTTTTAATCAATATTAAAAATTAAGACTGTTATATAGTAAATCAAATTATCAAATTTATTGATAAATTATGAAGATCTACAAGAATATCATAGAAATTTCAAGAAGGACAAGTATAAAAGTTTTTCAAAAAATGTCTACTGATAATTATTTTCTAATAAAATTATTTTGATTTCATTTAAGTGTAGTAATCTTAATGTATCTAGGATTTAAGTAAATCTTAAGGATTAATTAAATTTTATTACTAGTATTAAAAATAAATTTAAATAGATATTTCAATTATTAAATAAACATTGAGAAATTGAGGTATCCTTATAAAATTTGCTTGCATAATATATATTATATAGCATATATTCTTTTATTTTAACGCTTTTATTTATTTTTTAATTTTTATGATAGAATTTTTTAATTTGATTGAATTTTAAAAATTAACATAAAATATTATCAAATTTGAAAAGAAAAAGTAAATAACATAATAATTATTATTTTGAAAATAATTAAAAATGTTATTTAAATAGAAAATAAATAAATAATTTGTATTAATATTTTTTATTTTATTTAAAATTTAATTTACAATAAAAATAAAGTAATATAGATAGATAGATAATAGATTCAGAAAGCATTATAATTTAATTATTATATTTAATACTAATTTTAAAATAAATTTTTTATTATAGAGATTTTATATTTCGATTAATATTCATTCATCCAATCATATTTTTACTAATTTATTTTGGTTTAAAGTTATCAATTTAAATATTAATACCAATTTAATCAATTATATGTTGATAGGTTATTTGATCTGCTTCTTTGGTTTCTAGCAGTAAGTTACAAAGAATGTTAATCATTAACAGGAGGGAGTTTATCAGGTGTTTTAAAATCTTGATCACTGATGTATGGATTAGTGTAAGAGTTAGGTCCTTCGATCGAATTTTATCTTCCAGGAGAGCTGTCAGGTGAGGCATTATGACTTGCCATCGTAGCTGATTAGAACTTGAATTGATTTCTTTGTTTTGCAGTTTCTTACATGTTTCTGTATCCCTTAGCAAACTATGAATAAATTTATATTTAATATTTTAATATAATAAGAATATAAAATCTAACCTTTCCATTTGCTCTTTCTGGAGAATTATCTTTAGGAACTGGGAAATTATTCTATTATTAATTAAATAAATAAAAATTGGATTAAAATTTTTAAAATTTAAAGATATGTATGTACCCAAACTTTATGCTTTCCTAATTTAGCATTATAGTTTTATTATCCTTTGTCGCATACAATGCAACTCCATAAAGGTCTTCTGACAATAAGGCCATCTTCTTATAAAGGTTTATTTTATTATTTAATGATTTGATATAAGTTATTGATTTTCTTTTCTAAGAAAGAAAGAGCTTGAAGAGTGTCTTCCTTATTTGCAAATTTCTCATTATAAAGAGCATCCATTTCTCTAAGTTTGTTATTTAAGTATTCTTCTAATTTAAGCAAGTCAGTTTTATCAGCCTTCGTATTTAACTCTTCTTTTAAGCCTTTAAGCAAAGCCATTAGTTCTTTTCTCATTTTATTCATTTTGTCATCAATTAAGCTTGCATTAGCAGCTCCTCCATTATTTCCTGATCCTCCTTCAAATTTATATTTCGTATCTTAATAATCTCCCATTATTCTTTTGAGTTCTTCAATTTCTCTTTATCTTGCAACCAATTTATCATCTGTTTTATTCTAGAATAAAATATTAAATTAAAGTAAATGGAATAAATTTTATCTTTACTATATTAGCTGTTTTTTGAAAGGCTTTTTCTAAATATTTAAGGTCATTTTTAATATCTTCTAATTCTCTTTCTTATTTTACTGTGTTTTCATCCTTTTTTTATTGGAGTTTCTTCGATCCAAGAGCATTAATCACAGATTCTTACATATCTTGAATAACTTGTTTCATATTTTTTTCCATCTCTTCAATTCTTTCTGGTTAACTTAAGTTTTAAGAGCTTCCACTTTGTATGAATTAATGGAGCTCGGCCTTATCTCCATCTTAAATGACTCTGATCATCAATACAAATAAATATTAAAAATGGATGATTTTAAAAATAATTTATTTACAGCCCATTTAATTTGTTTAATCTCAATTTTAAACCTAGCAAATCCTATTACATAGAGTCCAGATCGCTTTTAGCTGATAAATTTCCCTTATTTTCAAGTAATTTGAGACGATCGTTCAAGTCATTCATTTATCTTTATAGTTCCTTGAGCATTATGAGCTTTTATTCAAGTTTTTGATCAAATTTATGTTCCAATTACTCTATAATAAAATGAATTTTATAAAATGTTCTATTAAAAAATATTCAACCTGTGTTTCCAAATTTTTCCAATTTTTCTTTGAGGAAGCCAAGTGTTTCTTTAAGCTTTTCTATATTTTCCCTCAGCTAGTTATTTTCTTCTTTAGCTTTTTGATTGTCTTCTTTTAGTTTTTGATTATCGTTCTTTAAAATATTCAATATTAAATTAGTGGACGGACATTTATTAAATTTATTTAGAGTTGGAGTTAAAAAAAATAAATGAATGCTTATTGATTTTCGATAGAAATCCTATAAAAGATCACATACAAAATAAAGGAATGAATATTATTGATTCTATAAAATTAAACTATTGACTGATCAATCAATCAATCAATGAATTTATCAATTGATATTAATATAAACAAAAGGAGGTTAAATATTTTATGTAAAATAAAATTTAGTTACTTGTACTGATGCAAGATTTTTTTCATTCTCTTTAATTGCGTCTTTCATTTATTAGAGTTCATTCTTTATCAAATCATTTTATTAATTTTTTTTCAACAGTTCTAGATTTTCTTATTATTATTTTTCCATTTTTGCTCTGATGTCATCTAACTCGTTTTGAGTATTTAGATGGCCATCTTTCAACATTCTTAAATATTTAATGATGATTTCAAAGTTTCTTTTCAAGGTTTCTTCATTAAAATTTAATTAAACTATGCGGTCTAAAGCAACTTCTTTGAGAATATCTTTCTCATTCATAGAATTAGCTAGATTATTGCTTCCTTTGTTAGTACTACTTGAACTCATATGGTAAGCTTACCTTACTTTAGCTTTATTTATATTTAGTAATAATTATTCTTTCCTAATTATTTATTTACTTTAATCAGAAGTGTGTCAAGTTATTTTTATTAGTTAAAATGATTTGGATTTATTGTGTTTTTACTTTTAATCAAAACTCAATAGCTAGAATCTAAATAAGTGATTGATTGGTTTGCATAATATTAGCAGACAAATACCACATAAATATCAGCTTATATTTGCATTTTATTTAATTCATTTCATTTGCATTATAATATCAAAATTTAGATTTTTTAGAAATTCATTAATATCCAATATATTTGAGAGCATAGTTCTGCGCAATTGGTTGTCAAGTAAAATAATCACGATTTCGCATTTAATTAATCTCCTAATTTATTATTTATAACCAGTCATTTTCAAGATATATTAAGAGATATAATTTCAATGTTAAATTTAAATGATATAAATAAGAGGTAACACAAAATTCACCATTCAAAAATATTTATAAATATATTACACAATAAAAATTAACTTGTAATTTATTATTAACTTAAAATCTATTTTTAAATTAATCCTACAAAAAGAATTAAGTAATTAAAGCAAAAATTAAAATAATTTTTATATATTGAATATTCAAAAAAAATTAATTCTGACTGAAAAATAATTTTAAGTGATTAATAAAATTAAAGAAAATTAAAATATTTAATTTTTAATATTACAAAAATTAGTAATAAATTTAATTATTCTTAAAATACTGATATATTTCAATATATAATATAAAGATTACTCTAGTTTTAAAATTGATTATATTGTTTAGCTCTGTTAATAAATAATTTTTATCCTAATCTTATAAATAAATTTTATGTGAGTCTTATAAAGTACATTTTATTTGAAATATAAATTGTTAATTTTTTAGTTAGTTAGTTTTGAAAATGAGTCTGAAATGTTTTGTATAAATAATTAAAAGGATAAGAGAAAGAGGAAGGAGTTTTTTTTTATGTTCAAAAAGCAAAAATAGTGTGCTTGCTTTCATCGTTAAAGTACTAAATGCTTAGTTTGTTATTTTTATTTCCAGAAGTTATGCAGACATTTAATATATTTGTTTCTTATTTGATCAACTATCCTAAACTCTTTACAAAAGAAGAGTCAATTTAATTGTAGCTAATTAATTAATATTTAAAAAAATATTAGATATATTTTATAACCAAATTTAAATTGTTACTCAAGATTTAAAATTAAATTCTTTATAAAATATAGAGATTTTAGAGAATTGCCAATTGTTTAAATACATCTGGAATCAAAAAAGTTATTTCTAGATTTTAAATAAAATATTAAAGTTATTTCAAATAAATCATTTTGTATTTTACTCTAATTTGACGCCAAGTTATTTTATTCTATTCAATTTAGAAATCTAATTGAAAATAGAACTAATGTCTTCTGTTGTTAATGAACAGTTACTTGATTAAATAAACAAAATATTAATTTCCAACAAAAAAAAATAACAATTTACTTTAAATTTATATTTAAAAATTATATGTTTTAGCACCTTGATAAGCCCTCAAGCATAAATACGACTCCTTGATGAATGCTAACACTATTCCTTTATTATAAATTTTATTTTTAGAATATATACCAATATTAAATTTTAAGTTACTGCAAGTTGATGCAAAGTTTGCTAAGATGCCATAATTTTTATAATCCGCTTCCAATTATTTTTAAACAATCAGCATCTAAGTTATTTTAACTGTTAAATATTTTTGATTAGATAGACGATAAAAGAAATTTATTGTTTTACCCAATTTAGATCAGCATACTTTAAAGATTTTATATCTTTTGAATTGAACTTTAAAGTTAAGATATTCCTTCGAGTCCAATATTATTAGATCTATTTTTATACATATTTAAATTAAATGCTTTGAAAACAATAATCTGAATTTCTGATTGATTAAAATTAAAAGCTCTTCTCAATTTGAAAAATAAAAGATATTTAAAATTTAGAAAATATCTTGATTTCTAAATTAATATTTGTCTAAATAATTACTCTATTGACAAGGTTAAATCTTTGAGTTACTTCATGTTGGCCAAAAAGAGACCTAATCTATTAGCTCCATTATCACTTAAAGAATTTTACCTATATTTGAGATAATTATTAGATATATTAATTAAAATTAATAGTTGATTTACCCTAAGAAAAGCTTTAAAGATATAATTCTGCTTTGAAAAGCTAAAGCTCTGCTTTATTACAAGCAATCTCCATTAATATTATTATTGCTTTAATTTGAAAAAGGTTAATAAAATTTAATTTTTCTAAAAATTAGATTACAATAAATTCAGGCATAAATTTTCTATTTGATTAATTTATGCTAAGGGTTTTATAAGGAGCTCAATTACATCCCCATCAATTTAATTAGAGCTAAATTTATTTAAAAGATAGAAATTTACTATATGTCAAGTTGAAAAATTAAAAAAATAATAAGCTATTAAGTATCATTTATTTAAAAAGAAAATGTTACCTGAAATTAATATCCAAACACCTCAGTTTTTAGTTACTGTTGATTCCTGATATTAGTTTCTTGATATGCTCAATCTTAATACTACTATTTCTAATTAAATTTATAATTTTTGTAATCAAGTATAGAAGTCAATTCAATTTGTATTTTCCAAATAATTTTTTAATTAAATTTGAATCTTTGCCAAAAACAAAACAAAACAAATAAATTGAAATAAAGAAAAAAACTTACGTAATTTCAACAGAGAAATGGTTGAGAGCCAATAAACTTTTTAAATCCTTTTGGATTTGTTCACAAAATTTGTTTGGATTCTTCAAATAACTTTTTAAAAATTATTTTTGTAAAAATGATATAGAATATGAAATTTACTTGAATTATATCTTTAGAGAGGTTAAATTTATGACCCACTTAAGTACTTCCATCAAATCTGCCAAGTTTTCATCAATATTGGAATCACTATATTAGTTGATTGTTAGCTATATTAACTATTTAAAAATAAATATTTACTTAAAGTAAAGATTTATTGTCTCTAAGGAGCGACACTTTCTAATGTATTCAAATAAATATTCCATTTCATTAACAGTGAATGAGCCAAATCCTCTATTGTTTTTATAAAAATATAGTTTTCAATAATTATCCAAACTCTCTGTTACAGTTTATGGAAAGGTATAAATTACATAAGAACTTTTTTAATAAATATAATATAAAAATAGAAAAAATTTTCTTTTATATGGCTTTGTTGTGATACTTAGTTTGATTATTTTGGTTAAAAAATATGTAAATAAATTGATGACATAATATTTGTTATTGATGAAATTATTTTGTCTATAAAATTAAATAACTTTTGATTGCTTTATTTTTATCATCAATTAAATAATTCTCTATACCATTCATTTGTATACAATAATATGAAAATTTATGATTTATTAAAATGCGCTAAGATTTTAGTTGATGAGTATTGAAGCAAAAATAATTAAAAATTATAGAAATGAAGCAATCTAGTAGATTTACATTGTGTTTAGAGTAAGCTATTTTATAGATGTATGGTTGTTTGTGTAAAAAGCTTAGCTTAAGTCCTATTTGCTGCTGATCAAGATATTCATTTTGAGATTATTTATTTATGTTTTGGTTTGGTGAAATCCTTAAAATAGTTATAAGTTTGATAGTTCGTAAAGGATTTGAAGTGGTGCTTTAGTAGAATAGGTGATGTACAAGGTATTGAGTTAGAAAAATTTTTAGTAGATGTTATGTTAAAAATTAAATTCAAGTTAAGCCTTTGTTTTTATTTAAAGCTAGGTAATGAAGATTATCTTAGCAATTATTAAGTTGTTAGTTTTTAGTAATTAAATTTTTTTTTGCAAAATTTTAATTATACAGTCTTTTAGTTTTCTGATTTAGAATTTATCTCTCTAAAGTGTTGTTTATTGAAATTTATTTATTTTTTGTTTAATTTTCAATTTTCAGAAAGTATCTCTTTGATCTATTACTTGAAGTTATTTAATGATTATATTCTCATTAACATACAAGTTACTTCTCATTTATTTGCTTATAGCCGCTAGTAGGTGTAGAAATATTGATTTGAATTTTTTTTTTTACAGTTATTATTATCAGAAATTAGCAAAAAAGAATACCTTTTTGCAAAAATTCAATGAAATCAAATAATTTAAATAGTAATTTAATTTGTTTTATTTTAAAATAAATTTTTTGTGTTTTTATAATTAGATAAGAGATAATTACTATTACCTTAAATTCTTTATAAAGAGTTAATTACTTTATTACTTGTGAATTATATATTTTTATTCACTTTTACTAGTCTTTCCTTGTTTGTCTATTTTCTTTTTCTTTTATAAAAAACTCAAAATTTAAATTTTTGATATTTTAAAAACCTAGTTACTACTTACTTATCAAGATTGTTCTAAAAGCAAGTTATACTGCATTTATTTTTCTCATTAAAATATTGAAAACAATTTATTTAAAAATATTGCTTGTTTTTTCTACAAGCTTTCGCTATTCGCAAAAATATTATGTAGACTTTGTGAACTAATTGTTGAAAGTAAAAATTTTGTTTTTTTAAAGAGTTTGTTTTGTATTTGATTACATTTCTTTAATACATTTTGTAATAAAAAGCAATGTAAATTTTTTACTTATGTATTGTTTTTGAAATTAGATTTCAACTATCAAAAAAAAAAATATAATAATCTTACTACTTTTATTAAGCTTCTTTTCTATTCGTTATTGCTATAAGTAACAAATTATCTTGTAATTAACAAATATTTTGTGGATTTAATTGAATTACTTTTTCTGATGAATTTACAAATAATTTGAAAACAAAGTAGTTTGATAATAATTGTTTACTATAGTTCTTATAAGTTATTCTATATGTGTTGCGTCATATTCATATTATGATAATCTTAAGGCAAATCATACTTATTGATAATAAATATTAATTTAGAAACCACTTTTTCATTCAAATTTTTTTTAATTGTAATTTTGATACTATCACATACATCCATTTGTGTCTAAATCGTTCTAGCTATATTAACTATTTAAAATAAAATAAAAGTTTTAGTTTTCAATATATGAATTGCTGAATACCTGAATTACTATGATATGCTTTATCTATGATAAAATTTTACCAATAGTGAGCAAAAACGTATTAAATAGACTATTATAATTATATCAAAAAAATCAAGAACTTTTTATTGTGAAATAATACGTAATTTTTTACACTTAATTAATAAATTTATAATTTTTTAATGAACAAGCTAAATAAATAATACTTGAATTAATTTTATTTTTGCATACAAAAATATCTTTTTATAAATTAATAAAATAAAGTGCTCTATTTTAATCTTTTTTCATTAATCTTCAATATAGTCCAAAAAAAAAATACTTTTTGATAAATATAGTTTTTGTAAAGTTTTGCATCAATTAATGAAAATTTTTAGATGATATTGAAGAATATTAAATTTATTTTTATAGTCATTATTCTTTAATACATCTTAAAATAAATAAAAAATCAGAATTTTTAAGCTTTTCTGGTATTTTAGTAAATACAGAATATTTTATATTTAGATAATAAAAGTAAAAATGTAAACAATAATTTATAAAATATCATTTTTATTGTAATTGGAACAAAATCTTAAAGAATCAAATTCAAATATTTTTTAAATAGCTAATTTCTAGTAAAAATCAAAAATTTGTTTCTGTTCTATTGTTTTGAAAATAATTTAATATGAAAAATGTAATTAAAGCAATCTTAATTTATAAGAGTAATTAATATAAGAAAATCAAATAATAATTATTATTTTTTAATTTTTAAATTTAAATAAAATAACTAGATTACAAGTAATATTTATCACTAAAGAAAAAATAAATTTAAACGACAAATAATTTATATTTAAATATTATTTTAAAATACTTATCTAAAATAAATTATCTAGATTTATTGTAACTTACTTATTTTTGGTTGATCATATTTTCATGTAAAAGAAAATTGTAAATAGTTTCTAAAATGATAAAAAAGTTAATTTATTTAACAGAAAAAAATTCATAAATTTATTTAATAGCAATAAGTGATAAACTATTTTTAGCAACAATTTTTAAACATTCATTTTAAAAAATATTACAAATTTAAATAACCATTTCTATTAAATTTTATCAAATTTTAATATTTAGAGTTTGTTTCATATTTTTTATTTATTTATTTTTATGTTATTTTAAAAATAAAAAAGTAAATAAAATCTTCAACCTAAACCAAACAATATAATTTTTATTTATTTATTTGATATGGATAGCATTTTATTTTGGTACATTAAATATTTTTTTTTAACTTTAATTATAATTATTGAATAGTTTTATGAGCTATTACTTGCTTCTTGGTTTCGAATTATTTAGAATTGAGATAGATTTTAATGTTTAAATTAAATATTTTCAATTTAAAATAAATCAATGTAGTTAATAATAGTTAAGAAAATAATTCTAATATGTTATAAAATTAAAAATTACAATTTTTTGCTCATTCTGTTTGATTTAATTATTTGAATGAATGAGACAAAAGATAAATAGAAGAATATTTCTTTCAGCTATGATATTATAAAGTTTTTATTTGTATTCATTTTGTTACTTGATTAAGTAGGGTTTAATTAAAAAAGACAAAATTAAATATATTAATATAAATCATATATAATTAAATTATTAAGTAATTCACTGAATAGATATGGGAGGAAAGGAATTCAAAAAAATGAAGAAAGAGCTTAAGAAAGAGAAGCTCAAATAAAAGAGCAAGCATTAAGAAGATGCTGTTGATGAGGAAGTTGAAGATGAAATTGAAAACGAATAAGATGAAGATGAATAAATATAGAATAAAAAAGTAGAAAAGTAGGGTAAAAAGATAAAGAAAGATAAAAAGAATAAAAAGGATTTGAAAAAGGCTAAGAAGCAAGCTTAGGCTGAAGATGACGATGAAGAAGAATAAGAACAAGAAGAAGAAGATGAAGATCAAATTGAAGAAGAAGTTCAAGATGATTAATAACCAAATATTGTATTTGATGATGAAAAAGATAATGTAAAAATTACTTCTTCCAACATGAATAAATATTTGTCTGATGAATCTAAAGCCACTGAATAATAAGATGCTCCTACTTCTAGAGGTACATATAACATTATTTTATTTTATTGTAAATGAAACCCTAAAATTTTTATTTGTCAATATTTTAGCTGGATTCTTCTCAAATGATTTGTTTGACGATTTAGAAGTTTGCAAGCCTACTAAGGATGCTTTAAAGCAAATGAAATTCACAAACATGACTCACATTTAATCAAGAACTATTCCTCATTTACTTAAGGGCAGAGATGTTTTAGGAGCTGCTAAGACTGGTAGTGGTAAAACTTTAGCTTTCTTAATTCCTGCAATTGAAATGCTTTACAAAACCAACTTTGTTCAATCTATGGGAACTGGTATTATAGTTATTACTCCTACTAGAGAATTGGCTACTTAAATTTATGATGTCGCTAAATAACTTATGTTCTTCCACAGCAAAACCCTCGGTTTGGTAAAAATTATAAACACTTTTACTTATTCAAAATAGCTTCTTTTTCTTAGATTATATATAGCATAACTTTTTTAGGGTGTTTGTTTAAAATAAATTCATTTTAGCTAAGTTTAAAATAGCAGATTAAATAATATTTTTTTAATTAATAATTTTAGCTTATTGGTGGTGCAAACAGAAAGGCCGAAGCTATTAAATTGAAAACTGGTGTAAATATGATCATTGCTACTCCTGGTAGATTACTTGATCACTTATAAAATACTGCAGGATTTGCTTATCACAACTTATTGGGATTAATTATTGATGAAGCTGATGCTATTTTAAGAATTGGTTTCTAAGAAGAATTAACAGAAATTTTGAAGCTTCTTCCTATTGACAGATAGACTGTTTTATTCTCTGCTACCTAAAACAAAAAGATTGATGATTTAGCTAGACTATCTCTCAAATAGCCTATATATATTGGTGTTGATGATGTTGCTGAAACTTCCACAGTTGAAGGATTAGAACAAGGTTACGTTATCATAGATGCAGACAAGAAATTTAGATTACTATTTACTTTCTTATAAAAGCAAAAGAAGAAGAAAGTTATGGTTTTCTTCAGTTCTTGCAATTCAGTTAAGTTCCACTCTGATCTTTTAAATTATGTTGATATTCCCGTCTTGGACATTCATGGAAAGTAATTATTTTGCATATTAATAGACTAGTTGTGTCATTTAAATTTATTTACTAGTAAATTATAAAACTAAATTTGTTTTTTTAATAGATAAAAGTAACAAAAGAGATTAAATACATTCTACGAATTCTCAAATGCTACTTCTGGTGTATTATTGTGCACTGATGTTGCAGCTAGAGGTTTGGATATTCCTAACGTTGATTGGATTGTTTAATACGATCCTCCTGATGATACTAAGGAATATATTCACAGAGTAGGTCGTACTTGTAGAGGTGCTAACACAACTGGTAAGGCTTTGCTTTTCTTGCTTCCTGAAGAAAAGGATTACTTAAAGTACTTAAAGGCTGCTAAAGTAAATTTGAATGAATACGAATTCCCTGAAAACAAACTTGCCAATATCCAAGATTAATTTGATAAGTTGGTTGAAAGAAATTATTTCTTGAATAGATGTGCATTTGAAGCATTTAGATCTTACTTACATGTAATAATTTAAAATTTATTTATTTTAAAAATGAATATAAAATTTATTTTTTTAATAAAGTCTTACTCTGCTCACAGTTTAAAGGACATATTCGATGTTGCTAATCTTGACTTATAAAAGATTGGACGCTCCTTTGGTTTTAAGATCCCTCCTAGAGTTAATTTAAGTAATTATTATAAAAAAAAGGTATAAAAGTAATTAAAATGAATATTATAAAAATAATTTAGATGTTAAAGTAAGCAGCAAGACCTAAAGAAAAAATAAAGTTAAATAAATAAGTGACTCTAAGACAGGCAAGAAAAGTGGTTTTTAAGTAAAAATATGATTAATAAAAAAATTTAATTAATTTCTAATTTATAAAATAGATGAGAGATAAAAAGTTATTACAAAAGAAATAAGGTGATGGCAGACAATTTAGCCGTTGAACATAAAATATAAAAAATGTATAAAAATAATAATTAAAAAATAATAAAAAGTTGCCTCTTCACTAAGGCTATTGAAAATAAAATTAGATATATTTATAATCAATCAATACTCTCTAAAAACTCAAAATAAATATGATAATTTAATAAAAATAATAATTTTATTTGAGTTGTATTTAAAGTACATTTGTCTTTATAAAGTATTCAGTATTTTTTCTCTTATAACCTAAAATGCTATTTAGTTTTTTCTAAAAGAATTAATTCCTTATTTATAATTAACATATTTTATTTATTTATTAACTATTTTAATTTGCAATATTTATTTTTAAAAATTGTCCAAAATCAAATTATGCATTTTCAGAATAATAGCATGTATTGACTAATAAGCAAAATGCTTAAATAAATGTAAATTATTTTTGAAGATAATTTTAATTTATTTGAGTAATCTATGTTATAATGTTAAAAATTAATTTATCCTATAATTTTTACAAAAAATTTAGCTTTTTATTTATAATAATTGATTTACAACATGAATTACTCTTGATTTACTTTTCTTTTTAGAATTGCTTATTTACTCTCCTCAATTTATAATATCTGTCTATCTCTATGCTCTTTTAGAGTAATTTTAGTAATTAATAACAAATATTTCAAGTATTTAGTGACTTATTATTTTCTTAATTTCTCTTATATCCTTAATATATTTTTTTTGTATTTTTTATCAATTAGTAATAATAAAATTTTATTTCTTATCATTTATCTATGCACTAAAATTATAAAAGCTTATATTTTATTTACTATTCTTTTACAAGTGCTTCACTTTCTTGTATTAATCACAATATTACTCTAAATTTCTTCCAAGTTATTATCAATAAAAGCAATCAAAATAAATTAATTTTAGGTACTGCTTTAGAAAATATTGCTAATAATTAATTTTTCTTACTTAGAAATATTTAAATTTAAAAAATAATTATTATTAGAATTGCTATTCTTTTTGACACTACCCTATTTCTAGAGATAATCTATATCGCAATTTTAATTTTCTAAATTTCTCTCGAATAAATATTAAGTAAAATTGAAATTTTTAATTAAATAGTAAGTGGAGAGGGAACCACAAACTAAAGCAAAATTTTAAAAGTTAAGCTGCCTACAAATACTTTGATTTTTGTTTTTTTATTAAAAAGGTGTTTATTGTTGAAATCTTATAAAATTAAAATAAATTCTTAGCTTGATATTCTAATGAAAATAAATGGAGAGGGATCTTGAAATTGGCTAGCTAAAAAGTAAAGTTGATTAATCTTAGTTAGATATGAAATTACTGTTTTTGAATATTTTTAACAAAAATTATAAAATTTAGATACAAATATTTATTATAAAAATAATAGAAAGTTAAAAATTTTAAATAATTACGCGACAATAAAAAATTCTCTTAATTAAATATCTTTACTCTAGACTTATTTTAAACTAGATCAGAATATTAGATAGATAGATAACGAATAAAATCTCTTGCCTTACATTTAAATAATTTGTATCCTCTTAAATTTGTATCATTTATGCTAATTTACTATCACAAACTGACAATATGAAGCATAAGCTAACCAGGGCTAACAAAATAATCTAGAAAAATCAATTTATTTATCTATTTTTTATGATAAGAAAAATTCAAAAATCTTTTTCTAAATTATGATGTAATTTAGAGGAAATTTTCAATCAGTTTATAATTATAAAGTTTCGTATTACAATTTTTTCATACCAAAGAATTAAAGATAATTAGGTTATTTTTTTAATCTTTTATAATTAAAATTTGATTGTTAATCGAACATTTCTTTTATAATTTGAATAATGTATTGTACTTTTTGACCGAAAAAGGTAGCTGAGCTCCTCAATAAGCGATTAGAATTTAATAGCTTATAAATTAAATAAGTAATTAGTTTCTTTGCATATTCTGCTTTATTATGTTATCTATCCTGATAAGAGGATCTTAGACAACCAAAGTTTTTATTATATATGAAAAATTTATGATTATGCATATAAGCTCTTTCTCTAAGATTTACCTATTATTTAATTTCCCAATTAAACAAAAAACAGTTGATTAATTGTAAAAATAAATAATTCGCAACAACAAATATTCTTAAATATCAAACAAAATAAACTAAATAAAACTAAAAATCTTTTTCATTATATAATCTATAGCATACAAGCAAACAAACAAATAAACATACATACATACATTCATTGCTAAGTTATTTAAACTTACAAGCCACTAAAATTATTGATCAATATTTTCATAAGGATTTTTAAGATAGTTTTTCTTTAGCTCCAGAAACCAGCATAATTATTAGCTACTATACTAAATTATATAATAAATATCGCTTAGATTGATTTAAATAATTTAAATAGAAAAAAGTTTAAACAGGGTAACATTCAACATCAGACTAAGATTTAAATTTAATCATAAAATGGGGTAATTATGCTTTAGAGAAGAATAAGAACCAAGAGCTGCTTCAAAGAACATGAATCGTATGAGTTCAGCTAGCAAGTTGATAGATTAAGCACCTTCTAAATAAGTAGCTTATCGCTTTACAAATGATAACTTTGAAAATATAAACAATGAAAAAAAGTACTTTTACTCTATGTTTTTCTACAATAAAATATAAAAAAAAATACTCAAACTGTCTCATGTGAGCAAAAAAAAGAGTAACGAGCTTTCATTTTAGCACATTTAAAGATTGATAGCATCTCTTCAATAGTACATTTAGTATTTACAGACTATATAAGAGAAGTTTTAGTTGTATGATTAAGTTTATGAAGAGAGTGAAAAAGGTTACCTTGAGAGTGAAGCTTACTCTTTGAGTTTTGATGATTCACTTAGAAATTTAACCTTCCCTTAAAATACGAACCCGAATGGAAATGGAAGCATTCTTGGATAACAAGTTAAGAGGCTCACTCTTGCGAAAACAATAAGCTAAACAAATTAGGTATAAGAAGAGTCTCTTGAAACAGAAAATAATGAAAACATTGATAATAACCAAAGTACTCAATCAACTAACAATTATAATCAAATAATCCCTAAATTTAATCCTCAGGAAGCCAGCGAGCATCTATAATAGTAACGTATGTCTGCATTGAAGGCAGCACAAGATCATCACTAAGATTATTAAGTTGAAGAACATGAAAAAATTATTATTAAAGATACAAACAGCTGCAGTAGTGTGCTATTATATGAAATTGATAGCGAAGCAGAAAGAGCATGTAGCAACCAATCAAATAATATGCATAATCAGAATAAAGAAAGTGATCATTTTAGCCTTTTAGAAACAAATGAAAAGCACCTATAAACTATATATGAAGAATAAACTAAAGATAATAATTTCTTCAGTAGTAATGTCTTTACAAATAACTCTTAAATTTTTTTTGGTGACTCAAATATTTTATCTTAAATCTCCATCAATGATTTACAGAATGCTCTTCCTAATTATGAAGTCTCTGAAATATTCGGAAGAATCTCAGAAAGACTAGAATAGCCTATTTTAATTGTAGAAATGCATAAAATTTCATAAGAAAGTAAAGTTAGAGTTTCTTCTTACAGAATTTAGTTAGAGGTACTGTTTGAGGAGGGAGGCAAGAAACAAAAGCAAAGCTTTTTTACATAAAACCTTATCTAATCTGCTCCATCTTCAGAAAACTGCAATTTGGCAGATATAAACATAAATGAAATATTTGAATTCATGAGTGAAATCCATTTATCTAACTAATCATATACTAAATTTAGAATCACTGTTTACTACACCCCTATTAAAAAGGAAAGCCCTTCAAGAAAAGAAAGCGAAGAAAATAGTCCTCAATTAAAGTAGAAAAGCAAAAAATAAAATTTGTCAGTTTAGTCATCAAAAGAACAAACTTAATTATCAGATAGCTCTAAAAACCACGTAGGATACGGAGACGATAAACAAGGAATATCATCAGCATCCTCTTCCTCTTCTGGTTCCTCCAATAACAACTAAAAAAATTTGACAACTGCAATATAGTAAGATAACCAAACTCAAAACGACGATCCCAAATTTAACTCAAGCGAAAAAATGTTAGACTCAAAGCAAAGCGAAGAGATTAAATTAAGCAGTCAAGTGATTGACCTCAAAGATTACATGGATCAAGATATTTAATATTTAAATTTAAAATTTACAAATAAATCTATAAAATAAAAACTGAACTCAAACCCAATAAAATTAACCCTATAAATGAGGTTTTAGTTTGTATACGATTAAAGAAGTCTTGTAAACAATTTAATGAATAACTTGTGTTCATAAAAAATCATTTTAGAAGAAATAATTGTAAATATTGCTAACGAATACAATGGAAATGGTAAAAGCCAAGTTAGCAATAATAATAACAATAACAATAATACCAATTAATAACAAACAAATTAAAAATGAATTACTAATTAAAAAATTTTTCCTTTATTTATTACTTTTAAAACTGCAAAAAATTAATTACAATCAAACAAACTCACCATTCTTTATCTTTTTTTGGTAATCATCAAATCAAATGGTTTACCAATTCAAATAAATAAATTAGTTAATTTGTGATAAAAGTCCTTTTTAAATAATTTCTTTTCAATATAAAATTCTTTTATTAAATTACAAATTCGTACTTTTTTCTTTAAAAAATGTATATTTCCTATTATAAATAAAAGTATTAAAATTTTTAAAACAATTTTAACTATTTAATTCTTTATTTCAAATTAAATTTGCTTTTTAATTTTAAAATATTTTTTATGATTAATATTAATATATAAAATTAAACAATTTCAATAAAATAAAATATGTTTTTTAATTTTTTTTAAACTTTTAAAATTTAATATTAATATGTAATTGTATTTAATAAATAAATAAGTAAGTAAATAAGTAAATGCTAAATTTTTATCAAAAATTTTAAGATATTTTTTGAAATATATTTCTTTCTAGAAAAATTCTTTTTTTTTAAACACAAAAAATTACTGTAAAAGTTTATTAGAATGATGCCAGCAGCTTGCTGCTGAATGTAAACATAATAATATTTAAAAATGTTTACATTACTTATCCTTTAATGATTTTTCTATTGACCAAAATAAATTGGAATCTAATTTTATTTTAATTTTTTAATTGAAAATTTATAATTTGTATACAAAAACAAAAATAATATTATGTAAATCTATTCCAATTTTCAAACAAGCAAATAGAATATATCCTTATTAGCACTTTTTACATTTAAATTATGTTTTAACTCCTCGATCATTCATTCATTTCTTCGTCATCACAAGATTCAAATTCGCTGTCACTATCTTGTTCCATCTTGTTTTCATTCTTAGTTTTTTTATTATCTTCTTCATCATCAGAATCTGATTAGTTTGAGTCTGATAAATCAGCAAACATATTTCTGTTTTTTGCGTTTGCATTTACAGATATGTTAGATTGACTTGTTTTTACTTTAGATTTCTCTTTTTCTTTCATGATTTTTTTTTATTGTTTTGCACTCTTTTAGAAAATAGCTTTGACTTTCATAGGATCTTCTTCTTCTATGTGATTTTTAACAATATCTAAGAAAATTCCTGAGAAAGTACGGTTAGATGTACCTTTTCTGTTAGCAGCTCCAAAAACAAATTAATCAATAGCTTCTTCTACAAGTTCATTTAACTAACTTCTCTCAACTTCTTCAGTAACCTTCATAATTAAATCTTTGTTGTTGCTTTCTATAAGTTATTAAAGCTCTATAGCATATTTTTACTTATCTTCCTTATCTTTAAAAGTATCAAATCTGCTTAAAAGTCTATTTTTTTACTTTTCAGAAGGATTCATTTTTTCTTGGTTCATAGTAGATTAATTCAAATCCACTTGAGGTTTTTTAGATTTTTAAGAAATTTTCTACTTTCTTTTCTTAATCATCATCATTTTTTCTTTTATTTTTTACTTGTATTTAGTAATAGGTCTTCTTTTATTTTCTACGTCCATTTTTTTTCTTCTACACTTGATGCTTCTATGATTTAAATTAATTGATAAAATCCTAATAAAATTTTAATATCTTTTCAGTCAAAACAAAAGTGCTACTTATTAGCTTTAACTATTTAATTTTAACTCCTATTTTATAAAAATGAAAAAATTGGTCATTTCATTAGCATCAATTAAAAAAGAAAATAAAATAATTTAACTTTTATTTATTCTTACTTTTATTTCTACTTTATTATTAAATGGTTTTCCATTTTATTTGTATTTTCAATATATTTCTAAATGCAACATCAAGAAGTAATAAAATTTGTTTTTGTTTATTCTTTCAAGGTGCTCTATATTACTGAATCAAGAATTTAATTTATTTATTTGTTTATTTTCTTCTTAAAATTATTAAAACTTAAGTAATACATCAGAAATGAATAGAAAAAGTAAAAAGAATTAATTTTATCTGATGATTTATACAATTTTTTTTTCAAAGAAATAACAAACTAAATACAAAAAACTAAAAAATATTTGTGTCAATATTATGTATAAAATATGATGAGAAAGACTCTATGTTTCTATATTTTTGAAGTTATATTTTCGAAACAAATCTATTACTAAATAAATTTATTTATATCTAAAATATTTATTTAAATTTTATATTATAAATTTAGCTTTTGAACCATCTCAAATTAAATCTTTGGTTAGTGTGCATTTAAAATCTGTATCATAGAAACTCAATTTTTAATAATAATTAAATTATTAAAAATATTAACTCTAAAGTAAAGTAGTATTTAAGATCTAATTAGCAGAGCATAAATGAGCGTATAAGCTGAAGAGAGCATTTGCGACATATTTGTTAAAATTCTGTAAAATCCTTATTCATAGTGTGGAGAAAAATATAGAGCCATTTTCGAGCTTAAATCAATTGGAACTAAAGAATCTGTTTAATGTTTGATTGATAATTTTAACAATTTAGATAATTCTGATTTACTCAAGCATGAAGTAACTTATGCACTTGGCTAGATGTCTGAAGAATATCGCTTTGTAATTAAACCTTTCTTAATTTAATGCTTAGAAGATTTAAATGAATACCCTGTTGTACGTCATGAAGCTGGAGAAGGCTTGAGTAACTTTGCTTCTGATGATGATGAGTTACTTCCTATATTTTAAAAGTACTCTTTAAGTGATGTAAAGGAAGTTGCTGGAACTTGCTAAATTGCAGTTGAGAAAGTTCAGACTTACAAATAATTAAAAGAAAAATATGCCTTAAAATATAGCAATACTAGAGAACCAGCTGCTCCTTTCTAAGAGTAAGACTTGGATTAAATTTTAAATCTAAATACTCAAGATGAAAAGTAAAAGTTTACCTTGAATGAAAAAATAGAAAATATTGTATTTTCTGCTACTACTAGCTTATTCACAAAATATAGAGCCCTTTATTTGTTGAGAGACAGAGCTGATGAAGCAAGTATTTTGTTACTTGCAAAATTCCTCCAAAAATAATTCTGGGATAAAACAAATAATCTCTTCAGACATGAAGTCTGCTTTGTACTAGGATAGTTAGGTGAATTAGCTTTAGCCTCTGTGCCCCAACTTAAAATTACAGCTTTAGACTAAGAAGAAAATGAAATTGTCAGACATGAAGCATTGTCAGCATACTCTTCTGTTTCTGATGATTCTGAATTCTTAAAACAGTTTGTTAACGATGAAAGTAGAATTGTTAGGGAAAGTGCTATTGTAGCTTTAGACTTAATTGCATACTGGGGCACTGCTTCAGGATGTTGTTGAAAAATTAAAATAATTATTTTATGTTAAATTAAATTTTATTTAGTCATGAAAAATTTATTTTAAAATTTATAATTTGTTGATAGCTTTAAATATTTTTATTATATTTATTTTTTCTAAAATCTTAAATTTTTAATCATTAATTAGTCTTCTAATTTTTATAAAAATAAAATAAACTATTACACTCATAGAAAGTATATAGATATAAAAATTTTGAAAGAGAAGTTTATGATAGATTCAAATCAATTAGAGTGTATCATTTTAAGAATATGCAATCTAAGATAACTACTTCTACTTATTTCGCTTTCATAGAAATCTGGAGAATGTATTCTCAAATTTTCTTTACTATTAAACGAATTTAAAAAATAGAAATTTCAAACATATTTAAAAAATTTAATTAAAAAAATTTCTACTTACACAAACCAGCAATTAATCGAATATATTTTTTAAAGTTAAGTAAATTTTATTTTGCTATTTAAATTAAAGAAAGTCTAGTTTGCTTTTAAAAATAAAAATAAGTTATATATTATTTTTTTAATATTTATTTAAAAATAAAGAATTAAACTGTTTCTACTAATTTTTATTTTTAAAATTAAAATATTTATTTTAAAAATAAACAAAGAAAAAAGTAAAAGAAATTAATAAAATCACGTATTAAGATAATTTCAAAAGAAAATAATAAGAATAATAATGTAATAATAATATACAAAATTCAAACAATAATTAATAAATATATTAAAAGAACTAGATCAATTAATTAGAAACATAAACTTTATTAAAATAATTTTCAATTATTATTTAATCTCAATTTTATATTTTTCAATTAATGAATTTCAATCATAGTGAAGTTTTCTTCTTTTTGTACAGGCATCAATTATGCATGGTTTAATGCAGTAGTAGATGTAGTAAAAGAGAAAGAGATAAGTAGAAAGAGCTAAAATCATAATTATACTGGTTGAATAGAACCAGTAATAGAGATAGTATCTTATTCCTTTCAAAATAGGATTTATTACTAGTGAAGAAGACTATATAAATATACCTACATCTTATACTTTTATAATTATAGCTTGCAAATCAATTAAGCTATTAGGTAGCTTCTCAAATAAGATTTGATCTATTTCATACTGATTATCATCTAATTATATATCTAAAATTCTAAGCAACTTTGTACCTAGACTTGAAAATATACGTTCTAAAATATTCCTTTTTTTCTAGTTTTAGTTGAAATGAACTGTTCTTTTCATTTCAAGGCTATCTCCATTTCTATCTAAAATAATTATTTCAATAGGGACTACTCCTTGGCTAAATCCTTTATTTTAAAGATCGAACAAAACTAAACGTAGGTTCATTTAGTAGGATTCACGTTCGAAGTAAATTTCTTAACGCTGATTATGAAGGTGAATGTTACAAACTGTCTTCAAATCTGAGTCGATCACTGAGAAAGAGCTTGTTTTTGCAGATTCCTACTCTTTATCTTAATTATTAACTTCATGTACCTACTTTTAGCTAGTGTTTTCTTAGTTTTTAGTATCATTACCAGAAGTTTTTTCGTTACTATTTGGGGTTTTCAATTCGCTATTGACATTTTCTAGTCTTTTGACTTTGCTAAGAGTTTACTATTCATTGAGATTTTAGCATATTCTAAACTTGTGATCCTAATTAAAATAGAAGCCTAGATAGTGATCATGGAGATCTTTTTGAAAATGCAAAGTTAATTCCTATTGCATGTTAGGAATCAAGAAATAGTAAGCAACCAAAAATATTTAGATTGCCAACAAGAAGCAGCAAAAGAATGTAAATGCTTTTCTAATCATAAATGTGCACACAGAGACCAATTTAGGACCTCCGAGGCGATCAAATATATTGTATAGAATGTTTAAGAAAAAATCAAATAGATTTTCAAATATTTATAGAGCCATCTATTTTTCAAAAAAAACTTTTTAGTCTTTTGAAACTCAATCAATATCTCCCTATTTTATATACTTTTATTAATTCTTTACTTTTAGTAAATAATATTAATTTTTTTATTTTCAAATGCTGTGTTAAAAATTTATCTTGTGTGCGGCTTACCTTAAATAAATAAACAATTGATATGCAGCTTAATATTATATGCATTTAAATTGACTCAAAAAAGTTGAAAATAATGATAAAAGTTGACGGATACTATACTTTTGCTTTATTTTAATAAACGAAATCTATCGTCATTCCTTTCCTTATGCAACATTAGTAATAATAAGTCACTTAAATTTTTTAATTTAGTTAATACGCTTCTCACGCTTAAAAAAAATGATATTTAGCTCTGACCTTACCTTTAAAACTAAATACTTCAATATACATATTTTTTTGTAAATAAAAATGTTATTACAACAATAATTTTGATCGCATTTTTATTCAAAATCTAAAACAAATAGCAAATTGAATTAAAAAACACAATAAACTTAATATAATAGCATGTATTTTTAGTTTTTTTTAAATATTTTGATGGAATTATCTTTTACATTGCTTATTATTCGGTTTACAAAATGAATGAACAAACTATTTCTTTTAGCTAAAAATTGAAATTTGATTTTTTTATTGAATTAGAATTTATTAATTAAATTATAATAATTCTTATATCTAAATTATTTTACACGAAATTTATTAAATAATCCTGTTATCAGTATCTTGCTTGAATATTTTAAATTTGTGATAATTTTATTAAGTATAATATTTTCAAGTATCCCATTAGGAATTAAATTTTTTTTTACGTATTATTTAAATTAAATCATAGATAAGCAATGTAGAATATTCTTACTAACTTTCTATTAAATGTAATCCTCTAAATTTATATTGATTAATTTTAATTTTGACTTCAATTAAAAATAAAAGACTTAAATCTATATCTTACTTACTTACTTACTAATTTTTTTTTGATAATTATTATTCATTAAAATTTTCTAAAAAAAGTAAGAAAAAATATTTAGACAATTAAATTTAATGGAGAAGTAAACAAATTTTACCTTTTTCATAAAATGACTCCATTTTTTATTGTCTTTTATACTTTACTAGAAATTACTTATAAAATCTACCTTTTTGTTTATTTTAAATAAAATTATTTTGTAAAAATTAATTCGGATTGCCTTATTAATAATGATTTTTATTTAACTTACATTGCTCGAATTTTTGTTCAAGTTATCTTTAAATTTTGAAAAAAAAGATAAACCTTGATAATTAATTTATAATAAATATTTCAAATCAAATTTTTATTAAAAATTTATAAATGACAGAATTTTCAAAGTTAAAGGATTTACCAAAGAGACCTTTTAGAACTTTAATAGGATCAAGTATCTTGCTATTATATGGACTTGGACCTTTTTTAATGTTAATTGTTTACTATTATGCTTATTAGGGAAGCTTAGCATGCAGAATTCTTTCTGTGTTGCAAATTATTGCTTAAATCTTTGCAAAAAGAAGCTAAACATATCTCAGTTTATTAAGGTACCTTGACTTAGAATTGTATTTTGATGGCTTCACTTTCGAAACAGTTGATGGACCTATTAATTAAGAGAAATCTCTTTTTGCTGTCCATCCTCATGGTATTTTTAGTTTAGGCATGTTCTTAAATAATCATAGAGATCACTTTGGAAAAAATGCTGTCGTGTGCGGATCGCGTATGGTAACTATAGCTCCAATTATGGGTCTTCTACATAAATTAGGAGGAATGGTTTCTGTAAACCCTGAGAGCCTTTAGCAAATAATGAAAAAAGGAAATAATATTGCTTTATTACCAGGTGGATTTGAAGAAGCTACTATTTCATCAAGAAAAGAAAATAGAATATTTATTAAATCAAGAAAAGGGTTTATAAAATATGCAATAAGATACGGTTACAAGGTTTATCCTACTTTTGTATTTAATGAAAATAGAATATACAACTACTTTGATAAGTTTGAAAATTTTAGACTATTTTTAAACAAATTTAAATTAGTTGGAGTTATTTTCTGGTCTAAACTTGGAATGCTACCTGAATTCAATCACGAAATACATACTGTTGTAGGAAAACCTATGGATCTACCTCAGATGGAAAATCCTTCATAGGATATAGTAGAAAAATATCATACTTAATACATTGAATAACTATAAGCCTTATATGAAAAATATTCTAAAATTTATAACGTTAAAGAAGAATTAAAATTATATTGATAAATTAATTTATTTTTAAATGTTAAATATATCATTTTTAAATGTTTTTTGCTTAAGTTTAAATTTAATTATTTATTTTTAAAAAGATATGTTCCTTCCTTCCAATTAATTTTTTTCAAACATAAGAAATAATGATAACTTAAATAAAAATTTTATTTTTCAATTACAAATATTTTTTTAAAAATAACTATTCTAAATTCTTAAATTAATAATCGAAAATTAGTATTCTTATATTAAATTTAAAAAAATTAAAAATAAAAGGTTGATTAGTTTAAAATATCTTTATTATTTTTAAAAATACCTTATTTTTTTTAATTTTTATTTGATTTCAATTTAAAAATAAACAATAATATAAAATATTTATTGAATAAGATTTATGTTTTTAGAAGTTTTTTATCAGAATACTAGCTAAATTATTTAGAATTAGATAGACTAAAATAAAGTATGAAAATAAAAAATTTGGCTCTGCTAAAATGAATTACTTTAAATTCAGTAAAAGTGATTGTTGGTTCTAACAAATTTTTATATATAAAATAAAGACAAAAATATTAAAGATTACTTTTTTTTTACATTTAGAACTATTTGATTTTTATTTTTTCTAGCAAAAATAGAAGAATAATTTGATTGTTATTTTTTATGATCAATAAATTACTAATCAAAATTTATATTTTTATAGAACTAATTGATATTTAGTTTATATTTATATTAAATTAAATTTATCATTGATAGAATTCAACAATTTTTTTTTTTTACGTCTTTAAATTATTACGATGCATTACGTCTTAAAGTTCTATTACTAATGATGATTACCAGCTTTCAGCTAATTTATTTTTAATATAAATCAGCATATTAAATAAAAATTTTACCATTATTAAAAATCCAGCTAGATTGTAATTATATTATTCAAAGAATATTATAAAAATCAAAATTTTTGGGAAAAAAAAAATCATGACTAACAATACCTCAGAAACAACAATTACTTCAAGCTAAGTTGAAGCTTAAAGTGTTTGCTCATCACCAGAATAAGTTAAACCAAATCAAGCAAAATTGATTACAGTAACACCTAAGGATAGAGAAATCCGTCCATGGAGATCAATTTTCGGAGGAGCTTTTATGATGACATATCTTACTACTCCTTTTATTATGTGTTATATTTATTTCAAAGCAGTTTAAGGTGATGTTTTATGCATTACTCTCTCCATTATTTAAATAATTGCTCAAATTTATGCTAAACGCTGGGATGCTTGGTGCAGATTACTTAATTATTTAGATATGGATCTTTACTTTGATGAATTTGGATTGCATTTCGAAGAAGAACTTGCAAAAGAAAAAGTTCTACTAGGAATCCATCCCCATAACGTTGTTACTCTTGGAATGACTTTAAATTAATTTAAAGGTAGATTTGGTAAATAAAACATTTGTGCTAGCAGAGTACTTTTATACATGCCACTTTTAGGAATGCTTCATAAATTTAGCGGAATAGTACCAGTCGATGCTTAAAATCTTAAAAAGTTAATGTCAGCAAATAGAAATTTAAGTATAGTACCTGGAGGATTTGAAGAAGCTACTATCTCATCAAGTACAAAAGACAAAGTATTCATTAAAAATCGTAAGGGTTTTATTAAATTTGCTCTCCGTTATGGATATAACGTGCATCCTGTTTTCATCTTTGGTGAAAATAAAATGTTTGAGTATTTTGAAAAATTTGAAGAATTCAGATTGCTTATGAACAAAGTTAAGCTTGTTGGTCTTATTTTCTGGTCTAGATTAGGTCTACTTCCAGAGCCTCGTCTTAAAGTTAACACTGTTGTAGGTAAAGCTATTAAGCTTCCATAGATCGCAGAGCCTACTGCATAAGACGTTGATAAATATCACACTATTTACATTGAAGAGCTTCAAAGAATCTTCAATGAAAACAAGATTAAATTTGGTGACAACCATGACTTAATAATATACTGAAAAAAATAAAATTTGAAATAAGAGATTAAATCCAATAAAAATTTAAAACAAACCAAAAATTCATCTATAATTTATTATGTTAAATCTAAGTATTTTATTTTCAAAAAATTATATATTTATTTATGTATTATATTTTCTTAGTTAATTGATCAAAAATAATAAACTTCCCACTTTTCTTCTCTAACTATTTGCTATATATTATCCCAATCTAATACGAATAATATTATTTATGTAAGCATACGTAACTATACATTTTATCTCATCTGACGTATTCTCATAGTCTTCAATCCAAAATATCTAATATTTATCAATTTTATCTCATAAAGTATGATAAAAATTTGTTTATATTTTACTCAAAAGAAATACTAAAATCTTATTTAATACATATAAAATTCTATTAGCAATTAAAAATTAAATTAAATAACATATTTCATTTTTAAGCCTAACTAATTTTTAAAGATAAATAAATTCTACTTGACAACATTTTTAAAATAAATATTTCTAAATACATTTTAATTTTTGTCAAACCAAATGAGCACACTTGATATAAAATTAATTTGAAGGAGGTTTTTTTAAAAATAATATTTAATTGTTAGCATTAGAATTATTTATTTTAATAAAGATAATAATTAAATGATAAATGTTTATAAAATTTGAGAAATATAATTTAAAACAAAAAGTTTAAACTAAATTTGATAATATATATTTAATTTAATTTAAGTTTAAATAATTAAAATTAAATTGTGATAAACTATTCTTAAATAAAATTTTATTTATAAAAAAAATAAATTTAGAAGAAATTTCTTAATTTATTCTTTTATTCATTTATTTGTTTATAATTTATTATTATTTAAAAGTATGAGCTTATAAATTTGCTAATAATTTAATAAACTTTTATTTACTCACATACAGAATTAATTATTTTATGAGTTTTTTTTTCACAATTTTAACTTAAAATTAATTAAATATTTTCCTTTGTAAATTCTTTATGCTATTTTTGAGTAATCTTAGTTTAACTAGCAGGCACTAAATATTAAAAAATTAAGAATAGAATTTTATGAAAAGTAAATTACTTCATTTTTAGTTTCAAATTTAAAAGTCTTTTTATTTTTGAAATATATTTGCTAAGTAAAACAGCTCCATTTAAACTAATTTAATTTGATCTTTTTTTTATTTATTATTTAACATTACATTTTCATCTTTTTATTTGCAAAATAAATTTTACGAAAATTATAATTTTAGGCTAACCAAGCTCTAAATTTTTGAAATATCAACTCCAAACTGCCCTAAACCTTAGTCTTTTATGCCACAATCTCTTATTAAAAAATTAAAATATGTAATTAGGATTTTTTTAATTTAAAATTTACCTAAAATTTAAATTAAGGTGCATTAAAGAGTTCATTTTTATTATGGAAGATGTTATTTGTAATAATCCAGAATCAGAAATTTAATTCATTCTTGATTTTAATTAAGTTAAATTAAAATAGTAAAAATATTTTTTATTTACTCTAAGTTAAAATATAAATTTGTTAAATTTTAGCATTTAAAAAGTTTTTCTCCAATTTTTGAAATGCCTTCTTAAGTAATTGAATTACTACTAATTTATTTTTCAATTAATTTTAATATTTAATTTATTATTTATTTTTTTACCTAAGATATAAAGATAAATTAGATAAATTATTTATACCATATAGGTGTTATAACACTTTATATCCACCATCATCTCCTAGTTTATTCCATCTAATTTAAAATTTTATTTACTTTACATTTGGTATACAAATTTTTAAGACATTTAGTAGATTTCATTTCAATTTAAATTTATTTAAATATTTTGAAAAAATCTTATTTTATTTTGAAATATGTTTGTTAGCTTCTCTTAAAAATATTTTTTTTTTCTTATTTAATTAGTATTTTACCCGATATCTAAATAAAGAAAGCTTAGCTTTTTCAAGGTTAGAAATAAATTTCCAATATTTTGAGACCCTTTAGGACCGATTTTATTTTTACTTTTTTGAATTATAAGATATATTCGATTATATTTAAATTAAAAATATTACTATATGTAAAAGGTTAAACTTTCTAAGTTCGTTAACAAGCTAATCTACTTGCTAAAATTATTTATTCCTTCTTCTGAAATCAAATTATATCTAATAATTAAAACTAAATTCAGGTTGAACAGTTATGAAAATAATTTTATACGACATATCAAGTGTTAGGAATTTAAGCTATTATAAGGAAGAGACACAGCTTCCGAGAATAGAGCAGCCTAAATCTTTTAAGTCGTTTTGGCTTTTATTAAATAAAATACTTAGAATGGTTTAAAAAGAAAATCTTACCTTAGCTATAGATTTAAGTTTTATAGGTTTTGGCACTTCGAAATATATTACAACAACGATTTCATTTTTTCCACTCCAATTTTGTTTCCACTTCATATAAGAAAGTAGAATTTTATAAAAATTATTTCAAATTTAAAATAGAAAAATTAATTGTACTATAGATAAATTTCTAAAGCGTTGAGGAAATTTAGTTATGATATCCTTTATCCGAGTTAGCTATAGTTCTCAATATCTATATTAGTTAAGCTTGAATAAGGGTAATTTTATTATCCAAATCATCCAGTATATTTACCTTAAATTTAATTTTATGCTCTTAATGTTTACACATTTTTAAATGCAAAGAGTTATTTATTAAGCTGTCTCGTTGCCATCAAAACTGTAACTAAATTAAATTAAATTAAAAATACTTTTGATTTTAATAACTATCTACTCAGAATTTGCTTCAAAATGACTAATCGAATCACAGTTATTAAGTAGAATTATCTATTAAAAAAATAAATTTAAAAGAATAAAAAGTTAAATTTTAAACGTAACCTCTTCCATAGATAGGCTTTTCATAAATTTTAATGGACTTTTTTTTAATAAAACTTATTTATTTTCGTAAACTTTTCTTAAACAAAATAGATTAAATAATTGTATTATTTTTCTATGGAAATCAATAGTGATAAGATAGGTAAATTTTGAATTTTTTTTGTCTAAAAGGCGTTGTTAATAAATATGTTTAATGTTTTGATAAAAAATGTAAGTAATAATAGATCAAAATTAGAAGTCTACAAATAATTTTAATTTTTTAATTTTTCATACAAACAAATTCAATTTATTTATTTTCTTTTATTCTTTTACAAAAAAGTATTTACTTATTTATGTGAATTATTGAGCATATTTAAAAGCTTATGATAAAATCATAATTTAAAGTGAATAAATCAGGTAATTAATCTTTATACTAAAATAATAAATATAAAATGAAGTAGATATTTTTAATTAATTACATATTAATTTAATTTGTTTTGCTTTTTTTCATGCTACTAATATATATATTTTTTGTTTGTTTGATTGCTTGTTTGTTTAATAATTTTTTGGTGTTTTTATTGTTATAATAAATAATTAATACTATTCTATATTGTTTGTTTGAAAGTAATATTTCTTAATAATTGTAAACGCTTTTTATTTTTTATTTTCATAATCTTTCAAGACGCGCTAACGCATTTGCTACAAAGAATTACATCTTCGTATTGCTCATAAATTACTGTTGTGCAAAGTGGAAGGGGACATACAATACTTTCACACTTAGAACACTACTTACAGCATTTAAAACATACTAGCCTGTTGCATTCGTTGCATTTTTAAAATAACTTTTCTGAGTTTTACTCAATAGGTTAAATGCTAAAGTTATTGTTAAGTGTAAAATTATTAGCGGGAATATTATTTAAATTGAATTCTTTGTTTCCTAAATTGTTAGTAGAAAATTTATATAAGGTTTGCTAAACCTAGTTGGAGGCTGATTGATTCATCATATTACTAAAGTTTTACTGCTATGAATGAACGGCTTATGAAGTTTATGGTGGATTTTTCTGCTTTCTGATGAAAAATGAATCGAGTTTATTCTTTTGCTCATATTTTTTACTCTAAAAATTAGAGTTTTCCTTACAATTAGATGACTCTTGTTATCTTTTAAGTAAAAGTACTTAATCAAAATGAAGTTTGCAATATGAACAAAACTAAGGACTAGAACATGTATGGCTGTCATTTTCTAAGATTTACTTCATTATATTATTGTTACTATCTACGAAAGGTTTTTTCTAGGCAAATAAATCATAATTACCTTATAATAATAGAGATGAAGTTTAATCAAAAGCAGAATAATTTATTGATCTTTTATTATTTTAATTATTGAAGGTATTATTCATATTTTCAGCCATTCTTGTTGATTTGTTTATTTATGAAGAAATATCAATCATAGCACCTGTACTCTATTTCATTTACTAAGATTAATTAAAATTTCTTGATATATCTCCACTTATATTATCTTCTATCATATCTTTCAAGCAGCCTTTAGCAGGAGAATTTTCAAAATGATCTAATCTCAAATTCTACATAAAATTTAATGCTTATGTTATTGATTCCTAACTATTTAACAATGAATTGCTTCTATCCCACTCTTTTGTAAAAAATTATTCAAAATTCTCCTAAATATAAGGACTTTTTCTCAACATTGCTTTGATTTCTGATACCTGTTTTGAATTAATTAATATCTATCTCTCTAAATTGTTTAAATTTCTTTTATTCTAAAAAAAAATTTGTTGGCTAATATTTTTAAATTTTTGTTAATATTGTGCTGTAATAAAAGCTTGAATACCCGCCATTATTTTTTTTAATATTGAAATTAATCGCGCATAAAAATGATTTTTTTTTTTTTAAAGAGGTAGAAATAAAATTTAAAATAATAGGAAACTAAATTCATAATTAAATTAAAAAAATATAGAAATTTCGATTAAATTAAGAAAGATTTTATTAGCATAGATTTGAATCAATAAATATATATTATAGATAACAAAAAAAATGTTTAATTAAAATCAATCAAACTTATCTAATACAAAGACTATTCGACTATTTCATAAACTCATTGAAATTATAGTAAGATATTAAATATTTTAATAATTCAATTAATTAGGACATAATTATCATTAAAATAGAAACATCTCATTAACGCATTTTTAATTACTCACTCAATTATCTATTTTCTAAATATAAACGAAAAAGTTTATTTTTTTACAATGAAATTTTCAAAGTCTACCATTTTATTTTTTTATAATCACTTTTTTGTGATAAAAATATACTTGCTCAAATTTCTTCATGAGAATAAATATCCGCTAGAGGATTAAATTGCTAATTAAGTAGGAATTAATCATACAGTGAGATCATATTATTTTTTTAAATATTCCAATTCAAAAGTGAAAATTCAAATATAAAAAATCGAAATTTTCTTTTTCCCTAAACCATCAAATAAAAATTATTTCAATATAATGTTAGAGATTAAAGTGATAGTGTTTGAATTGACAAAAAAGATTTTTATAAATAAATTTTAGCACTGTTACATTAATTTTATGAAACTTACTAGTTGATAGATAAATTTGTGTCTATTTCAAAAAAACATTTAAAATAAGAATGAGAGATAGAAAAATCTAATTAGAGCTATAAAAAATTTTCTTATTTACTAGGAATTGTTTAAAAATTTAGATAAATTTAAAGTTTAACAAAGGCTAAAAGCAAAGTGTACTGCTATGTTAAATTTTTGAGAATAATAAATTATTTTTTGTATCTATTTCTTTTATTAAAATTGACTCATAAATTGCTAATAAATTTGTAAAGTTTTAAAAAGAGTCTCCAAGGAAATTAGAAAAAGAATTTATTTAAAAGTATTTATGTCGCTATTGATCAATTAATAAAAATATTAAACTTTTTGAGACGTATTAGAAAATAAAAAAGAAAATGTTAAATAATATTATTATAATTATCTATTTAAGCGTTAGTGCATCTATTATATTTGACAACAAATTCTTATATGAAAATTATTAAATCTGCTTCGTGGGCGTGAAAATCGCAACGATATTATTTTAAAAATCAGGGTCTAACTTTTTGCAATAGCTAAAAAAGCAGATATTATTGTGAATTGAATATTACTCAAAAAAATTATTCAATCTCTCAAAAGCAATCATATCATTCAAAAATTAATAAATTAGTTTTGATTTAGCGAAAAAAAAATTAGAAAAGAAATCTTCAGAATTATAAAATAAAAAGAAAAAATTCTAAATAAATAGTAAAAGGAAACCAGCCTTAACAAATATAAAGAATTAATTACATTAAAGAAACAAAAAAATATAAAACTTTTAATAAAAATTAACTTCAAATAATAACTAAGAATTTTTTTACTTTGATAAATTAAAAAGTAAATAAACAAATAAAGAAATAAATAAATACAAAAATGTCTATTGAAAACCTTTATTCCCAACACTTATCTTCTAAGTCCAATTAAGTTAATGATGGTATTAACTTTTCGTCTTATAAGCTTGAATAAATAGGCGAGTCAAGTAATTCTTGTATATTCTCAATCACAAACAAGAATAAATAATCATAAATTTTGAAGGTTATCAAACACAACTCATAAAACTCTTACAAGTTAGAAGGCCGTGAACAATGTTCAGGTCACTCTCGTGAATGCGCTCATTTACAAAATGAATATAACATGCTTAGAAAATTAAATCACCCAAACATAATTGAACTAAAACATGATTAATTGATTTAAAATACAAGTATTGTAGACACTAATATCAATGGTTGCTGTATTCTACTTGAAAAGGGTAATTGCGATTTACTATAAATGCTTAGTTAAGTATATCCTAATGTATTAGAAATGTCCTACCTTAAATATTGCTTTAAAAAAATTGCCTTTGCAATTCAATATCTTCATGAAGAAAAAAAAATAGCTCATAATGACATCAAGTTGGAAAATATTATCTTATTCAATTCTGAACCTAAAATTTCAGATTTTGGCTTCGCCTAAAAACACGAATTAGATCCTATAGTTCAGATTAAAAACTGGCTTCACAGATCAAAGAAGAATGTAGCACCTGAAATTATAAATAATATGAAAAAATTAAAAGCTAAATAAATTGATGACATAAAGGCTTTTGATGAAAGAAAAACTGATATTTTTGCTTTAGGTATTGCTTTATTCAACGCCTTGATCCATTAAAATCCTTTTGAAATCATGGCTGATTCCAATGACTCACTTTACTCTAAATTCTATGAATAAGATGGAGCATCCAAATTTTGGAGTGATCCTTAAATTTCAAGAATGTTAGATTTCATATCATCATTTGAACATTCAAAAGTACCACAGTTAAAAAACCTTTTAGAGGGAATGTTACATCCAAACCCAAAGTAAAGATATTGTATAAAACAAGTTTTATCTCATGAATGGTTCAACCTTTGATGGAAAATAAAAAAACAAATAAAAACATTCTTAAGTCCACAAATTTAATATCAAATTTCTGTAAATAAATAACTCAAATTAATAAATAAATAAATTAATATATTCAATTTTAACTAATTTAAATTATTCACATGTAAATTTATACAAAAACACTTATATTTATATATACTTATAGTATTTTTTCTAATTTATTACCCTTACCTAATTAAAATTTCAAATAAAACTTAAATTATCAAGATAAAGTAAGACCAGTTGTATAGTTATTACCTAAAAATATGTAATTTTATTAAACAGAGTGATTAACTCACAAAATTAAAATAAGCTTATAAAATTTATACCCAAAGACAATATCTAAATAATTAAATAGAAATAAAGCATATCAGATTTTAATTATTCTAAATAATTAACAAATTAACATGAAAACAATAAAAATTATCTTAATTACAAAGTATAAATTAAAGAATCGATAAACCAAATAATATTTCCTAACAAATAAATATACTCAATTTATTTATTACATGATTTTTTAATAAAACATCTCTATTTTAGTAACCAAATTTAAACAAACTAAAACTAATTGATTTTTCATTTCAAAATAATATTTTGATTTTTAATTTAGTTTTACTGAAGAGAAAAAAAAAAGTTGATTTCAAGCATTTCACCAAAAAACATATGTTAAAACTGTAAAGTTAGTAATACATTAAGTTTAATTATATAATTGAAAATGACAAAAAAATGTAATTTTTATTAATGTAATCTATATATCTTTAAAAAGAATATTGTCTCCTCTCAATATCTTTAATTAAATTTCTTTTACCAACTAAAAATTTCATTTTTATTGAAAATTCTGTTTTTATTATTTACTTCACCTTAAGTAAATAAGAAAAATAGGTTAATTTTCCAAAAAATATAAACACATCTATATTATTTAATTAAATTAACCTATTTTGTGATTTTAGCAATAAGAAAGATATACTTTGAAGTTCTCTGATTATTTAAATTGAAAAACTTGTAACCAAATTCAATATATAATTTTATAGAATAACTCAATTTCTTTTTTAAATATTACGATTATAACTAAGGGTTATTTAATCATTATTTATAAGATATTTTAAGGTTTAATTTAGTTTTTATTGGTTAGAAGTGGAATTTGAATTTTTCACAATTAATGGTTGCTTAGACCATTTTAATAAAAGTAATATTTACCCATTTATAATAAAAATTTCTATTCAGTAATGGAATGATTTTTAAAAATAAATCCCTCAAATCAATAAAACTATGAACATGTAGTTTAATGATTGAATAAATATATAAATGAATGTATTTATTTATATTTTAAAATCTTATTTAATCTTTAGCTAGTTAATTAATTTTACTCATATTCATTAACAACTACGAATTTATAATTTTAATAAATAAATCATTATTATTTTTTTCACTCATAATTTTAGCGCGACGCATAATACTTAGCATTATCAATAAGCATTTTAATCTCACTTTTCGCACTCTCTCCTTCAATATTGCTTTGAGCTTCTTCAAAACAGTGCAATGCTTCTTGATATTTCTTTAATGATGTGTAAATCTTACCTAATTTCAAATTAATTTCACCGTAGCTTGAAATAACTTATTTTTAATCAGAAACTTCGAAAATTTTTAAATAGAGTTTTTCAGCTGTTTCGTTATATCCAATTTTTGCTAATTCATCACCTAATTCTTCTAGTAAACCAAAATCTGCTACTTCGGTCTTAAATAACTCTCTTAATGATTGGTTGGCTTGAGTGAATCTACCAGGCTGTATCTAAATTAAAAAAGCAGATTTGAATATTTATTAAACTGAAAATTGAAATTACAAGGCATAATAAAGCTAAATATCCCCAAGTATCTCCATTGAAGGGATCATATATATTTGCTTAAGAAAGTGCTTCTTCAGCCTATTTACATTTAATAATTAATAAATGAAAAATTAATCAACTCACTAAATGATATTTACTTCTTTTAGCTCTCCTATTCTTAAACAGGAAATACCTAAACCAAGCCAAGCCAAGCTTGAGTTAGACTTGCTTTCAACAGACCTAGCAAAGATTGCTTTTGCGTCTCCCCATGATTTTCTATACAAGTAAATATAGCCGAGTCTGAGATAAATGGTCACGTTATGTTAAGCTTACTACTTTTGATTTTTTATTTTAAGAGCCCTTAAGAAAGTTTCTTCGCATTCATATAATTTATCTGTTAAATAATAAAATAAATTAGTTAATTTCTTTAAATTTTAGAGTTTTACTAGATAAATAACAGATATTAGCCTTAATCATTAACACTTCATAACTATTTTTATTGCTTTCAATGATTCTGTTTACAATATTTAAACATTCGTCATAGTTTCCTTTGAACTATTAAATCTAACATTAAATCAAGTCATTCTTGTAAGTATTTAAATCGAAGACTAGATCTAAGCACTTTTCAACCAGCTCAAAGAGGTTATTTTTTGAGAAGAAATCAATTAGTTCTACATAAATTTCATTCCATTATTCGTTATTAAGTTGGGGTCCTTTATTCATTTCGGCCTCGTTTTAAATAGGCTTGAAACTAGGCACTTCAAATGGATTAGGATGCTTTTTATGGTTTGCCTTAGATTGAAGAAGTCCTTGATTTCTTAGGAATATTCTTTCAGCTATTCTCTTATACTTTTCAGCAAGTTTAGTTTCATTGGTGAATTTTAAGTAGGCGAAAGAAATAAGTATATTATATAAGATACTAGTTGGATTTTTTTCAACCAGTCCTCTTAAAATCAATAAAGATTCCTTATATCTATTTCTTCTCAAAAGCAAACATGCCATCAAAATTTAATATTCCTTAAAATATATATATTAATTATTTATATAACTGAAAAATAAAAATTAATCAATTAATCTACCTTGTTTTCTACATCAAAAATAAGAGCCTTTTCAAGCATTTCCTCTGCCTTACTTAAATTCTTATTTCTAAGTAAAAATTTAGTGTAAGCGAAATATGAAGTTGGTTCTCTTTTATTTAATTAGATGAGATTTTTAAAATTCTTCTCAGCCAAATCAATTTAATTCAAAATTTCATAATCTGTAGCTAAACGTATTAGTTTATCCTTTTCAGATTCTTTTGTGATATTCTATAAAATTCTGTCTCTTTCTTTTTAGCTTTATTCGTATGTTGTAACAATATCCTCATGTAACTCTTCTCTATTTAAATGTTTTCAATTAAAATTTTCAATATAGAAATAAAAATATATATTAATATAATTCAATAAAATTGTTTTATTTAGAAATCATAAAAATAAAAAATACCTTTTTGAAGAAACTAAATCACTAAGAGTCTATCTTGTTTATTCCATCAAGAAAACATATAATTCTGAATAAAATTAATCCCTCTGATCAGTTGTAATACCTGTTATTGATCCACTCTTTTAAAATTTGTCTCTGCATATTTTAACAATAGATTTTTTGAGTCTCTCTTTAAGGACTTTATATTTTCCATCTTTATTAAAGTGGAACAAGAATTGCTCCTTTCTGGCTTATGCCTCTTGAGCCTTTTAAACTGTAAAGGCTTACTTTTTTTCATTGTTATTATTGCTGAAATTTTAATTGCTAAATTAAAAGTATTCTAAAGCTAGAGATTCCATAGCTAGCACTAATTCTGATTTAAATTCAGAGATACATTATTTACTTGGTGGCTATTGGGGAATAGGAGGAGGTCTAGGAATTAAATCTCTAATTGTGGGTAATACTTCTTCAACTAATGGTGATATTGCCCTGTCCATTGAAATAGTTATTTTTATGTAAGTTTTTTCTAAGTTAGGTCTTGGTATTTCAGCAGGAGTTTCAGGTGTTAAAATCTATTTTAAATCAAATAGAAAAAATGATGCTAAATTAAAATAATTTTGACTTAAAATGCAAATAATAAGTTTCATTTTAACTTAATATTTATATCTTATTTTATATTCTTAAATAAATAAATAGATAGATTGAGATTTATATTTAAATTTGAAACTATTTAGAAAAGCTTTAAGTAACTTCTATTAACATATTATTATGTTTTTGTAATAAAATTATAGTTTTTATTTATTTAGCTTGAATATTTAGTTTACCTGTTCCAAATAGCAACGCTTTACAACTTCTACGGTACCAGGGACTTCAAAGTCGCTTAAATCGACCCAAGCCCTCATTTAAACTTAATTAAGATCATTGACATTGAGGTTTTTGTTTTTTTATTTTCTTGCCTTGACTAATTCTTCTTCTGTTAATGTAGGGAGCTTTGTAAAGTAAATATATTCTCCCTTTTCATCATAAACTCTTTCTTCTAGAATAACTAATTGTTCACCTTCTTTTAACTAAGTTCCTTCTGCTTTTTCATAATTAACCCATGGATGCTTGTGCTTATCTTCTAGAGTTCTGAAATTTTTTTCTTTTTCATCCAAGGCATCCCATTCTGCTTGGCGTCTGCGCTCTTCTTCTTCTTCCTATTCTTTTTTAAGTCTTAAAGCTTCTTGCTCCTCAGGAGTTAGAACAGGCTCAGGAGGGGGTTAATGCTTAGGATCAGGTTTAACAGGCTTTTTGCTCTTAGCAGCGGCTGCTTCTTCAGCTTCTTTAATTTCTTTTTCAGTCAGCTATCTAGGTACTATTTTTCCTTCTAATATATCTAACCCTAAAAATTTAGTTTAGTAAGTAAAAAGATTAGGATTCAAATCATCTGTTGTTTTCCATTCCTCAGGAAATCCATAAACACCATGAACCTTAATTGAAAGATTCAAACTCTCAATAGGATTATTTATTTTTTCTAAAAGTGATAATAACTTTGGATTAGGCTCTGTCATCCACTAAATACTAATACTTTATCAATTTTTTCCTTTTAATGAATTATTTAATATGCTACTCCTTTAAGGCTATTTCAAAGATACTGTTTTTGAAAAATGTACAACTTTCTTTGATTTTGCAAAGTATTGAGATATTGTTAACTAATCAAATTATAAAGTTGAGTGACTTTATTTAATTTATTATACAAACGATATAAGTTTTTTTTTTGTTTCAAATTTATATATTAATTAATTAATTAATTAATAGCTTTACCAATACTCATAAATCATATTCATAAATATCCATTTTATTTCATACAATTTATCTTTATTTTTTAATAAACATTCATTATTAAAACTGAATTGATTGATTTACTTATTTAAATATTTATTTATTTAGTTATTTCCATTTATATTTTCAATTTTTTAATTTTTAATTCATTGATTGATTGATTTACCATTTATTCTTTTAAAACTGCCATTTTAAAATATATTAAAAATTAAATATGTTTACAAGAAAACAATTTGAATTAATATAATTTGTTTTTACATACTTAAAATGAAATCATTAAACTATTTATGATTCATTTTACTTATCAAGCTTAATAATATTTCAAATTCTTTCAATTTTAAAAAAATTTTAATTGATATTTTAACGTTTAAAGCTTTTGTATTGTAAAATAAAAGAAATAATTTTTGTTAACTTTTAATATTTTCTCTTGTTAATCTTAAAAAAGATAAATAATCTTTTATATTTCTCATAATTTTTTTTTAATAATTTTTGAGTTTAAAAACAAATACTTTTAAAACATTTAATAAAAAAGTACTTTAAATTAATTTAATTCAAAAGAAAAATATTTTAATTTTCACTATTTTTTTTTCTTTTACTTCATTTAAAAAAAAAATATTAGATAAATTATAAATGATTTCTTTCATTTCTAATTATTGCTGAAGATATTTAAATTAGTATTAAAAAATAAATTTATTGATTTTTTATTTGAAGAATTAATATTTTAATATTTTAAAAACAAACTGATAATTTAAAACTTAATGACTGATTAGAAGATTTTTAAAAAAAATTCAATTATAAAAGACTAACTCGCTAACTTATAAATTATTTTTATTTTAGATAGCATTATTAATAATCACTATGCTGAATAATTTAGTACCAAATAAATAAAATATATTAAAAAGATTTTATTTTATAATTATTTAAAAATAATTTTCACTCATATAAAGATGCAATATCACACAAGGCCTATTTTTATTATAAAAAATATTTTGTTTGATTGCTATTTCAAATTAATGCATACTAACTAATATTTTGAAGAGTTGAGCAGTCTTTTACCAAGTAGAATTCCCTTGCCAACAAGTGATTGAGGAGTAGGAGGGTTAGGGATAGAATCAACAATAGTAGTAAATAAGTAATCATAAACTAAGGAAATAGATGTATCACCAATTGAACTATTTACAATTAAATATTATTATTAAAAATAGATTTATTTTATAAGCTTATTCTTACCATGTTTCAAAATATTCCATTCCATATTTTTTTGCCAATCCCACAGCTTCACTCTTTGAAACAGCGCCTTTTGTATTAGCATATAAATCTACCTATGTAATAAATGTTTTTTATTATAATATAAATCAACTAGGTGCATTTTTAGGATATTTACTTTATTTCCAATTAATATTCTAACGGGTATTTCACATTTTTCACTCTCTTAAATCCAAGTTTCTATTCTTTCAAATGTTTACCTTCTTGAAACTATTATGATTTTTGCATTTTAAAAATAACTAAAACTGAATAAAAATATTTTAGCTCACCATCAAACATATATATAGCAGCTGATGCACCTAAGCAGTACCTATAAAAATAATCTTAATTGCGCTATTATCCTGGTATTTCCCAATAAGCTATTTTGAAAAGCTTATCAACATCCATGTATCCTACAGTCTAATAATAAATAAATAATAAATTTTGTAGCAAATATTCTAAAACAAAAATTAGCAAAATAAAATTGTATCAAACCTTCATATTTAATTCATCGCTTTGCTCTTATTCCATAATTTTCCCGTAATTTTATGTTATTGCTTTAAGATAAATTCATTTGAGATTAATCATTAAATTATATAATAATAGCTAAATTACACTCCAGGAGTGAAGTTTTGCCTACTGACTTATCTCCTAAATTAGTTATATTGATAGATTAAAATAATATTAACTTGTGCAATAACTTAATAATAAAATAAATATTAAATCTACCTAAAATAACAAATCTAAATTTGAAATGATAATCTTCGTTATCCATTAATCTCGATATATACCAATCCTATTTTTTAATTACAGTTTTAACTAAATCAAAATTTAATTAGATTAAAGTTTTTATATACCGCTAAAGGTAACGATTATTGATTGATTTTTAAGTTAATAACCTTCTTTTTGTTATATTATTTAATTAATTATAATATTTTTTTATTCTATTAGATATATTTTTAACTTTATAAGTTGTTTAATATAAATAAATTATTTCCATATAATAAATAATAAAAAAACATAAATAAAGCTTCAACAATATTGGTTGTTTAAAAAGCTCAATTTTAATTAATTTATTAATTTCTTCTATTTAGTTAAAAATTTTTTTTTCAAAAAAACAAATTCAGAGATAAAATGTTTTTATTCATATTTAAATCGAATATTTGTTTACTTTTTTAATCAATTTAAGTAAATATTCTGATGTTAAAAGTATATTAATCAAATTAAATTGTCTTAGAATATTTCCGATTAAATTTTATATCCAAATTAAATATTCTATTAAAATATTTATCAATCAAAATTAGTTTTATATCAATAAAAAAATGAAATTACTTTTTAAACCTTAAAATGTCAAAAATTTTTATATCTCATTTCAAATAATTAAGAAAAATAATTTAATAACCAAGAATTACTATGAAAATAAAGACATTTTAAACTATTGTTAATTAATATATTAATTTTTGCCAATTGAAAGAAAATTCATGATAATCTATCTCATGAGAATTAATTTTTTTAATATTTTTATTAAATTATTTTGTAGAATATTTAACCTCAATCTGTCTATTTCTTTAAAAAAAAACACATTTAATGATATAAAGGAATAGAAGTTTAAAAATAAAAGTCTTATTTAATTGAAAATCTATTAAATCATTGAAAATAATATACACCTAATAACAGAAATTTAAAAATCTAAATAGTATTTTGAAATTAGCAAGGAACAATAATAAAATATTTAGAATACTTTTGCCTTTTATTATAAAGTCTATTTAATAACGAAAATTTTTTGACTTTTCTTAATAATAAATTATACTATATTTAAATTAAATTTTAGAAGGTTTTTCCAATTTAAATGGTTCTAGTTAAGTGCTGGAAAGTATCAAAAAAATGTGTTTTTAGTAGCTTTATATGATTTATTGTGTTTTTTTGAACTATTTTTAAGAAAAAAAAATATTTTCTGTTATCTAATTAATTCTGAATACAAAATGAATTATAATTAATGAGTTAAAAGTATTTTATTTCTTTTTCCTAATTCTATTAGATTTGAAAACCTTCTACTGAATAAAATCGAAAATTAAACACAATTTCGGTCAATAATTATAAAATATAATAAAATTTTAAAAATTAAAAGTTCACTTGAAGAAAAGAATAAAATAAAACATTTAATCTAGTAAATAGATCTAAGCTAATGACATATTGCAAAAACTGTGGCTTATAAAAAAATCACATTGAATAATAATGTAACTCTTAGAAATTTTCTCTATTTCCGTAGTAACAGTAGAATTAGCCCTTAAAACAAGAATATTTGGTTAATTAATCAAACTAATAAAGGTATAAAATTTTAGCTATTTTATTTTATCAGACTGAGGTCAAATGATTGAAACAAAATACTATTTTACTATTAAAATTTCAAAAATTAAAGAATAACTTCTCATATTATTTTTCATTCATAGCTTGATAGGTTAAACTGATAATGCTTTCACAAACTAATAAAGTAATCTTAAATTGCCTGATCAAGCCAATAGATCATCAATTGAAGACATCTATCTCAAGGAATTATTAAAAAAGTATAATAACAAGGAAGATCCTAATTAATCTCTGGAAAATAGCTCGAATTAGAGTAAAAAGGACAGTTTAAGGGATAAATATCTTAAAGATGCTTGAAATTATGGTAGTTTAATTATTTTAATGATGAAATTAGTATATTTGTAATAAAATTTTTTATTGTTTAATAGAATTAGAGTATTAAGTTAAAAAGAAATTTTATTTTTTTAGTTTATCTACTCTTAATAATTTTATATTACTAAATTATTTCTAAAATATTTTTTAAAATTAATCAAAAACATTTTGCGCATATTTAAATAATCCATATTAGGTATTTCATTCATTGATTTCTTTTATTATTCAAAAAAAAAAAATTATGAAGTAAATTTTAGCTTAGATTGCTTTTTTCTTTAATAATTTAGTAGTTATTTTAAAGTACTCAAAAACTTGCAAATTTCTCAATTTAGAATATATGAAATAGCAATTAAGGAATGACAAAAAATAAAATTATAAAATAGGTATAATATTTTTTTTTAATATTAACTAAATATCCAATTACTTATTTTTAAAAATATATTTAAGATTTAAATTGCTTCAAATTTATTTATTTAAAAATATAAAGAATTTATTTATTTTAAATCATTTTATTTCTCTTTTATTTTTACTTCACAAATCTAGAGCCTTATTTAGCTTTTATCTTTTAAAATCAATTTATAAAAGTAATAATTGAGTTGACTAGACAGGATAATTTCGTAATAATTGCAATAAATATTTTTGTATTAAATTTAAAAAAAAATATTTATTTGAATTAGTTTTTTCTAAAATAGCAAATCAAGACTGATTGATATAAATAATTTTATTGAAAGAAAATGAATTTATTTCAATTTAGATTTTTACTTTGTGTTTTAAAATAATATTTTGAATTCGTAATCTACTAAAGATATCTTTTATATTTTAATTAATTTAATAACCAATAAATATATTTATGAGCCATTAAAAGAGAATAGCTATAATAACAGGTAGTAATAGAGGGCTTGGAAAAGCAATAGTACAATATTTAGCTCAAAGCGAATTCAGTTAATTTTACCATGTAATCATGACAGGCAGAAATGTTGATTAAGTTTCACTTGCTTAAGAGGAAATACTGTAGAACATTTAGAAATAAAAGCAAAAATGCTAAATAGAAGTTTAAAGATTAGATGTGGCTGATAGTAAGAGCATTAAGTAATTCAGTAATTGGTTTTAAAACAATTTTGATAGGTATGACGTTCTTTTTAACAATGCTGGAGTAGTAAACAAGTAGTTGGATGATTATAACTTACAAAAGAAACCTGACTAAGAAAATGCTAGATGGACAATGTAAACCAATTTTTTTGGTACTATTGAGCTAACAAAGTGTCTTCTTCCTAACCTCTCTCAGGATGGAAAGATACTAATGATGAGTAGCAATCTTGGAATTCTTTAATACTAAGGCGAGAAAGGAAAACAATTCCTTAGCAACCATAATCTAAATGAATAAGATTTAATCTAAGCAGCATAGAATTACATAAATAATGCTAACTAAAATGATACAACAATGTTTTGTAATTCTTCATATCATACATCTAAGGCTCTTCTTAATTCGTATTGTAGAATTGTTGGACCTAAAATCCTTGAACCTAACCAATCAATGTACGCTATTAGTCCTGGCTGGGTGAAAACAGATGTAAAGAATTTAATATATTTTTAAGCAATAATTCTAATAATTTAAATAGATGGGCGGAGAATTTGCAGAAGAAACCATTGAGTAATCTGGTCCTTTTTTAGCGGATTTAATAACAAAATTACCATATGGAAGAAATAAATTATCATTTAAATTTATTGAAAAGATGAAAGAAATAGATTACTGATTAGTAGAAACATTATTTATTTAATAGATTAATTAAATTATAATTTAAATGAATAGTGAAAAAAACTATTATTAATTATTTTTAATAGTTTTATTAATATCAAATTATAATATAATTAATATATTTATTTATTTATTTTCTTTCGTTCTTAAAGTAAAGTTAATATAAGATACAACTTTTACCAAAATTGAGACAATTCATAAAAATAATTTTATTTTTTAATTAATATTTTAATATTTACTTACAAAAGTTATGCTTAATCTTTATTTTTTTATATGTAACCAATAAATATCATAGGACTATTTTAAAATTAAAATTAACAAAACAGAATTTTTTAAAATTGACAAAAATTATAAAAATATTTCTATAAAAAATGTTAGCTTGAAATAGATTCAATAATAATATCAAATAGTCTTTTATAAAATTTTCTTTTATAAAAAAATTGAGAGCTTGCATATGTAAAAATATTTAGTTATTGATAAATAATAATCATATATTATAAGTAAGAAAATACAATTATATCAAAAAAATTGAATTATTTTACTTCTTTATTAATATTACAATACTATTATATAAAAATGATAGTAAGGCTTTAATATTTGTTAATATTTATTTAAATTTGGCTATTATTATTTTTTGTATGTGATTTACAGAGATGTCAAAATTTAAAAAATAGCTATAAAGATTTTATTGGATGAACCAATAAACAAATAAACAAAATATATTTATTAGAATTTGATCTATTTCAACACAAAAAAGTTAGAATTTGGAATAATTAATTTCAAGTTATTTTTGAAATTTACAAAATAGAAATATTTTAAGTTTATATAAAATGGAAAGATAGCAAGATGTAGATTCTCTAAAATTACCTTTGCTTCATCCTTTATTGGATGAATAAGATGTATAAGATGAAGCAGGCTATTAATAACTACAAATGCAATAAAATGAGGAATAATTATTTCGCATTTTAAATAATATTTAAGATAATCAAAATAGAATTTAAAAACTTGGTATCTACTAGCAATAGAATGATAATTAAGAAAGAAATTTTGATGAATCTTACTATTAAGATTAAAAAGATTTTGCTTAAAAGAGGTTATTCATCAGAGATAGCTTAGATTTGTATGAAAAGTAATAAACTAAAACTATCACACTTGAAGCCAATTTATAAGAATAAGCAATAGAAATAAACAAAAGCTAAATCGAACTTATATTCAGTTTGGTCGAGTTTGGATACCGTTTAGAAGAGGCTGTCATAATTACTGATAGCAGTAAAGCTGCTGCTTTATAGGATGTGTTTGAATTTTTAGATCAAAATCCTGATATTAAACTGCATGCCTTCTAAGAAGATAATCATTTTAAACCATTCTAATCGTTTGGAGTTTCATAAAAGATTGAACTATGCAAAGAATGCAACTAATTATAAAATGAACATTAATATATTCTCACCTCTTAAGTCAATGAAAATGATAAATAAATTGATAGCTTTTCTACTTATTTTCGTCTTTCTGATGAAAATAAAATTTTAGAATCAACATAACAAATTAACTTTATACGAGAAAATAGCTAAGGGATTACATAATTTATAAATGTTGATATAGAAGATTATTAAAATGCAAGAAGACTTAGAAAACTTTAACCTAAAACAGATAAACAATGTTAAATATGCTATGAAGATATGGAATTAAAGGATATAATTTATTTTGAAGGGCAGTATCATGATATTTGTTAATCATGCTTTTAAATATTTTTAAAAGAAAGTATTAAAGAAGGAAAAGTTTTAAATCTTTCTTGCCCTCACTGTAGCGAAAAATTAACATACAAGTTTATATAAAAAATTCTTGATAGGTCTACTTTTACAAAATATAGATAATTTCTACTTGATTAACTACTATAGCTAGACCCATTAATGAGGTGGTGTCCAAATGTTAAGTGTGGTTAATCAATCAAATTAAATAAAGGATACAAAAGAAAAGAGTAATGCACTTAGTGTCAATCTCTTATATGCACTGAATGCAATCGAGAATATCATAAAGGTTCATGCAATTCAGTTTTTCGAAAAGAAATCAAAAAATGGGAAGATAGCTCTGATGTCTAAAGGTGCGAAATTTGCAAAACAGTTGTTGCTAAAATATCTGGATGCAATCACATGACATGGTAAATCAATCTATCAATATTTAAAAAATTAAATTTAAAAAATAAAACGTTAAATCTATTTTTAGTTTTAATCAAATCCATAGCTTTTTTAATAGAGACAGAGAAATAATAATTCATTTATAAAATAAAAATATTTATGAGATTTTATGAAAATTTAATTGCTGTTTTTTAAACCAATAAATTAAATTAAAGAAAAAAACAACTAAAAATGAAAAGAATTTAACATTTTTTTATAAAAATTAAAAAGTAAAGTTTGTGGATATGAATGGTGTTGGCTTTGTGGTAATCGATATGATAGAATTCATTTTTTCTCTTTGAACCCTTTTGGATGTGCTTCTCTACAATTTAGATCCTTGGTAGGATGGAAGCTAGCACTTTATAAACTATTGATACTACTGTTATGTATTCTAATTTTTCCTTTTTTAATGATCTTAACTGTCCCTATTTACTTTGTTAATCTTTGTCACAGATAATTATACTACTAAAAAACATGTGTTAAAATTATAATTTACCCATTAATTTTCATTGCAGGTTTAATTGTCTAACCTATAGCAGATGCATTATTTTTTATTTGTCTAATACCAGGTTTAATTATCTATTTTTATCAAAGAAGAAAGGAAAAGAAATAATAAATAGACAAATCTAAATAAAAGTTAATGAAAAATTAGATTATCAAAAATTTAGGAATTTAAATTGAGGATTTAGCTTGAAAATGCAATTAATTCTCTCTTAATCACAAATGAATTACTTATCAGCTCTGTCTGTATTATAATTAAGTAAATTTTAATATATTTAATATGTAAAGAATAAGTTTAATAAATTTTATGTAAAGCTATTAATAGATGTTTGTTTGTATTATATCAAAAAAAATCAATTAATATCAAAATATTAATTTTTTACTTTAACTTACTTCTTGCTAGTCCAGAAAGAATTTGTATCTTTTATCAAAACTAAAATATTTTATTTTATACTATAAAAATTAGAAATATTTATCTTTAAAAATACATCAATTATTAATCAATTTAAATTATTTTGTATTACTTAATTGTTTTTTAAATATCTGGCTGACTGGCAAATTTTTTACTTTTTTAAATATATGAAATTCATTTAAATTTAAGTTATAAATATTTATTTATATGTGAATCTTTGCTGAAATTCATATAAGGAATACATTAAAAAAATATATATATAATCTAACTAGTATTTAAATAAATAAATTATTACTAGATAGATCTTTAACATTAAAGTGCTTTTTATTTTAAGTAGGAGAGAATATATATTTAGCTGCTGTTCTTAGCTGTACAAACAGTATACAAATAAAAAATTTGCAAGCAAGCATAGGAAAGGGATATATTTTTATAAATGAAAGCATCATAATTTTCAACTTTAAAACGAGCTAATTCAGCAAAAATTAACATTTTAGAGCCATTAAGATAAGATGAAAAAAATATAGCAAATTAGATGCAAGTTTAGTAGAATAACTTTATGAAAACAGGTTTTAGTTATAAATAATAATAATAAAGAACTTCTACTTCATAATCATAAAGGACTAAATTATTACCTCGCCATAATAGCGCAGTGACAGTCCTTTCTAAGAATTTACCTCCTGTATTAAATTTTAAGAATATAGTTAATATCAATAATGCTGAACCAATTTAAGTAGTACCTACAGAAATAATCTTTAAAGAAATTAAGCAAAATTAGACATATGAGACCTTTGTCATAATATAGAGTTTAAGCAAGCAATTAAATAGAATTAAAATTATTTAGCCAACTACAGTGCGCTTTAGAGTGGACTATGACTAGTAGGGTAAAATCGCTGCAGGTCTCTCTATGAAACTGCTAGTTACATTCGAAACTAATATACTTGATGATTATCATGATAAATTTATCGTATAATATTAAAATGAAGGGTAATTAAAAAGCATAGAAGTACCATTGCACGCCTTACGTCCACAAGCATAAATTTTGTTTGAGCCATTTATAAATTATGGATTTATTAAAATATTTGAAAATAATGTAAAAACGATTATGTTCAAAAATGAAGGTAAAATGGCAGGAAAAGTACGTTTAAAATATGACAGTATGCCAGAAATAAGTTGCGATCCTTCAAATTTTACTATTTAGCCTGGATAGGAATTACCTGTTAAAGTAAATTTAAAGTAATAATTTTATAAAGCATTTAGATTTGTTTTTGGGAATACGTAAATAGAAAAAATATAACTGGCCTAGAAATAGAAACATAACTTTATTAATATTTTAAATATAAAATTATTTAGTTATGCAATTTAGGCAATTTTTAATATTATTTTGTATTTTAAAGCTCGAAAGAAAGTGGCATCTTTAGAGGAAAGATAGAAGTTATTAATGAAGGATAGAGTTTATTAAAATATATTGATGTAAATGCAACACCAGTTGAATTCAATAAATTCTTAATTGATGATTAAGGAAACTCAACCTCTACTTTTGATTTTGAAGAAACTTATTTTGGAGAAAAGAAGGTCATAAAAGGTTTTCTAGTGAATAACACTCCTCATGAATAAAAGTTTAAAGTTAATATGAGGATCGGATTTCACTCTAACTCAGTAAATTTACTTTATGAACTGAATTTTTAGTTAATTAAATTATTTTAAGGATGAAAAAGTTACATTACAAACTCCTATTGAAGTTGGTATGGAATAAACAGAATAAATAATGAAGTGTATGCCAGAAAGAGGAATTGTCAAAGCCTATTCTTAGGTAATTAAATAATAAATAAATAAATAAATAAATAATTTGTTTTCATAAATTTTCTTAATTATATAGATTCCGATTCAATTTATATGTCACAGCAAAGTTAAATATGAACATCAGATCATTACAAAGAATTATGCTCTTTCTGATTAAGAACTTGTTAAAAGAAAAGAATCTGAAGAAGATTACACATATTCTGCTATTTTTGAGTTTGATGGGCCAGATAAAAAAGAAGATATTCTTCCAATTACATTAATAGGACGTGGTCTTTGTCCTAAAATTAAAATTAATAAAGCTCTTTTAAATTTTGGAGAGTGTTAGGCTCATGACCATAGAGAAGCAATGTTTTTAGTTGAAAATAAGCATAATTTGATGCCAGTGGATATTAAAATACCTAGAATTCCTTGCTTTTCAGTTGATCCTATAGGAGCTACAATCAGCCCTGGGGTGAAGTCTTCTTTTATTGCTACATTTTAACCAAGCACAGTTGGAAAATATAAAACTAATATTTATGTTACATTGATTAATGATCAATACAAAATTCCTATTTAGGTGATTGGTGAGTCCAATAATTTCTTAGACTCTAAATTGTAAATATAAATTCACAAAAAAAATAATTATTTAATAATAACATTTTTATAAAAGCCCCAAAACAAGAGGTCCTGAGAGTCTGCCTCAAGATTTTAAATTATAATCTAATTTTATTGATGATCAAAATCCCACTAAAACCCTCATAGGAGCAACATCAAAAAATAAAGGCATGAATGAGTCTAGTAGTATAATTACAATGCCTAAAGGAATAGATGAAATGGAGATTAATTTTGACAAGTTAGAAGAGATAAAGACAATAAAAGAAAATAAATAAAAATATGTTGAGATGCTTAGGGATAATCGCTAATCGAGAGTTCTTAAAGAAAAAGAAAAAATAGTAAAGCTTAGATTAGATTAGATGGAGGCAAAACTTAAAGAAAAAGGATTGACCCTCTTTCAAGACTAAAATGATGATGATAATGAAGAAAAAGGTTATTTATTTATTTATTTATTTATTTATTTATTTATTTATTTATTCATTTTATAATATTATATGGAAGTCTTAATACTAACTAAATTATTTAATAGATCCTAGAAAAACAGTACCTTTAGATGTTGAGTTTGAGTTAGGAATGATGGAGACTAAAGTTTTTCCTCCTAACGAAATGCTTTCTACTCAAAAAGATCCTTTATTTGTTTCTAAACCAATAGGTAAATATGAACCTATGAGAGATGAATAAGCTCGATTCTTCAACCCCGATCCTAATATTCCTATGAGAAAGTAAACCAAAATTGTATTATTAAACAATAATTTTCAAAAATATAATAAAAAATTAGACCATTTCCTGAGGTTGCAAAAACTCACAAAGAGATAAGAGATGTCAGAATGGAATTAACTGGTGAGATGCTTCAAAAAATTAGCATTGGTCCTAAGATAATTGATTTTGGTCCAGTCTATGTTGAAAGCAAAGTGGTAAAAAGATTTTGTGTAAAAAATGACCTAAGATCTTCAATTAAAGTCCAGCTTACTGCTACTGCACCTGAGCTAGCTGGAACATACTAAAAACCTTAAATTATACCTTCAAGCGATACTGCACGTTTCGATGTGGAGCTTTACAGCACTAATTTAAATGATAATTATACTTAGACAATAAAATATACTATAAATGATCGTCACTAATTTGAATTCTAAGTGAAAGCCAAAATTGAAAAGGTCAAACTCGAATTAAGTAAGACTTAAATAAAGTTTTAGTTTGCTGATGATAGCACAAATATGGAAACTTTCGAAACTTTGCAAATTAAAAATAATGGTAATGCTGAAGGGCACTACAAATGGGATACTAGTAGTAAGGTATTTATCGTACATCCCCCTTCTGGTGTCGTCCCACCAAATGGTGGAGTAGTTGATACGGTAATTACCTACAGACCTTCACCATTAAGCACTCTTAAAGAAAATTAACAAGGTATTCTTAATTATTTATTTGAATTAACTAAAATGAGATTTTATATTGCATTAAGGTGGTATGAGATAAGAGTCTGATAAGCTGGTCATACACGTTACAAATGGTATAGAATAGAGTGTTAAGTGCGAAGGTTTTGTTAATGAAGCTAAATGCATTATAAGATAGCAATCAATAGAACTTGGTTAACTTATAGTGAGCAAAGAAGAAACTAGAGTTTTCCAAATTAAAAACACTTCAAGAATACCTGCAGTTTTTAGGGTTTTAACAGAAAAGTTACCTGAAAATTGTATTGTAACTCCTGTAATTGGGAAAATATAACCTGATGGGCAAATCGAATGCTCAGTTAAATATAGCTGCAGAGAAGAGAGAGATATAAAAACCGAAATTTAAGTACTTATAAGGGGAGGAAAGATATTAAAATTACCTTTTAGTGTTCAGACTGTTATTCCGAATGTTTTAATTAAAGAAGATGTATTTAACTTTGGCTAACTGACTAAAGGTAATCTAAAATTATTTTAGTATTAATGAAAATTCTATTAAAATCTAAATTTAGTTTTGAAATAGCTAATTATACTTTTATTTGATTAAGAAAAATAAATGTTCATTTAATATCAAAAATAGATAACGCTGGTCATTTAGAAATGAGTTTAGTAAATAAGTCAGAAATCCCAGCTGAATTGATTTTAGATATGAGAACTGAAGAAGAAAATCCTGATTGCCCAGATGGAATAGGCTGTTTACAAATAACCCCGCTAGATGAAGGTAAATTGAAAAACGAAAAATAAAAAACAAAAATTTAATTTAATATAAATATTAGGAGATGAAAGTATCCTTAAAAGTGTTCACTAGGATTTTATTGATGAAGAAGATGAAGAAAAGAGAAATGAAAACAGCGATATGGATTTAGATCCAGACGAATAAAGCATATAATCAGATGAAAGCTTACTTTAAGCATCACCTAATAAAAAATACAATATAACAATAAAGCCTAATTAAACACTTAGATTTTAGCTAACATTTACACCAAATGATGCAAAACCTTACAACTTTGAATTACCAATAACTCTAGCTAGATTTGGAGCTCTCCCTGGCTTGATTAGAAATATTATTTGTAGAGGTATTAAATCTCAATTTCTAGTTTAACCTTAAAATATAGAGTTTCCTAGAAAGATAATTACTACTTCAGATAAAGATTATCCAGAAAATTTTGAAGTTACATTTTCTAATCCAGAAAGAAAAGCTGTAACATGGAGGATAGACGATTCTCCTTTTGATAAAGTGAAAAAGCTATTCTCTATTCATCCAACATACGTAAGATTTAGTTAGATTTTGTTAGACTTGAAAAAATAATTTATTTAAATATTAAAGGGAAGGATAGAGCCAGGATAGAACTAAATTATCAAAGCTTCTTTTGATCCAAAAGAACCAGGAGAATATGAAGAAGTAATTTGTCTATATTTGGATGGTGATGATGGTCCATCAACTACTCCTGTTCATAAAATTTAAGTAAAAGGTGTTGCTGCTTTTCCTAAACTCATGTTTGATAGAAGAGAAGTGCTTCTTCCTGTTGTTCCTCTTGGAATAGAATCTAAATGCATCTTCAGAATAATAAACGATGGATATGAAAATCTTAAAATAAAACATTAAGTACTCGAAGAATTAGGAAATATCAAAGTAGATTGCAGATTCCCTGAAGGAAAGAATCTAAATGTTAGCAAAAATAAAGTAAAAAATTAATTTTTAAATGTTTTTTAACTAAAATATTTATTCAATAGCTTAAAGTAGAGGTTTATTTTTCATCTAAAAAACCAATATCTTTTACTACTCATATTGAATTTAAGGATGATAAGAATAAGGGGTATATTATACCAGTTAGTGGTACTACTGATAATAGTTTACTAACTATCTTTCCTTATATGCAGCGCTGCAAAGGCGAATATAAAACAGAAATAGATGCAAATAAAAATACTATTATGTTGTTAGAAGAAGATGCTCAAGATGACTAGTCTGATATTACAACAAATAACAATATTTCTAACATAAAGAAAAAATATTCAGCTTCAGTTGCTTCTGCTAAAACCCATTCTTCGAGAGCATCTATTAGAAGTACAAGGAGTGCCTTAGGCTACAGTCCAGTTCCTAAAGAAATGCTTGAGCACTCTAAAGATCAAATAAAAAATTGGCTGAATTTTACTGTGTTATAAAATAATATATAAAACTTTCCAGACAGCATTGTTGAAGAAAGTGGTGAATAGTTGTACGAACTTTTACAATTTTTAGTGGGGTCAAAGAGTCCTCTAATGGAAACAAAAGCAGTATTTGAAGGAGCTTTAAACAGAACAGAGAGATCTCTATTGCTTTACTAGCAATATGATTCTTTAATTAGATTGTTGAAATAGGATGGAGCTTTGCTGAATCATGTACGCCCTTAATTTTTACTAGGCTACAATGAATATCATGCTTACATAAAAACACTCTCAAAAGATGATGTTCAAACCATCCATCCAAATGGATTGAAAATATCTTCACATAGATACACTTACTTTTAATCAGATGCTTGGATAACTCTATTTTATCAGATCATTAAAATTTATTATTTATCTCGTATTTCAATTAAAAATTTAAAAACTATTCCAAATATACATCCTGATAAAGCTGTGATACCCGATTGCTATTTGAACGGAAGTAATATTTATAGCTAGTTTGAGGGAGTTCTTTTACGCTGGCTAGAGCTCAACCACGAAATAATAAATCCACACTAACCACTTCGTATTACATCATTTGATAAGGAGCTAGCAAGCGGTCATTTAATTGCAAATTTGATAAAAAATTATGTTGGAAATGAAGCCACAGCATTTGTAAATTTTAATATTTTTTTATAATACTTTTTTTTAAAAATTTAAAAATAAAATTTAGTTATCTCAAATGAAACCTGTAACAAACACTGACGATGAAAATTTCTATAATTGTGATAAAGTTCATCATGCTCTTTAGGATATAAATTTATAAACCCCTTTCAATGCTGTTGATCTTTCAAAAGCTTCATAGAGGGAGACTGTTTTGTTCTTAATTTAATTGTTCAATTCTCTGCCAAATTACATTCCAAAAGGTCAACCGATTATTTTTTCCTGTGTTTTAGGAGAGGAAGTTACAAAAACCATAGAATTAACAAACCCTTCAAATAAAACTATACATTATTGGGTGAAAAGAACAGGTTGCACTGATTTTTAGATTGAGACAAACGAAGCCGATACAATAAAGTTAGATCCAAAATCTATTTACAAGTTTAAAGTTAAATTTGTTTCTAGAGTATCATAACCAGTATATGGAAGAATAAGATTTACAAATAGAAGGGAGTCAAATGTTGCAGCTGCTGCTTTAGTTTTTGACTTCAAGTCAAATATAACTGGCAGAGTTTCATCCAAAGTAATTGATATTGATTGCCCACTTTATCAAAAGAAAGAGTTTACAGTTAAGGTAGAGAATAAATTCTTAACTCATAGCCATGGCGAGTTCAGTGTAAATATTGTTCATGAGTTTGAGACTAAGGAAAAAAAAGATACAGAACCAAATGTAAAATCTAAAGACAAGAATGCAAAATAAAATTAAAAGAAAACTCAAAAACCTGATGAATTAGTTCCTCTCGAAACGCTTAATGCAGTTCCTTGCTTTTTCTTAAAACAGGCAGATACAATGGTTATTAAAAAAAATAATTTTTCTCACTTGAATCTTGTTTTTATACCAATGCTATATGAAACTTAAAAGTGCTATATAATATTTTCTGATCCTACAGTAGGAGAGTTTCAATATGAAATAATAGGAGCTGTGACTTTGCCTGAAGAAGTTATATAGATTCCAGAAACTCCTATATAGCCTCCTATTTACGTAGAAGAGTAGAGAAATTGGCCTATAAAAATCCCTTTTAAAAATGAAGCCATGAGAGAAGCAAGGAAAAATGTTGAGTATTATATGAGTTTGAAAAAGAAAAAAGATTTTGATCCAAAGAAATACACACTCCCGAATATATCACCTGATATAATCAATTTTTATGTTGATATCGAATAGCCTCACCAAAATATTGTAACTACTTCAAAAACTATTTTGTTAGAGAATCCAATTCGTGCAAGTAAAAGAAAGTAAGAAGCATCTAAGTTAGACCAGTCATTTGATAGTAAAAGAATGGATGGGCTTTCTATGATAAGCAGTATAGCTCCAACAAACGCTTAAAAATCCTAATTAGTGAACGAAACACTGTGTAAATACTTCTTTCTTTTAATTTCATTCAATTTATAGTTTTAAATATATTTTTAATTAAATAAAATAGAGGAAGTTGAAGGAGTTGAAAAAAATAGCATGTACCTAAATTTCAATTTCAAAGTTCCTATCAAGGAATACACAGCTAATATAACTTTAAGGAATCCTGAAAAATATGATATAAGAAGATATAAATTAGTTGTGACCAGTCTTCCAAAACCAGTAAAAGCCGCCTTAGAGTTCACAGCAGCTGCTAAAGAAACTGTAGTGTAGGAGATTCCTATTGTCAATACAACAGAAAAAGATTGGATGATTAAAATAAATTTAATACCAAATGAAGAAATGAATGGCCGATGCTTTTTTGTAGGAAGTAAAATCAAATTTGATTGATTGTAAATTATGTGTCTTATTTGTTTTAATTTTATTAACAGATAAAGCAGCTTTAACTGCAGGAGAGCAAACAGGAAAAAGTTAGATGAGTAGTAACTCAAATCAAAACGTACAACAAATACAAAGCATAAGAGATATACTAGTTAAGAAAAAAGGAACAGTCAATATCCCAGTTCAATTTACTCCATTATGGGTTTGCTAAGCTGAAGCTAAATTAATCATGACAAATCCTGTTACGAACGATGTATTTGAATATGAGTTAAAAGGCATTGGAGAAGAGCCACTAGCTATTGATCATTTAGTAATAAATTGTCAAGCTAGACAAACTACAAAATAAGAGCTGGTCATAAAAAATCCAAATGCAGATAGATCAGTAACTTATGAAGTAGAAACGGATTTAGTAGGAGCATCAGGCCCTTCATAACTAACAATAGGTCCTAACAAGAAAGCAGTTTATCAGCTCCTGATAACACCTTTATTAAGTGGGTAGTACACAGGAAGCATCACTTTTACAGATACATCCACAGGGGAATACACTTGGTGGACTGCTCTTCTCAATACGGAAAGTCCCCCTTGTTAGAAAAAAATAGACATGATTACTACATTAAGAAAAGCAATTGCATTCGATATAGAAATTACTAACCCATCAAATGAAACTGCAAATTTCGAAGTATTCATTGAAGGAGATGGTTTAGTGGGTATCCCTTATATGTAGATTCCTCCTAAATCTAGCCAAATGTATGAATTATTCTTCTTACCTCTTAAGGTAGGCAAGTAATAAGGTAAATAATATTTTTTTGTATTTTTACTTTACTTATTTTACTTTTTTATCCAACTAGGTTCTATTGCATTCGTAAGTGATCATTTAGGAGAAATATGGTATGAACTTAATTTGGTGGCAGAAGATTCTTAAATTATTAGACTTCCTATGCTCAAAGCTGAGCTCGGCAAAGTTGAATAGCATGAAATAAGACTTGACAATCCTTCGAATGAAGATGTCAAAGTGTATACATATGTTAGTAACCCATCAAACTTCGATGTTCTACCCGAGCAAATTGTAATTCCAGCAAATGATGAAATATCTGTATATGTTCGCTATATGCCCTCAGTTCTTGATTCAACTCAAACTAGCGAAATAAAATTCTAAACAGAAACAATAGGACGCTGGGATTACTTAGCATTTGGAATGGGTATTCCACCTACATAGTTTGAGCCAAAAATCGTTACCATAGGCTTGAATAAAGATTTTTCATCTGTTATTCTTTTTAAAAATCCTTTTAAGGATTAGATATAAGTTAATATATTGCTTGAGTCTGAAGACGATTCAGTAAAAGACGTATTACAACTACTTACAAAGAAGTCGGGAAAAGAAGATAATATTTATGTTCCTGGTCTTGGAGTCATTTAAATACCTTTTAGCTTTACTCCAAGAGAAATCAGGTGTTATGAATGCAAAATTATAGTTTCTATGAATGATAAAATTTAATGGAAATATCCAATCTAGGCAATTACAGGTTATAAATCACTTTCACTTATATATTTAAATATCCTCTTAATTAATTAATTAAATAATTTTATTTTTAATTTCATTTAGAGTCTTATTCGACAGGAATCTTGGCTACATTCAAGACTAAATGTAGAGTATTTTATGAAAATGAATTTAAGATTTAGTTACCAGGAATAACAGAAGTATTTGGTGAAAAAGATACATTCGAGTTTGAAATTAAAAATGTAAAAAAATTAATCCATAAAGTTGAATTTAATTAATATATTTATTAATCAAAAGCTACCTCCTAAATTGGAAAGTGTTATAACAAAATCCTTTTAGGTAAGGATGACTAAAAATACATTATCGAACAAAAATGATTATTTGACATTTGTAGGAAGATTCCACCCAATGAAACCATTTAAAACAAATATTGATTTTCTTATTCACAGAAAAATGGGAGGACTATGGAAGTAAATTTTTCTTTTGAGATTTTAACTAATCCAAATTTTATTATCTTAAATTCTAAGGTTCAAGATTACTCTGGAATCATCCCCTCCAAACGAAGATGACATTATAGTTTTAAGTGCACCTTTAGATACAGTAGATACTGTAAGCTTTAGGCTAACAAATAGGTTTAAGACATTTGCCACTTTTAGTGCTAAATTTACTCCTGAATCTGATCCAGAATTTGCTGTTACTCCTTCTACTGGTATTTTAGAACCTTATGGCAGAGATGGTACTCTTTTTACAATATCATTTTCTCCAGTTGAGTATGGTAAGGCTAAATCAGGAAAACTCGTTATTGAAACAGATGAAATGTTTTGGTAATAATTTTAAAATACAATAAATGTAATAAACAATCTAATTTATTTAAAATAATAGGAGTTACTAAATTAAAGGTGTCTTACCAAAATATGAGCCACCAGTTATTGCAACTTCAAAAATTAATAACAGACTTGGTATAGATGTGACTACAAACTGGAAACATCAAAAGAAAAATTATTTAGCTGACAACATTAAAAAAACAAAAGAAAATAAAATTTCAATGGCAAATAAAGACTCATAGATAGCTTTAATGAGCAAGACATTTGGAAACACTACTTTTATGAAGAAATCAATTCTTAGCCCTAACGAAAGATAAAGTATATTAGATGGTAAATCAATAGTCAGTAATAAAAATTCTAGAAACCCTAATCTCTCTATAATATCTAACAGATTTTTCAAAAATTGATTTCATCAATAATATTTTTAAGTTTTACTAAATAAAAGAAGCTAATAAAAAAATAAATAATAAATTAAATAATTTAAAACTGTTTATATTCATATATTTTTAATGATGCATTATCAATTTTGTCACTGAAACTATTAAAATATCTAAACTAATTTTTATTGTTGAAATATTTTTTTATACTCAAAAATAAATTTGTTGAAAAATTGAAAAAGAAAAATAAACTTTTCATATAGGAAGCTAAATTTTTTTTTTTTGAATGAGATATTTGAATTTTAAAAATATCTTTTCAAAATAAAATGAAAAAGTAAAATAAATTTTTTTTAAATGAATTGAAATATTGAATTAAATAGAACTATCTCATGTTCATCATCAATTAAACCATCAAATTTTAATTTTTATAATAGTATTTTTGTCTGAATGCAAATTTTATATTAAAGAGTTCTTAATTTATTTAGCGATTCTTTAAAATAAGAAATTATTTTACTTAATTTAATTCAAACTAAATTATAGATATATAATACGTTTTTCGTTTCTTAAGCTATTTTATGAATTTTATAGTTGCATCCTTTTTTTTTGAATCATTATTGAAAGAAGTAAATGGAATCATTAATAAACAAGATGATCATTTTAAATGACAAAATCAAAATACTGGGATTTTTTTAGATTTTTGAATATTTTTCTTGTTAAAATTTTTGAAATAAATTTTGGTAAATAAAAATTATTTATTTTCAATACCTTAGATTAGTTATTTTTTTTAATTAAGATAAAGGCTCTTTTCAAATAAACGATTAATAAGATTTTTATTATTTGCTATTTATTTTTGAAGAATATCAAACAAATAAATAATAATAATTATTAATTAATTAACAGATTTGATTAAATAAAATACAAAAAAGAAAACCATGAAGAGTATTATTTTTGTTTTCGCTTTAATTGCTTTATCTGCTGTTTAAGTCTCAGCAGCTTATAGTTGTCACGAAAAATGCATATAAAAGTATTGTTATTCATTTACCCCATACAATGAAGCCAAAAGTACTAAATGTGTTTAAGATGCTGTTAATACAATGGAACTAGTTAAGAAGACTTGTTAAAAATAACAATATTCTATGGCATGCGTTAAATAGAGAATCTCAACAGACAGAGATTTCCTTGAATTCTACGGTTGTATGCAAGACTGCTACCCTAATGGAATTATTTAGGTTGATGAATCTCCTATTGCTGGAAAAATCCATGACTTGACAAAATCTAGAAAAAGAGGTTAAGATACTACTACTCCTCCTACTGTTCCTCCTACAGTTCCTCCTACCTAACCAGATTCCACTCCTAAACCTAAAGATACCAAAAAAACTGGTAGTCAAATTCTTAACTGCTTCATCGGATTAGTTTCTGTTTTCTTAGGTGTTCTTATCTTTTGATGAGTGAATAATATATTAAATACTAAAAAAAACATATTTTATAAACTAGTTTATGTCTATATGTGATTTTTAGATTTTATTAAAAAATTCTATTAAATAAATTCTTAAGTGATTACATACATAAATATAAATACTTAAAATTAAAACAATTTATCATTTTTTAAAGTAATATAAGCCAAGTAATTTTTAAATCAGTAAAAAAGGATTTTTATTTTGTAAATTTTTTTATTTTTCTTTGAAATTGATTCAAACGATAAATCTATTAGTAAAAAGGTATCCAATTAATTATTAATTTATAAATAAAATAAAAAATCAAGTATCTTATTAATTTATTTTTACTTTTTGAATGCAATTAGGTCTCAAAATATTATCACTATTTTTTAATTAAAGACCAATTTATATCAAAACAATTTTAATAATTAAATAAAAATTAATTATTTAGATTTGATTCGCTTCTATGTATTTATTTTATATGATTTATTAAAGAATAATTCTTTCAAATAAAAGCATCCTTTTAAATATAAATAAAATTCAAGTGTTTGATTTTTAAAATAACCCAAAATACTATATTTAAATTTATTCAAATTAAATGATTAAATTTTTTATTCAATTAATCAATAAAATCAAATTAATTCTCATTATTTAATCTATAAAAATAATGAGGAATTTAATTTTTAAGAGCTAATAAATAAGTTAAAATAATAATATATATTTTCATTTTGAGGATTTTAAAATTCTGATAGATAAATAAATAAAATAAATTTTGTGAAGTATTTTATATAAAAAATTATCAATTTAAACACATGATTAACTGAAAGAATATGCTTGCCTTTTAAATTATTGCTCTAACTATATGCTTAAAAATACATTAAAAATATCTTTTTTATTTTGTTTCTTTGTTTATTTATTTATTAATTTACTATTTAATATCATCTTAAAATTTAGCTTCCATTTAGCATAGAATTATTTTATATTTTTTCTAATATCCCTTCCAGGGAATCTAATTTATCAGGATTTATTCCTTAATCTAATCCATGTCCTACTGTTTTCCCTAAACCAGGAGGAGGTAGCCTTTTTCCTGTTATATTTGCTACTATTACCCTTTTAGGAACTCTTTCCCTAGGATTCTATGGTAGGAATCCAAGTGTTTACTTTGCTCTTAAAAATTCATTAGGTTTAGGGACTGGGATAGGAGGAAGAGATAATAGGTCAGATTTTTTATCAGCTATATGCTTGTTTTAATATATTAGCATATTGAACTCGTCTACTGGTGTCATTTTTAGGAGATTAGAAGTGGAAGAAGATTTTTTTGGATTTTATTACTGTTTTAGTAGCTCTAATTCTTTCAACTAATCTTCATTTTATTAATCTAAATTATGTATTGTTTCTATTAATTTCGATGGATCTGCTATCTTTATTTAACTTGTATGGTTTGATCCTTTTTTTTATCTTTAATTAATTGAATTGTTAAATTAAGAATAATTTTTTAACTTGGAATCGTTCAGCAAAAAGCTTAAACCACCTTATGCTCCACCATGAAGTTCAGTCTAATTCTATCCATCTTAATCAATACTTGATCCTTCTTATTTATTTTATCTGCTTAAATTTCCAGTTCTAGTTATTGCATTATACTCACTTTTAGTCATACGAATCGAATTAGATTAATCTAGTAGTGTCCTGTTTAGGTTTGTTTGGTTAACAATAGAATAATCTAAATTTGCTCCAAATTTAGGACCTGTCTTTTATTTGTTAGCATCAATTAAAGTTACACCATTAGCCATGCTGAAATGCTCAAAAACTTCTTTTCCTTAATCACCTACAATAGCATTTTACTAAGAGAACATTTTATCTTTTTCCATTTGTTAACTTTATTTAAATTATTGCATCTGGGTAGTTTTTTAGACAGCTATTAAAGGCTAAAGCAACTTCTTAGAGTTTCTTTTTTCATCAGCAGCATCAAGCAATTACTATTAATTTATGATTGAAGTATTATTGCTGTTATTAGCAGTTTGATTAGAGGGTAGTGTATTTGGCTTGGAATCCACTTTAGTTATTGAATGTGTAACAGCATAATTAAAAGGAGGTAACTTTTCTAGCTTAACAGGATTAGTTAAGATGAATTTTCCATCAAAATCATAAGTAAATAGCTTTTTATTCACATCTTGCATACCCTTTAATCTTGCTTACTACTCTTTTAGCTCTTAATTCCTTATTGCTTCCATTTGCATTTTCTCTTATTTTATTAAGATTTCTCTTTCTTTTAGTACCCTAAGCTACTCTTCCTCTCTAATTATTTCTCTAGGAACGCTTAAATCAACTGGCTTAGGTATTTTTTCATTTTCAAAAGCAGATTTTATAATCATGCTTTCTCTTTTAGGGTAAATAGCATTAAGTGTAACTGAAGATTAAACATCACTTTTTCTCATTCTGTCATGTGTTCCTATAGTTTCTTATTTTATTAAATATTTTTTTTGCAATTTAAGTAACAATAAAGATTTTTTTTAAGATTTACAAAAGTAAACTCATTTTTTATGGATTTTTTAAAAATTGTGAAAGAAAAATTAAGAATGAATAATATCTTTCGTTTTTAAGCAAGTTGTTAATTGTTGTTTATGAGATAAATAAGTATTTACTTTTAGATTAAGCAACGCTAATCTAATCGATCTCTCTTTGACTTAAATTATTTTAAGAGAATGAAGGTTAAAGTTATTTTTCTATTGACACAGCTAAGCCTTTCCAATTTTCATGCTATGAAGGTAAAGGTTCAGTATCTTCAATTACTCCATTATTTATTATACCTTCGTTAATATCATCATAAAATAAATATTCTTGTTTTTGGACATATTCTATTAAGTTTATAATTCTATTTATTGAGTGATTGTTCATTTTTTCTTACAAATACTTATCATAAAGAATATTCGCACCATCTACTAATATTTTCTAAATAATCTTATTTGCTACATTTTCAGATTCAGAAAGTACATTGCCTAAACCGTTTGTGGTTTGATGATCATACAATAAATTAATGTTTAATAATTAATTCAATAGCTTTTATTAGCTAATTATAGTTAAATCTTAATTGAAAGATGAATTCAAGTTTCTAGGGGAATTTACTTCACTACCAAATTGCGACATCTTTATACCTACACTCAATTAATTTAATCAGTGAATATTTTATAAATATAAAATCTTTTCGTTTTCTCAGAAAATAATCTTAATGGCTACTTTTTCTTATATTATTTTTTTTGAACTGATCAAATCTACTAATTTACAAAATAAGTTAGCCAAATAAATAGTATGTATACAAACAAATTATAATTATAAGATCTCTTAATAAATTAATCAAATTTCTTTGGCTATCCCTATCTCATAACTTATCTTTACAAAAAATAAAGTTATTTTTTTTATGATATTCAGTCAATAGATATTTATATTATTTAATTAAAATCTCTTCTTTAAATTATGTAAACATAACTATTAATAATGTCCTTTAAACTCAAAATACACATTTATATTTTTATTTTAGCACAAATTTTTACTCTATTTCTAGGTTTTGAAGAAAAAGTTTTAAAAACTTTAAATGAGAAAAAAATAAGTTTAAAATAAATTCTCTAAAAATAAAACTGTATTATTTATATTTTTATATTTTTCACTTTTATTTTAAGAAATATTAAAATTAAATAGGAGTATTTTTTTATTATGATTTAATCCATTATAAAAATTTATATATAAATATACCATAAATATTTATTTATTAAGGCACCTACCTACTAGGTTTAAAGCTCTTGACTAGGGCCTTATAAATATATATGTATAGTACCCTAGGGTACTGCCTAAACACTGAAATTTTAGATATTAAGGTAATTTTATTATTATAATATATAGTTTTTTAATAAATAAATATTTTATAATAAAAAGACAAAAGAATTATTAAAATATTTTACATAAAAGCTTTTGGTGTTACTTTTTTATTTAAAACAGGTTAAAAACTATATTTTTTATTGAATAACATTAGATAGCTCTATAATTTTGATACTTCAAAAATTATTATTGATTCCTCTGAATTTCCTAATCTATTCAATTATGTTTTAAATCAAGAAATATTTTTATAATTAAACTTTTATTTTATGTTATTTAATAATTATTGTATCAACAAGGAAAATTCAAAAATATTTTATTGAAGATTTCATAATTATAATTTAAAAAGATTTCTGATTAGAATGATTATTATCAATCAATATTATATTTATTTAAACATCAATAAGTTTTATTAGCATTAAATTTCTATAAATTAATATTGTTTACTTTTTATAAGTACTGAAACATCATTTTAAATACAAAAGGAGAACAAAATGGAAGAAGCTTAATAATAGAATTTAGGTACACTTTAAGGAATTTAGGAAGTTAACGAAAAAAACCACACTAATGGTAGCTCAAGCAATTTAAAAATATTCTCTAAAACAGATCTTTTCAATAATTTGAATACTGAAATGAGTGAAATACCAGATCATGATATTTATTCACAAGAAATATATTCTAAGTTAATAGGAGGTGATGATAAGTTGGTTTCATAATAATTGAACTAGATTATACAACAAGCACTCTATCCCTATCAAGAAAAGATTCGTCAGCTAGAAGAGATACAATAATAAAAAGATAACTAAATCACTGCATTATTTTACACTATTAAAAAAATGGACGATATAATAAAAAAAATAGAATCTGAATAAACCAAAACCCAAGGAACTACTAGGACAGGTATCGTTTATTACTTATTTTTATAATCTAAACAACTTTTAAATAAATATAAAGTAAGAAAAACAGCAACAACTGTTTCGAATAATACTGCAGGTACCACATCATCAGTAAGCTTAGTTTTTTAAGTATTTAGCATTTATTTTATAAATAAATAAAAAGAATAGGTCTGCAAGCTCAGCAAAGGGACAATAATTAGGCTCAAACCAAATGTCTTAATCAACAGTTTTACCATCCTAAACTGGAGGAGCTATTTCAAGAAAACCTAGTGTACCTTCTTTGCTAGACTCCAAAAAATCAGGCCAAAATATGTCAAAATCAACTTTACATGAACCCTCAAGCAGTAAAGCAGATAGTATAAAATGATATAAAAATTGTTTATTTATATATAAAATTTTGTAAATTATAGGTAATAGAAATTCAAAGGTAAGTACACCAGCATCAAGAGTAGCAAAAGAAGCAAGTGAGCCAAAAAAAATATTAAAATCAAAGCTAGGAAATAATGAAGGAGATTAGAAGGTTAATTCATAATAAGAAGAATAAAAACAAAAGAAAACAGAGACAGATCATTCAAATATATAGAATAACATAGAAGTAGATAGTGCATCAAACACTAACAAGCAGTAAAGTAATTAATCTAATGGAAAAACGGATAACTCTAATTATAACTCATCTCCTCCTATGTTTTTGCATGATTTAACAAATGATGAGCATCTCATAGATAACTCCTCAGCAAAAAACGGGTCAGACAAAGATAAAAATCTTTTAAATAATAGTAATAACATTAATGAAGATTCTATGCTGATCTGAATTAACTTTGCAATTAATTAATTGTATATATATTTTTGAAAAGTATTCATTAAAATTTCTATAAAATTAGATATTTTTTATTTTCATTTAATTTGAATATATATTAAAATATATTAGCAAAAAATCTATATTATAAATTTACTCATTAATTAATAAATGTGCTTATTTAAATTAAATAAAAGACTGAAAATAAACAAAATTATTATAATCGAGCAGCTGCTCTGCATCTTTTGTAAATTTAATATTGATGAATTGAAATATTGAAATTGTCAAATAAAATTCCTGTCTTGCTTTAATAAAATAAAATATTATTATTTAAGTAGAATTAGTTAACATTTTACATTTTTAAATGCAAAAATGCTTCAAAGATTGGAAAGTAGAGCAGTAATAAAGAAAGGATTTGCAAAAGAGATGAGTATAAACCTATAAAATACAAATTAAATTTATCATAGATTGAAGGTTTATAATATTGAAATAGTTCTCTCTATTCATTATTAAAAACATATAAAATTAAAAATCAAATTCATAAATAAAAATAGCAAGAACTATCAAAAAAGTAAATTTAGAAAAAATGTTATATCACGTCAACTCCCCCTACTACAGATAATTCCTCGTCATGACTGGTTCCAAGAGAGCTCAAAAGCAAGTTCAAGGCCAAAATGAAACCACTTCTACTGAAAACAGAGGCAACGTTAACCCCTCTTCAGTTGGTGTTTGATAAAATTGAATATAATAATAATAATAAATTATTTAAACACTTAAATTAGTAATATATATCATATGCTTTTGTAAACAATTATTTTTTGCGTTTATTAAAAATATTTCATATTTAAATATCTCTCAATTTATTTATGATCTAATTTTAGATTTTATGCAACATTTTTATATTTGTTGTTAAAAAATTCACAAAAAGAAATATATTTCCAATATCATAAACTAGATCGCTAAGTGAAAATTAAATGTTGTGAAGTATTTTTAAAGTAGTATGAGAACTTATCTATCTCATTAATCTAGTCTTTTATTTTATTATTAAAATAAGTATATAGAAATACAAATAAATGGATAAGTTAATAAATTGCTCATTTTTTCTTTATTTCTTAATTTATTTATTATTGGATGCTTTTTCTAATTTCTACATGGTTCTCCTTACTTTTAATATTTATTTTGTTAACACTTTATTAACAAGCTAAATTTTGATTCTATTTATTTTGATTTGCTATATATTGCTACTTAGAATCATAATTTAAATAGGTTTTATTGAGGAATCTATTTAAAGAAGATAGAAAGCAATAATAAAAAATACAATATTAACTTAAAAAGATGGAGTACTGTGAAATTCATCCTGACCTCTAATATATTTATATTTTGTTAAATCCTAGTTAAAATAATTTGTTCAAATGCGCGTAATGTGTGATTGATGAAGACATAGAAAATACGAAACAACTCATCTTAATAAACAAAATATTATAATGTGATGATAAGACTATGTTTATGAATTGGCCTCCTAATGATTCTTGTTAAAAATTATAAAAAATAATGAATCTAATTAATAAAAACTAAGATGGAAATTTTAAATTAATTAAAAGCTCTATCTAGGACAATTTCAAATAATTAAAGTCTGACCTAATCGACATTCTGAATAAAGAGGAGAATAAACTTATTTCGATTATAGATACTAACATTAATTATTTAATTTAGTTTCAAAATCAATATAATATTTTGGCTGAGAAAGAAAAATTTAAGAGTATTGTTACTCATTCTTTAGCAAACAGAAACTCTTAATTTTAGAATTTAAGTAATTTTATTCATTAGAAGCAATAATAATTATAAGAAGTATCATAAAATATGTTTAGGATATATCCAAAGGCTTTGCTAGAATTCGATGAATACAAATTGAAGCAAGCATTTAATCTTATTAAAGACTAAATACAATAATAAATAAAAACATTAGATGAATTAGTGTTTAACTTAAAAGAAGCACCTGAAGTTAAGATTAATTAATATCAAAAATAATTATATTCTTCATAAGAAAATTAAGAATTTTTATAATCAAACTACACCTAAAATAATTCTATGGAAGCAATACTGTAAATTTTTAATTAAAAAACCAACTTTTAGGATTTAAACTAAACATTATAAACTTAAATAGATGATAAAAATAATGAAAAAAAATAGACTGATAAATAGAATTTACTGTTTGATTTGTAGTAAGTGACTGATATTTTTTCTGATCGGTCAAGTAAAAATTGTAAAATACAAAATTAAAATTATTCATTCTCAAGTTAAGAAAATAGTAATCTCAAGACAGATGTTACATTAAATAAAAATGACCAAACAAATTTAATTTTAAATGGGGAAATATCTTTGCTGAAGTCATAAAAAGGTGGAGCTGAAACAGATTTAGAAATTGGGTAAAATGAATAAGGTTTTCCTTTTGTAAGATATAAACTAAGTGGTTATGATCATTCCTAGTGTTACTTAAACAAAATTATAAAATATGACAAGAAATATCTAATTAGAGTAAATATTGGAATAAATGATCCAATAAATGATTAGTTTATTATTGGATTAATAAAGCAAACAAATGTTCATAAAATATACATTCATTAGGAAAAAGTTTGCTTTGGAAATTCATAGTTTTCATCTACGAGTGCAGTCTAAAAAGGAGGATTACTTCAAACATAAAGTAATCTGATTAAACAGCTAGAATTTGAAATTCAAATTCAATCAGGAAGCTTTATAGTGAGAGATTACCCTAATTATGATTATTGTAATAGCTTATAAAATTCTACATTTTTGAAAGATTAATCACATTAAAACACAGATTGGTTGTTAGGGTTTTTCTTTTTCTCGGGATTTGAGCAAATTAATAACAATATAATAGTAACTTATTTTGCAGAGAGTTGACATAAGAGATTGATTGAAATAATTAATGTATTTTTAAATCAGGAGAATAAATTAGTAAATATTTATTTATTAAGAGTAAGAATTAAAAAAAAATATGTGTCTTTCTTTCTCAAAATAATAAAAAGATATTTATTTTTTTATTTACTCATTCACCAAATTCAAATATTGGATTTAATATCCAATTAAAAAATTATTGGTTGCATTTTTTGTTTAATTTGTAAGATAAAACTTTACAAGGATCTGTTATTGATGATTTATTTTTAACTAAAGTTAAGGCAATAAAAGATTTATTATTGGACTTGAGCTTATTTAATCTATGGATTTCAAATTACTTTTTTATGATTATAATTTTTTTTGAAAAATGAAATACTTGCTATACACATTTTATTAATTAATACCTTTCTAAATTTATTAAAAAAAATTAATTTAACTAAACTTAACATTTCTAATTAAAAATTAGAAAATAATTAAAAAAAATCTAAAAAATTAATTATTAAATTTAAATGAAATGGGATCAGATTTTTCCATGAATAACTTGAATTTAATATTAATAATAGTCATAATTGCAGCTATCTTAGGCTTAATACTCTTTATTTTTGTTGTTGTCAAATTGTATAATATTATTTCAAAATCTAAAATTGAACCATCAGAAGAGCAAAGCAGTGACTAATAATCAGTAGTATAATAACGCTGTATAGAAGGAATATAGGTCTAATGTGGTAGAAGTAGTAACTAAGAGTAAGACGTAGAGGTAGCTGGTATATGTATTGAGCCTTAGATACAACTAAATCAATAAAATAAAATCAGTGAGAATTTATCTATAGTAGACAAATCTCAAACCACTGAAATAATCCATAACCAATCAATAATTTAAGAAAGGGAAATCACTAATATAGAAAAAATTCCTTTCAAATCTTCTAATGCTATATATCCCCTTTAAGTATTATAAATAAAAATATAGTGATGATTGAATCTTTTTGATAGGCAGGCAATCACTAAAAAAAATTTGTGTAATAAAAAAGAATATTAAATATAGAACTATATAATTGTAACAAATATTTATTATTTGAAGAAATTTATTTTATTATTTTTAATTATTAAATACTTATTTATTTATAGTAAATTCTACATAAAGATTACAAACTAATTAATTTATATAATTTTGTTATTTTTTTGTTTTTGCTTCATATTTAATTATACTTTATAAGGGTAATCTTTAAAATAATAATTAAATTTTTGGAATGTAAATTAAATTTAAGTAATCATGCAAATCATTAATACCATTGGAAAAAAGAATTTTAATTAGGCTTAGATATTCAAAAACCATTTATTTTAAAAATTAATTCTAATTAATCTTTCTTTAAATAGATTAAATTTATTTTTCAAAAATAATACAAAAATAATTTAATTAAAATTGAATATTAATATTTTTTATTTTATTTATCTAAAAGATTTTATTAAACTAATTAAAATTATTTTCTTTAATGATTTAAATATTAATTTTCAAATTTTTAACAAAAAAAGATAACAACTATTATAAAAATTTATTTGAAATTCTTTATAAAAATGTTATATTTTCAAACAAATCTTCAATTACAAAACAGGATATTTCTAAAATTAGACTAAAAAAACTAAAATATATTATGCAAAATAATTTATTTATTAACATTTATATTTGTAAATTTTTATAGCATTATTTTTGTTTACATTTTTTAAAGAAAATTAATTAAATGTAAATAAAAAACATAAAAAAATAAATCTAACAAAATTTTGTTTATTAATAAACTCAACAAATTATAACCCAAGCTTCTAAAGAAAGTTTTTTTATTATCCAAGAATATTATTTTGATTTTTATGCAGCACATAATTTAGGCCAATTTCTTTATTTAGCAGGAGTTTAGTCATAGTATGTAATTCCAAATGCAGCCTTTTTTTCTTAAATAAATTAATCAAGATAGCCACATTCGTCATATTGATTACAAGATTCATTTACAGCAACATCAAAAAAGCTGTGAAGCTAATCTGATAAAGTGATGCAATTCTTAAGAGAAATAGCAAGATTTTAAGAGTGGGCATAATTAGCTAAGAAAGTATTGTATTCAAACTACTCTTGAGCTGTTATGTTTAATTTAGCATCATCATTATTTTCAAAGACATTAACATTATCAGGATCTACTCCATCACACCCACTTTAAGCAGCTAAATTGATACGGTTTTTCATAATATCTCCAAGTCCAGTGCTGTTAAAATTTCTGATGTTCAGCCAATTCTCACCGGCCCAGCCACTGTAATTAGAAGCAATAACGCTAGGAGGAAATTGTGAAGCGTCTGGACGCCAGTCTTCCCATGAGCCAGCTGAGAAATAGCAGAAAACAACCTTACCTTGTTTTTTGAGCTATTTAATCATACCATTTTAGATATTATCAAACAAATCTATGAAGTAGACAGTAGCATTCACTGTGGTATTAATATTACCTTAGAGTTGGTATTAAAATGTTGTGTTTGGAGCAATTTTAACCCAGCAAAAGCAGCTCGAAAGACTGAGCAAAGCTACTAAGAGAGTAAGTTGAATTTTCATAATTATTGTTTTTTTGTATTTTATTTTTATGTTAATTATTACATTAAATATTTATTTCCCAAATTAATTTAAGATAAGGAATTAATGTATGTGGTTGATTATATTTATTAGCAAAACTTTATTGGAAATAGGTATTTGACAAATTTATTAAATCAGTATTTTTATTTGTGGTGGATTATAATATCAGGCAGCTTAAGTTAATCAAAATAAATGGAAAAAAAAACAGGAAAAAAATTTTTTTTATTTTACATTCTTGTGGTTTACATACTCCACCATAATTTAAATATCAAATATTTTTGTTCCTATTCGAATAAAAAGTATAAATTGCCATTCTTCACATTAAATTAATTTACAAAAATATTTAAAGTATTTAAAAATGTAACCTCTAACTTACAAAAATCTAATAAGTATGTTGTTATTTATTAGTTAAAATTCGACCTTTGCTAATAATATTATATTAAATCAACTAAAAGTAGTAATTTCTAAGATTAAACTGCTTATTTTATATTTTAATGTAATAAAAACACTCAAAATTAAAAGTTTCAAATATGAACTTAAACTCAAAATAAATAATAATTATGTTAATATCTCTCAGCTAATATATAAAGTTTTCAAAATATAAAAAAAATATATAAATTAAAAATGTATTATTGTGTGTGATTACAAAAAAAAGTAATCTAAAAATAAAAATTGATTTCATATTATTCAATAAAACTATAAGATTTTAAAGATATTACTCACATTTTATTCAAAAAAATTGAAATAAATCTATAATTTTTGCTCATATTTGCTTGAATAAAAATTATTAATTTACTTACTTTTTTTGACATTGAAATATGTATTTAGAAAATCAACAAATATTTGTAGTATTTTTATTAAATTACCTACAATTTTATGAATTAGAAATTGTAGATTAGGTTATAAAAATAATATTTTTACATGCATCAAAAAATGACTTGATTACTTAATGATAATCAAATGAAATTAAAATGATCTTCTTAATACATAAACTTAGTTATATATTCTCTTCTTTTGAGAGTTATATTTGTAAAACTTTTTGCTTTTATATATAGAAAATATATTGTACTCTTATTATAAGAAAAACAAAAAAGATTGTTTGTTGTTTTACTGAAATAAGTTGAATTAAATATTTTTATATTTTTTAACAAAATAATATTTAATTTTAAGCTGAGAAAAATAAATTATAAAAATTTGATGAATACTAAAATAAAAAATATTAAATTTAAAAATGAATGCAAGATAAATAATAAAATTGTTTTAAATTAATAAATTTATTTATTTATTGTAAGCATGCTATAAAACTATACATAATTTAATTAGTAAACGAAATACAAAATGCAATTTAAGAAATAAACCTCTTATTTTATTTCAAAAAGTAAATATGATAACAAACGCAAACAAAGTGATTGCTATAGAATTTCCAAGTATTGTAGAACTTGAAGAAATAATGTTTTAGTTTGATTGACTTGTAATGGCACATCTTAAAGAGTATCCATCTTAGCTTTTAGTTCTAATTAACCATGAGTAGTTTTTTAAAATGTACTGGACACATAATTGCTACCAATCTTAGTCTACAATATAATTTAAATAATTTTCTCTATAAGATATTCCAAATGCAGCTTTATTGTTATTCACGTATTAATCCATATAATTGCATGAAGCAGATGTCCCATCACAAGTATCGCTAAATACAAAATCTACACTGTTAAATAAATCAGATGCTTGACTTAGATTATTTTTAAGACATACTGCCAAACCTTAAGAACGAGCATAGTAAGCAAGATATTAAAAGTAGCTGAGCTGAATTTAATAATTAAGTAAAAGTCCAGTGACTGAATTCATTTAGTAGTAATCATAGTTGTCAAATTGAACTGCATCACATCCTAATTATTTTGCTAAATCAATTCTAGCTGTCATTACACTCCCTACACCAGAAGTTTAATATCCAGCAATATTTATGAAGCTTGCTTAGTACATACCTGGAACAGAATTACCAAGTAAGTTTTTAGGAATATTATTTGAATCAGCTAAATTTCTCTCATAAATCCCTATAGAGAAGTTACATACTACCCTTCTACCTGAATTTTTTAAATCAGCTACTGCAGATTAATTTCTCAAGAAATCTATGAAATAAATTTAGGCTTTTACGCCATAATTTAAAACTCCGCCTGTTTAATAGTAAAATGTAGATTTAACTGAAGGTTACCACACGTACGGGTTCTATGATCGTACATAATTTCCACATATTAATATTAAGCAAAGAATTGCATTAAAATTTTTAAAGTTTCCCATTTATTTTCCTTTAATCAAATATATATAATTCTTACAAAATATATTAAGTCAATTAATAATAAATTGTTTACTGTATGAAACTGATAGTATTAATTTGTAATTCGATTAGCTTTTTCATTTAATCTATAATATTTTGTGCCAACCTCATTTGCTACTGGTTTTTATTATAATTGCTCTAAATAATATCTATTTATTTATATCAGAATTTTTAGTAAAATAAATTGAATTATATTTTGATAAAAAATTAAATAAAATAATTTTCGAAACTTTTTTTAACAGTATCCCTTAACTTATTTGTAAGCTTTAAAAAATTTTATAATAAACTAAAATTATTCAAACAAAATAAATTATAATTTAATTAATTATTTTGCTAAAAAATTAAAAATTTTGTATTGATAGAATAGAGGATAAAATGAATATAAAAGATAATACATAAGATTAATGTTTGTCCTATAAATTTTATTTGATATTACTTTTGATGAATAAAAAATTTATAAAAATCAAAAATTTAAAAATAAAAATTATATTTTTGATTTTTTTTGAATATTTTTTAGTATTTTTAATTTTTTTATTTTTCCATTCATTAAAAAAAATCAAAAGAATACAAATTTTATAAATTATGAAATTTCAAACTTTCAAACCATTTTTATATTTGTAGCAATTTATCTGTGACATGATTATAAATATTAGTGTCTCAAAATAATAAATGAATAAATAAAATAGATATTTATGAATTTAAAATACATTTTTTAATGGTTCATTGTTTGAAATGAATTCATATTTTTAAGAAGAATGTAATTGTTTAAGTGTAATATAAATTTATTATTAGAAAACGAATTTACTTTGAATAACTTACTTATTTGAAAGTGTAAACAAATAGAAGAGTACAACAACTAAATAGAAATTGATAATACAGTAAATTTTTTATTTGCATTTTTATTTTTTACTTATAAAAAAAAGATTTGATTCCTTTATATCTTTTTATTAATTATATTTTTTTATCAAAAAATATCATTCAAATTCTGATCAATTTTATGATTTATTGATTTATTAATTTATTGGATTATTGTAGATAATTTCATCAGAATTTCAATATATTCTTTCCTAATTCACCATGCTTAGCTGATTCACGATAAGCTTCTTCAATTTGTTCAAGAGGGAAAACTTTATTAACTCTTGTTTAGAATATTGTGTGAATGTTGTCGTGAACAAGTTATTTGAATTTCTCGACATCTTGAGGAGTCTTTTCCTTTAAGTAGTCAGGTAACCAGAAACCTCTAATTGACTTTCTTTTGAAGAAGAGACCAGGAGGATCAATATCGCAGAGCATATTTCTATGAATTTTACCATAAGTTACTAATTAACCATCAGCCTTAAGAGCATTGAAAATTGCTCCACTTAGAGGACCAGTGATAGGATCAAACAACATTTTAGCTTTTTCTTTAGCGATTACTTCTTAGAGATGTTCAACTAAGTGCTCATCTTAATCATGGAAAACGTGAGTAGCTCCTATTTCTTTTATTTCTTCTAAGTAATTCTTCTCATGAACTATTGCAATACTCTTAATTCCTTCTTAGTGGAAAAGTTTGATAGCCATTCTTGCAACAGCGCTAGAAGCAGCTTAAAAGACAACACACTCTGCTTTCTTTGCTCTAGCTAAGTCTAAGAATGAGCAAGCTGTGAAGGGATTAATGAAAGGGGAAGAAAATTTATGCCAGTCTTATTCAGGAAGTTATTCATTTTAATTATAAATGATACAGTCCTTTTCAACTGTCAAGAAGTAGTCAGCCCAAGTACCATAGTTATAGTTGTCTTCTCCAGCCCAACAACTTACCTTCTTTCCTATTAAAGATTTATTAGCAGCATCTTCGATTATACCACATCCTTCGAAACCACCAGTTGTAGGTAGAGGTTTCTTAATTCCATAGACACCCTTCAAATAAAAGATATCAGAAGGATTAATAGGGGCATAGTGCATTTTAATTAAAACATCTTTAGGGCCAACCAACTTAGGTTTGGCGATTTACTTAACGATGATAGGATCTCCGTATTTAGCGATATTAATAGCTCTCATTATATCAGAATCTAGTTATCCGAAAGTATAGATTTATTTTTGATATTGCTTATTTGAAATTTTTTAATAAATTAAATTGATTATTGAATAAAAAGAAAATAAAAGAGGCGTTTTTAATCAGTATCTTGAAAAGTTGATAATATGTCAATTAGCTCAGATTTGTCAAAGATAATGTTTTACTATATTAATATTAAAAAATTAAAAGATAGAAAAAAAAATAATGGTTAAAAAAATATTTGTTTGAAGAAATATATACTGAAAATAAAATCAAATAAATGATATCAAATCCAACTTATTTTTATGATAGATCTAAAAAAAAAATTTTGAGTATGTAATTCATTCTTTTTTTCACAAAATATCCTAATAATAATACTTTACCAAAATACTTTATAAAACAGGTGAAATTTTCCAAAAAAGTATCATAAATCAGTATCCAAAATTTTAGCACAAAATAAGAATAAAATGATTCTTAATGTACTTAATATTAGTCTTTGTTTGTAGACTAGGAAGTATCAAAATGCTCAAAATTAAAAACTAAGAATTATCATTGCTATCTTAACAAAAAATAATTTTTCAAAGTAAAAAGTGAGCAATCAAAGTGATTTAGTAGAAACAAAATCACCTTTAAAAGATTAAAAATAAGATTTACTATATATCAAAGTTAGTATTAATATTGCATGAATTAAACAAAATCAGATTAATAAAGAAATCAAATTAATTTTGAGTATATATGTTAATTTTCCAACAAAATTAGAATGATAATGCATATTATTGTTTGAATTTTTAATTATTGATTCAAAATTACATTCAAAAGAAAAAAATATGATATAGATAAACATTTAAATTTTATAAATAAAAGTATTTAGCTTTTTTCAAATATCCATTTTTATTTATTATCAAAAGAGCTTAGTAATGCTGTTAAATGCTTTTTTGGAGTTTAATTCTAATAGAACAGCACTAAAATCAAAAGACATATAAATTTTTTATTTTGTGTTCAATATTTATTGCTTATACACAATGTCTAAAAATTTAATTGTGATTTAATTACTCAATATGTTCTAGTTATTCTTGTTTTGATATCAATATAACTTTATTCAAAAATTTTATAATACAAATAAGTTTTATTTTTTGATGACAAAGAATTAGTTAATTTGGTTTTATTTTTAATTAAGATTTCAATTTTTACAATAAAGATTTGAATTTCCATATTTATTATTAATATATTTAACTTTTTAAAGGTATAAATAAAAAACTTATTTTTTTAAAAATATTTAATGCTTTTTTATTATGTCTAAAAATTTAATTGCGATCTAATTACTCATTATGTTCTAGTTTTTCTTGTTATAAGTTAATAATAATTTTATTCAAAACTTTACAATTAGAATAAATTTTATTTTTTGAAGACAACTAATTAGCTAATTCTGTTTTATTTTTAATTAGGATTTCATTTTTTACAAATTGTATTTGAATTCTCATTTTTATTGTTAATATATTTAACTTTTTATTTTTAATTTTTTATTCATAATATTTGCAATAATTGAGTAATAAATGTAATCTTGATATATAAGGCAGCAAGCATTCCATAAAAAAGATATTAAAATTGAAAAAAAATCTTGAAAATTAAAAACATGCTGATTTTTAGTTAAATAAATTTATTAATAAAGTCAAATTTTAGAATGTATCATACATAGGCTAGAGTATAAATACTTATTATCTTTTTCAATAAAAATTCTAAGTGAAACTAAAATATTTTTTAATTAAAAAAGTAATTTAAATTAAAAAAATAATTTAATATTTTTTTTCTAAAATATGAATTTTGCCAATACTTTAATTTAGTAAACAAAAAAATTGAAAAATTAAAAATATTTTTGAAAACAAAACTAATCTCAGATCTTAAAGATACCACAGAAAAAAATAAGATACATAGGATTAAATTCATAAAATATAGGAGATAAAACTAAGATCTTGAAAGAGTAAATATGTTAGCCTTAAATGCCCTTAAAAATTGCCTAAATATTGTTTATTTATTAATAAAGCCAAATTTTAGAATGTATCATACATAGGCTAAAGTATAAATATTTAGTATATCTTTTTATATAAAAATTCTTAGTGAAACTAAGATCTTTTTAATTAAATAAATAATTTAATATATTATTTTTAAAAGTATCATTTTTGTAAATATTTTAATTTAATTAAAAAATAAATTTGTAAAAATTAAAAATATTTTTGAAAACAAAACAGATCTTAGATCTTAAAGATACCATAGAAAAAAATAAGATACATAGGATTAAATTCATAAAATATAGGAGATTGAACTACGATATTGAAAGAGGAAATATGTTAGCCTTAAATATAGTTATACATTGCTTAATTCTGTTGAATAATTAAAATAAATTATTTTATAATAACTGGAATCTTAATTTTAAGAAACATAGTCAACTTTTTATTTATTTAATATTTTAATTGATATTTATAAAAATTAGCATTTATAAAATTTATTTTAAAAGAAACAAGTTATAAGTTTTAATTTTAGTCATCAAAATAATTTCACACAATTATAAAATATAAATATTATTTAAAAATAGAATAAACAATATTATTTAATATGCTTTATTTGTCTCAAAACAATATTATTTTGGGTTTCTTTAAGTTGTTATTGTTTTTAAATTAAAATAATTTAAAATACTTAGAAATAAACCTTGAATTTAATTACTATCTTTTTAAACACTTACTATATTATATTGCAGTTTTTGAAAGATTTAGCTAACAACAATAGATAGATATATTTGCATTAATATAAAGCGGACTTATAAAAAGATTAAAAAGCTTTACTAATTATAGTAAATATTAGAAGCGCTAATTCATGAAAATTGTTTGAATCAATTTAGCTTGCAATAGTATGTTAATTATCTGAAAATTTAAATTAATTAAAAGAAATAATTGAATTTTTGCTTCGTAATAAAATAGATTGAAAAATAATTAATATATTGCAGATAATTTCCAATCATTCACTTTCTTTGGCGAATTTTCATTATATTGATTGATTTCATCAAAAAAAATAATAGAAATTAAAAAAATTTATATCAAAAAATTTAAATAGCAATTCAAGTAGTATGGAAAAGACTGAAAAGGGAAGAGGAGATTTTGCTGATGATGTTCATCCTGAAAGGTCAATAGATTTAGGAAATCACCATCATCATCAAGGGCTTTGTGTTTAAAATATAGGAATGGCATAGTAAAACTCTTCAAGAGATTTAAATTAAATGAATTAGATGATTTTAGGAAACGGATTGTATAGTCAGATCAACCAAAATGGATAGATTGGAAGCTAGAATATGATAAACTTAAATCAAATTTCCCATAGGGACAATATAAATAATGAACTTCATCCAGAATTTAACTTTATTAGTATGAATGGATTACCAAATAATGGCTATTTCTTTTAGCAAAATAGTTATTACAACTATCCTCGCAGCATTCATCACTACTATGATGAGTCATTGTTAAACATTTCAATTGCAGATGAGCGTAGAAATCATGAACACTACCCACATTCTTAAATATTTAAACTTGAAATGAAACCTTAAAAGCATATTCATTCAATGACTGAAAAAAAGAATAACTAGGAAATCCTAAAAGAAAAGCGCAGAAATATAGATTAAGATGCTTTAGAGTAAATGGATCCTGATTGTATGAGTGAGTGCTCTCCCTAGCTAATACCTAAGTTTACATATTGTGTCAACATGCCTTAAAATATGCCAAAGGAATAATCTTATGAGGCTTTGAGAAGAGCTAATGAATAAAAATATACATTTTTAAAAAATGCTAGTTAAAAGTTAAATTAATCTTTAGTAACCACAAATTACTAAAACTTTTTAGAAACATCTTATTAACTTGCAAAGGATAAACCAGAAGAGTGTGCTCACCTATTACTTACTTTAGAAACTCAATTTGATTTAATACTTCATGTTAATATGCAAGTTCCTAAGGAACCTTCTAAAATAGTGCCAAAGCCCAATAATAACGATTAAGATGATGATGGTGGAGAAGCAGGAGATGAAGGAGTAATTTGATAAACTTTATAAGAACTATATAAACCTATAATAGTAAAAAGAAATAAATTATCTTTGAATCTATTAATCGACTAAACTAGTTATCTAATAAATAAATAAAAAAAGCAACAAGAAGATCAAATTATCATAATAATTTTCAATAAAATATACTAATTACAAAATAACTGGAGTAGAAAATAAAACACTCAAACTCATACATAACTTAACTAAAAAAATATACAATTAATTATTTTTACTCTTCTCTCTGGCGTTCCATGTCAGAAATCTAATTTTAAAATTTAACATTATTATTTTTTTGATATAAACTCTATTTTTTATGTATTAATTAAATATATATAAATATAATAAATTATATCTTTTAAATCACTTTTGATTACTTATTTTTTAAAACAATAATAAAAAAATATTAAAATTTTATTTTATTCAAACCAATTAACTTATTTATTTTCTTTATTTTTCAACTTTACGAATTCAAGTTTACCATAAAACTTCTAATTTAATAATTTGAATTACATTTTAAAATGTAAATATTTGAGGTCTTTAATTTTCAAAATATTTATAATTACTTATGGTTTAGTCTATATCCCTTCAAAAATTATGATATATATTATAAATACAATTAATTAAAATACACTCACTCATACATTCCTTTTATAGATTTAAATGATATCTCATTAATAAATTTCATAATCAGTTTCATTATTTTTAATTTTTAATGACACTGGTTTTGGAATTTTAGGAATTTATTTTATGATTTTATTACCCTTTAAAGGATTCATTTATTATTATTATTATGGGAGAAGAGATGATAATCTATTTTCTTATAAACTTTAAGCTTAATATTAATTAGATTAAATTTATATATTTTTTGGGGTAATATTTTTATCTTAATTAGTGTTTTCGAAGTAGTTATTGTTAAATGGGTTAAAACTCAAGCTTATTGATTTATAAACATTAGGGTTTTGCTATGCATCTTTTTAATTTAAATTTTAAGAACTTATATTAATGTTTTTTTCTTTTAATATATTGCTCATTAGTAAATTAGACTCTCTTGATATTCTGTTTGTTAGCATTTAAACTATGGGAACTTTAGTCTTTATTTCATTAAAATTTTGTTGATTTTTAATGGTTTTCTTGTCTTAATATGATATTGGTTAGTTTTCTTATTCTTATTTGGAGAACTTTTTAGGCAATGAAGTTGATTTAATACATAAATTATTTCCAACTGTGCATTCTCCTTCAAGGTTGTTACTATTCTATTTCAAATTAATACTGCCTCTTTAAGTTTAAATTTCCTTTTTCTGAAAAGGTAAGCTATTTCCAGCTATTGCTCGAGAAAAAGAAATATTTTAGTTATAACTTAAATTTGCTTTATTGTGATTATTGGTTGGGGTTACAGATTATGAATTCAAAGGTGTCTAGCTATTAGTAAGATTGACTAGTTATTAACAAATATTTTAGTTTTTATTCAAATTTAATGAGTTAGAAACTCTATGAGATGAAGAAGTAGGCACTGCTGTTGTTGTTGTTTGCATAATTTTATTCTTAACTTTTTCAAAGAATTAAATTTTTAATAAATCTTATTTGCTAATATTTTCCTTAGATTTTTATTTGTGGTGCTAGATAACATCTTATCTAACCTGTTGAGTTAGACTTTTTCTTTTAAATTGATTTATATTTTCATTTTCATTTTCCTATTTATAAATGATAAATGTTTTTAAATTTATAAAATGAAAAAATCCTTACTTCTATTGGCTGTGTTGCTAGACATTGTTTACCTTAACCTTCATCTTAAATCAGGAGTAAATTTGATTATCTGTTAATATTTATTTCTTAGCAACTCATTCTTTTGCTGTTAGACATATTAATAGATATTGAATTGTTGTCTTTTGAGATTTCTTCATTTTATTAAAATGAACTAGAAACACTTTTCTTTAATAAAAACTTTGAACTAGACTCAAAATTATACATCTCTTCCTTATTTTATTAACACAAGCTTTATAAATCATTCTTAACAAGTTCTTGTTATAATATTTGGCCTTAGTGCTGATTTTGTAGATCTTTTCTTGCTGATAGAATTTATTTATAATTTCTAAGAGTATCATTTAATTATATTTTTTTTTGACTGCTGCTTTATGATTTAGAGAATTAATTTTATTTTTCTTCGAAAACATTTTAGTTTTGATTTTAAATTTTTGATTCTCTACATTAGTTTACTTACTCTAGTAAATTTAAAGATTGATTTAACTCATTCGCATTAAGTTAATTTGGATTATTCTAAATGCTTTAAATCTTACATTATTTGTTTTCAAAGTCAAATAGTTATCTCCCAAGCTTTTTTTGAATTACAAAGTTTTAATTTTATTTTCCTAAAATTTAAGTTTAAGCTTATGGTGTAGCAGGTGCTGTTTCTGAAATAGCTGTTGAAAGTCCAACTGTATTTTAGCACACTGTATAATTCTTACTAATACTTAAGTTATCTTTAACTTTTATGTTATTGATATCTTTAGATTTCATTTTTATTATGTAATGTAATATTCCCTTTTCTTAATTATATGACTAAGGTACGCTAGCATTAACATTGCACCCGTTAGTGGGATATCGAATATTTTAAATATTTTACAGTTTGCTGTTTCCACAACTACCAAGTAAGTTACTATACTATCCATTTTATAATAGAGAACTTTCTTGAGTTTTTAATTAAGTATCGCAGTTTTACTTAATTAGCTATTGATCTTTCCTTATTCTTTAATTTGCAGTTGTGGATATACTTCTAGAGCGCTAAGTTGGATTTTAATCTTAAGAAATAGCACATTCATTTATTTAAGCATTCATATTCATTGAAATTACACTTTCATCATTAAAGCTAAGTTATGATTTTTATTTTAAGTATTTTTACTCTTAAGATGTTTAGCACTTTTAAGGATAAATAATTTCATTAGCATTATTTCCTCTAACTTTTGTAAGCCTATCTGGTGATTCTTAAAGATCATCTCTCAGCTTTTTTAAATCGCTAATGATATCTACACTGTCAAACTCATATTGCACAACCTTTGCTTTTTCCTTAACTTAAAGATTACTTTTTAACTTTTACTTAGGAATTATTAATTGATTATTTTTTTTGCTGCCATTTTCTAAATTGCAAAGAGCTTAACTCATTTCATTAAGGGTATTTTTAAACATCATTTTCTATTTTTAGCTTAAAATCCCTTTTTCATTTTTTAGCTTTTCATTTTTCTTTTAATGTTCTTAAACTGCAACTAAAGACTCTTCACCCCATGCTCCAAAAGCTTAAATTTATTATAAATTATTTAAATATTTTAAAATAAAATTTAATGATATTTTACATTCATTGTATTCTACGTACTCACTTAGAAGCCTTAGCTAATTTAGAGCATGTTTTTCCTTTTACTTTTCCTATTGCTAGTTATTCAAATTTAAATGCTAAATATTTGAACTATAATTGTAAAGATCTTGCCCTTTTAATGTTTCATTCAAAAACTACTTACTTTAGAATTCAATCATTTAACTTACTTGTTCACTAACTCAAAATTTGATAGATAAATTATAGTTTTTTGTTATCTTTTGATTATTTTTATTTATTTAATCTTTACTTTAATTCTACAAACCCTGCTAAGGTAGTTTTTAATTTTTTTTATTAACTAGATTAGCAAAAAATTTAATTAATGCTTATATTGAATATTTTAACGTTCAAATAATTTTTCTAATAAAAACACTTTTTGAAAAACACTTCAAAACTCTATAACTATATCTATCTATTTCTCATCAAAAACAAAATTTAACAGATTCTTTTAAAAAGATGATTTCTATTTTTTTATTATTGAGAAATAAAATTTTCTAACTTTAAAAATAAAATAATTTCTCAAATTTGAAATTAATATCAAATAAAATAGAGGATTCGTTCTTTTTTAAATTTTTAAATACCACAATTCTCCCCAATCTTTCTAAATATTTATAAATAAATTAACTACAATTTTGTGTTTAAAAATGTTTCTTCATTTTTAAATATTCCTCTGATAATATAATAATAATTTATTCAAACATTATAATAAATGAATTTATTTGAAAAGTTTAAAATTAGTTGCTTAAATTATTAGATAAAGATTTACTTAAATAAAAAAAGGAATTTACATTAAAAAATAAATATTTTTTTAAAATATTTTAAACTTTATCAAAGCAATTAATTATTTTTTTAAAACTTAAATTTATTATAGAATTTAATAATTATTAATTGATTATTTTATAATTTAAAATCAAAATATTCTTAATGCAATATTTATTACAAAAAAGCTTAAGAATTAAAGATTAAATTGAAGGTTGAATACTTTAATAATTATTTTTATAGATTTTTTTTTGAATGTAAAATGTTTTAATAAATCATATTGTGCAGATATCTTCTTGCAATCTATTAATTTAGTTAATTATATAATTGAAATACTTTTTGTATTTTAGTTTTATAACGTCTTTATCTTGGTGACCTATTATATATAATAAAAATAAATTGTTTTTTCTGTATTTTTTATTGATATTTTTACCTATATCTAAAACATCTATAATTTAATCAAAGTCTACCATTTCTTTAAAGAGCTATTCAATCTTTTTGAAAAAAAGTTAATAATAATATAAAATTAATTAAATTACTTGACTCTTTTTAGCTATTGTATCAGTCCAAATATATTTTTTGTGCTCATCAACTTTTTAACTAATTTTTTTGATATCTTATTTATTTCTATTAATGTACTCAATTAATCTATCAAATGCATGTTCACTAGTGGTAACTATTTCTTCTTCGTTTTCACCTGAAATTTATTTACTTATTATATTAGATTTAGAAGGAGTTAGCTATTGTGTAGGAGACAATGGTGATTGCTTGTATTCTAGTAATTGATCTGAGCTAACTTTTTAATCTTAAGAAAGTCTCATCTAATTCTTATTATTATCACTAGATCCTTAATTTTTTGCCCTAAACAGCTCTTCCTCAACCAAGTAATTTTCCCTAAGCTACTATTTCAATAGTTTATTTTTCTTTTTTTCTTTGATCTCTTCCCAAGCTAATCCAATAGTAGATGTAAAGAAGTTATAAACTGCCATAGCAAATAGCATAGTATAGAGAAGCATGTACATCTATTCTAGAGGAGATGATAACTCTTTAATGGAATTCATGAAATCTGAAATTTGATCTCCATGATATGTTGCAAACAAAGTTGTCATAGTATAACTAAAGCTATGGAAAAAGACACTATCACTATACATGCAATATCCTTAATTAATTAATTTTATTTAAATTTATTTAATTCCAAATTATTTTGGTTTTAAAAAATTACCAAATATCCCAAAAGCCATAAAAATAGGGAAAATACCAATCAAAGTATAAAGCCACCTATTTTTTTTAATATTATTTTTATTGTTAATCTTTTTTAAAGAAAAAAATTTACTGATTGATAACTTTAGACATCAAGTTTGAAAATATAATATGATCACGATCATATTCAACATATTGCACTACAGTAATCCAAGCTATAGCGCAACCAAATCCAATCAATCTCTCTTTTAGGTCAAATATGAATGAAATATCTTGCCCTTCTTACCTTTCTATGGAAGAACTTGAAACATAAAGCAAAATACTTCCACAAATCTAAAAGAAATTTCCAACCATACTTAATAATTACCATTTATTGAAAAATTTTAATTTCTCTCTTAATGTTATATTTTCCCATTTCAATGAGTGCTTATTATCATAAATATTTCTTAGTTTATTTGTTTATATCTACCTATCTTAGTCCTATGATGACCTAGTTTGCTGATCTTTTTAAAAATGTAACTTTATTTTTGCTCATTCAATGTAGTAAAAAAATAGAATTACTTTGATAGGTTATTATATTTTTTGTTGATTACTTTAGTCTTATATTCTGTAAGTAAGCCCTATCTGTAGCTTATTTTGCGCATTCATAAAGCACAAAAATTCTATAAACATACCTCATATGAAGGAAAAATAGCAGTGAAGATATTATTATAACCATAAAATTTATGAATGCAGTTTAAAATCCTCTAGTAGCTTTTAGAGTATTTTACTGCTTAAGAATACGTCCCTTTGTTGGCTTAAGTTTTATTTAGTTTGGTTATTAAAAGTTTTAATTAAAAAAATCTTACCAGCAGTATTTCAGTAGGAATATTAAATTGGCTTTTTTGATGTTTTTAAGAGAAGGGTGATTTGATTCTTTGATAACCTTTTTACTTAACTGGCTTAACTAACTAATGTTTATCCCTTCTTTCTAAAAATTTATTCCATTCTTTAGTTATATGGAAATTTGACAAGGCTTCTGCAACTATTCTTCTATTTTATTTATTTGCTATAGTGCCGAGCTCATTTATGAATTATTTTAATTTTAACTAACTATTTGCAAATTTTTCACCTAAAAATGTTGTATTTGAGAACTTTTCTTGTAAATTACGTAGCACATCTTATTAAGGATCAGCTTATTATGATAATTTACTCTTAATTTTATCACATACAACTTAATCAGCATCAACAGAAGCTTCTACTTTGAATCCAGATTCTATCATATACATAATTTTAATATCCCAACAAATATTAGAATTGACAGAAAATCTGGTTTATAAATTCTAAATGAGCAAATAGAACATATTAACCTTCTAAGTATAATCCTGTTAAGTATAAAATTAAGGTAAATTAGTATATTAAATGCATTTAATATATTCAAAATTAATTATGAATACTTCAAATATTTACAGAAAATACTTTTTAACAATAAAATCTAATTCTAAATTGTTTACTTTGATACTTAACACATTATCTTATTAAAATGGTTGAGTTATTCCTTCTTTTAAGTTAATTGTGCTACAATATGCTAATTTGTGAGATTTATCAGTTGGCCAAATAGTGTAATAACTTAAAAGGTAGAATTTTGTTTAATCATAGTCAATAACTTCAAATTAAGTTTAAGTTTAAATATTTTAGAAAAAAGAAATAGTTTCTTCCAAATTCTTTTTTAAATCTTCTGGAGTAAAAAAGAATTTAGATTGGTGATTGTCGTCGCCTTGATCTATATTCTTATTTTAATATAATTTTAGTAATTCATTTAGCCATAACATTCTTCCAAAAGATTAGCTATAAAAAAAAAGTTTAATATAAAAAGAGAAATCTTACAAGCAAAGTGCTCTTCCAAAAATCAATGTTGAAGCGAGTGTAATCTATCTCTTAAGTTGCCATAATTTTTACTTACATGGTAACAAAAGCTATCAGCAGTATGTGTAGTAAAAATTTGATAGGAAATTTATCTAATATATATTTGGGAGTTAAATTAATCACAAATTTCTACAAACTAAAAATGTATTAATTAATGTAATTACGATTTCTAATTTAGTATCTTTAGAAAGGGTTTGTTTTTAGCTTTACTTTGATGTAACGTAGAATTTATTCACCATCCATGTTACGGTATTATTGGCTTTTAATAAGATTTTGCTAATCTTATTACTATTCTTCTAAATTTGAATCAGAACCATTAATTTTGAAGTTTATATTTTCATTTTACTCATTTTTCTTCGGAGTAAATTCTCCTTATTAGCTCTCATTTTCTTCTCCGTAGCTTGAATTGACTTAACGAAAAGCGAAGGAAGATTATTTTTTTAATTCTCCATCGTCATCTTCTGGTTCTAAAGACCCTTTTCTTTTATTCATTTTATAGCTTTGTTGTTGTTATTACTAGCTATTTGATAATAATGTATATGAATTTAATTAACTAATTAAAACCACTGAAGAAATATTAGTACTTGATTGTATGTTTGGTCTATGAGTAAGTTAGCACCTTAAAAATAATAAAAGCCTTTATTTAATATTTTTGGTTAAGTATTCTATAGATTTTTTTAATAAGGACTAAAATCCATGCAAAAGAGTGTCAATATATTTTTATCTATCTTTTATCAAGCCTTTAAACTAATAAGTGAACAAATGATCATACTTTTAAAATTTCAAACTTTTATTTTTCCCTATTAACATATTCCAAATTACCCCACCAAACTTGCTGTAACTAACTAAAACTTACTCTAATATTTTAAAACAACTAAAAACATGGAATTTTTTTATTTTATTTGTAATTAATTTATCCATAAATATTTGTATCCTTTTTTATCAGAAAATTTTTTAAAAATTCATAGTAATTCATACATGAGCTTTTGTATAAGATTATTTATTTTGATCAGAATAAATTGATTTAAATTTATAACAGAAAATATTATAAACAATAATAAATTTATAAATCTTAGAAAGTAGAAAGTGAAAAATGAAAATAAAAAGTTTTAGTTTATTAAAATTAAATATTAAAGAAATCAAACATTATCAAATTATAAAAATAAAATAAAATTTTATTTAATTGCTTAGTTAATCTTTTATAAACTCATAATTTGAATAAATTCATCTCTAATGAAAAACTAAATAAAAATGATAACCATCATTACAAAAAAAATTCTTAAGTAGTAAAAAAATTCAATTATCATAAAATTTATTAAAAATTAATTGTAATTCATATATATGAGCTTTTGTATAAGATTATTTATTTTGATCAGAATAAATTGATTTAAATTTATAACAGAAAATATAATAAACAATAATAACTTTATAAATCTCAGAAAGTAGAAAGTGAAATGAAAATAAAAAATTTTAGTTTATTTAAATTAAATTTTTAATTAAATATTAAAGAAATCAAATATCATCAAATTATAAAAATAAAATAAAATTTTATTTAATGACTTAGTAAATCTTTTTTTAACTCATAATTTGAATAAATACATCTCTAATGAAAACATAAATAAAAATGATAACCAATCATACAAAAAAAATTCTTAAGAAGAAAAAACTTTAAATTTATCATATTATGTTTAATAAATTATTTTTGCTCTAAAATGTTAAATGAATTTTTTTTTTTTGAAATATTTTTATAATTGTTATAATTTGAATTAAATCTTACTAATCTCAAAAAAAAAAAAGATTCAAATAATCAAAAAACTTAAAAAATATAATTTTTGTATTAAAAAATAGCATTATTAATTATGGCATGAATTAAGAAATATCAAAGGAAAATAACAATTTTGTGAAAATGTTAAAAATAGAATATAATAGTATATAAAATTGAAATATTTTTGGTATAAAAATTAATAGTTAAACGAATCAGATAAAAATGATTGTTGAAAAACAAATTAGTTTTGATAAATAAATTATAATTTGGATTATGCAAATCAAGTTAAAGTAAACTAATTTATGAGTGGAAACAAATGAAATTTTAACAATTTATTTATGTTTATGATGTAATGAATGATGTAAATTATCAGGCATGATATAATTTGTATCACTTTGTAAAAATTTAATAATTTACTATAATCATAAAATAAAATTAACATATTTTTTAAAGTTAAAATTAATTCTTTTATAAAGTTTCTACTTTATATTATTTATTAATTTATTTATTTATAAATCAATTATCAATGTCTATCTTATCCATATCAGCACATCTATCTAAATATTATGCAGATAATTGAGAAATGGTAGGGGCAACTTCGACTGAATTGTTGATATTTTAGCTGTCGTTACCATCAACGAAAATTTATCCATTGCTCTTGATAGCTGTAATTAATTCATCACAATTGAGATCTCCAAATTTAGCTTCGAGCATTCTAGACTCTTTTCTTAATTTTTATTCCAAATTCATAGCTGAATTTGGGCAGTCAGTCCAGTACATAGGATAACCAACTCCTCTTCCATAGCTAGGCTTTTTACAGGAGATACCAATATCAGTGTAATTTTCGGGACAATCTGGTGAGCATATGCAGCAACCTACGTTGTGGAAACCCTCAGCACATTTAGGATAGATAACTAAACCATATTGCTCACAACCTTATGAATTTTCAGCTTCACAACGCTTATAAGCATTATTTAAGCTCATGTCATCACCAAACTCCCAAGGATAGCCAGCACCTCTACCATATGAGCTAGGTTTTTTGCAATAAAGACCTTAATCTTCATATCTAGAAGGGCAGCTTTCAGCACAAATACAACATCCAAAGTTATGATATCCTTCATTGCATACAGGATATTCAATAGCACCCCATTGCTCACATTATTTTTATTCTTTTTGTTAGCAACGTTAAGTAGCAGGACCTAAGCAAATAGGGTCTTTACAGTCTTCAACCATAGGTTTTATTTATTCTGCGAGTGAAATCAATCCTTTGGCAAAACTTACCCAATCTTAAGCGACAGCAGATTTAATAGCATTTCCTAAAGTTTATGCAGCCTTAGCAACATCAACAGTACATCTTAAGAGGTTTCCTTGTAAAGGTTCGATCTTGCTAGAAGATACGCAGCTAATCAAAAGAATTGTAATTGCAACAATTAAGGTTTTTCTCATTTATAAATTTAGTATTTAGTTTATTTTTAATTATCAAAAGATTATTATTTTGTTTATCTAAAAATCTTTTTAAACTTGCTTTTAAAAATTTAATTCAATATACCTTCTTCTTTTCAAAAGGCTTTTAGTGTATATGATTATATAAAGTAGTTGTAATCTATAAATCTATTCAATTTGTACGTCATTTGCACTTTAATCACCATAAAAAGCAAATGCAGTGAAAAAGCAATTATCAGTAACCTTAATAGCTAAAAAAATTAAAGTAAAAAAAAATACAAATTGAATAAAATATCTAAAAATATCCAAACCAATAGATGCTAATAAATTTCCAAGTCTATCATCTTATCATATTTTCTTTCTTTGCAAAGGTTTAACAGAATATTTAAAATTAATAAAAAATACTTAATCAATATCAAATTATTAAAAATTTAAAATGAATTTATTGTCATAAATATATATATTTTAATTAATTCCTTTATTATTTTACATTTTTTACTTTAAAAATATAAATTTACGATAAAGGTTCATATTAAGAACATATAGATTTCAGTTTAGACATCTAATTACCGGCTTTAATTAAGAAGCGATTATTTAGTAATTTTATTTTTATTTATTAGGATTAAAAAAAATATTTCTTGGATTATAAACTTTAGATTTAAATAAAAATATTTTTAAAGATAATAATATTTATTTTATTTAAACTCTATTTTTAGATGTTTTTATTATAAAATTTAATGATATGGAATTGATATTAAAATATATTTTTTTCAATACTTATCAAATTCAAAATTTTAGTCATAAATTTATACTAAATAATGCCACTTATAATTTTAATTATATTAAATTCTTTTTTGCTCAAATTACTTTGGTGAAAAATATCAAGATGGATCATTTATATATTTGCAAATTGTTTTTAAACAATTATTTTTATAAACTAAATAATTATAATTGAGTTGAAAAATGTTAAATAAATTTAACAAATTATTAATTTTGGAAAAAGAATGGTAAAAGCGATATTTAAATAAAAAGAAAGAACTGATTAAATTTTAACTTAATAATTAAGGTCAAATAAATAAACATTTTAACTAAAATTAAAACTTTTTGAATACATTAAATAAATTAGATTATTATAAATTTTATTTTAGATACAAAAAATAAATAAATAAATAATTTGAGCTATTTTTAAAATAATTAATTATTTATTTGTTTTTGGTTAGTATATCAGTCAGTAATTATTTTTTATATAGAGACTTTCTTTTTAAATGAGCAAAATATTTAAAATCACCCTTTAAAATAGATAAATATTAGTTAGTTAACTGGCTTTTTGAGAAAAAATTGTTAGTCTTTTGTAGCCTTTATTGGTGTTTAATTTATTTTAATTATCCTTACAAATTTTGTGTAATTTATTAAAGATTATACTCTTTTTTTAGTTATTGAAATGAAGATTTTGTTTTTATTTATTTATTAGAATATTTTTTGGAAAAGGAAATTTATTAAATATCAGTTCACATACATGGATATACCAATAAACTTATATGAGCACTAATGGGTAAAATCACTGAACATCTAATCCAGATAAAATTCTATTTGTATTTTATCCTTATTAATTTTACTAATTAGGATCTTCATTGTTTTTTTTCCTTTTAATTTTACTATAAGCATCTTTTAAGAAATCTTTTACATTTTCTAACTTGAATTTAACCTCTTCCATGATTGTTGCATTAAGTCTAGTTTAATTTAATCTTGTTTAATTCAAATTCGAGATATATTCTCTTGGTGTGCATAAACCGTGTTAGCTCATAACAGTAATCTGCTTTTTTAAATCATTCATATATAAGTCTTATCTTAGTAGTTCTTGAGCTTATATTTATTAAAATTCCTTCATATCAATTAGATCATATTTAACATCTTCTAGCTATTCAGATATTTTATTTCTTTGCTATTTCATTTTAATTAGATCTTTTTCTACTTCAGTTAGAGCTTTCACGAGACTGGTTATTTCTTCATACACTTTTTTGTTGTCTTTTTTTGGACTACTTTAATTTGATGAAGAACTTGATGGTAAATCTTAGTTTTCCTTAACTGAATCACTTTTCTTGAGTGAGTTTTATAAATCTAAGCGTTCCTACTTTAATTGCATTTTCCTAATAACATTCAATCTCTATTTAGATGCTTTTTCTTCTTATAATTTTTACTCTAAATTCTCTTTGAGACCTCTAAGTAATTGTATTTTATATTCTTTTGGTAATTTTAATTTATCTATTTTTTGTAATTAGGAGCTCTTCTAATCTTATTTTTTATTGTTTTTCATTTTATACAAAGATAATTCAATGACCTCATTCTGTTTCTGATTAAAATGGATATCTTCAAATTTGCTAAAATACTACATTTTCTATAATAAATGTGCTTTTTCAAACCAAACACAGTTTGCAATCTTAAATTTTTAATAATCTTCTTTTATTTAGCTATATACTAAAAGTAAAAAATAAATTAAATATATTGTTTCTTTTTAATTAATTGTTATCAGTATTAATAATATCATCCAATTTAAAATTATGAAATTTGTTAAAAGTGCTAACACTCTAATGGTGATAGCTATTTTTTTTTTTAACACACACAAATATACTCAAAATATTATTTGAAAAAAAAATAGTACTTTCTAATTTCTCATTTAATTTTACCATAATTTTTATTATTATTATTTTTCAATTTAAAAGATTTTTTACTTAACAAATTAACTCAACATACAGAAAGAAAATTGTATGGGCTATTTAAATTAATTTATTATATTTTTAATTATAAAAAATCTCTTTTCATTAATTAATTATTTAATAAGTAAATTAATCAATTAATAACTTTAATAAGAATTTAATTCAAAATGATTATTGTTTTTTTAAAAATTAAAATTTATTATATTTTTCATTTACGTTTTTTAATAAATTTTCATAATAGAAAAAGTGAACTTATTCACAAAAGTTTACCTTTAAAATTTTAACATTTTTTAAATTTTTAGTTTTTAAAATAGATTAATTCAATTATTTAAATGTTGATACAAAGAATATGTTTCGATAATTAAATATTAATACTTGATTTATTTTATGAAAATCATGCTTGAATTATTCAATTTCAAAAATTTGTTTTTCCCTTGGAAATCAAATATAATTAATTAATCAATTTTAAAAAGAAAATAAAAATAAATAAAAAGCAAATATGGAAGTGAGAAAAAAATATTCTTTTTTTATTACCTCAATAAATCTCGATAGAGAGTTTAAGTTTTTAAATATGGAGAGTTTTTAAAGCTAAATGAATATCACCTATATTCATCCACACTTTTAAAAATCAAAAAATAAATTTACTTTATATCAATAATTACTCCTAAGTTTTTCACTCATCAATCTCCGATGAATATATAAGAAACTTAAGTTTTTAAATCGAATTCAACTATAAGACATATTGTCTAAAAATCAAACAGAGGGCTTTTTAAAGTTTCTTATAAACATTAGATTGGAATTAGTAATTATTATATTCAGTAGATTAATGATTGATTTTCAACAGTAACTCCAATCATTTCATAATACTCTCTAAAAGATTATTGAAAAAAAATTTGTAACCCATTAAGATTTATCTCAGCTATACTCGTAACTATAGAGGGAGATACACTTTCAAAATAAAACAAAATGTCTCAATAAAATCCATTTTGCTAAAAAGCATCAACACAATATATAAAAAGTATTTTTTAAAAGCATAGTCTAAGATTGAGAGCACTAAGATTGAGCGAGGAAACAAAGAAAAAGGACAAGAAGAAAAAAGAAAAAAAGTAATAAAGAAAAAGAAAAAGAAAAAAGAATGAAACAAAAAGAAAAAAGAAAAAAAGTAAAACAAATAAAACAAATAAAAAAAAACAAAAGATAAAAAAATAAAAATAAACTAACAAAATAAAATATAAACTAATAAACACACATTATTAATTAAAAAAATATAAAAAAAATTAGATGATAAAACAAATTATATCAAATTATTATTAATAAAATTTTCAATTCAATAAAATAATTCATAAAAGATTTAAAAAAGATTAACCCTTAGTTTTTAATTTTTTTTTAGGGATAGAAACATTTTGAAGAAATACATACTGAAATCTTTTAAAAATTAATTTTTCATTTTAATTGATATTTCTTGAAATTTCGTTAATTCTTTTACTTGTATTTATTTAATTATTATTCTACTTATTTATTTTATTTTTGGATTTTTGTCAGAATTTCAAACTTATAAAATAGCTTTATGATATCAAATATTAAAGAATATAAATTTGGATAAAGAAACATCTACAAAACATATATTTTTTAAACATAGTGAACAACATTTATCATATAAATGTTTTCATAAGGTACTTGAATTTTTAATAAAATTGTTATTGAATTGGTTTTTAGAAAGAATTAGGATTTCATAGGCTTCTTTTTTTGCTAATCTTTTTTCTATTCTCTCTTCTAATGGATAGAAGTTTTCATAAAGTGAAAACATAAATCTTGGGAAGCTTAAAAATATAATACAATAGGAAGCATATAAAAACCAAGCTCCATGTTTCATCCTTCTATTGTACCCAGGGATGTATTTGACGGTATTAGAGTCATAAGGATCAAATTTATAATTATGGTATTTAATTAGCATTTCCTTTTTTCTTTTAAAAATAGATTGATAAATATTGTAATTGTAGTTTCTAGATAAAAGAACTTTATTTTATAATTATAATATTGTCTTTAAATTAAATCTTGATCTTTGATAATTATTAATTAATTAATTTTCTTATTTTGATAATTAAAAAATTTTGTATTTAAAATAAATTTTTTTTATTTTAACACTTAAAATTATTTTTATTGATATTTTAAAATTGATTTTTTTTTTAATTAAATTAATAGAATGATTTTAAATTTTTATGAATAAAAATATCAAGAAAATAGATTAAATTTTAAAGGCTATGGTTAATTATTTCAAAAATATTAGTTTTTATATCATAGTTTTAGGAATAAATTGTTACCACTTCTTTTATCAGCATTAAAATCTAAAATTTTATAACATTCGATTAATAAAAAATAAACTTCAAATTTATACTATTAGATTTTCAAAAATACTTTAGGCGCAACAAGCAAAATGAAGCATAGATAAATTAGGCCTTAAAGTGCTAAGCTTTCTTTTAATTCTAATAGCATTATAAAAGAAACATTTAAAACAAATAGACCAACTATAATAAAAAAGTATAGCATTCTTTAGATATATATTTTAATATAATTAATATATTTTGATACATTTTTAAGATAGCATATATTCATTTAAACATTTTTATAGATAAAACACTTTCCAAAAGCTTGATACAAGAAATACATCTATTGATGAATCAAACTATGATTAATCACCTTACACAATAGGCAATCAGATTAAAATTCGCAAGACAACAAAAAAGGAATCTTAAATTTTAAACAAATTACTTGATACCAATAGGCTTTCTAATCCAAGCTTAATTTAGCATTCTTTTAGCTTCTTGAGAACAACAAGACCTCAAAGCGGATATACCAAATCTTCATTTGGAGAGTCTTCCACTTTTTATGGTTCATATAAATAGGATGAATGGAATTTTGATGAATTTCAATAAACTCATAAAAAAGACTTATATTTAGATTCATTTTAATTAAAAAATGAATACCACTAATTGCAGGACGACAATCTAAAATTAAAGTCTTCAATAGTTAAAATCGAAGTAAAATCACACTTTTTTATTTAAAAACTGCTTGAGCTTTTTAAAATTGTTAATTTTTAGTAAAAGATTGGTTAAATGAAACGATAAATTGCAGATTTCAAAGTACTTTAGTAGTTTGCAGAGCCTTAATTAAAAGACTTACCAAATTTATCTCCTTAAAAGAAAGTAAGCTATTTTAAAAAAGATCATGAGAGATATATTTTTATTAGAAATTAATAGAGAGTAATCATGAAATTAACTCTCTGAAAAGGGAAATTAAAGCTCAAAGAGATTTGATTGACTAAAAAGTTTTAGAAGCAGATGAAATTAAAAAGATGTTGAGAACTTCTGACATAACTGAATTGGGATTAGAAAAAAAAATACTTTTAGATGCATAATAAGAGTATAAAGAAAAATTTGATAAGGTTTAGCTTTAAAATAAAGTTGGACTTCTACTGTAAATTATCTATCTACAAATTTTAAAAAATCTGACTAAATTTTTTATTTTATTAGATAAAGAAATGATTATTAGCAGCTTGAAGATATCTATTAATAAAAAATAAGAGATTTACAAAAATAAAATGCTAATCTTAGCTCTATCCATTCGAAATAATTAGATTAGACAAACAAAATAAAAGTAAAAAAATTATCATAAATCATATGTCAATAATTTTTTGAACTAGGCAAAAAACAATAACTTAAATTAATAAGCTGCTTAACTTCGTCGTTAAATCTAAGAAACGGAGGCTAGGATAAGAATTGTTAAAGAAGAAAATAAGACAAAGAAGGGCAAATAAGAAACTAACAAATAAGCATCTCCTTAAGCTTCAAAAGATAAAGTATATATAAGGTAATTAGATGATGAAAAGCAATAAATATTAGCTGAAAAATTAAGCTTATAAGAATAGCTTAATTAAGAATAAGGAGTTGAATAAACAAAGAAGTAGGCAATTGAATCTTCAAAAAATACATACCTTAATGCAATAGATCAAAAAAAAGAGGAAAATTAGGATTTAAAAGAATAATTGCATATTATTAGACAACAAAATATGGTACTAACATGAAAATCTAAATTAAAAATTATTAAAATAATATTTTAAAATAGGAATTAAAATATAAATTATAAGAACATGACTAAACTCAATTTTAGGAGAATAGTGGAAATGAAGAAGAAGGTAATACAATTGATGGATTAATTAAACTAAAAAATATGAATGAAGTTTAGATGAATAAAAATATGAATAAAAATTCTAGCTCAAATTTAAATGGAAACAATCGCAAAAACAGTATAAACAGCTAAAAAAGCAGTGATAGAGATAGTCTTCAATACACTCACTCTAAGTATGGCGCTTCAGCTCAGCAAAAAGCAATATCAAATTATTCTCCATTTTAAACAACTAACATAAAAAATAATCTTCTTTCATCTTTTAAAAATGGTTCTTAAGAGAAAGTTTATTTGCCTGAAATTTACAACAGTTAAAACCAAGACAAAGAGTAATTTGAATCTTCTTAGAAAAAGAATGGTGAAGAATAAACTTCATATCCGAATTTAAGCAGTAAAAAATAATAAAAGGCTTATCAATAACCTTAAAATTTGCAAAATAATTAACTTTAAGAATTACCTCTAAATGAATAAAATTTAGATTAATAAACTCCAAAAACATCTAAAAGACTTGAGTTTTTTTATAGCTCAGATGCACAAAAGATAAATAGCTAACCACAAGATTAGTTAGATGCTCCAAGCAACTAGCCTTTCGTTTTTAATTCCGATTCTATGAAATAATTAAAAAAAAAAGAATTAGGATTAAATAATTTAAACGATTACGATTAAAACAAAAAGCATCTAAACACTGACACTAATTCAAACAAGTCAGATCGAAAATTATTTGACAAAAAACTAAATAATTTAAATGAAAACAGAAGATAATCTGAAAATTCCCATTCAAATAGTAATTTTGATGACAGTCTTTAAAGCAGTGCAAAAAATTCCACAAGATAACTCAGCTTATTTTAAAGACTTTCAGAATAAAAAAAGATAAGAAAAATATCTGACATGACTGCATCTGTTTATAGCAATGACAATGTCTTAGAGAATTCAGTTGGATCTGAAACTAGTGCAAGAGAAAACATTTGCTACGTAGATGTTGAAAGAGAAAATTTTATTGATTACCTGCAAAAAACTATTGATTTAGAAAAAGAATGTTCAAAATTTGAAAATTTAATCCAAAGTAAAGAATTATTGACTTTCCCTAATCCACAAAACACTCTCATGTAAATTGTTTTCAACTAGAGCACACACAATGTTATTAATAACATATTCGGATTCAATTCTAACTGCTTTAATTATGATGTAAGAAAGTAGAGAGTCAAATCGTCACTAATTATCTAAGATATCATCTTAAAATATCTAGAAGATTAATCTGCAAAGAAATCATTTTAAATAAGATAGTATGAAATCCATAAAATTGTTTACGAAAAGAAAAGATTTGATCACAGTATGATGGTACCTGTGACTCTTGGTTTTTCTCATATTCTCAAATAATTATCAGTCAATATCATAGCTCTTCCTGAACTTTCAAACTCTTCTTTTGAATTTATTAATCAATTCTAGATTGGTATTAATTTTTTATAATTAATTCATGAAAATTTTTTTTTTTTTCACATTTAATAAATAATCAAAAATAATAATTAGGCAATAAAGAAGCATACAAGGCTATCATAAAAAGAACATCACAAAGCTGCACACTTATATCTTTCCCTTTAGAGACTAGCTTTCACATAGAAATGCTTCTTAAAGAAATCGAACTTATTAACATAATATAAAGTCACTACACCCTTAAGCCATTATGCAGTTACATAGATCGTGAAGAATAAAAGTATTATCTGAATATAATTTATATACCTCTGATTGGTAATTTAGAAGATTTCCTTGAGAAGTATGAAGTGTAAGAATCTGAGAGAATCAAGTTGTGCTATCAAATTGCACTCGGAATATAGGACATTCATCTTCATAATTACATACACACTCAAATAAGTCCTCAAAATATCATGATTACAGAAAATTTTATGCCCCTTATCACTAGTTTAAAAGAATCAAGCTCTTTGAGTGAATAGAAATTAGAAAAAGATTAAAATTCAAAAGATAATAAGTAAGATAAGTCTAACTTACCTCTAACATATCAGTGGATATTAACTAAAGGCAATACTTGGAATTAGAAAAACTAATTTACAAATTAGGATGCTACAGGATCCTATGATTTTTCTTTTGATATATTTAGTTTAGGTCTGATAATTTATCATATTCTAACACAAAAGGAAATACCATCAGAATTTAATGAAAGTAGTTTCACCAATTTTGACGATTTAAAGTAGAAGCTAGCAAATTTAGATGACTTACCAATGGAATAACAGATAATAATAAAGCTTTGTCTTGAAAAGTAGACATCCATTTAAGGAATATTGTATCGTCTTAAACAGCTTATAGAAAAATCAGATTTAGATGTAATAAATAAATTATTGTTTGAACGATTTTAATATTTATTTTAATTTTTAGGAAATACATAATCAAGAAATGTCGATGAATATGCTACCTTAGGAGCAAACACCTGAATCTTAGAGCGAAGTTTTCTTTGAAAAAGGTAGACTTATATCACCAATTCAAAGCGGAATCATAGATGGTGTAGGAATGCTTTTCAGGACTAATAATATTAATTTAAAAGGTAATAACCCCAATAACAGAAATACAAGAGCTGATAAAAAAGATGAAGATTTAGTAGTTTAAATGGAATGCTTGATTGGTCACTTTAAGGGAGAATAAATTCATGGAAAAAGTATTTACATAAGATAAAATGAACCTTACATATAATACATGAGAGAGTAAAATGGTAAAAATATTTATATATTTGACAGCACAACAGATGAACTCATCACCTGTTCACTTCATAAGAGCTATCCTTCAATTAAAGGAGAGCTAGAAGAATCATTCCTAGATAAAATTTCAGATACATTGCAATCGGCAACCCATTTGGTTTTACCTGATAAAACAGAGCTTATTTGCAATCCTAAAAATCATTCTATAATAATAAAGAAACCTGGCTTTGGTGAAATCCACTATTCTCCAATAAATATAAAATATTATCTTCCAAACGATGAATACATTCTGATAGAAAATTCAAAGACTTATATGTACAAATCTTTAAATTCGTCATTAAATATAGTTCTTCCTACTTCTGGCTGCAAAGAAAAAATTCAGCTTTCATCCAAGGAATATTTCTTTGAGTTCATTAATGTAAACCCATATTACATAATAACTTTAAGCAAAAAGAACAATGAAAAATAACCTGTAACAGCAATCTTCGATTCCAATTTTTATTTAAACACCTTCCTCCCAGCTGAAAATTCAATAAAAATAAGTACTATCTAAATAAATGGAGGATACTTAGGTTTTGCAATAAATGTAAAGCTGAATTCTGTTATATTTGGAGTATTTAAGTCTCCAAACGAAACTATACTCTTAGAAGGTTTTAAAATTACATCTAATTCCAACTAATTATTGTAGGATTTTGATGTAACTGAATAAGAAAAAGAGAGCTAATCCCCTTTAAAAAGTATTAAAAGGGAGTTTTTTTCCAGTTATCAGAACTGAAAAAATCATTTTTTCTTAATTTATTTTTGTTAAAAAGTGTCAAATTATATTAACTAAAATTCTAAATTTTTACAATATTTAAATGCCTAAAAAAATATTTCATAAATAAAAAACAATTTATAAGATGTATTATTTTGTACTTTTATTTTAGTTCATAAATTATGTTTTTATTATTTTATCAAACGTTTAAATCAGTTTATACCAAACTTTTTTACTGCTAATAAATTAAAATATTCAAAATCACTTCTAAATGATAAATATAAAAAAATAACTCAATTTTAATAAACAGAAAAGTCATAAAAATGTTCGCTTTCAAACAGGAAGCTCTATCTTTTTATAAGTTTTAAAATAATAGTAAATCAAATCATAAAATTTAGAATGTTGATTTTATTTTTTTTATTCCTTTTTAATTTAATAACAAAGAAACTTGATACAATTGTACAATTTTATTAACCATTATTATCAATTTTTATGTTTGACAAAGTATATCTTCCTGCTTACTATTATGAATTTAGTTTGCAGATAGCGATATACCTATATGCCAATTTAATTTTAGCATTCTTCTACACCTTATTGCCATTGAAAGAGATAATAAGGCTCTAGAGAAGCTTGAGTTGTTTTTTTTCTTTTAATTTTTTTCTTTAATTTTTTGATTGTAATTTTTTTTTAATTATTTTTGAAATTAATTTATTTATCAAACATAATATGAATGTAATAAAGTTATAATATAGCTAAATTTAGATTCAAATAATTTAATCTTATTTCATGAGATCTTCGAATAATAAATCTGAATTTAAAACAAATTTAGCTAGAAAAATTTTATTAGAATATTTATTTAATATATTAATTTGTTGAATGATATAAATATTGTTTTGAAAAAATAAAATATAAAACAAGGATACAAGTAGAATTATAAAGTCTGTATGTATGTATTTTTTTTATTTAGCTTATTGCTAATATTACTAAATAAGTGATTAAATAACACTTCTAATTTCTTTAAATGTTTTAACTAAAAATCTCAAAGGAAGTTTTGAGAAACATGATTAAGGAAATAAGGAGCTCCCCAATTTTCTCTGTAAATCTTCTTGCCAGTTTATTCACAAATATCTTTAGGAGTTCTGTTTTTAGTAATCATTCTAAAGTATGCCATGCACAAAGCATAAGAGTTAACCTTTTTACTGATAGTTTTGAATCTGCAGTGTCTCAAACCAGTGAGCAAAAGCATAGAAGCAAGAACGGGAGCACCCCAAGGATTAAAAGTTCTAGAGGGATGTATTTTAATTTAGAAACCATTGAAATGACCTTCTAATGGTTCAGGGACTGTATGGAAGATATCGAGAGGAACAGCAATTAAATTACGTTTACAATGGAGGATAGCGTTATCAAGAGCTTCTTCAAAATCACTACCTTTACCCTATAATATTTTATTTATTAAAATGTTAAATATATAAATTATTTTAAATTGGATTTTATTGAATTTTTAAATTTAACTTATTTGATGATTCATTTATGTTATTTATTTTAATGTTTTTTTAGTCTAAATTTATTAGTTTTTATTTAAAATATTTCTAAATAAAATTTACTTTTCCGTAACCAACTAAACCATTGGCATTACCCATAAAAATGAGATATCTAAAGTGATTAACTCTGTTAAGGGTAGTAACTTATGTTGTTACATCTCTATCTAATAAAACGATCATAAAATCATCATTTAAACCCATTCTCATTTCTTTAGCTTTATAGCCATGATTTCTATCTTCTTAGATATAAGGATCTTAGTGGAGGGTAAAATCTTCTTCACCAGCTTCTTCATCTGCTTCGTTAATTTCAGGATCTTTAGAGTAATCAATCTAATAATATCAAAAATGTAAATGTTAAGAATTAAATTTATTCAATATAGTTAGTTCGTTATTAAAGTTCGAAGGAAATGTAATTAAAAATAAATAAAATGCATAAATAAATAGATGAAAATGAATTTTTGCAACACTTATTAATAAAATAATTATTTTAGTTAAATTAAATTCAAATCTCTTTTTAAAAATAAACGAATTTTAAAGAATTTTCTTTTGAGATGCAAAAGTATCCAAATTATTTAATTTGACAGCATGATTCAATTGCTTTCCAAAGAGTATTTTATTTAAAAATAAATATAGATAATTTAGTGTTTATTTCGAAATTAATTTAATAATATGATTTTATTAATAAAAAAATTAACACTTTAAATCAAAATTCTTACCAAATCGATGGGTTCATTGATTTTTTTTATTTTTCTGTTTCTAAATTCTTCTATCATATCGATTTCTTCTTATCTTTATAATGATAAAATGGATTTAGATTTGATACAAATATAATTTTTTATTTTATACAATCAACATTAAATAAACATTTTAACCTTAAAGATATTAGGGCTTAATTTTAATTTAACTGCTTTAGCTAATAAATTACCTAAGTTAGTTAGATTTGCTCAAGGTTGAGTTCTCACGAGAGTAATGAGAAAGATCTAAAATATGAGGATATTACTTATGCTTGGCTTGATAATCCTTTATAAAAGTTTTAAACTCAGCATCATATTTAGCTGTAACATCAATAGTTTCTTTAATGCTACCATCCCTTGTTTGCTCAGTAAGGAAACTTTATAACTTTTATTTATCAGCAACAGTTTGTTTCACTTTGAATTTATCTGATATTTTCTACATGGTTTTAACAATTGTACCAGATCTAGAAAACTGCTAAACGAGTTTGAAGGTTAATCCAATATTTTTCATTTATGTTTGTTTAACTCTATTTATTTTTATTTATAAAATGTTAGCTAGCTAGCTTATTGATTTTTAATGAAATCTATTTTATTCTATGTTAAATCCTCTTTTAAATACTTTTACAAAAGACTTTATAAAGAATTAAATATATTTTACAAAATATAAAGAAAGTAAGTATGTATCCTTTATTAATTTTTTGATACTAATATTTCACTTCGTTTTGATATTAATTAATTCAATCAATCAAGAAGCAAGCAAGTCTTTCAATCTTCTTCTTTTTATTTTTTCATTCTATTTTTATCAAGTCTATTAACATAATCTACCCACACTAAAAAATTTAATTTGTGCATATTTTTTAATTAGCAATGTAGCCAAATTATAGCCTTAATTAATTTTTAAAAGAATCTTAACTTAAATATAAAAATCAAAGAACATAAACTAGACTTTACTTATTTTAAATGAATTCAAAAATTATTTTTAAATATTATTTTTAATCTCAAATTTCTTTTTTCTTTTTTTTATGAGAAAATTAAAAAAAAATATCAATATTCTAAATTTCTAAAATAAAATATTATTAAAAATCATCATTATATCTGTAATTAAAAAATTTTGATAGATAGATATTAGCAACAAATATCATATATTGGTAAAAAATATACTATTCTCAAACATGTAGTAAAGAGTGGATAAATTTTAGCTTTTTCCAAAAATTGTAGTTTTGATGTTAAATAAAAGAGTACAAACTTAAATATAATATTATTAATGAAATCCTAAAACAGGGTTCAAAAAAAATAGCAACATTTGAAGTTTAATTAAACTAAAAAAATATATATCTGGTTTTAATATTGTTAATTTAATGAAATTTACTATCTACTTAAATACATTAGAAAATATATGTGAGCACATGTAAATCATACTAAATAACTAATTCTATTATTAATAAATAAACGAAATAAAAAAATTTAAATAATGTAATTTGTCAAAAATTAAGACCAAAGATAAATAGTAATCTAGACTTGAATTTAATTTTTAATAAAATCATTTTTAACTTGGTCTTAAGCAACCTGGTATTAATATGTGAAAAATTAAAGTAAATAAAAGAGTTTATTATTTAGTTTTGTAATTTAACTATTTTAGTATTTATAAGAAATATTTAAAACAAAACTTTATTTTTTAAATGAATAATAAATATTTACAAAAACATTATTGAATTAAGATTTTTGTAGATTTCAATAAATTAAATACTTATGTATTTATAAAATATAATAAATAGTTAATAATTTATTTTTATAGTTATTATTAGAAATAAATAAAATGATACTATAGTCTAATCAAATTTCATACAGCAATACAAAATTTTATCTATATAATAAAATTTAATGGAAAATTTTGGTTTATCTTCAAAGTGAGTTTATTTTTTTCAAAATCTAAATAATTTTATCATCGTTGAAGTATTCTTAAGGTATTATTTTAAGGGATTGCCTTAATCCATTGATGTCATTTTTAATTTAGTAAATATTTTAAACAATTATTATAAATATTATAACTATCAATAATATTCCAAAAATATAAAAATACTACTTGACAAAGTTGGAAAAATCAGTTATTATCTAGATATTAGTATTGTTTATCTATTAAGATAAATCACTAAACACTTTTATCAAAAGATCAAATCCTTTAATAAAATATTCTGTATGTAAAGAGGAATTCAAAAAGCTATACATATCAATTTTATTAGGAATATTTTAACTAAATATTGTTTGTTCATACTATCCTATTAGAGTTTTCATAGATTCGATAGCACCTAGAGTCCCTTATTAAAAATAATTCGTACTTGTATTACTTGAGCAATCTAATTATGCAGTTAAAATATTTCCTAAAGAGTTTACAATAGGACAAATGTTGCCCTTTAAAATTTAGAGTAAATTGTCAATTTATGACTGGCTATAAAAAGATAGCTCCAATATCTAATTAAGCAATTATGATTCGTATTTCGGAATAGAAATAATATATTAATTAATTTAATCCTTTAAATCTGGTATGTCAGCTATAATCGTATTATATATCTAAGAGAATAAAGTGTTATTGTCTTTTAGATATTAATCATAGGCTACAAAATTACAAAAAACAATTAAATTAGCGGCAATAAAATGTAATTAAATAGCTGAATAATTCACATTTATAGGACTTATCATACCAGAATTCTATTACAAAACCATAATTGTTAGGACTACATAAAATAATCCTATTAAAAAGAAAATTATAAACAGCAATATTAGCTGCTTAATTATTGGTAAATAGTAATCATCAATTTGTCTCTACAAGAGAAAGTCTTATTTTAAATTTTTTTTTTATTGACCTAATATTTTCGTTTCATTTTAATTCACTCTTCTTGAGTTCAATTATTTGCAATTATTTTATTTGTCAGCAGATTTTATATTTGTTGTCTCATCATCTTATTTGATGAAGTTTTTTTTTTGTTAATTTATTCCAAAAGACATGTTAGAATTGTTGAAACTGTGATTTAATTTAAACTATTCTTAAGATTGATTTTATAAAATTACATCTTTTTGGAGACTTTTTCCTAGAAAATTTTTAGCAAATGATGATTAGGAAAGATTTAAGTGATTGTTGTAATATTCTTTAGATAAACTATTATTTGAAGCATCTTTTTCATTTTCATTATTTCTACTTTTTTATTAATTTACATCTAGGGTTTTACTATTAGTTTTGCTTCTGTTAAAGGGATAATTATCTTATGTAATTTGCTTATTTTAATCAAAACCTTCACCTTCTTAATTAATTTAAGATTTTTATCTCTCTTACTTAATCTTACTGTTGATAATATTAAATAATTAATTATTATAATTTTATTCTTATTAATTCTCAGTGTGTTTTTTATCATGCATTTTTTGAAAGGACAAATCTGTATTATTGTATAATATTAACAGGTTTTCTTAAAATTCATCTAGGTTTTTAACAGAATTTTTGATATAGTCAAATTAATTTACAAAATACTGTAATCTCTCATACTCATTTCTACCCTAATATATTTTCAGCTAACAAAAAGTAGAGAGAATAAGCTATTCGTATTTCTTGTTTTACTTTATTATCGGGATAGAAATTAAACAAATTATTGCAACAAATACAATGCAAATTAAGGTTATGTATATTACTTTTTGATTTAGAGAAGTAAACAAAGAAAAGGCTAGATTCTTACTACAGTCAACAATATTCAATAAAAATTTAGTATTCAATAAAGCATTTTTTCTAAAATATAGGAAAGAGTTTTTTTGAGCAAACTCTATTTCATTTTTTTAAATTTAGTACGCTTACAATCCAGAAATTTAAATAGCATATGCTGTATTAATTTATAATGCTGTCTACAAATTAGCTGAGTAAAAGTCATATATCAAAGTTTAATTAATTTATTCTGAATTTTAAAATTCTTAAATGATATTTATAATAAAATTCTAATTATTTAGCATTAGTGAGCTATAAGCTGAAAGACCTGTTTTGAGATAACTCTCAATAAGATTTTATATTGGATATTCAATATTATTTGCATCTATCACACCCATAGTTAACTACAAATTTAAATAGTAAGAGTATAATAGCATATTATAGTTTTCATTAAATTATCTAGGCAAATTTAAAATTTAAAGCTAGTTTTCTAATTACTAATTATAAAAAAATTATTTTAATGTTTTATTAAAACAAAATTAAATCTGATTAATTTATTAAGTTCAAATAAAGAAAAATTTTGTTATTAAAAAAATTACTGTTATATCTGTAGTGATAATATTTTCAGATGTAAAAATTGATATGAATAGAAAAAGAAAAAGCAAAATGAACTGGGTGAAGTACTAATTAACTATCTTTGGCATCTTTGTGTTACTTAGCAAATCTAATGTTTTAAAAAATTTATATTTATTTTTATATAATTACACAAACCATTAAATTACCTTTAATGTAGATAATCCCAGAGTTAGTATTGGAATTTCTATGATTCAAATTTTTATTTAATTTTATTTCATGATGAGTTGATTTTATTTTTACTGAATGTTTGCCAAATTTTTACATTTTTTTGAAAATGGTTTTTATTTTAAGCTTTTTAGAGCTTTTTTCAATTTATTTTTCATTTTTAAAATCACCAATGTCTGCTTAATCTTCTTTTTCAGATTAATTACTACTTTTTGATGAATTTAATGAAGCTGTTATCTTTTATTCTTCGTCTAGTTCTTCTTCTTCTTCTTCATTTTCATCTTATTCATCTACTCTTTCTCTTTAGTTGTCTATAGATACTAAGTCTGCAGCTACTACTGTATATAATGATTTAAAAAGCTACTTTTATCCTCTATCATGGATATTATGATTGCTTTTGTAGCTTTATTCTTATTTAATTGAAACCATGCTATTATTATTTTCTTCACCGTCTAATAATGATTCTTTTTAAAAGCTATCCCTTGCCACATGATCTTCTGAATCAATTTTTCTAATATCATTTTAGAAATTAGATTGAATATTAAATTTAGATTCTATATCATTTTCCACATTTTTATTTAAATTATTTGAATCTATATTTATAAAATTAATCATTTAATTAAATTATTTGATGAATTTGAAAATTACCAATATCATCTGTGTTATTCTGAATGTTTGAGGGATTATCTACTCTAGCTTATACCAATTAAAATGAATCTATAGCAGATTTAACTTCGTTATTAGGAGGTTTTATATTTTAAAGGCTACCTGATTTAAAATTTAATGTACTATTTTATTTCAGTATTTGTTACTTTTAATTCTTTCTTGTGCTTTTTTCTAGATTCATTTGATCATGCTAATCAAAACGTTTTTTTAATTGGTCGCTACAAATTTATTTATCACTTTCTGTTGGAAATAGACCTTAATAAGATTCAATATATTCTTCCTATATGGGTTTCAAGCTGCTAATCTAATCTTATTAGAGATAAAAATTTTGATTAAAGTTATCAGGACTCAATCTTTTAGCCTAAAAATTCTTTGATGGACTTTTATCTTATGCATAGTAAGGTGATTAATTATTGGTAAAACTTTTTTGCATATTATAGTCATTGTCTGTAGTAAAACTTGCTTTAGAATTTTAAGAATCAAGCATTGAAGTTTCAGTTGTTCTTCCTAACTTATAGTTTTATTATTTTTAGCCTATAGACTTAACAGTTTTATATGAATCAAATCCAGTTCTAGAGTATTCAACTGACATATAATTGTTGAAGCTTTGTAGATACGTCGATTTTGCTAAAGAATTTGAAGTTTATAATTATCGATCTATTTATTCCTTAGCAACTACTTGTATTTTTTTAATGCATAACTTAAAATAAAAGGATTTTTGAAAATTTTCACTGACTTGGTTGTTTGTTTTTGAGAAGAGTTAATTTAGATAAATAGGAAAACAACACTGATATAGATTGTACTCAAATTATAAAAATTTAATCTCTTAATTCTTAGGTCTGAAGGTATTAGTCTGAATAGAATTCCTTGTACCTTTACTTGAAGTATCAGCATATTGCTTAAAATATGTTGATTTTAGACTTTATAGGGACTAAAATCGTTTGCTAAAAAACTCATTTACACTTACTTGAATATTTTAATCTAGTAAATCGTATTTAAATTAAGCTTGGATATTTTCTTTATGGTTAATAAAAGTCTTAATAGATCTAAACATTTTTTAACGAGAGTTAGTCTAGAGATTTTTATTGCTCTCAACAAACTAACTGCTATCTTTTGAAAAAGGAGAAGATTCTACATTATTTTTTTGGATATTATTTAGAGATTTTTTTAAGTACACTTGCCTTTTTAGGAATTAGTCAAGTTAATTATGAACAGAAAGTGGATCAGCAAATAATTCAATTGAAGCTTTTGAATTTTCTTCTAAAAGAATCTCACCAACAGTATCTTAATCTGATATATCTTATCTATTATAGAAAGTACTTATTGGTGACTAAATAAACTTCTAAATGAAATCTTTCTTTTCACTCAATGCACTAATTAAGCCATAAAAAATTGAATGAAAATTTAACTAAGACAATGCCTGCATACAATTAGGTACTTTTTTTGCTTATCTAAACAATAAATTTAAAATAGTTTCAGATAAACCTAATATTTAACCTTCCTAGTTAAACAAAACATATTCCTGCTTGCTTTACAGTTTTAATAGAGTTGAAATAAAAATAAACTAATTCTAATTTAAGGTTAATGGAATATCAATTTAAATTTAAACAGGAAATATAAATCCTTTGTAATTTTAAACAAAGGTTCTTGTTTTTCCATTTATCAAATTAATACCTGGCTATAAATTTGCTTTCTAGGCTTATTACTTAGGTATACCAGAATATGCTTCTTCGTATTCAAAAAATTTTTATACAAAATAATCATGCTGGCAAGCAATAAAATTTGGCATTAATTATTTGATGTTATCTATTAAAGCAAAATCTTGTTTGGATTTAAAACCAAAAAATTTATGTAATGATTCACTTTTCAACAATAATTTGCCTATATTTTCTTAAGAAATACTTGTAACAATACATATTAATTCATTGTTAAGTTGCTTAATATTTGATTAAAAATCAATGTTTGCTTCTCCTTTTTTGTTTTCATGGCTTTCATTTCCTTTTGCTAACTCTTTGCTTTAAATTTCAAGAATTTAAGTTTACCTTTTTTATGCAAGAGTTATGTTGTTATGTAGAATTATATCAATTAACTGCATCAGTCTTAAAAAGTTTATGCTTTGTGTCCACATATATCCACTATGAAGCTTTTCTAATTACTAATCAATGTAATTTTAATTCTTATCAAGCAAATTTATTGTTTTTAGTAAATCCTATCTCATTGATTCTAGTTTTTTAAATCCTATTTCTGTGAAATTTCTCCAAAATTTATATTTGTTCTCAGCCACATCTAAAATTTTAGGCAAAATCGAGTTTACTATTTCATCAACAGTATATACTATTTTAGGATCTAATTTTATAATAAAGTTAGCACTTATTCCAATATCAAAATTTGTCTTTCTTTATTTTTTTATAGCTTCTTCTGCTTAGTTGTAATGTTTGGTTTGCTTTTGAATTTAATAGAATTGATTTTATAGTTTTTCAAAAAGTTAATTTGAGAAAATTTTTTCTATTAGTGAAAAGTAAAATGAATTAGTATTCTGAGAGTTTTTATTTTTTTCTGATTTTTTAAGAATTTTCAACTCAAAATAAGATTTTTTAGGATTATTTAAGTACTTATTAATATAAGAAATGTATTTTAGTGTTAGATGCTCTCTAGTTAGAGAATCAATAGTTTAATTTGTATTAATAAATATCTTGAATATACTCTCAATAAACTTTGATAACTCATTGAAGTCAAAATCTTCATAAATTCTCTTTTTTTTAATGCTTTGTTTAGTTCTATCGTTATCTACTTCAATTAACTTCTAAAAATATCTTTCTTTACAGTGACAACTCTAATGTTCACAATTTTCAATATGAGATCTTAAAAATTAAAATACTTTGAACTTTGAATTCTCATTAAATAAGCTTGTAGTACAAATTTCCATGAACTACTCAATAAAAAAGTCAAAATAAAAAGCACAAGCTTAAATATCTTCTTTATCTAATCCATTGAATTACTTTTTAGAAGTTAAGATAGCCATAGTCTTCAAGATAAATTCATATTTTCTATTGTAAATACTAATAATGAAGTAGTACATCAAACTAGAAATCATACAAAAAGTATAAAACAATTCATTTTGATAAAATATATGAAATATCTACCAAAATGTGTAATTTAGAATTTATGCTATGTTCAAGGAAAGACATAAAATAAAGAATTTAGACACTTCATTACTTAAATAGGGTAGATTATATAATACATCGTAGCAGCATACTAAGACATATGAAAAAGAAAAAATATTTTGAATTAAATCTGCATAATTAATGCTTGTCAAATATTATTGACCTTCATTACTTGAAATACTTTATAGCTTATAATTTAATATCACTAGCACAAACTTCTATAAAACTTAAATAAATTATGCAATATTAAACTTCCTCTTTAGCTTCATTTTCTCATTAAATTAATAATTTCTAAAAAAGTATAATACGCTTAACGCAGTTAATAGTGTTAGAAATGATCCATAAAGCCCTATACCTATTTGATACCAAGACTACGAACAACTTTGCCTTTGACTAACTAAAAAACTCTATTATCCACAACTTAGCAAACCCATATTTATCTCAATAAAGGAAACTATAAAAATCCAGTTGTATAATGCTAGAAATATATTTATCACTGAAGCAAAGTATTAAATTCCTGTAGAATGTATCAATTTACTTTTATTACTAAGACTTCCTAAGAAAAAAGAAAAGGCAACGCAAATTGTTAAAAAGATATTCATTACTATACAGATTGCCCAAGTTAATTTATCTTGCCCTTCAAAATACAAAAAATAAGTACCTGTTGATACTTCTACTATTAAATTAAGTGCTGATATTTTAGTTTCTACTAAGCTATTTGCTGCATTTAATGTTAATACATACCCTGCAACTTAAATAAATTAAATAGCGACTAGGGCTTTTTGTATATACAAAGGTATTTCGATCTATTTATTATTCTCTATAATCCTAATTATTCCATTACAATATATCTATATGAATTTGCTAAGCATTTTAAAATAAACGGTTAGTTATTATTATATTTTTATTTATTTATTAATTAGAATTGAATTTGCAGATATTATAGTAGCTATTTCCTCCTTAGTAATAATATACACAAAATCCTATAAATATTAGACTTTTATAGAACGTAAATATGTAATTTATTTTAGAATTAGTCGCTTTTGCTATTTTAAATTAATTGTATTTTAAAAAAATTTCACAATAAATTTTGTTTAAATTTTGATTTTTTTCCAAGCAGATTAATAACAAATTTTATTGTTTAAATAAATATTTTTTGAGTTTATTTCAATAAAAATCAGTAAAATAATTCAAAAAAATAACAACTATAATTTATTTATTAAGTACTAATAAAATGTTATCTTATATTTGCTAAAAAAATAAATAATTCTGTTTTAAAAATTATTTTATTTGCTAAATATGTATTTTATTTAGTTTAATTAAAGAATAAATATAGTAGAAAAAATACTTAAATAGCTTTTTTTTTATCTAATTTTATCTGATATTTCTTTAATACTTCTCATTTTATTAAAATTAAAATTTATAAAATTATTCTATAAAATCTTTCTTTTTTTTAAATACAAAATAAAATTGATAATTGATTAATTAATTCTCTTTTTAGTTATGTTTTTATGAAGAAAATTTGTTTGAAAATATTATTTTAAAATTTATATTAAAAGTAAATATTTAGAGTATGTCATATTCCTATTCAATTATTTTAAATACAAACTCACTAATTAAATATTAATTACATTTATTTATTATTATTTAATAATATTTTTATAATTTACTTTTCGATTTTTAAACGCATAAAAGTGCATATTCATATTAGTTAACAATCATTAGATGTTTCAAGTGATTTTTCATATGAGTTATTATTACTATTAAAATACCTAACTTTATATTTTTTATTTTCAGAACACTATTAATATTAAAAAATGTTTTCTATTGCTTACTATATTGATTTATAGTTTAGGCTATCAACATTAAAAGATACTTTTTTATTTATTTTTAAGTCTTCTTTCAATATATCAATTTTTGCATTTACTTATCTTTTATATTCTTCATTTTTTTGCATATATTATTACCCTCGCGTTCCTAATAAACAAAATGTTTTTTATTGATATTTTTTTAGCTCGTCAATAAATTCTTTTCCAAAATTTAAGGTTTGTAGGTTGCATAAATCAAATACTAAGATAACTATCTTTTAATTGTTTATCATAAAACTAAATATACTTTTAAATAAATCGCTTTCTATACCTGGTGTATCAGCTATAACTAAATTTATTTTTTATTAGGGTATTTCTTTTTGAAAAAATATAACAGCATTTGTTTCTAAATATTCATCATTTTACTAAAATTTTTCACTTATATAAGCTTCAACTATAGAAGATTTACCTGACTTTTAATGTCCAAGTAGAATTATATTTAAAGAATGAATATCTGTCATTTATTACAACCAAAATTTATTTACTTTTTATAAATTATTTAATCAGATCATAAATAATAATAAAATAAAGAAATGCAAAATTTTTTATTAAAAGTAATATATTTTTATGAAATCAAAAATTTTTTTTAGTTAATATTTAATTAGAATTACTTAAATAAATGTATAAAATATTGCTGGAAAGCTGATAAATTCAAAATAAACATACATTTACTGATAATATACAAAAAAAAAATCCTGTAAATATATATATCTATCATATTAAATTGCACTGTTAATTATTCTCGTTTGTTTATTAATTTCTCTCATTATTTTATAAATAAATAAATGTTCCCTCTCCATAACCCTTTTGAGATATTGTTTGGTAAACTACCGTTAAATCATTATGATATTATCTGTTAATAATCCATTTATCAATTTACTTAATTGTATTAATATCAATCTGATTTTATTTGTAATAAATTTATGAAATATTCTTTTTCATTAAAAGTTACCAAAAATCTTTCATTTTTTCAATACAATTCATAAAAAGAGTCTAACTTATTACAAACAAAATATTATCTTTATTTTTACCAAGCTCTTAAAATAATTCTTCTAACTTTTCAATATTAATATCTATTATATCTTCATCGTAAACGAATATTAATCCATGTATATTTATATTATGATTAATATCGCTTAATTACTAGTTTAGTATTAACATTAAATCATAATTCAAAAAATCAAATTACAACATTGAGTTTTCTTTATTTATCTTTTTACTAAAGATATTACTTATTACAGATTGTTTACTTTAATTTCCAATATAACTCTCTAAAAATTAATCTCTGGTAAAAACATCGCTAGTCCCTGTAACTACATACTTTACAACTTAGTCTTCCATTATTTATTTTTGTCTTTTATAAAATCTATAACCTTACAATATTTTAATTTGTATTTACTTATCAATTATCTAATTAAATAAAACAAAATAAGCATCTTAACGATACTTAGCTTGATATTAATAGAGTAAAATTTAAATTATAAATTATAAATAATGCGTTTATTTATGTTATTCTAATTTACAAAAAATATTTTTTTATTTTTATCTAAAGTCTTTTACAAATTAATAATTTAGTTAATAGTAAATAAGTTTTTTTGATGAAAAAAATATTTTTTAGTTTCTTCAAATTTTTAAATTTTATGTTTTTTCAAATTATGTAAATTCAAATTATATTTTATTCTCTTAAATTTTATATTTAAATTTAAAAATAATCTCAATATGTTAATTGTAAAATTATTTGTATAGTTATTTTGTGAATAGGATAGGATTAATATATATTTACTAAAATATTAAATATTTATATAAAATAAAATTTAAAAGAAATTAAAACGTATTATGATAGCTTTCTAACCTGACAAAGTAAAAAAAATAATAATAAGTTTTAATCAAAAATTTAATTTTTTGATGAGAAATCTAATTTTTTAAAATAATTTAATCTTGATTTAAAATTTGCTTCATTCATTTTAAGTTTATACTCAATTTATTTTATAATTTTATCAAAGAAGTTAGCAGAATTTTGCATTTAGTATTTGCAGGATAAGTAAGAAGTTACCGAATAAAAAATTTTTTAATTTTACTTTTTAAAAAAGAAAATTTTGTAAATCAATTATATCATTTTTATTATTTAAAAATATTATTTCTATTCGTTATATAAATTTATAAAATTTTTAAATCATTTTGATTATTCAAATTCAGTTAGTTGTAGAAAGAGTAAATTTTTAATTTAATTTATTTATTTATTTTTTAATGGTTTATAATTATCTTCATGAATCTCTAAGTATTTGAATTAATTCATTTTTTAGTGATTCATATTTAAAATTATATTTGAAATAGAGCATTTACATGTAAATGTACATGTATGCGTATATTTAATCTATTTATTTCTAATAGTAATATTTTTTGAATAGTAAAATAATTTACAAAATATAATAATTATATTTATAAATAAATATCTATAAAATTTAATTTTTACAGACTACTTCCAAATATTTTAAAATAAAAGTTAAATAATTTTTTAAGGTTAGTTTGTTTGCTTGCTTGCAGATTTATTTAATTGTTTTTTATTAAAATAAGCTTAGTTAGAATTAGGTATTTAAGGTTTTATTTAGTAAAAGATAATTTTTATTTATAATGAGTATATTTTTATTTTAATTCTATTTCAATTATAATTAAATATCTACAGATATGGATTTTCAGAATGTATGCAATTTTCATTTTCAGATTCAGTTTTTTATTGTTTTTAGGTTTCCTACTGTGATAAAAATAGAACCTATTATACTAACAGGACTCAAATTTTATTCAAAGACATAAATATCAACAAATATTTAAATAACTATTTGAAGGTAGGTTAATGGAATTATCTGGCTAGAGCGACCTAGTAAAAGAGCCTTTCCAAACAGTCTTTGACCTACAAAATAAGTAGCTCCAGCAGTGCAGATAAGAATTAAATTAAATATATCTAAATTAGCATTATTATATTACCTCCAAGTAATCATTAAGCCTGATGAAATAATAGATCCAAAATAACCATATTACATCAATACAGCCTAAGAGAGCTTTCTCCTCATATTATGGATAATTATATCCATAGTTGATAAGCTTAGACTAAAGATAATAGCTAAAAAATAACCAAACGTTTAGTGGCGTTATTAATCCCTCTACTCTTTTGATAAAAACATATAATCATCACTACTTGAAGAGGTAAAAAAATCAATAATTAAATGAGGCTTAATAATCAATAAAATTCCTATTATATTTAGAACTGAAGGTAAAAAGATAGGACGTCTGACATTCTCTTCTAAAAATATTTTGGCAAATATGCATTTTATAACTGGGTAAGTTAGCATTAAAGAAACAGCTTCACTTAGTTTGAGATACTAATAGGCTCCTATCATGCTGAAGTCAACTATACCAGCAAATATAGATCTGATATATGCGATTTTAGAAATATGTTCATCTTAAAAGAATATTTTTTCCTTTTATAATTATGAAAGATTAACTATAAACGAGAAAGCTGATCTGTACAGGAGAAGTTAGGAAGTGTTCATATTCTTTAACATCTTGATTACAAATGCCGCATAACAAAAGGAGCAACAAGCAATAAACATTAAAACTATTCCTAAAATTTTCCTAAACCTTGGATCATCTTTTGCTTTGTTTTTTATACGCTCAATCATTTAAATAAAAATAAATGTGACTTTAATAGCTATTTTTATAATGAATGAATGTATGTAAGAATGTATGTATGTAAGTATGCCTACTGACTAGATTTAATTTTATAAAACCTTTAAATAATTTTGTAAAGTTTTAAATGAATATTATTTATTTATTTATATAGATGTAAGAGAGTATTATTTTTTATTTATTTTGTGATTTTGTATGACATACTAATCCAAAATTAAATTAAATAAAATATCCTTAAAAAGTTAAATTATATCTTAGGAAGTAATTTAATAGAAATTTGAGAATATTCCTTGTAAATTTTTTAATAGTTGCAGTATTTTATCCATCAGTAGAATGTTAGTTTTCAAAAGAATTTCAAACCTAGTTCGCGGCATCAGCAATTAGCGCCCTTTCTATAGGTTTATGAAGGAGCTAGATACTTATAAAATTAGCGATTCATAGCAATAATATTTTAATTACCTTGAAGATCTTGAGTAAAGATTTGTTTAGAGAAAGCTCTCAGATGATTAAATAAAATAAATGATTTTAAATTAAGACTTTAAAAACATTGTAAACAAAATCTTCGAATTAAATCAAGCTGAAGAAGAGGAAGCTGAAGTAGATATAGAAAAAAATATTTCTGAAGAAAAGGAATAAAAAATATAAGCAATACAATAAGAAATCATTACTCTACTAGAATCTAAAAATTTAACTTTATAAGAGAAGTACAACTTGTATGCTTAAACAAATATTATAAAGGATGTGTAAAAGCATTTGATAAGTCACGTGCATTATAATTATGTTACACCTACTTTCAAAATTTCTAATTATCTCTTACAGGTTGTTTGTTCATAGTTCAAATAGCTTTCAAAATCACCAAAAACATCCATGTATTTTGATCTCACTAATATAAATGCTATGGTAGAAAATTTTTAGCGCAAAGATGTTTTGCAAAGCCTATCTTTACAAGACATAGCTCTTCTTTTAGAAGTTGATTTTGTTTTATTCAGATAGTAACTTTAAAAGGATTTACTAGCCCAAGCACATAACTTAATTTTGGATATTAAATCTTATGACGAAAAGGAGCACTTAAAGGGTTTAAAGATGGTATTTAAGGCATTTAGAATTATTCGTGCAAGTCCCAGTAAGAATTCTTAATACATACAGCACTTAATAGAAGTACTTCCAATTGAAGTTCTTAATTATGTTATGAAATAGCAAAAACTTGCTAACTTCGACTTAACTGAAATATCAAAGATATACGGTGCACTACAAAAAAAGCACTTTTCCGCCTATAAGGCAGATAATATTCATCTTTTAAGTTCTATGAATGTTTACATGCCAGCTGTTAGTGCAGCCAATTATTATTTAGGACATCTTTAGTCTCTATTTGATTAAGGAAATTATTTGGAGGTTATGAAGCTCATTCCTGATTACCTCAATTTATTTTATCCAAAATTTGAAGTTTTAAATTATTTTTGTGATCGTCTTCAAGTCAAGCTTGCCACCTCTAGCTACTAGACAATTGATAACGAATGTACTAAAGAATAGAAAGTTTAGTTTTTACTATATCTCTCAGAATTCTTAACATCAATACTCTATGCAGATCTTATCAAAAATGAATTTTTCTTAATGAAAACTCTGCTTTTCATCAACAGAAACTCCTCTCTTATAGATAGTAAAAGAATAATTCTTAACTTCAACTATGCACTAAATTAGATATTAGAAAACTACAAAGGAGAGACTGAACTAAATCCTAACATCAAAGAGTAGATACTCATATTCAACGAAAAATTCCCTGTTTCTAAAAAATTACCAACTCCCTCAAACACAGAAACTAAAATTTTCAAGTTCCTATTACAGACCAATCATTTTGCCCTTTAGAATGTTGAAATAGGATCTTTTATAGTAGACATATTAGTTCATCCAGATATTATCATTGAATATAATGGGTTTGACCATTACAAATATGATCTTAAATTGAAAAACTTTGCTTTAGATCAGTATACTTTAAAACATTTATATAGAGAAAGGTAGCTAAAAAAACTAAAAGGATATAAAATAGCCAATATTAATTTCAAATAATGGAGTACTCTTTATGAATTAGAGAAACAACACAATTTTGTTAGAAATGTTGTACTTTCTCTTGAATGAATATATATTTTTATATATTTAATAAATATTTATAATATTGTATAAGCATACTTAATTATGTTATTTTAATTCTCAAATATTTAGAATGAATCATTCATTAGTTGGTTGGTTGGTTATATTCATGTTTTTTATTATCCCATTTTGTAAAATCAATTTTAATTTAACAAATTTTAACAATAATTTATACTTTTAAGAATATTATAATGTAAATATTTTTTTCATATAATTTCTATTTTTGTTTAGTTAAACAACATAAAATATATCAATTAAATGATTATTAAAATAATATCAAATACATTTAATAAACATATATTTTTATTGTAATTAAAGAAAATATAATCAATAATCAATATAAGCAAATAATTATGAGTTTTGTTTAGCAATTTTGGTAAAAAAATCTATAGGAAGTATATAAGGATGTCAAGGAATCAAGAGATGCAAAAGAAGCTACACTTAAAAGTGAATGCTTTACTAAAAACTAAAAAAATTAAGAAGGATTTAACACTTGTCTTAGAAATTTCTATGATGAATTTTCTAAATTTTAATTAAGAGTAGAATTTGAGTAAAGAAGAGTTTTTGAATGCCTTTAAGAACTTAAAAAAGGCGGAGGAGCAAATTAAGAAGTCTAAAAAATGTGTCTCAGAGGTGTATTAGACTAACTTAAGTCACATGCTAATAAATATAAGGAAAATATCTAAAAAAATTGATTAAAAATACATTTGATAAAAGACTTTATAACATTAAAGCAAGTGATTTTGATGCTTTGATATAATCTTTTTAAATTCTTAATATTTTAATTAAAAACTCAGTATTTATTTAATGTATTTATATCTTTTTGTTAAATGAAAAATAAATATAAAATTCAGCATATCTCATAATTTTAATTTTTATATTAACAAAAATTTTGATTTCTTAATTTTATAAATTGAATTAAATTAAAATAAAAATTATAATGCAATAAAATATATTTCATGAATTAAAAGAGTAAATCTATTATAAATCTATTCATGAATTCAAATTTTTTATAATAATAAAATACAAAAGCATATTCCAATCAAATACCCAATTTATATTATCAAAATAATAAAAAATTAAATCACTTTTTTTTTTCCTTTTTGCATTAATTTTTCAATCATAAAATTATTTTTTTCACATTTTTTTATCCTTTTCAGAACTGCAAAAAAATTAATATCAAGTAATTTTAGTTATTCTCTTAATTTCAATGAATAAATTTATCTTTTAATATAATTTATTTCAGTCATTAAAACTAAAAATTCTATTTAAAGAATTTTTTAATGAGTTATTGATAATATTTGTTTTAAAATATCCTAAAGGTATATTGATTGAACATAAAGTGCCAAGGCTAAAAATAAGAACTTATCTAATTATTAATAGTCCTTGAATAGAATTTATTATTATTATTATTAAATAATTATTTGAAATTATTTTTAATACTTTGATATAAAATGTTATAAATCATAAATTAGATATATTTTCAAATGTTTTAATGTTTTATTATTTATTGATTGTTGAGTTACCCCATCTTTTCTTTTTTCCAATCACTAAATCACCGACTATTGCTTTTGCTTTAAAGTATTCACTTTCTTGGTCTTCTATTTCTTTATTTTTAATCATTGAGTCAGGTATTTTAGAAATTTTAGATCTAAAATTTTAATCAGTTGAAACTACTATATTATTTTAATTTTGCTAGAAATTGTTTTAAGTTTATGCTTTTGATCTACCTTAAACACTCATAGAATGCTGTATTTGCTGAAGATGATTATCTTAGTTAAAGTTATTAAACTATTAGCTTGCTTCTCTACTTCTTTAATTAAAACCTAGAGAAGATTCTCCATAAAATGAAAGTGATTATCCCCTTGACTTTAAAGGTTATGGGTTAACAGCTTAGGTTTATGATACATTTTATGTGTTATCAATGTAGCTTTATTACAAATATATATACTTATTACTTTAATCATTTAAAGTGGATGATATCCTACTTGGAGATTAATCTTTATAATTTTGATTCTTGCTGTAATTTTAATCATTGTTGTTCAAAGTTAATTTGTCAAATTACTAAATTTAGAAATCAACATTTTATCTATATGGAGATAAATTTCTACTTCTTTCACTTATTTAGGATTTTGAATATTAATTTTTTATTTAATCAGTATCATCATCATTTCTTTTTATTGGACTTTACTTGATAAAATGTAAATCAAAGTAAGTGTACATTTATGGAGCATTCCCTTTCATTTTTAGTTTTCTAGATTATTTAAGGTCATCTTCTAATTGTTTTACCATTTAAGGTAAAATAATTTTCCTTTTCTTTTAATCAGGTGCGTAATCTCCATAATGTGTTCTCCAATCACTATGAAAAAAAGATAAAACAGCTGTTTTTTCATTAGGAATTTCATCAATTACTAAACTTCTATCTTAATCTAAAAACTACTATGAATATAAACCATTATATAAAATATTTCCATTTGTTTAATTTAGCAAATTAGCATCTGTTTCATTTTATATTGATATGTTAGCTCTACTTTAATTTTCTCTCATGATTTAAATTGTTTATGAATTAGCATTCTGAATTTAGATAGATCTATGACTTATAGGGAAATTTTGTTTAGTCTATGATGGATTAACAGCATAATTTGTATTTTAAGGTTAATTCGACTACTCAACAGCCTGCATGTATTTCTAACTCATTTCATATACAATACTGCCCTACTATTAGTTCGTTTAGCTTATAGGTAAAATCTAATTTTTAGCAGCATATTGTTCTTAGACTACTTCTTCCATATTTTGGTTAAGTACAAGAGCACGATCTGGATTTGTCTTAACAAATAAATCTATCTTCCAATACAAAAATATACACATAACTAATATCAAAAGTGATATAAAACTTTCTACCCAATATATAACAGGACTTGAAATAGGAAATTTATACTAGCGAGAAGCTGAAGAGGTGTAGTAAAAAACAAAATTTAAGATATGCCAAGCAAGATTTAAAAGAATAGAAATGATAGTTGCTCTGCATACTGTAATTGTTAATTTTGCAAACATAATAGTTAAGCATATCCACTAAAGTATATTAGAGCACCAATAAATAAACATTTATAATCTAATATCTACAGTGATATAACTTTGTATAAAGTGCATACCAGCAGAAGGCATTAAGAGGCAACTAAATGTGACCCATAGCAAATCTATTAAAGTAAAAAATATTAAAAATTTAAAAAATCCTAAAAGCTAAGTAGGCACTATATCTAATTCTAGCATTATCCTCTTCTTTATTTGCTGATCCCAACTTCCACATAAATTTTGAAGCTATTAAATTGCTTTTTATTCTAATATTTACTATACTTTCAGTTCATTTTAATACTCAATTGGATTTTTAGAATTGAATTTAGTTTAGTCATCAACCTACTTTTTTTTTATTTGTTCATAATCCTCATAATCTTCTTTCACTTCGTAAATCTTATTATGATTTTCGTATAAAGTACCATATGTAGTGGGAATATGCTGATTATATTAATACTAATTAACTCCAACAGCATTTTGATTTAAAGCCTCTTTATTAGGATTATATTCTATTACCTACTTTTTAATCATAATTGTTTATCAATACTATAAAATTAAAATCAGTTAATTTTATTATTTTACATTGAATTTCTTTTAATTTGTTTCACTAATAAAAGGTTTGCACCCAAAAGTTAAATAATGGATATTATTTGTTATTAAAAATTAAAGTATTTCTTAATTATCATAAATAATTAATTTTAAACTTATTAGTCAAATAAATCTTGAAAATAACCCCACTAGTTATTACAAAGTTTACATATTTAAAATGCATAATTTTAAGAATATTAAACCAAGTACTAAAAAATACTAAAAATATATTTTTGTCATAAATTTTAATATTATTATTTTATTTATTAAAATACTTTTAATTGAATAAAGCAATTAACAAATTTAAAATCATAAAAATTATAAAATTAAATAAAGAATAAAATATTATAAAATCCCTTTGCTTATTAAATAAGTTTATTTATTAACTTATAAAAAATAATACAAAAATATTTTATGAAATATGCAATTAAAATGGTTTATTATAAAAATATGTTATTTAAATATTTTTAATTTCAAAATAGTAAAAACGAATACATCTCATATTTAAACCTACAAAAACGATATAACTCTTTAATTCTTAATATATTTTGATTGATTAAAAAATTGAGAAATCAAAAATAAGCACATCAATAATGAGGAAATTTAATATTCTCCTTTTGATTCTAGTAGGCCTTATACTTTCTAATCACTTTATCTAAGCTACAAGAGAAAGCTTAAACGACTCTTAGGATAGAGATGAAAGTAAAGATGAAGATGATGACGGAGATAATTAGTAAAAAAACAACAAAGGTCATAAAAATGATGATAATGATGATGATGATGAAGATGATAAAGATAATAAAAAAGATAAAAATGACAGTAATAGCAATTAAGATGATGAAGATAAAGCTAATGATAATGATAAAATAAATAAAAAGAAAGGAAATGGCAAAAAAGCCCATAACAATAAAAATAAATAAAAAAATGACAATTCTGACAAAGATGACAAAAATGATGATAAGAAAAAATAAGACAAAAAAGATGATAAAAAAAACAAGGAAAAGTAAGAGAAGAACGATACTAAGAAGAATAATGGTGAAGAAAACTAAGATGAATAAATTAAATAAAAAGTATCTGAAAAAGCAGGAGATAGTTTAGATCAAATATAAGACTCTATAACAAATATTGGTGATAATATTTCTGCAGGTTTAGATGATGCTTTTAAGCTTGAAAACTAAGAATAAGAGTTTTTCGCGAATAAGAAATTTAAAGATTTTGAGAAAGGATTACACAAAAACAGTGAAAATAAAATATAAAAGTAAGCAACAATAGGTGAAAAAATCAAGCATAATTCTAAAGCACAGGATAAAACCAAACATGAAAAAATTCAATAATAACCTGTTTAAAAAGAAAATTAAGTTGAAGGTAAATCAGAAAAACTTGAAAAGGAAGCATATCAATAAATGTATGTTGAAGATACTCAGAAATACATCTAAGATAATTTTAAAGATGTGATTGAATACATCTTTTAAAAAGATGAAAATTTTATAGAATAGAATTAACTTGTAGAAGAAAGTAAATCTAAGTAAAAGTTATTACAAACACATGATAAAGATAAAAAGAAAAAAGATAAAAAGAAACACGACCAAAAGAATAATTCTGATGTTGCTACCACTGAAGTAGTTAATAATGGAATTACTAGTGATGTTAGTACTCTTTCTGATTCAATTTCTTAAGGAATGTCTGACCTAGGGCACGCAATAACTAATCCTTCTGAAATCTTTGAAGATGCTTCTGATATTACTAAAGAGTCTTTGTAAACACCAAACGAAGTAATTAATCAAACAGAAAATGCTGCAAGTTAATTATCAGAAATGTCTGAAGGATCTGGTGAAGCTCTAACTAAAGCTCCTATAGAATCAATTAAAACTCCTGTTGATTATGTTAATAAGTAAATTGATGAAGAAAAAGAAAATTAAATCAAAAAAAAGAAAGATAAAAATAAATTTCTTCAAATAAATCTACCATACAAAAGAAAATTGAAAAAGCAATGTAATTGCTCAAAAGGAAATAAGAACTGTATTTAAAATGATTAGTAGATGAGTCTAAATGTCTAAGTAAAATAAACTTAATCCAAATAATGTGGTTGCGGAGGAGGAAGTACTCAGACTACTTCTACTACTAAGCCTAAAAATAGAGATAATTGAAAGAGTTCACTAAATTTTTTTATGGATATTATTTGAATACTTTTAATCAAATTTAATAATAATTGTTTAAGATTTTTTAAAGATATTTGTTTTATAATCTAAAAAATATGTGCAAAATTAATTTTTATTTAAATATTATTATTTAAAGAAAAAAAAAAAAATCACCCACCGAGGGGCTCGAACCCTCGACCACCAGCTTAAAAGGCTGGCGCTCTACCGACTGAGCTAGACGGGTTTTGTATAATGAAATATTTAAGATAAATTAATACAATTAAATTTCATCTATCTGATAAATTTAGTTTAAAATAAGAAAGATTAAGCAAAGATTTTTATAAATTTAGAAATAATTTAATAACAATTAAAAAATAAATCTGTTTATAAGTCCAAAAGTAGAAACAAATTTTGTAAATAATTAATTTAATAAATTTAATTAGAAAACAGTATTTTGTTAAATATTAGTTTATAAATATTTTTTATAGCAATATAATATATCATAAGATAAAAGCAACCATCTTTAATTAAGCAACTAAAATAAAAAATTTAGGTAAAAGCAAATGATCATCCCCTAATTTAAGCTTACTCAGGATAGTAAATACGTAGTAGCAGTTATTCGTATTCCTTATGTTAAAATAAGTAATGCAGAATTCTATATTGAAGGAAGGAACTTTAAATTCTTTTTGCATCCTTACCTTTTATCAATAGAATTTAAAAATGATTTATTTAAGTCTGATGAACCAGCTGCTGCTTCATACAATCATGATACCTATGAGTTAACAGTTAAAATTTAGAAGGCTACTGAAGGTGAGCATTTTGAAGATTTAGATATGATAACTTAATTGCTTGCAGCTAGTAGAAAAAAAGAAGTGAAAAAACCTGAATAGAAAAAAAATAAAAAACCATTAATCGAAGTAATAGGAGAGGCAGATCATACTGAATAGACTAATAACGATGAAATTGAAGAGATCAAATAGCAAGTTGAGAACTTGGTTTTGTCCTAAGACGCATATGCTTATGGATTTAATTAATAAACTAAAGGTTATTTCTAAGATCTTGGTGAAGAAATATTTGAAATTGGTCACTTTAACCCAGACGAAATACCTATAAGTGATAGAATTAATTTAAGAAATGAATATGTAAATAGCAAGTTTGATGAAGATGCTTATATCTATGATACATTTGAAAATGAGGAGATAGACTCATATATTAAATTAAATTTAGAATTTTTATCAAAAGTAGCTTCAATTAATTAAGATACAAGCTCTTCTTACACTCCCGAAGAATGGAACTAGTTAAAAAAATTGCCAAATAAAGAATTCATAATAAATGTAAATAAAATTACTTATTTTAAATTTAAAAAAAAGATAAATATTCAAAAATAATTTTTAATTTTTTAAACAAACTAGAATAAAAATAAATGTTTGATGGAAATTATTGATATCTTGTTTGCATTTGCATACGAATTAAGATGTATGGGAGGAGAATTTTCTTGTGAAAGTGCTGCAACTATAAACTATTTATCAAGTGTTTTGAGCTGTTTCATCTGCGATAATACCCTGAACGAAATAATCAGATAGTGCTACAGAAGGGCTTTAACTTTCCCTATGTTAAGAAATTTTAAATTAATTTAATAGGCATAACAGGATTTAGTAATAATACTTTAAAGTGGTAGAGCTGGAGTTCTTAAAACTTTACTTTAAATTAAATACTTGTTTGAAGTTAACGAACCTAGATACCATTTAAATAATTTATACATTGAAGATTTTTGTATATGGGTTTAAACACTCAAAGATGAAGATTTTTAAAATCTTGCAGGGCAAATTTAACAGATAGAAATTAATAAAAAAGATCTGGATCTCAATTTAGTAGAAATAGATTAAGACTGTGAATAAATGCTTCTTGAATAATAAGAAAGTGATAAGCATGATTGATATATTATGTATATTAAAAATGTAAAAAATTAAATAATAATTATTCTAATTTATAATATTTCTTCCTGTCTATTTGCTATGTTTTACTAAATATTTTCATATAATTGCTTTTTTCTATTCATTCTTTCTATTTTATATCAAAAAAAAGTAGAATTTTCATCTATAAATTTGTCACCTATATGCCTATTTTTTTTTTTCCAATAATTTTCTAGTGATGAAATAGATGTTTTCTACTTGATTTAAACTATTTTTCTTTCAATTTCTGATTTTTTTACTCTTCAAATCAATAAAAAAATTTTTATAAACTCTAAAAAATAATTATGTGATTAGTTTATTATAATAATTAACGAATTAGCAAAAAAAATAAAATATAAAAAATTAAAAGTAAACACAAAATTTAATTAAAAAATTTACCCAAAAATGGCCTAGCATGTTCCTCTTGCCGATGATTCTTATGAACAAGATTACGAAAAAATCAAGGAATAATTCAATAAAAAATTATAAAAGTTTAATACAAGTCCTGGTAAGTAAATTAAACATATTTATTAAATTAAAGCCATATTTTTTTAGGTTAAATAAATATTTATTATTAATTATTTTCACAAAAAAAGTGATGATCTAAGATTTAAAATTTTAAAACCCATCTTTTTATTCAAAAAATAGATTAGAATATCTTGAAAGAGTTAAAAAGAGATGTTGACGATGCTTAAAATACTGTAAATATAATATTGTTGAATAATTTCATTCTTATTAAATATTTATTAGATTAGATTGATTGAATAGGAAATAAATTCATTACCATCAAATCAAAGAAATGGTTAAGGAAATAAGGTAAAAAAGTTAAATAAAAATTAATTGTCATAAAATAATTTAAAAATAAAGATAAGAAGATACAGAGATGAGGTAGAAAAAATGAAAAAATAATTTAGAGATGTGCAATAGCATTCAAAGGATTTGAGTGATTTGGTAGGAAACTCGACTGATGACTCAGATAGATACAACTCTTAAGGAAATTAAGTCTTTTAAAAGTTATCTTAGTAAAATAAAAAATTGATGGATGCAAAAAGATAAGTCTATGATTTAGAAGGATAGGGCAATACTATTTTATAATCTATTTCAGATAAAAATCAATAAATAGATGGTATTATTAGAAACAATAGAGATATTACATAAGAATTAAGCACTGCAAATAAATTAGTTGATAGAATTCATAGAAATATTATATAAAGAAAAGCAACTTTGTATGCAGTGATAGGATTTTTGCTTTTTTGCTTAATCATAATAGTCATGAGTTGGTTTTGAAAATACCAATCAAAATAAATAAGATCTTTCTATAAAACCGTTTAATAAAATATAAAATATATTTAACAAATAATTTATAATAATTTCTATAGAATTAATATATTTATTTTATCATACTAGTATTTGAAATCAATAAATCTTATTAAAAATAAATTCAAATTATAAGTAAATTTTTAATAATTTGATAATATTTCGAACAATATTTATATAAAACTTCTGATATTTTATTCAACTAATTTATATGTTTTTAAATTCTTATAGATATTTTAGAATATTTTTAAAATTAAAGAATAAATTTTTATGATTAACTCTATTTGCAACTTCTAAAAGCAAAGATCATGAACTATTTTTTTATATTATACATTTATAAAAATAATTAATATTATAAAAAATATTTAAAGAATATCAAAGTATAAATGTATTTGATAAACATCACCAGTTTCGCGAATAATAGTTTTGCAAATAATAAAAATATTAAACTGATGGAGATTATTGTTCTTCATTGCAAAAAGATTTATTTAATCAAGAAAAATCGTATTTTTTACCTTACAAAATAACAATTTTTTACTTATATTATTAGTTTTAAAGAAAATTCACATATAAATTTAAAATATGAATAAAAATGCTCTAGCTGGAACTTTTCAAGCAAATTTAAATAATTTAGGTGGTAGAGCATAAATTTTGGAACAAATGTTCAATCATAAGTCAGGTATAGTTCATGCAAAGCCTGCTATCGATAACTCTGAACCCTTTAGGTTTTATAATGAACTTAATATTTCTCAATCAGTTTAATCAAATAAAAAGCACTCTCCTTTAAGTAGTAGCAGCAGCAACAAAATAAGAAATAAAAATTTGAAGTTGAATTCTTCAATTCAATAGCTTATATAAAATTAAAAAAAGGCGCTACATACAGATTAAAATATATATACAGACTGTTCAGATTATAATCCTTATCATTTAGATTCTTGTGCTACCCTTCGTAAAAATAGTGCAAGTATACATTTAGAGTCAAAAGAAAAGCTTAAAAGTAATACTAGCTGCTTATATAATATAATAAAGAGTGCACATGTTTCTCCAATTCGAAGAGGCAGGGAGTAGTTACAAAATGATATCAATCATTAATTGAATTTACAATCATAGAAAAAGAGAATATAAAATATAGGCTCTTTAAATGAGAGAAAAAAGAATTAAAATGATGCTACAGTCTATCCATCTCTAATACAAAGAGCTTAGCGATCTACTACTCTGGTTGACTATTATGATACTAGAATTTTAAAGAATCCTAGTAATGAAAGCATAAGAGAAGAAAATAGGGATAAAAAAGAGAAAAAGAAAAGAAAAAAAAGTAAGCGTAAAACTTCTAAAAAAAGTAAAAAAGAAAGATAACATAACAGTAGCTTTGAATTAAATGATAATGATAATAAATTAATTAGAATTAATTCTAACAGCCCTTCTAAATCTTAATCATAAAATGCAAGCAATTTTCATATAGCCCCTCGTTAAAAAAGTGTTTTCAATAACCCATATAATCCAAACAGAGACTAATTTAAATAAAATTATTTATAAAATACCCTAAGCTAGATAAATCCATTCTCTCCTTCTTTAACCTAATAGTCTTCTTAGTCTTTTCTATTTCACAGTATAAATATGAGTCGTGATTATGAAATATTTGATTATGTCCATGATATACCATTTGTAAGAACATTTAATTATGACGAATTAAGAATTAGATTAGTCAATATTATTATTAAATATTAAATATTTTCTGATGATGAGTTGAATGATTTATTTGCTAAAACTTAACTTAAAAATAATCACTTGGATAACACAAAATTAAACTAAATATTCGATTAAATAGGTAAAGATATAATTAAACGTATAAATCAAGATAAATGAAGAGTGCTGCTTTCTTGATATATTAGATTCAGTATTATAAAATAAGTTTATTTCACATTTTAAATTATTTAAAAAGCTATGCAAATCAGTATATTCAATTAGTATTCATGAAAATTTTCACAAAATTGTATAAAAATAATCATTAATATTATATAAAACAGAAACTAATCTTTACTAAATACTGATAAATATCTTATTTTTTTCAAAGAATTAAATATTATAACTTTTTATAAGCTTTTAAAGAGTTTGATTTCATTCTTTTCATTATATTTTGGTTGAATTAGACTAAAGATTATTATTTTCTTAAAAAAAATTATTTCAATCCCACTTAAGGAAAAGCAAAAAATAAAATGCAAAAGAAAGCAAATTATTTGTAAAACATTTCTGTTTTTAAGTTTAAATTTTAAATTACTAAAATTTATTAGTGTTAAAAATAATAAGAATACTTACATATTTCTTGTTTATTGAAATAGTTCAAGAGAATCTACTCAATTAAAATATAAAGTTAAGGAAATTAATAATAAAATATTTCAAATATTTAGATCAATAAAATCAAGAAATTTTATTAATATGAAGAATAATCTGAAGTAGGTATTACTTTATATTTTTAAAGCATGAATTATTGTTTTAATAATGGTTGAGTAGCCTTATAAAATATATATTAAAATAATATCAATACAAAATTAGAGAAAATATTTTAATAAATAATAATAATTGTTTATGTACTATTTGTTTCCATAACTAAAAATAATTAAGAAATATAATAGAGAGATTTAAGATAGATACTAAGGACATATATATAATTAGTAGGGATATCTATGTACTTTCTAACAAATAAATAAAAATATATCTTAATTAATATAAAATAATTAAGAATTCTGCTTGGGTTTTCTTCCTTTAACTCTTATTTTTCAATAAGCATTCTATCTATCTATTAGCTATTTCTAATTAAATTTTTAATAAATAATTAAAGCATAAAAGAAGATTTTAGTAAGCGCAGCATTGTGAAAATGATTGCATAAGGTTTAAAGAGATTGTCACTCCTTAAAAATTTAAAGAAATCTGCTTAGTTATATTACTTCAACAAGCAAGCATTCGGATCAGATGTTGATAAAAATTTAAATCCTTATTCATATGAGGCTTTGAAAGAAAATCATTGGCTCGTCAGTGACTCATCTAAAAAGGTTAGATATATTAATATTTTCCTAATAAATCAAATTTTGATAGTTGAAAGCTATATTAAATATAAAATGAGAATTATTTAAGAGCTTAGACAATTTATAAGAAAAGCAAAATTAAAAGCTTAAAATTTGGGTATAAATTGAATAAAAAATATTAAACTATGATATGTGTTTAAGTTTATATCTTACATTCAAGTAAGTATTGATCAATTTACCTAATTATTATTTTTATAATTCAAAAATAGAATTCTGAATGGACTCATAAGTCAAACGCCGAATAACTTATTGCTAAGGTTCCTATCATCTATGTTGATTCAAATATAGTTAGATGCATTGTAAAAAAATTAATTATAATATGTTCTTACTTTCAATTCACAAGTCCTAATTTTTTATAGAAATAATGCATTTGCTTTAGACTAAATAATGAGTTTATTACAAAATATTAAGATATTTGAATACAATAAAAGGGAGTATATTATAGCAAATAAATATATTTAAAGAAAAAATCTAGAGAATAGAATTTCAATTAAATAAATGAATTTTAATAAAATTCAGCTATGAATTAAATTTTTATTTTTATATAATCAACAATTTAAATGAATAAAAATAAAAATCATATTATTTGAGTCAAAGAAATTTATTATAAAAATGTATTTTTTAATTAAACTTAATAAAAATAATAAATGTCTTTAAAATTGTATTTTAAAAATAGGGTGGTACTGAAATTAATGCTGGTCATCCTTAGGTCTATATCTAATTAGATACAAGAAAGCATGGTACTCCTTAAACATGCAAATACTGTGGTTTAAGATATGCCAAAAAGATGGATGGTCACCACCACCACTGATTTAATCAACAAAATTAATAAAAAATTTTGTTTTTATTGAATGACAGTAGCAATAAATAAAATTATATGAAATTCATAAAAGTATTGATCTACTATAATAATTACTACTTGATTTTATTATGTTTATTTATAGTTGCTGTTGTAAAATGTCTTTATAATACACAAAAAATACTAAAAAACAAATTAATTAACTTTAGATTATATTCAAAAGTAATTAGTGTAATTTATATAATTACTAAATAAGTATTAAAATTATTAAATGTAAAAATAAATTAATTTTTAATTGTTTATTTGAAAAGTTTTAATAAATATTTTATAGATGTTTTTATTTGATAAATTGGTTTATAAAAAGTTTCCTCAATTTAAAATTTTCAAATTTTAATATAATCAAAAAATTTTTAATTATTTATTAGAAGATATTTTAAAAATGATAAGTAAATAGATTTAAGAAAATGGTATTAAAAAGATAAATAATGATTCACAGAAAATTGCTAAACCACCGATTAATTAATAAGAAAAATAAAATAAATAAAAACGAGATTTGATTTAATAAAAGAATACCATTTCTTCTAAATCTTCAAATGATCTTACTTTAAAAGAAATTTAGAATGATAGCTCTACTTACTCAATTTATCCTAAATAAGGATCTGAAGTAAAAGTTTAAGCTACTGAAGGTTTGAGTAAAAAAATTTAACGATCGGAATCATAGAATAAAAAAATGTAGCTAAAGAGATGTGATACTAGTACTGACGCAAACAGGAGTTAATACTCCTCAAACTCTAATATACCTTAACTTTCTATGTTAAAAAAATCTTAAGTTTCTGTTTATGGGTCTGAAGCAGGAATCAAACCTATAACAAAAAATCCATGGGCTCCTTTGAAGAATGGGGAAGATAATAAACCTACAAAATCTTTAAAAATTATTAAATAGCCTAATTTAAAGTAGCAACCTCAATAAAATTCGAATAAAATTATAAAAGGTATTTAAAGTAATATCAAATCTTCTAAACTTGATTAAAAATAACAAATTGTCTAAAAAGACGTCTCTATGATGGGAAATTAGTTATAAATAAAAAAAATTATGAATCAAGGAATAAACTTTGGCACATTTTCACAATTTAGTTAAAAGTATTTAGAAAGTTAATATTAATATCCAAGTTAAAAAAATGAAGAATAAAATGAATTACACACTATTAGAAAAATAAGCAAAATATCTGAATAACTCTAAATAAATTAATAAAGAAAAATAATTAAAGAAATAGAGTTGCTAAAATTACAATATAATCTTTTTCTTAATGATGAAAGTTTAAAAGAAAAATTGTTATTAACTTAAAAATTAAATGATTTCTTATAATCATCATAAAAACTTAATTAATTATATGACTAAATATTAAACATAAAGTAAGAAAATGGAAATTATATTAGAATTAATTTTGAAGGTAGATCAATATTTTTGGATATATTAAAAACCCAAGCATCATTTTCATCTTCACTCTAATTGAACTAGGAAGCTTTACCTTAATAGTTAAATAAACAAGAATAAATTTCTATTTAAGATATTTAAGACAAAAGAAAGAATATAATTTCTTAATTATGCTTATGGAGTAATCCAAAGAATATATTTTAATTAGAAAATTAAATTTCATAAATAGAAAAAGTAGATAGTTTTATTGAATATTTAGAAAATCTTTACGAAGATCTAAATAAACAATTCTAAAGAGTTTTATTCAACTAATAATTTTTGTGAAAAATATTACAATTTTTGCAGTCAATATATTTTATATTATATGCAATTAAATGAAAAAAGATAATTACTATGAAGCCATCAATCAGGAACTAAATAAGAAGTTAGATTTATTATCAAAATATCTATAAGCTTTAAATTATAATTAATTAAATCAATATATATACATTAGTAATAAAAGTGGCTTTAGAAATATTTTATAACAAATATAAAGAAATAATTAAATATTTTCAAATTCTTTATCTTAACTGTTATTTATATTTATCTAATTAAAGTTATAAATCCGGGATTAATTTCAAAATTACTAAATGAAAGCCAAAACAAAAGAAATAATTAAATAAAATACCTTATTCATTTCAACATATCGAATATTCCACACACACCCTCATATTCCTTATTTGTAAAAAAAGAAAGTTTATGAAAACCCAAAAGCTATTAAGTTTAGAAAATAATATGTTTTTATCATTTTCATTTATCAAATTTTAAATGAAATTTGAATTTAGGAATTAAAAAAAGAAATTAATTATCTCTTTAAAAATAACACAAGAATAATTTTAATAGAAATTCAATTAGAGTCAAAAAAACTTACAATTCTTTAAATTTTTAAAGAAATAAGATTGTTTAAAAGTATATTAAAAACTCTTTAAAAATATTATAAAATTTACTATGACCAATTGAAAACGGTTATCTGCTTATTCAAAACGAAGAAATATTAATCTTTAATTTGATTGTTTTTATTTTACAATTAATAATTTTTCTTTTGCAAAAATATAAAAACGGTATATTAATTTACAATTCCTTTGAACATTTGATTTCATAATAATTAAAAACACTAAAAAACATAACAAATTGCTAATTCAAATAATATGAGAAATAAATTAATTGTAATTCTTTTACTCTCTTTAATATTTACCTCTGCTTTAGGTGCAAGAAGCCATAAAAAGAGAGGCGATAATAAGACTACTACAGGTGCTACACCTGAAAAAGTTTCTACCGAAGAAGTTTCAGAAGAATATGTTTCAGAAGAAAATAACGTTTCATCAAATTTGGGATAAGCCTTAAATTGTAAAAAAAAATTGCAAAAATATTTAAACTATAAAATGTTATATTTAAAAAGCTGCATCTCAAGCTGTTGGTGATGTATTTGGAAGCGTAGGTGATTCCGTTGGAAACTTGGGAGAAGCTGGTAATTCTCTTGGATAGGGTGTTAATAATGTTGGTAAACATCAAGCTTTTTTAATTGAATATAAAATAATTAAAAACGTTTTTTATAATTTAAAGCTGATAATGTTGGTTAAGCCACAAATGGTGTTGGTGAAACAGTTTAAGATGGAGTTGATGGAACTTAAGGTATTTATTGTTATTATATTTGATTTATTTTTAATCATATTAAATAAATCAGGTTTATTTGACGGAGAAAATGAAGAAGAAGAAGGATAAGATGCTGGTAATGAAACTACTGATAAAAAAGATGAAAATAAAGATAATAAAACTGACAAATCTGATAAAAAAACTGACAAATCAGATAAATCCGATTCAAAAAAATCTAATAAATTTATTAAGTTGACAAATAAAGACGAAGATGAAGATGACTCTAGCTCTGATAACAATGATGAAGGTGATAATGATACTACAGATGATGGAGATGATAATGATGATTCCAATGGTGATGATAATGAAGACTCTAATGGAGAAGATAATGATGATTCCAATGGTGATGATAATGAAGATTCCAATGGAGATGATAATGATGATTCTAATGGAGAAGATAATGATGATTCCAATGGTGATGATAATGAAGACTCCAATGGAGAAGATAACGAAGACTCCAATGGAGAAGATAACGATGATTCCAATGGTGATGATAACGAAGACTCCAATGGAGATGATAATGATGATTCCAATGGTGATGATAACGAAGACTCCGATGGTGATGATAATGATGATTCAAACGGAGAAGATAACGATGATTCCAATGGTGATGATAATGAAGACTCCAATGGAGAAGATAACGATGATTCCAATGGTGATGATAACGAAGACTCCAATGGAGAAGATAACGATGATTCCAATGGTGATGATAACGAAGACTCCAATGGAGAAGATAACGATGATTCCAATGGTGATGATAATGAAGACTCCAATGGTGATGATAACGAAGACTCCAATGGAGAAGATAACGATGATTCCAATGGTGATGATAATGAAGACTCCAATGGAGAAGATAACGATGATTCCAATGGTGATGATAACGAAGACTCCAATGGAGAAGATAACGAAGACTCCAATGGAGAAGATAACGATGATTCCAATGGTGATGATAATGAAGACTCTAATGGAGAAGATAACGATGATTCCAATGGTGATGATAATGAAGACTCCAATGGAGAAGATAACGATGACTCCAATGGTGATGATAACGAAGACTCCAATGGAGATGATAATGATGATTCTAATGGAGAAGATAATGATGATTCCAATGGTGATGATAACGAAGACTCCAATGGAGAAGATAACGATGATTCTAATGGTGATGATAATGAAGACTCCAATGATGACTCAAATGGAGAAGATAACGATGACTCCAATGATGATGATAGCGAAGACTCTAATGGAGAAGATAACGATGATTCCAATGGTGATGATAATGAAGACTCCAATGGAGATGATAATGAAGACTCCAATGGAGAAGATAACGATGATTCCAATGGTGATGATAACGAAGACTCCAATGGAGAAGATAACGAAGACTCCAATGGAGAAGATAACGATGATTCTAATGGTGATGATAACGAAGACTCCAATGGAGATGATAATGATGATTCTAATGGAGAAGATAATGATGATTCCAATGGTGATGATAATGAAGATTCCAATGATAATGATGATTCTAATGGAGATGATAACGAAGACTCCAATGGAGAAGATAATGATGATTCTAATGGTGATGATAATGATGATTCTAATAGAGATGATAATGAAGATTCCAATGATGATTCCAATGGAGAAGATAATTCAGATGATAATAATGGAGACGATAATGAAAGCTCAGATGAAGAAGGCTCTGAAAATGATTCTGAATTATTACAAGTTAAAAAGAGCAGAAATTTAAGAAGTAATTCAATTTAATTTTTATTTTCTAATATATTAACTATTATTTTTTAAAAGAAGAATCAAATGAAGAATAACCAAACTTCTTACAAAAAATAAAATCTTTTTTCACCAAAAGTAAAAAATTCGTTACTCAAAAAGTTTTGGGAATGACTGAAGAAGAAGACAACAATTGAAATAAAAAGCAAATATGGCTTTTTAAGAGGAAATAAATTAAATTAGATTGAAAAAAATTTGATTTAAATACTTTAATAAAGACCATAAATAATTATTTACTACATATTTTATGTTAATTGTTGAAACTTTAATTCTAAATACTACCAACTATCAATAAAAATATCAAAAAAGCTAAATGATACTCTTTATAGTTAATATTATATTTTTTTGTTTATAAAAATTTAAAGTTGATCAGCTAATTTCAAATTAATTTGTAAAATAATAATTAATTGATTTTTAGAAAATTAAAATAAATTAATATTGAAAATTTAGATTTATGGATTTTAAGGATAAAAACGAAATTAGATTAACAGAAGACTAAATTGCAGATTTTAGAGAAGCTTTTTCTTTATTTGATAAAGAATCTAGTGGTTATATAAAAATTTCTGAATTAGGATTATTAGTAAGATCACTTAACCACAATCCAACAGATGCAGAAATATAAGAATATATATAAGAAGTAGATTCAGAAGGAATAGGGAAAATAGATTTTCCTGAATTTATAGCTTTAATGGCAAGAAAAATGAAAGATATAGATCATGAAGAAGAGCTAATGGAGGCTTTTAGAGTTTTTGATAAAAATAACACTGGCCTAATAGAATCTTAAGTTCTTAAGCATTTAGTTAAAGGTTTAGGTGAGCCATTAACTGAGGAAGAAACAGAAGTAATGATAAAGGAAGCTAATCCAGATGCATCAGGATAAATAAGATATGCTGACTTCGTAAGACTTATGACAACATCATATATAAATTGAATATAAGCTATTAAACTTGAATCCCAATATTTTAAGAACTTAAAAGTCTATTTTAGTTAAATATTAATTCTAAAAAAAAATAATAGATATTTTGTTAAGATAAATCTTGATTTATATAATCTTAAATATTTGTATATATTTGCTATAACTTTTATTGATTTCAAATACTTCTTAAAAGAAGTTGCTTTTGTTAGCCAATCACTTTCCTTGTTAATTTATGATATATTTTTAAAAAGCCTTATATAATTAGACTACGTTATTTACCAATAAATATTGTTTCAAACAATAATCTTAAGTGCTATTTTTCTTTGAGAATTTAGTAATTAATAGTAGATTTATAACTTTATTTATTATTATATTAAATAAATTGGTATTTCAGCAATTATTTTATATTCATGATTTTACTATTAAATATTCAATTGATATATGAAAATATTAAGTTAAAATTTCAATTAAAATAAATTTTCTAATCTATTTTTTCTCTCTAAAATAAGTAATTAATTTTTAGCATTTGGATAAAAAATAGATTTATAAAAATAATATTTATTTTAAATTTTATTAATTTTTTATTCTTTAAATAATTTTATTTTAGAATTTATTAATAAAAATCAAGCAATCATTTGAAGTTTAAAGTAATTGTATTTTTAAAAAAAGATTTGCAAAAGAAAAATCTATGAAGTTAGAAACTTTTATACTAAACAGAACTTATCGAAGGAAAATAGCTCTTTTATTATATAGAGACACTCTCAAATAATGCAAAGCTTTTAAAGATGATTATTCTAGTTAAATATTACTTGAAATAATATAGTAAACTTATCGCATGTAATATTTTTTAGAATATGGTTTAAATACTTCTATTTTAACAAATTTAAAAATTTAACAAATAATAACAGTAATAGATATCAAACAAATGTTAACTTTTTAAGGGAAAATTTTATGATTGGAAGGTCAGTTCTTTAGCTTTTCAAATCAGCCAACATTTATAATGATGAAGTAAATAAATGATTAACTTTTTGTCTTGGAATCTGTGTATTTCTACTACCAAAAGAGATATGCAAGTTTTTAGTATAATTTAATAAATACATAAGAATACAAAGGTAATAAATTAATTTTTATAATGATAGAATTAGATTAAAAAAATATTAAGAATTGCCCACAATTGGAGTAATTACATAAAGATTTAAAATTAAGATAATAAAAGAAAATTTGAAATAGAATTCAATTAGAATGGATTAAAATAATATTTAGAAGATGATAGTGAATAGGAAGATTTTTAAAGTATACAAAATTTTTAAGAAAGCTCAACATAAAATAATATGAGTGATTTAGGTAAATTAAATATATCTAAAAGAACAGCTTTCCCATGGTAGAGAATCCTATAGCAGAGCAAACAGTTTTAAAACTTGGATTTTGATAAATAATTATTTGTGCATTAAATTATAGAAAAATGTATAGAGCCTTAAATAACGAATAAGAGATATAGAAATTTAGCTGAGTATATTGATGATAGAAGATCTGAAAGTATTTTTTATTTTCTTCAAAAATATATTTTAAATTTTAAATCAATTTATTAAATAGATACAGAGTCTAGAGTAGATTATAGAGATTAATTTGAGGAGAGAGAACTCATCATAAAGATATAGGATACTAATAAAGCCTATTAAAACTACTTAGGATAAATCTTTCATTTAGAAAAATATAAGTAGCCCCTATTAAAATAAAATAACTCTAACTCTGAGGTCTACTAATTATTTAGTAACTTTGATTTTATTTTGCCATTTTAATTTCCAACTGAAATTGAAGGTAGTTAAAAAGATATAAAATTTAAATAAAAATGAATAAATATTTTAATTAATTATTTATAAAAGATGTTAAGAAATATGAATATTTAATTTATTATCACAAACTATTCTTGAATAAATAAACAATATTATAAGTAAATAAATTAACAATAATGATATTTATATTTGCATTTGCTAATTTTTATGTTGAAATAGATCTTTAATAGAATAAAAAAGTTTAATTTTGTCTAAAAAACGCGAAATTTCAAATTTCAAAATTTTTTTCTTATTTTATTTAACATGATATTTATTGATGTGTTTTATAATTTTGTTTGATTTTAATAACATAATTGATTTATTGAATTTTTAAATAGCTGCTAATTTCTACAAAAAAAAATATATTTTCAGATTTATATTAACTATTATTTAGTCAAAGATACTATTGGATATTAGCTTGATTAAAAGAAAATAGTATGTCTTAATCAAAGTAGTAAATTACTAAAACAAAGTCTGTTCTTAAAAGACCTGATAAGGCATTCGAAAGTTTTGGAAATAATTCCAAATCAAGTGTTTAAAAGTTAGGAAGCTGCTCAAGTTTATCAAAAAGTTTAAATAACAGTTTTGTTTAGCATTCTTAAGAATCAATTTACAGAAATTACAACCCAAACAGATTAAGGATTAATAATGAAAATGAAAATAATTTTTCAACAATACAAGCTAGTTCTTCAAGATAGAGAGAACTAATTTGGACATTTGAGGATCAGTCAAAAAGATAACAAAAAATAGGTTAATTAGAATCTTCTAACGTAGTTCGTAGCTTATCAGCTGTTGAAAAAGTTAAAATGCTTGAATCTAAAAGATTAGGTATCATATTTTCTTAAAATAAAAATGTTATTAATTTCTTTAATAAATAAAATATAGAATTAGAACCTAAAATAAAAAGATCAGAGATGACAGAAACTTAAAAATAGTTAGTACAGTAAAGAAAGAAAAATGTTTAACTTATGAATTTGCTGAGAAACTTAGAAAATTAAATTAATTCAAAATTTATAAATATTGTAAAGCTGAAAAAATTAAATAAAGAATATGAATAAGTATATGAAAACACGTAGAAGATTTACACTGAAAGAGTACTTGTAAAGAATTAGTTTGCTATTTAATGCAGTGAATTTTTAGAGGAATTAAAAGATGTTTCTGTGAGTGCATAAATTAGTGTTATTCGCTAAAATTAAATGAGATATTAAGAAGAGCAAAGATAAATAGAGAAGTAAGCACAAATTCAGGCAGATGAAGTAATTAAAAATAATTATGAAAAATATTTTATCATTTTTTAAATAAAAAAAGGAAGAAAAAATGAAAAAAGATATAATGGAATTAGAGAATAAGTTAAAAGGTATTAAATTAGAGGTTGAAACACTTTCTTATGAGCATTCTTAGTAAAAAAAAAAATTATTAAATTTAGAATTAAAAAAATATTTTAATCTAAAGGCAATTAAAGAAAAAGTAAGAAATAGAGATTGGCTACAACGAAAAGATGTTTGGTTGCATGAAATAGTATAGATAAATAAGAATTCTTTTTGATTAAATTTCATGTATTAAGAAAGATTTTAAAACAATATGCTACATTGCAAACAAAAAGATGAAAACAAATTTAGTATTTAACTATGAACCATATTATAAAATCAAGGATAAAAAGATATTAGAAATATACCTACCTGATAAGTTTAGCTCTCTTTCTTAGTAAATTTTACTCTATAGTAATGAATTTTATAGATATTTTTTAATTTAAATAACAGGTCTTCTCAGTCTCAATCTTAAATATCTAGTTAAAATAAGTTTTCATAAATTTAATCGCAATTAAAAATTTAAACTTTTAAGTTAGCGACATTACCAAAATTTAATTACATCTTAACAAACGAATTTACTCCATTATTTCCTGATTTAAATAGCAAACTTAGCTTAGAATTAGAGCTGTTCTTTAAAGGCTCTGTATACAAAAATATTAAATCCATATTATCTTAATTAAGTTTTAATAGTTTAGAGTATGAATATGTATTTAACTGGATATAAAATTAAAATAACAATCAAATTAATTCAGAAGGAACTGATGAAAATTCTTTAGGTTTCAATATTTTTGAATCATTTGTTGACATTGTTAGGAAAAAAGATTAAAATAATTAATAAGGAAATCAATAAAATGCAGTTTATCCACCAGTAATATTTGATCTTGATTTTAATTTTTAACCAATAAAAAATATTATTTAAATAAACAGAATTTAATACTTTTAATGGGAGATAAAGATAGAGGAGCATTCAGTTGTCTAATAGATAATATTAATTATTTACTTTAATTTAACAATAACCTTTTGAGTGTAAAGGAAATTTAGTACTATTTAAACTATTTAGATGAAGAAAGTTCAGAGCCTGAATGTAAATAAATAAATAATTTAAAATTTTTAATTTTAACTTCTTATTTATAAAAATGTAGAATTAAATCATGATGAATTACAAGAAAGATTTGAGTTAGAACTCAAAGAAAGCTTATATTAGCAAACAATTTGTATAAGTATTATCTTATTTGTTAGCTAACAGGATTATAATCCTAAACAATAAAAGCAAACATCTAGAGCTGAAGGTTATAAAAAATAAATAAATATCATATTTATGAATAACTAAATACCTAATAAACAACAACTAGCAAAAAATATAATTGCCACTGCTAATAAAGAAAAAATTCTATAATAGAAAGATAAATTAATAGAAAGGATGGAGCCTTTCATTAGATCTGCAGAAAAAAGAATTATGATAACAGAGCTTCCTAATTTGATAAAATTTAACGATAAATCGATAGATAAATATAATCTTATTAAAGATATACTTAACTTTAATATAGGGTTCGAAACAAAATGAGAGCTAGAATTTTAATTAATTAATATCAATGTGACTAAATTAATCATTTTATTTATTGACTTCAAAATAATTTTAAAAAAATACCATCATCAAAACTATAAAAAATAATACTAAATTAAAAATATAAATATTTTATCAACTATATATATTATAATCTATCTTTTCACAAACAATACTTATGTAGTACGCTTATTCGTATAACAACCTATTTACTTGCTTTATAAAAAACTCTGATACTTTATAAGTTAATAATATGCTTATTGAATAAGTTTACCAAAATCAAAAAGATATTTATTTATTTTACACTAATTTTTAAAAATGTTATTTTATTAGATTTGCTGAAAAATTAAAAAATTTATGATAAAAATTATTATAATATAAACCTAAATTAAAGAATATCGTTCTTTTTATAATTATTATTATTATATATGCATGTATATTTGAGTGGTTTACAATAATTAAGAGTAATATTAAATTATATTAATAATTTAAAAAATAATTGATAAATCTAAGTAGATTTTAAGAGAGAGTTTTATGAATTTATTAAATATTTTGCTAATCATATATTTTTAAATTTTCTATTAATATTTCAAAAATTAAAATTTTTATCAAAAATTATATCAGAATTAGATACAAATATAAATATAAAAAATGAGTTAAATGAATAAAGGAACAGTAGCAAATGCTTAAGTCCCACGTACTGGTGGTGGTTTTATAGCTTCAAAGTATGAAACTTAGATTAAAATACTTAACTAGGATTTATTAAACTATTAGATAAGAAGAAGAGAATAAGAAGAATATTGAAAATAAATAAAAATAAGAGAATAATGACGATAATGATGATGATTATGAAGACGAAGAAGAAGAATAAGATAAAGTTGGAGATAAAATGGAAATTGAAAATAATAGATGTATTGAAATTATTAAATCAAATGTATAACAATCTAATAATTATTTAATTAGCAAAAAGATATTCTTAAAGGTAAAAGAAGAAGCAATCATAGAAAAGATCTCTAGATATTATTTTTGACAAAGCAACAAAATAAAAGGAAAAATAATTAATAGATAAGCATTATTATTAAGATGGAGACCCTACTATGTAATTTTAATTACTAATATAACCTAAAATAGATTTATTTATTAATTTTTAATAATTTTATATTATGTTAGGTATACAAAAGAAAACCTTCAATAAAGAAATGCATTGAAAGAAGATCCAGACGTCAAAAATGCTATCTAAAAAGTATTTATAAATATACATTTCTAGCAATAAGCAGTAAATAATATTTTAATAATTCATTAAAAAATTTAAGTTTATGAATATCTATACATGGGATTCTAATGGTAAGCTAAATTTAGAGAGCTATTTATTTGTTCATACTGGATTAGCAGAAATTCTAAGAGATGACTTATAAGAAGAGATGAAAGCAGATGAACTTAAATTTATTTTATAGTAAGATTGGTAACATGATAGCAGAGGAAAAGAATATATGACTAAGGATGATTTATATGATTCTTTATTTGAGTTAGTAGATATATGGGTACCAGATATAGATAAAGACGAGTAAAAACTTCAATTAATTGATAAATATTTAATTAATATATTAAACAATAAAATTAATTTAAATAAATTAATTATTTTTCTATATAGTTTTAAATTAAGTAAAAAACTCAGCATAAAATATGATTAATTATAATAATAGGTATGTAGCATTTTTCGAGTACATCAATAATACTTTATCTAGAAAAGGTATTTATTTATATATTTATTTATTTATTTTTATAACTTTTTTCTTATCTAATTTATTAAAAGGTTACAAGAATCCATATAGCATTATGTGATTTAATTAAAATTAAATAATAAAATTTAATATAATATTAGTAATAATTTTAATGTTTGTTAATAAAATATAATATTAAATTAATAATAATTTTTATTTTGCTAATAAAATGTATTTTAGAATTAATATTTATTTTATATTTTGATATAATTATATTTGTTTGAGAAGAATTTAAAAAGCGAGTAAATAAATTATTAAATTTCTATAAACCAACAGGCTATTTATTATTTTACTTTTGAAAATAGATAGATAAATATATAATTTAATAATATCATGTTTAAATAAGATTTATAAAATTAAGTTAAACTTTTTCAATTTTCTCACAAGGAAGGGAAATCATCATTACTAATATGACTTTATTTAGTCTTCTATTATTATTATTACTTAATAGGTTATTTTTTAGGTTGAATATCCCAAGCATTCTCCTCTAATGTTTTAACGTAGCTGTAAAGAGCTTTAGATTAAGCTGTAGTGTTGAATTTGCCTTTAGTTTTATTTTGCTAATTTTGGTTTTTCTTAGGAGGTCCGTTATAAACCTAACCACCAAGAGTTGGGAAAGATTTCTCATCACTAGGATCTATTTCTTCTTCTGATTCTGAATGATAATCTTAATCTCCAAATTATTGGCGTCTCTAGAATTCTTCAATCTTTCTTTTTTCTTCTTGTTGTTATAACTCTAATTGACGTTATTTTTCTTCTTATTCTTTCTATTTTTTTAGTCTCTCTTATCTGGCTTGCTCGTTAATAATTGCTTGCTATCTTTCATATTCTTCATCTGATTCTTCTTGAGTTCTTTTGCTTTATTTTTTCTTTGAGTTCTTGTCATTTACTATCCAATCATCTCCAAATTCTTATTAATTCTTATTGGCTACTTACTTTTTATCATTTTTACCTTAAGTTTAACCACCTTTGACAAGCTTATTACCAGTTTTTGAGATTGATGCCTATTTAACTTGTTCTTATTTATCTGTTTCTTCATCTTCATCAGATTAGTTTTAAGCTTTTACCTGTTGCTTCTTATTGTTGGAAACTAATTAATTTTTCTTTTAGTTTGTATTTGGCTATCCTAATGTTGGGAAATTTTCTTCTTCACCAATAATTTCTTCTACCTTTGATTCATCATCAAAATAATCTAATTTCTTTAATGCTTACTCTTATTCCTTAGCCTTAGCTTATTGCTCTGCGAATTTTTGTTATTAAATTAGATCTCTTTGACGAATTTCTTCAAGCCTTTTACGGTTTTCTTCTTCTTTAATTTCTTATTCTGAAAGTCCTGTCACTAATATTTTTGTTGCATTTTTTTTATCAAATTTTTTCTTTCCTGCTTATTTGCTAGGAATGACTTAAAATCCTTCTAAACTTTATTCTTATTATACTGGAAGTTGAACAAGAGTACTTTATTTTGCAGAAGTTGCAGGAGCAGGAGTAGGAACAGTAGCAGCAGTTGTAGTTTCTACTTAAGCTTTTACTTCCTGCTTAGGTTCTTACTTTTATTCTTTTAGTTCCTTAGTTTGTTTTTTATTTTCCTTTGAAGGCTTAGCTTATTTTTCTTCCTTGTTATTTTTTAATGATTCTTAATTTTACTGTAATTTATCTTCATTACTCTTTTGAGGCTGAGAAATAGTAGGAGTTTTCTGTTCTTCTTTGGTAGTTTTTGCTTTAGTAGTACTAGCAGTTGCTTGAATTTCTTCTTTAGACTCTTGAGGTTTTTTTTATTCAGCAGTATTCTTTTAAGGTTCTTATGGTTTACTTATTTCATTTTGCTCTGTTTGTTTGCTATTTACCTAAGGTGTTTCAGTAGTATTTTAATTTTTTGCATCAGAAATAGTACGAGTAAATTAAGGTCTAGTAATAGCAGTATTTTGCTAGTTGCTATTGTTAGCATTATTATTTTCACTTGTTTATTTTGTGAAACGTGGTACTCCTCTAGAGAAGTTGGTATTTTCTTCATTGCTTCCAGTAAATTCTTTTTTTTTTTAATACCTTCTTTAGTTGTTGTTTTCATCATTGTTTGTTGGTTTTGATTTTTCAAGCAAATGGTTGTACTTATCTTCATAGGTTAATTGAATAAGCTTTTTAATTCTCACATACTTTTCTTCAGGGTCTTTAAATGCTACTTTGGTTTCAAAATTAACTTTGTTGGCAAAAAGCATATTGTCCATGTCTACAGAATTAAAGGGTCCTTCGATTTCCTCTGATTCCTTGTAATACCATACTTCGATAGTAGAGTCTTTGATAAAACCACAATCTTGAAAAACGGGAATAAGCTCTTTTAAACTTTGTTGTGCTTATTATCCTCCTTAATTTTTTCTGTTGAATCTCATACCATCACCACTTTCTTGGTTCTTATTGTTTAATGGTCCTCTCTTGAAATCATTGCTAAATTTGTTGTTGTTGTTGTCTCCTCTAAAGTTTTAGTTATTGTTATTATTTTTGTTAATAAAACCTTTTTTATTCTTGAAAAATCCTTGATTTAGGTCTAATGCCAACTAATCCTATTATTTATTAACAGCTTCTTATGGAAGTTCTGTGAATAGATCAACTCCTGTTTCTTGCATAATCAATTCTCTAATTTGATCATTTTACTTCTTTTTGAAGGAGTCAAGTAGCTGTTATTTAGTGTATTAAAGGGTTTTAACTTGCATTTTTTAATATTTCAATTTTTTTTTTTCTTGGAAATTTTGCGAATCTATTAAATTTTTCTTTTTTGTTTCAAAATTCTTTTTTTTAGATACTTATTTTTCTCTTAATCTAAACTTTTAAAAAAGCCTCTACAAAACTAAAAGAATACCTGTTTGAATTACAATACAAACATAAATCAAAAAAATAAATTAATGAATTTAAGATCAGATCAATCCACATGGGAGGAAAATTTTATTAAAAATAAATATATGATATTATGCTTTAACTGTAACAAAAAATATGAATACCGTTGATGAAATTATAATATTTAAATAACCAAAATTTTAATTAAAATTATTATATTTAATAACAAAATCTAACTTTACACATTATAAAAACTAATTATATAAAATAATAAGTTTTTTTGATATTTATAAACTTAGTACTATGATAATATTAAATATAATTATTTTAATTAGCCTAAATTGTATAAAAAATTAAAAAAATAGAAAAAATAAATAAGAATTTAATTATAATTCAATTTAACTAATTTGATATTAAGTTGTACTACATCAATTTATGTACCTATAAGAGCATACTTTTGAGTCATCAATTTATTTTTTTTCATTAAATTTTTATATTTTTTGCTATTCAGCTATGTAATCATCATACTGATTAGGAAATTATATAAATAAAATCATTCAAAAATATTATACTTAAAAAAAAACAAATATATATCAATTTTAAAAAGATGATTATTTATATTATTTTTCTTCAACTATCTATTTAAAATCCTAATTTAAGAACCTCTTCTCCAATCGAAGTAATTTATTTTTTCATCTCATCATTATTTTTGAAAATCTAACTCAACCATTACAAAGTTACTTTTCTATCTTATAAAATTGAGTCGATTTTATCATCTGCAATTAGGAACTTCTAGACAAGGTCTTTATTGGAAAAGCATTGTTTCTTAAACAACCATATCATTTAATTTCTATACATCTCGCCAAATTCATCCTCTTCAAAATTTAAAAGATCAAATCTGAATATTCTTTTCGCTTGAGTGTCAGATTCACTTTAAGATTCCAAAGAAGCAGCCCAAATAAAATTTGTGATATTTTTTAATAAAATTTCCATTTTTTCCTCAATTTTTGAGGTTATTGGATTTGTTTTTACCTTCAAATAAGTTATATTCCTCAATTATATCCTTAATTTCTCAAAAGCATCCAAAAAATCTGTCATTATATTTTCTTTAATTTTTTATTTTATGTCTTCTTCTGAAATCTCCTGAATTTAATCCATCATATCATTTTCACTCAACTATACCTTTATTTATTCAAATTATGTATTTATTTTTATAAATCAACAAACAAATCATTTACTTTTATTTCATCTTTTCTCTAGATATTTGCTTGAATGATTTCTTCAAAACTATCATCTTTATTTTGGGAATTGTATTTCTCTAGCATTTCTTCTTTTAATCTTCTCAAAAAATCAATTGATTGGCTTCCTATTTAAATTTTTTCTACTTCTTTTTTTGTTGGATCCAATGAAAAAGTCTCCTTTTTTATATTTAATAAATTTTATCTTCAATCATTTTTTGTTTTGCTTGAAAGATACTTGTTATTAAAAATCTTGTCCTTTTTAATTGCTCCCTTCATCTTGATATACCTTCTTAAACACATCAATATTTGTTTGTTTTTGATATTTTATAAAATTTACAATTAATTTGAAATTGGATATTGGTATCTGTTTGCAATTTATTTTTCCTTCATCTTCTGTATTTCTTGTACAGCAATTGCAAGTATGACATTTGCAATTACAAGTGTTGTTTGGATGTCTTCTTTTTTTTGTTTCGATATCCATTTTTGTGGTTCTTTTTTTGTTTTATAATTTTTTATTCAATTCAATATATTATGATTCATATGGCCTTTTGATTAAAAAGCTTGAATTCAAGAAAGAATTTCCAAATTTTAAAGAATAAAAATAAAATTTAAATTTTTCCTTTTTTTGTGGGAAATTGCTAAAAGAATGAAATTTATTAATATCATAAAATAAAATACAAACAAATTGGTGTAACATTAAAATAAAATTAAATTAGAAACAAATCATTAATCATTAATTGGTTTGATTTCCTTCAAAATTTTTGTTTAGTACTAGAACAAATTCCGAAAATTTGAGTAATCCTCACTTGTAAAATATTCAATATCATTAAATATTTAGTATTAAGTTAATTTTCTCAATTTTTCAAATCTTTATATACTTTCCTGTTGATATTGTTGCTGAAAAACTTATGTATTTATGTTTCTTTCAACACTTAAACTCAATCCTTAGTATGAAATGTTTGAGCTACCAATAAAATTGGAAGAATCGATTGTAGTATTTTTTTCATGGACAGTGTCACCTATTAAATAGCCACACACAAAACGATCACGATAAGTACGCATTAGATAAGTTATTTTAAAAAACTTTGTTTTTTCATTATAGTTTTTCATACATTTTATATCATAATTATTTTCTTTTTCATTGTAATTCATAATAACATGACATTATGCATTTTCATTTTTTATTAGAAAGCTTTCAATAGCTCCTAAAATTCTTACATCACTAAGCTCAAAGGTGATGATTTTTACATTCTACTTTGCTTGATGAATTTGTATCAACAAATCATGTATAAACGCTAATTATTTCTCTTCATTATGTTCGAAATATTAACCTCCTTTGATTTAGTTTAATTAACTAAAAGCTTTTACTCTTCGATGAGTCTCATAATCATCTTCATATGAAAAATATAATTGACCTAATTTAACATCATACAGATAAAATCCTCGAACTATGACATCAATGACAGCTTTGTCTATATTGCCCAAAAGATTAATAATAGCATTATGAAACCTGTTCACCTTATCAATTTTAAAAATGCAGATGTTTAAACAATACCTTATTGAGAAAAGTTTTTATTTATCTTCATTTTATCTTCCTCTGACTGCTAATATACTTGTTCCAAATGATAGGAAATGGAAATCCTCTTACTTGATCAAGTCTCCAATGACTTTGATTTATTCTAAGGATTCATGTTAAAATTAAATTTCAAAAATGCTGCATTTAATAGCGTCTCCTTAAATACTCATTTACCTATTATTGTTGTAAATTATTTGAATTTTAAATTAAAATTTATTTAGGAGAGAGTGTTTCTAACTAAATGGTTTTCTTCAAAAATTTATTATCTAATTAAAAAAATATCTTAAAAGTGTCAAAAAAAATTTTTTTGGTCAACTAAAATAGGGTCATAAAGTACTTTGTTAATATATTATAAGGATAAAATAATTATATTTTTTTAATTATTTATGTCTAAATATAAATTTTTATTTTTAAGCTGTATATTTTATTATTAGTTACAAATCTAAAAATAAATTTTATTTTAAAGGTAACATATTTTAATCTAAAAAAAAACGTGATTACAATCATTAAAATGTATTAAATAATAATATAACTGAGCTGAGATTTATTTAATAAACGTATTTTTGTTTTTCATCTCATAATATATTAAAACCTTGGTCGTTATCATAAATTTCCATTAAAATATATTATTTAAATCAAATTGTTTTATTATGATAAGATTTAATAAAACAAAAGCACTTTAATCATAATTTAATAAAATAAAATTAATAACTAAAGCTTTAAATAGATAATGTTTTTGTTTTTGATATTTATTGATGATGAAAATTAAAGATAATTTATATTTTTTAATTAAACTATCTTTAGATATTTCTAAAATAAATGATAATTAATAGATGTATTTTCAATAGATATAAAATAAATTTAATTGTCATTTAGATATTTTTTTGAGAGAAATTATAATAAAATTAATTATCAAAAATAAATATTAATAATCATATTTATTTTGTTTAACTATTAATTTAATTTAATATTTATAATAATTAAATAATAATTTTGAGATAAATGATAATTAATGGATGTGATTTAATTAAGTATAAATTAAATGTAAATTAATAACAATTTTTAAATTCAAAAAATATTTAAGATAAATTAGTAACTAAATTAATTATAAAATAGAAATTTTATAATTTTGCACTTGGCGATTAATTAAACTAAAATTCTTTTTTAATTAATTTAATTTAACACAACCTGACATAACATGATATGCAGTAAAATTGTAAATAGATTTTTAGAATTTTGTATTAATTTAAAATAATTAATTTTTAGAATTGTTCTTTTGTAACTAATAATTATTAGAACTAAAGTAAATTTAATGGATTAAATAAATTTATAATTTTAATGGATTTAATAAATTTATAATTTTAATGGTAATATAATTTATAAAATGCATCCAGCTTAAAAAAATCTTAATTAAACTAAAAATTATCTCCTTATTAAAATGAGTAATTATAAATTAGAAATAATTAATATAATTAAAAATGGTAAATGTTTATATTTTATCATTAAAAATAAAGTCATTAATAAATACAGATGTTCATTTATTTCAATCATTTTTTATGGATAATTTTAATACTTCAATCATAATTTATTTTATAATTAATCTTTTAAAAATATAATCTTAATACTAAATCACATTTATCTTTTAATCAATTTTAATGCTTCAATCATAATTCATTTTATAATTAATCTTTTAAAAATGTGATCTTAATGGTTAAAAACATTATATCTTTTAATCAATTTATATAAATAAGATTTTAATGCTTCAACAATAATTCATTTTATAATCAAATCATTGAAAAATAAGATATATATTGATGAAATCAAACTATTTTATTGTCTTTATAAAAATTTGTAGATAATTTTCTTTTTTAAAATGAGTCATTAATAAATATAAATGCTTAAATAAAATGTTGATGTTTATAAATGAAATCTATTAAAAATAAGATCTTAATACTAAATAATGTTTTATCTTTTTAATCAATACAAACATAAATAAAAAAAATAAATTAATGAATTTAAGATCAGATCAATCCACATGGGAGGAAAATTTATTAAAAATAAATGAATGATATTATGCTTTAACTGTAACAAAAAATATGAATACCGTTGATGAAATTATAATATTTAAATAACCAAAATTTTAATTAAAATTATTATATTTAATAACAAAATCTAACTTTACACATTATAAAAACTAATTATATAAAATAATAATTTTTTTTGATATTTATAAACTTAGTACTATGATAATATTAAATATAATTATTTTAATTAGCCTAAATTGTATAAAAAATTAAAAAAATAGAAAAAATAAATAAGAATTTAATTATAATTCAATTTAACTAATTTGATATTAAGTTGTACTACATCAATTTATGTACCTATAAGAGCATACTTTTGAGTCATCAATTTATTTTTTTTCATTAATTTTTTATATTTTTTGCTATTCAGCTATGTAATCATCATACTGATTAGAATAGTATTTTTCTAAAAATATTTAAGACTGAATATTATACTCAAAATCATCAATAAATTATGCTGCTTTTTAATTTAAAATGTAATCTTTTCTCATACTTATTATTCTTTTGATTGTAAATAGATCTACATCTAATACAATCATGTTTACAGAATCAGCTATACCTTCAAATATATAAGAAAGAGGTCCTTCATATCTTACTAATTTTCTTATTTTTTTTGCTTTTGTTACAACCACCATTTCATCTAATGTTTTTAAGCAAAATGGATCTATTTTATCAACAGAGAATCTTTCTCCTTTCTGTATGCTAAACCAGTCTTTTAATGCTGAAATTTGAATTAGAGATCTTGTATATGGAGATATCCACATAGAAATACCCTTTTTAGAAACACCACTTTAAAATTAGCTAGGTTCTAATCCAAGTAGAGCTATTAAAGGATAGCTATATGAAAAATTTTAAAGAGTGAGATCTTCAGAATTGAAATCTGCACAATAATGTGAAGCACAGTAGAATCCCGTGTTGTTTAATTAAAATTCATTTAGTAGATCTTAGTGTTGTATTTTCAAAATTTTTTACCTTTCTTATAGTAAATCTGCAAAATCATAGTTCAGTTCCTTTGCCCTTAATACTGCCCTTCTAATAAATTCTTTCTATTAACCAGCCACAGATTTTTAGTAAAATTCTAAGCAAATACCCATTTGTTTACTTATTTCTGTGTTTGAATTTTCTTAAACAAATTTTGTGATAAAAGAAAAATCTTCAAGTGGCTTTACATTTAATTGCATATGAACAGAAATTTCTTAGTTTTTAAAATTATTCTCTATAAGAATAATTTATTTAATTGCACTATTCACTACTCTAGATTCTTCTTATTCAGCTTAATTATAAAAGTCATTAGATTAAATATTTTGGTTAAAGTAAACTCCAGATTTAAAATCTATGATAACATTTCCCATTAAGTAAAAAATATTAGTAGACTAGAGTTCTTTTATAAATATATGAGTGACAGGATGACTTTTAAAATTTTATTTTTAATACTACTAAAGCTGATTTTAATATTTAGAGTCACTCTAATTACTTTTATCGTCTTATATAACTAAATCTATATCATTCCATTCCAATTTAGAACTACTATTGAGGCTAGGAGTATCTTTACTATTTTAAAATTTCACACCTAATTAGTAGGCATCTTAATTATTTTTTTACATTTTTTATTAAACCATAGCATCAATTTATTTAAAATCCTCCTATCTATAAGTTCCTAATTATATCCTTTTCATTTTCTCAAAAATTAAATCATTCATATTTATGTTAAAATCTTAGCATAAATTGCTCTATAGAGCATTATATGGTTCATTATCAAAGCTCTTTTTTTTTATCAATGGTTCCTAACTATCTTCATTAATTATCTCACCAGAATTAGATAAATATTAAGGAAGACTATTAAATTCAGTATCTTATTGAAAATGGCTTTAGTACTACTTAAAATCTTCTTCTTCTATCATTTTATTAATCTAATAAACTTCTATCTATTTTCTTTCTCTAAATAAGCTTTAGCAATTTTGATAATTATTGTAAATAGAAATTTATTGCAAATAAATTGGCCACAAATTAATTAATAATATTTTTCATAAAACATAAATTTAGGAATCATAAAAATCTATTTTATATTCAAATTAAAAACAAAATAAATACATTAAAATAAATATATTAATTCAGAAATTTTTCTGAGAAATAGATTAAAAATTATTAATTTTTATTTAAATAAGAATGATTATAAATAGTAAAATTTTATAAATTACATTTATTAAGGAGTGGTATCAATAATAAATATTAAAAATAAAATGTATTCATTAAAAAATATTTAGTTAACCAAATATCTTAAATTTTGAAATTTTAGCAATTTAAAAAGAAAATAGAATATTGTTAAATTAATTTATTAATGAGAAAGATCAAAGTAATTTTCAAATTTATGAGTTGTAATATAGATAATTATTTTTAAAGAAATTTTAGTAAAAATAATTCAAGTATAAGGTATCATTTATATTTAGATAAATTTGTAATAGATTTTAAAGATAAAAAGTTTCTGTTGTTAATGGAAAATTTTTAAATATTGCTTTTATATTCTTTGTTTGCTTATAATTAAAATCACGAACTTAATTGTGATAGATACACTTTCTTTTCAAAAATTAGTAATTCAAAAATTATTAAATTTTTATAAAAAATTTTAGTGCAGCTGCTTTTTATTAAAGTTAAAATTTATAAAATTAAAATATAGATTTGACATAGTTAGGTTATTTATACAAACAAAGCAACACATTTGTAGGAATTGAAAGGGACAATAAATATAAGAAATGAAGCGTAGGAATGCTAAGCTGAGTAAATTTTAACTTCTTTTTTCTAAAAATATTTACAAGCATCCTTCAATTCAGATTCATTTTAAAAAACATGAATTTGATTGACTAATAAAAATGAAAAATCATATTTTTTAATGACTGAAGAAGGTTTAGTTTATAGAATGGCATTTAAAAATATTGTTAAAATAATTAATGCATATATTTCATAATATTTTTGTTTTTAGTTGACTTTTAAAATAATCCTGGTTGTAAGATTTTAACTGCTAAATTTGGTAATTAGTCAAAATCAATTATTGCTTCTGGTGATGATAAAAATAACATTTGTTTATGGAAATTCTCAAACGATATACCCATAAAAGTAAAATCTAATCAATAATTTTAATAGCTAGCCATTTAATTTAAATTTAATTTTAAATAATTCGTAGAAATTTGCTGGTTAAAATTAGACAAACCATTAAATAGAAACAACAGCTGTTTAATTTAACCATAGCGATAATATTTTATATACTGGAACAAATAGAGGTATCATAAGTGTCTTGGATTTAGAAGCATAAAAATGTATAAAACTAGATTTTGTTACAAAAATTGTTTGCATAAACCTATTATTATTTTGAATAGTAAGTCATACTCTCAAGGGACATGGAGGCGGAATTAGTTCCTTAGCAATATTTCCTTATGAAGATTAAAAAAATTTGTTGATATCTGGTTCAATGGATACTAATATTAAAATTTGGGATTTAAGAACTAAAGAATGTGTTCACTAATTTAAGGGTCATACTATGCTAGTTAATTGCTTGGCAGGTTCTCCTGATGGAAAAATGATAGCATCTGGTGGGTCAGATAGTTAAGTGAGGGTATACTAATTCGCATTTATTAACTTAGCTAATTAACTTTAAAATTAATAATTTATTAAAAGCTTTGGGATTAAACTACAGGAAAATGTTCTAATATATTTACACTACACGATGCATCAGTAACATGCTTATAATTTAATCCTGTAGAAATGGCTTTAGCAAGCGCAAGTGCTGATAGAACAGTGAAGTATTATGACTTAGATACTTATACTCTAGTAAATATATATTTATGAAAAAAGTATTTACAATATTGATATTAATTAGATAAGCTAAACTAAGCCAGAGGCTACTAGCATCTAAAAAATTTTGTTTAACGTTGATGGAGATGTTCTATTTAGTGCAGCACATGAAAGTCTAAAAGTAAATTAAAAGTTGCCATTTTAAAGAATGAAAAACTAGTTAATTAATTAAAATTTAATTAGGTATGGAACCTAGATAAAGATGGATTGCTTCTTGATAATGTAGAGTCTTAATGGAGAGGAATCATGGATATGTAAATTTCAGAGAATGAAGATAATATAATTGGCGTTACTTCATATTAATAAAACTTTGCTTTATGGGTATGCCCTTTAAAATTAATAAATATGGATTCTTCTGAGCAAGCTATCAATAATTAACTAAACAGAGTAAAAACAGGTTAATAAAATAATTCTAATAATCCTCCTTAAAGAAACTTCTTACCATAAATAGACCCCATAAAAGGAAAATCTCCTCCTACGGATGATAATACATACGCTAAAATTCATAGCCCAGAAAACCATCTTCCTGGAAACTAAAGATCATATTCAGAAATGCATTCAAATAATTATTAGAACAACTAAGATTATCAGTATTTAAATTAAGGATATCAAAATACTCCTCAAATATTGCAAACTAAAGTAGAGAGCTATCCTAATTTACCATAAATAAATAATAACAGTGTCCATCATAATCTACCAAACTAATATGGGTATGCAAAATAATAATCTTAAGAATAGTTTGGTTACCCTAATTAATAGTAGGTCACAAACCAAAATATGCTTCCTCCAACAAAGAGCCCTTAAATCATTAATGCAGTAATTCACAATTAGTACTCAAACGATGATTAAATGTTAAATAAAAAGAAAATTGTTGAATAAGAAGAAGATGAACACATAAATGAAGCAATAATTAACAAATAATTTGAAGAACTCAACAACTAATCAAGAATTTATAATTAAATTCTTCCTCCAAAAGAATAAATTAAAATTGAATCCAACCTAAGCTCCTAATCTTCAAAAGAGGAAATTGAAGAAGAAATAGAAACATAAGAAAATAATAAAAAACAAAAACCCAAACCTCAATCACACGATGCTGTTGATAGAAATGTAATAATTTAAATTATCTTAAAACAATTTTATTATTATCATTTTATAATTTTTAAAATTAATTATTTATTTCTATTTTATACAATCAAGTTTGTGTAACCTTAATCATCAGGAGAGTAGCCCTTAGATTAGTCAAGTCTATCTATAGTAGATTCAATAGCTTAAAGCTTTCATTTGAATGCTGTTTTTGATTAATAGTAATAATAATTACTAAAGCAAACTGAATTTATTGGCGATGTAATTGTTTTAGAATTTTATTAATTTAATTAAACTGTTTTTTTTAACTAAGATCTCCAAAGAACATCAAAAATTTTTGATACTCATGAATAATAGATTAAACTATGTAAAGCCAATATAACATTGGTGGAATTAGGGAAATTCAAAATCATCTTTATATGCAATAAGTTAGTAAAATATATTTTTTGTTTTAAAATAACTGAGAATTTGGATTTTTTTAAAATTGAATTTATATTTTTTGAAAAAAATGAACACATTTTTTCAAATTGAGATGTTTGAATCTAATATTTATAATAATTTAGATTATATGATCCTTGTTATGTTATGGATGCTCTATAAATGACATTAAATATGAATAAATTATAATACGTAAATGTTGAAGGTGTTGGAACTTTACTCTAAAAATGCAAAATCTTGATTGAAAGCAAATATTAGGTAAATTTGTATTAAAAATGATGAAATTTAACAAATTGTATAATTAAATTAAAGTCGCATATTAAATTTGGTTTAGAATTTGTAAAGAAGATATTAGAATAATACAGAGATGTAATTTTATTTAATTATATTATGTAAATTTATATCGTTTCTTGTAAAGGAATTAATTAATGTGAAGACTTTTTCATTAATGAGCAAGGTAGATTTAGCAAGAGAGGAAAGAATAAAAAAGTATAACTCATTGATAGATGAGTTAAGGTCTATCTAAAAAATTTCAAGAATAAAAAAAATAGTTGAACGCAAAGCTAAAGAAGATGTAAATCAATTTCATTAAAAATTTAATCCACTAATTGAATAAATAAATAAATAGATTGGTCAGCTAGCTAATTTAGTATTGACAGATTTGAATTATCTTTTCGGTAAATTAGACAATGCAGCTCAGTAAGTTTGATTTAACATAGAAAACTTAGATTTCACTATTTGGCGAATTTAATAAAACCACACTTTACTCAATCAAATATTAATTTTAGACAAAAAATCAAACAATAAATAAATGAATCAATATTAAATCTATTAGTCAACCAATAGAATAAAATATATTTAAAAATAATTAGTTACTAAATATAATTATTTATATAATAAAATAATTTTAAATTGTAATGTATAACTCTTTTCTCTTAAGATGCTATCATTTTATTAAATATTTTTAAACATTTTTCAACAAATAATTTACATAATAAATATTTATAAATATATATTCATTAATAATAATGTATTCATTCTATTTATAGATCAATAAAAACTATCTACATTAAATTATTTAAACCTGTTAATACCTTCAAACATCTGAGCCAGAGTTTATCTGTCCTATTCTTTTGCCTAAGAAAAGTAATCATTCAAGAATTAGTTCTATGACTATGTCTTTGGCATTTCAATTTTCGATTTGGGTTTTTACATTTCAATATCTTTATTGGAAGAACCCTGGTGTAAGAAATTAAAATCTCTTGTAATTTTCGAGTTATTTGAAGGTGGGGGAATTTAAGGATTAATATTTACGTTATTAATAATTTCTCTACCTCTTGGTGTGTTGTATAAATTTTAGCATCTTAAAAATTGGGATGAGTGATCATAATCATCAACCTCTACAGCATGATTTCCGATAAAATTATCTTGGAATTGCTAAAAATCTTATCTTAAAACTCTTCTTTTAGGATTATCATAAAAGTAAGTTTAGCTCTCATAACTTTAAGGCTAATACTATCTAATTTTATCGTCATATGGGCTTCTCCGAGCTAATCTATCAATATAATTTTGGTTATTACCTTGAATATAATTAACTTGTCTTTCATCATAGTATTAAATTTAAGACTCATCTATAATTTAAATAGGTCTATCATTAATAATTTATATTGGCCTTACATCCAATATTTAGTTTATTACATTTTATTTGTTTTTTTGATTTGGATTCATGTTATTTTGGAATTTTCTATCATAAAATTGGTTTTAGAAATTTATATTTTAATCCTCCTTGTAAAAGTTTTTGTCTTCGATTTCGTAAAAATCATGATTATTTTTTTAAAGTTCCAAATTTATTTATTTATTTGAGTTATTTTGAATTCTGTTAATAAATTATTCATCATGCAATCTAGTTTGAGGCATATTTAAAGGAGATTTATATGTTTATCCTAAATTCATTTTTTCATTATTATATCCCTTTAATTTAGAGTCTTAATCTTTTACTAAAGAATACTTCCCTTATTAACTTTTAAAAAATAATATTGTTTAAATAAATAATTAATTAAAAGGTTTATTTATTTATTTACTTTTGCCCATTTTTAAGGATTGATTTGGTTTCTTTTTGTTTAGTCTCTTGGCTTTCTTTCATTTTTTCCTCCATTCTATTTTATAAATTGATTTTTTTTATATTGATTTTTAAATTAAAAATTTTTTTACATTTGTTTCTGACATTCTTCTATAATTTATGATTATGTTTTAATAAAATTTTTTATATTAGTGTTTAACAAGAATTCATTAACTTCTTTATCGCTATCATCTTCCACATCAATAAAATTTGAATTTTTGTTTTTGTTTGTTTCTAATCCTGATTTTTTAAGGTTATTATTTTGTTATATTCCTTGTTTTTTTTAATCTTGCTTATAATCTCTAGATCTTTCTCTGTCTGTTTATTATTAGTTATTGTAATTTTTTAGAGAATTCTGATCCAAATATTATTATTTTAAAAAGTTAACATCCACTATCTTTTCTTGAAGACCACTATATCTTTGATCCAAATACTTTTAAGTTGCTGATGTGTTGTTATTTCCTTCATTTTAATTTTGAGGTTTTTATAATTTATTTTGAGCTTAAAGCTAAAGTTTAGATAGCTTCTGACTTACAATGTCATGGAGTTGTTATTATTTTTATTTTTAATAGTCTTCTTTTGATGAGAATTTTTTATATTCAAACTCATCTTCTTCTTTTAGTGTATCTTTTTATTTTGACTATTTATGAGTTTAAGATTGCTTTTTAAAATCATTCGCTTCATTCTAAAATTTATTTGTGTCATTTTGCATTTATTTTTGCTTCTAATTTAAGTTGTTTTCTGTATCGCTTTAACTTTTAGTGAACTTTTGTTAAATATAATTCTTATTTCCATTTTAATTTTCATTATTTTATGTTTAAATTTTATTTTCTCTTCTTTCTTATAAATTTTAAAAAATATTTTAAGATAATTAGTTTTGTTCTGATTTTTTATTGTAATCTTATAAGTTTTATTAATTTTGAGCTTATTTTTACTCTACTGGCTTTTGATTATTATAAATAACTTAATTAATTTTCTATAATTTTGATTATTGTAATTAAAAATCATTTTATTTTAAATTTTCACTAATTTATTAATTATATGTTTCTTTTGGATTTAATTTTTAATCTTTTAACACATATTTTTACTCTTACTAATCTTAGTATTTATTTTACATTGGGATTGAAATTTATTTTTATGTTTTTTGTTTATTAGCATCACTTTTATTTTTGTTTTCATATTCTTCATCACTAACAAGCTTTTTATACTGTTTTTTAGTAGATTCTTCATCTACTTTATTGTCATAAACTTTAATAATTCTCTTTTATTCTTATTCATCAATTTCTTTGGGATGCTTTGGAGGTTATTTGTATACAAAAACAGTTTCCCCTTCTCCTTTATAAACTTATGCCTTTTTACTTTACTGTTAGGGTTTACGGATAAATTTATTTTTAAATTTTTTTTTTTATTGAATATGTTATTAAATCAAAAGACTATATTTTATATCTGTTGGTAAATACTTTTTTTTCTTTTTTAAGTTTGCAGGTTAGCTTGTCCTTTTTTCTATTGGTTTTCTTAAAAATAAAGATTCATGAGCTTTAATCAAGTTTTCATTTAGCAATAGTTTTGCTTTTTCTTCAACTTTTTTCTTAATATTTGCTTCAGAATTTTTTGAACAATCTTTTTAATCCTAATTTTCTTTAGTTTTTAATATTTTTTCTTCTTTAAATTTTTCAAAAGCTTACAATTCAGATTCAACTTTTTTTTACTAAAGTTCCACTTTTTGTTGCTTAAAAGAATCGATTTTTTCTTTTTACTGTTCTCTCAGCATTCTCAAGTTTTTAATAAAATCTGACTCAATTACTTTTTTCTCAGTTTCAGGTTTGGCTTATCCATCATCATTTTTAGTTTGTTATTCTTATTAAATAGACTACTCATTAGTATTCTATTAGTCTGAATTTTACATAATTTCTCCTTTACTCTCTTCCTTTTGAGAAAATTCACTTTTAGTAATTAAGCAATCCATCTTAAAAGAATATGATTTATTTTTTATTAAATTTTTATGAATTAGATCAACATTCTAAAAGGTATTTCAATAAAGATAAGTCCAATTATTAGAATTTTATTTAAAATAAAAACTAATTTTTTATTAAATTTGTTTATGAGACACACTATTTAGAATTAAAAAAAAAATTTTTTATTATAAATTGGAAAAAAATAATTTAAAGGTTTATAAAATGAAACTCTAAGTAACTTAAAAAAAAGAATAAATGAAATTTTTATGGGATAAAGGAACTATTAATCTTTAAGTAAAAATTCTTATTTTTTGCTCTTCATTAAAAAAATTAAATATTTTTTCTACCTTTTATATAGGCTAAAGTTTAGCCATACATTATTATTTTTTATCAATTTTATTATATTTTTTTAGTATTAATAGATGATAAGTAAACAAGTTCAAGGCTAAGTAAAAGGTAAAAGCTATTATTATTATATAAAACTAATAATTTATAGCATGAACTTATTAAAACTAAAACCTATCATTCTAATCTAAATTAATAGCATAAAAGTATATATTTACTATAGTTTTAAAGCTATTACTTATTTTGTTTAAGAATTTTATAGATAGATACTTATTTTTAGTGAAAAATATATTTAATTTCATAAAATAATCTAAAAATAAAGCATTTTATTTTCAAAAAATTGTTTTTAAATTTTTTTTTCTAAAATGTTTAAAATAATCAGTAAAAGATATAATTATGTAATTTAAAAAAAAGTATTTATATAATGCATTTATTCATATTTAGCAAAATCCTTTTGATATAATTTCAGATAAATATTAATTATTTTAAGCTTAATATCAAATTATTATAAATATTTTATTATCATCATTTCAAAAATAAAAAAAAATATTTAAAATAATTATAACAAAAATAAAAAATTTTAATGAATTGAAAGTTTTGTTATAAATTTTAATTTGAAAAAAATTTAAAGATTTAAAAAAATATTTTAAAATTAAACTATTATAAAATTATTATTATTCTCAAACAAACATTTAAAAATTTTACAGTTTTTGAATGTTATTTATTCTAAATTCTTTTGATTACTGGAAACAGAAATTTTTTTCTTCAAAATAATATTTGAAAATAAGTGGAATTTTGAAAGAAAATTTGAATGTCAGTCATATGAAATTATTTAATTTGCTTCTCCAAAAAATAACAAACGAACAAAATTTTTGATTTTGTTGTTGTAAATTGTTTATAAAAATATGATTTATAATAACAAAAGATTTATTTCTTAAGATTTAATTTCATCTAAAAAATTAATTTAACAAATTAGATTATCAGTTTTAGAATAAGCTTAGGTATAATTTGTTAGATAAAATGCTAAACAATAGCGGAATTAGTAATAGTTCATCTTAATAAGGAAGATCTTCCTCAAGGTATATTTGGAAGTTTATTTGCTTAAAATTATTTAGTTGAAGTTTAGTATTTTTTATGATATTTATTGCCATTTTTTAATATCAATTAGTGTATAATAATAACAAAGAGTATAAACGATAACTATTTAAAGATCTGGAAGTTAAGATCCTAATAACCAATATGAAAGCTTATCTTAACAGTATTCATTAATAAAAAATATAGTTAATAATAATTCAATTTAGTTATCACCTTCTTCTAATGCAAGTGGTGGAATGAACATGCTCAATTAAAAAAAAGCTAATGATTTCGGTTAATTGCCTAACAACAGCGGTATTTAAAGTTTAAATAATAATGTATTCAGTAAATTGAAAACATTATCTTCAAGATCTAGTTTACATTCTTAAGATAATTAATAATCATAAGAGTAAGCTTAATACTATCAATAGCAATCTTAATAACTTTAGCAATAATCAAATTACATTAATAACACTTTGGAGTCAGAAAAATCAAATTTCTAAAGCAACTCATTGGTTAATCAACTCAAATTAGAAATAGAAGTCCTCTCAAATAAATATGAAGATGCTTTAGAAAGACTTGCTGCTTCAGAAAGAAAAACGCCTTCTTAATAAATTAACAATAGCGAATAAATACATTAATAAATAGATGATATAAGTGTAGCAAAGATTGATTATTTATAGAAATAACTTTAATTATCATAGTTATAGCTTGAAAAAGAAAAAGAAAAGGCTTTGAAAGTTATCTTAAAACTAGAAAAGGATTTAGATGGTTAGCAAAGTTCGTTTGATTTTGAGAAACTTAAATTATCTAGCCAAATAGAATCTTTAAATGCTATTAATGATTAACTGTAAAAAGAAATAAATAAACTTAAGTCTATTCAAAAAGGTAACTTAACTTTAAATTCACTAAAGTTTGTTTTTATTTATTAGCATTTATGTATTTAAAAATGAATTTATTTTGTTTTAATTATTTTGGAAATAGAATCAGTTTTGATTAGTTAAGAAAAAGATGATGCTGAATCAGTAGTTAAGGAGTTAAGAAAATAAAATTAGATGTTAACTGATTAAATAAATTCGTTAAATTAAAATTTTAATCTTTAGAAGTAATCATAAGATAAATAAGATAAATAAACATTAATTATTTTGCAAGAATAAACTGAAAAATTTGAAAAAGAGATTTTAGTGTTGAAAAATCAAAAATAAGAGGATGAAAAGTAACTTTTTTGAAGTAGTTAATTAAAAAATTTTTAATTAAATATTTTTAAGACAAATAAATAGCTTAAAACAGCAGATTTAGTTAATACAATTAGAAAAGAGTGATTTCTTATCTGTGAATTAATCACTTAGATAAAATTAATCAGTGCTTGAAGATTAATTATAAATTTTGTAAAGTTAAAGTTAAGAAAACGAGAAGGTTAAAAGGTCTTCAGCCAAAAGCGATTTTGAAAGAGAAAAAAATGAACTTGTTTAGAATATAAAAAATCTAGAATAATAAATTTTAGTTTTGAAAAAATAGAACTTTGATGATCTTTAAAATAATAAGTAATTTATTTTGATTAAATTAATCTTATATACTAAGTTATATTTTATTCAGGAAAATTGAAGAATAAGATTTATAAATTTAGAAACTCAAAAATGAAATCAGAGAAGCAACAATTAAGCAATAAAAATTAGAATAGTTAAATGGGTAGATATAATTAGAATGCGATATATTGAGATCTAGTAAAAGAGAAAATGAATAGAGTCAAGAATAAAGGAAATAATTGTATGAAAAAGCTATAAATGACAAAGATTAAATAATTAAATAATTAAGAGACACTTTAAATGAGAACTAGTAGATGTTCCAACAATTATAAACATAATTAAATATAAAGGTAATTATTTAAACTATAATACTCCCAACCCTAACATTTTAAAAAGATTGAAATAATAGCAAACCTTGAGAAAGAAAATCAAAACACAAGGAAGCTCTACGAAGATAGATTAACTACATCGTAATAAGATTTCGAATAGCTCAAAACTTAGTTGAAAGATTAAATAGAATAAAAGGTAATTAATTAATTTTAGTAGTTTAAATATATTTTAAATATTTTTAATAGAATAAATAAGTTGAACAAATTCAGTCTTCCTTTATGAGAGATATGGAGTTACTTAAAGAATAATTTTCTCTTAAGGAAGCAGAATAACTTGATATATAAAAATAAGCTGATGAAATGAGGTAGTAACTCTTAGATGTTATAGAAGAAGTAAAGATTATAAATTTTTTTATTTAAATATAAATATTAAAAAATAATATTAAAATAGAAACAATCATGGCTTTAAAAATACGAAAAAGTTTTTGCAGAATAGTAAAGTTTATCAGAATCTTTAGGAAAAAGTTAAAAAGAATGTAACTCTCTTCAAGAAAAGCTCTTTTCTTTGTAAAATGTAGAATAAAAATAGCTAGAAGATATTTTGAAACTTAAAAATGAAATACAAATAGCTTCTGGATAATAAGGTTAAGCTTCTAATTAATTGAAATAGGCCAATCAAAAAATTTAAGAGTTAGAAAACAAAATTATTCTACTTAACTTAGAAAACCAAAAAGTGATAACAGAGAAAGAAGAAATTAACTTCAAGTTAAATCAAGCAAACCACGAACAGGATATTTTAAAAAAATAAAATGAAGAATTTAAAAACTAATTAGAATAACTTAAAAATTAAATATTATAAGAAAAAAATAAATCAAATGAATAAAATTAAGTAATTTAGAAGTTGTAATAATAAGCCAAAGAAGAAGAAGTATTAAAAGAAAATTTAATGTCTAAGATTGATAGTTTGTAATAATTTTAATAGAAATATCATGATGCATCCTTATAACTTGAATAGTTTAATATAAATATATAAGAATTTTAAAAATAAATTAAAGATTTGTCATAAATAAAAGACGAAAGTTAAATTAAAATCAATAAACTAAATTCAGAAAACTATGAAGCAACATAATAACTAATGAAAGAATAAGAATTAAACTCTACATTAAAAGGAGAAGTTTAACACTTGCAGTTACAGATTACTTAAAAAAATGGAGAATTATCTTCTTAATATGAATTGCTTAACAATAAATTGAAAGAATATGAAGAGAAGGAGTAGAAATTATTAATTTAAATTTCATAATTAAAAATTTAAGATCAAGAGTAAGAATAAAAGCTCATCAAAGAAAGAGATGAATTGCATTCTAAATTAATTAATTTAGATATAAGTACCTAAAACATTATGTCTAAACATTAAGAAGAAAGAAATAATTATGAAAGAAAGCTTTTTGATTTAAATAACTTATGTAATGAAGCAAAATAGTAGAATATTTTAAGTACTGATAAATTAACATAAGTTACCAGAGAATTAGAATAACTTAAAGAAACTAATAAATAAAAATAAAATTAAGTTTCCGAGTTGACTTTAAAATTAGAAGAGGTAACAAAGCTTAAAATCACTGATTCTTCAAAGATTTAAGAGCTATAATCATAAGTTGATTTTGTTAAGCAAGAAAAAGATAGAGAAATTAAAAAATCTATTGAATTATAAAAAAATTTAGATGGCTTAATTGCTTCAACTAGTCAAAAAGATTAAGAGATAAATTTATCAAAAATACAGATACAAGAATTAAATAGATAAATCTTAGTAAGTAACGAAACTATATAAAGCTATAAAAAGCAAGTAGACAATCTCCAAGAAAGCTATGAAAAACAGTTATCTGAACTTTCAACATTTAATGAAGATTTAAAAAGATCTAAATTATTGGATGATGAGAGAATCTAAGAGTTAACAATGAAAACATCATAGATCGAAGAGTAAATGGACCTTAGAAATTCTCAGCATCTTTAAATGAGTGGTAATTTATAAAGTTTATTTAGTTTTGAAAAGTAATTCTAATATTTACATAGAAGAATTTAGGAAAAACGAAGAACATAGATTCTAGTTACTGTGCTAACAGATGGAAATAGAAAAATAACAATTTTTGAAAGATATTTAAGATTTAACTTTAAAACTTGAAAAATGTGAAAAGGAATTAGATGAAGAAAAAAATTAGTTTATCTACTAGCTTGAATAATTTAGAGAAGAGAAATCTTAATTGCTTAAGCAAATTGAAGAGGAAAAAAGTATTAAAGAAAATACAATATTCCAAATTTAACAACAATTTGAAGAGCAAAAGATCTAATTCAGTTTGAAATTGAATGATTTAATGAATAATTAGGATAAACATATAAAGAGTATTAATAAAGAATTTGAAGAATCAAAAAAGAGAGATCAGCTTGAAATAGAATCATTGAGAAATTAAATTGATGAAGTAAAAGAAAGTTCAAACATCCAAATTTTAAATTTATCATAATAATTAGAAGAAGTAAAGATGCAAGAATAAGAAAAAGTAATGTTATTTTCACATTAAATTATTAATCAATCCATTATTCTTATCATCCTTTTCTTTATCCAATTTTTCGAAATGGTTTTAATATATTTTAGGAAAATTTTATTTATTTATTTTTTTGGAAAATTAAGGTATCTGCTGTTTTATAGCAAATGTTAGAGTAAAAGTAAACTGAAGAAAAATAGATAACTAATTTAACTTCTTAGTTGGAAGTAAAGTCTTAAGAATTAACTTAGCTTAAGATTTAAATATAATAAAATTCACATTTTGAGGTTTAGCTCTAAGATGCTGAAAATAAACTTGCAGGCTAAGTTCAATAAATTGAAAATTTGCAAAAAATAAATTAAAATCAACAAGTATAATTAGAGTAACTCAATTTGCAAATTTAAAATTTCTAAGACCATATATAGTAAAAATCAATGAAATATTCTACGAGTGAAGTAAACTTTTCAGAATAAATTGAAAAGCAATAAGAATTTATTGATAAACTAAAATCTTAAGTATCTGAATTAGAATTAAATATTTAAAAACTGAATCTTAATTCTACACAAGAAAAAACAAAATTGAATTTAGAAATCGAAAAACTAAACTAAACTATATAGAAATAGCAAAGCGATTATAATTCGTCTATTTATAAACTTAATTGTTAAATAGAAATTTATAAAAATGAAATCAATGTATTTTAATCTTAAAATAATTCTATTTAGTCAAGTAAAGACACCTTCCTTAAAGAATATGAAAAACTCCAAGAAGCGAACTCGAAATTAGTTTTAAGTAAATCAGAATTAGAAATGGAGTTAGAGATTCTTAAAAACTAAATTTAACACACTCAATAAGCAACTATTTTAGAATTTGAAGGTTTTAGGCAATTAAATGACAAGAGGATAAAAGAAATTCTTGAAAAGGATGAAAAAATATAAGATTTGCAAAACCAACTCCATTAAAGAGATATAAAAATGCTTTAGTTTAAATAAAATGATGTTGGTCTTGCCAGATAAATTGAAGATCTTTAATTGTAAGTAAAAAATTTAGAAATAGAAAGAAATTAACTGTAATAGAGCTATTAGAAATTTTAAGAAAGAATATAGTAATTGGAAGGTTAGAAGTAATAGTTTAGAGACAAATATAAAAAAATAGTTTAATAGTCAACAAGTGAATTCCTAGCTCTCAAGAGCTAAGTTGAAAATTTAGCAGTAACTTACTTAGCATAAAAATAAATCAAAAATAAAAAATTATTTTAAAAAAGAAAAAAGATGCCAATAGTTCTATTGATTCAAGTATTAGATATCAAAGCGAATCCATAAATTTAAAGATGAAGGAAGAACTCACTCTCAAAAATCAAGAACTTTAAAAAGCTTACGAGTTTATTTAAAGCAAAAAGCAAGAGTGTTCTGTTTTATCATAACAAGTAAATAATTCAGTTACAGCTAAAAATAATAAATATTTTTTTATAGTATGAAGTTTTGAAATAACAGCTCGAAAAAAAAGCAGCATCAAACTCACTTTAGAATTCTATGGAATAGGATGGTAATGAAGAATTAACACACTTAAAGCAAGAAAATGATTTACTGTAAAATAATAGAAATAAACATATTTATGATTTTAAAAATTTTAATTTAAAATAAAAATAATTAGTAAATAAAAAAATAAAACTCTTTTGCAGAATATTGTTGAACTAGAAACAAAATAAAAATCATAACAATAGATGTATACTTAATCTGATTCTATAGATAAATATTAAGATACCCAATAATCAGGTTTTTCAATGAAATAAGATAATTACATTTTTACTGAGTAAAATATTAAACAAGCCCCAATTGCTACTTAGCAATCATCGACATCTTCAACAAAAATAAAATAAAGTTTGGTTAATCCCTATCACCACTATATACCTCTTCCTCCTACTACAGAAACTTAAAGAAACGTAAATTAATCCTATTTAATTAATTGAAAAATAAAATTATATTTTTATTAAATAGAATAATAAGATTATATATAGCATAATTAATAACCAAGTTCCCAACAATGATTAGAGATATTAATAAAAGATGGGTATCCGAAACAATAGTTTTTCTAATTAAAAAATGTATGCATAGTAAAATTAATAAATTTTCCTTTCTCCTTAAACTAAATGATAAAATATTTACAAAGAGGAGAACCTAATTAATTAAAAATTCCTTTTGATAATTTTCTTATTTAATTATAAGATTGTTTTTATATGAGATATGTAACTATTTATAATATATAAGCATTACTTTTATTTTTTACACGACCATCTTAAAAACGTTTTCTTTAAAAAATAATTCTTATTTCCACATTTATTTATTTATGTTTTTTTTTCAAATTTAATTTGATATTTTATTATAAATAAAACAGTAATAAAATAAAATCTAAAATAATAAGAAATTGCCTTCATTCAAATTTTATTTAACTGAATGAATAAGATTAATTTTACAATACTAATCCAGCGTAAATTTTATATTTGCAAGTTTTATTTATTAATCCAAAAAAATAGCAAAAAGGAATTATGAGTTCAAAATATTCAGACTCGCCTTACTAGCAAAAGCAATCTGGCTATAACAAATTAAGGGGTATTGGATAAACTTCTAATACTCCCAAGAACTAAGGAAGCAACACTCCAAGGTCTAAATCTCAAAACAATCCTTAAAAAATACAATAAGAATTAGATTAACTCAATGCTAGCGGAGTTAGTCCTACAGAATTTTATAAAGTGAAATGCCAATTACTAACAGAATAAATGGCATTTGTATAAGAAGAAAGCGAAAAATTAAAAAAGCAAAACGAACATCTTAGGACCCTCAATTTTGAATATGTTAAATAGTTAAATGTAAAATGCTTTTATATCCATAAACATTACAAATATTTGCAATCAATAATATTTCTTCATTTGGTAATTTAAAATGATTTTTAAATTAAAATAAAAGGAATTGTCAGCAAGTAAACTTCGTGCAGCTGAAAAGATCATTATTACTCCAGAATTCTTTGAATCAGATAGCATTAACTAGAAGGTGAAAGATTTTATGAGAAAATTAGCAAATAATTACAAGCTTTTAGAGAAAGAATAAACTAAATTGGTTGATCATTGTAGGATAATGGAGTAAGATATTGAGAATTATAGAATCAAAGTAATAGAGGCAGACTAAATAACAGAAAAGCTGAAGTAAACAGGTTAGCATTCAATAGACTCTCTTGTTTAAAGCTTAAAAGATTCAGGTATAATTCAATTTTATCATAATAAATCTAATTTAATTTGTAAACTAATCTCAAAGAGGATAAAGTAGAGTCTCTTTCTCAACATAGCAAAGAACTTTCATTAGAATTAGCTATAAAATTAGAAAAAATATCTAACTTAGAAAGCAATATATAAGATTTAAATGTAAAAAAAAAATATTTTTATTCTACGAATGAGTAAAAAAAAAATTATAAAATAGAATGAGATAGACGATCACAAAAATGAGTATCAAAAGCTAATGACTAAATACAACAAAATGATTAGTTAGAATGAAGAGAAAAAGAATTTCGATCATAAATAAGTAAAAAATTTAAATCAAATTTGTATTCAGAAAATATTTTTAAAATAATCTAATAGATATATGAGTTATAACTTAAATGTGGGTAATTAGAGCACGAGTCAAGGCTACTGTAGGGAACCTTATAGAATTAAAATGTACAATTGAATCATTTAGACATGTAATTATTTTCTTTTGAAATAAATGAACCATTAATAATCTAAATATAGTAAAATAAAGGATTTAAGCATAGAAAATGAAAGTCTAACTAGAAGTGGTTTTTATGGTGGAAATTCTTTTAGAAGAAATTTAAGTGGAACAAGCCCAAGTGTTACATTTAAGTGACTGCAATTAATTAAAAATAAAATTTATAGTTTATAAGCTACTAAATTAATTTTAATTTATTCTAAAAAATAATAAATTTAAAAGCCAAAGAAAAATTGCTTGTATATGCATATAACACGAAATACATATAATTTAAATTTATTATGTTAATTAATTTTTTATTCTTTTATTCACTTTTTTTAATTGATCAATCAAAGTAGGGAACTCCTTTAAAAAAGTTTTGGTAATGTTAACAATCAACAACTCTGGTATTTGAATCCAGCTTTAAAATTTATTAATTATCATTTTCGTCTAACTTTAAGAAGAGAGATTTGTAATTTTCTTATAATCTCTCTGGTTTTTCTGTTTTAGGAATAACAATTATTTTCTTTTGGAGTAGATACTACAACAAAACTTAAGCGACAGAGACATTGTGCTTTTAAGCTATTTTTTTTAATGTTTCGTTATTTACAATTTTATCATACTTTGCCATAGGACTATAAGCCATAATTTGTATCCCTATGCTCTAGCAGAATTCAACCAATCTTTTTTGCTAATTAAAGACATGCACTTCAATTTAATTTACAACTGGTTTTATTTTTGAATAAGACAACAAATCAATCAAACTCTATGTTTTAAAGTTAGAAACACCAATCGATTTTGTAAGTCCTTTTTAGTAAGCATCTTCAAGCTCTTTCCACTAGGTATGTACAGGCTTATGATTAAATTGTAAATTGTCACCAGGAGGTACAAAGCTCCAGTGCAGTAAGAGTAAATCAACATATTCAAGCTGTAAATCTTATAAGCATCCTCTAACAGCTTCCTCGGTATTTTGCTATTTTAATGGTATGATTTTGGTAACAATAAATATGTCAGATCTCTTATATTTTCCTTCACTAAATATCTCTTTTAGAGCACTCCCAATCATTTTTTCATTTTGGTATATTTTTGAGGTATCAATCAATCTGTATCCTTTATCTAGAGCTGTTCTGATAAGATTAGTCATGATATCCTTGTTATTTGACTCATAAGTGCCTAGACCAAAAAGAGGAATTTATTGGCCACTAGAAAGTTATATAGTTTTATTAACTTAAAGTGTTTCATCACATCTTGTTTCACTGCTTGAAGAGCAACCCATTTGATATAATTTTTTTAATTTTATTTTTTTTTATGATTTTATTATATTTTTAGATATTTTCAGATAGGCAGGCAAGTGTTTAAATAGCAAAAAAAAATTAAACTTCTAGCCTTTCATACAAAACTTAAGGATAATGTTACTCGTTTTAATTCAAAAATTAAAATTAATTAATAATAAAAATTGAAATCAATTAATTTTTCTGATTAAATCCATTATAATATATTCTGTTGTTTTTCTATTAAAATTCTTTTTAATTAAATTTACTAATTTAACAAAAAATAATTTATAGCAATCAAAACTCCTATAAATGTGTTATTAAAATATAAAAAATTTAGATATTTGAACATATTGCAAGATCTCTATTTTAAGATTAAAAAAATTTATTCTTTCAATAATTATGGATAAATTTAGTTAATTTATTTTTTTAAAAATATTGAATATTTATTTTATGATACAAATAAATAAAAGAGGTATATTATTTTAAATTTATTTTATATTAAAAATTATTTTTAAATAGTTAAGGTCTTAATAATATGGTTAACTTAGAAATATTAACTAATGTTTCTTAAAATAAGAAATTTGTAAAAGTGTATGATGGCAAATAATATGAATATTAAAATATAAATATATAGTTCATTAGTTAGTTAATTTTTAAATACTTGATTGATTATATTTAATTATTTATCATAATCACAAAATATATAATTTATCATTTTATGATATTCTTTTTATAGAAAAATAATTATTTATTTTTTTAATATGACTATTTACAAATTAAATTTATATTAATAAATATCTATTATAATATTTTTTAGATTTTTTTCGTAAATTTATTTTTATTTAATAATAATTTTACTAATGTTTTAATTAGCTTATTATTTATTTATTTAGATTATAAAAATTAATTCTAATTATTTTATCATTCATTTTTTATAAAGTAAATTAGTAAAAGCTATTCATAGCTCATTTTTTTGTTCTTTTTTCTCTTATTTTTTCAAGGTTATCTATTATGTCTCTATGCTTTTCTTCCATTAAATCAAGTTCATAGCGAAAAGTATTTAGACCTTGAGGTTTATTTGATTTTAAGTTTGATGTTGAATCTAATATAGATTTTCCACTATTTATTAAACTCTTTCTTGACAAAATTTATTACATTCCGTTACTATATTTATTAGTATAAGATAAATCATCTGTTGGTAGAATGTTAACAGATTATTAGTAAGGTAATCGATTAGAAAAAGAATCCCTACTTTAATAATTTATTTAATAGTTAGAGTTAATGTTATTATTTGAAGCAATCATTGGAAGGTGTACTCTAGAAGAAGTATTGCCACTAGTAAGTCCACTTTATATTTATGAGTGTGAAATAGGTGAATTTATATTAAATATTTAGTTTCTGGGAATAGCTATTAGTTCATAATCTTAGGGAACAATTATTTAGTTAATCGCTGAAGGAAGTTTATATGGACCTGTGTAGTTAAGCGGGCTTTAATCCCCTAAGGTTTTTTAGTCATAGCTAAATGCTCTAAATTAGTTTTCATAGTTTCCTGTAGAAAACATAATAGGCTAGGGTTATTAATATTGAGCTCCTGACATTATCCTTTATTGTAATCGATTCTAAAAAATATTTTGGTTTTCATTAATTTTGCTTTTAGATCTTTATGATTTGAGATTTATAGAATCAGTTGAAATTGATCCATTGTTACTCAATTATTATAAATTACTTAGATTATTATGAGAATATACTTTAGGTCTAATACTATAACCATTTAAGTCGTTAAAGTCTACACTATTATTTTTGTGATCTATAAGAGACAATGGCTTATGTTGTGAAACAATTTGATCAGCATTTCTTTTGAATTAGCTTTGAGAGGCTGCTGTAGATTGATTACTTGTAGTATTTTTAGGAGAATTTTTTATTTATGATCCATTTTTGTTGACAAATTAGGGTTATTCTGATGTTGATGTTAAAAGATCCTATGGCTATCTTATATTAGTTATAATCTTAGTAGGTAACTTTTAGTTAGTTTAATTTGAATAAGAATTATTATTGAATTAATGTTCTTGATCCAGATGGTTGGTTTGATGAGACTAAGATTTTTCTATTATTAAATTAAAAAAAGTTATCTAAAATAGCTATTTAAAGATGTACTTTGTTTGCATAATTGTTTATAGAAATCTAAATAGATAAAAGGAATAATACAAATTTTTAATTTAGTGAAGAGTAAAGTTATTAATTTAACAATTACTAACTAAACTCTATTATTTTCTATTGTTTATAAATAGAGTGCCAATATTCAAACAATTTAAAAAAGTATGACAATTTTATTTAGTAACAAATTGGTTTTTATCAAAAAAAATTATTTTAATTTTTATGTAAAGCCTTCTAATAGATGATAATAAATCATACTGATAAATAGGCTTTAGTTTTATCTTATAAAAGATATGGATTCTTTTCTTTGATTAAAATATACTTGCCTTAGTTAAAAATAAATATGCAATTAAAGGACGTACCTGATAATATCAAAAATAATTCTGAACATTTAGCTTATTATATAAATTATTTAATTTTTTACTTAAGGCAGATTACTTTAAGGACCTGATTTTCTGGGATTCGACCTTTTATTGGCTTAATAGTATCCTACTATTCATCTAACTTGATAATTCATTACTTTCAATGCTAATATCTTTTTATATTGGGAGAGCTTTTTATTTAACAATTCCTTCTATGCCCTCCTTATCAATAACTGAAGTCTTTCCTTTAAATCTTTACTAAAAGTTCATTTTCAAGAATAGAACTTTATTTTTGATAATATTTCAGCAAATGTTTCAGATATGTCTTCAAATATTTATCTTTTCAATTATTTAGTTACTTAATTTAATCTTACAAGATGTTTTACTAATTTTTCTTTTAAAGTTGTTTCTGTAAATTAATAATAAAAAGTAATATATTGTGTTTGCTCTTCTATTATACTAAGCATCACTACTGCCAAGAATTAATTCATTTGAATGATTATTAATATCTCATTTTCGTTTTAATTTGTAAATTTATAATTTCTAACAATATCTATTGTAGATAATCCTATTCCAATATTTTAATGTATATACGTTCAATATCAATCAATCTCTTTGTTTTTGATTTTTTTTCTTTCTTTTTTCTTCTATTTATATGGCTTTTCTCTTTTCAAATTTTGTAAAATAAACGCTTTCCAAATTTATAAATTGATTGAGAAGGGAATTACACTCAAATAATCTGCAAAATTTAGTATCAATACAATATATATTTTAATACTTTTTCAAAAATGTGTGATATTCTTTTATAACTTACTTAATTAGCTTTTTTGCAGTTTAATTTAGAAAGATGTTAACTCATTTAAATATAAATATGGTTTTTTTTCTGATATAAACGGATGTCTTATCTAAGATATTCCTTTTATAAAGAAATGTAAATGACCTTTTAATAACAAAGTAAATATATTTTTTTACATGTATATTTAATTATTTATATCATAAAAGCCATTAAATATTTAATAAAAAACGTATGAATAATAATTTTGAGTTATTCATTAGTAGTTAAATTTTATTGTAAAAATGTGCTTTAAAATATTAAAATATAAATAATTACTACCTTAACCAATTAAATTTAAAATTTTAACCATGAAATTTTAGAAATATTAGATGATTAAAAGAGATAGCTAAGAACTTTAAGTTATTTGTTTAAAACTATCAAAAGATTTGAAATAGAAAATAAATAATTTTTTAAGATAACTTAATATGATAAAGTAAACTTCAATTTTTTACTAATTTAAACTTTTAAAGATAAATAAAAATACATCCCATCAAAAATATACAAGTAATTAGTTAAAATACATCTAAAATTTGTTAAGAAATAAAAAATAGCTCATTTTTTAAGTATTCATTTTGAACCATTTATTTTTCCCCTTTTTTAAATTAAATTAATTTGTTAAATTTTTGAATTAATTTATTACTCTTTTTATTTATTTTTAATTATTTTAGGTCTCATAAACTATTTATACTATTAACTTATCTATTTTACTAAACATGAGAATCTATTGTTTGCTTTTATATTTAATAAAATTTATTGTTAAAGAGTATTTTAAAATAAATAAATAAAACAAATTAATATCGTATCTTTTTTTCTAAAAAAATATATTTAATTTGCTTTGTAATAAATTTTTAAAGATAATTATTGTAACATTTAAATTATTAATTAGATTATATAAGTATAATATGTGCTTACATTAAGAGTCTTTAATTAATCTTCTGTCAGATAGAATAACTTTGCAAATTTAGATAATAAAAATTTAATTTCTCTTATATCAATTTCAAAAAGAAGCATGTTTTAAAGCAGAGAAACTAATTATCCAAAACACATATTTCTTTCTCTTTACTAGGTTTCTTTCAAATTTTCTCCTTTCTTTAACTCTTAACATCCCTTTAGTTCTTCAAAAGCTGAATCAAATATTGCTGATTCCCAAAAATCTCTACTCTTCCAAAGGTAATGATTCATAATTTGTTAGTATAAATAAACTTTAGAAGTAACATATTCTTTTTTTTATTGCTCTTCATTTTAATTTGGCTGATTTTATTCATTTTCATTTTATCCATTTTATTTAGATTCTTCCTCATCTTAGGGATTTCTTTCTTAAGAATTAACAACAGATTAGCTCATCTCATTTTGCTATTTTAATGAATCACTATTTTAATTTTAAATTTAATCTTTATTTATATTATCATCCCTTTCATTTTCTTTATTTTAAGCTTCATCTGTTTCAACAATTCTATATTTTATTACTTAAGATTAGATTGCATTATATTAAGTGGAAGCACTAGAACCATTTACGCTTTGTGTTCTTTCTTAGCTTTGTTCAATTTATTTATTGTATTAATCTATATCCTCCTTTTTCATAAATTAAGAAACCTAAGGAATTTAAACTTCTTGTTTGCTGAGGGTAAAATATGTGAAGCTTAAAACTAATAGCTATCTTGAGTACTTACTATCTCTAAATTTAAAGCACTTAAAAAAATAATTATAAGTTTGGTATTGCTATGAATAAAAAAATGTAATTACTGCATTTAAACAACAATTAAATAGGCATGTTAGTGCTTAAAATCCTTGAATATTAAGAGTAAATTTATTTTAAATTCTAAATATTTACATAATGAATGTAAATATCTTTGAATATTCTATATCTTCTAAAGTTTTATGATAAAACTACATTTAATTTAATAATATTTGCATATTAATTTAGATATTTTTTTATAATTTACTTCATCGTATTGATCTGTTGTAATTATCTAATCATTCCAAGCTTTTATAACTAAATCTAAAACATACTTTATTTTATCATTTGATTCAGAAGCTTCACATTCATAAATTAGCTAACCTTCTTCAACAGATTTTTTAATCATTAACTCTGATTATTAATCTAGTTTTAATTATTAATTTTCTTTAATCCTTTCCATACTGCAATCTATGAAACTAACAAACTATTCGTATTATATTTACTAATATAAGGGTTTATTAGACTTATTTTATTCAATAAACTTTTTCATATCTACACTTAAATCTAACTTATGAAGTACTTCTGCAAATAATTATATTTAGAACTCAATATTTTTATAAAATGAAGTCTCGAACATCTAATTATAAAATATCATTTATTATTTTTGTAAAATATGTATTTTCCTTTAATTTTTACGAGCATTTTAAGGATGCTATCATGTATTCTTTCATTCCTCTCTTCCTCTTACTTCTAGAATGCTTACATCACTTTCCACTTGTTTTATAAATGTAAATGTTAAGACTTCAAGAATAAAATGTAGTTTTTTTTACTTAGTCTGGGTAAAAGTACTCAACACAATAATTATAATCTTTTAGGCTTTCTTAGAATACATATTTGAATTCAGCAACTTCTCTTTCAGTTTGTGAAACTCTTTGTTTAGTTTATAATAATATTTAATGCTTTTAGTTTTTTAGAATATCATACAGTTATTAAAGTAGCAATCATTATTAAGTTAATCAAAAAAATTAAAATACTTATGAACTAAATTTTTGAATTGATAAGAAAAGAACACATATTTTTATTTTGATTACAAATAAAATACTATTTGTAAAAACAATAAATAAACCTAAATTATGAAATTTCTTTAAAAAAGTAACAATAACTATTGGAACCTATTTGATAATCTTATTCTCAATAACAACGCTACTAATTAATTATTAATTTACTTTAATCTATGTTTATCTTTTTTATCTTAAACAGTGCTAGAAGTTACCCTATAAATTTAGTTCTAAACTTAAAGGTCATCAAAGTCCCTCTTTGATTTCAAATACCTCAATCTAGTCTTTTAATGAAAAATAAAAAGATTGCCTTAAAACTCATTTTTTTAAATTTCAAATTTTTTTACTTTTTCTAATGTTTCAATAGAATTTTATAGTTCTTTTTCCAATCTTTTGCTTTCTTAAAATAGTATTTTAGCGTTTGTATCCTATTCTTTTAATATATCCCTTAAATATTCCACAACATATTGCTTAATATTTTCTGAAAGGCTATTTGTTTATTAAGCACGCTATTATAACTCCACACTATATAAATTAATCATATTTCCTACATCTCTATTTTAATAAAAATGAGTAAGTAAAAACAGCTAATTTTATTAAAACTGGTTTAAATGCGTATAAAAAAATATTTTATCAAATGAAGTAAGAAATTTTATTAAATTTTGAGTAAATCTATATCCATATTTTAGATTCATAAAATTTTTATCACTATGGTATTGTTTTATTTGCATTTAAACTCTAATTAATTTAAATTTATGCTACTATACCCTTTAGATTAACAAAGCCTTTTCATATTATTACAAATTCTCATCAAATTTTTAGAATATTCTGCCTCAACCTATGCTCTTTCGCTCAATAAATTTGTGAATTCTTCAAAGATTTTACGGCGATCCTATGAATGTTTTCTAACACTATCTCCTCTATCCTATTGTCATTAAAAAATAATATCAATCAATCTGTAAGTAGCAAAATCTCAGTTAAAAATTCTACCCATAAATCCTCAAAAATAAGGGGTATGCTATTAACAACACTTTCAGGTACCTAAATCTAATTTGGATCTACCTATTGCCTTTCTAAATTCATTTAAATTATTGAAATGTTTATATTTTTTTATCTTATGATTATGTATAGATGAGTTTTCTCCTAAAAATTAACAAAAAATATATAATAATAAATAAAATATCAATAAAGACACGAATGAGCAAAAAACCTTTTATATTTTATAAACTATTAGCTTAATAATAATATTCTTTTACTAATATTCCTGATGATAAAATTAATTCTGATAAAATTATATATAATTTTAATAAAAGGCAGAATATTTAATCATTTTAATTCTATATTTTCAAAATGTATTATTAATTTAACTTAACTCATTCATACACAATTCAAATAATTTTTAAATTATCTAAAAAAATGTAAGAAGTAAGATATTTATAAACTTTAAAAATAATTTTTATCTATAAATTTTAAAATATTTTTGTATTTAATAAATAAATTAAATATCTTATTTTTGCTTCAAAAATTTAATTCACTTAACATTTATTTTATAAAATAAAACAATCAAATTCATATAAAAAAAAAAAATAATATATTCTCAATTTTATTGGTCATCCTTGCCTAGTTAATAATTTTGTCTCCTGTGGCTTTTAGGTTTCTTAAATTCCTAAGTTTATTTTATAGCATTTATCTCAGAACTAGCAAGTTAAACAAAGCACTTTTATAAAGACTCAGTTAAATCTCCTTATTCAACAGCATCTTAGCTCATGAGCTAATTTGTATCTTAACTAATTTTAGAAATTAAACGTTAAGGAGAGTTTTTGCATTCTGTATCAGAAATTAAAGGAGTTAAATTTTTTGTTTGATCATCTTAAAAAGTTTCAGCAAAATTAGATTGTCTCTTTTTAAAAATAGAATTCTGATGAGATACTACAGGTGTATAATCTCTTGGAGTATCTTGATATATTTACATCTTTGATTTATTCATAATACCTTAAAGCTAACTTAACATATTTGTATGTTCCTAATTCTTTGATTACTCTTTATATAAAAATTTAATATATTTTTTTAAATTTAATATAAATTAAAAAATAAATTGTTAATAATTTACTTGCTTAAGACTATGTTAAAGATCTATTAAGCATTTAAGATTATAATTTATTCAGATTTTGATTAAGATTTTCTAATTTTATCTTTGTTTAATTTAAATATACTTTTCTCCAGTTCATTAAAACTCTTCCACTTTTTTTTTCATTTAGTTTCATTTTAGATGTAAATATTCTGCAACATAACTTTTGCACAATATATTTAAGCAGTTTATTTGCACTACTAGTCTAATTGTCTAGCTTGAATTTAATGATAACCAAAATCATATAACCCATATAGCAGTAATGAATTATTCCCATTAAAATTTAAAATACTTAACTAGAATATTACCTGCTCATGTAAAATAAAAAAATGCTAGGTATCAATAGTAAATAGGATATTAATTCTAACTTGAAAAGTGAGTTACTCTTAAAGGGTTAGAATTTCATGACTATTAGGACATAAGAGAAAATTATGATTATGCTCAAAATTAATATAAAATCCTAGTAATCATTTAAAAGGGTTGTAATGATAATGATGATTATTTTTAAATACATTCTGCAAAACTCCCAAAAGTAGTAATTAGGTTTAAATTCTACATAGAAAAACCCATATTTATATTTTAATATGCACTTATCAAAATTTTCATTATTTTTACCTTTGTCTTTTCTTAAATAGTATAATTGAACTAAAGGTGCAAAAACCCAAAAGAGTAAATTTGGTAGGACAAAACTATTGCTGAATTTGATATATGATTCGTCATCACAATTTATTAAAATATTGATAATTTAAAATTTTTGATCTCCTATTTTACGACATGATAAAGCTTTAGTGAAAAAAGACAGACAGTCAGGCTAAAAAAAAAGAAATACTATGTTAAACATTGTGTATTTATGGTAGTTTCCAACGCCTTTTAATTTTAATTTATTCATAACAGCAAGAAGAATTAAGAATAGAAGAAAAGTTAAGAATGGCAGTAAAGATTAACCAACTATCATAATTCTTTCTTCTCCATAGTTTTTATACATATCTGAGCTAAATAAACATTATGTACTAATTACAAGCTTACTTGAAGGTGAACCTGCAGCTGAGGGTATAGAAGATAAGAATGAAGGGATAAACTTCATATAAAATGTGAAAAGCAGGGAAGATAGCTGCAAATAATTAATTAAAACTTTAATATAGTATGATGATTCATCTAATGTGCAGCTCTTTGAAAAAGGAAGTAGCTTGAGAAATCTGAAATAATAACAAAGAGATTCATAGGTATATCTACCCATAAATAAAAATATACTCATGTATAGATATAAGAAAACCACTATCACTGAAACACTTATTATGGTTTTTTAGTAAAACTCATTACTGCATTCCTAACATTAGAACTGCTAAAATGACTGAGAATATCTTTTCCCCCATACCTGACCTATAGTATCGCATTTTTCACAAATAGGCCCTAAATACCCTTCAATGCAACCATTAATTGAATCCACCTATTCACTACAAATGTCTGGGTTCATAAAATTGCATTATAATATTTCATCTGTCTAGTTATTAGATCTCCAATAACCATCCTCCAATGTCATTTAGTTGCCAAAACAATTTGATACAAAGTTAGGACATTACTTACAAACTTGAGAATTTATTATCTTAATATCATTATTTTGCAAATATTGACTATAGTCAACTTATGGGTCACTTAGTGAATACATACCTTAAGTACATTCTTGGCAGCTAATAAGGGTAATATATGATTAATTTATTGATTCAGAGTCTATTTGCGTTTAAGAAGAAGCAAGAATTTCTCCTTATTTGCAAGGTCTAAAAGATACAAGAGTTGGAACATTTACAGAATATCCTAATGAATTAAAATTAAATTATATACTAACAGAACTTATTGATACTAATGGTAGCGAAGTTAGAGTTAAAGACTCAAAACTGAACATTTTTGTAATTTCATCATATTATTTAATTCCAATCAAGGATTATCCTTTTAATTCAATAAAACTATTTTCCTTTGTTTAGGAAGTAGCATTCTAATTAATCTCTACTTGAATAAAGTAAGAGTTTAATTCTTACATAACTGTTTATTCATAAATATTATTCTTATACTTCGTTTAATTCACTGATAAAGGTCTTCTATCATCATCTAACAGCTAGATTTTTAGCTAAAATAAACCTCCGCTTTACTGATTACTAAAATTTATGGATTTTTAAATGTTATTCAATATACCTTCATAAATTTTAATGTAATTTTGTGTTTCTGTTAAAGGGTCTAATTATTAAACTTAAAATACTTAAGGTAAAGTTCCTATATTATTTCCATATATTTCTGCAAAATTATACTACATTAAACAATTAAGCAAATATTTTTTCCATAAATTAACATCTAAATTGATTATTCTTATAGCACCTCCGATGCTTGCTGAGCTATTTGTTATAGAACTATACGAGTCTATAGTAAACTGATTGATGTTATTCAAGTAAATGCTTCCTCCGCTTCCACTTACTTTATTTTGGTAAAAGACTGAGTTATATATTTAAAATCCTTAAACTATGTCTTATGCATATAAGCTGCCACCAAGGACGCCTTAATTATTTTAAAATTTGCTTTTATTAATTTAAATTACTGTGTTAGTCAAGAACTGAATATTCCCTTCGTTACTTTAATAATTTAGATTACTTATATTTACACTGGTAGTCTTTATTGCAATCAGTATATTTTGGGTGTTAATTTTATCAATAGTAGATGGAAAAGTGTTATTAAAAATATTTCCTCCATCAAATGTTAGTGCATCTATAGAAAGAACAACAGTACCCTAATTTTGCAAATTATAAGATTTATCTGTTAATAAAAGTTATAAATCTCTATTATTTTATGCTGTAAAGTTAGAGATTTATTAAGAAATAATACCAATTAATTAAATGAAATATGTGTTTTACTACTTAAGAGAGTTTGAACAATTATATATCAATATATTTTAGAATATGATATTTGTGCTCTAAAATATATCGATTAAAGAGTTAAACATACTATTTTATACTGTTAAGTTTCTAATTGTTATTTATGCTGTTTTCATAGAATATATTAGAGATTAATTAAGTGTGTTAATTTTCAAATTGTCAATAATCATATTGCTGATAACTAAATTTTAGCAATTTGTAAAATTGAATAAATAATATTTTGAATTTATTTATTAATTTTAGACCTCTAGTAATCTATTACCTGAAATAAGTGATAAGTTACTAATATTAAAGCCGCTTAAAATAATATTATTCTTTTAATTAAACAGTAATTGTGTGTTTTGTGATAAAGTTTGATTAGAAAGAGAAATATTCTATAAGATAAAATTTTAAGAATTCTGGTTTAACTTAATTATTTGTTGGGAGTTAGTTAAATCTAAACTAAAGCTATCCATTTATAAGTCGAAATTCATACTTTAAAAAGAGTTTTGTTAAATTTAAAGACTATTTTGATTCTGATTCTATGGCCTAAATACTATACTTAGAGAGTTTTGATTCAAAAAATTCATATTATCTATGTAACTACCAATATACACAGAAAGAAAGTATAAAAGGGAAAGACTTCTAGTAGCATAGGCTTATTAAAAAGAAGTGAGTGAAGTAATAAAATTTTAGTACTAGATTTAGAAATAGCAGTTAGCATTCTGTGATAGAGAAGTTGCAGAATAACTATTCTCATAAAGCCCATAATTTATTTTTTTTTCAAAAATTGTATTTGAGGCTACTCCTATATAATTTACCAATCTTTCTGTAGATATCAAATTCGCATATAGAATTTTAGAGTCATTAAGTGTTAAGGTATCGACTAAAAGGATAGAACCAGTTTAGGCTTGAATATACAGAGATTCTATTCTGTTGACAAATACAACAATAATTTTGTTTTCATCTATTAATCTTATATCTGTAATTCTATCTTTTCTATTATATCTTCTTGCGTAACCAACAAAAGATAGACTATTCTAGAAATATACGTTAATTTAGAAGAAAGAACATATCAGCAAATATTAATTACCAAAAACTATTTACTTCCATTCATTGTCAGGAAAAGATAAATAAGTTATAAATGAATAATCTTAGAGACTTAATATTATAATATACCTTTCACTTTAAAAATTAATGAAAGCTCTTTAATTTGTTAAATCGAATTGTATAAGTTAAATAACTTTCAATACGCTACCATATATTTGAGAAGTAATTTAATTGACAGCTGACTGTAGAGGTTAACTATCAAATTCTAAAAAAGAAGAAGTATTAATTTAATGTATATTTCCAATATTGTCTAAGCAAATAAAATTATCTGATGAGTACATTTATATTTAGGAGATTGGATTAATATTATTTAGTTTGAATTATACATAGATAAGTTTTCCAATTATTAAATCATAAACACCGACTCTTCCTTAATCTGTTCCATAAACATATTACCATTTATTTGACTGAGAAGATCCAACTAAAAGGCTTGTTGTTATATCTTCGAGAGCATTTAATTAAATTTTATTTATAAGACTTTGATTAAAAAAGTCGTAATCGACAATATAATTATCAGAAGTATTAATAATTAATCTGTCTGCGTTTTGTAATAATACTCTTTTAAATTAATAGTCAGTTAATTTTTGATTTGGAGAGTTTTATGAAAATTGATTTCCTAAATCAAAATAAATAAGAATTTAAGATTAAAAAAAGAAAATGAATCTATTTAAAGCTCCTCTTTAAATTTATCTCATATCTAAAATGTTAAGAGTGAAATAGCTATAAAAAGTCATTTCTTAATTTTAGTACATATAAATATTATTATTGTAATCTGCTATTATGAAATAGATGCCTCCTTATTAGTTTATCTGAAAGTAGTGATTAGCAGGTCTACTATAAATCCTTTGGTAAGGCCTCGTGAACAGGCAATAGTTTTGTCTCCATACTCTTTGACCGTTATAAATTAAAGCAGTGTTTGATTTAAAGTCTAATTAATAATCGATCGGGGGAGGCAAAACACCAGCCTATATTTCCTCTATAGAATATGTAGAGTCTGTAGTTTTTTATGCATTATTTAAGACATTCTAAAAATTACCAAAGACATCAATATAGTTAAACATAGTATTATCATCATCATAAACCATTTTAACAACTTATCCAACTTTATTTTATTAATAAGTATTAGTCATAAATCCTGCTTATGAGTATGTTGTCAAACTATATAAAAGGATCTAGCCATATTAAATTTAAGTTGTGTAATAGGCGATTAATGATTAACTTTTAATATATAAATATCCTGCAAATGCTCCTCCTGATGGTTATATATATGACATGTATTAAAGTGTTCCTCTGAGGTAAATATAAATTGCTTTTAAATTATTAATAAAATTAATTTATTTTTATTAAAATATATTTTAAAATTAAATATTATTTTAATTAAAAACTTTTTTGAATAAATAAATAAAATGTGCTTAATAATTATTTTTAATAACATATAATGAAATTACCTGCAGAAGTCATAACGACTATATGCTAATCATATATAGAAAATGTGATAATTGGATATGCAACATCAGAGAGACCTTTTAAGTAAGAACCTGTGAAAGTATATACTTCAATATATGTTTTATACACAAAAACTTACTAATTAGCTTAATCAACCAATATAGAAGCTCCTGCTAAAATATCTTGTAATAAAATCTATTGAAATAAGGAATAATTGCTAGTTCTATCAAAGAAAACTAAATTCTATTTGTTAATTAAACAAACAGCAATTTAAGCTGGAAATAGACATTGTTGATAGTTGTCTATATTAAGCGTGCTCTATGAGGATAGGACAGTTTATTAATTTAACTTCAATGAAAATTTTATTAATCCATCACCATACAAAAATATTTCTTATGTATTCTCATCCAAAAATAAACTATTTATTTTCTTAAGAAGGCATTACTATGAGGATAACTTCAAAGAATACTTTAAATTAGGTTGTGAAAAGTTTCTTAGTATAATTTCATTGCTAATGTATGCTATTAAAACTTAAAGAGAGTCAGAAATTTAAAAGTTCTAGATAGGTTCAGTATTAGTAGAAAAAGTAATAGTTTCTAGCAGTTGGTCAGTGTGCAAAGAAAAACAATTAATGACAGAAGTAAATACGAAATACCTTCCTAGAATAAAACTCTGAAAAACTTTATTTATGTTGTCTGCTTAATTAGTAGAGAGAGAATTAAAAACTATCTAAAATAGTTTCCTGTCATTATACATAGGAGCTACTCTTAGTTAGCCAGCTAAAGAACCTGTTATTATTAATGACTAAGCTTTGTTTGAAAGAGCTGTGACAACATATTAAGTAGGTGTATAAGTAAATCTACCATAAGGGGTGAAAATAGAATCTTAACCAATAGTATAATATACTTCATAAGTGAGAGATGTATAACTAAGAGGTTGCAATGGAACTAGTATAATTACATTTTAGCCATAATTGTTCACTGTTTTTTTAAACTAAACAAAATCAGTTGCATAAAAATAAGTACCAATTTACGTTTAAGAGTTACTACTTACGTCAAAATAAAGAGTTGAATAATAATTGTAATCGAGAATTTAATTTAACTAGATTCCTAGCAGATATTTCCCCTCTTCAAAACTTTTTATTATAAATACCTTTCCAATTGTCACAGAAAATGTCTATAGCACTTACAAGTTTTAATCAAAGACTGTCAAAGTTAAATTACTATCAAATATTACAATATGAGTACCTAAAAAATTATTTTTAAAGTTAATAAAGCTATATTTAATCAATTAAAAATAATACCTCCTGTTATGCTGAAAAATTGACTACAAGTGATGGCGTACGGACTTTAGAACTGAAGCAAAGAGTTCTATATAGTTTATTGTGATAGTTTAATAGTGTAAATAGAAATAAGGTTGCTTGTATTGATGGTGATTATTTAGTTTTATTCTGTTAAAAAAGTGTTTACTAATGTGGTGAATTAAATTTAATTATTTTGTGCAACTGTTTGTCTTGAACTATCTATCACAATAGCATTATTATTAATTATTAAACATATATATTGGCTGTTTACTAAGATGTTATTATATTGTGTGGAATCGATTGGATAAATTTACTAGTCTAGCTAGTTAAATAAGTTAAATATGATTATTTAGTTACTGAAAAGAGCAACTATATAAGTTTATTGATAATCAAGAATATTCAAGCATTTCTATCCTTATTGTCTTATTTAGTATAAGTACTCCGGCTTTAATGGGTCAATAGCTTTCCATACCATTATAAGTCCATCTTAAGAACAGGAAGAAATAAAGTAATGCTTTTCATTATATAACATCTTTGAAATTTAACCATTATTGGCAAAAATTCTATCTTAAAAGTCTTTAATAATAGATTTTGATTAGCTTATTTGTCCATCTATTATTTATGCTTCTTGATTTATAGAAATTATATAATTTTTCAATTTCTAATCATTTTAAAGTGCTTTTAGTAAGATCAAATATTTAGGATTCTTTATCAAGGATGCTAATTAGTTAAAACTTTTCGATGAAATTTATATATTTTATGGATTAGAACAATCAAAAATAACCTATCTTATGTCGATTATGCTGTTTGACAATAATGCGTAAATGTTTAAATTTTAATTGTCAAGAAGATAGTTAAAAGAAATTATATTGCTTGAGAATTGTAAATAGCCTAATTAAATCTATTATAAATTACTGATATTATAAACTAAAATCTAGTTATTTGCGTTAGAAATTAATAAAACTTATTGGGCAGATTATTAGTTTGGACAGAGATTTGCATTTAAGATTTACAAATTAAGTGGCTAGTAAGTTAATTAAATCTAATTGCATTATATGTTATTTGATTAATCAATTTAGTAAACAAACAAATATAGTGTGTTTTGAAAAATTAGATAATATTATTAAATTTGTTATTATTGAATTGATTTCCCATCAATAGACTATCCACTAATTGAATTGCAATAAAAATTTTATGTATTACCAAAGAGAAAAAGTTATTAATTTGTTTGCTGTTGAGATAAATATAGAACTTAAATTTAGAAACTTTATCGATTCTATGTCAAAATAAAATAATCGAAAAAACTGATTATTTTTGTTGGGGAAGTTAAATTAACTTGATCAAAACAAGAAGACAAACCTCCTTAACCTATAACGTTAAAGTATATTATAGAACCATCATCGTTGTAGGAAGTATATACTACTTAATTAGAGCCAAATATATAGACATTACTAAAAACTTTTGCATAACCTTTAACTACGGTTGTTAATACATTCGCAGTTGAATTAGTAGGAATCCATTCCAAAATTTGTTTTGTATTTGTGTTAAGTAGAAATAATCTATTTTATGCCAAAGAGATTGCTTAAATACCACTAGGAAATGAAACTGATGTAATAAATGACCCTGTGTACTAATCAATCATATTCATGAATGTACTATACACTAGATATATTAACTGATCTTTAGTACCAAAGTAAATATATTTGATTTATTGCCCATTATTAGTTGAAGTAGGAAAACTGTAAGAACTAGTACATTGATAAGTACTTTGGCAAACTCTACTACTTAAATTAGGGATTTCCTTACTTCCGCAAACTGAGACGCATCTTTACTAGATTTAGTTGCTAGAGTCTGTGTAATTCTATAGAAATTCCCATTTTTAGCACATCGTGTATTAACATATTCCTTGCTGAGTAAGTACAAATCCATCATAACATTAAGAACATGTTTGAGCTGCAGAGTTTGATGCTGAAGAGCACTATTTACAGCCTGAAATAGAACAAGATTAAGCTCTAGCTACCAGTAAAATTGTTATTAGAAAAATAAGCTATCTTACTTAAAACTTATATTCTGTTTTTATTAAGGCTCTCATATTATGCTTGTTTTTGTTAGTTTGTTTGAATATATATTATTTCAAATTCATAAATCAATATATAAAAGAATCACTTTAGGCTAATTAATTTAAAGAGCGAAATACACAGAACTCTATTTGTTTTCACTTAAAGATTTTCTATTTAGCTTACAAGTATATCATTTGAATATAGGCTCTCAAATTCTTAAAATAAACGTATTGCTTCTTTAACTTTGAATGCAAAATAAAAGTTAAAACTTTATAATTACTATGAAGTGAATAGATTTGCTTTAAAAAACACTGTATCTATTTGTTCTTTTTTGTTAAAGAATACATAAAAATAAAAAAATTTCTTTAATTTTTTTATTAAATTCAAGAATTTATTTCATTATAACTTCTGCGTTAAACAAATAATATAAAATGCATACTTAACTGTCTTTTAAAAAATAAAAAAATTTTGTTAAAAATTAACATTAACTTCGTGTTTAAATTTTTCTATTTTTACCTAAAAAATTAGAGTTAGATCGCTCTTTTTTATTTAGAAAATAAGATTTATTTCATTTTAAAATATAAAATAAATTAAAAATAATAAAACTTTTCTCTTTTTTTTATTCGGTTATTTATTCTAAATTTATTTTTAAAAAATAAGTAATTATTTTTATGTAGATTATTTTTCTGTTATATTCAAAGTGAGTCTGTAAATTTAACTTACAATGATAAAAATAAAAGTTTTCATAAATAATTTGATTTAAAATTATTAATTTAGAAATAAATAAAAAGTGTAAATGATTCTCAGTAACCAATCATTTCTCCTATTTTGTCATTTGATTCTTTGAAATGTTTTTTAATCCTTAGATATTCTTATGAAGTTTTTGTTTTTTTTATTTTTACAGCTTTAAATCAACTCTATATTTTTATCTAGTAATAATTACTTTCCACTTCTCTATTTATGTTTTCAAGACATTTTTCAATTTTGTTTCTTTTTTACATTGAAATATAAAATAGATTATTTAGTGAATAAAAAAAGAAAATCAAAAATTTCAAATAATGATATTTACTAAAAAAATATTAAATACAAAAAAAAATCAAAAGAATATTTATTTTTAAGATATTTAAATTTTCTTTTATATTCTATAATATTTATATACCCGTCTTTTTGTATTTTTTATTATGAATGGCTCCAAATTTATTTTTTTAATAAGAGGGAGGGTTTTTTTTCTTCATTTAAAAAAGCCAATATTTATTTATTAAATGAAAAATTTGAATGATTTTTTTCAATATAAAAATCATAGAAATTAATTGAAAATAAAAAATTTACCCCCGATTTTGAAGTTTTCAATTCAAAAATTTAAAATAAAAAGCTAAATTTACAGATATATTAATAGGAAAATAATAATTAATAATTCAAATTAACTTAAATATATGTATTAATATTAAGTCGATTAAATTCTTTTTATTTTATAATATCTAAATTAAATTTCTAAATCCAAACATAAATACTTTAAATATAAAAATCAGTGCATTTAATTTTATTATTCAAATTTCATAGAAAAATAATATTATAAAAATAAGTGTATTTATTTCTATTTCAAGAATATTTTTTAGACAAAATAAAATTTTTATTGCTTCTATTTAAAATAAATTAGCCATATTTATTTATAAAAGCTAATAAATCTTAAGTAAATTTCTATATTTCATCAAATAAAATTGATAAAACTGATTAACAGATACTATTTTAAATCTTTAATGGAGTATAATATATTTCATGTAAAATTTGTCAAACATCCATTTTATAATCAAATAATATACATTCTACAGGTAAAATTTTAAGCTTACAATCTATTTTTTATTTCTAATAAATTCTATTAGCTTCAAAAGATATTAAAATACCATATAATTTATTTATTTATTGAAAATTTTCTTAATTAACACTTTTCATTTGGAGTATTTTTAAAAGAAGTATATGAAATCTCCCATAGTTTGATAATTAAAAATAATTAATAATAAATGAGTTAAAAAGTCATAATGTAAGGTTATATATTCTGTTATTTTATTTTATTCTATTTATAAATATTACATATTTTTAATTTATATAAATATAAATAAATAAAAAACTCATAGCATTAAATACATTTTTCAACCATATTTTATGTTCAACAAAATAGCGTAAGTACAATTAAGTTTATTAAGGAGCTTTAAATGATAAGTTGAATGAAAAGAAAAAAAAACTATTATTTAGATATTTTAGTTTTATTTACTGAGATCTAATGTTAAATTATTTTTAAACAGTATAAAAAGAGAAGCATTTCATCAAATTAAATTGTGAAATTACATTAATTATTACTAATATCTAAGACAAATAAAAAGATCAATTAACTTCTTTATAATGTTGTAAAAGTAAAAACAATACTTGCAGTTATCTTAAATTTTTGATTACTCTACTTTCTTATACTTTCTGATGCACATTTAAAAATAATTACGTTATACACAAATTCTCTTAATAAAAAAAATTTCTACTTTTATAAATAAATATAAGCTAAAAAAAACATCCAAATTATTATTTATTTTAAAGAAATTAGATGTAACAAAATACTTTGAATTTTTTTTAATTTGTTTGTATTTTTAATTGGAGTCAAAGTTAATTCAAAAAGATTTGCTAATAAAATCTTACAATAAACAGTAATTACAGGTATTAAATTATTTTTGCCTTATAAAAATGTAAATATATAGATTATCATTAAATGATACTTTAAATTATATTATTTGTTAAATTTTTAGGTTTTTTTATTAACTTTGTTTCATTCAATGGATTGATTTCTAAATTAGACTTAAACATAATCATATTTTGATGGTGTTAGCTAATACTACTAACTAAGTCTACACTTTCTTTATTATCATGTGGTTGTAAATTTCTTTCTGAAAAATCTTAAGATAATTAAATTTCTTTTTTAAATTTACTATATTATTTAACTGGGTCTAATTATATATCAAATTATTACTCATTTCTTAAGGTTAGTTATGAAGATTTATTTAAAAAAATTTATTTACTTTCTCTTCCACTATCTAATCTATTTGATTAAATATTTGAAAATGACTTTAGATCTAGGATTTAGTCAATCAATTTTTCATGCTCTTCTATCTTTAAATTTTCTGTAAAAAATAATTATATAAATAAATATAATTTAAAAAAAAAATTACTTAAATATGGTGTTGATTTTTTTATTATCTTAGTAGAAATGGTTGCTAAATTTTTATTACAGCTTTCTAATCTTATTTTTATTAAGTTAGAATAAACTTTTCTCCATAAAATTAGAACTCTCTCGTTTTTTTTATTTTTATCAAAGCATAAAGTCTATATTTTTCCAAAGCTTAATTTGAAAATAATAAGCTTAATTATTTTAATAATTTTACTATTTTAATTTTATAGCTTAAATCTAGCTATTAAAAAAATCATATAACCAATGTAAGAGTAATGGATTATCGCCAAAACTGCTTGATATATTGGTTAGGAGTGTTATCTATACAATGAAAATAAGAAGATACAAGGTATAAGAGTTAAATATTAAATAAACTCTATCTTTTAAAGAGACTTACTTTTAAATGGCTATATTTTTATAATGGCTATGATGTACCAAAAAAGAATTATTATGCATATTTAAGAAACTTACTCTTCATATTAATTTAAAATATTTGCAATCAATATTAAAACAACTTTTAAGTACATTCTCACAATCTCCCAATAATAGTATTAATTTTTATACTCTGAGTAGAATAATCCATATTTATACTTCATAATACATTAGTCGAGATTTTAATTATTAGTTCCTTTTTATTTCCTCAAATTATAAAATTAAACTGCAGGAATTAGTATCCAGAAAGCTAAGTTCGGAATAACATATCCAAAACTAAATTACCTGTAAGATTAATCATCACATGATAAAAGTATATTTAGGACTTAGTATTTTTATGAACCAATTTATCTACAAGAGAGTGCTTTTGTGAAGAAAAATATACAGTCAGGCTAAAAAAATAGAAATAATACATTAAACATAGTATATTTATGGTGATCTCTTACATTTTAGAATTTGAAGTACTTTTAAATAGCAAGTAAAATATAAAAAAATATGATTGTAACCAGAGGAAACAGTGATTATCCAATAATCATAATTTTCTCTTCCCCATATTTTTAAATTGTTTATGGTGTAAATAAGCATTAAGTATTAATTATCAGCTTTGTAGATGGAGATCCTGCTAATGAAGGAGCAGCAGTAAAAAATGTAGGAATAAATTTCATGTAGAATGAAAATAATATTGATGATAATTATAAATAATTAAGCAAAACTTTAATATAGTAAGATGATTCATCTTAGATACAGCTCTTAGAAAAAGGAAGTATCTTCATAAAACGTAAATAAGTACATCTTGATTCATAGATGTATCTTCCCATGAACATAAACGTGCTGAAATATAAGTAGATATAAACAGCCGCTATCATAAATATCATTACGATATATTAGTATGCTTAATTACTACACTTGTCACATTCATATTATTTAAACGACTAAACATACCTATCACCCCAAACTTCGCCAGTTGAGTCACATTTTTCACAAATTGGTCCAATATAGCCAGTTATACAACCATTTATAGTATTGTTTTATACACTGCAAATATCTGGATTTACAAAGTTGCATCCTACAATTTAATCAGTTTAATTATTAGATCTCCAATACCCATCTTCTAAAATGAGTATATTACTATAGCAGTTAGAAACAAATGGCGGGCATTACTTGCAAATCTATTAATCTATAATTTACATATTTTTGTCTTGCAAATACGTTTAATAATCTTTGGCAGGATCACTTAAAGAATATTTCCCTTATGAGCATTCTACACAGCTTATCAAATAAACTTCTGAATCTTTTGAAATATTATTATTAACTTAAATGGTAGAAGAGACTAATATCTCTCCTTGATAGCACGACCTAAAGGATATATTTGTTTTTATTTACTATGAAAATCCGAAATTGTTAAAAGAAAATTGTATTATTACTGAGCTTATAGTTATTAGAGGTAGAGATTCAAGAGTTAAAGATTCGAAATTAAACATTTTAGAGTTAGCATCGTATTGTTGAATTCCAATCAACTACTCACCTTTTAATTCAATATTCATATTTTAATTATTGAGATTTTTTAAATTTTAATTAACAGCTACTTAAATAAAGTAAGAGTTTAATTCTAGCATTGTAGATTTTTCGTATAAATTACTTATATATTTAGTTTAATTAACACTTAAAGGTCTTGAATAGTGATCTAGCAATTAAATTCTGAAACGAAGTAATCCAGCACTTTGTACGTTTTAGAAATTAATTGATGTATTATCATAGAGCATATCTAAATAGCCATTGTAAATTTTATTATAATTTTATCTTTTAACATCAAAAACTTCTACCAAAAATTGTAAAGGTAGAGTGCCTATATTATTTCCATGTAGTTCAGCATAATTATAAAGTAATTAACAACTTATTTTATAAGTATACCATAAATTAACATCTTAGTTAATAATTCTGATAGCTCCTCCTATGCTAGCATTATTATATTTTAATTAGCTTTTTTCATCAATATAAAACTAATTTACATTTTTTAAGTAAATGCTTCCACCACTCCCGCTAGCATAATTTGACATAAAAGTAGAGTTCTATATTTATATAATCTATGTAAGACTTTCAACATATATACATCCTCCATTTACTCCTTTATTATTTAAAAAGTTACTATTTTCTATGACTATTTAATCGTTTGTATAAAACTAAACATTGCCTTCATTTTTTTCATATGTCATTTAATTAATTTTTACGATTGTATTTTTAATTAAAATTAAAATATTTTATGTGTTATTGTCATCTAAATTTAATGGAAATATGTTATTTTACAATTAAACTTGAGATAAATCTAAAGTGTCTATAGATAAAATGACATTTCCTAAATTTTATTATGAATATTGATTATCTGTTAATATGAATTAAATATTTTTATTATTTTTGGCTTAAAAAAATTAAATTTATTATTATATCACCCCAATTAATTTAAAAAGATAATTGTTTTGATCTAAAAATTTATTATTACAGTTAGTTATTTAAACATTTTAAATTATAACACTTTTGCTTTGAAATATATCTATTAAAGAACCTAAAACTCCATTTGTAATTGATAAATTTCTTATTGTTATTTGATTTGTTCCTGATGAATAAATTAAACCATACTTTTCTATATTAATAGTTAAATTTTCAATTACCAGATTATTTATGATAACATTTTAGCAGTTTATGAAGTTTAAAAAATATTACTTAGAACTTATTTGCTAATATTAACTTTATAAATTTCTTTTTGAGATAAAGCTAATATTACTTATTGTTAAATTCTCAAGTATAATATTTTATTTTTGGTTAAATTATATCTAAACATCTTCTGATAAATTTTAGTTTATTAGAGATATATTTTGCAATAAAATATTCTATGATTAATTATTAGTTGTAATAATTTATTAGCTGTTTAAAATCAAATTAAAGCCGTCCATTTATAAATCAAATTTTATTGTATTGAAAGATGAGGAGTCAATAATTAAATTATTTTACTATTTAGATTAAGGTCTCAATATGATATTTTATGAATTTTAATTCAAAAAATTCATATTATTTATTTAATTTTTAATGTAGACAGAAACTTAATTTTTAATAGTAATAGTACTAGGATTTTAAAAAGTCAAAAAACTAGCAAGAGATGAAATATAATCATTGTATGATAATTAAATATAGCAACTATTAACTTATTAATTTTGTTAAACTGAAAAGTTGCTTTCGTATATTCCATAATTTATATTCTTTTCAATGATAGTACTCTAAGCTACACCTACATAATTAACTAATCTTTATTATGATACAATACTCAAATAAATTAATTTTGAATCAACTAGTTAAAAGGAATCTACTAAAACTATTGTGCTTGTTTAAACTTAAATAAAAAGAGATTCTATCCTATTTACAAAAACTGCAATTATTTTATTTTCATCTATTAATCTGATATCAGTAATTCTATCTTTTCTATTATATCTTCTAATGTATCCAATGAAAGAAAAATTATTTAAGGTATAAACATTTATTTAATAAGAAGAACATAATAATAAATAAATTTCATTTTATACTATCTACTTCCATTCATTATCTGGGAATGACAGATATGTTACTAATGAGTAATCTATTAAATTAAGTACCAAAATATATCTTTCACTTTAAAAGTTTACAAAAACTCTCTAATTTATCATATCAAATTCAATTAATTAAATCTTTTTTTAGGTGTTACTACCTAATTGTTAAGTAATCATTATTATAGACTATTAAATAGGCTAATTATTCAATTAATTAAGTGATGTACCATTAATCATGATAACATTTCCAACATTATCTAAGCAAATGAAATCATTTTAGTTATACATTTTTATTCTGAAAATTGGATTAGTATTTTTAGTTTATGTAAACTGAACTTCACTCAATTAGTGTGATATCATATCTTATACAAGAACTCTTCCTTAATCAGTTCCATAAATATATTACCATTTGTTTGATTATAAAGAACTTATTTCTAAATTGCTTATGATATCTTCTTGTGGATTCAATTAAAATTTGAAGTTAAGTTGTTGAGCAAAAAAATCATAATCAATTATGAAGTTATCTGCTGTATTTATGATTATTCTATCTGCTTTTTAAAACAGAATTCTTTTGAATGAGTAATCAGATAATAATTAATCAGGGCTTTATTGAGAGAAATTACTGCTTTAATCATTATAAATTAGAATCTATGAATTAAAAAAGAAAATAAATCTATTCAAATTTCCTTTTTATAGATATCTCATGTCTAGAATGTTAAGAGAGAAAAAGTTTTAGAATGTTACTTGATTATTCTAATACATATAAATGTTATTGCTTTAATCTGCAATAATGAAAGATAATTTTCCTAAGGTGTTAATTTAGAAGTAATGATTAGACGGTCTACTAATTACTCTTTGATATGGTCTTGTAAACATGTTGTAATTCTATCTCCATACTCTATTGTTATTATAAATAAAAGCGGAATTAGATTAAAAATCTAATATGTAATCTATTGGAGGAGGTAATATTCCTGATTATATTTCTTCTATTGAAAAAGTTTAGTCAGTTGTTTTTTATGCATTATTAAGAACATTTTAAAAATTTCCAAAAGTATCGATATAATTAAACATTTAGCTGTCATCATCGTAGATAATTTTAACAACTGGACCTATTTTATTCGCCTGATAAGTATTTGACATAGAACCTGCTTGTTGATATGTTGTTAAACTATAAAGAAGAATCTACCCATATTAAATTGTGATTGTATAATAAGCTATCAAATTTTAGCTTTTAATATACAAACAACCTGTAAAAGCTCCTCCTGATGGTTAAATTAAAGAAATATAAGTTAGGGATCCTCTTTAGTAGATGTAAATAGCTATTAATTAAATATTAATTTAATAAAATTAAAAGTTTTTTCAAAATACTTAATTACCTGCTGATGACATTATAACAATATGATTATCATAAACAGAAAAAGTTATTATTGGATATTAAACATCTGAAAGAGCATTAAGATATGAACCTGAAAAGCTATATACCTCTATATAGGTTTTATAAACAAATATTTATTAATTCTATAAATCAAAATTTAGCAAACCATATGAGAGCAAATCTTACAGCATTAAGGATTAAAATTATACATAATTTCTTAATCTATCAAAAAATATTAAATTTTATTTATTTATTAAACAAACAATAATTTATGAAGGAAATATGCATTAGATATAATTATCAGAGTTAAGAGTACCTTTTGAAGATAATAATATTTACTGATCAAGATTTGTAGATATTTTTATTAACCCATCACCAAATAAGAATAGCTCTGAAGTTACTTCATCTAAAAATAAACCATTTACTTTTTTAAGTAAACTATTGGCTTGAGATAACTTCAATGAATATTTAAGATTGGCTTTTGTAAAATCTCTCACTATGAGCTCTGTACTTATATAAGCAATCATTATTTTGAGTTTTTCAGATACATAAAATGAATTAATTGATTCGACATTTGTAGAAAAATTGATTGTTTCTATTAAATTATCTGTATGTAGACTAAAGCAATTGATTACTGAAGTTAACACAAAATACTAACCTATTCTAAAGCTTTATTAAACTTTCTTTATTTAATCTTTTGAATTAGAAGAAATTGAATTAAAAATAATTTGAAAATGAGCTCTATCATTATAAGCAGGAGCTACTCTAAGTTGACCAATAAGACTTCCAGTGAAAATTAAATTTTGTGCTATGTTTGAAGTAGCTGTTACTACATATTAAGTAGGGGCATAAATAAAAGCTCCAAAAGGTATGTTAATAGAATCTTATGTAGGATTATAATAAACCTCTATTGTGAGTGATGTATAACTAAGAGATTCAAGTGCAAATAATTTAAAAATATTTTGCCCTAAATTGTTTGTACTTTTTTTAAACTAAACGATGTCTAAAATAGTAAAATAAGAGCCAATTAAATTTTAAGATTGTGCATTTAAATCAAACTGTAAGATTGAATAATAGTAAAAATTTAGCATCTAATTTAATTATATTATAAACAAATAAACTCCCTCCTAAAAGCTTTTAATGTAAATAATTTTTCCTAAACTTACAGAGAAAGTTGCAATTATTTTAAGGTTTTAATCAAGGACTGTAACACTTGAATTGCTATCATAAAATACTAAGTGAGTACCTAATTTTAAATAAATTTTTAAAATAAAATAAAATAAAATTTTTTAATTTTTAATTTATTACCGCCATTTTATAGATTAAAAAATTGATGACATGTTATCTAATAAGCGCTTTAAAAAGTATTTTTAGGAATAAAGTTAATCGCATTGTTACTTATATCAGCAATGTATTAACTAATTAGATTATTTTAATTAATAGTAATTATATCATTTGATTGAGTCAGAAAAGAACCAATCAATTGTATAAATTGATTTGGATTATTATTTTAATTTGATTAAGCTATGATTTGCTTTGAATTATTTAACAAAATTGCTTTTTAATTAAAAATTAAGCAAACATAATTATTATTTGTTAGAATTTTTTGATATAAATTTAAGTTAAGCTGATAACTTATTTAATCTAGCTAATTAAATAAATTAAAAATAATAATTTGGTTAGTAAATGATGCAACTATGTAATAAGATTAAAATTCTAAGATATTTAAGCATTATTATCCTAACTAGCTAATTTAATAAAAAAATTCTGGTTAAAGTGGGTCTATAGCTTTCCATACTACTATCAACCCATCTTATGAACATGTTATGATAAAGTGATTTTATTCATTATAAATTATCTTAGAAATCTAACCATTATTAGTAAAGCTTCTATCTTAAAAATCTTTAACAAGAGAAAATGGTTTATATGTTAAGCTATCTATTATTTATACTTCTTATGAAATTAAAACCATGAATCTTGATTAAAGTGTATTTTCTTTGGATTCATTCAATTATATTAGAAGTTGAGGATTTTTAATAAGTGATTTCAACTATTACATCTATTATATTGTGTTTATTGACTTAAAACCTCCTTGTAAATTAGAGCTTATCTTTAAATTTAATTATTTGATGTCAACATAGTAATTAGACATAAGTGTATACAATATTATTGATTGGTTATTAACAAAAAAGTTGAAATCTATGATTTAATAATCAAATTATATGTTAGCTTCTTAATTCAATTATTAATTATTAATATTGTAGATTGATATTGAATTATTTGCATAAGACACTATCAAATATTGGAAATTTAATTAAGGATTGAAAGTTTGTGTATTAATAATTTTTATACTCAATGGCTAATATGATTATTGTACAGAATTACAGAGAGATGATTATTAATTCATTTAATAAGTGAAAATGAAAAAGCTATTTTTAAAAATTAAGTAGTAAATTAGATTTCCTTTTAACACTATGCTTTTTGCATCCAATATTTATCCGCTTATGTTGTTGCAATTAAATTATTGATTCTTACCAAACAAAGTTATTTAACTGTTATCTAAATAATTAATTGTTAAGATTTATATTTAATAACTTAAAATATTTTAAGTTATTATAAAATCTTCAAAAAATGTTACGGATATTTAAATTGGCAATTATAAATTTATTTAATCAAATAATTAAGATTATCCATTGTTAATTGAGTTAAAAAAAACGATACTATTATTGTCATTAAAAGAAGTGTAAATTATTTGATTTGTGCTTTTTAAAATAAAGATTTGACTTGACACTTTTGCATAACCTTAAGTTACAGTAGTTAAAAGAGTAATAGTGGAATTCTATGCAAAAAACTCAAATATCTATTTCGTGTTAGAGTTTAAAAGAAATAGTCTGTTATTCTTAAAAGATATAGACTAAACATTGTTTGGGAATTAAATAGTTGTCTAAAATGAACCTGTCAATTAGTCTATTATATTTAAAAACGAGCTATATACTAAATATATTTAAGAAATATCTGATCCTAAGTATATGAATTATATTTACTATCCTTTGTTAGTATTTTAAGGATAACTGTAATAACTGGTACATTAATATATGTTTTAGCACACCATATTAGATAAGTTAGGCGCTTCTGTCTCTCCGCAAATAGAAACGCAGGTATTTTAATCTTTATTAGGACTATTCATATTATTTTGGAGATATTCCCATGGTTAGCATTATGAATAAACGCAAATATTTTGTGAATTTAAAATGAAACCTTTATCACAAACAGTACATATTTCAGTATTAGATCTTATGTTTTTTGTGCATTCAAGGCAGCCATTCTATTAGCAAGAATAAATTTGACCTATTAAAATAAATGTTAATAGGAATTTAAATGAATTTAATGAATTCAATTGGTTTTTTTATGCAATCATTTTGAAAGACTCTTATTTATTTATTTATGTTTATTTTATTTAATATTTAGAAATTATTTTCGAGAGTATTGCATACTAGTCCTTATTTAATAACCAATTAAATTAGATTATAATAATAAAGTTTGTTTTTAATTTGTATCTTTTCTTAGCTTTACTTTGGAAAGTAAGAATAAATATTAAATTTAAAAAGCACCTAAATTAAGTCTTTTATGATTTAAAATATTATCTTTTGAAAAAAATAACATAAAACTAAAGAAACAGATATTATCTTTAGATCTTACCAATAAAAGCGTAAGTATTTACACCAAAAAACAAAAAAGAAATAACTGTAAATTATATTTGAAGTTGTTTTTTAAAATAGTATGAAAATAATAAAATAACTATATTGCATAATAAAATCTAATTAAATGACATCTAATAAAAAAACATTTATTTAGATTTATTCTTTAGTCTTTTTTTGTTATTTGTGATTTTTACATTATATTTTATACAATAAATAAAAAAAATTATGGTAAAAACTATAATCATTTAAATGTTTATTTTGATCATAATTAATTTTATGGGTAAATTAATAATCTTTCTTCTATATCGATATAGAAAATTTTAGAATAAATGCAAAATGAAAGAACATTTGTTTTCAATTTTCAAAGAATGAATTATTTCTTTTAAAAAAGATTTAAAGATTTGTATGAAGTTAAGTAAAATAATAAGGGTTTATGATTTTTAAATTTCATAAACATAAATAGTTCTAAGAATTACATTATATTACTTTTTTGATTTTATCAAATAAATTAATATTCCCAACCACAAATTAATAATTTGGTAAAAAAAACCAATCTTCTTAATTATTTATTTATTTATAATAATAGTTTCGTGCGTGATAGTTATTAGTGTAATTTAATTTCAAAAGAAAAAATATCTTACACAATTTCTTTCATTAAATAAATTTTGTCTATGCAAAACTAATCATAACAGGTTACAGTTTTTTGAAAGTAAATACGAAAGCTTAATAATCTTAGTATTATATGTAAAATATTTCAACTTAATTAAAATTAAATAAAACTTTTTATAATAAAAACAAAAAATCTGTATTTAAAAAAATAATTATTTATATTTTTTCATTTAATACACATACATATATTTTAATTATAATTCTTCTTTATCAATTATCTTCTATGGAAGTTTATTTGTTTATCTAGCTTAACTTACAATTAATATCTTTAAATTGACAAACTTTAATTTCTTTTGTGCTATTTATCTGATTTATTTCTTTATTAGAATTTAAGACTACAAAGCATTTCGAAGTTGAATCGGATATTTCTGAGTGATCTGCACATTCTTTGATTAAATCTTTATTTTTTAAAGAATATTCTGAAGCTTACATTTAACTTTCATTTTAATCTTTATCTTTCTAACTCATAAATCTAATAAATTCCATTTGAATATCGAATTGACTCAAACTTTTTTATCTGATAGGCATTTTGGAGTATTGGCTAGTAAAGTTAAGTCTATATTCTTTCATTGATTCGTTTCTTTTTCTATTATGTTATGGTGAATTTCTACTATATTATGTTATGTCTTAAATTTGATCATTTATTTTAGTCATATTTTCTATTTTTAAATTTCCTATATAATAATAAAATAAAATTATTGTTATTTTTAAATAATTTAAAAATTTTACTCGATTATGGGCTAAAAGATTTACAAAGATTTGTTTTTAATTTATTAAAATTGTCATTTATATGGTCTATTCTAATTTATATCAAATTAACATAAGCTTTTCGCCACAAAAGTAAAACTCTAGAGTTTTTTTTTCGATACCAAAATTAAGATTAAATTTTTCTACAGCAAATTTTTGAGATTGTATACCTCATTAACTTATTTAGAATATTATTTTGGTCATCTATTTTGAATTTAAAAATCTTTATAATCATAAAGCCTACGTAAATTAATTTGATAAAAGCCAGTAAAATTTAAAATATTTCTTATGAATAAGACCTAAATAACTATTATAAGAAAATGCAAGGTATAAGCAGTAAATAAGAAATTAGCTCTTATTTGCAAAGAGATTAACTTTTAAAAGGTTGCTTATTTATAACAAGTAAGACATAAGCAAAGATTACCATAATGCATATAATTGAAACTTAGTCTTCAAATTAGTTCAAAAGACTCGTTATCATAACTATTATTATTTTTAAGTACATTCTGACTATTTCCCAATAGTAAAAATTTGTCTTATATTCGCTATAAAAATATCCATATTTGTACTTCAGTAAACAATTATCAAAATTTTAGTTTTTAGTACCTTTTTTTTATCTTAACCTTAAGATTTATACTGTGGGAAATAATATCCAAAATATCAAATTTGGTATAACATAAATATAACTAAACTAAATATAGGATTAATCTTTACATTCAATAAGTATATTTATCATTTGAAAGCTCTATTTCCCAATTTTTCTGCATGATAAAGCCTTAGTAAAAAATTAAACACAATCTGATTAAAAAAATAAAAATACCACATTAAACATAGTATATTTATGATATGAACTCACACCTTTTAATTTAAGCTTCCTTAAAATTGTTAAAACTATATAAAAGAAGATTAAAATTGAAATAGGAAAAAGGGATTATAAGAAGATCATTATTTTTTCCTCTCCATACTTTTTAAAAGTTTCTGAATTAATTAAACACTGCGTACTAATTACTAATTTACTTGAAGGAGTACCAGCTAATTATGGCATTACATTTAAGAAAGAAGGTAAGAATTTGATATAAAAAGTAAATAGCAATGAGGAAAGTTACAAGTAGTTGATTAATAACTTAATGTAATAAGATGATTCATCTTAAACACAGCTTCTTGAAAAAGGTAAAAACTTCATAATGCGTAAATAGTTGCAACGTGATTCATAAATATATCTTTCCATGAAGAAAAATATGCTATAATATAAATAAATTATAATGAGAAATACCGATATTATAATTCCTATCTACTATACTATGTAGTCACTGCACTAATCGCATTCATATTGCTAAAAGGGTTAAGCATATCTTTATTTCCATACGGCACCAGTTGTATCACATTTTTCGCACAATGGTCCGATATATCCTTTAATACATCCATTAATAGTAGTATTTTATACACTACAAATATTCGGGTTTACATAATTACATTTCAAAATCTCGTCTGTTTAGTTATTAAATCTCCAATATCCATCCTACAATATTAAAGTATTACCTTAACAAAAAGTGACTTCAGGAGGGCACTATTTACATACTTCAGTGCTCAATTCTTCGAAATTATTTTAAATTTAATACTATTTATAATCTTTATCTGAATTAGTTAAAGAATAAGTCCCTGATGTGCATTCAGTACAACTAATTAGGCTTAATTGATTTTAGTTATTTTCTTAAGTAGAAGTTTAAATAAATGACTAAACTAAAATCTCACCAACTTAACAAGATCTAAAAGAAATATTGGTTTAAATTTATTTAGAATATCCTATACTATCAAAAGAAAATTAAATAACAACTGAACTTATATTAACATGAGGAAGAGATGTTAAAGTCAAAGATTCAAAATTAAACATTTTAGAATCTTCATCATATTGCTTAATTCCAATAAGAGCCTCACCTTTTAGTTCTATAAAACTGTTTTATTTATTTTAAGAAACAGCATTTTAATTTATTGCAACTTAGATAAAATATGAATTTAACTCTTATAAAATAGATTATTCATAAATATTATTTTTAAACTTTGTTTAATTCACAGAAAAAGGCCTTTTATTCTAGTCTTATAGTTATACTCTGAATGGAAATAACCCTCCACTTTATATATTTTAAAAATGTATTATCGTGCCCTGTGATATATTATCATCTAATTAGCCCTCAAATATTTGTTCATATTTATTTTATTTCAAATTGCTTACTTAAACTAAAAACATCATAGGAAAAGTTCCGATATTATCTCCATATATTTCACCTGAGTTGTATAACATTAGGCAATTAATATCATATTATTTCCAAAGATTAACATCTTTATTTATAATTCTAATTGCTCCTCCTATGCTAGCAGAACTGTACTTAATTAAGCTATTAGAATCTATGCTGAAGTAATTTACGTTATTCAAATAGATACTCCCTCCACTTCCACTAACTTAATTTCTTTGAAAATTAGTATCCTTTATTATAATGCTCTAATTTACTTATAAGATACTCAAGCACCCTCCAAGAACTCCAATATTATTTTGAAAGACACTCTTATTTATTAGAACAATTTAGCTTGAAATAAATTAGATGTTGCCTGTATTATTCTTAAACTAAATATTTGTAAAGTTTACTGTAGAACTTTGTATTAGTAATAATATATTTTAGATATTAAATTAGTCAGAATTTGAAGGAAATGTATTATTTACAGCATATGCACCATCAAAAACTAATGTGTCTTTTGAATAAACTATCGTAGTGTTATCTTATTATAGATACTATTTATTTGTAAGGAGCAGTTAAATATTTCTATTATTGTAAGCTTAAAAATTAATAATTTATTATGAAAGAACCCCAATCAATTAGAATGCATATTATTTGGTATTTATTTCATCATTTTAACAATTTACAATTAAAATATTTTGAAAAATAATATTTTAACTTTAGAATATATCTATTAAGGAGCTAAAATTACTATTTTATATAGTCAAATTTTTTATGATGAAAGAAGAAGTTTAATATGAGTAAATTAAGGCTGAGTTCTCATCTGCTAAAGATAAATTTTCTATGATAAAATTGCTTATTATCACTTTTTAGCATTTTGTAAAGTTAAATAGATAGGATTTATTAGTTTAAAACATCTAAAGTTGTTTATTTAATGTTATATTTTTCATAAAAATTTCATTAAAATTAACTTATTTTTTTTGATAAAATTATATTTATGAGGTTTCAGTTATATTTTAATTAAAATAAGTTATATTTTATAAGTTAATATTTTAAGAGTTTGAGTTCATCTAGATTGGTCCTTACTAATACTCAAAAATTAAATTGAAGCTGTCCATTTATATATCAAAGTTAAGACTATCAAATGAGCTTTTCTGTATTTAAATGTTATTTTAAGTTTTACTTTAAGGTCTAAACACTACACTAACGGAACTTTAATTCAAAAAATCCATATTATCAATGCTATTATTTATGTAAACTGATAATAAATACATCAAAGAAAGAGAGCTAGAACTGTATACTTATTAAAATCTTGTTGAAGCCTTAATATAATTTTAATATTGTAATTAAAAGTAACAACTTTTAGTTTATTAAGTTTAAGCTATTGGATATTGATTCTCATATAAACCATAATCAATTCTTTTTTCATAAACCGCATTTTTTGCAACTCCAATATAATTAAGTACCATTTAAGCTGAATTAAATGAAATATAAATTAATTACGGATCAATCATAGGTAAAGAATCGACTAATGTTACTGAATTAAATGAAATTAATAAAGATTCTATTCTGTTAACGAAAACAACTATGATTTTGTTATTTTCTATCAATTTAATATCAGTAATTCTATCCTTTCTATTATATCTTCTAATGTTTCCTATAAAAGATAAGTTAGAAAATTAATGAATATTTAACTAATAAGTAGAAGACAATATTAAATATTAATCATTAAACACCATCGTTTTCCATTCATTGTCAGGAAAAGATATGTAATTTATCAGGGAATAATCTACTAAGCTAAAAATTGAAACAAAACTCTGTCTTTTAAAGTTTACAAAATATCTTTAAAATTTCATATCAAACTGAATTATTTATATTGGTTTAGACATTTTACTACCGAATATTTATTAAATATTTTAATTAATTGATTATTAGATAGGCTAATTACTATATTCTGTTAAGGTTTAACTATTTATCATATAAATATTTCCAAAATTATCTAAACAAATAAAGTCATTTTAAGAATATATTTATATTGATTATATTGCTTAATTGATTGGTTATTAAAAATTGACAAAAGTTTATGTAAAAGCAATTAAATCATAAACTCCTACTCTACCTTAGTCTGTTCCATAAACAAATAGCCACTAATTAGAAAGAGAAGATCCTATTTCAAGAAAAGTTATAATGTCTTCGAAAGTGTTCAATTAAAACTTATTATTTAGTTAATAGCTAAAGAAGTCATAATCTATAATAAAATTATCAGCTGTATTGATTATTATTCTACTTGTAGATTATAATATAACTCTCTTAAATTTATAATCAGACAAAACAAAATCAGGTGTTTATTAAGTGAAATTACTATTTTAATTATTATAGAGAAGTATTTATTAATTAAAAAAGAAGATGAATCTTATTTAAGCTTCTCTTTATACTATCCTCATATCTAAAATATTATCAGTAAATTAATTTAAGAAGGTTAATAAATAGTTTTGATACATGTAAATGTTATTATAATAATCGGAGATTACAAACTATTAAAATTCTTGATTTTTTATTTAAAAGTAGTGATTAGCTGGAATACTTATTATCCTTTAGTAAGGTCTTGTAAATAAATTATAATTATGTCTCCAAACTCTTTATCCATTATACACAAAAGCAACATTTGATTTGAAATCAAGCTAGTAATCTATGGGAGAATCTAGAATACCTTATTATATTTCTTCAATCACAAATGTCTAATCTGTTGTCTTTTATGCATTATTTAAAACATTTTAATAATTTCCATATTAATCTATATAATTAAACATTTGGCTATCATCATCGTACATTATTTTAACAACTTTTCCAATCTTATTTTAAAAGTAAGTGTTTGTTAAAAAACCTGCTTATTGATAAATAGCTAAGCTATAAAGCAAAACTTAGCCATATTAATTCAAACTTAGATAATAAGCAATTAACTATTAGCTTTTTATGTATAGATAACCTATGAAGTTTCCACCTGAAGGAGAAATGAATGTCATATAAGTTAATGTACCTCTTAGATAGATGTATATTTCTATTTTTTAAAATTAGGTTGTTATTTACTTATTTAAAAAAATTAAAAAATAAAAATACGAGCTGAAGAATAAACAATTATGTGTTAATCATAAATTGAGAATGAAATGATTGGATATTACACATCAGAAATCCCTTTTAAATATGATCCAGTAAAACTATAAACTTCAAAATAAGTCTTATATACAAAAACTTATTTATTTATTGTATCAGCTACAATTGAAGCACCAGAAAGCTAATCTTAAAGTACAAAAGTCTAAAATAACAAAAAATTTTCTGATCTATCAAAAAATACCATGTTTTAATTGTTAATAATGCAAACTATAATTTCAGTTGGAAAAAGGCATTTTTTATAATTATCGAGATTGAGAGTTTTTGCAGGTGATATTAAAGTTTGTTAACTAAAATCTAAAGAAATTTTAATCAATCCATCACCATATAAAAATAATTCAGATGTATTTTCATCTAAAAAAAATCCATTAATTTTTTTAAGCAAACTCTATTAGGAAGATAATTTTAATGAAAATTTTGCTGTTTATAATTTAAAATCTCTTAGGATAATTTCTGTACTTATATATGAAACTAAAATTTAAAGAGGATTTGAAATAAAAAAATTATAAATAGATTCTTGTTAAGTGGAGAAATTAATTGTTTCTTATAATTGATTTGTATGTAAGCTAAAGCAGTTGATTTTAGAGGTAAAAACAAAATATTTACCTAATTAAAAACTTTGATATACTTTAACTACTTAATCTAGAGAATTATTTGATGTAGAATTAAATACTATTTAAAATGCTGATATATTATTTGTTGGTAATACTCTAAGTTACCCGCTTTGAGATCCAGCAAAGATCAAAGATTATTCTTAATTAGATATAGATTAAGTAATAATTTCAATTGGAATAAAACTAAAAAATCCAAATGATGCATTAATAGTATCTTTATTTATATCTATATACACTTCATAACTAAGAGAAGTGTAACTTGTTGGTAGCATGGGTATAACTTTTATTATATTTTAACCAAGGTGATTGACCACTCTCTTAAGCTAAACAAAATCTACTGCACTAGGATATGTACCCATTTCAATATTAGTTTGATTGCTTAAGTCCAAATATAAACATGAATATTAGTTGTATCCTATTATTTAATTCAGCTAAATACCTAAAAGGTATTTACCTTCTTCAAAGCTTTTTATTTAGTACACAATTCCAACCGTAATTGGAAGCACGATTACAGTTTATAAATTTTAATCAATAATTGTTAATTTGAAATTCTCATCAAAAAAAGCAATATGAAATCCTATTTTAAAATATAAATTAGAAATTGAAAAACTAATAAGATTTACCTCCATTTGATAAATTAAAATATGAATAACAGGTTATTTTGCTAAGGCTCTGAAATGTTTTTCTAGGGCTTGAGTTGATAACACCATTTACAAAATCTATACTATAGACTTAAATGAGATAGGATAAGTTAATAGTAATTAATTCATTAGATTCAGAGAGAAAAGTATCAACTAATGAAGTAAATTAAGAAGGATTGCTATTTTGTTAAGATTAAGCTATCGTTTATTTAGATTAGTTTAGAATGATGGAAATTTTATTCGCTATTAAACACATATAATTACTATTAACTAGTATTTATGAAAATTAAAAAGAATCCATTTAAAAAAATGTAACATCAGTCTAATTAAATAAGTTAAATATTGTAATCTGATTTGAAAATATAGCAATTATTTGGGTTGATTAATAGCTTAAAATATTCAAGCATTAGCTTCCTTATTGCTAGATATAATATTAAAAAGCTGGGGATAGAGGATCTATTGTCTTCCATACCATAATAAGCCCATCTATAGAACATGAAATTAAGAAATAATATTTTTCTATATAGAGAATTTTAGATATTTTTCCACTGTTTTAGTAAATCTTGTTTTAAAAATCTTTAATTATAGATACTGTTTTATTTAAATAACCCCCATCAATTATTTAAACTTCTTGTGATGCCAATACCATAGAGTTTATTAATTAATTACCTTACAATGAGTAATTCAATTAAATTAAGAATTACGGATTATTAATCAGCGAGGGTAATTAATTTAATTACATTGTGGTAATAATTATATCCAAAGTATTTTTACAATCAAAAGTTAATTTTTTGATATTAATAATGTTATTTGATAGTAATGAATAAATGTAAATTTCATTTATCTTTTACAAATAATTAAAGCTCACTATACTTTTATCATAACTTAATGTTAATAATTAAGTAATTTAATAATTATAGCTATTATACACAACAATATTTTAGTTATAAGAAACAAGTAGCAGTTTCTAATTATTTTTGAGATCTATGCATACGTTTGTATCTATCAACTTTAATTAAAGTGGTTAATATTACTATTAAATTAAGTGACACTCTACGGATTATTTTTTGATTTCATATGAATAAATATTCAAACTATCTTCAAATAATAATATAAATTATTAGCCATCTTCAAAAATGAAATAATTTGCATCTAAAACTTATCCTTTTATTTAACTACAATAGTACTTTTAGGTATTTCCAAAGAGATAAAGTTACTGATTTGGATAAGTGTAATCAGCATATATGATTTAAATTTAAAAGGTTAACACATTTTATGTTACAATAAAGTCTTCAAAAAACGATACTGTTTATTAAGGTGATGTTAAGTTTATTTGGTCAAGTAAACTAGATTAGCCTTAATTAACAGAATTAAAGTATATTAGTGAATTGTTATCATTGTAAGAAGTATAAATTATTTAGTTTGTATCTCTCAATATGTATATTTTACTTGTAACTTTTGCATATCCTTATGTTATTGTAGTTAAAATATTTGCAGTCATACTCGAAGGTATCCATTCTAGAATCTATTTTGTATTAGTATTGAGAAGAAATAGTCTATTTTGAGTTAGAGATATCGATTAAACACCATTAGGAAAAGAAAATGATGTTACAAAAGATCCACTATCTTGGTCAATCATGTTTAAAAACGTCCTGTAAACTAAATAAATTAATTTATCTTAGACCCCATAATAAACATAAAGTATTTGCTAACCCTTATTTGTATTCGAAGGGTAGATAAATGAATTCGTGCACTGATATGTAGCTTCGCAAACTCTACTAACTTAATTAGCCATTTAGGTCTCTTCACAGAGTGATACACATCTATATTATGTCTAGTTGCTATTATCTTTTTACATCTGTACATATTCCCAAGATTAGCATTATTAGTAAACACATATACCTTACTAATTCAAAATAAAATTTTCCATGCATTATGAGCAGACTTCCAATTTAGAAATAATATTTTATGTGCATTTTAAACAACCAACAGTTTAACATGCAGAAGAATACTTGATCATTATGCAGAGAAAGATTAAAAATGCTATCAGTTTAAAGAACATTTTGATCAAATTCTTATTTTGTATTTTTTGAGATTGGGATATTTTTTTCTAGATTTTTGATTTAATGTGTTATAAAAATATTAATTTAAAACGTGAATATTAATTTGAAGATTATTAATACAACTTAGGACAGTTTATTTAATCTATAAAAAATATGAATTTTAAATGCTAATCATAAATTGAAAGCCTAAAAAAGTAAGTATTCTAAGGTAAATTTTGTCGAAGAAGGTTAAATTTAATTTTACCATAAAAATTGTTCAATATATTTATTTTCGATAATTCTTAGATGTTAATTTACATATTATTAACATAGAACTCAAGTTAATTTATTTAGTTTATTTTTTTTAATAATTCATAATTTTATTTTGTATTCTGTTTGTATTATTTTTTCAAAAAATATTTAGTTTGAAGGATAAATTCATAAATAAAAGAAAATATGATTAATAATTAGAAAATTTTAAGAAAGGATACTATTATTTAATCAATATAAAAATAAATAATAAAATTATAAATTGTAAGCTATTTTTAGTGTAATCTAAATAAAGATTCATACCTCAAAAATATCTATAAATTATAATAAAAATAAATCTTTATTTTAATCTTTTTTAACTCATTTAATTTCATAGTATTTTACAACATTAAATAAAAATATCAATATCTGTAAAATATATTTATTTTTAATAGAATAAATCTTATTATTATATAAATGGTAAATAAATTTATAATTTAAATGAGATATATATAACAAAAATTTTTTTAGTAATTATAATCCAGTATTTTTATTTAAAAATACCTATTTTATAATGTTGATTTTATTTATAATTTGGCAGAATAAATATTGTACTAAATATTTTTTTTTTAATTTTGTATTTTAGTGATTTTGAGTAAAAAAAAAATATATAAATAATATCTATTATTGATGTTGTTAATAATTTAAATTTAAGATATTAGTTAAAACAAATTTATTTATTTGCAAAAGAATTTTTTCATGTATAAGCTAACTAAAATAAATTAAATAATATTTTTTAATTATTGCTTATAATTAAAACTGAAAAATTAAATATTTTTTACTATCATTTTATTATTTATTGGATAAATATTTACAAGAAAAGTTTATATTTATTTTTGGAAAAGCCTATTTGATATATTTGGTATTAAAGAGAAACATTTTTTGATTGTGCGAAATTAATTTTATTTTGATATTAAATTTAAAAAGAAGAACATTATAAGATTAGTTTTTATATTGAAATTTAGTATTTTGTTAAAAATAAATACATATTAAAATTATTATGTATTTATTATCCAATCAAATTTATTGTAAATAGAATTAATATGATTGGTAATAATATATTATTTAGTCAATTTATTAATAATCAAATTTATATTAATTATTTCTTAGAAAAAAAATCAAGTAAAGTTTAGTATTTAAGGCGTAAATTCGAGTTTATTTAGATTTAGCATTATCATTTTAAAATAAATATAAATGAGTTAACTATAATAGAAGCAGTAAAGTATGTATAAATTCATATTTAATTACTTCTGAAAAATTAGTCAGAGACAAATTGAATTTTATTAAATATAGTGTAGAATGGAAATATGCATGAATTACAGAATGTAAACGGAAATGATCATGAAGTAGAGAGAAATAGAGTTATTGAATCGTACAGTTTTATTTATACTAATAGGATAGGGATTATAATTTAATGTTTTTATTTAAATAAGAATCAGATAGCAAATAAGCGAGCTAGAGGCTAAGGACGTGTGGTTGAAAAAATAAAATCAAAAAACAAAAGAATTAAGCAAATGGAAAGGAGAAGATAAATGTATGTGTCAAATATTTTGAATAGAATAATTAATTAAAACATGATGTTATTATTAATTTAATATTGAGAAATAAAGTTAATTAAAGCTAGCACTGCCTCATTTACTATAAATATACTTATAAATATAATTAAAACTCTGTAAATATTATATATATTACCATATTATACAATGCGATATTTTAACGTTTATAAATTAATTAACTTTTTAATGCATCTAATCTTTTTTGATATTAAAATATATAAATAAAATTTAATAATTATTTTTAAGAGTGCTTTTTGCAACAACAATCATAAATGATTTTATAAATACTAACAAATATTTAAAACTGATAATACTAATACGAAAAATAGGCTGCTTGCTGATAATCTTTTAAATGAATTATATTCAATTTTTTATCAAACTTTAATCTTCAAGGGCTTTTCATTATAATCGTCTCTATAACTAGACTGATCATCAAACTATTTTGATTGCTATTATTGTTAATATTAGTTTTTCTTTGCTTCATCATCTGATGAATAAAGAATAGGATCTTCATAGAATTTCATCTTTTATATCAAATCAGGATATTCAGAAAGACTATTCTATTAAGCATAGTTGTTGTTTTAAAGCTACTTCATACTTTACTAGCTCTCGTAAGCTTAAACTCCATTTGAAATATCTTAAGTTATTTTTCTTCCTTATGAAGTGCTATTAAGCATTAACATTGCGGCTACAGTAATAAGGTCATTATTGCCATTTGATTTTCCATCTGATGAAACTTTTCCTTCAGGAGCAATAATTAAATTACTTTTTCTTAAGGTTTTTTCATAATTCTTTAAGTAGTTTTATATTAAAATATATGAGACACTATTTTATTTCTTTACTCTGTCCAAAGCTTCCCCTACTAATTTCAATGCTTCTGCTTCTGATGTACTAACCAATTTTAAACTTTCAGCATCTCCCTCAGCTGATTTGATCTATGAAATTTTCTTACCTTCAGAAATATTAATTTCAGATTATTACTTTCCTTCTGATATAACAACTTCTCTTCTTTTTAATCTTTCTGCCTCAGCTTCATACTACATACTCTATTTAATTTCATTGGGAGGATCTATTTATAAAATCTCATATCTATTTAATAAAATTTAAAAAAATTATTATTGCTTTATCATTTAAATATTTTATTTTTGTAAGAAAGTTTAAGCATTTTTAATAAATAATCATTTCTTTGACAGACATAATTTTTTGAGCAAAAAATTTAAATATGAAAAAAATATTTTTGAAAAAAAAGAATAGTAAGATATATATTTTTAATACCTTAGGCAGTTTATTCCCCAAACATTAGCTGCTTTATTTACAGCCTAATTGACAGCTTTGTTTAATTCCTGACGCTCTTTAAATAGTTTATCCAACTTGATTTTACCTATTTCACTTCTTAATACTGTTAATGCAAGAAGCTTTACAGATTCTAAAGGTTTTTCTACATTATAGGATGCTTTATAAGGATCATCAATTCTAATAAATAAAGTTCCTCCAATTAATACAGTGACATTATCTTTAGTAATAGCTTGCTAATTTTCTACAGTAATTGTTTCTTCTTTCAAAGACATATTGTATGATATTCTATCCATAATTGGAATGAGAAAATGTAATCCAGGATTAAGAGTTTTATGATATTTTCCAAAACGTTCAACTATGCAAGCAGATTACTCTTTTACTATTGTAAAAAATTTAAGGCTCATCCTTCTTGTTTGATTACTAAAAATATTCAGCGGATTATACTTTTCTAACTTATTTATTTTAAACTAAATGATAACTTTAATATTTAGAAAAATATCCTATACTATTGTTTTTCAAATCGAAACTTCTTGATTTATGATACAATCAATATAAATCTTGTCACTTAATTGAATTTTTTATTGATAAGACATAAATGTATAAACAAAGCAAGATTATTCTTAAATATATTTTACTATATATTGTCTATTTTAATATTAGATTTATTTAGAAAATTCTAAAAGCAAATAAATTAGCGTTTCAATATGAGCATTTTCTAGAAATAATTTTTAAAAATTACATATTTTAAATTTATCATTATTAGATCTCAAATCAATTATATTTTAAAAGTATTACCAATATTTATCATTTTATTTCAATTTACTCTAAATCAAATAACTGTATTAAAACCTAAATATAAATGTATAAAAAAACAAATTCTACATTATATTTATTAATTTTAAAATATTTATTTTCAATATGAAACCAAATTTTGTATCTTATCTTTACATTATTTGATATCTTCACTCTAGATTATTAAGTGTTTCTTTTCTATACTTTTCTATTCCACCCTAATTTATTAGAATATATTAGGTTTTATGATTTTATTTCTATATATTTTTTAAGCTATTGAATTTTTATGCAAAAATTTTAAATTAATAAATAAAAGTTTTATAAACACGTGATAGATATCAGTAATAGCTATATTTTAGCTTGATTATTCAGCCTTAACTAAAAAATGAAAATTAATTGCTTAGATATTTTAAAAATAAAATTTTGTTAAAAATTATTAAAAAGCCGATTGTAAGATAAGCTAAAAATAACTAAATATTTTTCAAATAATAATTTTTGTTTTCTTAAATTTTTAAGAGTAAATCATAAAAAAATTCAAAAAATGTATCTAATTATAAATTAAATCTAAATTGTAAGGAATAAAAGTAGGATAAAAGCTTTAAATAATAATTCATAATTATATTTTGATAATCTGATAAATTAATTTTAATTTTTTCTTATAAAAAACAATTTAATATATAAAAAATTGTTAATTTTAAATAAAAATCTAAAATTACAAATAAATTATTTTATTTTATACATAATATATCTTTAAAAAAGTCATTTTACTTTTATATTTAAAAGCTATTTAAGAAATCTAAAGGTAAGAATAGTATTTATTATCATTTTTCAATAGAATTAAGCAAAATCTTTTTTAAGAACTCTACTTATAAATAAAAAATATTTTGAAAATAACATGATTTTTTTACAAACAAAATTTTAATTTCTTGTAAAAAAAGAAAATAATAAAAATTCATTTAAATTTCTTTAATTTTTTATTTTAAACTTGAATAATTAATTTTATGTCCAACTGTTTTAATAATTTTCAATGGTTTTTATTAATTAAATTTATTATTTATAAAAATAATAATTTATTTTTAATTTTGAATGGCATCAAGAGTTTTAGTTTTAATATCTAGACATTTCTCTTAGGTTTAATAATTTAAATTGTATTTTATAAGGTAATTAAGTAATATAGCTAAAGTATTTCATAAATATATTTATTATAATTTGCTGAGATGGGATTTATTAGAATAAAATAAAATATCTGTTTAAACTTCTTTAATAAACCTTATATATCAAATTCTTAACAATTAATTTTCTTATCCAATAAAATTAATTAGTTGAGGATTTATTAAATTTATATTTTAATGGTATTTTTGGCAATCACTATAACTAATTGCATTACAGTAAATAACTTAGTTTTCCATAAATAATCCTTTTTGATTATCAAAAAATAATAATAAAATAAAACCAAACAATAAATTAAAGGATTTATTAATTATAATTTCAATAATAAATTGATATAAACATAGTAATAATAATCAATATACTAATAGTTAGTGCTTTTTAAACTCTTACTAAATACAAATAGCATCTTTATAGAGATATTATATAAAATAGAAATACATTTAAAGTATTTTTTAATTATAATTATCATTTAGAAATAAGAAATTCTACTACTATTTAATTTAATCTATAATTTTAAAATCCTTCACTAATGGGTAGACTTGGTTAAAACTATCGCAATTCAAGATCAACATCAAAATAAGCAAAATAGCTGGAAAAGAGCAACAGCTCACCTATCAAAGAAAGTAATAAAATCTGTTATATGAACAGCAAGATTGAAAAATAAGCAAAAAAAAATTTAAATGAAATAGACTCATATGAAAATCTAATGTCAGCTAATAATAATTTTTTGTAAGATTTATACAATGATTAGTCTACTAAAAATGCAAGAATGAGTAGCGAACTTTCAGGATGGTAAAATTCAGAACCATTCCATAAACAGTAAGCATACAATTAAATATTTTCTTTCAAATCAAAACTCCTTGTTTTATTGCCAAAATATTTTAGGATAAAAAATTTTCATTTTATAATTTTCAATTAATTCCTGCTTTCAACTTTATTAAGTAGTAAATTAAAATTTAATTCATGCAATTTTACTAAAATTATTAGGGCAGATTTTTAAGATAGATAAGCTAGATTCGATAACAATTTTACAACTAATAATGAATCAAATATTATTAGTGATAGATAATCTAAAAGAGCTATATCAGCAAACTTTAACATTGGTCAAACTCCATTAGTTTCGAGAAGAAAAATTATCAAACACCAAAATGATTAGTCAACTTACGGAAGTTCATAGAAGTAATCAAAAAATGATATATCTTCTGAATTTTTACCTTAAGCTGCATAATAAACATAATCATGTAATCAAAAAATAAATTCGTTCTCCTCGCCTTAAGTACTTTTAAGCACCTTTATAGGATCAAGTTAAAAATTTAATTCCTCATAAAAATAAAATTAAGATTAATATGTTTCACCCTTTGAAATAAACTCAAAATAATTTGAATAAAATGATTAGTAAGCTTTTCCTTCAAATAATTAGTAAGGACTTTCCTAAAATAATTAAGATAATATATTAAAAAATACTGTGAGTGAATGGAAAAACTATCTTGATCGCTATGATTCATCATAAGACTTGTACAATGTACACCTTAAAAAAAGAAGAACTTCATTAATAAACTAACACGAAGCTTAATTAAGTGAAGAAAAATAAAAAGATTTTAATGCTGAAGAAATTGGAGAAAGTGATAGAAATAATGTCTTAAATTAATTATTGAGATAAAACAAACTAAAAAATATCCATAATAAAAGCAATAATCTTTCTATTGATATTTCTTAAATTAGAATATCTGCTTCAAATAATCAATCTTTTGTTGAAGATAGCTAACAATGCTAACAGTAGCTTTAAACTAATAATGGCTACTAAGTAAATTCTTAATATCCTACTAACTATAACTCAAACAACCAAAAAGAATTATCTTCACGCAATACATACAGGACCTCTAAAAGTAGCTAAGCCAATAGGATATTTGGTAAAAAAAAGAAAAGCCGCATAATGAATATGTCTGCTGTCCATTCCAATTAAAACACATTGATGGAATATCAGATAAATAATCAATTGGGGAAAACATATGTATCAAAAAATACTCTTTTTAATAGCTTAATAGAAGAAAATTAAATATCTTCATCTTCACTGATTGAAAATTAAAACAAGGTTAATTTATACCAATTGTAACCTTAAAACATAAGCAATTCTTCTTCCTAAACAGTTCTTAAATAAAAAAATAATTAGAACACTTAACCTCATTTAACAGAAAATAATCATTAAGCTTCTCAGTTTGTTCCACTTAATCCTAACATTTCTTCTAATGCTTATCATCCATAAGAGTTCTTTTCATCAAAAAATACACTGGCCTGCATCATTTAAGGAAACTAATGCACAACTCCTTAAAATAAATATCTAGAAAATTAAGATTTAAAAAGCGTGTTTTATTAAATTCTAAATAAAACAAAAGAAGAAAAGGAAGTATTAGTAAGTAATAAATCATAAATTTTAAAGTCTGTTTCTAATAATTACTAGCCAAAGCGTTCATAAAACTTCAGCTCAGTAAATTTTATTGATTTTTTGTATATTTAAATAATAATCTTTTAAAATAGGCAAATGCTGCATATCATCTTGGTAAAGAAAAGATTAAGTAAGTTATTTAATAAAAAAATAACCAAATAGCATTAAAATAGTAACAAAATACACTAAATAATAATACTTAAGCTTTAAATAGTAACTAAAACTAAGTACTTGGTTATTAAAGCAACTTCTGTAATAATAATCTTAAATAAGTAGCTATTGAAAATAATTTATTTAAAATGATAAGAAACAACAAAGAGTTGATTGTAGAAGACTAGAGTACAAAAAATAATGATAAAGTTGAAAAGTTTATTCATCTTTCAAATACAAAATATCAGAATTAAATAATTGTAAAATAAAAATAGTAAGACGAAAATAACTCTTAACCAAATCATTAAAAAATCAGAGCAAAGTCTGTTATCAATAATGAGTAACCAGAAAATTTAAAACCTTAGGATCACCAAGCGATATTTAGTAATAAAAAATACCTATATGAGCAAGCAAATAGAATTTTAAAACCAACTGTGTAAAATATATTAGCTGTTTCAAATGAAAACAATACTAATAATCATTTTAAAACAAGTAATATAAATAATTATCAGTAAGTTAAATTCTTAGAAAAATAACCAAATAACAATAACAACAATAATAATAATAATTTAAGAGAATTAAACTTGATAGATAAAAAAGTTGTTAGTGAAACAAAAACTTAAAGATATCCTATTCACTCTAACATTCTACCAATAAAACTTTGAATCTTTATAAATCTTTAAAATAAATTATTTAAAAAAAATCCTCAAAAAAATTAAGATTTTTGAAGTTAATCTTTCTTAAAATATCTTTTTTTAATCTTAAAAAATAATTCTTTTGGCATTCTTGTCTAAAATATATATAAGAATCTTACAATAATAATTATAATTATAATAAATAGTACTACAAAAATCTTTTAATATTTCTAAAAATTACAATAAATCTTATATTTCATTTAAAATTAAAGTTTATAGTGTTTATATTTTCTATATTATTTCTCTCAAGGTCTATAAACTTTTTAGTAGCATTTGTTGTTGTAAACATAATTTTATTTTAACTATTTACTGATTTACTTGTATCTAATTATAATCCCTTAAAATTTTTTGACATATTTTTAAGTACATTTGTGTATACAGAGTTAGTTTTTTTCTTTTAGGGATTTTATACTTAGCTGTTCTTAATAGTTTGAGTTTTTATTTTTTATGCTAAAGAGGCAGTTTTATTTAGATTTAATGATGAATTGTTAAGCTAAACTTAGCTGCTATTAGATAATTAATCACTAGTGTTTAAAATGCTATTATTTTTGAAAGATCTATTTTATTAAGAGACATTTCTGCAACCATTATCATTACTTCTATTAGAGACGTTGATGTTTGCACTGGGGTTTATTATATCAATCAAATTATTTTAAATTAAATTTTATATATTTTATAGAGAGGATTTAGGGACCTAGCTTGTATTTGAATTATTACTAAAATATTAATTGCCACCTTAAATTAAGCTTGCTGACCTATTTGATCTTTTGGAATTAATACTTAGACTTGAATTTGATTATTAGAATCCACTACTTAAGTTAAATTGGCTTTATATTTTATTAGTTTAGTTAATTTGGCACTAGCTCATTTAATGAGGTAATGTTTATTAAAAGCACTACTTGTCTCTTGACGAGTTTTTTGCTAATGGCTTTAGTAAGTTATCTTTCATTAAGTTTGCGTATTAAGTGTTAAATTAAATAGTCTTATTGATGTAATTATTTTTAAAAGATGTTTCCCATTTATTAGGTAGATTGGTGGTCATAGAGGCCCCAACAAAATCAAGAGTCAATATTTCCATGTGAACAGATTAGCATGATTTTTTTGTATATAATTCGAATTCATTCAGCTTTTAAGTATACATTTTTAAGATCTCATTAAAAGGTTCATTCCTCATTTCTTCAATGATATCTGTGAAATTTAAGGCTATATCTTCTTTTAATTTGTCGCACTCCTCTTAATATGTTTAAAGTTGCTTTACCATAGCATCGACTTAATTTATATTCATTTTTAAGCTTTCTTAAATAGAATATATCATATTACTTTTTTCTTAGCTTAGTACTTTCTCAAGAGTAAAGAAAAAATGTTAAACTTTCTCTTCTTACTTTATATAAAATACTCTAAGTTCTTCTCTCTTTTCATTTAAAATATTCAATAATGCTGAGCTATCTTCTCTCCATATGTCAGAAGATTTTACAAAGTGTTAAAGTTTTGATTTCTTCAAATCCTTGCACTCTTTTAGAAATAAAAAAATTATTTTTTTTAAATATTAAAGATTAATTTTAAATTGATTAAATTAAAAAATTTTGAATTTAAGAAAATATTTTTTAAGATTTATGCAATTTACCAGTATCATTTATAAAAGATTTATCTTAAAATCTTTAGGATATTTATTAGAAATTATCTTCTTTTTCTGGAAAAGTATTCGAACCGTTTCCCCAATCTGAAGGAGCATCATCCGAGAGGAAAGCTGTTTATGGCTAATAAATGATATAATTTCTTTGAAAGGTTTAGTTTTTCTATAAATTTGAGGTTTGTGAAACATTTTATAAAGGCAAATTTTAATTTTGATTCAGAATGTTTAATGTTTAATTATATTCTCTTTGAGCAATTAAATTTGTGCGTAAATCATTAAGTTGAGGGTCAATAAAAATACTATCATCAATATCCTAATATCTGTTATTGATAGATAAAGCTGTTTACATATTATTTTTTGTTTTTCCTAGGTCGTACCTTCCTTACTAGCTATACTATTAATTTTACATTTTATTTAAATCTATCTATCTATTAGCTCAATTAATTTTTAGTTATGTTTTTTTTTGATATTTATTTACTATTTTTTTGAATTCAAATGATTCGTTTAAAAATCGTGATATATATCTATTTAAACGTATATTTTTAATAGGTAAAAAATTTTTAGTTAATATTTAACTTTCTAAATATATCTACAAAAGAATCAAATAAAATAACAATTTAAAATATTTACAAATACAAATTTTAAATAAATAAATAATTTTTTTATTAAATAGCTATTTTTTATTTATAATATCACTAAAAATCAACAAATATATTATAAAATTTTGATAAATTCATATATATTTATACTAATTATAATTCAATTTTATTCTTCTACTTTATCTTCGTTGGATTCCTTATTCTCTTCATTTATTTATTCTAAATTTTTTTATTCGTTTTCTTCTTGCTAATCTGTAAATCCTTGATCTTATTCTTACTCATTAGTCTATTATTCTAATTATTGCTCATTTTCTTATTCATTTTCCTATTAATTTAATTATTGCTCATTTTCTTATTCGTTTTCTTATTAATTTAATTATTCCTCTTGCTAAGTTTTTAGAGCTAATCCTAAAGTGGCTTCATCTACTTATTCTTCATTTGCCTAAAAATCCTCTGCTTCCTCTTATATTAATTCATCTTGATTAGTTTAGCTTATTGTTAGTTGCTGATCTTCCTCTTCTATTATATTTAAAGCATCTTAAATTTATTCTTAATTCTACAATAATCCCTCATTAGCATCTGCTTCTAAATTCTCATCTTAAACAATTTTGTTATTTAAATCATTTTCTTCATTTTAATTTTCTATTTCGATTTCATTTAATTCTGCTTAATTTTATTAAATTTCCTCTTCATTTAATTTTTATATTTCTTAATCTGTTTAAGTATTTTAAACTATTTAATCTTCCTCCTATTTTTATTCTTATAAATTTTCATTTAGTTGTTCACTTTCAACTTATTAAGCTTCTTACTCAACTTCTAAGGTCTGTTTTTCTTCTAGCTAATCTGTGCTATTTTCGTTTTTAATATCAGGATTATTTTCTAATATTTTTTCTTAATCATTATCTACATTTAACGAATTATCCTCCTTACTCTTAACTTACTCTTATGTCTGTAAATTATTTTCTATTATATTTTCGGTTATATTTTACTCAGCTGCATTTGTATCATTTGAAGTTTCAATATTATTTTATATATCACTAATATTTTAATTTAAAGGATCTTAGCTTTGTTTTTCATCAATACTAACTTGTGATATCTATTAAGTTTTTTTATTTTCGGTTACTTGTAAATCTTTTACTTCACCTTCTTCAGGTTTATCTACTTATTTTAAATTTTCTTCTACTTTTTGTAGTGTTTGCTCTGTTTATTGCTTCTCTTAGCTTTTGATTTAAATTTTTGGTTTTAATGATAGTGCAGGTTTTTATTAGGTTTTTTCAGTATTTTAAGAGGTCTCAAGTGTTTGTTAAGGTTAGTTTTATTCTATTTCCATTTTTTCAGTATTAACATTTTAATTAATTGGGGTAGAAGGAGTCTGTTATTCTTATTTCTTTTTCATCATCAAAAGAGAAGGCTTTTTAGTTAAATCTATTGAAGGCTTATTTTCAGATGGCTGTTTCTCAGGAGATTCAGAATTTTTAGCTTTTTAATCTATTTGCTTTTATTGCTATTATTATTTTAATTCTAAAGTAGGAAAACTTATAGCAGGCTTAGGAATGTTTTCTTAAGGTTTTTCTGTTTAAATTTCATTTTGTTATTATATCTACTCTGTAGAAGGAGTTTATGTATTATTTTACTTTGCACCATCTTATTTATTTTTCATCATCAATAACGCCTTTTCTTTAATGCTTAGTTTAGGTTTTACCTAATTTAAAGCTTATGACGATTTCTCATTATTTTAATCGATATTTATTTTATCCTTTGGTTCTTGTGTGGGTACTTAGGTGATATTTTGTGGTTATTTTTATGCAACTAGGTTAGTTTAAGTTGTTGATTATTAGTTAGCTTGAGAGAGATTTTATTAAATATTAGGTTTTTTGATAGATAAAACAGGTAATTATGCCTTTTAAGGGATTGTATTTTAAGAAGAACTTTAATCTTTTGTTTAAACTATTTAGCTTTCTTATTTACTCTATTCTTCTTGCTTATTTTCTTCAATATCCATTTTTTCTGATTTTTGAACAGTTTCCTGAATAATTGAACCTTATTAAGTCTATTATTTTTCTTCTTAAGCTTCAATTTAATGACTTTCTTTATTATTTGGTTCTAAAATTTAGGATGATTTAATTTTAATTTCATCTTTTTATTTGGCTGGTATTGATTGCTAATCCTATTACTTTAAGTCAATTTGTGATTTCTATTGTTTTTAGATATCTATTTAGGATTAAGATTCGTTTTCTTTTACTAAATTTTTTTATTATTCAATTTCAGATTCGTTTTTATTGCTTTCTGTATTCTCAATTTACATTTATTCTTAAACTTGTTAAGACTATTCTTCTTAAATTAGCAATTGTTGTTCTTAAATTTGCTTTGATTCTTCTTAAATTTGTTATGACTCTTCTTAAACTTACTATGACTCTTCTTAAACTTGCTATGACTCTTCTTAAATTTGCTATGACTCTTCTTAAAGATTCTATGATTCTTCTTACATTTGCTACGGTTTTTCTTAAACTTGCTATGGTTCTTCTTAAACTTATAAGTTTTCTTTAGTTTATTCCTTCATCATTTACTATTATTCCTTATTTTGCTAATCTTTTTACCCTAATTAATCTTATGTTTATTTATTTGGATTATTAACTTTCTATACATTTTTATTATGGTGTGCCTTTGATTAAGCTTAAGAATTTGGATTTTGCACTTAATTAGTCTTTAATTAATTTTTTTAGTGAATATTCTCTTAATTTTAATGGTGTGATTTTTAACCGCTAACTTATTTATTTTTATTAATATTACTTTCATGAGTTGGTTTATGTTTTTCTTAAATTTTATTTTATTTAGCTTATTCTTCTATTTCCATTGAATCTATTTTTGCAATTTCATTTAATGGTGCTTATGAAGCAGTAGGAATATTTAGGTGAGAAAACATTTATCTTTTTTAATCAAATGTTACATAGGCATATTCTTTAACAGTAAGAATTTTGTTGTTGTTTTATTATTATTATTATTATTACTAATTATTTTGTTTACTATTTTAAAGTGTAGAAGTTTATTAAAGGTATATTTAATAGCTTACATATGCTTAATGTTCTCCTTTATATGAGTTTATCAAATTCTTGATGTAATCTTATCCATAATACTTTTCTAATTCTTTTAGTTAAGAAATCCTTTCTAATTTGAAATAGTGAGGAAGATTAGCTTCTAATATGGCCTTAGATTAAGGAATTTCAGCGAATTAAGACAAAAAACCATGGATAATATTAAGATTCATTTTTTTAATACCGATATTGCTATTATCAACTTGATAAAACTCTTACTCAATATCTTTAGACATGATTTTTTTATTTAAAATAAACAAATAGAAATATGCTGCAATAAATTATCTGAACTTTAACAGTTCAGTTCTTAGATCTATTTACTGCTTTTAATAATAATTATAAATACTATTTATATCTATATTGGCTACACTTTTCCATTCTAAACGAACTAATGCTTGTATTTATAGTGTTAATTTCATGCCAATAACATCTGTAAATTTAGTCAAAAGTTAGAAGTACTTTTCTTAGTTTTACATATTATTTAAACATCCATTCAATATCTGTTAAAAATAGTTAACCTTTTTATTATTCGGTGCACTTTAAAGGTTAGTAGAGTCTTTAATTACTTTATCAATAATTTCTAATAGCCCATCAGTCGCCATTGTAATTGTTTCTTCTTCTCCAGTTGTAAATTTACTGCAAAGAAAAGAAATAATTTCTTCTTAATGTTCTAAGATTTTCTCTTAACCTTCTTGATCACTAAAAATAGTAGGCTTCCATAAATTTCTTATAGGCTTACTTATTTCTTACTTTTTGACTTAACGAAGGAAAAGAAGATTGCTGATTAACAGTTTAATGAATTCTCCCCTTCTATTTGAATTTTTTATTTTCAAATAAAAAGTTTCAGCTTTTTTGATATACTAAGATACAATTTAAACATCTTAATCATCAAATCCTTTTTATAATAATTAATAAAATGTCAATTTATAATTAAATAATAAAATTAAAATCAAATAAGCTACCCTTTTTAATTAGTTCAATGCAAATATAAAAATATTTTTCGTAAATTTCTTCATTGCTCAAAAAATTTTCTAGAATTATTTTGTGATATTATATGTTATTTTAAGGAACATATTTTTAGATAATGTTAATTAGCTGCTTTTCAAGTTCTTGACTATCAAACTTTTACAAAATATTAAGTACAAACTCTAAGAATTCTTCTTAACTCTTTCCTTTTGTAAATCCAGAAACATTCTTTTTTTCTTATTAATTTTCTTCTTAATCTGAAGCTATTAATCCTTAAAAACAATTAGTGATTGAATTGGCCATTTTTAAAATCTTATCCAAAACATCTGGTTTTTCAATACTTAATTCTTACAAGAAAGAGAAAATTTCTTTTTGAAAAGATAAATTGTCATCTATACTTGCCAGCATTGCATCAATATATTGTTCAGAATATTAGAAATTTTTAATCCAAACCTATACATAAAAACCAAATTCTTAATAGTAAATAAAAATAAAGTTGAATATTTAAAATTGAGCAAATTTAACTAAAAAACTCTAAAATAAAATGTGTTTGTTTTTCATAAATATATATTCTATTTTATTTTTTAAATAACTTACTTTCATTAAATAGAATGAAATATATTTATGATTTAAATCCTCTGAATATTAGTAAATATCAATCATATGCAAAATGTGTCCAAAAGCAAACTCACTTAACTCTTTTTACACTCTACTTCTTTCTTAATTCATAGCTTTAATCTTTTTTTCTATTTCTTAAAGATTCTAACTTAGCACTTCATTTTGAATATTTGGATTTTTAATGATTTCATTTAAGAGTTCTGTAGTCTCCTCAAATAATGATGCAAATTTTATATTTGGTGTTTTTATGTCAAAGTATGCCATTTTATCTTTAAGCAACTGTGAATTTACATTTCTCTTTATTAATTTTGTTTTATTTGGTAGAGTGTTTTCTTAAGTCTATCGTCCTCCTTGAATTGAGCTCATACTAGTTAAAATTGTAGATTATTCAGCTATTTTATGTACTTTGTTTATATTTCCTTTTAATAAAACTAAAATTGTTAATCAATATGCAGTAATATAATTTTTAATAGATTTTATTTATTCAAATTAATTAATTATTTTTATTAGATAGCCACATATGTTATAAATAAATAAATATGCTATCTATCTACCTACCTACCTACCTAAGTAAAAATATCTTCAATAAAAATTATTTAAAAGAATCTTATTTCTTCTAAAATCAAATGTACATTTATAATTTGAAAATTTAAGAACATAAATTCTATAATCTATTGATAAATGAAATACATTTTTTTGATAAATAGAATGAATACAATAAAAACATAAAGCATTTATTTATAACTTATAGAATAATTTATTAGAACAAAAAATTCATCATTTTCTGCCTCCTTTACCAGAGAATGATTTTCTACCTCCTTATGGCTTTCCACCTTTTCCTCCAAAAGATTTTCCTCCTTTGCCACCAAAAGATTTACCACCTTTTCCACCAAAAGACTTACCACCTTTGCCACCAAAGGATTTACCACCTCTATCACCAAAGGATTTACCTCCTCTATCACCAAAGGATTTGCCACCTCTATCACCAAAGGATTTGCCACCAAAGGATTTAACACCTCTATCGCCAAAGGATTTGCCACCTCTATCGCCAAAGGATTTGCCACCTCTATCACCGAAGGATTTGCCACCTCTATCGCCAAAGGATTTGCCACCTTTATCACCAAAGGATTTACCACCTCTGCCTCCAAAAGAGTCTCTTCCACCTTTATCACCAAAAGATTTACCTCCTTTTCCTCCAAAAGATTTACCTCCTTTTCCACCAAAGGATTTATTGCCAAAGGATTTACCTCCTTTACCACCATAAGATTTTTCTCCTCTTCCTCTCATGTCTGTTCCAAACTTGGAAGATCCTGAGCCTTAAGGTTTATATTTATCATCCTTTGTAATTTTTTTGACTATTGGAAGTGGCTTTTTACTAAAATTTTTATTTCCCTTTTAGCCAGGTTTAAGCATAAATTCAGAAAGATCTTTTGCCTTTTCACCTTTTACTTTAATTTCTTCTTTCCATTTTTCTATAGCTTAGAGGTTATCTCTTTTTTCTTTTGACTTTAATTGCTCCTTCTTAGCTTTTAATATACGCTATAATTTACGAGATTCTTAACGTTACTTCTTTTCTTCGAAGGACTTGATATGTTCTTATTCCATAACAAGTTTTGTTCTTATTTTGTTCATAACCTTGTCACTCTTAAACATTTCAGCGAAGTAATCATCAGGTCTTTTAGTTGCTACACCTTCTTATTAAAGATATTTTAATGCTATTTAGGCATTTCCAAGAGTAACATTATAAAATTAAACTTCACGTTAGATATCTTCAGTAACATCTATATCTTTAACGATTTCTATTGATTTATCACTAACTAGAGATAAGTGCTCATTCCAAGGAATTTTTTTTCCTGAGGGAACTCTAAGTCTCTTTCTAAAAGACTCTTAAATCTAATTAACTCTTTCTAAAATCTTTTCTTTTTCATAAATAACCTTTTAATCTTATTCATCATCGTGTGTCTTGAAGGCATCCTTGTTACCTCCTTCTACACCCTCAGCACCAGCAAAGAAATGATCTTCAACATCATCTCCCTCATTTTCTTCTTCTTCAATATCTTCAAATTACTCTTCTTCCTCTTCAAAATCTTCTTCTTCCTCTTACTTTTATTATTATTTTTTAGCGTTTTCCTATTCTTTCTTCAATGCTTTAGCTGCTTCATTAGCAAGTTTTTAAATATTTAAATGAGATTTATTTTTATCGTCTTTTTAGATTTTTTTAGTTTTATTTTAAGCAACTTATTTATCAGCCTATTTTTTTTAGTTCTTAGAACCATTTTGTTACTTATTTTAAGGTTGTTAAACTTGCTTTTACTTTTTATCTTCTACTTGCTTTGTTTCCACTTTTTCTACGGAAGGGATTTATTTGCTCTACTCCTTCTTTCCATTCTTGTTCTACTAAGGATTCAAATTGGTTTTCTATTAATTTTATTCCTTAGGTTGTTGAGTTTCCTTTTACTTGTTAGCTGTGGCTTACTAAGGAGTAACTTAACCCTTTTTATTTTCATTAGCTTGAGGCTTCTTCTATTCTTTTTTGTTAATATTCTTTCCCATTTTTGATAGTTTATAATTAATTCTATGAATTGTTAATTTTTTTGTTATTAATTATTATTTAAATATATTGACTTTATTTATCCTACTTTTAATTAGTTTTAGCTTTTTATTTAATATTAAATAGCATTTTAATCAAAAATGGAATACTAGATGCAAATGAATAACTCTAAACTATCAAAAATGAGTCTTAGCGCTTCTTCTACTGGCCCTGAACAAGATTTAATTAATAACCAATCAACAATAAAATATAATATTGCAATATATTTTATTTTATATTTAATATTGTCCTATAGTATTTATATTGCTATAAGTTATATCTTTAAAAAATTGAAATTTATATCATATTATTTAATTTATATAAATAAACAATTAAATGAATTAAAATGAATTAATTATATTTTAGTTTTATTAATTTTTTAGTTTTAAAATTTTCCAATAATATTTTAAAATGAAAAATAGCAAATAAAGTAAATAAATGGTAGATGTATATTTTTATCAAAAATTTAATGATAATTAAAAACACTTTTTTTCTTAAATTAAATATATATAAATATATTTTTTTTATATCATTATATATATTTGTAAAATTTAAAATGGCAATATTTGTATTTTACATAATAATTTTAGTAAGTAAAATTTGAAAATGAAGTAATTATTGTTTGTTATTTACTATTTGACATTTAGATATTTTCATAAAATTCAACAACTCAAATTAATAAATACTCCAAGAAACATTATTCGATTTAAATGATGTAAAGCAAGCCCCTCTATTATTTTAGATTAGGATCAAAAAATAGAGGAAAAGCCAATATTATGATCTAATCTATTTATTATTTGTTTTTAAGCTAATTAATTTGTGAATTTCAAGAAAAATTAAGCAAAAATATTAATAAATTAGAATTTAAAATGGCAGTCTCAAAGACATTTATAGTTGTATTGCTAGTTAGTATGATTTTTTCTGGTGCTAGTAATACTATCGGTAAGTTAACTTATTGAAAAAATGTTGATACTTTATATGGAATTCTTTTTAATTTTGGAGTCTATAATCTACTTTAGACATTTTTATGATTTTTCTGACATCATTTATCAATTTCAAATAAATTGCGAATGAGAATAAATATAATAATAATAAAAAAAGTTTATCTATCTAATATATTTTTTATACATAAAAGTTTATAAAGCTTAGAATTCCTATCATACTGAATAAGGAGGTTAGTTTAACCATCCATTTATGTAGGCTGTAACAATGTTTTTTGGAGAGTTTATATGCATATTCTTATACTTTTACTACAAAAAATATAACAAAGAATAGTACTAATTAGAATTGTAAGAAGCTAAGGAAAAGGGTTTAGAAACTAAAATGAATTATTTCTGGCTTCTTATTCCTGCATCAGCTGATTTCTTAACTTCTAATCTCTAATATATAGCTTTGAATTATGTAGCTCCTTCTCTTTATTAAATGTTAAGAGGTGGTGTCATTTTGATTACTGCCCTTTTCACTGTTGTTTTCTTAAAAAAAAAATTATACTAGCACAACTATATAGGATGCGCTTTAGTTGTTGTTGGTATTGGCTTAGTAGGTGCTTCTAAGTATATATTCCCTAGCAGTAACTCGAACAGTAACAATAATGTAAAATTTTAAAAATAAATTTTATTGTATTTTTAATAAATAAAAATATTTTTTTAATCAATTTAAATTTTAAACAATCAATAATCACCTTACCATTTATAATATATGTAGAACAAAAGATTACAATTATATTACTTCAGCAAATTAGAAATAAGTTTAAACTAAATATATATTTATGACAATAATTTTTTTTTATATAGAGTGCTATGAGTAACATATCTATTATTTTAATCTTGGTTTCTCTTTTTACAAATGGTATTCTATTCGTATCAGAAGAAAAATTATTTTCTAAATACTATTTGCATCCTTTCTAAGTCGTAGGAACTGAAGGTTTCTGGGGTTTGAGTTTATATGCTATCGTTCTTCCTCTTTTAGCCTGTGTTCCTTGTGTAAAAAATAAAAATTTAAATAGAAGCAATTTTAAATACTTTGTTAAAATAAAATAAAAAGGCATCCGGTTTGGGTGATTTATGTTTAACTTATGATGGAACTTCACGTCTTGAATAACCTGGATAATATTTTTCACAATTTGCTCATAATGGTAATAGATAACATAAATTTAAATAATTTGTAAGATTAATCATTCAATTATATTAATAGGTGTGCTTGCATTCTATATAGTTTTAGGTGTATTCACTATCGCTGTTTTCAATATTTGTGGTGTTAGTGTCACAAAGCATATTTCTTCTTTAGCTAGATCAATTGTTGATGTTACAAGAACAGTAGTCGTTTGGGTAGTTTCTATTGTAGTTACCGAAACTTATGGCTAAGATAATCCAAATTGGTAATGGGAAACAGTTGCTGTCGGTCCTATCTTAATTGAAGCTCTTGGTTTTATTATCCTTGTTTGTGGTAATTTAGTTTACAACAAGGTAATTATCCTACCATTTGCAAAGCCACCAAGTAAATTAGTTTATTTTAAAGTGGATGTTAAATATATTTTAAATAACGAAAAGCTGCTGAAGCTGAAGCATTACTTCAAAGTATAGAAAAAGAAAACTAAATTTCTATGCAAAATCAACCTCAAACAAATAATTACTCCAGAAGATCAAGCGAATCTGGTGCTAATTGAAAGTTTTTTTATTCTACAAAAACTTAGACACAACCAATAACAAATTTTACCAAATTCATAAAGTTAAAAAAAATATTATTCTGTTTTAAAACTTTTATAATAATATTAAATAAAATTGGTATTAAATTAATAAAATTTCTAATTTAATTTGAATGAATAAAGTGTATTAAAAACATCATTTGATGCTTTCAAACTTATTTTTACTTATATATAAATTAATGCTTGAAAAAAGTATTTCAAATTTTATTTACTTTATTTTAAAATGAAATGTACCTTGCTTTACAATTAAAATTTAGAAGAAAATTTTTTTTTTTTACTTCAAAAAATTAATTCATATTCTATTTTTACTTAGCTTAACTTTTAAATATCTTTATTTTTTTTTTTAAAATTAATAAATCATTAAAATTGCATTAACTTTAACTTTGAGGAATTATTTTTTTGGATTTCATAATTTAGATTATTAACTATATTCATCTATTCTTTTTGAAATTATATCATCTTGATAAAAATAATTAATCAATTATTGTAAGTAGTATACAATTTATTTATTTCAAATTTTATTATTTATCAAAAAATCTACCAACATAATTTTTTAATTACAAGTAAATTACAAAAATTTTTGTTTTATATAATCAAAGTAAATAAATAGATATAAATGGTAAAAAATATTTAAATAGTAGCCCTTTTTGGAATCACTATTTTTGCTTTAGGAGCTGCTTATTGCTTATATAATAGTGATAACTAGAAGAAAGTTAATACACTAGGTGAATGGTTTACTTGCAGATCTAATTCTGGATTTAAAATTTGTGATGATATAGAGGGAGATGAAAAAAAATTAAACTAATGCTACAAAGCTGCTACAGATTTTGCAAATGTTTGTTATCCAGACCACGCTAATACAACTAAAGAATGTTAAAACTTCTGGAAATTTTATAGCACTTAAGCATAAGATGCTTTACTTCCCTAAGATTATTTTACTTGTGTTAAGCAGGGATAAAAAGCTGCTAAAGAAAGTTAATTCTTTTATAAAAATAACTATTTGGTGCTTTGGGTTGACTGTGCAACTTCAAAATCTTGATAAAGCCACTTATATCTAAAATATTAAAAACTTAAAAATATTATTTATATTTTACAGTTTACAATTTATTCATATAAATTCATAATTATAAAGTTATTAAAATTTTTTAAAATAGAAATATATTTTTTTAGAAAGTTTTAATGAAAATCTATAAAACTTATTTATTTATTTTACTTTTTTTTCATTAATAAGGCATTTTTTTGAGTAAAATATTAAAGATATTAAAATTAATAATTCAATTAATTTAATTTGAATAGATAGGCAGACTAGCAAAAATAATATTTTTTTTAATTCTATTTTATTTTAACTTTAATATAAGTATTTAGTATTGTTACATATCAAAAATATTATTGATAGATGAATTTTTTAATTTAAATCAATTTAAATATCTAAAAAAGTTCATTTTAATTAATTAAGCGATTAATAAGCTTAGGATTTTTTTTTGATAATCAATATTTTACTGTTTCATAAAAGATAGAAGATAGAAGCATAAAAATGACAGATTTTTATAATAAATATAAATAATTATTTGAGGGAGAGGTAATTTTGTTAATTTATCACTTTAAAGATATATTCTCTATAAGAAATATGTTTGAAAATATTATTAAAATAGGCCTAAGTTCCTTCTGATTTTAATTTTAAAAGTCTACCTAGTGTTCAATATGGAGGATGTAAGTAAATTAAATTTCATTTTGATTCTTTATAAATTATTTGTGAAAAGTAAATTAGAATTCTAAAGACTACAATATAAAAGAATTTAAGTAGCTCTTTGATGAAGAATAATATTAGCCTAAAAAAATGCAATTTGATAGTGGGTTTAAATAAAATAATTATTACTAAGACTCTTTAGATAATGCTTAATTACTTTAGCCTAAAAAAATCATATAGCAAGATGAACTTACCTCATTTGGCTCTAAAAAGCCTCCATTAAATTTAGGATAAAAAGAATATTTAAATTTCGAATAATTTAACAAAAATATATAGTATGGATAAGATTAGTAACGTTCCAACAGTAGGTAATCTTAAAAAAGAGATACTCTTGCAGCGAACGCTGAAAGATTGTTATAGTAGGATTACTCTTCATTTAATAAAAATATAAATTCAAACAGGCTTAATGATTATAGTTTATAATATGATAATTAAACAAAGAATAATATCAAAGATAATTTTTAACAATTAAATTAGAATTCTGCCTAAAGATTGAGTCCTAACAAACCACCCTATTATATGGAAAAGCAAGAAAGCACATATACAAGAAATAAAGATAATTTATATAGTCCCATTACATCTTAATAATATAGCTAGGGAGTTGCTTATTAAGGAATGAAAAATAATAATTAGGCTTAATTTTTTAGTAGCAGCCAAGATAAATTTAATTCAAGTAATTAAAAATAAATGGATGTATCTCCTGTTACAAACATGAGTAAGTAGAGAAAATATTAGGATTTATATGGGAATAGTGTTCAATATTTGGATAATAAAAATTAATAAAGACAATAAGATAGATCAGATAACATAATATAGTAATAGTAATAATAAAGTCCGTAGATTCCCAGATAAAGAGGGATAGGAAATCAAGCTGATAACGGGCCTAAATAGTACTATGAAGAAAGAAATCAAGGTCTTTTAGATATAATTTATTTAAAGAAAAAGTTTGTTGATCACAAAATAATTACAGATGTAAGTGGATTTCCTGGTTAAGGATAATACAAATAAGCTCTAGTCAATCGTATTATTGCTAGCAAGAATATAGAAGTAAGTATATTTACATTTTGTTTTATTTAATTGAGTATTAAAAATTAATATAATTTTATTTAGCAAAGAAAGGATAAGCTCAAACAGTAATATAAGACAGACCGTGTTTTTTGAATATAAATAATCAACAAAAATATGTGAAAAATATAATTAAAGAAAATAAATGTTTTTAGATATTTTATTAAAATATTTAATACAAAAAACCATGGTATTTAATTTTGGCAGAGTTTAGTTTCAATTTATATATTATTTATTTCATTAATGAATTAAGCTTATTAATCAAATACATAATTAAACAAACAAACACTTTAGCTTTCAAAAATAAATGAATTCACTTCACTTCACTCATTTACTCAATAAAAATTTTTAGTTTCAAATGTCTAAAATATCATAAGGGGTATTCATGAAGCATTTGCTTACTAAATTGCTATATTATTGATAATGATTAATTGTCACTTCAAATAGTGTAATGAGTCTGTTTAGCTGATATACTAATGCAAATTATATTACTTTTTAACTATTCAATTTTTATTCGGGCATTAATTCTTAAATTGATTTCATTTCGCTTTCAATTTAATTTATTATTAAACTACCTATGTTATAGAATTGAGTGTTTTATTGTTGTTAGTTGTCACCTTTATTCTCTTATTGTATGATTAAATCTTTATTAAATAAAGATGTTAAAGCAGTCTTTGCTAAACTATTTGATTTGATAGATGCTGATATAATTCTGATCGTGGGTTCCCTAATTAAAATTATTATAAAAATAATTAATATTTCTCTTTAAATTAAAAAAGCCAATTACTAAACCAAGGTGCTAAGGGGCATGATAATCATAACTTATGCATTAAATTAATCTCCTTTTGTTATGTTAAAAATATGAATCTCAGTTTCATTTGATTCGTTGTCTAAATTTAACTTTTGTAAAACTTCTTTTTATGAAACAACATATTAGTCAAAATTGTTTTTTTTATCATCTTAAGATTCAACGTTCTTAAGTTTTTAGCTAACTTAATCGACAAGTTTTTTGCTATTATTTTCTTCTTCTATGAGATCAAATTGCTATTCTGGCTTTCTCTTGAGCCAGCTGGGTTTTAATTGTTTAAATTAAGAACTGTTTGCTAGATCATTTGTATTTTGCAACTTTTGCTTGTGTTCAAATTTATACTTTTGTAATTCGTTTTCATTTATTTTCTCCTTTTATGACTTAAACAAAGGATAAATTTAAAATGAACCTGATGTTAGAGCATCGATAATACTTTTTACAACTTTTTTACTGACAAATCTCTCATTAATCTTAGTTAACACATTTTAAGCATCAACTTACACAGTGCTATTACCCCTATTACTAAATAAGCAAATAAGCTAATATAAACAAATAAAATAAATCTTACTTTATTCCTCCTAGTATTTAAAGCCAATTGTAAAATTCGTATTACTAATTTAAATTTTTATCATACTCATCCTAAGTATATAAAATTAAAGGAGAACCAAAATCATTTTAAAATAAACCTGAAAAGATTTCTTTGCCTTTCATGTGCTTTGAGTCTAGCTGAATAACTAAAGTATTCAAGTTTTCAATAAATCTTATATTTTAAAAAAATTATTTTCTTTACTAAGATAATTAATTAATTAATTAAATTTACCTAATGTAAAATTTTATTGGGTATGCTTCTGCAACTGTTTGTTTTTGTAGAGTTATTTTGTAATTTGATAAAAAGTTGTCTATAAAATTTACTGTGGTAGGTAAATATTCTTTGATAGTGACTGCCAATTCTAAATGATGCAACTCATTCTATCTTTTGTTGTTGCTTTAATTTTAGATTTGTTAAATAATTTCGACAGAAGACTAATATGAAGGACTGCAATCAAAAAGAAGAGAGAGTTTAGAGTAAACGCTATAAAGAGGAGGAGGAAGCTAGGAAGCAAGACTGTGCTAGATTGGATTAAAGGCAAGAGGTTAATTAGTTATAGGACTAAAAACTGTTTTCAATGATTTTAAATTTTCAGACAAATTTGTCAAAATAGGAGATAACAGTTAAGTATATTGATTAATTACTGAATCATATTATTCTCTTTAACTTACTAATTATTTGCTAATATCAATATGTTCTTCATTTTTCTTAATTCTTTTTTGTAACTCACTTTCAAGCTCGTTTTTGAGATCAATAAAATCATCAGCAACAAAATCTTAAACAGGCTTTCTTTTTAACTATCCCAATATTGACTTGTTATTAACTTACTACAGGTTTTCCATTTAAATAGATTGACATCTTTAAATAGAGTTCACTATGGTACTCTATAGATATTCTAAGCCTGATAAAAATACGCTTGTTTTTTCAATTTTTTCTTTTTCAGTTCTAATTTTATTTCTTTCCTCTTCTATGCTTATTTAAATGCGACGATGCTTTTATCTCATTGAACGTATCTTCAGAAGTTAAGTAATACAATTTTTATCACCTATTTGCTAAGCTAAAATGTTTGAGTTACCTTCCTTTTTTGAAGTTACAATCTTACTAAGAGTTTCTCTTATGTCATTAATCTGCTATCTTAATTCCTATGTATATTTAAGCGCTTCATTAGTTGTTTCAGATATTTGCAAATTCTAGGGCTATTCCATTTGAATAAATCAGTTTTTTTTCTATTTTTTTATATTCGTTTGTCTGAAACTGTTGTAATTTTCTAAAATTATTTTATTTTATTTATTTTCCTATTACAAATTTTTAAACAAGAAAACAAAATATTCTGCAATTAATAATAAAAATATTTATTCCAAAAAAAATTTGTTATTTGAGTGCTTATAGGTTCTTAATAAAAATCATAAAATATATGATTAATAAAGAAAAAGTTTTTAGTTCTGATTAAAAGATTTTTTTGATATTATATCTATCTTTTCTAGACATCATTCAATTTATTTAATTTAAAATTTATTATAAAACATTTATCAAAAATATAATTTTTTTTAAAATTTATTTTACCCATTTTAATTTTGAATTATTATTAAAATGATAATTGTATTTTGCTTCTTATTCTTATTATCAAAAAAAAAAAACTAAAATAGATTTCATCATCAATTCCAATTAAATCATTTACCTATCCTTATTTTCTTATTTATTCTAACAATTTTAAAAAAATTAAATAATTTATTTATAAATGATAAGCGGACAAAAATATTATCAAATTTTATTAATTTAAAAATCAAATTTCATTTATTTCATGTAAAAGAAAACTTATATTTTTTCATTTTGTGGTTTGATAACTTTATTTTAAAGGCAAATATTGTTATTATAAGAATAAATTCTCTGTTTGATTTTTTGCCAAAATAGAAAAAATAAAATAATAAAAGTTAAAAAATATAGTAGAAAATTTATTAAAAATTTTTTTTTGTTTTATTTAAATATCTGAAGTGATCTATTATTAAAGTGTTTTTTATATAATAAAATATGTACAACCTAAACATAAATAATAATTAAAACCTTAAAAAGAAAGGTAAATAAATAAGTTTAAGTGACTGTTTTATATTTCAATAAATTGCTTTTATAAATGTTAAAAACTAATTTAAATTTTATTTAATCATGATGATGATTTTTGAGCGTATTTTAAAAATTAATAAAATGTAAAAACTCATAAATAACACTGGCTGATTTATATTTATTTTTAGGACAACTATAATTGATTTAATTGAATATGGTACTTTTATATTTCAAGCAAACGATTTAATTCAATAAAACTTGATTATTCTCCTAATCAACTATCGCAGCAATAGAAAACTGCTTCTATTTATTTAATTATTTTTGTATATTCGAAAGACTAGCTTGGCTGTAATGATTTGATTGATGTTAAATCATGTCATCCTTTTAAGTTTATTCATAATTACTAACAATTTGGGAAAATAAACTAAAGTAAATATCAATTAATGTAAAATTTAGTCTTATTTTTATAGTATTTTTTAGAGCAAAAATAAGAAGAAAAGAAACAAATAATCTATAATCAAATAATAAGTGCAAAGATTGTAATTATATAGTAGTAGTTTAAAAAAAATAGAATCAACCATATATTGACAAGGCAAAAGAGACCTGGTCTTCGATAATGAGTCAAGATATTGCTAATATATAATCCCCTAACGATAATTTATCGAATCACTCTAAAGATGTAATTCAAACTACATTACTTTATTTCTACTTTACACATTACTCTGTTTTTATATCTTCCTTAGCATTAGATAAAAAAAAAATTAACTTATTGAGCTATCCACTCCTATAAATATTTTAATACTTTTTTGTAAAAAATAGCAAGAAAAAGAACCAAACAATTTACTTCCGCAAGGTAAAATATTTAACTTTGACACAAAATATATTTTTTAAAGATAATTTTACTGATAGAAGAGCGCTCAATTAAAGTAGAAGATAATATTAATCTCTAAGAGAATAAGAGATTTACAAAAAAAATAAACTAATTTTCATTTGATTATTAGAATAAGAAATATAAATGCTTTTACATACTAATTATTTTAAAGTGCCTTAAAATAATATTGAATATATTAATTTTAATTTATAGCTCAAGATGAAGTTTCTGTTTCCTCCAAAGGAAAAAAAAATACATTACATAGAAAGCTTTCAAACAGAAATGATGTAGGAGATAGAAAAGGATACAGAAAGGTTTAGGTAAATAATTAGCAAATTCATAAAAAAAAATAATTTCTTTTACATGCAAATATTTATTTGAACTTTTGTTATATTTTTAACATTTTTATAACATTTTATAATCATAAAAAAATAATGTTTAGAAATAACTTTGTTAGCTATGACTTTACTTAAGTTATTTTTTATTGATTTTAATTATTTGATTAGTGATTGTTAAAAACTATACAAAATTTTTTAGATTTTAACTATTAATTGTTTTTTAAATCAGTTTTATTTAGAAAAACTCGTTGATAGTTCTGCCACTCAAATCACAATGACTATTGTAACAATTTATGCACTATTTGGTGATGATATAAGAGTATTATCTACCGACAAACAAGGTGATGAAGCTTTTTGGATTATGAATTGCATCTGCCTTGCTTTATTTACAGTAGAAATAATAATAAATTGCATAGCTAAGGTATGTTTAAACATTTATAAATTTTAAGTTTAAGCTTTTTATAAATCTAAATATTTTTCCACCTTGCAAAAATCATTCAGTAATAATTGAATTATATTGATAACTCTTTTTTCTATAAAGCTTAATACAAAATATTCACTTCTTACCTACTTTTTATTTTACCTTAAAATAAATTAATTATCTTTCTGTTTTTAACAAAATTATAATAAAAATTATTTTAATAGAAAGGATATTTTAACAGTTTCTTCTTTTATTTGGATATCATATCTACTGTTTCTCTAATTTTAGATATTGGATGGATTTCTGATGCTATGTTTAATTAAGGTGGTGGTTCATAAAATGCTGCCTAAGTTGCAAAGTAAATAATCAATTAAAAAAATATGTTTCATCGATTCATTCTAAATTAAAATTTAACAGGGCTGGTAGAGCTTCTCGTGTTGGAACAAGAGCAGGTAGAGTCGTCCGTATAGTAAGACTTATTCGTCTTGTTAAGTTATACAAACTTGCTTAACAAAGAATCTAATTAGAAGCTGCAAAACTCAAAGCGCTTGAATATGAATAAAAGTAATTAGAAGAATAGTAAAACTAAGATAATAACCCTCCTTAGCAATAGGAATTAGGTAAAATATTAATATATTTTTTTTTTAAAAATTAAATGTTTATATAAATTGTTGATAATTTGTTTTGAAAACTCATGATAGGAAATAATACAGTTTTGTAAAAGAGAATAAATAATGTAATTATGAAAGAAAGAGTGGCAAAAACTTTATAGATGAAAAAGTAGACATCTAATGCATCAGTTAAATAATTTTAAGAAACAGATGCTGTTAAAGAAATTATACCCCCTGCAGTTGATCAAAGTCCAAATCTATAACCTAAAGAAAATGAAGAATAAAGACTTTTAGAAGAATAAAAAGCTTTAAAAAGTAAACTCCCTCCTTTAAATAATTAAACAAGCAGTTTAGAAGCATCACCTAATAGTAATTTCAAATCTACAATATAAAAAAATTGTAATTTTAATCCTTATTTTATTATATTCATTTAGATGTTCCTAGTAAACCTGTTGTATTAGAAAAGTATAAAGATGACCCCCTTTTGCAAGTGACAAATGTCAACACTGATTAAAATGAATAAGGAGAAAAGAAAGATGTAAAGAAAATGGCTAAAGATATTATCTAAATTAATCAGAAAAAGCACACAAAAAAATATTCCAAAGCATCCACAATTCAAAGATAAGCTGAAAAAGAAAAGAAATAAGAATCAAATGATGTTGGCAGTGAGAGTAAGGTTGGCTAAAAGCTCACAGATTTAACAACCCAAAGAGTTATAGTCATTGTACTTTGCATCATGATTAGTATTCCAATTTTTGATTATTCTACTTACTATGAATCTTAAACCTCCTATGATGCAGGTCTACTTTTTATTTATTAGTAAATTATTTATTATTTTTCCAAAAAAAATTTTGTTTAACTTATCTACTTTGTAAATAAAAAGCAATTATAAGGCAAATCAAATTAATCTCTCATACGATTCGATGAAATTGTATTTAGATTTTTCAAATGTAATTATTTATTTAGTTTTTTTATTGCTCCCTTATTTTTCAGTTTCTATTTAGCATTTTTATTACTATTTTGTCTTAAATTATTTCTTTAATATAAGCTGGTATTTATTTTTATCCAACCAAAAAAAATAATAATAAATCATTTTATTACTTTTAATAATTTCATTATTAGCCAGCCAGCATTACCACCAACATTTGATTATTAATTATCAATTTTTTTTGTAACAATTAAAAATTGAATGCCTTATTTAATAAAGAGCTAAAGAAATCCAATATTGTATATGTCAAACAAATATGGTGTCAGCTAATATCCATGGGGTGCTTAATATCCTAACTCTGTATTTAACGATGTAAGAGCTGATTAATCTACATATAGAGAAGATGATAAATATTATTACACTATGACTGTTGATGTAAAATAATACTTCATAATTATTGAAAATCTTATTGATTTAATTTTTTTGTTGACAAAATTAATTTCAAATAATCATCAATTAATTTATTAAAAAAGGGTGAATTGATTTCTTATAGTATTGTCGATATTAAAGGAGATAATCAAATTAATGCTATATTATCTATTATTAGAACGATCTTTGTATCTATTGTACTTACTATTGCTTTTCTATCTTTTTCATCTGATGTCGAACATTTAGTTTTAGAACCTATAGCTAGTATGATGAAAAAAGTTAGAAGAATTGCTGATAACCCTTTAGAAGCTGCTCAAATTGAAGAAAGAGAAGCTCTTGCTCTTGAATAGCTATAAAAAGAAGGTAATTTAAAGTAACTGCAAAAATTAAAAGATTAAGAAGGATATGAGACTGTCGTTCTTGAAAAACTAATCATGAAAATAGGAGCTCTTTTGGCTTTAGGTTTTGGAGAAGCAGGATCTGAAATTATTGCTTCAAATATGAGTAAGGGTGGTTCAGTAGATCCTATGATACCAGGTAAAAAAATTATGGCTATTTTTGGCTTTTGTGATATCCGTAATTTTACAGATGCTACGGAAGTTCTATAAACAGGTGTCATGCTTTTTGTGAATGAAATTGCTGAAATTACTCACTCTACAGTAGATTCTTTTTGTGGTCAATCAAATAAAAATATTGGTGATGCATTCTTGCTAGTATGGAAGTATGGAGAAGATGATTATTTTTATAATAGTGAAAATCAGCTTGAATTAAAGGATACCTAAAAAGTTCATAATCTTGCTGATCTCCCAGTTTTAGCATTCCTTAAGATTATGGCAGCTATCACTATTTCTAAAAAACTTTTCAAGTATCGTTAGCATAAGGGTTTAAATGAAAGACTCAAAAATTACAGAGTAAAAATGGGTTTCGGACTGCATGTTGGTTGGGCTATTGAAGGAGCTATTGGATCTGGATTTAAAATTGATGCTTCATATTTGAGTCCAAATGTCAATATGGCATCACGTCTAGAAGCAGCTACCAAATAATTTGGTACTGGACTTTTAATAAGGTATTTATTTATTTATTTATACTTTTTTTATCTTTTGTTTTATCATAATTTAATTAATTTAAAATAAATTAAATTTAAAGTGGGCCTTTATATAAAATTCTAACTCCATAATGCTAAAACCACTTAAGACACATTGATAGAGTAACAGTCAAGGGTTCTCTTGTTCCTTTAGGTAAAATAATACTATTAATGAATAAATTTATCAATTATAATTTAAAAAGATATGTACACCGTTGATGTTCATTTGGATAATATTGTCTATAAGAAAGTTGGTAAAGATAGATTTGATAATGCCCATCTAAGTTTAGCCATTAAGAAAAAGAAAAGAGTCATTGATAGAATGAAAAGAAATAAGCTAAAAGAGTCTATTATTAATGGAACAGAAAATCCTTATGAGTTCTTTAACACAGATAAAGAACTTGTTGCCATGAGAGAATTCTTTACACCTGTATTTCTTTCAATTTTACATAAAATATTTAAAATATTTTATTTTTATATTAAAAATAGGAATTTTACTCATAATGGTAAGTTGGTTTTAAGTATTACCTTGATGGTAAATGGCCTCAAGCTAAAGAAATATTCTAAAAAACACTAGTTATGCTTAATAGCAATGGTATAATTGATGGTCCTTCAAATACTCTAATAGAAGTTATTGAGGAACATGGTAATAAAGCACCTTCTGACTGGAATGGATTCCGTGTCTTAACAGAGAAGTGAAGAGACTCACTAACTAATACAAAAAAATTCTATTCTATCTTATACTAAAAAGCAAAACCATTAAGATAATTGTTTTATTCTTCCAAACAAATAACCTGTTAAATAAAGATTTAATTTACTAAAGAAAAAAATAAACAAAAATTTACTATTTATTATACTAAGTAAATGATATATAATATTTATTGTAATTACTCTGTATGACTTACCTTTAAAATAATTTTCAAATATTTCTTTCCACTATAAAAAAAATTTTAATTGTTTTGGCCAGTAGACAGAATACAAGGATTCAAATTAATATGTATATATATGTATAAATATTTATTTATATAATCATTCATATATTTTCTTTAAAATGATTATTGAATAATTTTAAAGTTATTTTACTAATAATAAAAAAATAATTAAAATTAAAATATTTATTTAATTAAAATTAAAATATTTGATATACCAAAACAATCCTAACTATTTGCATAAATTTTTGATAATTTAATGTAACATTTACAAATAGCTGTAGAGTGATTTTACTGAATCAACTTGTAAATTTTGATAATATATTATTACATAATTATTATTAAAATATCTATTAAATAGAGATATGGAAGCTGAGGAGAAGTTTTTAGAAGCTATTTAGTAAAGAAAAAGGAATGACTTGCACTAAAAATTTTTTTAAGAAGATGGTCAACTTTAGTTTATAACTTGCCCTTTATTCACTAACTTTACAGGTAAAAAGAAAATAGTACCATATAGAAATCCTTAATGTTTGAAACCTGAATGTGTATATGATGAATAAGAACTTATAAACAGATTTAAACTCTCCGGTTATAGTACTTTTACGACATTTATTTGCCATACATGCAGAAAATCAATTTAGCTTCTTAAGTTTACTTTCGACTAAGCCCTTGAAGGTATCCTTTAAGAGTAAGCTTCAAAAAATACGAATATTAATTTTCATAATTATTTGACATCATATTTAGGTTAATTTTATGATAAAATGGCAAAATATGAAATGATATTTTATATCTTTGTATATTTACTTGTTAAATATTTTTACTTTTAATCAATAATAGTGTTTGGAAGCATTATAATAAAGAGACTAAGCTTATTTGTGAAAAAGTAAAAATATTCAGAAATGGAACATGGGAACCTATTTTACCAGGTTATATAAAAAATTTAGAATAAAATTTGAGACTAGAACTAGAAGGAGAAGAGGTAAAAGAAAGAAAAATACCTGGCTATGATATTCCTGAAGAATTTCTATTGGAGTAAGATAACAATTTTAACAAGAAATTTGCAGTAAAAAAAATGGTTGTTTATAAAAATCTAATAAAATTGACAGATTTTAATTAAGGCGAGTATCAAAGTTTATTGTACAAATATTAAAATGAAGCAGAGCCTTTGAAAAGTCTTAAAGATTTAATGTTTTAGAGATATGGGTAAAACATATTAAACTCAGATTTTATTACTATATAGAATGAAACATACTTTCCAAAGCATATTATGGCATTTTTTATGAAGTACTTGGAAGACTGGGCAAATAGAATTTTAGTTAATGAACTTGATTAAAAATCTTACTTACTAAACAAAAAGAATCCTGCCTTAAATAAAGCTAGATTCTTGAGCTTTTTTGTAGTGAAAATATTATCTTATGATTCTTTTTATCGTTTGGCAAAATACGAAATATGGAGTGATAACATTAATTCAATCAAATAAAAACTAGGAAAAGATTAATATATATCATAAATTGATAAAATATTTCTTGTGATGCATTATGATGAGAGATGGATACTCACTATCTCAGATCCCAGGACTGAAAAGATAAAAATTGTCGACTTTTTAGATCGTGAAATGAGTAGAGTAAATTAAATTTGAATGTAAATAATATTTAAATACATTTTTTATCACAAAGATTAAAGTAGATGAAATTGATGACATATCTAAATTTATAATTGAAAAAGAACTTTTTCCTGTAAAAGTCGATATTCCTATTGAAAGTCCTGAAGTAAAAACTATAAATTATTATAGTGATTGTGGTTTTTACATCTCTAGCTATTTATATAAAGCTATGATAACAGATAGAGTATTAGGAGAAATACCAAATTTCAATGTCAAGTTTGCTGAAAAAAATAGAATGAGAGATTTATTGTGTTGGTTATTCCTAAGGTATTCTTATTTAAATGATGCAGATTAATAAATATAGATGAAAGATCTCGAACCATTATAAGAATCCCACATAGAGGATGAATTAGAAATGTAGAATGAAGAAATAAAATAATAAAATGATTATGAAAATGATGTCATACAAAGGTGGAATTTAGATAGGCAAAGCGTTTCTATGAGTCACTCAAATTCTTAACTAATAAATAATATCAGCCTAAAGCCAAGTCCTAGGTATGGATTAGAAAAGTAAAATAGCAAACTGATGGGTAGTTTTGAAAATTAAAGAAATTCTATAAATCGACACCCAAGCTTTCAATCTGAATCTTCAATACATTCAAATATGAGGTAAAGCATTGGAAAGTAAAATAAAAATTACGATTCAATATTCAAATAGTAAGCATCAATAAAATAATCTCTGAGCGATCAAAATCTATTATAAAATTAGTAATCCCTTCTTCGAAGGCAGAAATCTAACCTATCACAGATTTCTAATAATTCTTAGATAGATAAATTACCTTCTCTTAAAAAAGTTGAGAGTGAGAAAGAACCATTTTTTGTGTCAACTAAGGGAGAGTTGAAGAATATCCTCTAAAATTGGTACTAAAATGTAAAATTTATTATAAAAAAATAAAAATTGTTTTTCTAATTAATCTTATTATAAAAGGTATTACAAGAAGCTATGTGGCTTAAATAATAAAAAGAAGAAGAAGAAAACTAAAAAAAGCAGTATGAAGAACAAAAATTTAATCAAAATTTAGGCTAATATGGCAATTAAAACATCAACAAATAGTATGATCAGCAAGATGAGTTTTAGAAGTTATTAGAAATTCATAGAAAGAATTTCAATGAAAATAGGCAAAATTTTATATCAAGCGAACTAGATAAATAGTTTTCTAAAGGAATCGACTATAGAATGCTTGACTAGTTAACAGTAGACGATTTATCTAATCTTCTCATTTAATTTTAGTAACTTAAAATGTTGGAAAGTCCAGAACTATAAGGATTAAATGTTAATGAATTATAAAATTAGTTTAATAACTTAAATATAGATCCACTATCACAAAATCTAGGTCTTGATTTCTCAAATCTTAATCCATAAGAAATGATGGAATTAGCTTAATTTAACTAAATGCTATAATAAAATATTCTATAAACAGTGCAAAGATAAGGAAATAAATAAAATAAAAGTAAAAAAAGAGGAAAATCAAAGAATGAAAAAAATAGAAAAAAAAAGAAAAAAAGTTAGGAATGATTTTAATAGTAAAATTGTATTATTTTAATCATATCAAATTCAATATAAAATATTTAGAAATTTAAAGTGTTGATAATATAATTAATTAAAGTAAAAAGATTAGCTAATTTATATAAAGCATCTAAAAATTTATAAAAGACTAATCTAAACTATTATTTGGGAAATTATTAATATAAAATAATTTTTAATTTAGATATTAAAAAAAATTAAACTAACTCCTTTTACTTTGTGTGTTTACTTACATCAGATATGAAATTTAATATAAAATTTTGTAATAATTATTCAAATAAAATTAATAATAGAATTAAATATTTTTGATATTGAATGAAACTTTTATAAAATCATTTAAAGAATTTTATTTATTTTAATAAAAAGTTAGTTTATTTTAAATTAAGTTTATATCATTTTTTCAAATACATATTATTAGATTGAGATATTCAAAATTCTATTTTAAATATTAAATATTTTTTAAAAGTAAAATAATCTATAAATGATTAATAATTAACTACCAAATAATAGAAATATATCTTTAAATTAAAAAAAATTTATAAAAATATCTATTTTAAGAATAAACTTCATTCATTAATTATTTTTTTTCTTTCTTAGTTCTATCATTTTTTCTTAAAAACCACTTTGATATTTAATATAAATTAACTTGAACCAAATTTCCTATTTAATTTTAAAAAATATAAATATTTATTCAACAAAAAGATAAAATGAATGAAGAACAAGATGATATAACAGAAGAAGAAATGTATGAATTTCTTCAGAAGGAATGTGAGGATTTGATTGATTAGTATGAAAAGATAAGACAAGAAAATGAACAAGAATTTAAACTTAGTGAAAATCATTTGAATAGATATACAGAATAATAAAATGAAGATGAAAACGAATTTGGAAGCAATCCCGAATTTAATATACCAGAAAACTTAGATTCTAAAGAAGATATTGAAAAATACAAAGATAAATTATTAGAAGAAAAGAGAGCCTTAGAATCCTAGTTTATAGATGTAAATATAGACATTTAAAGAAAAAAAAGATAGATAGAAGATTTTCATTCAGAGCTCGAGAATACTAAAAAAGGAATTTAGCTAATGGAATCTAAGATACAAGAAAAAGACAAAGCAATAAAGATATTAGAAGAACACATTGAAAAATTTAAATAATTTTGAATATGAAAAAACAATAAGAGGAAACCTACCTTATGGAATAACAAAAAGCCTATAAAATTATATATTTAAAAATGTTAGTAATGTAAAATTAGTTTATAGAAATAATAATTCGAGTTCAGAATAATATAATTAATAATAATATTAGATTAAATAATAATTAAGTAATATTTTACTTTTATTTGTTCTGCTTATAGATTAAAATCAATCATCAAATTAAGTATAAAATTAAATAATTTTTCAGTCAGCTTTTTTAAAAATAATTCTTCAAAAGCATTTTTAATATTTAAAATTAATAATATTTTAGATTAATTTTTAGTGGCTATTTTATATTTAGGATATCTTTTAGAATTGCATAAATTAGCTCTGCTCTACAACTAAATTTTTTATATTTTATAATTAATTTCACTCAATAAACTTAAAATCATAGGGGAGTTTTTTGGGTTTGTAAACAAATAATAATAATGGATTAGGAATATAGTAACTGAAAACTTTTTTTATTAAAATTAATATTGGAAATGAAGATGTATAGATAAAAATATATTAATTTTATAATTAAAAAAATAAATTTTTCGAAGTAAATTAAGTTTAGATTTTATATGATAAACCTATAGGTTGTGGGATATATTACAAAAAAAAACATTTGACCTAAAGAATAATAAATTATTGTTTGTAAAGAAATATTACTAAATAGTAATATTCCTAGAGAATTGATAGTAAAATAAATTCTAGTTCACTGTCAATAATAATGGTAATCATATTATAAAATACTAAGGTTGTTAGCAAAAAAATATAATTTTTGAAAAATCTTTTTTCAAAATAGTTTCTGAATTCTTATTTTAAATTTATTTGAATTAAATAAAATGAGTATGTATGTATTGTGAAGTATGTAAAAATAATTATTTTAAAAAATATTTCCTCACCCAAAAAAATAAATAATAAAAAAAGTATTTGATTTTATGCTTGATATTTTAATGTATCAAAATTATATAAAATTAAATAAAAATATTTTGATAAATTAAATTAAATCATAGTCAATTGTTACACTATTTAAATTAACAATAAATTTAGTGAAACCTTGAACAACCAAAATAGTATGTAGTCTATCTGAATTAAGGAAACGTTTACTAACAGAAAGTATATTTATTAATAGTTATTATTTTCTAATGAATAAATATTTTAGTATAAAAATGAAAGATTAACAAAAATAGTATGAGTGTGGATTGAATAATACAACTTTTATTAATAGAAATATATTTTTTAATAAATATTAATTTTTAAAAGAATAAATATATCAGTTTAATAATAAATGATTGATTGATGAACTAATTATATATATGTATATATTTTTTTTTATATTACCATCATTTCACTTTATAGAATTTTATATAGAAGAAAATTTATTAACACCGTACAATTAACCTGAAATGCTATTACTTTTTTAATGAATTCTCATACATGTTATAGGGTTTTTAGGTAACTCTTTTTTTGAGCTATTTTAATCTGATTAATTCATTTTCAATTTTTTGTCTATCTGCTAGTTAAGTTGTTTTTTAATATTGAATGACTATTCATTTAAAACTCTTGGGTTATTTGTTAAATTTGATATATTTTTGTTGTTGCTAAAATTCATATGATTGTTCATATTTTAGCTTGTTTATTTGTTTACGTTTTTATCTAGTTTATTATTAGATGATTCAAATTCGCCTTTGTTTTATTCCTTTAATGTAGAAAATTAAATATTTTCTTACTGTTGATGTGAATGCTGTTATTATTATTACTAAACTTAGCCTGTACATTGTTATTGATATTGGGCAACGCTTAAAGATGATTATATATTTTTAAAGCTATTTAAATCATATATAAAGCTTGTGGAATTTCTATTTGTATTAAACGGTGAGTAAGGTTCTACGTATTTTAGAGGACTTTCAGGTTATTAAAATTTCTACTCAGAGGGATTATTTATAGCTTTGTTTTCATTAGTTTTTTTTTACATAGTTTAGTTATTATTAGGAGGTATTTAGATTTGGCTATAAAATCCTGTATTAATAGTTTACTATTTATTATAAGAAGGTGTATACTAAGAAGCATTTCTTTACTTAACAGTAGTTGGTTGATTTTTTTGTGTACTAAAACTGTTATTTTTAACTTTATCTTATTAATTTTAAATAACATCTTTATAGCTTTAAGATCTTTAAATTTTATCTTTACCTGATATTGGAGAAACTCTATCTTTTTAGCTTGTTTTATTGTTAATTGGTATTTTTGTTTAGCTATTTGCATTAATTTCTTAAGTTTTCATATCTGTTTAATTATTGATAGGATTTACTTCATAATTAAGATTAAAGCTGGTTTAATTATTTGGTAGCTACTTTATCATTGGTTGTTATTAGTTTATGTATTAATTATTATCTTACTAAATTAAATTATTATCAATCAACTATGTTTAATATTAGCTTTAAATAATTGGTACCTAGTTAGCTAACTACATATTTAAATTTGTATTTTAATAATTAATATCCCCATTTATTTGTTAGGGAATCTAAGTTTTCTAAAGAAGGGTTTATTTATCGTTTTTATTATCTACTAAGTTTTAGGGAAATTTGTTAGACTTTTTTATTTTTTCTTCTTCATTATACAGAAGTGAGCTCATGTCGTTTTTTAAATTGAAAGGCTTCTTGATAGATAAATTATCTTCTTTTTTAGCAAAAATCATAGGCTAAAGATTAGGAGATTTATAAATTCCACGCTATCCATTAGGCTATGATTTATTCCTTAATCTTGTTATTGGATTTTCTTTTTCTCTTTTAATAGGTGTAGGTGTTTAATTCAATGTAGGGTTGGCTTCTTTTGCTGAACTATTCTAAATAATAAAGCTGTTATTATCTTGTACATTTTTAGATGCAGAATAACTCTCCTAACAATTATTTAGTTAAGCATTTATTTTAAGTGATATATCTTCTATTTTATTTTTATTATCTGCCAGTTTTTGTTATATTTGAAGCAAATTCAGTTATTCTAGATGATTGAGTTAAGAGGGATCTTTCATATTAGAATTAGAGATTATGCTGAACATTTAGCTGTTGTTGATTGTATTGTTAAGATTACTTATTTAAGATTATTTTAATTAATTAAGATTTTGATAAGATATTGAGTTTATTTTGCCTTCATTTTAGTTAAATTTGTTACCACTCTTTTCTTCTATATTTAGGTTTATATTATCTTAGCTCAGTTAACTCATGTAATTATTGAAATTATTATCACTTCTTTTTTATCCTTGGTTATGAATTTAGCTCATTTAGTTGTAATAAGGTTAAGCTGTGTTTTAATATTACCTTGGCTGATGAGTTGAAAGAGATAAGTTAGAAGAAATAGTTATATTTTTATTTGGATTAGGGTATTAGCTAATCCCTAAATTATTTTAATATAAAGCAGCTTCACCGCTATTGAACACTGTTATGTTGTTATTCAATTCATTTTTAGATTGGTTAAAATGTGTGATTCTATCATCTAAACTGATTTATTTGCTTGTGACCTATTTTTATGGTGATTAGATGCTATCAAACTCATTTGCTTAACATTATTAATATGAAAGATATAAACCCTCTTATTTATTCTAGAAATTATTTATGTTATCAGGAGAATTTAATTTTTACAAATTTTCAAATTAATTAAGAAAATTTTAACAAACTGGAATATTTTTGTTTGTTTCCTAGTTGCTTTCACTATATTTTAATTGTTGGTTATTTTATTGAAAGTTTACTGATGTCTAAAACATGCTTTAATATATTTATTGTTGACTTTATAAAACCTAACTGGATTATAAAATTGGCGAATTAATAATTTAATTATTTTAGGATTAGAAATTAATTTAACTTTAGTTAGTTTGTTGATAAGTGCAAAAATTGTATTGATTTTAAAGCTGATTTGTATCAGTTGGTATTTAATTAACTTTTTTTAGTTCATTAACTGCACCTAATAAATTTAAATTTTTTACATTTTGCTAACTATTTATTTCTTAGTTTTCTATAAGATTATCAACTTGCAGATTACTTAAATTAGTTTTTTATAAAAACATGCTGCTTTTTTATGAGTTATTGGTATTCATCACGCCTTAGTCATACTGGAACGGAGATAAATTATTTTAGCTTAAATCTTCCATATTTATTTTGTATGATTTAGGTGTTTGAGTCTTTTCAATAGTTTTTATGCAAGGTGAGTTAAGAAATACTTGTGTTGACTAAGTATTCTAAGCTGATTCTTAACTAGTAAGAGGTGGTTTTTTTATCATAGTAATATTGCCACTATTACCATAATTACCTTCATTATTTAGTTTATCAGTTTTTTTTTTCAATATCTCAAATTTTGTAAAGTTGCAGGTCTAGTTATTGTTGAGCTCTTAAACTTTTGTTTCAATGTTTGGATTTTCATCAGTAATTGAGTCTTGCATTGTAAAATCATAGTCTGAATTAGTTTAATCTTTTTTCGATTTATTTAAAAGTTTTTTTAAGTTTTTTTTTTAAAAAGGCCCAGAAGGTTTTGCTGAATGTGGCGAGTTATTTGAAATACGGCTTGAAGGCTTTTAAAGATATTCATTCAATTAGTTTTTTTTTAATACAGCTGTTTCAACATTTTTTTCATTTTGTCTAATATTATTATTAATCTCATCATAATGGCTAATGTAGTCTTAAATAGAAGAGCAGCTCTTTTTAGTTTATAGAAAGAGTAGGATAAAACATTTAAATGGTATTTACAAATAAAATTTCGTAAAAAATGAAAAATAAATTTAAAAATGCTTAGAAAGCAACTAAAATAAAAAATGAAAATTTTAGTAAAAGTTTCCTAACACAATTAAAGTAAACATTAAAAGTCAAATAAGTTTTACAGGGGATTAAATGGTGTCCATAAATGGATTAGTACCTAAATTAACCATAATTTTGCTATAAAGAGTTTGCCTATCAAAATCATCTAGAGATGCTTTGCTCTTTGACTGAACCCTCTTTTAACTTTCAGGATGTAAATATCTAGAAGACATATTTACTTACTATCTATTTATCTATTAATATTTTTTGTTTATTTACCTAATTCTTTTTTTCTACTATATCAAAAGTAAAGCAAAGAACTTGAAATTTTTAGCTTTAATTATTTTTTATGTAAATTAAATTACAGTTAACTGGTCTCTCCTTTACTTTATCTTATTATTAACTTTTATTTTTTGGTAAATATTATGTAGAATAACTTAATCTAAAAAAAATTTATTGCTTTTCAACACTTCTATCAAGCATTCATTTATGAGTCCTTTTATTTTTTTATTTCATTTACTTATTGAACAGTATTTTGTTATAAAAATAAAAAAATTTAAATATCATTATTGATTGTTAATTAATTTTAATATTACTTTTATATACATTGATTATTTTACATCGAATATTTAATAAGTCTGAATAACATGTATTTTATATATAAGTTTTTATATCCTTAATAAAATAGTTAGATGGATTAAAATTTTTAAATTGGAGTCTTTATTTAATCAAAATATATTAAAGTATTTCAATAAAATAAGTATAATTTTCTCATAAGTTTTGAATTAAAGATTGCTATTTAAAATAATTTTTATAAACTATAAATTAATTTTTTAAATTATACAATGATTCAATTTCTAAAAATATTTAATTAATTTTTTAATCCAAGATATATTTTTATCTCATAAACCTAATATTATTTTAAATATTTCATAAATCTTTAATTGTGATAACAATATATACATACATGCATGCATGTATGCATGCATTTTTGTGATTTGAAATTAGACATTAATATTTTTACAGAATTTATATTCAACTACTTATATAAGTTCGAGTTTTTATTTATTAGAAATTCTTTTTTATATTTAAAATAAAGAAATTTGATAAATTAATTTGTATAATTTTTTTTACTTTTAATGTCAGATAGAAGAAAAGGTAAGAGATCTTACAGTCGCTCTAGATCAAGATCAAGATCTAGATCCAGAAATAAAAAGCACTCTAAAAATAGCACGACAGACTATCACCGCAGCTCTTAAAACAGCAGTAATACACATTCTAATAATGGAGGTGGAAGTAACAATAGTAGGAGAAATACAGAAAGTTCAAGCTATCAATCAAGTAGCAAAAACAATAACTCTTCAAGTGGAAACTCTAGAAACGATTCTAATTACTCTTCTAGTAATTATTAAGCAAGCAATTCAAGTAGTAGTATGAATAAAGATTCTAAGAGCTCAAAAGAAAGCAAAGATAGTAGAGATCATAGAGATAGCAAAGATAACAGAGATTACAGAGATAACAAAGATAGTAGAGATTTTAAAGACAATAGAGAAAAAGATCACAGAGATAGTAGAGATTACAAAGATCATAGAAGTAGAAAAGATTCAAGAGATAGGGATAGAGACAGAGAGAGAGAGAAAGAGAGAGAAAACAAGTCATCTTCAAACAAAGATGCAAAAAAGCATTCATCATCATAGAATAAAAAGGAAAGCAGCTATTCAAGATCACGTTCACACTCTCGCCATCGCTCTTCGAGATCATCATCTTCATCAGACGAAAAGAAAAAGTAGAAATCACTTGAAAAACTACAAAGCAGGTATAATTAAATGATTGAAAAATCCCTCAGAAGATCATCAATCATAATTGTGCGAATCAACATATTATCTGATTTGCAATAATTGATGATTTAAGTGGTTTTTAGAAGATAAATGGGGAGATTTCTAGCAGTATTAACACTCTAATTAAGCATGTTAAATCGAAATAAATAATAGCTCTCAGCAATGGAACTTTAAAGCAAAGTACGATGAATCTAAGTGGTTGATGATTGAGAATATACCAGACACAATAGAAAAAAAGGATATTGAAGAGAAACTTACTCAAGTCAGTGCAGACTGTGGTACTTCTATTTATGATGATGTATGACTGCAATTAAATCTAAATAAAATATTTTTAATTTTTAAACCGAATATTTTGCAATAAAATAAAATTAAAATTATTTTTTTATTCAATTTATTTGTTTCATTTCAGATTTAGATAAAAACAAAATACTATTAATGAATGAATGAACGATTTAATTAACAACTCACTAATTTTATGTCTGCTGATAATATATTATTTATTAATTTTAATTAAGTCTATTTTAACTATAATTTTAATATGAATAGGTCAGATTAGTGTAGTATCTTGGGAGTGCTTACATTTAATATCCTTCAGTGAGTGCAGCTTCTAAGACCTTATATCATCTAAAAGGAAAGGTTAAACTAAGAGATTAATTCTATCCAATCGATTTTTACAATACCACATCAAGTTCTAATGGGAGTGGAAGTGGTGGAAATTAATCAAAAGCAGCTACTTTGTATGACAATATTTAAGCTGATTGGATTTGTGATAAATGTGATTACAAGAATTTTGCGAAGAGAGTTAAATGCAATAAATGTGAAAAGCCACGTTCTTCTAGCTGTAGATTAATTATGAGTAGTGTTAGTGGTGTCAAACCTTCCCTTGGATCTAGCTCTGGTGCTTAAGGTGAACTTACTACATCTTTGATGATTAGAGGTAATGTAGTATCAACTATAAGTGAATCTCATTTAATAGATGCATTTGAAGTAAAATATGTTTCTTTTTCCAAATAATTTTTTTAAAAATTTTAATTATTTAAATTATTAAAAAAGAAATATGCTAAGATTAAGGATGTTAGACTAGTAAAAAATAAGCAAACTCTTTAATAAAAAGATTTTGCTTTTGTTGAATTTTATACAATTGAAGATGCTGAAATGGTATTAGCATAAACAAATGTTCCTGAATTCAGAGTAGCTGGTGAGCCTGTAACAGTTTTGATTAGTAGAAATAAGAAGGCTGAAGATACAAGTGCATCTTATCCTATGGTAGCTGCAACTACTTATGATTATCACTAATAATAATATGGAGCTCAATATGATTATAGCTAATACTACTAATAAATGTATTCTTAATATGGATAGTAACCAGCCTATATTGATTATGACGCAGTAGGGTACACAGCTTATGATTAATAGCAACAATAGCTTCAGTAAGTTTATTAATAATAATAAGAACAGATACTACCAGCTTCACCATATAAGTAAGTATAACAATCATAATTATAAGCTTCCATACCTAACTAAATTCAGTTAAATACTGTTTAGTAGTAATTGCCATAATAGCAAGTTGCACCTTAGATGTAATTTGACGTCACTTATGAAACTTTTGATTAGTCTGATTTGATAAAGTAAGCTCTTGAAAATGTTAAGAATCACTCTCTATCTTTATAACAACAAAAAGAAGAAGAAAAATAGAAGCAAGGTAGATTTTATAAAATAAAAATAAACAATAATTTTTTTTTTTAAATATAGAATCTTTAAGAATTTAACAACATTAAGAAGAATAGAAAAAAAAGGAGTAAGCTGAAAAAAATATCTAAGCATAAAAGACTATGGAGGATCAAATAAAACTTTTAGAAGAGTAGAAAAAGGCTTTGAAAAAATCAGAAGATGAAAATAAAATGAAAGAAGTTCAAAATAAGATAAAAGAAAAGCAGGATGAGCAGTAAAGACAAAAGTAAAGATTAGAAAAATTAAAAGAAGTGTCATAAAAAGACGAGGTGAGCATAGAAAAATAATAAGATTCTTAAAAGAGTGGTGAAGATAATAAAATGAATTTTATATAATTTGAAACAAATGCCTTTTCAACATCCTCTATGCCCTTAAAAACAATAGACATTTAGCTAAATGGTTTAAACAGCTCATCTTAAAAATAAAAAGAAAAAATTTACATATGTTCGATTTGTAAAAGTAAGTTTGAATCAGAAAAGGCTGTAAATATTCACAACACTCATTCTAAATTGCACAAAGAAAATTTGAAACTTTATGGTTTAATTTGATAATAATATTTTATGTGTTTTTATCAAGTAGGTACATTTGATAATTAATACATTTTGTTATTTTGTTAGTAATAACAAGAATTTTAATTAATTTTTAAAAATTTAAAAGAACATTTATCTTTAAAGGAAATAATAATTGATCAAATGGAAAATATTCATTCATTTTTAAATATATTTTTGAGTATCTGTTATAAATCTATCTCAATTAAAAGACTTTTTATTGTTTGAATTAAAATAAAAAGATTGAAATATTAAATTAAGAAATATTTTTATTTCAAAAAATAAAAAAATACTAAATTATACTTTTCCATTATAAAAAATTATGGTCTACATTGAAAGAAGAAAGAAAGAGTAAGCTTATTAATTTACATTTTTTAGGAAAAATTATTGGTTAAATTTAAATTTTAAAATCCTAAAGGGAAAAGACAACTTACAGCAATAAATAACTAAAAATTTTTGTTTATTTTAAGATTATTTTGAAAGAAACTAGAAAATTTAAAAACTAATTACATATATTTAATATTCAAGATCAGGATATCATTTTATAATTGTTATGCTAACTGTAACTTATTTAAAATAAACTATGTTTATATCCCTAAATTGTTTAAAAAGTACAAAATAACTAAATAAGATTATTGTATTTCATTACTCATATTTTAAAAAGTATTAAATTTTAAAGCAAGTAAATAAAGTGAAATAATAAATAGATGCTAGAGTCATAAACTAACTAAGACAATTTTTGATAATATTTATATTTAATTTAATTAAAACTATCAAAAAAATCTAAAAAATTAATAAATAAGTGTAGGAAAATGAGTTCTTTCTTAGTTTGGAGAGAAGAAGGTCATAAATATAATTGCAGTACTTCTGAGGCCTTTATGATGGTTCTAATTACTGCTATTACAAACTTTGCCTGCATGCCAGCTCTTTGCCTTCTTTATAAAAAAAATTTAGTATTTGAAACATACGTAGGTGTTTTCACATTCGTAACTTCGTTTATGTACCATTTTGTAGAAAGCATAGGAGCAGAAAAGCTTTTCATGAAAGAATTAGAATGGCATTAGTTAGGTAAAATAATTAATTAAAAACAATAACTTATAATTTATTTAAATGTAGATAATATTGGTGCTATAATGTGCTTCATTACTGTTTTCATTCATATGGCTAATTTCTAGAATTACAATTTATAAATGCAATTAAATTACTCAGCTATGTTCATTGTAATTATTCTTTAAGTCGCTGATCCTTGGAATTTGACATTCACAGTTGCTCCAATTGTTATTTATGCTTTAATAATAATAGCTTTGGCAATTTATTTGAAAACTTAGCCTTTTACTAATAGATAAATGACAATTAAAGGTTTTTCACTCATCTTTTTAGGTGCTATATTCTTTTCTCTTTCCTAAGATGAGCACACAGATTATTTAAGAATATACCATGGACTTTGGCACTCTGTTATTGGTTTATCTGCTATTTATACATGGTAGTCTCATGAAAAGGAGGGTGAAGAAGTTTATATCACAACAGTATTTACTACAAAAATAAAGTATCAAAGTATTTAATATGAATCAAATAAGCATATTTGATAAAAGGAAGCAAAGTATATAAAAATGTATTTATTTGTAAATAAAGTTTGCTTGTAATTAAAAAACACTATTAAATTAATAAATTCTATTGAATTTTTTGAACAATTAAGTAAATGTTAAATAAATGATGAAGGGTTAAATTTATTTAGATTTTTTAAGTTAATTTTTAAATTCTTAATTTGTATCAAATTATTTGCTTTCTAATTTATGTTTATATTAAATATATTTATTTGAGGCTCTTTAATCATTTAGAGATTTTGTATTTTAATTCATATATCTTTTAAATTAAAAATATCTTCAAACTAAATTTAAAAACCTGTAAAATTGTAGTCAAATTTAGCTGGAAATTACCATTCAAAAAATTTGTTAAAATTGAAACACTTTTTATTAAAAATAAATAAATAAATGGTGAAAAAAATTTGTTATTCTTATTGAAACAAATTTGGTTAGAATTTTTAAAAAATTAAAATGATTATTAAGCATGTAAATGATAATAAGATTGATAAAACAAAGAGAATGAATGAATTAAAGGAAGAATTGGTGATTATTTGAATTTAAATATTAATCTTGTATGTTTTATATATAAAGATAATATGTATATATTAAACTGTAATTTTCAGGAAGGAAAGAAAATTAATAGTTTTAGAGGTTTATATTTGCTAATTCATCAGAATCATTCGCTCTTGGCTTCGACCTTTTTGGTTCTGTCTCTACCGAAGAATTTGTCCTTTTCTTCGACAGTTTGGAATCTACCGTGACCAATCTTGGAAGAGGTATCGATGAACTTAAGGTTGATGATTTCCTTAGCAGCACCGTGGGTTTGAGGAATAATGGACTTTCTTAAAGTAAGAACTCTCTTCTTGGGACCAACGCAGCAACCCTTGATCATGATGAAATCGTTCTTGACGACACCATAGTGGGGGAAACCACCCAAAGGAGTGATAGCCTTATCAGTGACATCACCAGCAGTGGAAGCATTGGAAGCATCATCACCCTTACCGACTCTGTAAACCTTCTTGTTGGTTTCGGTTCTGTGGTGATAACCCAATTGACCAGCTCTGGGGACAGTGAATCTGATTCTGGAAGGATGCCATGCACCGATACAACCGACCTTTCTGTAACCTCTATGGGTCTTCTTTTGTAAATGCTTAACACCGAATCTCTTGATGACACCAGCGAAACCCTTACCCTTGGTAACACCCAAAACGTCGAGCATTTCGTTTTCAGCGAAGATGGAGTCAACCTTAACTTCCTTTTCTAATAAGCTCTTGGCGAAAGCAACCTTTTTATTAATTCAAAATAAAATTAACATCAATCAAGCTGATTCAAAATTATCAAATGCACTCATGAAGATGAATAATTAATTTATTAATAAACTAATTAACTAACTAACTAAAATTATTTTTAATAATCTAAATCTAGCCATTTATTATTTCATACTAAAGTATTTTTATTTTTTCATATTTCTAAATATATTCTTTAAACGAATAATTTATTTTTCTTCACAAAATTATATTTCATTGATAATATTTAAGAGAATTTGCATCGAACATTTTAAATATTCTATTTGTTGATCGGGATATTTGTTTTTTCCTTATCAATTTAACTGGTTTATTTCTATTAATGCTGTTTTCATCAAATATTTTGTTATTCAGCTCTGCTTATATGCTTAAAGAGATTATAATACTTCCCAATATAAAATTTTCTTTATCCCTTAATTTAATCTTTACTTAGATCACTATTTTAGCTTCTAAAATATGACTAGGCATTTACAGTTGCTTTTTAATCTTTCACTTTTGTATAATTGGCATGTAATGCTTTGTTTATTCACTTATGATTATATAGAAAACTTTAATACTAAAATTTGCTATCTTTTAGATTTTTTTAGCAGCTAGTTAAGAAAAATTTCATTCATCTTACACGAGTAGTTTAATATTTATTTAACTCAAAATTTAATTAATTACCTTTTCAGCAACCTTACCACCGTTAACTTAGATTTCGAGGATGTGGTTCTTCTTTTGTCTAAGGTTGAGCTTGCTCATGTTGGTGTGAGCAATAACTCTGACGACAGAGCAGTACTTTTCGATTCTCTTTAAGAGGAGATCTTGAGCCTTTTGGTCGAAGTTCTTTTCGTGATGAGTGAAAGCCTTCTTGTTAGAGTTAGCCCAGTTCTTGTAGAATCTCTTCTTGGTGTTGTTATCGATGGTCTTAGCCCAGACGGTGGTCAAAGCTCTGAGACCTCTGGGGGTATCAATGTAACCGACGACACCGACGATGGTCATGGGGGGACATTCGATGACGGTAACGGCTTCAACAACTTCCTTCTTGTTGTGTCTGGAACCAGATCTGTCGACTTCTCTCAAGATATGGGTCATACCAGCCTTGAAACCAGTGAAAGCGGTCAAGTGGGGCTTCTTGGAGGGATCATCCTTAGGGAAAGATCTGCATCTACCTCTGTGATGTCTTGTTCTTCTTCTGGGTCTGAAACCGAGGGAGCCGTGTCTGGGGGCTTCGAATTTTCTGTGAGACATTTTATTTAGTTTTGTCTTTTATTTAATTAATTTGTATTTTTCCTTTATCTTTATTTATTTATATTAAACAAGACTTGTGTTCTATTTTATACCTTCAAGCAAAGGAATTTAATTCCCTTTTTTTAACTTAAATTAATTTCCCTTTTTTGTTAATTTTCTTCATAGATAGATAGATATCTCATTCTATCCTCTCCATTTATAATGTTTATATCTATCCACTATATGCCCTTGAAATGAAATAATGTTTGTAAATTTACTGTATTTATATCTCAATCAATTTAATTATTTGTATATTCATTCAAATCATATTTTTTGTTTCTTTGCTATTAATACTTCATTTGTATTTTGCTATTCACTGAAGATCAAAGCAAAAGTAATATTATTTTTATACCTTGCAATTTTAAAATATTAAATATTTATATTTGTTACTGTATTCACTTATGAGATTATTGAAAAATGCATCTAATAAATTAGAAATAATAAATGTATAATACTTGTTTTATTTAAGAAATTGATTCTTATAAAAACTCTTCTTAGTTAATTATTAATCAAATATAGATAGATAAATCTAAAATCAATTTTCAAATAAAAAATTAGTTCAAAGAAGAAGGCTAAAAACATAATTGAATGAATACTTGCTTGATCTGAAATTTATACTAAAAAATGTTTACAAAAAACAAAAGAGTAAAAAAAAATATTAATTTTTAAAGATGTAAATTTGAAAAAGAAAAACAAATATTAAGCATATTTAAAATGATTTAAGAGTTTTTAATATTTGAATAATAAATAAATAAATAAATTAAATTATTTACAAATAATTTTGTTAAAAATTAATAAACAAAATTTTGATAATTAGTTTTAAAAAGCAAATATTTATTTTTGTTTTACAAAAAATTAAGATCAACCAGCATACATACATACATACTTTCTAAGATCAAAAATTGAAAGAAGTGTACCTATTAATAAACCATAAAATTAATCATTTTTTATAATTTAAGAAATAAATTTTACTTTTTCTTTTTTAAAATAGTTGGATTATCTGCTCTAAGGTAGTATTTTATGTTGTTCAAGCATGATTTGCAGTAGCTCATTTAATTTCCCATATTTTTATTTAATTCAATTATATGAGTATGAGGAATAGGATTAAGCTGTAGGCCTTACATTGGATGCTACAATTCTTTATTCTAAATTTTTTGTTTTCTGACTTCCTTTTTTATGTCTTTCATTAATTCACTAAACATGATTTCATAGCCTTCTTCCTTATTTGGCACAATATTCTTGGGTAAAAATGTAGATTTATTTTTGGGTATCAACTAAGGCATTTTTTCATTCTGATTTTTTTATGGTGATGTTGAAATACTTTTCGAAATGATGGCTTTGTCAAAGTACACTTAACGATAGTGCTTTTCAATACAAGAATAATCAGGATCATAATCTCCTGGTGCTGGATACTAATCACTGACATACTTTTTTTTGTTATAGATCTAAATTTTAGGGAGCTTAACCTTTGATTCATTTTGCTTTCTTATCATTTCTATTAATTAAGCTTCATCAAGAGCATTCATTTTCCATTTAAAATGTTAATTACCTTCAAAAAATTGTTTTTTAACACTATTAGGTGCTACTTTGTTGTTTAATTCTATTGATTGAACTTCTTATTCCTCTTTTTAATCTGGCATTAAAACAAATTTTCCTATTTGGAATTCAGAGACTTGTCCTCCCTTGTTTTGCTTCATATTTACTTCTATACAGCCTTAAGAAACAATTATTCTACTTTTACTTTCATTTGCAATTAAAGAAGCGCTTGCATCTAATTTTTCTTCTAAAACTATTTCATTCTAATAGCTATTTTTACCGCCTTTTCTATCAAAAGCTGTTAGTGTTTTTGATTAAGGAATTGATAAATTATATTTATCTGTATTAGATCCTGCTTGTATTTAAATATTCATTAAGCTTTAATTCTTTCTAACTTATTTGTTAAAATTTGAATCTATTTATTAGAAATCATTGACACTTTGCTATATTCCTTAAAATTATTCAATAGAGGCATTCCCATTTATAGAGTTTTATGATTAGCTTGCTTGATTTATAGAGTCTATTTACAAAGAAGATACTCCATAATTAGCATTTTCTATTAAGCTATTTTATATACTTCCATTAATTAAATTCATTTAGGAAACAGAAGTAGATTTTTCATCTGTTATTTAATTAATATACTGTGAGTCTGCAGCATTTTGATAGCTTTGGCCTACTCTTGTTGTAGCTGGAGAAGCCTGGTATGATGGGATGTAATACTTTTAGTTATTTACATTTTAATTATTCTAAATATATTTAAAATTATCTAAATGAGGTAACAACGAATCCTAGCTTTAATGCCTAGTTTAAGAACTATTATGAAATGTTGTAATATTACTTTATAGATTATGGGAACTATCAAGTACGTTATTTTGTTAAGTTTTTACTTAATCTGCTTGTTAATAACCAACATATGAATCTTTTTCTTATTCCTCAATAATTAAATTAGAATTGTTAGGATTGTTTATTTAAGCATTTTTGTTTAGCTATATAGTAATTAAATTTTAGTTGATTTAGCTATTAATTTTTTACTCATCTAACTATTATTTAATGAGAACTTCTGTTTTTTATTGGTTCTTACTACTCTATTAGAGATTAGATTCATAATCATTTGAATTAGTCTTTTACAAATTTTACTTAAAAATATCTTTGAGTATTAGGTTATCATCTCTTGTAGTTTTTAACTGAGATCCCTTATCAAAAAAATGTACTCCTCTTTTCATAACAAGAACTTTGTCAGTATTTGGAGGAACAATTAAACTAATTTTTTATCTTTCAATAGGCAGATTGAGTAACTTTCTTCTTCTCTATTACTATGCTTCAGGCTCAATAATAAAGCCCAAGTTATCTCTTTCATTAGCATATGGAATAAATACATCTACTGATTAAGATTTATTTTACTGCTATTATCCAAGGCTTGTAAACTATCGATATTGAAATTATTTGTTGCGATCTTTTTCTTGTAACTACTTCATTCTAAGAGCATTTTACATTTTGATGCTTTAAAGATTATTATAAACTACTGAATTGACAAATATATTATCATTTTTTAGTTTTTCTTCGTTTATTTAATAAGATTAAATCAAATCATTAATTTCAGTTTTTATTCTTTGGTTTGAAATTGATTAACCATTTATTTCGCTTTATATCATACTCATACTGTTATTTGTTTATTTTTAATGTTATTCGTCTTAAGTTTTCTTTTTAGGTGATACTGGAGCAGTATTTTTTTAACCTGTAAAGTAAGGCGCATAGATACTTTGTTTTTTTTGCAGCTATTTATTATCAAAGTTTTCTATTTAGCTTATAACTTTATCAGCTTTCTCAATTAAAAGATTAGCATCTCTCATATTTTTTAAAACATTTTTTTCAGTAAATAAAAATTCATCATATTATTTATTGTAGCTTATTTGCATCGTGTCTTTCAGTCTATCCTTTCCATCCAAGAGATAATCCAATGCTGCTTTTCGCTTTTATCTTAATATACTCATTTTTTATAAATTTTATTCACTTATTAAGTATTCTTTACTAATACCAAGCTTTATTAGTTTATTTATTAGAAAAGAAAATTAATTAATTCAATTAGTGTTATTATGTTAAATCATCTAAAATAAAGTTAAGTAAGCAATTGTTATAAATAAATATATGGTTTATTTGGCTAATTAAGGTTTTTTTAAAATCCTCAATAGTTGTTTAATTTATAAAAATACTATTTTTTGTCAAAAATAAATTTTCATTTCATCACATGCACAATTAATTTATAAATTACTTGCTTTTAAGAATTAATTTTTATAATTTAATTGACATTATTAAATATTTTAAATTATAAATGGAAATATATATTTAATAATAATTGTGGATGATGATTTAATGTTTCATCTGAAAAAATAGATTATTAGATAATATATAAATATATTGTTTATTTGGCTAATTAAGGTTTTTTTTAAATTCTCAATTATTGTTTAATATATAAAAATACTATTTTTTGACATAAATAAATGTTCATTTCATCACATTTGATAATTAATTTATAAATTACTAGCTTTTAAGAATTAATTTTTATAATTTAATTCAAATTATTAAATATTTTAAATAAAAAATGAAAATATATTTTTAATAATAATTGTAAAGGATGATTTAATGTTTTATCTGAAAAATTTAGATTATTCTATTCAAATTAATAGTAAATTAAAAAAATGAAATATTCGATCATTATTATTACATAAAATATAGTAAAATAATTGGAATGAATTTAACTATTTTAAAATTAATATAATAAAATTGATAAATTAAGAAAATTTAATTAATCTATTTTATTTTAAAAATCAGTTTAAAAAGTGTAATATATCTTTTAATTCAATATATTTTTAGGAATAAATTAAACACTATTTGTTTGAAAGAAATAGACTACATGTATATACATTTGTTTTACTAGTTATCAGAACTTGCTGTATTTTTATAAAAAATTAATATCTCATAAAAAATCAGCAATAAGCACTTTAATACTTTAAGAAATTAAAATTAATAAATACCCTTTAGATAAATTGAATTACTCTCCCCCTTAAAAGATAACCCAATCTCCGAGGCCATTAAATAAATAAAAAGTTAGGCTAAATAAAATGGCTGAGGACTCAGGTGATGAGATAGAACTTTAAATGAAGGATTAGAATGATGTTAGTGATGGGAAAAATTATTTAGAGCCTAATGGGCAAGAAGAGGATCTTTTGTTTAAAAAGAATAAAAATGTAGAAATTAAATTCTTATATTTTAAAAGCGAATCCAATAGAATGAAAGTGATTAAAGCATTTAAATTTAACAGTTTTTCTAAGTAGAAAAGCAAAAATAAAACATTTTTTTATTTGAAATTTGGAAACAAAGCCATATTTATTTATTTAGAACTAAAATATATTTGTAATATTAGATTTATGAAAATATTTATCATTAATTTTAATAGAAAAAGAAATCAGTTAGTTTTTTTTCCAAGCTGTACAATTGCTTGAGTGGTAATTCTTAGCATGAAGGAGATAGAAAAATTTACTTAGATGGGCATTCAGTGCCTAAAATAAATGTGCAAAATGTTGTGAGAAATCAAAAATATAACATTTTTACTTTTATTCCTTGTGTGCTTTACAATCAATTCAAGTTTTTCTTCAACTTTTTTTATTTATTAATATGCATTTCTCAGTTTATTCCAGCCTTAACTGTAGGTAAATAGAGTTCATTTAATTATTTGAAATGTCTTTTGAGAAATAAATATTAGCCCTAATTGTATTTTGAGAATATAGATGGTAAAAACTATTTTTTTTAATTTATAGGGTTTCTCTTCACTTACATAGCTCCTTTAGCTTTTGTGCTAATTTTAACTATGATTAAAGATGCATACGACGATTACAAAAGATATAAAAGAGACAAAGAAGCAAATAGTTCACTTTATGAAGTTATTGTCAACGGACAAATAAAATTAATTCCTAGTATGAACTTAAAAGTAGGATAAATCGTAAAAGTAAATTTAAAATAAAGAATTCCTGCTGATTTAATTATACTCACTGCTTCTGAGCCAAATGGTACTGTTTTTATCCGTACAGACTAGCTTGATGGTGAAACAGACTGGAAAATTAGAAAATGTATCAGACATACACAAAGTAAAAATAGTTTAAAATAAACTATTACGTTTATTATTACAATTTTTTGTTACTTTGAATATTTTTGTGATTTACGAGAAATAAATAAATAAAAAAATAAATAGACTGGTTTCGTAATTTACTGATAAATTAAGGTTGTGTTGTAATTCAAAAATTTTAATGTTATTGAGTAACTAAATTTTCATAAATAATTTGTCTATTAGATATGCTTTTTATTTAAATTTAACAAGAACCAGCTTTTATCAATAATTTTACTTTTTTATTCTTACTATAACTATTTTAAATTAATAGACGAAGTCGACTTTTAAAATGCTGTAAGTCTTTAAAAGCTGGGAGGTCACGTTGTCATTAACTAGCCTTAAGAAAATATCTATGAGTTTTCAGGTTTATATAAATTTAATGATCACTAAGAACCACTTAATTTAGAAAACACTCTCTGGTGCAACACAATTTTAGCATCTGGACATATATGGGGTTTGGTCATACACACAGGAAAGGAAACAAGAATGGCTATGAATTCAAGGCATCCTAGAAGCAAATTTGGGCTCTTTGATGAAGAAGTCAACTAGCTATCAAAAATATTATTTTACTTTATGATTATCCTTTCATTTGTAATGATACTTTTCCATGGATTCACATCTCTATGGGTAATTTAGTATTTCCGTTACCTACTTTTGCTAAGTAGCATCATACCCATTTCCTTAAGAGTTAACAATGACTTTGCAAAAGCAGTATTCTCCTATTAAATTCAAAACGATAAGTCTATTGAAGGTACAGTCGCAAGAAACTCTAATATACCAGAAGAATTAGGAAGAATATAATACGTTTTGGCAGATAAAACAGGAACTCTCACACAAAACGATATGATATTTAAAAAGATTATTATCAGTGAGAAATAATATACAGAAGAAGACTTCAATGAAATTAGATCCATTCTTTCCAAACATTGCCAAAAACACAAAGGTCCACTTTCTGATGTAGAAGGTGATACAATTGCAGAAAATAAAAGGCATTTGCGCAGAAAAAATGATTATTTACTTAGAGATGCAATCACAGCACTAGCAGTCTGCCACAACGTTACTCCAGTTATTGAAGACGGAGAAACCGTTCTTTAAGTAAACATACTTTTTTTCTCAAATTTAATTATTTAGCAAATAATAAATAATAAAGGCATCAAGTCCTGATGAGCATGCACTTGTGAAATTCGCACAAAGCTTAAATATAACTCTGCTTTCAAGAGATGAGCAAAAAGTAGTTGTAAGAAATGCTGCTAAAGAAGAAGAGCACTTTGAAATTCTTGCTTGCTTTCCCTTCAGCTCCGAAACCAAAAGAATGGGTATACTTGTTAGACACTAAAAGACCAATAAAATTATATACTACTTGAAAGGTGCTGATGCTATCATGGTAACGAGAGTAAGAAAAGTTTACCATCCACTTATCAATGATGACTGTGACAATCTAGCTAGAGAAGGTCTTCGTACTCTTGTTGTTGCACAAAAGCTGATTTCAGAAGAGTTTTACAAGGATTGGAGAGCCAAGTACAATAAAGCATAAGAACACATGCAAAATAGAAATGCAAAAATTAGAGAAGTTGCTGAGTTATTAGAAGTAGATATGGAGCTTTTAGGTAATTATTAATATCTATTTGTATATTAAGTAAATTAAAATAAATTAATAATTTTAATAGCTGTTACAGGTGTAGAAGATAAACTTCAAGATGAAGTCTGCTCTACAATTGAAAGTATGAGGTAAGGTGGGATAAAAGTGTGGATGCTTACAGGAGATAAAGTAGAAACAGCTAAATGTATAGCAATCAGTGCAGGTTTGTAATCAAGAAATTAAGAAATATTTGAAATCAAAGATGAAACAGATGAAATGGCTATAAGAGAACTGATTAATAAATTTTCTCATAAATCTGATTGTGTTTTACTAATTGATGGTGTATCACTGACTAGAGTAATATAATCTTGCTCAAAAATTTTCTTTGAAACTGCTTGCCAAGCTCCAGCTGTAATTTGTTGTAGATGTGCACCCAAATAAAAGGCTGAAGTTACAGAGATGCTTAAAAAATACTCCAAAAAAAGAGTACTTTGTATTGGTGATGGTGGTAATGATGTCGGTATGATATAATGTGCTCATGTAGGAGTAGGTATTGTAGGAAAAGAAGGAAAACAAGCTGCTTTAGCCTCTGATTTTTCAATTTTAGAATTCAAACACATCAAGTAGTTATTATTTTGGCATGGTAGAAACTCATATAAAAAAGGTAAATAAACATTTTTTTAATTACTATGATTTAAATCTACCTAAAAAATAATTAAGATAAATATTGATTCTAAAAGAAAATTTAAATGTTAAATTTTAAAGAATAAAATTTTATTTCAGCATTTTAAGTTTGCTGTTCAGCATCTTAAAATTTATTAATGATTTTGAAAAAAAATCTATTTATAAAATTACATTTTTATAAGACAATTAACAAATTATTGAAATTAAGAATTAATTTTGAACAAAAATATAACAAAGATTTTAAATTTAATTTTCTAAATTCTAAAATTTAAATAAATTTAATATTTTACTATAAAGCAACCACATTAAGTTTGTTTGTCATCCATAGAGGTTTAATTATAAGTATTATCTAATTTGTTTTCAGTAGTGTCTTCTATTTTGTAGCCATTCCTATTTACAATGGTATGCTGATGCTTGGTTATTCAACTTTTTATACATCTTTACCTGTCTTCTGTTTGATTTTTGACTAAGATATTTCTTAAAAAATGGTTCAACAGTACCCTTAATTATATAAAACTCTATAAAGAAACAAAAGAATGAGCACAAAATCAATATTAGTATGGATCTGGATTAGCATTTACTAAGTAATTAAGTTAATCAAATTATATTTATCTAATAATTTTTACTACTAACAGGGAGCTTTAATCATGCTTATGACTTTAACTATGTTTAAAGAAGCCTTTTTAAATATTGTGACCATTACATTTACGTCATTAATTTTTATTGAGCTTTTGAATGTATACTCATAGGTAAATTAACACTTTTAAAAATATTCTATAATAAATACAAATTTTAATGTTAACAAACCAAAGTTTATTAGCTTTGAGATATAATATAACAAAGAATTTAGAAATTATTTACTAAACTAAAATTGAAAAAAATTATTATTAAAATAGATTCATACATTCCATTTTGCAATGGTAGTAAGTCAGGTATTCACGTTCCTTTTATATGTTCTAAGTATCATATTCTTAAATAATTATATTGATACTGCTTAAATAAATATTCACTTCTTTGTTAAAGTTTCTTTGATTTGCTTATGCACATGGCTACCTGTTCATACATTTAAGATAATTTAATAAGCTTGTTATCCTAGTGAAGAAAAAAAAATAATGCGTCAAGTATTTACCTTAAAAGATTTCTTAGGAGTTTTAATAGGATTTGCTAGCTTATTGATATTTGTATTTTTATATGCAAATTGATTTATAATTTTAATTGTTTAATATAAATAAATTATGTAGTTTTAATATTTTATTTTTAATAAAAATACTTTAATGTTAATTATACTTCGTTTACATCTATAATTATTATCTTAAATGTTTGTCAGTTATTTCCAATTTATTTATACTTTTAAAATAAAAAGACAACATACATTTTATAACCATTTTTTCCTTTCAAATAAGAATTTTAAATATATGTTGATACTAGAATATCTTGTCTTTCAATAATTTATTTACTAAAAACGGTAATTCTAAAAATATTATAAAATTTTTTAATCCTAAATTCTATATTCTAAAAATATTCTAAAAAATTAAAATTGAATATTTATATTCTAAATTTATTCTAGAATTTTTAAATTCAATATTCTATTTCTTTAGAATAATTTAGAATATTGTATTCTAAAATCAAAAAAATATATTTATCTATTTTATTTTATAAAATTTGTTCTAAAAATAAAATATATCTTGTTTTGAAAAAGAGAGTTTATGTAGGACTGTTAAAATATTAAGAGTTTTTATAATTTTTCATATAATTTAGTAACATATTTTTTTAGTAAATTTTTACTTTTTTCATTGTAAAATAAATATATTTATTTTTGTTATATTACCTTATTTATTGAATTTTATTTATAAGGTGTAAATTAAAAATTTTACGAATATTAACATGTAATATTATTTTTAATTAGTTTCTATTAATATTTATGAAAATAGGTAAAAATTTTTATTTTTCTACAAATATTTTTTGGTTTTATTAAATTAATTTATTATATGAAATTATAAATAAGCTTACAAATTAAGAAAATTAATTCAAAAAATATATTTTTTTAAAATAAGAGGTAATTTATTGTTATTGTTATTGCTATTGTTATTGTTTATATTTTATTGCAAGCTATTATTTAAGCTATTTTGAATACTTTCAGGGTTTTAATTATGCTATTTTGTATCAGCACTGAATTAAATTAATTTAATTTTCTTTTAATCATTTTAATTATTAGCTGATTAAGGAGTTCTAAACTATGAAACAAATCCATCATTTAAATGAAAAAAGTTATTATTAATGTTTGGTTATCTCTATTTTTATAAATTTACATGATATTGCAAACAAATCTCTTACTAATTTTATTAATTTATTTATTGTTGATTTTTCTTATTTTAATTATTTTGAAGATTTGCATCATTTTAAAAAGATTCTTTTTACTTTTCAGATGCCACTTAATATTCCTCTAATTAATATGTTACACCATGGAATGGAGATTTGTTTCGAAGCTTAGCTTTTTTTTGCATTTCTTTTTTTTTCATCTCCTTCTCATACTCCAATTTACTTTTGAATTGTTTATACTCAATGTAATTATAAAACAAAGATCCTTGCTAATTATGAACTATTGGGCTATTTATTTGATCATTAAATGGAGTATGAGAATTTTTATATACAAATTTTTACTCTTTTTATGGCGAATTCCTTTATGATTAAACACTTAATTACTGCACGTTTTTAGTATTTTATTCTCCTAAACTTTTATTTAAATCATTTATTCTATTAATTATTTCCTCATTTTAAAATAATCCTTAAGATATATCAATCATTTAGGGTTTATCTTATCTTTTAGTTGTGTTTATACTTTAGTTAATATCTCTAGGTGAAGCATTTTAGGATTGAGGTAAGATAAATTATTACTAATGAAGAATTCTTTGTTACTTTGATTCAAAGTATTTTTAAACTGTTTCTGGTATTTCACCTTCCTTCAACTGGCTCTTAATCATATCAATACTAACGACATTAGGATCAAATCTTTTAAATATTTAAATACTTTTTCTCCTCCTTCCGGATTATGTAGTCTTTTTTGTGATTTTTTGAGGTGTTGAATTTTTTCTTTCAAAGTTTTATTATGCTTAAGGTCTATTAATTAGATATTTAGAAGGATCAGCAGACTTCATTTTTGTTGTTTAAGAAATATTCATGATAGAAGTAATTTAAATTTTATCTGGACTTTTACTATTTTCCTGAGCACTGATGATTTAACTCTCATTTTGTTAGTCTAAAAAAGATTCTCTTAAAGCTTACGGTGGATTTTACAAGCAAGTTTCATTTAATTAATGATTATCTTATTGCAACTCATGCTAATATCCTCTCTGTCCCTTTATATTTTTACTTAACAAATTAAAATAGTCACTTTCTAATTTATCAATCCATCTCTCTCTACTCTTTTAAAAGCTATCTATTCTCCTCAAAGGATCTTTATTGCTTACTCTCTTCTAATCTCTCAAAATATTTTCTTTAGAAGCAGCTTAGCCTTTAATCTATAAATTAATTTACTATTTATCTTAATTATCAGGCTGTTAAATAAGATTTTAATATAAATTCTATGACTGCTTTTACTAGTCCTAAGCTTATTGAGAAACAGATGAATTATCCAAATTAAACTTCTTAATATTATGCAAAGAAGCTCTTCTTATTTTAGCATCTTCAATCTTTTTTGATGATAATGGTTCAACGTTAAGCTGTCTTTTAGAATTTTTTACTGAAAAGCACTTTTTATCTGCTATCATTTATATTTATTTATATGGTTAAATATTTGTTTCAGTTTATTTATCTTAGCTGATGTTTTAATTATTTTGCTATAATTCTGATAAATGCGGCATCCTTTATCCTTTAATCCTATTTTTAGAATAGTCTTTACTTTCATTGACTAATTTCTCCCTTTTTTGATAAATTTAAGAAAGAAATATAGGTGTTTCATCTTCATCGTTATCCTTATTTTAATTAGAATCACTATTTTGTTAAGAGTTTGTAAATTAGTTATATGTATTGTTATTTGAGGCTGTTAAAATATCTGAGTAGGGATTAAATTCTTCCTGATAATTAATCAGACTTTCATAAATTTTTATATCTGGCTTTGTACTACCTCGAGTTGTAGATTTTTGTAAACTATTTTCATTGCTCCTGATAACAGTACTTATTACTTCTTTTTTCAAAACTTTTCTTCTTTAGTTATCAACAGTCTTTGAATTAGAGCTGTTTGGAGATCTCTTTAAATTTTAATATTCGTTAATACTCTAATGAGGAATTTCCTTTCTGTTTTTCTTGTCTGGATCCAAATTTTTACCTTAACAAAAGTTAAATGTACTGTTGAGTATCTTTAAATAGCTTTAAATTTATTTTTCTTAGTTAAATTATTAATAATTTTTGAATGGCTCATGATGATTTGTATTGTTTTCCATGTAATATAAATCTTCTTACTGATCATTTATATTTAACAACTCGTCTTTAGCAATTATTTCTAGCTGCGAGTTTGAAAACATTGAAGGGAGTAAGATCTCCTATTTGCTTTAATAATCTAAAATTGATTGGATGGAAATAAATAAAATGGATAGATAGTAAATTCAAAGAAAGTAGTGTTTTGTTTGATCAATTTTTAAATATATTTTATATTTATCTTTTACTGACAAAAATATCAATAAAAAGAATAAAAAGTAAACTTTCTTCTAAAAAATAGTTAATATCCACTAAATTATTTCTTTTAATTTGTACTTAATAATAAATTACTTTTTTGATTGTCATTTCTTTATTAAATATGGAAAAAAAATTACTATTTGTATGAATTTTCCAAATTAATTTAATTTTTTAGTATAGATAAAACACAATCAGCTAGATCCATCAACCCAATTCATTTTTGCTAAATAAAATCAAAGCTAAATGATAAACCTTTGTGAAAAAAACTAAAAGAAGAATTGATACTTAGATAAAAATTTACTTTATATTTAATAAAATATTTCATTATAAAAATGAATTAAAAAAATTAAATTGTTTAACTTTTAGTTTCAATACATAAAAGAAAGATGACTGACTGACTTTATTTTTTCTATAAATTTTTAAATACAATAAATTTTTATATTTATCCAATTAATTATGATATTTATAACATTAAATATTTTAATGTTTAATTTTGTAATTTATTTTACATTGATTTTCTCTAAAAATGTATTATAATTATTTTTTCTTTGTAAAATTAATGTTTGTTGTATGCCTAGCCCTTTCTTTTCCTCTACTCTATTTTTTTAATTTTATTATATTTTTAAAAACTAAATACAATATTTATTTTTTTTAATTCTTTGTTAAATTAAAAATAGTATTTGTTAAATAATATAGCATACATTTTATCATAATTAGTATTTTTTTTGCTTTCTGTAAAATATTTGGACAGATATCAATCAATTACATCTTCATTTGAGTTTTAAGATGTAAATTAGATGATTTAAATAAATTCACTTTTGCTAAATAAAATCAAAGCTAAATCATAAACTTTTGTGAAATAAACTAAAAGAACAATTGATATTAGATAAAAATTAACTTTATATTTATTAATATATTTCATTATAAAAATTATTTAAAAAAATTAAATTGTTTAACTTTTAGTTTCAATACATAAAAGAAAGATGACTGACTGACTTTATATTTTCTATAAATTTTTTAAAATAGATTTTTATATTTATCAAATTAATTAAGATATTTTCATACATTAAATATTTTAATGTTTATTTTTGTAATTTTTTTAGATATATTTTCTCTAAAAATGAATATATTATAATTATTCTTTCTTTGTAAAATTCATCTTTTTTATAGGCCCTTTCCTTTCCTCTACTCCTATTTTTTAAATTTTATTATATTTTTAAAAAGTAATTACAATATTTTTTTTTAAAAATAATAATTTCTATTCAATAATATAGCATACATTTTATCATAATTAGTATTTTTTTTGCTTTCTGTAAAATTAATCTGAGTAACAATTTGGACAGATATCAATTACACCTTCATTTGAGTTTTAAGATGTGAATTAGATGATTTAAAAATTATCTTTAAGGCAAATCTTATCTTCGCTTATTTTTAAATCTCCACTCTTAGGCAAATAAAATTTAATATCACATTTTTGACAAACCACTTATTCAGATTATTCTATAAATTTCATGATGCTTTAACAAAAACCGCATTTACTTAGAGGTTTTGCTGTCTAAAGTACTTCTTTATAAGTTTTGCAGAATAATCCGACTAAATTATCCATATTTTTAATATTATAAACAAAATTGATGTATTTATTTTAAAATAAACCTAATGATTCATTTAATACCTAAGAAAATTCCTTATCACCTTTAGCAATCTAATTAACTGAATTTTCAATTTAAGCTCTAATTTATGGTGAAACAAGTTCTTCGTCTATTTTTCTATAACCATCTATAATAGATCTTCCTAATTATGTTGGTATTAAGGTTCTATTTTTTTGATCAATTTCAACATATTTTCTATCAACAATATTTTGTATATGAGTAGGTATTGAGGCATCAGTACCAATAGAATTTTTTGACATTAAATCAATAAGCTCAGATTCTGATAAATAACGAGGAGGAGATGAATATTCTTCTTCAATACTTATGTTTTTTATTTAGAATTTACTACTTTACTTTACATCAATTTAGATGATGTTTTAATCGAGTTAAGTTGACTTAATAACTTTTGTATATCCTTATTTTTCTACTCTAATAGCTTCAGAGATAAATTAGTAATTTTTCACTTGACATGTTATGTTTAATTTCTTATACTCATAATCATCGTACAAGCTTGCTATGAAATGTTTTGAAATGTAATCATATAATTATTTTTCTTATGGGCTTATTAAACCCTCATTTTCTGGTCTTGGATAGTTTGAAGTTGGAGTAATAGGTGGATGATCTTCCGTATCATTTCCTTTTTGTGGTATTATATAACCATCATTAAGTAGATTTTATGCGAATTTCCCATATTCTATATCTTGCTATAGACTTGACAAAACTTTTTTGAAATTAAATGAGCTTGAATAAGCCGTTGACTCTGTTCTAGGATATGTGATAAATCCTTTTAAATATAGATTTTCAGCAGCATCCATAGTTTGTTGTGGACTCATATTCAAGCTACTTGATGCAGCTTTCAGCATTTCAACTGTATTTAGACCAACTGGGCATTCTTCTACTAAAGTCTCAGATGAAACAGATACTATTTAAATGTGTTTTTCAAGTTTAATACTTTAGAATATGTATTAAGCTTTTTCTTTAGAAAGTGTTTCTTTTTGTTCACTATAAGCTAACATTTAAGTTTTATTATCACTTCCCTAAAGTGTTAACTTTACTTTATAGAGTAAACTTGGGATGAATTTTTTGATTTAATCCTCTCTTTCCACACAAAACCCAAGCGTTGGTGTCTAGCATGGACCAAAAGAAATAGTCCTTTTGTTTAAATCAGGATATTTATTTCTAAAGAAAAGAGTTTAATATCTAGTGAAAGAAGCACCTATTTTTAGATCAATAATTCTACGAGCATCTACAGCTTTCGATTCGTTAACGTTAGGAGGATCAGTAGTTCCATTAAATGCTTTTATTATATCTTACTTTGTCAGAGAAGAAAATCTTGTTCTCAATACTTACTATACATTATCTCCTTTGAAACACATAACTTTTTCACAAATTTATTTTACTTCAAAGCATATGTTTTCTCCTTCTTTATCATTATCAAGCCAAAGAAGTAGGTAAGAACAATTTCTTGCTTCTGATTCTAAATGCCTCACAATATTATGCTTGCTTGGAATCTTTAATGTATCTGATGAAAATAATTACACAGGATTAATTTCATTCCAATTTTCTTTAAGCTTTTAAGGAAAATCTAAATCATAAACATGACCAGTTACACTAGTTACCTTAAAAATGGTTTTCTATCCTTTGAATCTACCTTCATATACATAGACAGGTAGATATCTAACTTTCCCTTATCTTTTTTTGGATGTTTTATTTGATAAAGCGGATGCAATTTTTCTAGCTACAGAAGGTTTTTCAGCTACCAATAGTACTTCTTAAATCTATCCTTTTTTCCCACTATAAATATTATATGTTTCATTATAACATTTATCTTCATTTTTGTAGAATTTTTAAGTTAAGTATTTTTTTGGATCAGAACTCCATTCATTCTTAAAATCTTACACTTATTATTTTTAGTTTGTTCTAGCTTAAATATTTTGTTCTTTTATTTATTCCTATCCAATGTTTGCTTTCATATTTATGAGTTCTTCATTTTTAAAATTATTTTATTAATTTTAATATTATCTTAGATTTGTTTTATTTAGGCTTCTGTTCTCAACTTATCTTGAATCTTATTATTTATACTGATTAGGATTATCATTATTTGAATTTTTTTAAATATTACAACTCTAAGATATTGTTTAAACAAGATCTTTTCGAACATACACATGCTCTACATTTTACTGATAACCCCTTTTTTTTCTATTATTATTGCGATTATTATTGTTAGTCTTCTAGCTTGATTAACTTACATTTTTGTTTAGATTTTTAGAGGAATTTTATTGTGACATGTATGTGTTACTTTTGTCTTCTAATTATTTTTACTTCTTAGAACTGTGCCATGATGAATATGGATTATTGTTAGAGAGATTTTCCTTATCTGTGCTCATTTTAAAAAGACGTTTTTGATTATTTTATTCAATTATTTATTTTCAGAAGAATTGATTTAAGAATATTTTGTTTGAAATCTTAAAATATTAATTAATTAATAGTTGCAAACCAATATACACACATTCATATAAAATATACTATTATATAAAAATATTTATAAGCTCATTTTTTAAATTTTTCTAGATAAGATAAGCCAGTAGTTTATTTTCTCTCAGTATTATAAAATATAGTTTTTCTCTTCTGATCTTAAAGTGGATTGATAGTTTATTTTTTTTCATTATCTTTGATTTAAATAGTATTTTTTAATTATTAATTTGGTTTGTAAACATTTTCATTTTCATTAGAATATTTTATTTCATTAGTTTTTTGATTGTTTAAATTGGTTTATATAATTTTAAGGCCTTGCTATTCTTTGATTAGAAGGTTTTGATTCTCTTGATTTTATAAGTTATTTACATTCATATCTTTAAGTATTAATATCTTCTAATTACCTATTATTTTTATTTGACTTTTTAAACTTTTTTAATGAAATAAATAAATGTTTACTTTGGGGAATATTTTATTGATTGTTATTTTGTGCTAATATTTATACTTTTAATGCTGCTTATTCTCTTCCCTACGATAAAGGAGGCTATTTTTAATTTTCATTAAATTTAAAATAATTCTAAAAAAAGAAAGATATTACTTTTTCAAGGTTTTCTTACTTTGTGAAATAATTAGAATTTATAGTATTCCTTTAGCTGCTGTTATTTCTTGAACTACCAGTCTCAAAAATCATTCTTTTGATTTTGAAAAAAAAATATTTTATTTTTATAAAATAAAAATAAATATTAATTACCGCTTTTACTTGAAATCTATCTATTATTACTCTTTTTTCAACTCGCTATTTAATATATTTTCAATTTCAAAGGTTGTCTACAGTTGTTAATTCGCCTAAAATTAATTTTTTGCTTTTAATTGAAAATTAAAATGAATAATTTACATTCTTTAAAATAGAAAGATCATCTAAGAAAGAAGCAGCTGTTGTATTTTAACCTTAAACGTGCTTAATAGTTAGATTCTAGTTTGGTCTTTCATTAGATTAGTGACTTTAGTTACTTTAAGTTTCATTTTCAAATTTGTTATTACGACAAGGCTATAAAAACTTATTAAACTTAAATGGCTCTAGTTGCTTCACTTAAATATCATAGTTTTGCTCTTCAATTGTACTTGTTTAAAATTCATCTAGATTTTAATTTGAATACCTATCTTTACAACTTTATTTTTAATTTAAAGTTTGCTTAAGTTAACTTAGTTAATTTTGATTAAATTATTCTCTGTTCTTTTAAAAATCATTTTTTACTGGATTGCTTTCTTAAGGTTAAAATTAATTATGCTGTTACGCCTTTGTTGTGTTGCTTTCATTTTCTTTTTATTTAATTGTTTTTTCGTCTAAGCAATTTAAATCTTATTCAAGCTACTTGAATTTTTTATCACTTTACTTTAAAAAAAGACCTTGAATGTTTTTTTCTTCAGAAGATTTTGTTATTAACTAAAAGCCATTTCTTTGAGTTTAAAATTACTTTAAGTTGTTTATTCTTAAATCATCTCTCTAAGTATTTTATTTCGTGAAAGAAGAAACCTATTAAGGCTAAGAGTTGTTAGAGTATTGGATAATTTATGAATTGTTAGATTGCATGTCTTTTATTTTAATTGGATTTTCTATTTCTTTGCATGATTAGTTTGAACCTTAATTTAAACCTCTCGTTATAAAATTTTATAAACTTATGATATCTGCAGGTTACTTTTGAGGTAAGATAGAATCGAATATCTTCTTCTTTCTTTCTAATGATTTGCTTCCATTAGAATTTTACGTGTTATATTAGTTAGTGTTGCTACAATAATTACTCATACTCCTTTTACTAGCTAAGTAAAGCGACATATTAGAATTACTTTGTTGAGTATCATATTTGGTATTTTGCTATAGTGATATTTAAGGATCATAAACTTAAATAGGATCTATTACTTTTTATGTTATTTACTATTTACTAACATTTCTATCTAATGTTTCTTGAGTAGAAGAGTTGACACCTATCAATTTTATACCTTGCTGAAGTTACTAGCTTTTTCTAATTTCTTCATTCTAAATCCTAACCTTATCATAATTTTGATAAGCTTGCTAAATAATTTAGGGATTTTATTTTAAAGGAAAAGCCTTCTCAGCTGAACTTAATGTATTTAATGTATATGTAGAGCTTTACTGAGTTAACAGATTATTTTGGTTGGATATTTAGAAGTTAATTTGCTGGCTTTTGTTTGAAGTAGGAGAAATATAGACTTATTATATCAACCCTTGCTTATTATTAATCCCTTCTATTGGAATATCCTCATACAATTTAAGTCCATTACCATTTTCATTTTCTAACTCAAATTAATTTTGCAAGTTTTAAATCTTTCTACTTACTTTACTTTATATAGAAGTAGTTGATTGAGAGCTTTTTTATTTTAGCAAACTTACTCCTTATATTTCAAATTCATCTGAGTCTTAAGTTCTACCTCCTAATTGACTATTTTTTTGAACTGAATATGACTAAATTTGTTAGTAATAGTTTTTATTTTAATTTTAAGCACATAATATATCTTTAATTGGCAGATTTTGAGAATTATTTACAAACAGATTTGGTTTATTATTAAATGCTTTTGTGGTCTATTTTATTGGATAGTTTTGAGATTAATAGACTGGCACTGAAGAAAAGTTGCTGTCATTTTATTTGGAAGATATAAATTTTTATAGCTAATTAATAGAATTAGTTGCGTAATTGTAAGAATTTTCATCTGAAACAAATTCTTCATTTTACAAATTTTACTAATTCTATTTTGCAAAAGGTGCATGCATGCTTTGCAAAAGAGATTGCATGTAACTTTTTACTTATTTGTCATTATCATTAATACAAACAGCTAGCTTGCGAGTTTCCATTAAATTTGCTGCAATTTCTTAAGTTTCAATTTAATTAAATTCCTCATTCAATATGTTTTCTTTATTTCTACTAACTGCTTGCATAACTTAAACTCTCACAGATTGCATTTAATTTATTGGCATTTCTTAATTAATACTAATTTCATTTGCAAAGTCTTCTTCTTTTATTTCATCTATTAAGTTTCCAACATTTACAAAATCCTCATCTTCACGAATGCAAACCGAAACTCCTCCATTTAAAAGGCTATTTTATGAAGTAGTTTATCTTTCATTTTCTTAATTTTGATCTTTATCTCCTTTAAGGTATTAAGCTGGATTTTTTGAATAGTTATTCCTTTTGTTATTTTCAACGCTTTATGACTTATTTCTATAACTGTAGTTTGTAGATGATTACATTTAAATTTATGTTTTCTCATCTCTATATTATTTATTTTTGTTATCTTGTAATTCTCTTTAAAATTTTGGACATTCTAGCTAACTATTTTACTTAAAGTTTTACAATAAGTTAATATGTCCTTTTTAGTTTAAATCTGGTCCTAATGAAGTTGTTTTAGATGTTTGGGTTTATTTTTAGAATGCTCCTTGCCCAACCTATATTTATCCATCTATCATTTTTCTCAATTAAGAGTTGGCTGATATTTTGAAAAACTTTTTATTTACAAAAATAACAATAATTAATAAATATGTAGACTTATAAAATGTAAAAAAGGTTAGTTACTTAAGTATTATCTGTTCTTAACTTCTCCTGTTAAATAGGTTTTTGAAACATATTTATATTATTAACCAATTATTAGCTGTTACCTAAATAAAATAGAACCTTTGTATTAATAAAGCTTCAAATGCTTGTCCTATTTAAAGGTTATTAAGGTGTATAAAAAATAAATTTATTATGTTATTTCTTAAAACTTTATAATAATTTACTTCTTAAAATCTTAAGCTTGTTTACCCTTCAGCAATTTTGAATTAACTATAAAAACTTTTAACGAATAAATAAATAAATCTTATCAAATTTAATTTACATTTTCATAATAATTCAATAATTAATATTGAATAGCAAAAATGAAATTAATACTCTTACACAAAATTGCATAATAAAGAAATATTTTATGTATAATTCAAGCAATAAATCAAAAGAAATTTTTCAAAATTAATAATCAAAATTTCATTCGTAATAATTTTCAGAAATTTTTAAGAAAAATAAGAAAGAGTTATTTGAATTGATTTAATAAATTATTTTTTTTAAAAATAAGATTTTATAAAATTTTTATTTTTAAAATTTATTTTTATTTTTATTTAAATAAATAACTAGAAAATAAAGTGTTAAAATTAAGTATTTTGTTTGAAGTTTAACATATTCTTTAATAATTATTTAAATAATTTAAACTAGATTCCAATATTAAAAATTATAAATGTTATTTTAATAATTTTGAAGAGATACAGAAGTAAAAATATATTTTAAACAATAATAGGGAGGATATAATATCTTTCTAAAATAATGGCAAATATAAAAATAGATATATCTAAAAGAAAATTAGAAATAAAGAGAATATGCTTTTTAAATTATTATTTAGAAGAGTTTTAAAAAGAATATTCATATATAAATGATGAAAAGATAAATAGATCTATTGTCTAAATCAATTATCTATCTGGAGATTTGATGAAATAAATGGGATAAAAAACAAAGATATATTAATTTGTCAATAAAGATAAAAATAATAGAAAGTTTTTGTATATAACTTAGGAAATAAGAAAAAATTAAAATATTAATCTTTAAAATTAAAAGAAAAAAAAAACCTACAATTAAAATAAAAAGCAAAAAGCATTTTAAAATTTCTATCTCAAAAATTCAAACAAATAAAAATGAGCTCCTCTGATAATTCCCACTCTAAAAAGCCTTAAATTTTCATCAATCATGTTGACTTATCCATTACCGAAGAAGATATAAAAAAAGCCTGCGAAAATAAGGATACCAAACCAACCAGCGTAACAATTCGCAAAAACCATGACTAAAAGAGCAATAATGTTAATATCACTTTTGCTAACGAAAATGAAGGTAAAATATTGCACTAATTAAAACTTTATAATTTTTAGTATAGTGAATTACTAACATTATTTATCTCCATGATTTTCCAGCTCTTTTACTTTCACCAAAGCTTTACAAAAGTATTGGAAGTTATTTAAATGATAAAAAGAGATTATTTAATAAAATGAGTTTTACTTTTATTAAAAGCATTCATTTAAAAAAGATTACCAATTAAAGCAATTAAGTTAACATGTTTTACTTAGTTAAAAAGTTTTATGATATGCTTTATGAAATCTATTAGTTTTTTAATCGAAGGAGTGTATAATCAGGATAAATCAATTTACTAATTGATAATGCAAGAAACATAAATTAAAAATTTTTTTTTTTTAAAAGCTAAAATCCTCAAGGGTAACGATAGCATATTAAAAGTTAATGATATTACTTTGAAATTAGAAGAATATCAAACTATTTATCCTCCTAATGTCTTTTTGAAGAATAATTATGGATTTACTGAAGAATAGATCCATGAAGGAATTAAAGCCATAATCAAGAACTACTTCCACTTATCAGTTAGCAATCATTTAGTTAACATCTACGTGTAAGAAACTGATGATTTGAATCTTTTAATCAACCATGAACATAAAATCTAAGGAAAGGAAGTCCGTTTTGAAAAGTTCTAAAAAAGCGTTAATAGCAAGTAAAGCAAGTAGAATTAGTTATACATAAAGTTCAGCACCAATTTAGGCACCAAAACTTAGGAAATATAAGTAAGCAAATATATATTTTTTTTTAAACAAATAAAGAGAAATTTTCTATGAAAAGGAAAAGTAGAAAATAAAAATATTTTATAAATTAGATAAAAAAAGCATTGCAATTAATTAAAATAAAGATATTAAAAATGCATTTATATTTATTTATAAAAATATTGAGTAAAAAAACTTTTTATAAAAAAGGATTTCATCAAAAACAAGTTCAATAACGAAGTTACCATTAGTTCCTTCAATTCTCTTGAAAAAAGTGCTAGTTAAAATTAATTAACCTACTTTAGTGTAAACTTTAATGACGAATAGTAGGCTTAAGAGTATTACAATGAGTTGAAAGAAACATAAACAATTTTAAATCGTAAGAACATTCAATTAATTAATACTTTTTTTAATCAAAAATAGCTACCCACGTCTTCTAAGAATATCTTAAATCCGCAATTTAATTGAATTGAATATCTTTTTAATTTAATTTTTATTAACTTATTTTTCTTAATTAAATCATTTTTGAAAAATAACTTTACAAATGTTATTAAAAAGATAAAGTCAGCGTTTCTTGGAAAAGACCAGAAAATAGTGAAGATAGAACTTTGGTTTTAAAGTTTTTAAAAATGACTGTTTAGGAAGAAGAAGTTAAAAATGTGTTTACTTAATTTGGTCATGTTCAATAATTAGAATTATTTAACGCTGCCTAAATTAAGGATAAGCCACTTACAAAAAGTGCTTATCTTTTGATGTCTAGTGAAGATGCTTGCAAACAAATTATGGCAGAAGCTCACAAGGACCCTAAAGTCAAATAGCTCTTCAATCAAGAAAAACCTTCAATTTCTCCTTAAATCGCTAAGACTGAGCTTATGACCTATAAAAATGCCATACATCCAAATGTAATTTTTTTTCACCACTTTATATTATTTTTTTTAATAATTTTGTCTAATTCAAAAAGGTTAACTATAACTAGAATATTTTCGTTCCTCCTTAATTCCCAATCCCTTAAAATTAACCTATGTATCCTAATAATCCTTACTTCTATATGCAATAACCTTAATTTTACTAAATTCCTTATTACAAGCAACAAACTCCTCATATGAACTAATAAGGAAGACACTTTAAATAAAACTATAATTAAAACAATAAAAGACCCAATCACTATCATGGAAACCCTGCAAACTAATAATATCATCATTAAAATTAAGTTTAAAATGGTGGTAATAATTACATGAAGAACTAAAACCAATAAGGTTACAGATAGTAATAATATTAACAACAACCTCATCCACAATAATAGCAATAATAACAGTAATAGTAGTAATAATAATAAAAATAATATTAAATATAGACCAAAGAATAGTTAGAATAATAATTAAAATAAAACCCTCAAAATTTCGATCAATTTATTAAATAATATACAAAATCATATATTGAAGATAAATTAAGATCTGACTAGAAGCTATCTAACTTTATTAAATATGCTTTCCAAATAGCTGAAATGATTACTGACAAAGAAAATTTCACCAATGATGAAATCATTGAAACAGTTACAAATGAAAAAGAAATCGTTGATAGAATTAATGAAGCTGTTGAGTTAATTTTAAAAAGTGCTTAAATCAAACAATGAAAAATGAAACAGCCATAAATAAATTTATTATTTAATTTGTAAAATGTTCACATTTATAACAACATTTAAAATTTCTGAATTAAACAATCAAAATATGTGAAATAAAAATTATCTTTTTACCCATTTATTACATTCATATATTTTTAAAACTTTCCATAAAAAGTATTGATTTCATTTTACATTTTTTTCTTATTAATTTATTTTTAATTAGTAGATTATTTATTTTTCTTCAAAATACAAAATAAAGCATCATATCTCTAATTTCATACAAAAAATATATATTAAAATCAGAGTTGGAATGAAGATTTGTGAGGCGAAAAAACTCTTGAAGGGAAAAAGCGAAGTTTATAAATTATATTTTAGATATTTTCTGTTTATTTTTAATTTTAATTTTTTGTACATTTTAATTAAATTTCATTTAAAAATTATCATTTTAAATAATATTTCACTTTTTTATTGAATATGTAGTATGTATGGATTTAAATTTTAAATAAAACAAATTAATTATAAGTTACCTAAGTATTAATAAATTTTTAGCTAAAAAATGGTTGATTTTTAATTAAATTCAATTAATCAAATATAATATAATGGAAAAAATATACAAGTTAATAATATAAGTTGTGTTTAAATTACTTTTATTTTTTACAAGACCAAAACATATTGATACTATTTTTTCTTTAATATATTTTAAAATAAAAATTTAATTTTATTTAGCAGCATGAAATAAAAATAAAAAATTTAAATTAATTTTCTAAAATTATTTTTATCTATTTAATATAGTAATAGGATTCTTGATTAATTTTAGAATAATTTAAAAATTTTTATTATATACTTCATTGATAAATAAATAAATTCTTAAAGTATATTAATTTAATAGATAAATTGTTTTTATAAATTTTAATTGTTTTATTATGATAATTAGATAAACAATTATTTAAAAATAAAAAATATCTAAAAATTAATTTTTAATTATATAATTAATTCTTTTTAAATCAGATAATACCAAATTATACATTATACTAGGTAGAAGATACGTATAGCAAATAAATGAAGGTAGCTAGATATTTATTTATTTATTAATTTAAAAAAAAATTGTGCGCAATCAATCAATTAATGAATGATTTGAAAAACAAATATATTGATTAAAGATAAAGATTTTAACGAATGAAATAAATAGGGCGCAAAATAGATATTTAATTATTATTTGATTAATGATAGAGTATATATTAATTAGAAATGAATTAAATATCAATAGATCTAGATAGATATGCATAAATATCAATGCTTCCATAAAATTATTTATTTATTTATGAATGAATGAGTACATATATTATTAATATGTATTTATTTATTATGTAGAGATATGTATACAAATATAAAGGATAGGACAGTCAGATAGATAGATAGATCTTAGAATGAAATAAATTAAAAATTTGAAAAATAAAAATAATGATAAATAATAAAAACAAATATTTTGATAAATAAATATATATTTACATTATTTTAATTTGCAAATTTTGAAAAAAGAAAAAACTCAAAATTTTTAGGATTTAAAAAATATTAAAAATTGAATGATTTCATTGATAATTACATAAAAACAGATTTGTATCCAAAAAATTAAATAAATTAATTAAAATAAATAAATAAACTAAAAAGGCAAAAAGTTAAAAAGTATATTTAATATAAAATATACATAAAAAAAATCTTTAAAAAAATCAAAAACAAAAAGCACTCAAAATTATACAACCACATAATAAAGCTATGAGTTATCTTTTGGTATTTATTTTTTCTTTTTACTTAATTCTTAACAGCAGAAATATTTTACTACAAACCAATGCGCTTACTTTTGTCCAATATTTTGCCTTAGTTAATTTGAAATCCCATAAAATGCTTCTCCTTGCGCCCATAAACAGCAAATTTTACATGACCTTCAAATAGATTATTATTATTATTACCATTTAATACATTCGATTATAAGATTGTATTAACATATAGACTGTTTATGGCACTTATAGTAGCAAATAGTTTAAATATTGAAGCTTATATCATGATGATTTCATATGATTTATTTGCTATTATCTGCACAAATAATGCTTTGCTTTGATTTTAATTAACACTTTTTAACTTTTATACTATAGCAACCTACCATTTTGCTCTTGAAGGACGGTACTGATACTTCCTAAGGAAAGGCTTAAATTGTTTCCAACATTAATGCTGTCTAATCTATTGTAGAAATCGTTAAGACCACTTTAGGTAAATAAATTTAGAATTTTAAAAAACAATTTATACAAAAGCTTAGCAAATCTCAGCAATATAATCTTATTCAAGCAACTTATGAAAAAGGATATAAAAAAAGCAATTGTTTGCTTAAATTGTTATTGTTATTAAGCAATATTCAAATAGGATACTTAAACCTAAATAAAATTTTTTTATTTTAAAGAAATAGAAATGTTATAAAGCAATTTTACTTTAATTTTAAAATGTTTGAATAAAATTTGAAAAATAAACGATCAACCCACCAAGCATCGAACAAAATATATCTTCTTCATTGATTATAAACAAAAGCACATAAAATAAAGATTATTAGATTTGTTAAATTTCATTCGACTCAAATTATATTCTAACCATCATTTTAATTTTTATAGGTCCCCGTGGTATGGATAAATTGATTGAAGGTGGAATGAAGGGAGCCACTATTTCCAATGATGGTGCTACTATTTTAAACTTATTAGATATTGTTCACCCTGCTGCTAAGACTCTTGTTGATATTGCTAAGGCTTAAGACGATGAAGTTGGTGATGGTACCACTTCTGTCTGCCTTTTGGCTGGTGAATTATTGAAGGAATCTAAGTACTTCATCGAAGAAGGTATGCACCCATAAATTATCACTAAGGGTTACAAGGAAGCCCTCAAGTTAGCTCTTTAATTCTTACACGAAAATGCTCACTCTGTAGCTGATAAGAACGAAACGTAATTATTTATAAAGATATACTGTTATATAATCTAAATTATTATAATTTTACATTAGTGAAAAGAGAGAAATGCTCATTAAGTGCGCTTAAACCTCTTTAAACTCCAAATTATTAGCTCATTACAAGGAATTCTTCTCTGAGTTAGTTGTTTAAGCCGTTGAAACTCTTGAAACTAATCTCCTCGACAAAGACCTTATCGGTATCAAGATGGTCACCGGTGGTTCAGTCACTGTAAGATTTTATTTTTTAAAATTCAAAATATTCAAAAAGGAAATTATCTAAATATGTGCCCAGCTAGCTAGCTAGCTACCTAAATTATTAACATTTTTTAAAATTTTATTTTCATTAATAAATAGGATTCTTTCTTGGTTAGTGGTGTCGCTTTCAAGAAAACCTTCTCTTATGCAGGTTTTGAACAACAACCCAAAAAGTTCAATAACCCTAAGATTTGCTTACTTAACATCGAATTAGAATTAAAGGCTGAAAAGGAAAATGCTGAAATTAGAATTGAAAATCCTGATGATTACAAGTCAATTGTTGATGCTGAATGGGAGTTGATTTATGAAAAGTTAAGAAAGATTGTTGAATCTGGTGCTAACATTGTTCTCTCCAAGCTTCCTATTGGTGATTTGGCCACTCAATACTTCGCTGATCGTAACATTTTCTGTGCTGGTCGTGTTGATGCTGAAGATATGAAGAGAGTCCAAAAATCTACTGGTGCCATCGTTCAAACCACTGTCAATGGTTTGACTGAAGATGTCTTAGGTACTTGCAACCAATTCGAAGAAGTTTAAATCGGTGCTGAAAGATATAACCTCTTCAAGGATTGCCCTCACTCTAAGAGTGCTACCATCATTTTAAGAGGTGGTGCTGAATAATTCATTGCTGAAGCTGAACGTTCTCTTAATGATGCAATCATGATCGTCAGAAGATGCATGAAGGCCAATAAAATCGTTCCTGGTGGTGGTGCCATCGAATTAGAAATCTCTCGTCTTCTCCGTTTACACTCCAGAAAGACTGAAGGAAAGATCTAATTAGTTATTAATGCTTTTGCTAAGGCTCTTGAAGTCATTCCCAGAACTATTGCTGATAATGCTGGTCACGACTCCATTCAAGTTCTTAATAAACTCCGTCAAAAGCATGCTATTGAAACCGAACAATCTAGAAACTTCGGTGTTGATATTAATGCTGCTGATGGTATTGGCAATAACTACGAAAATTTTGTTTGGGAACCTATCGTTGTCAGAAAAAATGCTTTGTCTGCTGCCACTGAAGTAAACATTTATTTACAAAGTTCAATCATATTTATTAAATTTATAATTTTACAAATTAGGCTGCTTGCACTATTTTAAGTATTGATGAAACTGTTAGAAATCCCAAGAGTGAACAACCTAAGGCTCCCCCTGGTGGACTCAGAAGAGGTGGTCCTCAAGGAATGGCTGGTTTGGCTAAAAATGCTAAGCTCGGAAAGTGAGTTTTAAATAATTAAGCAAAGAAACAATAAAATTAAATCAATATTATTCTTAATTATCATTTATAATGTAATTATAGGTCATTTTTTGTATATTTATTTTTATTAAGTGTTTTAAATAAATTAGAAAAAATGACTAATTCAAAATACTTTCATAATTAATTAATTAATTAAAATTGGTTCAATTTAATTTTATTATAAGGATTGTTTAATGCCATTTTAATGCAAATAAAGAAAATAATTAAAAAATTTTAAGAATATTTTGATAATAATCTAAAGAATGTTTGTTAATTTTCAAAATCATAAATAAAAATGTCATTTATTTTGTTCAAAAAATAATAAAATTTACGTTATTCTTTCTAAAGTTTTAAAAAATAGCTTAAAAAATATTACTATTAATTAACATATCTCTAAATTAATCATTTTATTTACAATTTATTTTTAGCTTTTATTATTTATTATATAATAATTGTAGTAAGTAATATGTCAATCTTATTAATATAAATTTTATTAGAAATAATACACAAATATTTATTTTATGGGATATTTCTTTCAAATTTATTTTTAACTTTAAAAAATGATTGATCATCTATTAATTTTTTATTTGGTAATGATATTTTAAAAATATAAGGTATTAAATTGATATTTTGGATGTTTCTAGTTTTTACATCAATAAATATCCCAAGTATATATTTTGAACCAAATATGTTAAAAAAAATGAGTAATAGTCATAAATATGAAAATCTATGGATTATTAATAAAATATGCAAATAAAAAATTAAAAAGTTAATTTTTATTTTACAATTAAAAAAAAAGTTGTGTTAAAAATCTAACTAAATAATATATTTTAATCTTACAAAAAAAGAATATTTAGTAAAGGTAAAGATAATTATTTATTTATCATTAAAAATATAATAATTTACACTTTAATTTAAAACCAGTAAATTTTATGTTATAAATTTATTGTTATGTGTAAGAATTAGACAAGTTAAGTTAATTTTCTATTTGTAGAATTTTTAACAAAATGCATCTATCATACTTTTAAGGATCTCATAATTGATAATAAAGATCATAAAATATGCAAATAATAACCATAAAAAAAATAAAATAAATTGATTTTAAGTATTAATAGTATTAGAATTTAATAATTTCCATTATTTTTTAGTTGTCTTAAATAAAAAATGTTATTTAAAAAATACTAATTATAGAAAAATAACATTCTTATAAATTAAAAAGCAAATAAAATAATGAAGTAATTTTAAAATTTATTGAATTTTCGTCATAAATTATTTATTGTGAAACTATACTATCAACCAACATGAGAAAATAAATCTGTTATTTATTAATTAATCAATAAGAGTATGATTCATAATTTTTGTATGTGGAATCAATTAAAAAGTTATTATTTAAAAGAATTGAGTCAACTGATGAGTTATGGGAAATAGATATGTATGAAAACATATTTAAATTTCAATTTATTATAAAAAGCTAATTTAAAAATTAAAGTGATAAGGAATAGACTCTGTGTCTTTTAACAAATTAAAAAGTTGATTTTACTGGTTTTAAAATAAAAATTTGAAAAAATAAATCAATTTCATTTTTATTAAAAGAAAATTTTTAAAGTTCTTTTATTTAATTTGAGAATCAATATTTACCATAATTTTTAAATTAATAGTCAGTGGATAAGCTCTAACAATTTTTTAAAAACCCTTTATATAAATTTAAAAAAAGTGATAAGAGAAACAAATAAATTAATTAATTATAAAAAACTGATAAAAAGAAAAAAATCAATATATCTCAAAAAAAAAAATGATATCAGAATACATTAAATACTTGGATGTATTTTCATAGTCTTTTTAATTTAACTCTGGAAGAATGAAAGATAGAAAAAGGACTTATGTGGGTGCTTTCTTAACATTATCGATTATGATAGTTAGCATTTACTATTTCTTTTATTTGTTCTTGAGGTACATGGAGAACTAAATTGATCCTAAGTTTAGAATATAAAATTTTGTTAAGAATGACCTAATCTAAATCCCTCTTAGCAATGATTTGATTGCATTTTCATTTGTCTAATCTCAAGACGGTATAACAATTGATCAAATATAAGCCAAAACAAATAAGACATATATTGTCACTATAGCTACATATCTTTACTCTGATAGCAATGGTTTTTATATGAAGTAATTAAATGTTTTTCCCTGCAACAATACTTAACTTGAAGGATATAGGTGTATAGATATGTCTTCTGTCCCTAGTAATTATAGTTTGATACTCGATTCTAATAACCGTGCTCAATCATAAATTAGTATATAAGCTTATAGGTGCTAAGACACAGACATGTTTAAATAATTCGTACCTGATAACTGTGCAAATGCTGATGACATTAATTAATTTATTGATAATTTAGCAAATATGGTAAATGTTAAATTAATTACATCTTAATACAATATCACTTCAAAGTCATTTGAAAAAAACTACAAAACCTTTCGCCTTTTAATGTCAAACAGTTAAATGATGTTCACAGAATTTAAGGCTTAAAATTAAATTACTTCGATTAAAGATGGATTTATAATATAATCTGAGAATCAGTTCTCTTCACCTATTTCGTATGTTACAACCACATAAGCTTTAGACTCAAAAACAGTACTTGAATAAGAGGGCGCAACTTATTTTACAGAATTTTTTTTGGATGTTGAAGAAACTGTATACCTTACATAAATATAATTTCCAACTTTTCCAGAAATTTTAGCTCTCTGCAATAGTACTTTATCTTTGTTAATGTGTTTGGGATTCTTAGGAAGGTAAATGGCTTAAAAATTAATTAGACAGGAATTGTTTCTTTTGATCCTATAAAATTTCTATCAAGGTACCTATTAAAAAATTCTCAAATTGCACAAACTTACTTAACTTAGCAATTCCCCAATAGAAAAAAAAACTAAAAGCTTGACCCACTCTGCTGAATTATTAGAAAATTCAAATCCTATAATTGTTCCTAATTTTAATACAAAAAGAAGCATTTAATTAACTTATCCATAAGATACAGATAACTAAAAAGTATATGAAGATGTTATCATAGAAAATTAATTTGTAAAAGAAATAAAAAGTCCAAGAATAAATCCTGATTAAACCCAAATTTATTAGTAAGATTACTTTTAAGAGCCTAGAAACATAAATAATTTTTAGTAAGATTGTACAAATACAGATCATATTCAGAAAGAATCGGTATCAGAAAGTAATAAAACTTAAGGTATCTTTAATGAAGACCATAAGGCGAATGAAATTAGTATAGCTAAAAATTTAGAATTTAGGCTAAATGAAGTTAATATTAATTATTGCAACAAGCAAATACTAAATATAAACTAAAAACAAGAAAGTTAAAGAGATAAAACAAAAGAGTAAAGGAGTTTATCAAAGCAAATAAATGCTAAAAAAAATTTTGAAAAAAAGCAAAAGGAATCTTTGTAAATTTCACCACCACTTTCAAGCTGCAGAGAATCTTTAAGAAATAATGAATAAACCAATTTTTTCTAAAAAAATGAAAGAGTTTCAATGAGATAAAACACAAATAATCAAAGATAAACAGAGGTTATTGAAATTAATTCTGTCCTAAGTAAAGATGATAGTATCAAAAAAACCACCCAAACCAATTTAGAGTAAAAGCTTAAGACTCTAAACAACTAAACCTTGTTAAAGAAACTAGAGCAAATCCTATTTAAATTCAAGTAAATATTTCATTAATCAAATTAAAAGCAAAAACTATTTAGTTACTACAAGCATTTAAAATATTTTTAAAATGCTCAAATATAAAATAAAATAGCCAGTTAAAAAAAAAATTATTTGAGTTTTATTAATTTTTACTAAAATAAATGAAATAATTCAAATAACTTTAAATTTAAAAACAAGCAAAACAAACTAACAAAAAATAAATAAATAAATTATTTTTTTAAAGTATATAATAGCAATAAAAGTATCTCAAAGATAAAGGTATAGATTAATAGACCTTTCTTTCTATCGAAAATCAAGTAAATAGGAGTCTTGATTTTTCTCAAATTTATCAGGAAATCATGTTATGCAAAAAAGCTGTGATGATGATTTTAAATTAAGAATAATTTGCTGCTTTAAGATTTGTTGGATGTTCAGATTAATTTTCAGTAGCGATTTCTAGTGAGTAAAAAGGTAATTTTAATAAACCAATTTAGATTATGATTTTTATTTTACTATTATTTAAAATTAAAAAAAAATAGACTACTCGCTTAATCACTTTGAGAAATAATTTGCAACTTAGTTGATAGATCAGAGATAGGTTTAATATGTAAACTCATTTATATAAAGATGCTCTTAAAATAATGACTTGAGTGCTATAGATTAAAGAATTTATTAATCATTGATTTGAAAAAAATTATTTGTTTATTATATTTGTTTCATATTAATAATAAATATGTTTACTTTTTGAAATGAGGTTTAATGAATTTTAATTACAGATTATTTAGATATTGAGGTATATATATATATATATACTTTAATCTAGTTATATAAGAGTTAAAGAAAAAATAATAATGTAAATCAAAATATAGGTCCTTTACGTTCATGACATACATACATAATAATAATAATAATATAATAATGAGTATTTATTGATTTTTTTTTTCTTATTCAAAAAAGTGTTTCTTTTACTTTTTATAAAAAAATGATCTCCGTCATAACTATTTTGTTTTGTCATAATTTTTAAATCTATAATAAAATATAAATTCCTGGTCTTATTATCAATTGAGCATGAAAGCTTTTTCAAAGCTAAATTTTTAATTGCTTATTTAAATTTAGAACTAAATTTTTTAAATAAATTTCTTATTATTTGCTTAAACATAAAAAATTAAATTATTCTTTTAAGTCTACTTAAGAAGAACAAGAGAGCGTAAAAATTAAATAATTAAACGATAGAAAATCTAACAAAAAAAAGATGGTATCAGAATATATTAAATATTTGGATGTATTTTCCTAGTCTTTTTAATTCAATTCAGGATCAATAAAAGGTAGAAAAAGAACTTATATAGGTGTTTTCTTAACATTTCTTATAATGGGGGTTTCTATTTACTACTTCTTTTACCTTCTCTTGAGGTATTTGTAGAACTAAATAGATCCTAAATTTAGAACCTAAAATTTCATTAAGAATGATCTAATCCAAATACCTCTTAGTAATAATTTGATTGCATTTTAATTTATTTAGTCTATAGATGGGAAGACAATAGATGAAATATAAGCATAAACAAATAAAACATATATTGTTACTCTTGCTAAATTTATTTACAGTGATAGCAATCATGTCTATACGAAGGATTTAAATGTTATTCCATGCAACTCTACTTAACTTTAAGGATTCAGATGCATAGATACATCTGTTATCCCTAGTAATTATACTTTGATGCTAGATTCTAATAATCATGCATAGTCATAAATTGCGATATCAGCGTACAGATGCTAAGACAAAGACTGGAAAAAAAAATTTATACCTGATAATTGTGCAAGTTCTGAAGATATTAATAAATTTATTGGTAATTTAGCAAATTTGGTAAACGTTAAATTACTAACATAGTAATACAACACTACTTCAAAGTAAATGGAAAAGAATTTCAAAATATTCCGTATATTAATGTCAAAAAGTTAAACAATGTTCACAGAATTTAAGGCTCAAAATTAAATTACCACCATTAAAGATGGATTTGTAATTTAATCTGAAACTTAGTTTTCCTCACCTATTTCATATATTGCAACTACATAAGCTTTAGACTCTTAAGCAATATTACAATAGCAAGGAGTAACTTATTTCTCATAGTTTTTTTTGAATGTTGAAGAAACAGTATTCATTACTGAAATATAATTTCCAACTTTTCCAGAAATTTTAGCTCTTTGTAATAGTACTATATCTTTGCTGATGTGTTTAGGATTCTTAGGAAGGTAAATGGCTTAAAAATTAATTAGACAAGAGTTGTTTCTCTATAATTTACAGAATTTATATCTTGGTACCTATGATTAAATTCTCAAAATGCATAAATTTACTTAACCAAGTAATTATACTAAGATTAATAAAAATTTGACCTATTCATGTGAATTATTAGAAAATTCTGTTCCAATTTTTGTTCCCAATTTTAATACAAAAAAAAGCAATTAATTAAATTAATTATCAGATACTGAATATTAGAAAGTTTAAGATGATATTGTCTTAGAAAGGGATTAAGCAGCAGAAATTCAAACTTCAATTGCAACTCCTGATTAAAGTATTAAACCTGATTATATGTGCATAGATTAGTCAGAGCTTAAAGAATAAAAAAATGAAGCTAGTTTTTTGGATGACAGTAGAAATACACATTGCAATATGAAATCGATAGAAATGCATAAAAATAGAAAATAATTCTTTAAAAGTGAAGAACTTAAAGCAAATAAAACTATTTTAGCTAAAAATTAAAAATTTAGATTAAGTGAAATTAATCTTAACTTTGATAACAAACAAATTCTAAATATTAACTAAAAATAAATGTCATACGGAGATTTAAATAATCAAAATATAGAAAAAAGGAGTTTTTCAGCATAAGTGAATTCCAAAAACTATTTAGAAAAAAAGAACATGTCATCTTAATATATTTTATCACCTCTTTCAAGTTTTAAAGACCCTTTAAAAAGTAATAAATAAAATAACTATTTCAAGAAAAATGATAGAGTTTCAACAAAATAAAACCAAACCAATTAAAAATAAGCAGAAAAAATTCAAATACTTTCAGTTCAAAGCTAAGTTAATGAAAACCACAACCTAGTAAATTAAAATATTTCTTAAAATAATTTAGAATAAAAGTTTAAAGCTCTAAATAGCTAAGCCTTACAAAAGAAGATAGAAGGAATACTATTCAACAAATGTGGGTAAAAAATTTTATTAAATTTATTAAAAAAAATAAAGAAGAAAAGAATGATTTTAATAAATTATTTTATTTTGATATTTTAAAAATTTAACGCTATTGAATTTTTATAAATAATAAATTAAATAAAATTTTACCTGAAATTTTTTATTTATTAACAATGTTCCATGATTTTCATTCAAAATAATCATAGATCAGGTTTCAAAAACTAAAAAAAATTGAATTTTTTAAAAGTATATTTAGGAAATAGAAGTGTAAACAAGATAATACCATAGACTAATAGACATATCTTTCTATTGAAAATCAAGTAAATCGAAGTCTTGATTTTTGTTAAATTTATCAAGAAATATCGATGTGTAAAAAAGCTATAATGATGATTTTAAGCTAAGATTAATTTGCTGCACTAAAATTAGTTGGTTGTTAAAATAAATTTTCATAAGCAATTTCCAATTAGTAATAAGGTATTATAAATTAATTGAAATAAATTAGTTATAATTTATTTATTTATTTTTATTTTCCAAATTGATTTATTTTTGAAATTTAAAAACAATAGATTACTAAATGAGTCATTTTGAGAGCTAATTTGAAATATAATTGAATGAATAAGTATAAATTTAATAAATCGATTTATTTATACAAAGATGCTCTTAAAATAAGGACTTGAGCGAAATAGATAAAAGAATATATTAATCTTTAATTTGAAAATATTTTTAAATTTATTTTTTTACAGAGAAAATATAAATTTAATAATGTTTTTTAAAGGTTGTTTAGAAATTAAAACATAAATAAATAAATCATTTATTTTTTAAAATTTTAATTTTTGGCTGGCTAAAATGGTCATTGAAATGCATTCACTAATATATAAATACAGGCATTCTATTTGCTTATTTTTTATAAAAAAAACTTTTTAAAATAGTTTTAAACAAAAAAAGCAAAACTTTACTTAAAAATAAAAATATTTAAACTTTTATTATTTTGATAAAGGAATAGTTTTAAATTGTACACTATTCAATATAATTAGAATTTTTATTTGATTTTTATATAAATATAATAATTTCTATCATTATTTGAATTCAAATTTTAATATATTTTTTAATTTGAAAGCTTTAATTTTATCATTTTAGTAATTTAAATACAATCTAAAAAAGCGAATTAAACTCAAAGAAAGTTTTTATTTTTTAATTAAAACTGTTTTAAATTTTAGTTATTTTTAATTAAAAAAAATGAAAAGTATACAGATATAGTCAAAAGATAGTTTGCTAAGATTAATTGTATAATTTTCCTAAAAAATGTTGAATTTAATTTTTTTAGATCATAAAAAAAATAATTTTGCTTTAAATGATTGTATATTTTTAGTTAGTGATTATAATAATAGCTAAAAATAATGAAGCAGAAGTAGAAAAATTAATAGTTATTTGAATATAATAGTCTAAAAATAATAGATAAAACAATAGAAAAAAAGAAGCATTGAGGGATTATTTGAAAATATAAATATTATCAATAATAATTCTTTCTTTCTTTTAACTATCTCTTTGGCTCCTATTGAAAAATAATATTGAATAATAAATAGCGTCTAAGATTAAGATTTTTTTTATAAATGCAAAAAAAGAAAATAAATAACTAAATAATCAAAGTTAAAAAAAGCTAGGAAAAAGAAAAAGAAAATGCCTAAAAATAAAGGAAGAGGTGGTAAAAACTACAGAAGAGGTAAAAATGAAAATGAAACCAAGAGAGAATTGGTTTTCAAAGAAGAAGGTATGGAATATGCCCAAGTTATTAAAATGCTTGGTAATGGTCGTCTCGAAGTTTTCTGTTTCGACGGCAAAAGAAGAATTGGTCACATTTGTGGTAGACTGAAAAAGAAGGTTTGGATTAGCATGGACGATATAGTCTTAGTTGGTCTCAGAGACTTTTAAGATGATAAGTGCGATATCCTCCTTAAGTATTTACCTGATGAAGTACGTAATCTTAAACAATATGGTGAAATCGATGAAAATATCAAGATTAACGATAAATCTGGTGCTGATCAAGCTGATGTTGTCTTCGAAGATTCTGACAGTGATGATAAAGATGATGATGACGATGATGAAGATGAATAACCTACTCGTCAAACTAACACTAGAGTTAATTAGATGGTTGAAAGCTCTGACGAAGAAGACAACAAGGAAACTGGAAACTATGAAGAACAAAAGTACGATTAGAAACATCAAAATAAGAAAGATGATATTGACATCGATGATATCTGAAAATTATAGTTGTCAGTATTTTAACACCTACAAACCCTAAAACATCTAAACATAAATAATATCATGCATATGCTTCATCTATTCTGATGAAAAAAAATATAATAAGTATGTAAATGAAAGCTTTATCTTCAGTTATATCTCTATTAGCTGATAAGAATACTCAGCAAAACTAAATATTAGTATTGTAATCATATGTTAGCGATCACAAAAGAATAATAACAATCTTTAATTTATTAGTTTGTATTGCAAAAGCATTAATCAATCTATTTATCTCAATTGAGCCAAATTAGGCTCAAATTATCTATCAAAAACATTAATAAAAATAATTATTATAGTATCTAATTTTGCCACTATCCAAAATTTGCAATCAATATATTAACCATTTATATATTTTTGAGAAAGCATAAATTTATTTATTTCTTTAATTTTTATCACTAACTGTAGATAACTAACTGCATATTATTATTTATTTGAGTATAATCGAAGTTAAAGTTTTTACTATTTTACTATTCATTCATTCATTTTTTTTAATTTTATTTTAAGACTTGTTGTTTTCTATGTAGAAATCATATTTTTAAATTGATATTCTAATTTTATAAAATAAATTAAATTCGTATTTATATTATCTAAAAGTATTTACGTTTGCTGAATGTTAGAGCAAAATTTTTTCATTAGTAGTATTGAATACTATTGAGAATTTTATTTTGATATTGGAATTTATTTTTAAAATTATGGCTTTTAAAAACTTAAATACAAAAATTTATTAGATTTTTAATAGGTTTTTAAAGATATTCTATTAATTTTTAATTTTATTTTTGTCTAATTTTATTTTTTAATTTAAAAAATTTTTTAAGTTTCCTGAATTAGAAATTAAAATTTATAGAAGCCATTTATAATCATTTGATTGATTTTTATTTATAATTGATTATTTAAAAATAAAGTTTTATAGAAAAATTAAAATAAATTTAAGTATTTATATCAAATTACTTTAATTGTAGTGCTTAAGATAGAACTTTTAATTTATGCATATAAGTTTTTAAAAATACAATAACATCCTTTAAAAACGATATTTAATTGCTGTAATCTTTATGATTTTAGTTATTTGATTTAGATTTGTTTTAATTATTCATTAAACTATTGAAGTGTTGTTTTACTGTTTTAAATTAGAAAGAAAGATACATTTATAATTTAAAGATGCACTATCAAAGAAATCAATTCTTCAGCACTGTTAAGAAACCTAAAGATAGAGTTACTTTTCTTGATGAAGAAAAAGATGAAAAATTAAAAGATACCAATAAAAAGAAAGAGGAAGCCGTTTCTGTTTAAGAAATCGAGCTTGAAGAAAAAAAAGAAGAAGAAAAGTAAGAGGCTAAGGAAGAAAAAAAAGATTAAAAGCAGTAAAAGGATAAAAATAAAGCCAAAAAATAACATTTTAGACCTGAAGATTTGAAAAAAGTAAAAGATTTCAATAAAAATATTGATGCAAATTCTTTGTTACGTCGTTGGGATGTTAAATTTTTAGATATTAAATGTGAAAATCTGTAGAAAGAAGCAATTACGATATTTTTAGTTTTTAAAATTGGTGAAAAAAGCAAGGTATCTCCAGACGAGTTAAAGAATAGAAAAGAAGAGTTAGATTCTGATATGATTAATTAAAATTTATCTTAGAAATAATATAAAAGTGAACTTATAAAAGAAATAGAGAAGGAATCTTTGCGTAAAGTTAAATTATTTATAGAAACAGAAATACATGCTAGCTATAATATGCTAAGGCAAAGGAATTTAGTTATTGAAGTTTGGGAATACTCTAGATGGAGCTTAAATAAATTTTTAGGAGTAAAGTATGTCAAATTAGAGTAAATTGCATAAAGCTCAATTAACTAATAATTTGATATTAGGAGGTAAATAAATTTGTCAAAATAAATAAATATTTTAGCAGATTTTATGTGTATTATTTTAAATTACTGATCATACTATCAATTCACCTTATTAAATTTTCAAAAAAATTTTCTTTTTAATGGATTTAGAATTATTTTGTTTAGGGAATATATTCTATGTGACTAACAATTTTAAAGAAGTTAAAATTTGTTTATGCTAAGGCATAGTATTAAAAGATCATATATAAGTGATTTTTTTATTCACATTTTAATTTAATTTTTAATTGAAAGGAATAAATATAACTAAAAAAGTAGAAATTTTAATAAGTTTTTCAAACGCCAATCTTAACTAAAATTAATATGATCTCATAAGAAAATAATATGAATGTATATTATAGACTAAATTTAATAAATTTGTATTTTAAATATATTAATAGAGCTGGGAAAAATGCCTCTTTTTTGAGACTTTACTTCACTTGTTACTTTTAAGAAATTTGGGACTTCAGATTAGATTTTGAAAACTTAAAAGGTTTTAATACAATTGATGACTAGAGAAAACCTATTTCTTCTACTTTAAAGATTACTTTAATGGATGACAGTAATCCAACTGTAAAAACTTCAGAGCATCCTCAAGCTCTTCATCCTAATTGGGGATACGTTTAGGACTTTATACATTTCAGAGGAACTATGGATGATTTAACAGATAATTTACTTTAAGTATTATTTTTATTTTAAATTAAAATTTTAAATAAATATGAATTTAAAATAGTTTTCTTTAGCATAAGGAAGTGCTATTAACATAGGAGTTTTGAGTGAAGATAAAAAAACTCTCATTTCCCTTAGAGGAATACACAAATTCAACTAGCTTTAAGCTAGCATTAAAGTAAAAGTAAAAAATTAGAAATAAATTCAAAAGAAAAAAGAGGATGAAGATGGTTAAGAAGAAAATAAACTAGATTAATTGAATGAAGAGGAAGTTTACACTTATATTGAAGGAAGAATCAATTTAAATTAAATTCCAAGGTATTTATTTATTTATTCACCTAAATATTTTTTAAAATTCAATTTCCTTAAAAATGAATGAATGAACTAAAGATACATTTAGTCGGGAGAGCTTGTAAGGTATAAAAAGGATTAATAATACTTTTGCATAGTAATCAATAGAGTTAGTCACATTTCTGCTCCTGATGACAGAGGTTTAATCAATAGTTATGTTGTTATTTAATGTGGAAACGAAATGAAACAAACAAGAACTGTAAAAGATTAAATGAATCCTGATTTTAATGAAGAAATGGTTTTTAAAATTCCTATAATTAAATCTACAAATTTCTTTGACAAAGTTAACATCGTTAATATCGTTTAAAACTAAAACAATGTAAATGTTGAATCAATGAGAGACGAGTTATCAAAGCGTAACGAAGTTAGATTTTCTCTTTGGGTTGAAGGAAATCAAATAACAAGTGATGATAATTTGGGAATTGCTTCTTTTAACATCAGTGAACTGGCCTCATCATTTTAATTAGAAGAAAAAGAAGTTATAGACTTTGAGACCAAGTAAAAATTTTTAAGCAACTAGGTTTTTTTTTATTCAGGTTTTATTCAAAATTAGAGAGAGAACTAAACACAAAATTAAAGTTGGAAATTTCACTAAAAGTTTTATTTCAAGTAGATTCGATGCTTCTCGTATAACAATCTCATTTCTTGCATTTTTTTTACCTGTCCTTCCAGAGAATATTGATTTGAGAGATTTTTCGAAGATATAAGGAGATACCTATCCTTATGATATCAGAGACAAAATGAAGATAGTTTAAAATGACTACTAGTCGAATGCTTTATTTACAAGATGGGAATCAAAAATAAAAGAAACATTCAAATAATGGAATTTGAAGAAAAATGAAATAGCTATATTTTTAAAAAATATTTGGGTTAAAGATCAATACAATAAATTGCATTTCATATGCAAGTTTGTAGATACATTTACTATTTAAGACATGAGTTATGAAGATACAGACGAAACAGAAAAACATGATACCGTACTTGAGACTCTTGAGGATTTAGCTCATTACACTCGTTGTATACCTTTTGTAGAAAGCGATTATAACGACATATGGTATCCTCCTGATTTTTTCTTATCTTTGAGAAGAGGCTCCATGATAGACCATGCAATCTTAATGGCATGTAATGATTATATAAAAATTTCAATTTTAAATTCATTTTTTTTTTTTTTGCTCTTTACTAAAAAGGTTTGTTTATGGGAAGCAGCTCAATCAAAAAAGTAATAATTTAATCATTACGTTGTTTCTTTGTTAAAGATCATTTATTTAATTAAAGTCAAAAGAAGAAATTAAAGAAAAGGATGAGTTTCCGATTGAAGATAGAGTTTTTGTTTGCCTAGGAACCAATTAATATGAATACATTGTGTCTTGGGTAATGGTTTTTAATCATAATTTTGACAGTATCACTTTTTGGGATGTCAAAGAAAATAAAAAGTGGACGTTAAATAATAGAGTTGAAGCGGAATAGATAATATTTCTTAAGTAGCATTTAAATCCCAGTATAAGAGATAAAAAAAACATTAAAATAGGCTTAAATCTACTAGGATTTAAGTCGAAATAGGAGAGAGAACTAGAAAAAAAGCTTAAAGAGGAACAAAAAAGGCTAGAATTGTAGGCTAAGCTTGAGTAAGAAGCAAAGGAAGAAAAGAGAAGATAAGAAGAGGAGCAATAAAGGCAAGAAATGATTAATCAATAATAAGAAGTTTAGAAAGTGATATCTGATTTGTAGCAAAAGGAACCTAAGAGTGAATAACAAAAAGATACAGGTTTCTTAGCTATGCTTAATAAGGAAGACAATATTAAATAGAATTAGTTATTTTCAGCTGATGAAATAGAAAGAGGTACTATGAGACGTAATTAAATAAAAAAGCTTGAAGATCTAAGTACTCAGTAAAATACAGTATAAGAGCCTCCTAAGAAAGGTTCAACTTAAACAGATACTTTTCTTTAGAGCTAAATAAATGACAGAAAAACATTTAGCAAGGCTCAATAAGAATCGAATCATCCTAAAAAAACATTCTTGGACGCACACAAGGATGAAATGATTCAGAAATAAGATTAAGGAGAACTAACAAAATTCAAAAAGGTTGAAGAATTCGGTGATAGAGAAGGTGAATTTGAAGATCTACCATATAAGTCAATACAAATAATTTTTAATCATAAAAATGTTTATGCTAATTTAAGTAACTAAAATCCAACAGCTATTTTCTATCATCTTCATGATCCAAAGAAATGGTTTCCCTACTTAGAAGGCAATTAGTAAAAGGTAAAAAAAAACATTATTTCTTATTTGATTTTTAAAATTGATTTAGATTCCCATCAATCACCATTAAAACTTTTAAATTATTTTTAAATAATTAATTTGAAAAATTAACTTGTGAAAATAAATAAACTCATGCATTTTACTTTGGTAAAAACTTTTTAATCAATAAATAAATAAATATTTAGTTAGGCAGCTTTTATTTACCATCAAATCCTTATCCCAAAATGTCAAAGTAAGCAGCTGACAATTCTTTAGATTCTATATTAAGTGATATTAAAGATGGTATAAGTAACATGAGAAGTAACGAAGGCTTATAAACTCATTGGAAGTCCAACTTGGACTAAAGTTGCAAACTCCTGAAGCACTACGCACGTTGCTTAGAATATAAAGACAAAAGTATGCTTAAATTTTAATTTCAATGATTGGCTTATTTTATTTGATCTCATTTTATTTTTTCATTAATTTTTTTTTCTTTTAAAAAGATAGAAAAATGAAAGTGAAAGATCCTGAAACAAATGAAGAGCTTGAAATGGATTTCGATGCTTTGAGAGCGAAATTTGAAAAGGACATGAAAAATTTAATGCCAACTGACTATCATTTTTAGTGTTTACCTATGAAATTCCTATTCATTGAAAAAAGTTAAATTAGAGCCTTAATCGAAGAAAAGGCTAAATCCTTCTTCTTGTTAAAGAAAAAGCACATTATTTTTGGCATGAATGGCAAAATATTTAGATATCCTAACAAAATAAACTGCTTAAGAATAGTAATTGCCATGTTTTACAGTAACCTTGATAACATATAAAACGAAAAAGATAAAGATAAGAATCTGAGAGATGAGAACGAAATAAGAGAAGAAGATGATGAAGAAAACTCTAATTTAATGGAATCAGAAGATCTAGATGAATAAGAAGAGAAATCTAATTTAAAAAAGTCCTCTTTTAAGAAATCTACGCGCTGACCATTAATTATTTAAATAGTATACTAATTTATCAGAAATATTATTGTAAGTTATCGTATTCGATTTAAATCAATAGTATCTACTTATTTGTATTTCTATTCTTATTTTTTTCTATTTTTTGAGGTATAGATAAATGCACAAGTTTTTATCTATTCTCATTAATTATATTACTTTTATTACCAAACGATGAAATATTTGTTCTCCAATTTATTTACAATAATTAAATTTTTGTTTTAATCAATAAAATACTTATAATAAATAATCAATTTATAATTAAATAAAGTTATCACTTTAATTAATTTTTAGGAAATCAATATCAATTCTTATTTTATTAATTTCCCATGAATAAATAAACCTTGATAAATTCTAAAAGAAATTATGAAATAGAAAAAGGATATTTGGCAATCAAATTTAAGTAACCAATTTTTTAAATTGTTAAAATAATTTTAAATCTTTCTAAAAAAAGTTCCCACAAAAAAAGTAGCTCTTTAAAAATGGAAGCTTTTCAGTACATTTCGTGGGCTTAGCTAAGGTATCTAAAGATATCTTTGAAGTAAAATAAAAACTATTTTAAAACTATATAATTGTTTATAAGTTATTAATAACCCAAATAGCTCTGTAACAGAAATTAAGAACATAGATATAAGTGTTCTACAAATGGTAATAAGTTAAGCCACCTCACTTAAAACTCTCAAAATAAAATGGAAGTAATATTTTTTATTAAAACTATTTTTCAAATATTTTTAAAAACTCAAAAAGTTTTTTGTTTAATTTTTAAAAGCTCAACAATGGACTTACAACCTGAATGTGTTGCTCTTTTATTCAACGTAGTTATAAACTGCAAAAATTTAAAAAGACTTGTTTTAAATTTTAAGTAATTTACCATTTATAATAAAAACAATACAATATTTTTTTAATTTAAAATAATAAATAAAGCTTTAGTAGGCTGCAATAAAGTGTATATTAATTACTTCCTTAATTTTTAGTTAAATTAGATGACTTAGAAGATCTATCTTTACATTTTAAGTAAATTATTTAATATTTCTAAAAAAACCAGATATGTTTAAAATTTACATTAAAATACCATAAAATCATAACTCTTTAAAAATTTATTTTTTAATCTATCCTTCAATCGCCTTGTGTTTAAATTAATTAAAAATATTACAAAATAACACTTAAATCCATTACTTAAAATTTATTAAATAAAATAAATATATTTAGGATAATATTTTGATCAATTTTTAATACTAACTATACTTTAATTATCTTAAAATAATCTTCGAATTCAAATTTTATTTTATTTGGTGCTTTAAAAATAAACTTGAAAATTATTTGTATAAACTCTATTATTAAATCAAAATCAAACTTTATTTTATGATTATATTTCTCTTAGCAATATCATCAATAGTTAGTTTTTGGTTTTTATGGTATTCATTTTATTTAACAAAATATAATCAATATTTATAACTTAGTTCCTGCAACTTAAACTCCGATGAGTGTTAATACATAAGCACAGCAATAAGCTAATGTCCAAAATTGAGAACTTTAGAGCTGAATTTAAAGTAATTCTAATATATTTGTATAACTTTCCCTTAATTAAAATTTATATTTAGTAAATATATTTAAAGCATTTTAATTTTTGAAAGAAATCAATTTAAAACCTATTTATCTGTACCTTTTTATTCAAATAGCTTTAACAAGATTTGTAACTTAAGTCTGAGTTTACTTATTTAATTCTTTAGATCCCTAAGATATCTCAAATCATTAAATTTAATTTTAACGTAATATTAACTTCTGATTTTTAAGGTTTTTAATAATAGATTAATTTAACAGAAAAAACTAGATTTCTGACTCAGGGGTAGCTTATCTGTTCTAGTAATTAAAGGATATTAAGAACCTTAAAAAGCTTTTCTTAAAATTAAAGTATATTTTTTTCAATTTATATTTTTTAATAATAAATTATAATTTTTAAAAAATAAAGTGGAAATGACATAACAAATGACTGTGCTAAAGTAATATCCAAGGGATTAAATAGCTGTAATAATCTCTTGTAGTTTTAAATGAATTTACAGTAATAACTAATTAATTAATTCCTTAATTTCTGATATTCTAACCTTTCAATTTTTTAATAAAATAGATGTACAAAATTCTGCTTAAAGGGATTCAAAAATTTTTCTGAAAACCTTAATAGTATGCTAAAAATTAATTATTTGAAAATTATCTTAGAGTAATTAATAATTTGTTTGCTTTACATAATTTTCAAATATTTTATATAATTATAGCTACCAAGATAAACCTAAGAATTACCTTTAAGACCTAATGAAAAAACTAACCAATGTAGTTAAGTTAGACATTGACATTTGAAAAAAAAAAAAATTAATAGTTTATTACTTTCAATTCCTTTCTAAAGTTATTCTTATCAACAAATAAAAAAATTTAACAAAATCAACTTACAAACTTAAATATATTTAAAAACTCCCTTACATTACAACTAGTTTATTTCTTTCCTATATTCCTATTATTTATTGTATTTAAAATGTTTTTTACTCAATCTATAATAATTTATTTCATAGATTGAGTATTATTAAATTCTTATCATAATCACAATCATTATCTCATTAATAATATCTAAAAAGTTTTTATTTTTATTTGAAATGTTTTTATTTTATTTGAAAATCTTTGTTTCTGGATTATTTAAATGCTTTATTTGCTAAGATAATGCGTTAAAAATTGAAATTTATTTGTTCAATACTTAAACATAAAATATAAAACTAAAAATAAAAGATTTACTACATAAGATTTCAGTATAAATATTTTTAATACTACAATATAAAGCAAAAAGTAGTAAATATTTAGTTCTTTAATTAAAGAATTTCAAAAAATAAATTTATTTTATTCTTTTAAAAATTATTTTTTTTAATAGATCAAATATATTCTAATATTAGAATCAATTTGTTCCCCATAATTCCTGATATTTCTTATTTTATTAAAAATATGTTGCTACAAATTTTCAGTATAAATTTACCTGGTGCTTAAATAGATATAACAAATTTATTTAATGTGAAATTAATTAGAAAGAATTTTATATTAAAACAAAAATGTAACATTATGAATTTATTTATTTATAAATAACATTTTTAGAATAGCAAAAAGAAATTATTTTATACAAATTTATTATATGAATTTTTTATTTTAGATTGAGAGGTTTTTATTGGCAATCATCCATTAGTAATCATTTGAGAGTTTTTCAAACCCTCTTATATGGTTTAAAGATAATTTATTTAATAGTAGTTAATACTGCTTACAATAATTAATATTTGTTACTATTTTTGTAATGAAATAATGAGATAGTTTATAGATAGATAGATTGAATATTATATTGTAACTTTTCAAACAGTATTTTTGGATTTATTTTATTGTAAGAAACGAGTAATTTGTGATATTATTTCCCTTTGTTTAGGACCATCTTATTCAAACTCTGTGTTACCATCTATAACGAGGATAGGGATTTTTTCTTATAAACATTCTTTTGAAGTAATCAACCAATCTTCATGGCGTTAGTGAATATCCTTTAAGTATTCGAGTGAAATTGAATCCTTTTCTTCATCTCTAGCTCTCTTTTAAAGACGCTTGTAGCAAATTTCAGGTTGAACATGAAGGTAAATGATACCATCCATTTAGTTTGCATGGAATTTATCAACTAAAAAGTTAAAATAATCATTATAAAGAGCCCATTCGAGTTCGTTAAAGAAACCAGCTTTGTGTCCGTTTAAAGCAAATATAAATTTATCACTCAATACACTTCTTTCACAGACAACAAAAGGCTTTTCTCTACGGATTTCATGCCATTATTTTAGGCGTGAAAAGTATGCGTATACTTAGAAAGTATATCCCCAACGGTGAGGATTTTAGTAAAATGCATCAAGTAAGTTTAATTGAGGATTACCATCAATTGCCTACCAATTGTTGACTGGTTCTCTTACAACTTAGGTGTCTTCTACTAAACTTTGAATTAAACGAAGGAGGGTTGATTTACCACTTCCTATATTGCCTTCAACGGAAAAGATTTTAGAGTTGGAGTTAACATGGTTGGAGGGTGAAAGATATCCTAAAGTGTTGTTAGGATTTTCACTGACAGTGGAAGATGTAGAAGAAAATGACATCGTTATGAGCTAATTTGGGTATCTAAATTTCCTATTACTATTTTTTAAACTTAGGTTTTTATGTTGTATTTATATACTTTTTTTCAAGCTTTATATTAGAATCGACATTATTTCAATTATATCCTCAAAATAGATCTCGTTTTTAAATAGCAGTAATTTTTTAAGAGTTTAAAATTTTATGAAATTGAGGGAAAAGAAATCTTTTAATACATAACCAACTATATATATTTAACTCAATATTTATTTTTTTTCATAATCGTTATGGATAAGAAATCTCTACTTTAAGCATTTAAGTGACGACTGAAATCAGTATGATTATTCTATTAGTATTCTACATAGCTTAATTCGTATAGTTGTTCATTATTTCAGCATTATATAAACATATAAAGCACCATTTAAACATCCCCTAAAAGCTAGCTTAACGTCCTTTCATATATTGTTAAGCTTAACAACAGTTAAAACCCCCTCCTTAAGAAGAATAATTAGCTTACCTCTTTATCTTATTGGCGCTTATTATTATTATTTCAAAATCTCTCTTTTATCTAAATTCAGCGGACATCTATAATTATTCAAATAAAATTTCAATATTCACACAAATATAAGAGATTTTAGATAAATGGTAACACATTATAATTAGAAAAAAGAAAGTATTTATCTGCTTTAAATAATATATAAAATCATTAAATTTATTTCTTTAGTTTTTCTCTCTTTTCAAAATTTTTTTAAATAAATTTTTTTTGCAAAAAAAAATAATTATAGTACGAATATTTTGAATTTTCTCCATTTGAATCTCAAAAAAATCCGATAAAAACTAATTTAAGTGTAAAGTTTTTAATTTAAATTTAATTCTGCTAAAAGCAATTTACATTTTATTTTTAAAAATAAAATATTTTTTAGATTTATTCATATTATTTAATTTCTTTGCCAAAAATTATTATTCTAATATTAATTAATTTTATTTTGCTTGTAAAATGATATGCTTAAAAGAGGGGCTAAAATTAATCATTCTGTCTTTTATATTATTACAATATTTCTTAATTAGTTAAAAAAAATTCCTCTTGATTTTAAATTTAGCTAAAAAGTAATTTATCATTTCATATTTGTAACTAATAATCTCAAAATAAAATTGCCAAGTAAAATAATTTAAATAAAACTTTTCAAAACACAAAAAAAATAAACCTTTTATTTTTCATGAAATTAATTCAATTTCTTCTTTATGAAAATTTAAAACAATATTCAAGTATTTTTTTTCTTCAATATTTAAAATAATATTTTCGCTTAACATTCAATTAAGCAAATCATTAATTTTCAATTAAAATTTTAAATAATTTTGAATAGGGAATTTTTTAAAAGATGTTCCTTAAATTATTTTTTATTAAGATTAGGACAGTAAATATTTGTTATTATTTCTAGAAACTTTCTATTGTTAAATGAGATATTAATTTTTATTATCAAATTGTAAATAGTCTAATGTCAACATCAGTTAATTTGTACTTAATAAATTTACTTTATAAAATTTACCTTACAGATTATTTTTTTAATTTATACGATGAAATTTCTTTTTAATAATCACAATAATTATTTGCTTAATTAAAAAACAATAATATCTCAATCTCATTTCTCAGTTGAAAATACAAAATTTTTATTAAAAAAAGCTTATGTTTTTATATATTTTTGTGAAAGTTAAGATGTAAATAATAATTTTAGAATTTAGCAAAAAAAGATTTGATTGAAAATTTTTTAAAACAAAATTTAACAAAAAGAATCATTTATTTAATATAAGATAAGTATGCTGCAGGCTAAAGTCATTTATATAATTTAAAAACGATAATATAAATTTAAATAAGTAAATAGATTATCAGACTTTATAAGTATTTTTTTTCTTTCATAAAAATAAAAGTTGATTATTATACCCCTAAAACAATTGATTTAAAATAAGTTAACTTTTTGGACTTTTCCTTGAATAAAGAAAAACCCTCAAATTTAATAACTGATTAATTTTATTAATTTCTAAATTGTATTCAGGTATTTCCTATAAAAAACTCTGATTTCTTAGCTTGTATTAAATTATGGTCAACTCAAGTAATTAACTTAAATTAATTTAAAATTCATAAATAATCAAACTAATAAATTGGTTAATACTTGAATCTTATTTTTTAACTAAGGATAATTTTTACTTTCCTTAAAATATTTATGTTTTTTTGAATAATATGTCTATTTCAATAAAATTCTAAACTCTAAATTCTAAAATCTAAAATATTTTATTAAAAGCAACATATAAATCAAAATTCTTAATATTTATCGGATATTAATTCTTCTTCTTTTAAAAAATATGATAGTCAGTAGGGCCTTTTTTAAAAAAAGAGGTACTTTGAGAAAATTTGTATATTCTTATGTATTTAATGTATTTAATTACACTCAATTTTATATTGACTTACATTTTAATTTTATATTAGCAATTTTTTATTAACATTTGGAAATTTATGGAAAAAATACTCGTGCTTACTAGTTAATAAAGAGAAAAATTTTTAATTTGGAAAAGATAGAATGAGGTAATTTTAAGAAATAAATTAAGCTTAAGTATATTACTGAATATATATATATAAATAGATGTAGTTTATAAATTTTGTCTGTTAATTTATAAGTATAAGATGAGATGAGATGTGAGAAAATGTTTGTTTTTTTTAATTTAACATTAACTAAATTTTTTAATTTTAATGTCAATAATTATTAATTTTATGAGTTCTAAAGGTTTTAAACATTAATTAATAGCTAATGACTTCTTTTTTAATTTATTTTTCAAAAATCACTACTTCTTTCTTCTGAGTAGTCAAAAGACTCATCTTGAATTTTAACTCTCTTCTTTTAAGGTTGAGTTCTGCGTCTTTTGGCCAAAAGTTAGTTTTCAGGAAAACTCATATTCCATATTTCAAAGAAATCGTTGATACATTTCATATCTTGATTAAATATGTAGTACAAAAAGAAGTTGTATAAAAGATAAGAAACAAAACTGGACCTAATTTTTTTGTTAATATTGTAGTCAGTGCGCTTCTCGCTAGAAATACAGTCTTCTAAAGAGTACATTTCAATAACTAAGTTTCTATTAAATTCTTTTTCGATGTTGCACTCTCTTATTACTTCAAAGTATTTGACGATCACCCCTATGTATTAAGGATACTTATCAGAAATGTTAGAGTGTATGTAGTTATTAACTTCTTCAATTGAGCTGAGATTAAGAGGAGCCATCAGTAAATGAGCTGCTACTTTTTACATAAAATAGGATTTAATAGAGTCTTAGAACCATTTGTTAAGAAGATTTCTGTTTCCTCTTTTGCTCTTAACAGACTATCTCTCTAAGGTTAAAATGTTATGAAGTATTATTTCTTCAATTTCGTGTTACATTTGAATCGAATTAGTTAGATATTTGTTTTACTTAATTTAACTTTTATATGATTTTTAAAGATTAATTAAGTAATATATAAAGTGGTTTGGAAAACTCAAGTGTATTTTTCTATTTCCCATTAAAAAGGAAATTGCTTTATCTAACATTAATTTACAAATTAATTTGATTTAATTTAAGATAATCTTGTTTTGCAACCAGATACCAGAATTTCATAAAATAAGCAAATATATTTTTATAATCAAATTCAAAAATTTTAAGGTAAATAAAATCAATAAAAACAACGACTTAATACAATCAATTTTACTGAAAATAAAAAGTTAATTGTAATATACATTATTTCTGAATGTAATTACACAAAAAATAGCTTCTATTTTCTATCCATTGATTTATTATTAGGTCGAGTATTTTGACAAAATCTGAAAATAAATTTTTATCTAAAAACATAAGCAGTTTACACAAACAATTTTTTCAAAGAAAAATGTTTAAAATTACATGCCAATTAAAATTAGAACTTTATTCACAATTTATTTTAGTTAAAATTATTTAAACTATTATTTATCTACCAAAAATTATTATCTTTTTACTTTAAAACGGTTATTTTACTTTTATTTTGTCAGGTATTTTTTAAAAATAAATGCTAAAAATATTAAAGGTTGATAAGTTGTCAAACCTAAATTATAATAAACAACTGACAAAAAAATCTAGTCCGATTTAACTTTATTATATTATGCGATTGATATATTTAGTTTTTTTAAAATTCAATTCTATTAAAAAATTGAGGCTGTGTTTTTTTAGATATCATAAAAAAATGTCAGTACTTATATTAAAACAAATAAAATTACTCAGAAATATCGTAAGTACTAAAAGTACTTGCTTTTCTAGATACTCTTAGCTTTAAATTTTTTTTGAAATAAAATTTAACAACTTATCATATAAATTATATGGAAAAAATTTAATTTCTAGTGATATAAATAAATAAACTTATTTAATCATATACAATTAGCTATTTCAAGTATTTTTACCTTTTTAAAATATTATTTTTGAAATTATTTTGAAAAATAAATTGCTAAAATAACTTTTAATAAATCAAATTAAGGAAAAAATTCAATTTAGTTTATTGACGATTTTAAGGTATAAAAAAGGAAAAAAATTTTCTATATTTTAAGATTAAAAAATTGTTACTCAAATGCATACAACTTTACAGGCAATCTAAAATTTTTAAAATAATCAATTAAATATATCCGTAATATTTTTTTATTAAAATATATATTTATTTTAGATTTTCAATCTGTAAGATTAAGTTCGAATATCATTATCTCATTTTAATTTAATGTAACCTATCAAATTCAATTTATTCCTCCTTTGTTATTTAATTAAATAATTAATTCAAGTAGTTGAATAAACTAAAATTTAATAGTTTTCACGTATTTTGATGAACATTCAAAATTACTAGTAAAATTTAAAAAATATAAAAAGGACAAATTATTTTATTGCATGAATCATTATTTTCTAAAAAATATTTTATTTAATTTAATAATTTTTAAAAAAATCCTATCATATGGAAAAATTCCTAATTATGAACATCTATATATACTTTTTTATATATTAAAGATATGAATTTATAATTCTCTTAGATAACAATTAATTACTTTCAACTAGGAATGTTTTTAAATTTCTTAAAAATTTCCATATTTTTATTTTATAAAATCCATAATCTGATATTACTCTTTTTTTTGTAACCTAAAAATTGCATCATGCAAACAAAATAACATAAATTTTTTTATTTAATATCACCTAAAGTTTCATAAGCAAATGAAAATAAAATATTATCTAACTAACAACTGAAGATTCCATATTATTTAATATCTATAAAGTAATAGAGTTTATTAGTAGCTGCAAAAAAAAAGATTTGCCTATACTGCGCGATAAAATAAAGTAAAAATATTAAATGGTTTGATTGATTTTTATGTTTTATTATAGCTTTTAAATAAATGAAATAGTTATCTATCAATTTAAAATTTAAAAAGATACTTGAAACAAAGTTATGAATTTTTGTGTTTTTTAAGCTTACTAATTTTTAAATGATTATATTTTTTTAATTAATTTTAATTAATTCAAAGACTTTCCTAAAAATATTTAAAATTAATCTTCATAATTCTCCAAAAGCATTACAAATTATACAAAAGATATCTTTACAACATTTTAAAACTTTTTCATGTTTAGTCTAAAATTAACCTAAAAAAGTTTGCTCAATTAAAAGAACTTTTTAAAATAATTACAATTTCAATTGATTAAAAAACAAAAGTCATCTAATAAGCTTATTTAGTTAATTAATTGATAGTTTAATTTAAAAAAATTAAATATCCATAAATTTGCATTTAAAAAAATAATATTATTTCTCAAATTTAATTTACTTTAATTATAATCTCTAAAAAAATTGAGGGATAAATTCTCTATTAAAAGTCAATATAAAATTAATTTGCTAATAAAAGTCATTCATTTATTTATGTTTTATCTAAATATTGATTTTCTTTTTCAAAAACCTAAATTATGAAAATATTGCTATAAAAAATAAAATCAGCTAATGATTTTTAATCGAATGTAATAGTATTTACACAGAGATAATATCATAAAAATTGTGGTATTAAAGTAATTATTATTATTAAACCATTCAAATGCATTTATTTATCATGAAATTAATAATAATAATTCTGAATTTTTGCAATTCAAGTGGTATTTGAAGTAAACAATTCTTTTATATTATAAAATTTAAACTTTTTTGCTTTTTATATAAGGCACTACTGATCAAAATTTCAAAACAAAATAGGATAAATATACTAAATTAAGAAAAATAATTAATCCAAAAAGAAAGAAAAATATTGGATAACAATTAAAATAAAAGTTTGTAACCAGCTTTAAATAAAAATTTTAGCAAAAAATTTTTAGTTTTCATACTTAAAAGTAATTTATACAATACAGTTTATATAATTTAAATGAAAATTTATGTTCCATTATAAACTATAATAAAATTAAAAAGAAATCAATTTAGCCTCATTATAAATTTAATAGAATTTTATATAATTTTTGGTCGATAAAAACTTTATAAATTTTTAAACAAATAATACAAAAAAATAATTTAAAAAAAAAAATATAAATTGGTGATATTACTTGAAAATTATTAAAAAATAAATAAATAATATTTTAATTGAAATTCAGCATTTTATGCATGAAAGTAACAAGATTTAAGCAAATAGAATCAAGAAATAGCTGATTTCCTTGATTTATAATTATAAATAAGTTTTCTTTTTTGATTAAGAAATTAAATTTGATTTGCATTTACTTAAAATATCAATATTTTAAATATAAAGATGAAAAATATATTTATTTGTTTATTTATTTAGGAGATTAAAATTAGAAAAATAAAATTACAATTTAAAAAAAATAAATTTAATAATAATAAAAAAACTAAATAGCAAATTATAATTAAATTTAAAAATAATTATTATTTATTATTTTAATAAAAATAATTTTACAAAAAATTAACAAAATTATAATTTTAATAATTTATTTTATTTATTCTTTTAATATATTATAAAAAAAAATATCAGACTATTTTTTTCTTATAACATTCATTTATGAAATTAAAATGAATGAATTTGTATGATATAAAAAAATAAATGAATTAAATACATTTAGAAATAGTTAAGATAGTTAGTTAGTTAATAAATATTATTAAATGGATAAGTTATGAAGTACATTATCAAATATAATTAATTATTTTGTGGTTTGTTATTTTGATAAGTTCATGCAAAATGCAATTTCATGTGAATGTTAAAAGCCAAGTATTGATTTATTAGTTTTAAAATATCTGTAAATTGAGTATTTATAAAAATATTGATTGATGGTTTAGCTTCAAATCAATTATATTCTTAGATAATAATTGATGGTTTTGTTTCTTCAAATTATATATCTAATACAAAGTGTGTTGTGTTCAATGCAATATTCCCAAGCCTTAATATCGAAATTTTAATAATAATACACAATTAAAGATTAGGAGATATAAAAACAAATATTAATTTACAAACCAAACGTATTTATTTATTATATAAATTTAATAAGCTCATTGAACAACTCATTTTTTACAAGCTAGGAAGATAACTATTAGCTTATACAGATAGATTTATTTTTTTCCATATTATAGAATAGGCAATTAGTTATATAAATATTTTTGGTATTTGTTTTAGTAGCGCAACTAACTATAAGTAAAATCTCTAGTCTAGCTGTCATTTAGTAAACACATTTAAAAAATTTAAATATATAGTATGAGATCTAGATCAAATAAAGTTTCGCCAGGATAAATTAGAGTTTCAGCTGGAATATAATCAATTTCAAATACAAGAAATGGATAATCTTCTACACGCAGTAATAATGGAAATAATTAAATATTAATGAGCAATTTAGCTGCAAATGGTATAAATAATTAGCAATAGTAACAATAATTATAGATTAGTAACGGATATATGAGTCATAATAATAGCATAAATAATGGAATGAATGGTACTTTTAATGCAAACGGATAGCATATTATAGCAGAATCAAGGAGTCAACAAAGTTCTCCATTAAACACTCCTAAAAAAAATGGTAGCCATTTGGGATTTAAAAAACTTATTAGTGGCACAGTGCCCGTAAATTATCATTAATAAGGAATTAATTCTGGTATGAATGGTAATAATAACAATGGAGTTGGTTAATCAAATACATTGAATATATAGTAGAACTCTGTAAATAGCGTTAATCAAAATAACAGTTTCTAGTTTGGAAGTTATTAAAATGGTGACAGTTTAAAAAGTAAATCAACCTCAATCTAAAAAAAGTAAAATAGCAATAGCAACAATAACATCAACAGCAACGGATAAAATAATAATTTCAATCAAAATAATAATTTATAACCAATAAATTCGCGTCCCTCGACTGGCAGAGGCTAACCAAAAAAAGATTTATAGATTCAATTAGGTTTTGATAATATGGATTTAATTACTAATGGAGGAAATGCTAGCGCTTCTAATGGATAATATGAAAATACTTCAGAAGGCACAAATGCTATTTTATCAGCTAAAAATTCCAACTATTCTAATTCAGTTACGCCTACAATTATTAATGGATCAAGTAATCCAAACTCTAATATAGTAAATAATTATATCAATAACCGTTCTCTCAATAAGCCCTACTAAAGCGCTCATAGAAGAATGACTCCAAACAGACTAACCGGAATAGATAAAGTAAAAATTTAATTACTCATTAAAAATAGCAATCAATCAATCAGTCATATTATTTGTTCTTCAAAATTAATTTTTGCATTTTTTTGCTTTTAAAAAAATAAATCTCTTAATTACCTTTAATTAGAAAAGTGAATTGTATTTGTGGTGAATTCAAAATACTTAATTTATTGCTATCCATCACATTACTTTTTATCCTTTTTCTTTATTTATTTATATTAAATTAAATTTTATCAATCATTTTTCATTTTATAATATTAGATATAGTTGCCGACACCTCAATCTTCTTCAAGAAATAGCTCTCCCTACTGGAATAGTATGTCAAACAATTCAGCTCGTCATAGAAAATAATAATAATCTCTGATTAACAAAAGTTACAATGGTAACAAAGAAAATAATTAATATCTTGAAGGTTAATAAATTATACTATCAAGCCAACAATAAAATAACAACCAGCTAAATTTAGCGAATGGTGCTCAACCAAGCGGATAAACTTAATTTATGAGAATTAACAACAAGAGTCCTATTAACAGTGCAAGATCTAGCAGTTATAATAATAATAATAATATTAACAACAACAATAATTAAGTTTAGAATAATGGATAAACTAATGGGTAACAGTAAAGCAATTAAACATAATTCGAAAGGTCTAATCACTCACCTTTGATAAGTAAACTTTTAATCATTCCAAACAGCACAAGATCATCTAGCTCTAACAATAATAATCGAAACAAAAGTGGGAGGAGTATTTTAAAATAGAGACAAATAGGTATTATGAATAATAATAGCTTTAATGGAGCAGAAGATAATCCAAAAGCAAGTGCTGAATCTACTAGAAATAGTGGTGATTATAATTAAAATAATATTACGAACAATATAAGTAATGGACATAATGTAAATTACTTTTAAAACTCTTAAACAGTTCGTCAGAGCCATGCAAAAAGTACTTAAAAAGAAAAATCTTCACAAAATACTTCTTACAATACAAATAATGAAGAGAGATTGAATATGCCACTTATCAACCCTTTACAGTAAATACCAAATAATCAATAATAATATAATCCATTAAACTAATTAAATAATAAGTTAAACAACATTCACACTAACGAGTTTCTTTAAAACACTTAACAAGCTGTTTAGCAATAGCAATAGCAACAATAAGAATATGAATAAAATCCTTCTGGCTCAAATAGCTAAAATAACAGTAATGTGAATTAAAATTAAAATTAGCAATAGCCTTAAAATACAGCTAATCCTGAATAATAAACACAACCAAACAAAGGGGTATTAAACATGAAGTATTCATTTAGGACAAGAAAAGGATTTATGCCTAACAATCCTAATAAGGTTAATTAAGACACCTATATCATACACTAAAATATAAATAAAAAACCTTGGTAGCATTTCTATTCAGTGTGTGATGGACACGGAGTATTTGGCCATGATGTTTCAGGTTTTCTAAAAAGATTATTACCTTTACTATTCAGCGAATAAAGTGACAGGCTCGAACAAGATCCTAGAAAAGTTTTAAATGAAATATATGAAGAGGCTAATGAGAAGTTAAATTATGAAAGCAACATAGATATCTTATTTAGTGGTAGTACAGTTGTCTCAGTATATTTTCATAAAAATAGCATATTTTGCGCAAATATCGGAGATTCCCGTGCTATCCTTGGTAAAAAAAATACACAAGATAAATGGTCAGTAATTCCCCTCTCTAGAGATCATAAGCCTAGTGACAGCGAAGAAGCATAAAGAATCATAGCTGAAAATGGCCGAATTGAGGCATTCAAAGATTAGGAAGGAAAACCTATAGGTCCAACAAGGGTTTGGCTTAAAAATGAAAATGTTCCAGGTTTAGCTATGACCAGAAGTATGGGTGATACAGTAGCCGAAAGTGTTGGAGTCACTTGGAGGCCTGAAATAATTGAATATGAGTTAAGCTATAATGATAAAATATTAGTGCTAGCTAGTGATGGTGTTTGGGAATTTATAGATAATAAAGAAATAATCAAAATGATTGCTCCTTACTATTAAAGAAATGACATAGAAGGAGCTTGTGAGTGTCTCCTTTAAGAAGCCCATTTACGTTGGACAAGAGAATGTAATGTAATAGATGACATCTCATTTATTATAATCTTTATGAATATGTGAGTTTCACATAAATAACAACTAATAACAATATATAAGATTTTAATAGTATTTTTAAAGCAACCTAAATAACAAAATAAGCTGACTGGCTAGCTTGCTAGTACACTCGTTGACTTATTTCCTTATTTATTAACTTATTTACATAAAAGACTTAAAAAATTGCAAAGCATATAAATAATTAATTAGCCAATTCAAAAATAAATGATAAAAAATATTAATTTCAATATTTAAAATAAATATCAATAAAACTGAAAAATAAATATGTATATAATAATCATATTTAGCTTTTATATAATAAAATTATTATTACTAAATATTAACAATAATTAATTATTAATTACTTAATCTTCACATTTGCTTTTATTAAATTTTGTTCAAAGTTAGTGATTTATTTTATATTATCACTTTATATATGTATCTTTGCAAATATTATTTAGTTTTAAAATTTTTTACATTCATTTAATTAGTCAATATAAAGATTTATATTCTTGTATTCTTTTTAAAAAAAAATACCAAATTTTGCTTTTACCGAAATAATTATTTTTAAATTAAAATGTCTGCCAATTAGTAAAATTATTCATATGAAAGCTCTCAGCTGAAAATAAATTTGTAAATAATGGAAGAAGATTTTAATTCTTTACTTATAAAAATATAAAGCAGTATGAATAAGGTTTTATTTATTTATTTATTTAACGCTCACAATATATTTTAATAAATAAATTTGTTAATATGTTAGATGTCCTCAAACAATATAGCTCTTTCGGAGCTATTGAAGCAAAGCGCAACAGAATATTGTGAGGAAGTTATAAAAGCTAAAAATTTACTCTAAAGTATAATATCTGATTGCGAAAATATCCAAGACTACTTTATACATATTGAAATTCTTTAAAAGAAAATGTAAAAAATATTTTGTTAAACAAATTCAATCAAATTATAAAGATAAACTTATAAATAAATATTAATGAAAATTAAAATTTTTGTTTCTTTGTATTAAATAGAAGTCACTTTAGGTTAATCGTAGAGGAGATTGCTAAAATAAAAGAAAGAGAGCTCATAGAGGTTGAGTTAGATAACAAATAATGATACATATCATTCAATATTTATTTAATCTATAATATAAACATATAAAAACAAAGATTATTAGAAAATAACATTAAGTTAATCTAAAAATTATATAAAAATAATTTGTCCAAATTTACTTTTAAATAATAATTATAAAAATATTTTCAAATCTGAATCTTTTTTATGCTTAGTTTCTTGTTATACTTTAGTTTTTATTTATATTTTATAAATGAATTTCTAACAGAAATATCAAAAGATAATTTACAAAATTTTGTTTACTTGCAAATTCTATGCTTACATTAATGAATAACGTGGATAGTCAATCCAAAAATATTTTTTTTAATTAAAATTTTTGATTAAATCAATTTCAGAATACTCCAAATTTATTTTAATTTACACTCCATGAAATATTTAGATTTCCTAGTAAATGAATTTTTATAAATTAATTTTAATTAAAATTATTAATTAATTAGCTAATTTATAATATAAAATAACTAGTAACTAATTATTATTTTTTTATTTGATTAAATAATTTTTATAAGTAAATAAATTATTCATTTAAATATATGGAGAGAAAAGAGAGCTTTTAAAATTTTTAATAAAAATAAAAAAATAAAATACCCTTTGTTGTTTGCAATGAGAAATAATCTAGTTATATTATTGGATAGACAATTAGTTGCTCAGAAAATAGTCGGCTTGAGTTCAAGAATTACTAGTGGCCTTTTACAAGTAGCAGAAATAAAGACTTGGAGTTGATTTTACTTAAAACTATTTGTAGCTTTCTTAATAGAGAGGGAGGTACAATACTTATTGGAGTTACTGATCAAAAGAAAGTTGAAGGAGTTTAAATTGAGAACGTAGATGATGTAAAAAAATATTTCGATTCCTTAAAGGAAAAGTTCTATCCTAAACCTTAAGGCCTCATAAAAACAGTAGAAATACCAATCAGAAAGTTTATAGATGAAGAACAGTATTTTTGGATTCCAAATACTTATGTTATTAGAATTGAAGTTAAGTAAGGAAAGTTAGATAGATTTTATACATTCAAAACTGCTTCGTAAATGTTTTCTGCATTTAGAGAAGATGCAAGTGCTATTTTAATTAAAGATATAGATGAAATATAAGAATAAATATACATTAAAAGCTAACATCCAGTCGACCCATCTAAATAAATTGTATACGAGGAACCTGATTAAGAGGGACTTTAAGAAAGTTATGATGCCTAAAAGTCTAAGGTTTATGAAAATAAAGGAAATTATATTGCATTCACTAATTTATACAAAAACTACTTCAAGAATTTCATAAAATTTTTAGATAAAAAGTTAAAAGAAAGAAAAATTTATAATGTAGAATTTTTCGAAATATCTGATTATGCATTATTTATTAGCCATTAAAAAATGATGAAGCTTTATAATTAAATAGAAGATATAGTTAATGAGTATTATGAAGAGATAAAATAAGTCACTATTAGTTTTTAAGATTTGTAGTTTGGTTTTCCTAAAAAGTCTTTAACTATAAAAGTCTACACTGATGAAGAATAAGAAATGGTTTTAGAAATTATTTAATAAATAAAATGTTAATTTAAAATAAAAGAATTTAATGGATATAATGAAATCTTTCTATTTAACATTTAATCTTTTGAGGATTTAGTCACTATTTATTAATATTTCAAAGATATTTCTTTAAAAGTATACATTACTCTCACAAAACCTGATAAAAAATAGTGAAAAAAAAAAGATATTTATTCCCTTTATTTGTATAAATCTTGCCTTAATTTATTCAATATTTATCTAATTATTTCATCTTTAACAGAAGTAATAATAAATTTATTTTATATAATTTTAATTATTAATTGATAAAGTTTTTTTTTTTTTTGAGTTTTTTTAAATTAGAATTTGATTAAATGTTTCAAATTGTTAATATTTAAATATCAATAAATAGAAAAAAATAAATACAAAGTTAAATGAATATCAACTATATTTAAAAGGGATCTAAAAATAATATCATATTAATTATTGTTAGAATTTATAAAAAATCATTTAGTTTTCATAAAATAATCAATCAACATTTAATTTCTTTTAAAACAGATTTACAAATTTTTAATATTTTTTTAATTACCACTACCCTTTATTTAGTTTAATGTAGTTGTTTCTTATGAAGAAACTATTTAAGTAAAAGTTAGATCTAATGATACAATCAAGCTAGTAAAAAATTAAATTAAAATGATTACTGAAATTTAAAAATTAAGAATTAAAAGGCAATAAAACTCTCTAAGACTATAATATCAAAAATTTAGACAATTTATATATAGCACTCAACAATAACGATTGATCAAAATATTATTATAAATACATAAATCCTTTTAATTAAAACTTAGTTTCTCTCCTCAATCTTTTTTAAACAGATTTATGATGAACTAAAATTTTATATTAAATTAATCCCAGTATTTAATATTAATTAATTAAAAATTATATATAGCACATTCAGCTATTAAATTCTTATGGATGTGAAAACTTAAGAATTTAATCCAATATTTGCTATTAAGTATATTAATTAAAATTAAATAAATAATTATATTTCAATTTTTATCATATTTGTAAAAATTATTTTTAATTTAATTATGTTATTTTAAATTATTAAATTCAAATAATATTTTTATTTAGCATAATATATGCTTAATTAGTTTAAAAAAAAATTAATTATTTAATAAATATGTAATTTCAAAAAATTTTTAATTTAAAAAATTTCATTTAAATTTTAGAAATATTTAGAAATTAGAAACTATAGTATGTATAGTCAAATTATTAGAGATTTTGGAATTAAGAAAAGAGCAATGATTAAGAGGGATTTTATTAGTGAAGAAATAAATTTTAAAATGATTGGTTAATTAAATTCTAAAATTTATTTTAAACAGTTAAAATAAATCTAATAAATAAATACTTATTTTAATAAATTTAAAAGATTTTAGTTTATTAACTAATCAAAAAATATACTATTAAGATGGAGAGTCTAAAGCATAGAGATAAAAATCGTTACATAGTTTAAGAAATGTTTTTCAATAAAAAGGCTCTCTTAGATTAAAAAGCTAAATTACTTAAACTAAGAGCATACTAGTATTTTTAAAAAGAATACGTTTGCATTTTGAACTTATTTAAAGATAAAAGAGGTTAATTTTTAACTTTGCTTAGTTGGTTTTTAAACCATCATAGAATCGATTTTAAATTTATAGAGTGTTTTTAATATTTTATATTCATATCATCAAGTGACATAGCCAGGCTTTCTAATCTAGTTTTTTAATTTACAGAACTTATAAAACCAAATTTAGCTCACTTTGTTTACAATTATTAGAACCTAAAATTTGGATAGATAAGGTTTTAGCTATTAGTAAGATTTAAATCTAAAAAACAAGAAATTTAAATTGAAAATTTACTTAAAAATTTCAATTGTGTGACTTATACAGAATATAAATATATGATTATTTTCTTTTTTGACTATAGAGGGTTCATGACTTCGCAAATAGAGTTATAGAAAAACTAAATAGAATACGATTTCTATTACAGCTAGCCTAGAGTAGTGAGGAAAGAAGTACTTTTTCAGAATGAATAAAAAATAGAATTTTTTTAACTAAGGCAAAAACTTGATTATTTTTATAATACTAAATCAGAGAATATAAATGATAAAATATGTGAAAAAAATAATCTAGTGAATCTTGTATAGCCAATAAAGGATTTGATATATTACATTGATTTTTCTTTTATAAGTTTTTACAAAATGAAGGTGAACAAAGAATTTATTGAACTAATTTAAAATGTAAATGAATCTAAAAACTTAAATTTATGATTTTTCATTGTAAATAATAATAAATTGAAATAGCTTCTATATATTTCAAATACAATAATAATTAATAAATTTCCTAATCAATCATTGTTAAATTTCTAACTTTTGATGACATAAATTAATTATCATTTTTTTTAAAGTAAAAAAGCAATTCAACTGAATTTTGAAGGCTTTTGACAGCACTAAAAAGAGATAATTTTAGTTTAAAGATATTATGTTTTAAATATTATAATGAAAAAAAATATTTATTTTTTATATAAATTTATATATTTATTTTTTAAACAATTTTAAAATAGATTTATTAATCTTATTTTTCATCAAACCTTTTCTTCTCTCAAATATTTAGAAAAATTTTCAGATTTTTAAGCCAACAATTAAGGGTTCAAATTTTCAACTCTTTCAGCAAAAAAGGTGTTTTGAGTATTTGCATCATAAGCAAAATAGTAGGAAGTCAAAATTTAATTACCAATAATAAAAGCTCTCTCGCCATCAATAACTTTGAACATCAATCTATAAATTCCATCTACAATTTTTTTAGTATAAACAGAAGGAACTAAAGATAGAATATAAGGACTCATATCTTCAGTTAGTATAGTAATCTTAATAGGTTCTAAACCTTCAATGGTATCTATATAATACTCCTTGAAAATTCCGATACCGCTAACTGTTATTTAATAACCTCTTTCTTTTAAAATTGCAAGCATTTACTCAAAAACATTCAAATCTATTGAAGATAAAGCAGAATCAAAATTAATGTAGTATTTTTTATAGCCACTAATTTTTTAACCAAAGTAAGTTGTTTCTCCATTTGAGTAAAATGTACAATCATAAACGTAAGTATCAGATTTATCTACATACATTTTCACGAAACTACTACCTTTTTTGATAAACTCTGGATTTGGCTCACCAAGATTTATTTGTCCAATAATATCATCCGAAGTAAAATATGAAAGATATTTATTGAAAAAAGTTATATACACTCTAGGTTAAGAAATCAATCCTTCTTGATTAAGTTGCTTCAATAGTGACAATTATTTAGTATCATCATTAACTTTACCAAAACATAAGCTTCTAGTGTACAAAGTTAAGTTTAAGTTATCAAGTGTATTGTATTGAGCAAAAACAACTCTGGCTTAGAAGTTACCCATTTAAAATTAAGCCTCATAGTCATTTACTCCATAAGTAGTTGTTCCACTAGGAACTGCACCACAAGTTTAAATCTTGCGATAATCTGTTCTGATAAAGTCAATTTCATTGGAACAATAATAGAATTCAGCTTTTGCTTCTATTTTGCAGTTTTCAGTTCCAAAATTAGCATTAAATAAAATGGAGTTCTCTTCACGGTCAAACTTTAATGGAATTTCAAGCAAAGCATGAGTAGTTAAAATAAAGCTTGCAGAAATTATAAGCAAACTAAAGGTATTTTTTTTAGTAATCGTCATCCCTTTTTAGTTTAATTAACTTTTATCTAATAATGTTTAATCATATAAAAAATATTTACTCAATTTAGACTTTGTTCTGTCAAATTTGATAAATTTATATTTCTGGTAGATTAGAAAATTTTTTATTATGGATCAACTAACTAATCAGGAAAATTATAAAGGACAGTCACTTTTTTCTAGCCATAAAATCTGATTAATTTTTTTAGAATTATTTTTTGTATAAATCAATTAAAAAATATGAAGTAAAATAATAAAAAATTTATGATTCTCAATCAAGTAAACCATAAAAAATATCAGATTCTTAAATAATTTTAAACTTTCTAACAAACAAGAACTATATTTATTTTAAGTATAGACTTTGAACTATATTTTAAGTTTAGAGTTTTTATTTATAACTAGAAATCATCCATTTTTGAATAAAATTTGTTTTTTTTCTTTCAAACTTTTATAGAAAAAAGTAAATTAAATAAAAAAATTTCATTAATATAGAAAAGAAATATGTTTATAGTAAAATATAACAATATTTTAACATATTCAGATTAATGCTTCTTTGAACTTTCTTTTATAAGAGTTAATCAGAAATTTAATAATATTACACATACAACAAATTAAATAAAGCATGCAAAGCAATAGTTTATGAAAATAAAATTAATCTTAAATTTGAAAAGATAAAAGAATATAGATCAATAAACTATTAAATATTTAAATCCTATTACTCATTCTTAATTACTCAATTCCATAATTAAATAAGTAGTAAATTGAAATACTTTACAATTAAATGGTTTCCAAATTTAACAAATTTCTTTTTTAATATTACAAAAGCTAAAAATTAAAAAGTAAAAATTAACTTAAATTGTAGTATAAAATACAGGTCAAAAATAAATAACATTTTCAAAGTGAACTAAACTCTATTTAATATATTAATTAAGATAATTTTTTTATATGAAGTACTAATTTATTTAAAAATAATAAAAATAAGAAAATTTATTGATAAATAATATTTATTAAAAAAATGATCTAATATTTTAGTCTTTAAAAAAAATTTTCACAAGTATCTTGCTTATAAAGTATTATTTTAAATAGAAATTCAAAATAATCGATAATTTTTTATAAAAAAGAAAAAACTGAGAACATTTTCCTCTAAATTTAGCCTTAAACTTAGTAAAAATTGATAAATGAAATAAATCAAATCTTTAATTTATTTTAGATAAATTTTAAGTAAAAGATTTCTCCTTAAATCACTTTTAAAATCTATGTAGGAAGGAAGTAATTAATTAAATTATAATTATTTGAAGGTTATATTTATATAAAAATATCAAAATTAATTTCATAAAAATGAACTATAAATAAATATTTATTTTTATTCAAAAATTTATTTAATCTTTATTTTCAGTCTTAATTTAATATCATTAAATTTTTTAATAAATAAGTTAACTTTTTGAAATACGTAATAAAGTTAAAAATAATTTTGATAGTAAATAAAAACTAATTGCTATCAATCCTCATATTTAAGACTAAGTTGTATTAAAGTATAAAAATTTTTTTTGGAAACTTGTTCATGCATTAATAAGGTGTTCTTTTATATAGACTGATAATCTTATCTATTAATTATGTTAAATAAAAAAAATATATTTAAAAATATATAAAATACTGCTGGAACTCTTAAAAGTATAGTCTAATTTATTTAATAAGTAATATTTTTGCAAAATTAGTAAAATAATAAGAGAAAATTTTTTGAGTAATTTAAATAATCGTTAGTAAAATTTTTTTTTAATTAAAATGCATAAAAGATATTTTTATTTTGAAAAGTAGAGGAAGATGGTACACTAATTTATTAGGATTGATAGCATTTTATATTTATTTATAATTAATTCAACCATAATTTAAATTTTAAATTTCATTATGAAGATAAAATTTTATTTTACTATTTATTAAATAAATTATTTAATTTTTTTAAATAATCTGAATAAAAAATATTTTAAATTTTTTCTAATTAGGGAATTTAAATTTTAATTTAAAAAATTCAAATGTAAAATTGATTATTAATGTTAAAAAAATCTTTCTTGAATATTTAATACTTTGAAATAGAGAAATTAAAATTGTTTTTTAACTTAAATATATTCTAAAAGAAAAAATTTATTCTGATCAATATTTAAAAATACAAAAATTAAGAGACTAATTATGCTTTAAACTAATTAGTTAATATATTAAATAAACTTTAAGATGAATATTTTAACTTTACTAATTTCATTTTTTGAAATCTTAATAAAATATAAGTTTTACAATTACACTAATATTATTTATTAAAATAAGTACCTAAAATGATGAAGATAGTGGTAATTTTTAAGAATAAATAAAAAAATTTAAATAATTAATAACCTAAAAATTGAATTAATTTAAAAATATAGATTTAAAAAAAGGAAAAAATTTTAGAGAATTTGTTAGAAATTTAGTTTCAAATAAATTATTAAATTTATTATGTTATTTTCTTAATTAGCTTTTTTAAAATGAAAGTGAGAAAATAATTTTTTGAATTTTTGTAAAAATAAAATTCATCTAAAAGTCAAAACTTATAATTCATAAATAAACCAAAAATTATGATATTTTATTTGTTTTTCTAAAATATTAGTGAATCTTTTGTTTATATCAAAAAATTTTTTAATTTTATTAAGAAATTGTAATTTTTGTTAATTAAAAAATTTATTTATTTTATTTAAAAATTATTGTTTAGAAATTACTTTTGCAAATTGTGATTTTCTAATTAAAATTGAGAAGGAGAAAAAAAGTTGATTATAATTTTTAAATTTTAATTTTTAATATACTTTTAAAAACATAAAATATTTTTAATTTATAATTATATATGTTTGTTTCATTACAATTTTAAATAACTTCTAATACTTTTTATATCAAAGTTTTACACTTCTCAAATAATTAGAGAAATTTTCAGCTTTTTCTGCAACCTATTAAGGATTTAAATCAACAGCTCTTTCTGCAAAGAAGGTATTTTGAGTAACTGCATCATAACCAAAGTAATATTTAGTCAAAATTGTATTACCCAATACAAAAGAACCAACTTCAGGTTCTAATAGTAATTTGTAAACTCCTTTTGCTATCTTTCTGGTGTAAACAGAAGCATCTAGGGTTAGAGTAAATGGGCTCTTATCTTCAGTGAGTAAAGAAATTGTAATAGGTTCTAATCCTTCAATAGTATTTATATAGTATTGATCATGAATATCAAATTGGTTTATTGTAATTTTATAACCTCTTTCTTTTAAAATATTCAACATATATTCTAAAGTATCCTTATCTATTGAGGTCATTTCTGTATCAAAGTAGATGGTATATCTTTTAAAAGTAGGTATTTTTTAACCGAAGAATGTTGATTCGCCATTTGAGTAAAACTAGCATTCTAACTAATAAGTATCAGTGTTATTAACAAACATTTTTACAAATTTAGAACCTGGTTTGATAAATACAGGGTTTGGTTCACCAAGATTTATTTGTCCAATAATATCGTCTTTAGTAAAATAGGAAAGGTATTTATTGAAAAAAGTGATGTAGACTCTTGGTTAGGAAATCAATCCTTCTTTATTAAGTTGCTTCAATAAAGACAATTATTGTTTATCATTAGTAACTTTACCAAAGCACAAGCTTTTAGTAAAATATATTACATCTGGGTAATTGACATCATTGTATTAAGCAAAAACGAGATCAGCTTCGAAGTTACCCATTTTAAAATTGGCCTCATAGTTACTTAACCCTGAAATTTTAGTTCCAGTATTTACTGCACCACATGTATAAAGAGAACGTTCACCAGTCATTACAAAGTCTACGTCATTATTGCAGTTGATGAATTCAGCTTTTGCCTCTATCTTGCAGTTTTCAGTTCCATAAGTAGCATTAAGCCAAATTTAGTTTTTTAAAACGTCAAACCCTACTGGGATTTAAAGCGAAGCTTAAGCACTCAAAAGCAAGCTTGCAGAAATTAAGAATAAAGCAAAGGTATTCTTAGAAATGCTCATTTTTTTTATCTTTATTTTATAATTTATTTTTTTATAAATTATTTGTTCGTTTAAGTCCTTTATCCATCGTGTAAATTTAGACAAATTAAAATTTCTAATTGATTAGAAAATTTTTTATGATAAATAAAAATCATGAAATTATCAAAAAAATTGATATTATTTTTCCGGTCATGAGATATAAGAAGGATTTATTTTATTAATTAAAGTGATAAACAAATAATTATTTGGTTTTTGTTAATTGAAAAATACTAATTAAAATAATAAAATTACTAATTCTCAATTATATTTTAAGTATTCTATCTTAATGATATATATTTATTTATTTTTATACTTTCTCTTTTAAAAAAAATTATTTTAGACATTTGTTTCAAATTGATATATTTGCTTTTAAAAAAAATTGCATACATATTTAATACACCAATTTATGAAAAAAAAAAGATGATTTTAATTTTTTTTAAAATCATTATGCTAAAAAGCAACTTATATAGAAATTTCGTAAAATATAGAAAAGAATTCGTATTTGAACAAAATATAAAAGAATCTATCTATATAGATTTAGCTTAAAGTGTCTATTTAGCTATTATAAACAATATTTATCAGAAATTTAATAAAATTCTTTAAACTGTAAATAAATCAAACACTTATTTTAAATATTACACTAAAAATATAAAATATTTTGTTTTCATTTCCATTAATTTATCTATTAATGTTGTTTTTATATTTATTTATTTATTCTAGTTGACTTTAAGAGCATATTTTCAAATTATTTTTCCATTTTTCTTTTATTACTTTTTAAATAATTAAATATTTTTTAAGAGATAAAAAAAGCCTTTTATCAAAAAGAAATTAAAAAATAAAAGAATTAATATCAATTTCTGAAAAAATAGATGCTCTAACTAAAGAAAGATTTATTAAACATAAGCATTAATACGAAAAATGAACATATAATTAATTAATTTTAAACTTATTTCTAAAGAAAATTAAAATCAAATTATTTTTTGTTTACTTTCCATAAACAGCAACATATTTTCTAAAAATTATCAGCTCAATTCTTAAAATTATTTTATTGTTTTAATAAATTACTAAAAAAATTGAGTGGAAGTAAGATTGTTTAAATGCTAAGTTCCTTAAGTTAAAAATTAATAAATAATTAATAAAAATTTGCTAAAAATAAATTTATCATTTTAAAATATAGATATAAAAGTAAATTTAAAAACTGTTTATTTTTGAAAAAAAAATATTCATTCTCAAAAACCAATTTCTAAAGAGAGTTTATATATGAAACATTAACTTATTTAATTTAGTTGTTTAATTTTAGACTTTCTAAATTTTAAAAAGTTTTATTCTTAAAATAAATTAAAAAAAGAAAGAAAAAAAAATTGCTTATAAAAATAAATTAAAAAACATACTTAAATTTATTAAAGATATTTTAGAAGCATTTAAATATTGCTTAATATAAAATAAAAGATAGAATAATTTTAATAAATATCTAATTTTAATCTATTACTTAACATAATTTTCAATTGAATTTTAGTAGTCTGAGGAACTAAAATAACTTTATTAAATAAATTAATTATTTAACCTCAACTATTTATCTTAAAAATTATTTTATTCAAAGAATATTTAAAATTATGAAATAAATATCTTTACTTTTTAGTTAATATTAATCGATGATTAATCTTTCTTTTATTTATTTAGTTAATGAAGCAGTTTTTAATTCTTATTATAGAATAATTTAAATTTTAAGTAAAAAAATTAAAATCAAATAAAATCAAATTTTAAAATAAAAATAGAAAAAAATAGAAGAAGTAGACAATTCTAATTTCAAAAGGACTTTATTTATTTTTTAAATTTATTTTAGGAATTTATACAAAAGAAAATTAATACAATTCTTAAAATTTATAGATTAAGAGTAATTGCTACTGAAATTCAATTAATCTATCAGATAATATTAAACCTATCACTTCATATATACTACTTACTATTTATTTAATTATTTTATTAACTCTTCCTTAAATAGGAAAGAAAAATAAATACGTATTTTATTCAATAAGAAATTTTTTGAAAACAGCACATTTTATTTGTAAAATAAAATGGAAATTGAACAATTAGAAGAAGAAAAAACACAATAAAACTTAAGTGATTCTCAAATTTAATCTTAGAAAAATGATAATACCCAAGTTAGTATAATTAAAAAAAGAAAAAGAACAAAAGCTTTCAAATTTTGTAAATTCTACTATTAGCCACAGGATATTGATGATGAACCAGTTTATATATTTTTTTTAAATAAAATTTACAAGAATTATGAATAAGAATAATACAATTAATATAGAAACTATGGATTTACTGATGCCGGCATTGCGAAAATAGAATATGTCTAGTTAGACAAAATCTTTTAAACTATTGATTTAAAGTTTGATTTTGTTTCTTTAGGTGTAGATAACTTTAGAAAACTTATATAAATTTTTAGAAAGAAAGCAGATAGAGATTATTTTGAGCTTTCAAATGCTCTTAAAGAGTACTAATTATGGATAAACTAAATTTTTAAAACTGCAGCAGAGTTATTCTCTGATAAGTAAATATACAATTAAAGCCATCAAGAAGAAGTTGATTAAGCCTTCCCAGATTTTGAAAGGATAGTAAAAGAATGGGCTAAGGAATAACTTCCTAATGAATTATATGAGATAGAGCTATGCTCGATTAAATATGATATGGTTAGGCCAATTCTAAAAAAAAAGATATATTCAAAAAACTTAATTTTATTTTTAGGGAGTGATCTTGAAGATATTTATTAAAAACTTATTGATTTTAACTTAAAGAGTTACATCCATAGTCTATTAAATGGAGGTGAAAATAATGGCAAATTATAATTGTAAAAGGCTATAAAAATAATAAAATGGATGACTCAATACTAAAAGGAGGAGCTCTTCTTTGACGACGAAATTACCACTTTAGATGGCTTGTCTATCCCAACATAGAAATCATTAGCTTACTATTCTTACAACTATAAATCAAAAACTATTTCTTAAAAACGTGATTAGCATTTCTTTTATGTTACTAAATATAATTTTGAGCCTCACTGGATTAATTACCTAATTTAGATGAGATAAAAACTATAATAAATGCCAAAGCAAATAGGATGCAACTAAGTTTATTAAATCTAAGGACAAACATTGAATTAAGTAGATAAAAACTTTGAGTTTATTTGTCAGCAAGAATATTTTTTAGAGAAATTTAACTATATATAAAAAAGTTTAAATTGACTTTTTTGTCAATATCCTAATTATAATTTAAAAAACTGTTTAATTTTATAGCTATGTTAGTGAAATATTAATTATTTTTCTTCAAAAATTATTTTTTATATTACCAAAATTTTTATGATTAAATAAATAAAATTTATTTTGTAAAAATAACCTTTGTAAAATAAAAAATTAAAAGACCAATTTTGATGAGTAAAAATTTAAATCAAAAATAAAAAATTTTTATAAATTCAGAAATATGATTTATTTTTTTACCCTCTAAATATTTTCAAAATAATTTGCATTTATTCATGCTAAAATAACAAACAATTAAAAAAAATAATTATTTTGAATTTAGGAAAATAAACAAAAAACCTACCAAGATGTAAAACTTTTCTTTTAGTATTGATTAAATACTTGATAAATCGTTTGAATAAGAAGTAGATTTTTATATTTTATATTATAAGATAAGTAATTATAATACAAATCAGGATTATTATCTAAGATAATTTTTACCTATTTAATTCTCTGAATAAACTAAAGAAGATGATGTAGCTTTGTAAATTATTTGCAGCATTATAAACTCAAAAGGTGGAGTCTTATATATTGGATCGAATCAATGTTTTTATGCATCAAAACAAAATATAGAAGCATAAGATTATTTAAAAGATTGCTTAAATTAAATTCTTGAAAAAATTACACCAATACCTCACGTTTATATCAATATATAATAAGTACAATAATCAGATATAGATTAATTTTAATGCAAAAAAGGTCTTAATCTTTATTTAGAATATTTAGTTAGCCTATAAATTTTTGGATAAAATTAAACTGCTTTGTACAAAATAAAAGAAGTAACTTATATTTCTCAATTAATAAAACAAGATTAATTGATAGAATGTTCTTAGAGAGAAGATCAAAAATTACCAATAATCTAGAATTTATTTCTGAATAAAGAATCAAAGATAAGTCTAAATGAAAAATTACTTAAATTAAAAGCTTATTAGTGCTTTTAAACAGAATATGTTTGCTTACTAAATCTTTATTTAAAAAAAAAAAATCAATTTTTAAATTACTTATCTTAGTTTTTTAATCTAAATAAGATAGATTACGAATTCTAAGAAAGCTTCTAATATTTTACCTTCATAAAATCAAACAATGCTAAAGAATTAGCCTGTCATATATATTAATTTCTTAAGACAACTTAATTAGATTCTAGTCATTTTATATATTAGAATCAGAACTTAAAATATGGAATGATGAGACTTCAATTATGTATTCAATTTAGTTCTATTCAAGATAAAATATAAATTGAAAATGTTCTTTCAAAATTTAATTAAGCTTCACACTACGAAAATGGATATATTATTGCATTTTTTTATGACATTAAAGAGTTTATGATTTCATAAAATATGCTAAAGAAAATTAAAATTCAATATGATTTCTATTATTAATAACCTGAAATAATTGAAGAAAAATATATTATCAGTTCTCAAAGAAATTATTAGAGTCAATACTTTCATAAAGATTGTTTAGATTTAACTAATACTATTACTAACAGCTAATCACCATAGAAATCCTTTAAAACCTAGAATTTATAAAATTAGAAGTATCAATCAAGAATTCAATATAAGCTACTATAATTTGAATTATACTGCTTTCACAACATTTTTATAGATAAACACATTAAAAAAATTAAGAATAAATTATATAAATGAACTATTTGAGGGAGAAAGTGAATGATATGCCTAAATTTTAAAATAGAAATGAAATATAAATATGTATGATTTAAAGTACTAGAAATAGTTAAATATTTTAGTCAAAAAGATTGCATAATAAATATACAAATTAATTCTTTTATTGATCAAAATAAGTTTAATATTATTTTTAAGTATTTATTTTAATGTTTTTTTAGATTAAGTGCATTTAGAATATTACAATTTTAATATTAAATAAATTTCAATATCAAAATACTTAAATTTATATTTTATACATATTAAAAATTATATTGATTTAAAGATAATAATTTCATATTTTTAAAATTTGCTTTTAAACTTATCTCTATCAAATTTTGAAAAATTTTATGGCATCTAAATTATCTCTATAAAAAAGATGCTAAAGTATTAAAAATATACTCTTGAGAGTTTGTTTGTGAAAGGATATTAATAGAATTTTGATTCATGTTTTTATTCTAAAGTTATCAATATTTATGAAATATCTACAAAACTTCAATTATTTAGTTTTAATGAATGAAGTTTAAGATAAAAATAATAAATATCATATTAAATTGCTATATTATTTTAGTTAATAAAAGATAATTATTATAAATTGCAAATTTAATTCTACTTTAAATAATTAATTGATATAATAGTAAATAAATTATATAGCAATAATTTACTGACGTTTGTATGTATGATTTGCAAACAACAATTATTTATAAATTGTGGAATTGAGCCATCAGAAGAAATAGAGAATATCATAATTTATTTAATCTAGCATCATTAATTTAATAAGTGCTTAAAATAAAGAAAAGGTTATTAAAAAAAGGTTTATTTTATAAAAATGAGCCAATAATTTATGGAAGAAGAAGAAATAAATGAATATTAAGAAAGCTAAGAAATCAAAGATAAACAATCGCTTGAAATCGAATAAAGTTAGAATCAAGTGGTCTAAAAGAAAAAAAGAATAGTTAAAAAAAGAGCTAAATGGATTCCCTTTCTTATTTAAAATAATTTCAATCCAGATGAGTAGCCAATCTATCTTTTTTACTTCAGAAAATGTATGAAAAGTTACGGAAACTATGAATATAATAAATATAGAACGTTTGGATTTGAAGAAGCTGGTATAGGAAGAATAGAATAATTGAAAATTGATAAGACATTTGGAAATATAGAAATATAATTAGACACTTTTCACATGGGCGAAACATCGTTTAAGTATTTGATTGACTTATATAAGTCATATTAAGATCAATAGTATTACTAACTTGCTCTTTCTCTTGAAAAATATTAGGAATGGACATAGAATCAACAAATTAACTTGAATAAAATGTTTAATAAACTAAGAAAGACTAAATATATGCAATCTCATGTTGAGGAGCATTTAAACAACTTTGAAAATGATGTAACATATTGGATATCAGATTAATTCCAAAATGATATTTATGAAGCTTCGTTCGGATTTTGCAATGTTGAAAAAAAGCTCCCAGTATTAAAGAAGAAGATCTTTTCTAAAAATTTGATAATGTTTTTAGGAGGAGATCCAAATAAAAGTTTCTATTAAATGTAAAAATAAAATATGAAAGAAAACACAAACTATCTTTTTGGCGGAGAAGAGTTTGATGGTAAAATTTAACTTGAAAAAATGATACATCTGTTAAATTAATAATTAAGTGGTGAATTAAAATGTGTTGTTAAAGACCAAGTAATAACAATAGAAGGAGTAATTTTACCGACTACTAAAACTATAACTACATACTTTTATGATGAGATTAAAAGAGAAATCACTTAAACACCTACTTTATTTTATATAATTGTGACATAATACAATTTCGAAGCAAATTGGATAAAATATCTTATGGATTTGAGAAATAATATGAATTAAGGATCTAGTTATACTTTAGATCAATCTTAAATGAGCTCAGAAACTATTTCTCATTAATCTGATAATGTGATTAAAAATTTCGAATTTATGTGTTAGCAAGAGTATTTCCTAGAAAAATTTAATTACATCTGAAGAGCAAGCAAGTGATTGCTACAAAATTCATTTAATCAATCTTACTCTCATTCATTCATTCATAAAATTTATGCAAACAAACAAACAAAAAAGAATAAATTTACAAACAAAACAAACAAATAACTACTGTATCAATATTAATAATTTATATAAACATTTATCTTACTAGTTGCTTTCTTAATTTTACTATTATATCTTACATTTCTCAGTTAATTCTAAACATTAATTTATATTAACTCAATCAAATATTATCATGAAAGTAAAGTGTTGGTAGAGTTTATTCTGATAATTTTTTATACTACTTATTTTTTAGTCATTTATATTTTTTTTTTTACATTATTAACATGTGTAAGCATTAAGTAAAAATAAATATTTAAATAAATAAATTGAAAAAATCTTTGTAAACATGATTTTCATAGTATAAAATTAAAAAATATTTGGTTTAAGCAAAATTTTGTTCTTTGTAAAGTGTATCTTTTATTAAAATTAATATAAAGTAAATGGTCTTCCTTATGTGTAAGATAAAGTATAATTAAAATCTAACATGGTTTACTTTATTAAATTAAGATTTTGTAAATCTTAAAAAGAAGTGGAAAAAACAAAACATTACTCGTCTAAAAAATGCAAGCATTTTATGGTATTTTTGTTTTCTTAGAGATAGAATTTGATATTTTTTTAAGACGGTATTTATTTGTTAATATCAAATCTTTTTAAAATCAGGTTATTTTTATAAATTAAATAATTGTAAAATCAATTAAGCAGATTAATAAAATTGCAAATTAATAGAATGCGCTTAAAGTAAGAGCAATTAAACTACGATGATGAAGAGTTAGCTAGAGAAAAGGAATAAAATAAAGTAGCTATAGTTAAAGCTCCTCTTAAACCTTGCAAAAGGAGGAGAAGAAAAAACAAATAAATATAATGGGTTCCTTTTTTATTGAAAAATAATATCAACTCTGATTCAGAACCCGTTTACATTTCTTTTTTCAAAAAATTTATGAGGAAATATGATAACTAATATTATAATAAATATCGCAATTATGGGTTAATTGATGCAGGATATATTACGATAGAATAGATGACACTAGATAAAATATATGGAAATTTATTGGTTTAAATTCGCAATCATTCTTCAGGAATTATCAACTTCTAACATTTGATTGACCTATACAAATCATACTAAGATCAGTAATATTACGAGCTAGCTAATTTGCTAGACATATACTAGACCTACCATAAAAATTAGATTAAACATATTCAATACTATCTAAACCAAGAGATATCTAATAATAATATAACCTAGGAAGATATTGATGAAGTTTATAAAATATTTCAGTAAGATGCGATAGACTGGGCTTAATAAAATTATGAGAATGAAATATACGAAATGAGCTTAATATATATGAATTTAGAGACTAAAACACCCGTTTTAAAGTAAAAAGTATTTTCTAAAAACCTGATTATGTTTATTACTAGGGATTTTTATAATTTTTATTCTAAACTATCATGCTAAAATATGAAAGAAAATTTGTCTTTAATATTGCATGGAGATGAGTTTGATGGAAGACTATAGCTTGAAAATAGAATTAAAATGATGAAGTAAACATTGAATGGAGAAACTTGTATTTAAGTAGAAGATGAAATAATTACTGCTGAAGGGTTAGTTATACCAACTACTAAATAAATACATCTATATTTCTATGACTATTAAACTAGAGAGATTTCTAAAAAACACAACTATTTTTTTATTCATTTAATTAAATATAATTTTGAAGCTAATTAGATATAGCGATTAATTAATATGAGATAACAAAATAGTTGGAATAATTTAATAAATTAAAATATTGATAAAGATAATTCTTAAGACCATATAATTACTAACTTTGATTCCATTTGCTAATAAGAATATTTTTTAGAAAAATTTAATTATATTTGATAAATTTTATTATTTGAGTAACAAAATTTTATATTATATTTAATCCTATTATTGTTTCAATTTAATTCATTTGCTTAATTGCTTGTGTTTTCTTATATCAAACTTTAAACAAAAATATTATTTAAACTATTATTAAATAGCAATTATTAAATAAATATATATTAAATAAATCTAAGTAAATAATTTCACATAAAATATAAAAAATAATTAATTTAAGGAATAAAAAAAGATTTTTATTAATTTAATCTTTGTAAGCTGTAAGATTTTTAGAGAATTTGAAATTATAACAAATACCTATATTAATTTTATGATTAATGAAAATTATATTAATGTTTAATATGAATTAACATTTTAAATATTTTGCGTTTATCATTTCAAAAATATAAATTAAAATAACAAAATTCCTGATACTCAATTATTATATTTTAAGTTATTATAAATTAATTATATTTTTATACTTGTTAAAATGAGTTTAGATATTGGTTTAAGATCTAAATATTTTTTTTTTAAATTAGGTATTAAATACAAAAGTTAATAATCTTTGTATATATGATGCAAAAATTTCATGAAGACTTAAAAAATATATTGAATTTTGCAATTTATTTTTGAATAAGTTAAATTGCAAAATTCTACTTTTATATATCAAAATTTTAATGATTAAATTGTTTTTATTTAATTTATTTTCTATATTTATAAGCTTGCTAGATTTAAAATTTTTTAATTTTTTTGTTAATTAATTTATAAATGAATAAATAACTAAATTATTCAAGTTTGCATATTAATACTTTTGTTTAAACACTTTTTCTATTTTTATGAACAAGCTTATTTTTTAAATTCTAAAAATTTTATTATTTTAGTTAATTTTTAAATTAATAAATTACTCATTTATTAAAGTTTTCTATAAAATGTGTATTGATAATAAATAAGGGCTATTTCTATTTTTATGATTTAGTTAGCTTACAAGAATTCTAAACTTTTATTATTTTAATTCATAGATAAATAAAAAAATAAATTATTAAAGTTTATTATAAAATGTAGAAGTTTTATAGATAAAAATGGTTATGCTTAATTAGTAAATAATGATTTAAAAAATAATATATTTGAAAGATTTCATTTATTTGGTTTATCTAAATTTAATTATTTATTTAAAACTTAAGTTTTTTTATTTCTATAATAACTTTGAAGAATTTTTTCTGTTAAATTATGGTCAGAAAAAATTTTCAAATTTTAAATAAATAATAATAAATCAATCACTACAAGTTTTAAATTTAAATAAATTTAGAATAGACAAATATCATATAAAGTGAATAATATTATTTATGGAAGATTATTTAGTTAATTACATTTTTTTATTAATACATGAATAAGATTAGCTAAGAATCATATATTTTATTTGTAAACCTAAAATTCATGCTAATTATTAATTACTCTAATTCCTCTTTGAGTAAGGCAATTTATATTAAAACCGATTTTTAATTTATTTTTTCTATGACCACAAAATCATGTATTTCTAAGGTGATTACCTTTTTATATTATATGAGAAATTGCAGCATATTTATTTAGTCATAATATTAATAATATTATTATTAATTTATATTTTAAAAATTATAGTTAATCAAAATTTTTGAATAAATAAAAGGTTTTAAAATAATGATCCAACATTAAATGATATAACAATAATAGAAAGAATAAAAAAAATAAAACTAAGCAAATGACTAAAAAAATATTACACAGTATCAGCAAAAAAATAGCGCTCTAACAAAAAAAAATTAAATCTAAAAAATGAAGAAGGTAAAGGTTCTTAAAATTTCAAAGCTTTACTAATAGCTTAAAGAAATTGACGATGAGCCGATATACATATATTTTTTAATAAAGATATATAAAAGTTATGAACAAGAAAGTTACTGTTAGTATCGGAATTATGGGTTTGCAGATGCTAAGATAGCAAAGATTGAGTATGTATAACTTGATAAGATATATTAAACTATTGACATACATTTTGATTTCTTTTCTTCAGGAGTTGATAATTTTTAAAAATTAATAAAAATGTTCAAAAGAAAATAAAGTCAGATTTACTTAAATCTCTCTGTTGCCTTAAAATAATATCAAATTCATATTAACGATCTTTCAAAAATTATTGTAAATTTATTTTCAGATAAAAACGAATCTCCTGATAATATACAAGAAAGAATAGATTAAGCTTATCCAGAATTTGAACAAACTGTGAAGCAATGGGCTTGCGAAGAGCTAGCTAACGAATTGTATGAAATCGAACTATGCGTAGCTAAAATAAATATATGTAAACCAACTCTCAAGAAAAAGATTTACTCCAAAAATTTGATGTTATTTTTAGGTGGTGACCTTGAAGAAATTTACTCAAAGCTTATTGATCTTAATTTGAAAGATGTTATTCAAAATTTTTTAAATGGAGGAGAATTTAATGGCGAGATGTAACTTGAAAAAACAATTAAAATTTTATAATGGATGATTAGATAAAATTATAATGATTAGCTGACATTTTAAGATGAGATATTTACAATTGACGGAATTACTATCCCAACTTAAAAAACACTGAAATACTATTGTTATGATTATCAGAAAAATGAGGTGGTCTAATACCACTAATTTCATTTTTTTTATGTGACTCTATACAATTTTGAGCCAAGTTGGATAAGATATTTATTAGAGACTAGATATACTCTATAGTAAATACCCAAACAAATTTAATAAGAAGAATATTCAAGCAAAATTTAAAACTAAGTTTAGAATAACTTTGAATTTATATGTAAATAAGAGTATTTTTTAGAGAAATTCAATTATTTTAAAAAGTGATTTCTTCTATTCGAAAATTAAAAAATTAGAGATTTAAAAAATAAAAAGTATAAAAATGTATTAATTGTCGTCTTTAAAAAATATATGTAAATTTTTTTTACCATTCAAAAGTAAAGTATTTTATTCTTTTATTTAATGCATTGTGAACTTTATAAAACTCATAAATAAAGTCTCTCTTATTGTTTTTCATAAATTAATATAATTTTTAAGAGTTGAATAAATAAATTGAAAAATAATAAATAAAATAGCTAATTTGATAATTTTTTTTATTTCTAAAATTAAATAATATTCATTTTTACACTTTATAAATTTATTTCGAAAAACAAATATTTTTTAAATTTACTTTTAAAAAATTAATTTAATTTATCAAAGATTTTTTTATCAAACTCAATAACTATTAAGTCCAAAAAAGTACTAGTAAATTATATATTGCTATTTACTTGATTCCCTTTTCACTTTTATCAGATATTGATTGGTATTTCAGATTAAAATAAACAAATTTTCTGATAAGGATATGATATAATCTATTAATTTATGACTTTAAAGAATTACATCAATTAATTAAATAAATTAATTAATTTGTATCAAAAGAACTTTAAACAAACTAATGGAAGAAGAAAAAGAAAAAGATTCACAATAAACTATAGTAAATTATAAATAGAAAACGATTAAAAAAAAGAAAAAGAAACTATAATAAGCTGGTTGGATTCCATTAATATAGAATATATTGTTAAACTTTAGTAATGAGCCTGTATATATTCCTTTTTACAAAAAAATTATGAAGAGATATGATGATGAGAATTATAACAAATATAGAAATTATGGATTTACTGATTCTGGTTTTTGTAGTATAGATTAGATTAAATTAGACTATATCCATGAAAATTTATAAATTTCAATGAATACTCATTCCATAGGAAATAGAGATTTTTCGTTTTTAATTGAGATGTATAAATCATACCAAGATCAATAGTATTATGAGCTTGCTATACTACTTGAAAAATATTAAATAAAATGTTAGCAATAAATAAGCAAGCTAGAATAAGTAATTGATGAATTAAATTAAATGAAATATATTACTCAAGAAGAACTAAGTGAATCTTTTGATATGTTTGAAAAAGATGTAATGGATTGGGTAAATTAAAATATTCAAAATGAAATTTATGAATTATCATTAGGGTTCATTAATTTTGAATCTAAAATTCCTGATATTAAAAAAAAAATATTCTCAAAAAATATAATTGAGTTTTTAGCAAGAGATATCTAAACTTTTTTTTCATAACTTTCTTAGAAAAACATGAAAATTGAGCTTGATAATTTGATGAATGGTTAAGAATTTAGTGGAAGAATTTAGCTTGAAAAAAAGATCAATACGTTTAAATAGATTTTGAGTGATTAGAAATACATAGAAACAGAAGATGAAGTAATAACTATTGAAGGATTAGTGCTACCAGCTAAAAGAAAATCAAAAATGTTATTTTATAATCATAGAAATAGATAAATAACAAAAGAATAAAACTTAATGTTTTTTATAATTAGAACGTATGACTTCGATGCATCTCAAATCTAGCGTTTAATTAACTTAAGAAACGAACTATTATCTAATTTCTTTAAGAATAATAAACATCCAAACTTTTAAAATAGTAGCTTTTAAGGAAACATTTTCTAAAATTTTGAGTATGCATGTCAATAAGAATATTTTTTAGAAAAGTTTAAATACATATGAAAGAAAAATAAATCAAATTATAATGTAATTTAATATCTGGTAGCTATTTAAGTTGTTGAATAGAATTTTATTGAAAATTATTTTAAATTATACAAGTTTAAATTCATTTTGGGGCTAAAATAATTGCCAAAAATAATAGTCAAAGAAATATTTATTTTTATAATTTTTCACCTTATCTTCTTATCTTTAAATAATTTAAACTTTAAAAGAATTATTTTTATTATTTAAAGCAAATTGTGCTCAAAAAATTATAAATTTAAAGCAAGACTATAAATCATATTTAAAGAAAATTGATTAAAATAATTATTTAGGAAATTATTTTAGTCTTTAATTACATGTAAATGATTTATAGTTTTTCAGTTAATAATTTATCATATTTAATACGCATTTTAAACTAAAATAGAAAAAAAGACTTTTTTTAACTGTAAAGATTATTTTTTTTAATGCTTCTATTTAATTCTAATATTGAAATTAAATTTGTTATTTTTCTACTACATTAATTAATTAAAATAGATGAAAGACTGAATGGATATTAATTAAAAATCACTAGTAAATAGAATTTGTAATTAAATGCGAGCTATTTTTTACTTAAAAAAAATGAAAGCTTTACACTTTAATATTAAATTGCTTCCAAATTTTTTATTTTATTTATTGAACAACTTATATAAAAATAAAAACTATTTCTGAGAATATTAAGAAAAATCATTACCAGTAGAATTGTTTATTTTAAGGTATTCATAGAATTAATTGATTTTTTTGTTATTAAGTAAAGAAAGGAATTTTAGATTACATAAACATTTTTTTATAATAAAAAAAAATAAATCTGAAAAAAAAAAATGGAAATAGAAGAAGAAGAAAAAATTTAAAAAAATGAAACTTAAATTGCTATAAAAAGATAAAAATATCCTAAATCCGAAAGCGATAAAATAGTAAAGGCAAATATGAATAGATATAAAAAGAAAAAGTAAGTTTAAGTTTTGGTGCATCCAAATATACCTTGCAGTGTGATGAATTTGAACCAAGAACCAATTTATATTTATTTTTTATTTAAAATCTTTAAGAGTTATGATAATGAAGATTATAATAAGCATAGATACTTTGGATACGCAGATGCAGGAGTAGGAAGAATAGATTAGATTTATTTAGATAAGGTAAATGAAACCATTGATTTAAATTTACAAATCTACTCTCAAGGATACGAGGATTATAAGTATCTAATATAGATTTTTAAAAATAAATAAGATATCTTGTATTATAATTTGGCTAATTTATTAGAATAATATTAGCAGTGGACTAACTAGCATTTATCCTATATTTTAAATGCCTTTTCTGATAAAAATATTTTTAATTAATCATTCTAAGAAAAAATTGATTAGGCATAACCAGAGTTTGAGTCAGTAGTTAAAAAATGGGCTTAAGAAAAATTTCCTAATGAATTATTTGAAATAGAGTTAGGCACTGTCAATATAAACCAAGCAAAACCTATTCTTTTAAAAAAAATATTTTCCTAAGGCTTAATGATGCTTTTAGGAGGTGAAGTTTATGATATATATTAAAAGCTAATTGAATATAATTTAAAAGAGAGCTTAAGTAGCTTTTTGAATGGTGGAGAATATAATGGGAGATTGCAGTTAGAAAAAATAATAATTTTAATAAAAAGCTTCATGTAAAATAACTATACCCATGTTGTTTTTGAAGATGAAATATTTACTTTAGATGGTATTTCAATACCAACTAAGAAAACTATTAAAACATATTATTACGATGAAGAGCAAAAATAAATAAATTAGAAGCCTAATATGTATTTTATTATCATAACATTCTATAATTTTGAATCTAATTGGATAAAGTATTTGATAGAAATAAGATAGTAATTCTCTTAGTTAAGAAAAGAAATTGAGTATCCTGGAATAAAAGAAGCATCTCAGAAATAATTTTATAAAAATTTTGAATACATTTGCAAATAAGAATACTTTTTAGAAAAATTTGATTACACAAACAAATTCTAAGACAGCTAATGAATGAATATATTTTATTTTTTAATTAATTAATTATCTATCTTTGCATTTAAATTTTAGTTAGAATTTTCGAAATTATTTATTTTTTTTTGTGAAGATAAAAAAATATTTTAGGTAAAAATATAAAAAATTATTTTATCAAAGTAAAAATATTTTAATTATTTTAATTTTTTTGAATAATTTTATGTTTTTTACTGACAATGATTTATCATAAATTCCATGTAAAAATGAGGAGGTTATCACGAATTTTTAAAAATGAATAAATGAAATGAGAAGTGAGCATTAATTAATTAAAAAAGAAAAAATAAGATTATAAAAGTAAAATGAATTTAATATAAAATGTAAACTAATAAACTAAACAAGTTTTTTTGAAATTTAAATTTATTTTAAAAGAGTTGTTGTTAGTTAGTTCTCCAAAGAATCAGAGAGAATCCTTTCTGATATTTAATATTTCTTCATCTCCTTCAGGAACGTACCAATCTTTCTTGGCAAGGACACGACTTGTGTAGCCCTTTTCATTTGAGACATCACGTTTAACAGTGATGAATCCAGGGATTTTAATTTCTTAATCTTCTTAAAGCTTAGCTTTGAGTAAGCTGAAACCTTCTTTTACATTTAAGTAAGTATCGATAACATAATAGATACCTTCCCACATGAAACAGATTCTTTCTTTAAGGAGAGGTTAGCGTGTGGGATCACGAAGAGATAATAAGAAGAGGTATTCTTTGAAGTTGAGTTATTTCTTTTGAGTAGAAACCTAAACATCATTTATGAATTCATTTTATGACCACAAGTAGACAAATTAACTACCTTGTCCTCTTCTACGAACTTTAGTATATATTTTATGATTTTTATCTTTAATAGGTAAGTTGTGTTAAATGAAGACATCTTCAATATAGAACTTTTGTATTTTAATGTTAGCTTCATTTGATGAAACAAAGTTAGAGTATTCGAGTAAATATCTTTTATGCACTTTATTAAGAGATCCTGAGAGACCAACTGATAGTCTAACTATACTTACTAACTTATCTAGCTTGTCTTCAAAATTCTTCACTGAAATATTATCTATAATTTAATAGTTAGGGTGACCCAACCAAGCGAGTTAAAGCTTTCTGTCGACAACAATAGCATCACTAGGAGATTCGTGTCTGACATCATTATCCTTGTTGTAGTAATTTTAAGCACCATCAGCAGCAGTTACTAAATGAATGACTAAATCGTATCTATTTATTTATTTTAAATAAAGTTAATTTAATTAATTATAAATTTTATTTAGATTTGTTTTGATTAAATTCATAGAATTTTCTTTTTTGTTACAAAAATAAAGATTTTAAAAAAGAAAACAAAAGAGAGATTCTCTGATTTGATTTAAGACAAATAGAATAGGTATATGCAGTGAATGAGTGAAAGGTATCTTAGATTTATTTCTTTAAATTGAATGCAGTAAAAGAATCAAATTTAAATAAAACAATTGTCTAAATTTATTTGCTGAATACAATCTTATAATGCTTTAGCTTTTTTAAATATCTATGATCGATCATTATTTAAAATACCTACTTATTGATTAAATGAATTTTGTTTTTTATTTAAATCTATTCTATTTAAACTATCCAAGTTGATTGATTCACTGACTATTCTAAGTTGAAATTATCTAAGAGCTTGGTAAATTGTGTTAAAACGTTTGAATTTTTGAAATTAAATTAATATATAAATTGTTTTATCCATTACCTTTTATCACGAATTTGGACTTCAGTTAAACCCATCTATTCTAGCATCTTGTTCCATAGGTTAGGGGGAAGATAAGCAGATCCATCCATAAGACCTCTGTCACAAAGAATAACAGATTTTCTATTTGAAAGCTTTGCAATACCATGGAACGAGTCTTCAAGTTGTACTTGAGTCTTCATCAAGGCCTTTTGGAAATTAATTTACTAGGTGTCATCGTAATGAGACATATCAATCATACCACCTCCATTTGCTATCATAGTAGCAGCTTCGGGGACAGTAAATACATTAAAACCTTCATCACGTAACTTTTCAGAAAGAAGAACCAAACCTGAGGTTTTACCAGCACAAGGACCACCAGTAATACAAATTTTATGAACGAGTTTATTGGATTCGTTAACAGACTTAGAAATCTACTTTTCAAGAGCAAGTTCGTTTTCTAAATTTTGGCTGCTTTCTTTCTTTTAGTTATTAGATTTTGCAAAAGCTGACAAAATTTACTAATCAAGCCCGTTTTCAGCATCTAATTCAGAGGGTTAAGCACTTTATGATTCAGCTTTTTATTCTACGAGCTTGAGAAGTTACTTTAATTAAACTTCTCTGTTGTTAATACTTTGAGAGCACTTATTGGCTACAATAGCACTAATAGCTGCACTTCCAGCTAGAGCTAATCCCTTAAGGATGCTAGAAAGTTAAGTATTTGAATCACTCATATTAATATTGATTGTTTTTTTTACAAAATTTTTATAAAGGATAACTTATATTAGAATTAACTTATGCTTGCTTTAGTGAGAGGGTATAAGCTTTTCTTGATGATGTCAAAGAAATGTTTATAAAGCCTTTTACTACTACCTTTTATGAGATTATTTTATCTGTCTAAAACTAAATGATTAGTTCTTTAGATCGTTTAATTTTTTTAAACAAATAGGAATAATTTTGGGATAAAAAATAATCCAAATAAATTATTTATAATTAGCCGCTAATTTTTAAAGCCTACATTGCAAAGCAAAGCAAGAGTCCCCCTCCTCTTCTTATAATATTTAACTAGCTTTACCAAATTTCAAATAAATCTTTTTTATTTTAAATATCTTAAGATATGCTTCTAGCATTAACACTAATTTTATGTAATTGAATAGACAATGCATTCCTGCATGCTTAACTTGGTCCCTCATTTTTCAGCCCGCAAATTTTAGTATCTCATTTATACTTAGCATCAATTTAAAATCTTTTGAATTCTTAAGAGTTCTACAAATTTAAATGAGAGAGAGTATTCACAATAAAATAAATATTTTAATGCATGAATAAATACAAAGTAAGCAATCTGCATAGAAAAGTATGCTTGTAAGTGTTATTTAAATAGAAATGTCCAAGAATTATAAAATTTACTCAAGTAGCTTCATAGAATAGAGGCATATTTTTTATCAAAATCGATAATATTTAATGAAAAACGAAGGAGAATTATAGATAAAAAGCTATAATTAGTAAAGTTAAATGTTACATTTTATTTGGTGGAGAGATTTAGGATATAAACTACCTTTAATTACTGTTTAACAATCAAGCAACAGATTAAGATTTTATAACAAGTTAAGCATCAAAGTGAATATTTATTTAATATTATTTATTAAATTAAACACCACACATAAGATAAAGTAAAATGCATCATAAATGATTGCTGTTATTAGATAAGCAAATAGTACATTTTAAAATTGATTGATGAAGTTCTATTTATTGTAATCTCTAAAATCTTATTCAGACTAAGACAATAAATACCTTAACAATATTTAAAGTAGGTAGGTAGGTTAATCTTTGTTTAATGAGCTTGCTTGCTAAAATGACTTTGGCTTAAAAAGTAAATCGGAAATTCATATATTTCTATATCTTTTATTTTTATACCGATTTAATTATTTCTTAAAAAAATAAGAAAATACAAAATAAATTCAAATGAAATAAATATAAAACGACATTTATTTTTTATTATTTTTCTAAATTAAAAAATTTCATTCAGTTCGTGTGTTGTTTCTTCTTCAGTATTTTTGAGAAATTTACTAGTAATATTATATTTAACATACCTATTAAAGTTTTTTATAGAACAATTTAGAGTACCCCTTTAAATATAGTTTGGGGATAAATGTAATTTATTTATATACCAAACTCCTTTTAATAATTTATTTTATTAGTTGACCCATCAAATTTATTTATTTTCAAAAGCATAATATAAAATTAAAATGAAACGAAGTATAATAGATTTAATTATTTTGTTTTTATTTTTTAGAAAAAAGATAAAGATTTATTATAATTTTATTAAATTTATTAAAAATAGATAGATATTGAAGCAGCTAGTTTGTTTTTATTAGTCATCATATGTACAAATATTTTTAATTAAATTATATAAAATTAAACTAGATTATTTTTTTGTATTTCATTAATTTTTAGATCCATCGGTACTTATTTCATGGAATGCAGGAGAGTTTTAAGCTGAGCTACGTCTAGAGGAACTTTATTTATCTTAGCCTTTGAGAGCATCTATGACTCTTCTATTGCCTTTTGGAAAACAAATTTATTACATAAAGTTATTTATAGAAATTGTAATTAATTACTATTTGGAGTTGTTCCTTCAGAAATAGGATTGTATGAAAATGCATTAATTTATAAGTTAACATGGTTAGCATTCTACGAATTCCCTCTATGAGATTTATCAACTGAAGGACTTTGTTTATGTAACCTTTCAACCAGCACAGAATTATTGACTGCATAGTAATGGTGCTTGCGTATTCCTTTTGCTGTATTCCTATGAGGACTTGAAGGACTATAGTATTGCTATAAATTTTTACTTAAAGATAGTTACTGGCTTGGAGATGTATTTCTTGCTTAAATTAGTATATCTTCGAAATCCTTCATAGCCTTTGTTTGTAAAGTTTATGTATTTTTTAAATTCTAGACCATTTTCATTTCCTATTTTTCTAGCTGCTATACCTCAAACTAGATAAGCAAAATAAGAATTATTTATAAATAAATCAACATTGCTTTAAAATTAATTTAATATTTATTTACTTCTTTAATTTCTCTTTTCTGAACTTCTTAGTGCAACTTCTTAGAATAGTTTCCTTTAGCTCTTTGAACTTTCAATTCCTTTTACAATAGAATTGTTTAATATCATAAATATAAAAGCATTTATTTATTTATTACTTATATTTTTTCTTTACGATACTCTGCTTCTCGTTCTTGGGATTTGATAGAATTAGTTTTAGAAAGCTTTTATTGAAAGAGGTCCTCGCTAACTCTGTTGATGTATTCTTTATATTTCTTTTATTAATAGCTAACTTAATATTTAATCTTTGATGATATAAATTTTACTATTTTTGATTGCTTAAGTTATTATGCTTCTTATTGAACCTTATGTTAAATAGATTCGTTTATAAGTTACTTAGCAATTTTTGAAATGTCTTTCACTTCTTGGACTTATTGATGCTTTTAGACAACCTATTCTTCATATTCTTATTTTCTCTATTTATTTAAAATGATCAATTTAATAATATCCCTTTATGTCTAATAAAATCTCTACTCTTTTTCTCTCTTCTGAGGTTTTAATGTTACGCTCTCTAAATGAGAGTATTTCACTTGCCTTCTTTTGTGTATCATTTATTTTTTTTAGCGTTTTTTGTTCTTCTTAGTTAATAAAACGAATTCTGTTATATAAAAGTTAAGCTTCATTTTCTGCTTTTTTGTATAAATATCTCTAGTCGGTAATTTTCATCGATTTGTTGTAAGAAGTATCATACATATCCATAATAGCTACATTATGGATGAGATTGTTTGCGTTAAATGAAGTAGCTGTTAAGTACAAATTGCTTGAATGATTTAATGAATGCGATCTATCTGTTGTTGATCTAGGAGAATTCTAAGAACTCTAAGGACCTTAATAATATTTTGGGGTATTATAAATTAAATTGCTAGCCATTTTAATTATGGTTTGAAAATATAGTGCTATAAAGTTAAACTAATTCAATTAAAACTTTAATTTGATAACTATTGGTGTTTATTTGCAATCTTTTTCACTAAATATATAATTTTTGCTTGCAAATTATTTGATATTTGAGGATATTACTTGTATATATGGTTAATATTTTACCAAATATTATTTAATTTTTTAATGAAATAAATATTAATGTTTAAAACTAATTGAATGGTATTTAGGTGTTGTATTTAACACAATAAAATTATAAGCTTGACTTATTCAATATAATAGATTTAATAAACTTTGAATTATTTCAATCTACACTTAGCTTCATCTTCCAAAAGAAAATATTTTTATTTATTTTAAATTTTTAATTAATAAACTTTCTTCTAAAATTTAAATTTTACATAAAATATATGTCTTCTTAATTTAATTTTAAGTGAATTTTCATAATATTTTCCTTCACATATGCCTCCTGATTGATTAAAATTTTTATGTTTTCAAATTATCTCAAAACATAAATAAGTTCATATTAATTTACAAAAATAAATTTTATTTATCTAGCTTATCTATCTTCAATTCCAAGAAATCAAGAAATAGAAAAGTTTGAAAATCTTTAAATTTTAGTTACTTAAATTTTAGAATGAAGTTAAAACTAAATTATATAAATATTTAAATGTAAATCATAACATCTTCTTAATTGTTAAAATAAAATTTTTTTATAATTTTAAAAGCAAAATTTATCGATTGACTAGAATTATGTCAATAATAAAAATGGTTTATCTATTATTTATCAATTTGTTATTTAGTAAAAATCAATATTAGAAAATTATATTTATCTTTTGTAAAGATTAAAATGGAGAGCTTTAATGTTTTAATCAATCTCCACTACTTATATAAAAAACAAATATATCTCCTACTCTAAGCTAGATTGTAGTTTCATTATCTTAATAAAGACCTTTTCTTTTTATTTCACATATTTAATCTTCTGAATCATCTAATATTTATATGTATACACCTAGCTTTTCTTTGCTTTTTTACAAAATACCGTTTGCTATTAATAAATTAATATGTAAAATATAATTTAGATTTAAATATTTTTACATGGTTGTTTAGCGATATAGATATGCTTACTTGTAATTATATCTACACCAGCACAGTAAACTTCTTTTAAATGCAAGTAAGGTGAAAAATCATCTATCCTCTTTTTATTAATCTTATGGAAATATTCATATAGTACCCAGTCTGAGTAAATTTCTTCTGTTTCACAAATTCTCTCTTTCTCGTAATTGTCTATCTTATTTGGATCTATATAAATTGGTACACTGGGTATGCTACCAGTAGTTAATTCTTTCCATTGAATGCTATATATGTTGACTAGTCCATTCATGTTAAAAAAGTTTACTGATATTTTAATGTTATCTCCTATTTTTACTGGAGTTATAGGCTAAATAAATGCTACTTTTTTTTTGTCATAATTATGCTAATATTTTTTTTAAATTAATCTATAAACTATATAAACACAAGTTTATTTACATTGCAATCGTCTTTATAAGCCCAAATTGTACGAGAGCTCTTCTTTTGGACTGCATCTATATGGTATTCACAGAGATATTTTTTCTGCTTTTGTTAACTTTTATATTCATCTACTCTTCTGAATGATTTGTAAGTATATTTAATGCTGACTGTTTTATCTAATTTTATAAATAAATTGATAAATAAATAATTAGATTTAATAATTACATTTAATCATAAAAATTATAAAATATTTTTTCAACTTTATTAAGCTATGCACTAACATATTTAAAAATAAAATTTTATTCCTAATTTAAAAGAAAATATCTCAAAATAAAGCTTTAGAAATATATCATCTGATAGATTATTTTTAGTTTATTTAATAAAAAAACAAAAAAGTTTTTTCACTAAAACTGAAAATTATTTTAAAAATAATTAAAAGTTTTTTATCTTAATTTGATAGATTATTATTAAAAATATTATAATAAAATTTATTGTTCAGAACCTTTTTATTTTGATATATTTCATATTTTATTTTTAATATTCTTAGCTTATTTTAAAACATTTTCCCTATTTTAAAAATAACTTAAGCAATATTAATAGCTAAACTTAAAATGTTAATAGTAAAATAAATAATATTTATAAAAATAAAGATATTTTATAGGATAAAAAATATTATTATTTATGTTTTTATGGAAATTAATTATCTATATAGAATAAATTCTTACTACTAATTGATGGGAGTACTTCTGCACAAATATTTCTATCCATTCTAAATCCAAAATGGTTATTTACTTTTATTGGCTTAATAGTAAGATAGGAATTTTTGAACAACAAGGCATTGGAATAGCTTTTTATGAAATCGTTGTCTATTTTGAGTAGCTCTGTTTCAATACATTCGTGTAACTTATAGTACCATAAAGGAGATACCATTATTATGCTAATATAATCATTCATCAAAAAGGAAAGTATCATGTATAAAACTGAAGAAGGTAGCTTTTGAAACAGGTACTCATTAACATTGCAATTCACTTTAATTTTAAGCTATTGATAATTTTAATACCCATATTAAGGCTATTAATTTTGCCCATTCATTTATATAATTCTTCCATTCACTTGTTGATAATTTCCTGGCTAGTATTACATATTTTGTTAAAATCTCTGCTACTGTTGCATTTACATTTACCCTTAGGGTGTCTAATAATATTAATTCTAAGTTTATTACTATTGCTATTGAATTTATTGTCTTCCTTGCATTGATGATTAATTCTAGTTTAAATAGTATAAATAAATATTTTAAATCTTAAATGGCTTTCTCTAGAAAATTAATGAGATTATCAAAATTTTAATCTGATTATTTATTTTACTTAATACTAAGTAGGTTAGCTCAGCTCTCCTTTCTCTATTTAACTTTAAACCCTTAAAATCATCTTTTAAATGGTTTCGCTTTTGTGATTATTGAATTATAAATTGCTGTTTTTATTAGTGCCTTATGTCTAATTAGGTTTTGAAATATCAATGCCCATATAATACAACCACTAAAAACTATGATAAGAAGAAGATTTGTCTATGAATAGCCTGCAAGCTATTTAATTTGCTAGTAATCTATTATCGAATCTTTAGGATATGGTTTGCTGTTGCTTGGTTCTCCTTCTATTCTACGGAAAATGTTCAAATAAATAAGAATTTTTATTAATTATATTTCTTTACTCAAATAGTTATTAAAAGTAAAGTAAAAATATCGTTTAATACTTAATATAGTAAAAATTATTACTGATTAACTTGATTTAAATAATTTTTAATTTGTTTAATAATTAATATTTTTTTATGCAAAACTAAAGTAGTTTGTTTGTTTGTTTGTGCTAATATTCCGCTAATTAAATATCCTTATTATTAATTTATTAATTAAATCTTAATTCACTTTATTTTACCTTCTTACTATTTAAACAACTCAAACCCCATTTTTTTCAATAAAATTTATATAAAAATGTCTGCGGAACTTACAAATGAGTGCACAGAACTATTTACTTAAGTGTAAAATAATGTCGATCAAGCAATGAACTCATTTAATTCAAAAGTAACCAATAAAAATAAAAAAGACCCTCACTAATTATATTAATCTTCACTTTAAAAATCAAAATAATAGATATTTGATAATTTAATATCTGAGTTTTCTAAATTAGACAAAGACATGATGAATATTTCGAATGTAAATTTTTAAAAATAATTATAAACCTAACAAAAATGTGGATTTAGTTTATCTATTATTTGATTAAACCATCATTTTTAAAAATTATTAATTGCTCATTTGTTTTTGTATGAAAATAATTATTAAGAACTTGAATAAAAGTGTTTTGGAAGCAGAAAAATCAAAGAATATGTAAATACTTTATATATTAAAACTAAATAATTACAATTCATATTTTTTATTTAATTTATGAATAGGGCCAAAGAAACTATTGATAAACTTAAGTTGAATGTAGAAGTTAACAAAAAGTATTGATTGAAGTGGTTAATTAATAAAAAAAATATATTTTAATATACAACTATTTATTTAGGATAAAAAAAATTAATTAACTAATTAGTTCTTTATTTTATTATATGTAAATAAATTTATCAGTAAACATAATCATCTAAAGATAATTTTTAAAGAATCAACATATGACTTGGATTCTAATTGTTGTATTCATCAATAATATCTTTACTTTTATTACTATCAAAATCTTCCATGTAAACTATTCTAGTTACTCCCTAATTATTGATAAATAAGTGTTTGAAAGATAAAACTCATTAAAAATAATTATTACACTTTAAATTATAACTTTTGCACACATTCTACAAGGGAAGAGGGTTGTATACATAGTTGGTTCAAATTACTTGCTCTCTCTTACACCAATGTCTAATAAGCAGTTCTCTTCAGCATGGATGCACCAGCATTAGTCTAAACCTTAACCTTATGCAGTATTTTGATTACATCTTTCACAGCCTCCTAAAAATAAAATATTAAATTAGATAAACTATAATATATATCTCTTTCAATGATGCATACCGTAAAAGCAATCCTTCATCCTTAATGGAGTTCCATTATATCCTGTTGAAAGAATTCTTTTTTCTTTAGAAATCAAAATAGCTCCTACACTATATACAAAACGAAGAATTAAATTAATATATGTTTAATATCTTATACCTTCTTTTATTGCAGTTGCTTCTTTTTTTTACCTCTACTGCTAACCTCATGAAATATTCATCCCAGCTTGGCTTATATTCTCTCAGTATTTTTTTTTCATTTTCTATTAATAAAATTAATTTTAAAACTTTTGATAAAATGCCAAATATTACTTGAAATGTAATTATCTAAATCATCTACACTTCCTTCATTACTTACTGTTACTTTAAATTCTTGAATGATACCTTAAATATTCAACCCATAATTAACCTTTATATTTTAAGGCATAAATTAATATTCTATTAATGAAAATAAACAAATAAATCAATAAATAAATTGTCAAGCTAAAATTCTAGTTTACGCAATCATCTAAAAGGCAAAACATATTTAGGTCTATATCACCTGAATATTTGTTATATTTATTTTTGAAGTTTTCAAAGCGTGTTAGTAAAGGACAGTCCAAGTATATTTTATGGAAGAAATTTCTTTTTGATAAAAATTAAACTTCATTATTCGTGTAAATTCTACTAATTATTGTAGGTAATGTCCATTCTTCTAACAGTTTTTTGCATCTTTTTTCATATTAATTTTTAAGATTTGCTTTAATGGTATTTATTTCTTCCATTAAAATTTATTTCAATTCCTATTATGTTGCTCCTTATTTTCTAAGTTTAACAATAAGTTAGATTAGGTTCTCCAAGGGAATATCATCTCCTTTTATGCATCTAAGACCTCTCTTAGTAATCAATTCACAAAAGGTTGTTTTTCCAGAGCAGATCTTTCCTACTAAGCCAATTATAATTTAGAATTATTTCTTGTTATTTTTCTCAGCCATTTCTAAAAATTTTTAATTTTAGTATTAAGATTTTTAATTTACAATTTAATTAGATTTAAATAGCGATTTTTAATGACCATTATCAAATTTATATTTTTAAGACTAATTTATTCTTAAATGGTAAATACTAATAAAAGATTTAATTCTTAAATTAGGTTTAAAATACTTTTGAATATTATTATTTAAATAATTAAATATTCTAGTTTCAATAAGAATTTGTAATCACTCGATTTTCAATTATAAACTACAATCATAATTATTAAATAAGCAAAAATGCGCTATTTTACTCAATTTTAATATTGAATTTAATATTTAAGAGAGGAAAAATTTCATGTTAAAATCAAATTTGAGTTTTTAACAATTAAGAAATGAAAGAAATAAGCAAAATTATAAATTTTATGGTTTTTCAAAAGGGAATTTAGAAAAATCTTAAATGGAAAGAAAGTAGAAAAAAATTAAAATTTGATATAGAAAAATGAATGAGGATAAGATGAGAGTAGTGCAATAAGAAATTAAGGAGAATACTTAAAGTTAAACACATAATAATATTAAATTAGAAAAAGATTAGTATAAATTTCATTAAACTGGTATATTTAATTAATTATTAATAAAGCCTTTATGTATAAGTAATAAATTAGCTTTATGTTTTAGTTTAGTTATTCATAATGGCTAATTGTGAATTGATTAAGTAAGTTATTATTTTTCTTAAGTTAATTTATTGTGAATAAGTTCTAAACATTTCTGTCTCAATCTCTCAATGCACTTTAGAAAATTGCTACACTAACACTCGATAGAAAAAAGCATACTCTCTCAGATAAAAGAACTAGATAATTACACTATTACCTTTGAGTAAGCATGCAGCTTTTTACTTTTTAATTTTTTAAGATAAATATTTTGTTCAACCACCGAAACCATAGAGAGTTCTGCCTTGTCTCTTGAGGGCGTAGACAACGTCCATAGCAGTGACGGTTTTTCTTCTAGCGTGTTCAGTGTAAGTGACAGCGTCTCTAACAACGTTTTCTAAGAAAGACTTCAAGACTTGTCTGGAGTCGTCGTAAATGAAAGAGGAAATTCTCTTAACACCACCTCTTCTAGCTAATCTTCTGATAGCGGGCTTAGTAATACCTTCAATGGAAGCCTTGTTAGACTTTCTGGAGTGTCTCTTGGCTCCGACTTTACCCATACCTTTACCACCTTTACCACCGGCCATTTTTGTAAGTTTTTATAATCTTATTTGTTTTTCTATTTATTGTTTTAAAATTATTTATAAATTTTTGATAATTACCCGCTTTCCCTTTTAAACCAAACAAATATTCTTGCTATCCTATTCAAATCATGATTAATAATTAAATCTAATTTTCTTTAATCCAAAATCCTTAGCGCCGAAAAATTATCCAATCAGAATCAGTCTTTCTAGAGATTCAGATTTTGATGCTTCAATAAGGTTGAATTAATTTTAATGTTTTATTTTTATAGTTTTGAATTTATGCAGATTAATTACCTTCTAATAATTTGAAATAATTAATCCATACTTTGAAGATATCTCACCAGATGCAACCATTTTTGGATTTTAGCCTCAAAATTTAAAACCCTAAAATCTATTTAACTATCTATAACTACAATTGATAATAGACTAATATCTAGTTTGAGCATTTAAAATATATTTGATAGCAAATTTAATAATAAAAACACATTCATTAAGTTCATTCAAAATAAATTAATAAATTTTTATTTAAAATTTTTTTTTATTATAAAATATATTTGTTAAATCAAATAAAAAAAATAAATATTCTAAAATTAATAAATAAAATTATTATTATTATTAAAAAGTCATGTTTGTATTATTTTAATTTTATTTTTAAATTATATTTTAATTTGATAAAGTAACTTTCAAAAATTTAAAATATGTTATGTTTATAAAAAATAATTTTTTTGAGATATTTTTATTTTTAAAATGTTCAGTTTATATTGAAATAATTTTTAAATATTTAATTAAAACCAATAATTTTCATAGCAACAAAGATTTGATAATAATTTATTAAATATATCTAAATCATAATACACAATAAATAATGAAATAAAAAAATAAATAAATGATCAAAAAATATTATCATTTATAGATAAAATTTTTATAATAGTAAAAATAAATTAGTATAATTTTTATTGACACTTTTGCTATAATTTTGACCTCCTTTAAAAGTTTTATTTTATATTTTCAGATTTATTTAATATCTTTTTTAACATATTTCATACTAAAAGTAAATTTTTACAAATAAACGTGCAAAATAACTTTAACTTCAGATTTTTTATTATGAATAAAATATATAAGATAGTGGTTAAATGAATAGAAATTTTAGAAATATTTTTAATGAGATATGCTTTTATAATAATCTAATTGAATACACTAAAATTTTTTATTAATTAGTTAAGTTAAGATAATTTTAAAAATATTCTTTGTAAATTGAACGCTTTAAAAATTAAAATCATGTATTTAGTTTTTTTAATCAATTATGAGAATCTTCAGTATGCTATTCGACTAAATAAAATTTATCATTTTCTTGGTCATATAATATTTTTTTACCAGAAGTAGAACGGAAAATCTTGTCATAGACAGTTTCTAAAAACTCAACTTTTTATGTATCAATACCTTCTAAATGGGTGTAGTGATGGTCTATATTATAGATTAATATATTTTTAGCAGCATCCACGTTTTCTGCCCATCTAAGAGAATCATACAATTTTGTCATTATTTCTCTCATGTCTCCTTTTTCAGAAAGACTAATGTACTTCATGCACTTGTCTTTTAAGTGCTCTGTTTGGTTTTTGTAATCAAATATAATAGACTCTTTTATGTTAATATCATTAAGCAAAGGATACTTTAAGTCTTACTTATCATCACTACTTCTTAAGTGGAATAAATAACAATTTATATAAGGAGAGTAATGCTTTAATAATTATCCAGGAGCTTCAGAATGTATGTGTTCAGCAACTTTATTTTCTTTCTTTTTTTTTACTATAGTAATCCTATCTTTAAACTAATCACTCTTAGAAATAGCTTAAGCTATTTACTCTCCACTCAAGCTACCAAATCTTAAAATAACTAAATTAAATTTACTATTTTCTTGCTAATTGCTACTAGCTATTTCTTCTATTTTAACTACTGTGCTTTCAATACCAAATTCACAAGAAGGAAGCTCTTAGACTGGATCGTTTATAATTGAAATATTTTAATCGTAGAAATCATTAAAAACATGAACTGCACTTGTAGGAGAAACATGAGCAAATAAATTAGCACTTGGTGCAGCTATGGGTCTTTGTGCTATTCTAATTAATCTTCTAGCAACTTCATGCTGAGGGCATCTAATTCCTACAAAATCTGTCTAAGCTGTGACAACGCGTGGGATAATATTAAAGTTAGCCTTCAAAATCATAGTAAGTGGACCAGGCCAGAAATTATCTGCCAAAAAGTCGTACACTTCTTTTATACCAGGTGTAATTTCAACAAAGTTTAAACCATCTTCTTTCTTATCAATATGAACAATAACAGGATCTGTCAAAGGTCTATTTTTTGCTAAAAAAATACTTTTTACAGCTTCTTCATCTAAAGCATTAGCTCCTAATCCATAAACAGTTTCTGTAGGGAATGAAACAAGCTTACCATTTCTTAAGAGCTCGCCAGCCTATTTCATATCCTCTTCATTTTTGTCATCAAGTATTTATGCTTTAATATCTGATTGCTTAATAATAGATAAAATCTTAGTTTTATTAGTTTCTAAGAATTTCTTTAAATATGATTGATTATCCTCCATTTCTTACTTTTTTTAAATGTTACTAATAATATTTGTTATTGCTTTTCTATTTTGATTAAATTATGTGCTTTTATTCTATGTTTATTTTAAAGTTTTTGAAAAATTTTGAATTTATTCTTTATTTTTTTATATATTAAAATTTCTATCTACTAAAAATTATCTTTGATATCAATATTTCTACCTTTTTTTAATTATGCTACCTGATAGATTAATAATTTTACTATCCACTATTTTGATTATATATAAAGTAAATTAGCCTAAGAATTATTATAAATTTTATACTTTAGTTTCTGATACAATTCTTCTTTATTTGGTCTAAAAGCATCTACTTTTCAATAGATAGTTATAATTATAATTCTATTTTTATTTAATTAATCATTTTTTTTATGCTTATTCAATATGTGAAGTGATCAATTATTAATCAAAAATAGACTAATTTGAAAATTTTAATACCTACAATATTTTTCTAATTATCAATGAAAAATTTTATAATTTCGCTCTCTAAAAGCATATATTATTAATTTATATTTTGAGTTTTTTATCAGATAAAAAGCATTTATATTAATGAAATTGTATTCATATCTAGGAATAATTTAAAAAATTTATTATCACTTCATAAAACTAAATAAAGTTTTATGAATAACGTTTATAAAAATAATGAAGCTAATTTTATTTAAATAGATATTTATAAGTGAGTATATGAAGAGCAAAAGATTAATTTATAATACATAAATTTTTATTATTTTATTGAGAAACATTTAAAGATATTTTTATATTCAATTTATTTGTTTGAAAATAAAATGATTATCAATAAAAAAATAAAATATGATCTTTAAAACTAATAAATTTAAATATTCTTCAAAAATAGTTTGAGTATTAAAAGAATAAATTGTCAATTAATTATAAACAAATTTTATTAAAGTATTGAGAAATAAACATACAAATATTTTTAAAATTAAATGAAATAATCTTCATGACTAATTCTTTTTTATTTTAATCAAGAATATTGAAATTGAAAACTCATTTATCATAAATTCAAAACCATAAAATATATTGATTTAAAGACATTATAAATTTGAAGGAAAAATAATTACAAAATGATTAATAAAATAATATTTTATTTTTATTAAATATTCTATTGTGTTTAATAGTAATTAAAGTAATTGATTGTTTAGTATGAGGTGCATAAAGAATGATAAGAGGATATCTATCTATTTATTTATTAATTCATCAATCAATTTTGATAAATTTTTACTAATTTTAGGCTATAAATACAATTTGAGCTTACTAATTTTTTCAAGATTCAATTGGTTTTAAATATCCTTATAATATTAAATGTTCTACCTTTTTAAATTATATGTAAAAGTTAAAAATAAATTCATTTTATATTTCATTTTATTATTACTTCTTAACGTTTGACATAGTGCTGAGTATCCTTTGAAAGCTTAATTGTCTCACCATAACTTGTTAAAATTTCTCCACAATCCTGTAAAACTCTTACTTCTATAAAAGTATCATGAGGAGGCTCTAAATCCTTTTAAAGTATAGTTAAATTAAATTTAATTTAAACGCATATTGATCTGATACGAATAAATATTACTTTAGTTAAATCAAAATTAACATCTGGATAATTTTAGGTCATATTTTTAGAGTAATTAACAATCAGACTTCTATAATTTTCTGTATATTATTTTTCATCTGGATGAAGGAACTCTTTATATTCTTTAGGTAAATTTTATCCAAATTCCCAGAAATATTACTCAATTATATCCATTCTTTTACTCAAATAAGCTAAAATAATTCTTTTGTATCTATATATAATCAGTTATAGTGTCTTGATATTTGTCATGTATTTTTAATATTTATCCTGTTTAGAATCAATTTCATCTTCAGGTTCGCTTTAATAAATATAAAGGATTATTTAGTTAGTTGTTATATTATAGAATATATTCCGCAAATTATTTGCTGCTATCATTTATCCAAAAAAGTAATTTACCTAATTATTTTAATAAAGCTATCGCAATGGCCCTTAATATCCTTCTTAAGGTCCTTAATTAATTCCTCCTAAATTTCATATATTTTTTATAAATAAAGTATAGTTTTGAATATAATACATTGTAATATGGAAGAAATTTAGATCCTTTTAATTCTTTAAGAAGCTTGCTTGCCTTGATTGTATCCATAATCTTATATTTTTTTATCTAAACTATTTAAATTGTAGGTTTATCAAATCTTCAAAACTAAAGTAGAGCTTATTTAAAAAGATACCTAATTATAATAACTTTTGATTTAATATTAGTTGGCTAACTTTTTTCGCGCGTATAATTTCTTATCATAAGAAAGAAATAAATATTGACTAAATCTACTTGTTGACTTTTTTAAATATCTTGAATAAAATGATGGTAAAGGTTTATACATACTTATAAGCATTTATTAAATAAATGAAAAAATCTTAAAATTTATTTTAATTTAAAATCAATTCTTTAAAAAAGGTTGAATTTGTATAAAAAATTATTATTTTAATTAAAATTATTTATCTTTGATTTTTAGTTTAATATTTTCTTGAAATAACTATACAAAAATGTTTATTATTTTTTGATAATCATTTTATTTGTGATAATAAAATTAATTTATTTTCAATGACAATCAGATAATTCTCTTTTACTTTGCTTTTCTATTTTTTATGGTTTTTTTTTAGTTTATCTAAGAAAAATAAAAAATCTAATTTTATATGAAAAAAATAAATAATATCTAATGAGTTTCAACATTTTGCAATATCACTTTTTCCTTATTAGCTATCTTTATTTTTAGAAAATAGATAAAAATTATCAAAATGCTTTTGGTATTATTTTATAAATATAGTTAAGTTGATAGGTACAGTGAATTGGATAGCATTAAATAATTTAAAATACTGTAAACAAATATTTATAATATCTAAAGTATTATTTTCATCAATGAATATTGCATCAGATATTTTTTCTAGCTATTTATATTGTCATTTATTGCGTAATTTAACAACTAATTTATTTTTTTTTAAAATACAAAAAAGATACTTTTTACTTTATAATTTAATAAAATAAAAAAATTGTGGTAATATCAAAAATGGCTAAGTTTTAAATTTTTGTAGCAGTTTTTGTTGTGCTTTTTGCAAGTATCATCTATGAATCGATGAATGAGCCTGTTTCTAAATTAGTCAATTACAGTGCATAGTAAGTTGAAGTTAAAACTCCAGGAAAACTTTTGAATTCTTAAGGTTAGCTTGTTGAAAAGGGTTTTGCCAGAAAACCACTTAAAGAAATTAATGAAGAAGAAATTATCCCCTTTTTGGGATTGAAGTAACTTTCTTTCCTTAGATATAAAAAATGGGATTTCTTCGACATCATCACAGATAAGTTTATGCTTTTAATTCATATTGCTGACTTGGGATATGCTGGAAATGTCTAAGTATCATTGTATTATTTAGGTAATCTCAATTAAATTTACTAATAGTTTTCAAAAAATGAAAACAATTTAAATAAGAATAAATTAATTTTTAATATTTTGTCTAATTTAAATCGTAGAAAAAAATTACATTAAGACCATCTCCGATACTGTCCATAATTTATCAAAGTTACCTGCTCTTCATAAAAATTCTATGAATTATGAAGGAAATTACAAATATAATAGTGATGATATTAAGCTTTCTATTTAATAAACACCCAACGCTGAAAAAGGAGTTCATTATGTTGAAGTAAAAAATAAGATTTCAATTAATTAGCATTTATATATTTATTCTTTATCTAAAAAAGTATGAAATTGAAACACCATATTTTTCTAGCAAAGGGAAATTAGTTAAAAGAGAATAAGATGATGAATTAGTTATGCTTACACCAATTAATTAAGATGCTTCTTACTTTTATTACAACACCAAGAGTTATGGTTTGCGTGCTGAAGGTGAATTGATTATCAAGGAACATAATCAAAGTATCAAATTCAACAGATCTCATTCTCTTGCTGGTAGAGATATAGGCAGAGGAGTTTGGAACTATAATTCTTTCTGGTTCTGGGCTCATGCTTAGGGTTTTATTTAAGATAAGACTGGTAATATGGTACCTTTTGGAATTGATTTGGGTAATGGTTTTGAACATGAATCGGCAAATACCTATGAGGACTGTGTTATTTTGAATGGAAGACTTCATAAGCTTCATGTTGTTAAAAGGACACTAAATGAAGACAATATAGAATAAGCTTGGACTTTAAAAACTGATTAGTAAAACGTTCCTGGAAGTTTGAATGCTACATTCGAACCTGTTCTTAGAGTTACTAAAGATGAAAATTTCTTAGTCATTCAAGCTAAATTCAAACAATTTTATGGAGTTTTTAAAGGCTCCTTTGTTGATGAAAACGGAATCACAGTTAATTTTGATCAAATATACGGTTTTGCTGAGCTTCATAGAGCTAAATGGTGAAATATCATTTTGATAATAAAACTTAATATTTTATTTAAAAAATCGTATTTTTTGTTACATTAAACAGATTTGATAAATAAATTTAAATTAATAATAATTTTTTTTAAGAAATATTTTAAATTATTTTAATATTTTGATTATTTGTATTTGCATTCATTATTTGATATTTTTACATTCATATAAATTTGAAAATATAAATTACAAATACATACATATATAAAGTAAAAAAATCAAAGAAAGATTTGAGAGATTTCAAAATAATAAATTAAATTAATTAAATCAGTTTCTTTTTTGTGAAAAATCAATAATAATTTATTATTTGTTAGTTAATTTCAAAAAACAATAACTTATTAAATAGTGATTATCCTCTTTTCAAGGTTTATCAAAGTTACATTAGTAAAGAAGAGTATACATAGATAGGATAATTATACATTTAGCACAACCATTAGTTAATAAGGTAAAGCAAAAATAAGACATTTCTAAGCGATTTTATAATATATTTTGATAAAAATGAATATTTAAACTAATTTTAAATATTAAAAATTTCAAGATCTTAAACATTTTAGAAAAGAACTAATAATTTGATAGCAAATGAGTGATTAAGGTTTAAACGATTAACAATAAGAGGAGTTTTAGAATTAACCTGAAGTTATAGAAAATAATCAAGATGAAGGATAATCTTAAGCTTAAAATGAAGTAGATTAAAATTAATAATAAGAATCTTTTAAATTAGAAAATCCAGCAGATCCAAACTTTCCAGTCGAAGATGCCACTACCCTTAACTATAAAAAATAAGTATAAGAATAAGAAAATTTAGCTTAATCTGAAGAATAGAGCCAATAAAAATCAAATATCAAGGGTTCTGCTTCAAGCCAAATGGAATAAAGTGTGGCAGGATAAAATTTACCCGATTTGAATATTTTAGGAAATGCATCAATAATTAAGCAACAACAATAAGAAAATCAATAAGAAATTGATGAGATGTAAGAAGTTGAATAGGAGATTCCAAAAATTCCTGATGATTTCTTTTATGAAGAAAACCATGTAGAAACATAAATCGCTGATTCAGAAATATCTAAAAATGCAGCTCAATTTTAGTAAAGTTTTTATAAATTATTTAAGCCAAATAAAAATAGAGCAATTGATTGAATAAGAAAATTAAAATAAATATTATTTAATAGATATTTTTATTAATAAATAATATAATAAATTTAGTGAATGCTTCGGTTTTGATACAGCTAAAAAATATAATGTCAGCATGCTTGATAATGATAATTTAATTTATTCAGCTGGTATCACATATCAAATCTTCAATATTGTTACAAGAGAAATAAGGCCATATTTCTCAAAAGATTAAGGCGGTATAGGCAGCATAGCTGTTAATCCAAATAAAACTCACTTCGCAGTAGCTGAGAAAGGAGATCATCCAAATATATACATCTACGAATACCCATCATTTAAATTATATAGAATTCTTCGTAAAGGAACTGAATTATCATATAGCTCTGTTTGTTTTTCAAGTAAAAATATATTCAAAGGTAATTATTTTAAATAAATATTCATTTTGTAATAGATAATGGAGAAATTATTGCAGCAGTTGGATCTTATCCTGATTATACTATTTCTTTATGGAACTGGAAGCAAGAAGTGATCATCTTAAAAGCTAAAGCTTTTTCACAAGAAGTTTACAGTGTTAATTTTTCAAATTATAGTGAAAATATTTTAGCCACTTCTGGTTTGGGTCATATTAAATTTTGGAAAGTTGCTGAAACTTTTACCGGTTTGAAGCTAAAGGGTGAAATAGCAAAATTCGGTTAAGTTGAATTGTCTGATGTTATTGGTTATTATATTCACTAAGATGGTAAGGTTTTATCAGGTACTGAATATGGTACATTATTACTTTGGGAAGGTAATCTCATTAAATGTGTTATCTATATTGATGAGGAAACTTAAACAAAATGTCATAATGGTTGCATCAATGTAATATTTTATTTCTATATTTAATATGAGTTTGCTTAACTTAGTTTAATAAAAACAGGTAGTATTTAAGCATGGAGATGATATTGTTACTGCAGCTGATGATGGATATATTAGATTTTGGGATTATGCTACTATTGATAACTCAGAGAGTGATGATTTTGGTAACTTTTATATGAAACCAAATAGTGAAATTCTCATTAAGACTGATGATGATGTACTACTTTACAATTTTTTAATTTCTTCAAATTAAAATCATTTTTATAATATAGAGACCTGCTAATATCACTTAAATTTTGGTTTAAGAAAACTTTTGGATTGTGATAGATGCTAACGGAAGAATACAAAAAATTAAAATTTCAGAAAATAAAACTGATTATGAAATGGAAACTCTACTTGAAATGAATTCAGGAAGATTAAATGATATTATCGTAAGTCCTATATAAAATGGAGCTATTACCGTAGGAGATGATGGTGCTGTTAGACTTTGGGATTATGTTTAACGCAAAGAGCATTATCATAGAGTTTTCTAAGGAAAAGCAACATGTGCAGAGTGGCTTCCATATACTATGAAAAATAAATCAGCTCGTATTATTTTAGCTGGTTTTTCAAATGGTATAGTTAGATGGCTTCTGCTTAACTAAAATGGTTTTCACCTTCTAAGAGCTACAAAAGTGCACAATGAGTCAATTAAATTTATTAAAGTATCTCCTGATGGATCAATTATTGCCATATTTTCAGAATCTGGTGACATTTTCCTAATTGAGCAACATCCTAGCGATTTCTAAAAAATTGATCCATTCTGCTTATTTGAAACCAAATTTAAAATTAATTCAGTTGTTTGGGATAGAATGGGAGAAAAATTATTACTTGCTTGCGATGATGGAAATATTCATGAAATAATGGTAATTTAATAATTATTTAAAATTTATTTGAAAAAATAATTTAAAATCAAAAATAGGTTCCTAAAAAAGACTAATGCGACACAAGCGAAACATATTTAAAAGAATTCAGGTCCAGATCTTATAAAATTAGGATGATGGAGTCCTAAAAACCAAAGACTGAAGAAATGGAATTGGAATTTTTGCTTAGAAGAAACAAAAATGAAGATAAAAAGGAAGAAGTTGAATGGGATCCTGAAAGCATAATGAATGTTTGCTATTATGATTATTCTTGCACGAAAATACTTGCAACAGTTTAAGGAAAATTTTTAGGTAAAAAAGCTTTAATGATAAATTAAAATAAGTTTAAAATTTTATATTTTTTAGGACATATTTACATCATTGATTGGAATAAGGACAGACCTATTGATAGCTTACCTATTGCTAAAATTCCAACTGTTAATATGAATTTTGTTGATGATGATATTCTACTTATCAGTTTCAAGGATGGATCTTGGTAATTAAGACATAAAAATGACTTAAAGATTAACATGCTTGTAAGAACTCATGACAGAGATACAGGTGCTATAAAAAAAGTAGTTATGAATCATGAAAAGAAGTGTGTAATGTCAGTTGGTAATGATGGCACATTATTCATTTACAAGATTGATCTTCCTTCTATCAAAAAAATTACAAGAGGAGAAATTATTGAAGACTTTTAGTTTGAAGAGTTTGTTGGAGGTTTGGGAGAGCACTCTTTTGCTGAATAAATTGAACTTTCTGATAATGAAGAAAATGAAATCAAAGATGATTCTGTATGAATTAAATAAATATATTTTAAGTTTATTTATGAAAATCAATTTTTAAATGTATAGGTTTACTCTATTTAAGAAGCTAAGCTTTTAGCAGAGGAAGACTTCAAGAGAAATGAAGCTCAAAAGAAAAAGGATAAAGTGAAAGAAGTAATCAAAGACTTGGTTCGTTAATTTGAGTAATTGAAGTAACAGAACTCCACAATCGATGAAGTTGCTAGACTAACAGATTAAGAAATGACTGTTGATCACGAATTTATTGAAATGTTGAACAAGAGAGTCGAAGAGGATTTAGAGGAAACAAAGGAAGAGCTAAAATGGGATGCTGAATATTGCAAATTAAAGACTAAAGTATGCATTTTGATATAAATATAAAATTTTAAAATATCTTTTTTTATTAGAAATTAACAAACTATGTAAAAAATGAACTAATCATGGATACTTTTTCTGTAAAAGCCATCAAAAAAAGTAATGTTATCGTAAGCACTTTCAAGGTTAAAAAGATGTCGGAATTTATGAAGTAAAATCTTGAGGAAATATTTGAAGTTATTGAAGAAGAAAAGCGTAATCAAGAAGAAGCAAGATAAAATGCTATGAGCTAAAATCTTAACCAAACTAACTTTGGTGGTGACTAAACAATATCTAATAAAGGTATGCAAGAAACTGTTAAAAAGGATTAAACCCTTTAAAAATAAGAAGAAGATAAACTTAAAAAGACTGTTATGCCAAGTAATTTCATTTAATTTTTAAATTTGAAATAACTTCCTTTAAAAAAGATATGCAAGGCCAGTAGTAGGGCGATAAAAAGGGAGAGACAACTCATCTTTCTGCAAGCAAACAAGAAAAACTAGAAAATAAATTGAAAGAACAAAAGATTAGATAAGAAATGGAGGAGTTAGAAAAAAAGAAACCTACTAAAGAGTCTTTTGAGCCAGATCATCTTAGAGATATTAATCATGCTATGGAAACCTTGGGTGACTACAAACTAAAGAGTTCACCTACTTACAATGTATATCTTAAAATTTGATTAACAATATATATAATTTTTAATAACTTTCAATAAATAGGTTCCTGAAAACTAAAGAATGAATGAAAGCAAGAAAAAGAAGCATATGTTCTTACTTGATGAATTTATTTATAACACTAAGATGAAATTCAATAATGAAATTGTTTCTTTAAGAGAAAGAAAAACATCATTAATAGATAAAATATCAAATTACAATAAGAGGATAACAGAAATTAATAAATAGCTTGGCATTAATGAAACTTTGTTCACTCTTACACTAGACAAGTAATTAGAAGCAGTTGACTAGTTTGATGTCACAGAAGAGTAAATTGATTAATACGAATAATAAAAGGTAATTTGAATTATATATTTTGGATTTTATCTAATTTATTTCCTTTTATATTTCAGAATAAGGAAACTGCTCAGCAATCTAAAAAAGGAGGTGCTTAGGAAAAAACATAATAATAGTAACAATCATCAGAAAAGCAAGATGATAAGGAAAAGGATGGTAAAAAAGAAAAGAAAGTAGATATTACAGCAGGATTCAAACCCAGAAAAGGTGCCAAAGTTCAAGGTTCTGAATTAGAGGATGAACTTAAGTCTATTAATTAAATGATTCTAAATGCAGAAAAAAAGAGGTAAATTCAATTCAACAAGATAAAAAATGTTTAATTTTTTATTTTATAAAGAATGCTTGATGAAATAAACGAAGAAATAGAAGAATTTGATAAGTAGGTAGTAAATTGCTAAAACGAAAAAAAATGTATTGAAAGCGACATGACAATAGCTTAAATGAAGTTTGTCACTTACTACCAAGAATTGCTTATCCTAGCTGATATGGAAGAATAGGATGAAAAATATATTAAAGACTTACTCAACCATAAAAGAGAAAAGGCTGACTTAGAGGAATAAAGCAGCAAAATAGTAGGCGAATTGACTGCCTTAGCTAATAAGGATTCATAAAATGAAAAAGAACTTACTGAATAAATGAAGGTATTCAAAGAATTGGTTTATCCTGAAGATGATAATAAAAGAGAAAAAATCCATCAATACTATCTGAGAAAGTATAAGAAAAACAAAGCTAAATAGTTAAAATTGAGAAATCATGAAGAAGAAAATGAAGATTTTGATGAAGAGTATTAAAATTATTTTGCAAATTAAGTAAATGTTTATATTTATGTTAAAATAAAGTGAAATGGATAGTGAAGACGATGATGATGATGACTTCATGGATGATGACGATGATGAAAAACCTGATATCACTCCTGTTGAAAATGACACTAAAATCAGGGAAATTATTGACAAGATTTGTGATTTAGAAGACTAGCAAGAAACAGTAATTAATTAAAAATATAAAATATTTAAAAGAAGTTTTTAATGAAATTTTATAATTAAGAACCGCAAAGAAAAAGCAGATTTAGAAAGATAGAAAAATCAAATTTCAGTTAAAATATAAAGCACTCTTAAAGAGCTCTAGAAAGCTGAGGAGAAATTAAGAGCTTACCAAAGAGAAAAGCTCCAAAAAGTAAACTAACTTGATGTATCTTTTTGCTTATAAGTTGACTAAATCAAAAACTTAATTGAAATGGTAATAATAACTTTAAGATCTTATAATATTTATTAATACATCTATTTTTAATTCAAACTAAAGGGTAACTAATAGTAGCATATTTTACCTGAAGATTTAAAGAAATCTATATTGTTTACTTAAAATGAAAGAAATAAGTTATCTCTCAGAATAGAATAATTAAGATAAGAACAAAAGGAAATTGAGTAAAGCAAGAAAACTCTTGAAAAGAGAAAGAGATACCTATAAATTAAGATAAATAAAAAGAATGCTTTGATTGATGAGCTAAGCAAAAAATATAATGAAAAGCATATGCTTAAGTTTGGTGATATCATAGATTTGAAGATTCTTGATGCTCTCGAGCCCACAAAACAAGTAAAATTTAGATATATTTAAGCTTAGAGTTTCATGTAAATATATTTAATTAGGTATTGGAAATGAGAGAAAAGTTTAAAGAAGAAGAAAAAACTTCAATATTAAGAGTTGAGAAAGCCAAGTAAATGCTTTAAGAAAAAAAGAATGTTCTTCTTTAGGCTAAGAAGGAAAACACTAGTATAATAACTAGTATCACAAAGCTTGGATAGGACTTGATGAAACTTTCCAAAAAGTTAGATTCAACTAATAAACAGCTTTTCGTATTTACAAATATTTATTTAATCCTAATTAACTAAGATCATTTTAAATACTATTAACAGAAAGAAGATAACGAAGATAAAAAGAACAAACAAGATTTAGAAAAGGAAAGATAAAATTATAAAGATCTTGTTAGATTCCTTTCAAAAGAAATAGAAGACCTTAAAACAGAAATAGGTTTATTCAAAAGAAAAGGTATTTTATTTATTTTTAAGGTTATTAACAAAAATAATTACTTTAATTTATTATTATAAAAGGTGGACATATTTATACAATGGTTACTTCTAATAAAAAGAATTTTAATTGAGCTAATTATTAAAATAATTTATATTCTAATTGCATGCACAAATATATTTACTTACTTATTTTACTTTTTTGTAATTAAGAATAAATTTGATTATTAAGTTTATGCTCTAAAATTATTTTTAATAGTTATATTTTATATGTACTTACTTGTCCAATACAATATTATTTTTTAAGAAATTTTGTATAATAGTCTAAAATTTAAGTGGATCTTAGCTTTTTTGTTTCCATTAATAATATATTAAGCAAATTTAATCAACTTTTTAAATAAAATTATTATCATTAACTAATTCTTCTAATTGTTTTTAAAGGTAAAAAAGCATCTGGTGAGAAGAAAATATTTTCAGATTGTTGAAAATGAATTATTATTGCAATAATAAGTAATGATTAAGCTTAAATCAAATTAATTCACGAAATTAAAACTAAAATATGAATATAAAGCATATATATTTTAATATGATATTATAAAATAATACTTTTAGAAGGTATTTACTTCATATTATAAATAAATCCCATTGATTATAATTCATTTAATAGTTGTTATTGTGACTTATTAATTACTATCTTATGTGCTTATAATAAGCTGGTAGAAATAATTTTAAAGTCATTTAATCTTCTTTATTTTTTTTTGTTACTATTTCTATAGGATTTAAGTTATTGCTAGAGAAATTCCTACCACTATTTAAACTATTCATGTTTTAAAATCTTCCATTTTACATTTTATTTAGAGATTGAAATTATTATATTATTTTCTTTATTAATATCTAAAAAAGTACTCTTCTGTTTGCTCTTTAAAAAATAATCTGATCAATTTTATTAAGTATCACAATTAAGCGAAATTTTGATTTATAAAAAACATATAAATCCAAATCTTAAAATAAATCAATTTTTATATTTAAAGCGCTTTTATTTGGTTAAATGAAGAGTTTTTATTCATTTTCAGTTTATTATTTATAAAGTAGTATTTCAAAGAAATGAATTTGTAATAAAATACTAATTTAGTAGAATAAGATTTATTTGTAAAAAATAAAACAATCTAATAAAAGTTAAAAAATTTTATTTTAAAATACAAAAATTAAAATGGTTTAAAAAATTATATTATTTATTTAAATTTTAAATTTTAATAAAGAGTTTAAGGATACTTAAATTGATTTTAGAATAAAAAAGATTTTAATTATCATTTTAAGGAACAGGTATTTAGTAATAAGTGAGAGAAATTGTCAAAAATATTTTTATATATTTAAATAAATTAATGAAAAGCTTTCAAAATAAAATTTTTATGTTTTTTTTTTATATGGCTGAAAAAAATTATTCTGGTTTTTTTCTAAAAAAGCCATAAAATCATTCAAAAAAATTCCTATCTATTTTGCTATAAAAATCATACTTAAAATGATTAATTAACTCTTCAATAACTTATGATTAGTGTTAAAAATAGCGAATGCGTATTTTGATCTAAAAAATTAATTATTCTTAGTGTAATTCGCAAATAAAAATTTTAATTTTTTTTGAAAAATTTATTAGTAAACTAATTCTTTTTCTTCAAATATAAGAATAATAGTTTAGAGACAATTTAGATTAAAAACTTTTATTTTAAGTTAATATTAAAAATTATTTTTAATACGAAATCATCAATTAAAAAAATTCATATAGATTAATTTATTAAATATTTCAGCAAACATTCACTAAAAATTCACGAATCTTTAATATAGTTAAAGAAAAACTATCTTTGAAGAAAATAAAAGTAATTGGAAAAATTAAGCATAAATTCTTTAAGAAAATCATCAAATTTATTTAAAAAGAAATTGCTTTCTTTATTCTTAATTGGATTTAAATTTGTTTAGGCTTAAAATAAAAATAATTTTTAAATTCTTTCGAAAGCTAATAGTTTATTGAATAAAATCTATCATAAACATTGATTTTATAAAAAACATATTATTTAACAGTTTTTAATTGCAATATTTTAATATTTTATTGCTAGACTATATATTATTATTATTTTGAAATGGATAAAATTGATGTTTTTTAATTATATATTAATGGTTATCACCTTACTTTTTTTTCCTTTTTAAGTAAAAATAAATTAAAACAATAAAAATATTTTGCTTTTTAACTCACTTCTTTTCGTTACTAAAAAAATTTAAAATTTTCTTTTTTATAAGCAATTTTTTACATTATTTATACATACACGCGTTTTCCAATAAAATTTAATTTTTCGTATTTGGAAAATTTATTCAGTAATAAATAAATTTAAATTCATAAAAATCACTCCATCAATCTATCAATTTATTTAATTTTTTTCTAAAATTTGTAAAGCAAAATAAGTATATTTTAATTAGTTCAAAAATAATTATATTAAATTAAGATTAACCTTTTAAAAAATTAACATCTTTATCAATTATATTAAGTAAAAACATAACTTTTGTATTAAAAAATAAATTTTCAATCTGATGCAGAATTAGTTAAAAAATTTCTTTTCATTCACTAATCTTATTGAATACAAATAGAAACATAAAAATACTAAAATTTGTAATCAATAGATGCTAAATGTACCATTTCAACTCTTATATTATAAAATGTAAAAGTTAAAAAATATAATCTCTTTTTTCTTCATTAGTATCATAATAACACTTTTATTTTCAGACGAAAATCATCAACATAAAGAACAAAGTTAGATAAGAGTATTAGATTAATAAAGATGAAACGTTAGGGTCGTTTTAAGCGCTTGCTGAGAGAGTGAATTTCCAAGAGTTTTAAGATGTATGCTATTTCCAAGTAAAATCTTTAAAGATAGCAAATGCTAAATTCTAAGATGTCTCTGCTTATATAATTTAATCACAATTGGGTTCGTTAGTGTTTAATGGTCTACTAAATTTAATATTCCAATTTCCTGTGGATGAGTCATAAGTAGATGTTGGATCTACAGTTAAGTTATTAACACATCCTTTGTTTACATCTAAATCTACCACATTTTAGCTATCAATATTAGTTCTATCTTCACCAACTACTTATGTTCCATCCCATTTAAATGCAGCGACATCTATACCGTCCATTCCTCTACCTCCAAATCCAAGAGCTACATATCCTTTGTTGGACCCAGTAAGGGTGAAAGAAATTTTAGGAGAAGTAATTGAGTAATTCAGAACAAAACCATTTGATAATGATATTTTATTTGTAACTTGAGCTAATGTACAAGCTGCTAATAAGGAAAATAAAATTATTAATTTCATTTTTTATTTCGAATTTTTTATTTTTTTCAAACAAAAAAAGTTTATAAATAATATAAAAAGTTAGTTAGTTATTTAAAGAATAATATTCGTTCTGGAAAATCTCTACTGTCTAACTTTTCTTTCCAGTAAATAATTGAAGCAAATTTTTTCATTTTCTTTCAATTTTCTATCAAGATATAATTACAATTGAAGAACTTAAATCTGGATAAAAAACAAACAAAATCTTATTAAATTTTACATGTTTATTAGATTGAATATTTAATCAGTAATTGAAAAGCCCTTATATTTTTATTTTCAACTAATGTTTAATACAAATTCTTAAATTTTACATTTTATAGATCAGAAAAATTTCTAAAATTTTGAAGAAAAATATCCTTCAAATATTTTGTTTTTCTTCTTTCAAAAATGTTGGAAGGAAGTAAACAGATTTTTAGATAAATTACTAATTATTCAATTATTTTGATCAATTATTCTATAAAATTCTATATCAATTTTCTCAAATTATTAATTCATAAAAGTTTAAATATTTATAAATTTAATTATTTTTATTATTTTAATATATCCCTCAAGTTAAATATTTATTTCATAATATTTTTAACTTATTTTTATTACATTTTAAATTTTAAGTTTAATTATAAAAATTTATAGAATGTATTAGATATTGGCAACGCATTATCAGTGGAATAAAAAAATTCCTTGACCTGTTTTACGTATGATAATAAGTTTAAATTTGACAAAAATGGTTACAATTCTAAAGGGTTCGCATTCCTAATATCCTTTATATCACACTTATTGAAATAAAAAAGTTAATTTTAAATTTGAGTAAATTTATTCAGTAATAAACTAATATAAATTCATAAAAATCACTATCAATCTATTGATTTATTCTGATGGTTATAAAATAAAATAAGAATATATTAAATAATTCAAAAATAGTTATTTTGAATTAAAATGAACTTTTAAAAAAATAAGATCTTAGTGAATTATATGAATTAAAAAATTTATTTTCATACAGTAATCAAAATTAAATAAAACTAGAATCATAACATTTTAAACAGGATTAAAATGTAATAAATAGATACTCAATGTTAAACTTAAAAAATATAATTTCTCTATTTTTATTCATAACAATTGTAATTCTTTTATTTTCAGACAAAAATCATCAAAATAAATAACAAAGCTAGATAGGAGTATTAGATTAATAATGATGAAAGATTAGGATCCTATTAAGAACTTGCTGAGAGAGTGAATTTCCAATAGCTTTAAGATGTATGCTATTACCAAGTAAAGTCTTTAAAGAGAGCAAAAGCTAAATTTTAAGCTGTCTCTGCTTATATAATTTAATCACAATTTGGTTCGTTTGTGTTTAATGGTCTACTAAATTTAATATTCCAATTTCCTGTTGATGAATCATAAGTAGATGTTGGATCTACAGTTAAGTTATTAATACATCCTTTGTTTACATCTAAATCTACTACATTTTTTCCATCGAGATTAGTTCTATCTTCACCAACTACTTAAGTTCCATCCCATTTAAATGCAGCAACATCTATATAGCCCATTCCGCTACCACCAAATCCAAGAGCTACATATCCTTTGTTGGACCCAGTAAGGGTAAAAGAAATTTTAGGAGAAGCAATTTAGTAACTCAGAACAAAGCCATTTGATAATGATATTTTATTAGTAACTTGAGCTAATACACTAGCTGCTAATAACAAAGATAAAAATATTAATTTCATTTTTATTTTTACAGTTTATTTTTTACTTTTTAAAGAAAAATAATTTATAAATAATAAAAAGTTGGTTATTTAAAGAATAACATTTGCTCTGGAAATTCTCTACTGTCTAAATTTTTTAAGTAAACTTACTAATAAGCTTAAATTTTAAAATTTATTTTCATTTTCTTTCAATCTTCCATCAAGATATAATCAGAATAGAAGAAATCTGGATAAAATCAAACAAAATATCAAGAAATTTTATTCATTGAATTTTCCATCAATAATCTAATACATTTACTTATTAATTTATTTTCAAAGTAATGTTAAAAATAAATACGCAAATCTTACATTTAAATATCAGAGAATTTTCTAAACTTTTTAAGAAAAATATATTTAAGATATTATCTCTCAAAAATTCTGGAAGTAAATTAAATTCTTATAAATTACTAATTCTACAATTATTCTATTGAAGTCCATTTAAATTTTCTTAATTATTAATTCAAAAAATAATTTTATAACACCTATATTATTTTATTTATAACTTTAACATAACCCTCAAAATATTTATTTCATGATATTCTTAACTTATTTTTATTACATTCTAATTTTTAAATTTAATAAAAAAATGTAAAGAGATGTAAATAGTATTAGAGCAGAGCTATAACTCTATTACAAAAATCAAAATATTTTTAAAAATATTTGTAGAGAGATTCTTTTTGGTTAAATTCGGAGAAAATATTATTCATAGAAAATAAATTTACTACTGTAAAACTTTTAGCCTTGCGCTCAGTAGTCCAAAAAAAGAGCCATTGTATGAAACATGTAAATGATAAATTTATAGTATTTATAAAATATTTATTTGGTTCAAATTAGAAAGAAATATAGGTAGCTTTTAAATTTATATTAAATTGTAATTAACAAAATGTAAGTTTTAATGAAATTTTGTGTAGCTTTTAAAAAAGGTGAAAATATATATCATCTAATTAATCAAAAAATTTATATTTTTCAATAAACAAAATATTTATTTTAAAATTAAATTCTTCAAAAGCTAAATTTATAATAATTATAGAAAGCTAATAATTTAATTAATTGTTTATAAACATTATCAAAAATTAATTGTTAATAATATATTATTTTATAAATTTACTGAATTCGTTAAAAATAAACAACAAGAAAAATTTACTTTTTTTTTTGTCTAACATAAAGTGAATTGATAATTTAAGATAAGTCTTATCTTATTTAAAAAAGTAGATTTAATTTTTTTCAGTTTTTTTTAATTTTACTGTAGAAAAAATAAATAAATAAAATGTTATTTTTAATGAAAAGTCTGTTATTTAAGTTAAAATAAATTATCTAAAGTAAATTTAATATTATTGAGTAAATAATTAACTATTTTAAAATATTTTTTAAAATAAAATATAGAGTTTATATATTCAAAATAAATATTAGCTTTAGACAGATTTTAAAACTTTTCTAATTTCAAATTTATTATTATATTCTAAATCAGATAATCTAAAAAAGTTATAAATATGGTAATTATTTGTTAGATACTTTATTCATTATTAATCGCATTTTTAAAGGTAATCAAAATAAATACATTTTTATGAAAATTTAAGTAAAAAAAAATTAATTAATTGTTTTTACCATAGATTCAGATATTTTAAATTTAATTAAATATTTACAACATATTTTAAATTGAATATAATAGACATCATTCAAGACCAAATGACTCAATCAATTTTGCTTGAATAATAAGCTATAAATTAGCAAAATTATATTTCTTTGAAATAATAAATTAGTTTACAATTGTTAAAAGCAAATTAATTAAAAATAAAGAGTTTATTAAACCATATTAATAAATTTGTGGAAAATTAAATCTAGTTTTTTTTGTTTGATATCAGCCAACAACTATTTACTAATTTTATATTTGGTACAAATTATTGATTTTTCTTTAAAAATTAGTTAAAATTTAATCTAGAAATTGAGGGGTTATTCTTGTTTTACAATTGAATTTAACTAATAAATTGATAAAAGCTTATAATCTTATATTTAATTAATGAAGTATTTTGCAATTTATATTTTTGCAAAACAAAAGATTAATTATCCACAAAATTTTAGAATTGATTACTTAGATTTTGATAATTGATTTTTTTAATATAAACTAAGAATTAATTCAAACATAATTCAGCTTAGTATTCATACTTAAGTATATATCTAAATTATCTAAAAAACTTGTGAAATTCTAACTACAATAATAAATTGATGATAAGCAGCTTTAATCCAATATCTTAAAATGTAGATAACACCATGCTTAATGGTAAATTGATTGCAAAATAAATTAGTATTAAGTAAAAAGTTAATTCGATTAATTAATCTGAAAACACTGAACAAACACACCAAATTGCTTCATAAAATATCCAAAAATGTGAAACAAATACTTTTGAAAAGTAGGATGGTTAAAGCTAAAAGTAAGTATAAAAGAAAAAATTTGAAAATAATGAAGATAAACTGTCTTCTATTTAGCAAAAGAATATGCGAATTTTTAATTCCTCGATGAAAATTAAGATCAATGATAATAAACAATAAAATAAACAAGTTGGTAATGATCTAAATAAAATGTATGGTAAAAGTGACTTCTTGCAACCAAAGGAAGTAAGATAATAAGGAAATTTATTGTAGGTTTAATAACTAAGCTAAAGTATGGAGATTTCTGAGAATGCAGATCAAATTATAATGATGAAAAGCCTAAATGAAGAAGACTTTAAGATTAGTGCTTAAAATCCTTAAATTAGAGATAAATCAATTAAGCTAATTAGAAGTCAAAGCAAAAGAATCAATTTAGACACTACATAATAACCTGCGGAAGATAGTAACTTAAATTATTTTATTAATAGCGAACTTGCTTCGTCAATAGTAATTTCTCCTAAAAAAAGTAAAATTATTCCTTTCCAAAATGATCACTTGTCTAACTAAATGAATAATAACAATTTGAGCTAAAAGATTGACGATTTTAATATTTCATGGAATTGCTCTTAAAAATAATAAAAAAAGAAAGTATAAAAAAATGTAATTTAAAACAATTCAATAGCGAAGACAAATGCATTTGGAAATAGTATGATAAAATAAAATACCAATAACATTAACTTAAATATGAACGAATATGCTGATGATGATGAAGAAGAAGAATAATAAGATATAGTAATGTAGTCATTTAATACGTAAAATCATGCATAGAATAAACCGAAAACAATAAATATTTAGTTAAAAGATCTCCGCTTTTTTTAGAAGTCGAAAAATATTATTGTTGTAGATCTGCAAAACCCCACAAAATTAGAGCAATTAAAAAAATCAAAAAATATGCAAGAATGGTTTATGAAGAGGAAAAGTTAAGAATTAAATTAGTTTTAAAGTTATGCAATTTAGAATAATAAGGATATAAATATTGATGATATTAATAAAAAAAATATTTACACTATTGATGAAAAACAAGAAACAGAAGAAATGGTTTGCAAAATTTGCTTTGAAGGAGAAAATAAAGATGGATAATCAAATAATAAAAAGTCTCCTTTAATTTCTCCTTGCCTTTGTTAAGGTTCTATGAAATACATCCATCAAGAATGCTTAAAAGAATGGATAATATCTAAGCTATGCTAAGAATTTAATTCTTATGTATAACTGTAAGCTGATTTGTCTAAAACATAATGCGAAATTTGCAAGTATAATTACAGGATGGAAATTTAATTAGGAGATAGATTTCTTCCTTCGTAGGCAGTAAAAAAGGGCATGAAGCCACTTTACTTATCTCTTGTAACTTTCTTAATCTCATGCATGCTTTTCTATTTAGCTGCTCATTTCACAACTTAGTCGTAAAGCCATTAAATATATTTTTTATTTTCTAAAGTAATTTTTTTCATGTTTTTAAGTGGAAAAAGTTAAATTAATTTTAAATTGATTAACCCATTTTTAGTTTTTCTTTTGATCAAAAGAATTTGATATTTATTTACATTACAGATGAGAGATTACAAATAAATAGAACATGAAAACAAATAAATTTAGCCCAATAATTTGAATTAATAATATTATTAAAGAATTTAATTGCTTTTTACCAAAACTGAGAAGAAAACTTACATTTTAAGAAATCATCTCATATATTTTTATTAAAAAATATATCAATAATAAATAATTTGAAATTAAAGATACTTTTTTAATACTTAAATATTTGCTTTTTTGATTACAAAGATCTTTTCCAATTTTAGCTTACAATTTCAAGCATAAACGATTTACAATTAGTTAATTTTTTACAAGTAGTACAGTTTTTATAAAAGAATTTAAATTCGCTTAAGTAAACTAAATTAATTTTGCTTTTTTAAAAAAAAGTGTTTAAGGAGATACTGATAGTATGGAAACAGGCTATTCTTTAGGCATAGGAGTCTGTTCAGCAATAGTTGGGTGCATTTTTATATTTATATCTATCATTTGTCTAAGAGAGTGTTTATATGTTAAGAAAATAGTAAATTGGATAATTTTTAACTCTGAAAGGCAAAAAAAGATAGATTCTATTCAAACTTAAATAATTAATAAAACTTTTAATGGATTTAGATTAAACTAAATATAAACAACTTAATAAGAAAATATGGAAAATTAAGGATAAGTCCTAAACTAATCTAATAATTTAAACTAAATAAATATTGATCAAAGCCAAATAAATAACACAAATAATAAATTTTCTCATTCTTTAGTTATGGAAAATAACCAAAGCTATTAAGAATAAGAATCTTAAAATTTAAGTCCGTCTAGATATTCACCTACTCAAATTAACAATATAACTAACATCTAAAGATATTAAAATGGTGAAAATTACAATTTACCATATTGATTTAATTCAATCTATTATATTAAAATCTAACTTTTATAAAACTAAATTCTTTATTTATTTATTAATTAATTAATTACTTTATTAAAAATATTAAAAAATTTAATTCATATTTATTTAATATATAAAAAAGTATATAAATCTTTTGTGTTTCCTTGGATTTCTTTTCTAAATAAATAATTCATTTTTAATAATAATCATAAACTTTTTAATTACTTTTACTTTAATATTTTCTAAATAAATTATTTACTTTTAAAAAGAGTTTCAATATTTTAAAAAATATAAATTATTTCTTTTACCAAATAAATTACATTAAAAATAGTTTTAAAAAGCAGCAATTAAAATGGTTTTTGAATTTCTTCGTAAACAATTAATCAAACTTTATAACTTTTGGTCTTTGATTAAATTATAATTAAATATTTTTCAAATTACATAAATAGATTATAATGTATTAATTAAGTTTTACTTTTTTTTACTTGTTAAAAAATAGTAAAAACCATATCATTATTTTTACTTTTTGTAAAAAATATCTCAATTTAATTTTACAATTATTAAAATTTCTATTTAATTAAAAAAAATACTTTATTTTTTTAAATTTAAAGATTTTGTATTAAAATATTATATTAATATTTTAGTTTTTAATTCTTATTTTTTAAATTATAAACATTTAATTGAGAAATCAATTGTTATAAACAAACTCAATTAAAATATATTAATTTAGTTTTTTGTACTTTAGAATGTGTATTATAAAGAATGACAAACCAATTAACGATAAAAATATTACTTAACTCTAAGCTAATAAAAATAATAATAGTATTTAATCATAGTAATTAACTTAATAAGCTGATAAAAAAACAAATTTTCAAGCATTCTAATTTGATATTTGCGATGAATTATTATCATTTTTTTATCCAATGTTTTTTTATGATTCTTATGTTATCCTACGACTTCCATCATATTAAGATGAATTTCTATTTGCTTTACTGAATTGAGAAGAATTATACATACCACTTTTACCGTTTGGTGATAGACCTCCATTTTACCTCTCATTTTAAGGAGGATATTTAGAAGCAACTTCCTAGTTTGACATTTAAGAGATATTTTCTAATTCTCTTTAGGCATTATAGTGAAAATCTTGTGATTGCTCGAGTTTTTAAATGAGCTCTAGTTCTTACCTCTCAAGACGTGAAAGCACTAAATCTTTTTAACTCTTAGCCTTTAAGTGCATGTTCTTGCGCATCATAGACTCTCTCTAGATGTTATCCATGTGCACATTCCAATATCTCTCTACATTTTGTCTAGATTCGACTTCTAATTTTTTAACTTTATCATGCTTCTCTCTGTTTTCATTTCTTTATTTGTTACGAATTTCTTCAATTTTCTTTTAGTTTAAATCACGCAATTTTTTTACTTCATTGCGTTCTTCCTTTTTCATTTCCATCAAAGCATTTCTAATTGCTTCCCTTTCTTCCTCTTACTAGCGTCTCATCTCATAGCTTTTTCTTTAAAGCAACTTGAGATATTCTCCATCGTTTTGTCTGCTGAAATTTTTCTATTACATTGAGAATAAATAGAAGATATTTAAAAACTCATTTAAATTTTACTTAATAAACTGTAAACACCATAAAAATAAATAATTATATAAATAAATAAAATCATATAATAGTTCTTCTTTTTGTAAGCATTAAACTAAAAGAAATAACAAAATTAATTTCATATTCCCAATAAATATAACAGCTATATTTTAATAAGGATCTGAATAAATTTATCTAACTTTGCTCATATTTAAATCAATCTTCTACTAAAATAAATTCTGATATCAAATTTGTAAAACGTATGTGTATGATCTAAAACGTATTATTAAAAATAATTTTACCTATTAATTCATTTCTTGATTTCTGCGTTTCATATCAATAACCTTCTATGTCTTTATTTTGGTATCTTCTATTTTTTTCTAAGTTTTCTCTTACTCTTTCTTGAGGAGGTTGATACGATTTAGAATTAAATCAATTTATTTTTCTGATTGCTAGCGATTTTTCTTTGCCATCCACTCACTCATTTCTTTGTGATTGGAAGCATCATCACGAGCATATCTTTGAGAAGGTGAACCTAATTGCTGCTAGTTTGATTCAGGCTTTTCATAGTTTTAAGATTGATTTTGTCCTTATTATAAACTTCTTAAACTCATTTTTGATATTTAATTTAAAGCAAATTTTTGATTAATATGTTTTTTGTATTAATTATTTTGTTTGTTTAATTGATTGATTGATTGATTGAGTTTCTTTTGCTTAACTATTTTTGATAAGGATTAAAGGAATATAATTATAATTCATTGAAATTAACAAATATATAATCTGCCTATTTTCAATAATTAGGCTTTTTTATGGAGATATAAAGTAATCATGTTTTATTTAATTATTTTCCTATGCTTTTTGGCATTAAATTTCTCATAAGCTCTTATTAATCTAAACATCAGTTTTATTTATTTTAACTTTTTATTTTTTCTAATCTTTCATTCAAAATGTAATAAATTGGATTAGTTTGGCTATGACTAACATAAGTTGAATTAATTGGATGATTGGTAAATTTGAATTAAATATAGAGTAAATATAATTTAGTGATTACTTAAGTATTTGAATTATACATTTTTAGTTTTATTATTAATTAGCTATCAATACCCAATAATTTAATAATATAACCAAAATGTTTACATTTCCAAATTAATTCAATTTGATTTTTAAAAAATAAAAATTACATTTTAAAAAAGAAATCAATAGAAGAAATTGAGACTATTGATTGTTATTAAAATTTATATCTACTTCTAATTGTAATTTTTATTATACAGATATTCTTAACTACGATGGGAAATAATCAAATTAGAGGTAAAAAACACAAAGTTTATGGGATAGTTGCTTATTGCATCTAAAATCGCTAATATCTATTAACATTGAATAAATAAGGACATTTTTGGGAATTTCCAAAAGGTTACCCAGAAAAGCGTGACAATTGCGATGAATTAAAAACAGCTTTGAGAGAATTTGAAGAGGAAACTGGAATATCATAATCATGTCTAAGAATTATTCCTCACAAAACAGATCTTTCTTTTAATTACTTGAGGCATGGAAAATAAGAAAAAGAAGCACGTTATTTTATTGCAGTATTAGATTAAGTTCCTTAAAATGTTAAGATATAACATTCAGAAGTTGCTGATTTTATGTGGGCAAATTATGAAAAGGCTTTGTAGTAACTCACTTACGAAAATTGTAAAAATATCTTAATCAAAGTAAATGAAGAAATTGATAATTTCTTACAAAATAATTAATAATGAATGAATTATAAATAAATATATTAAAAGTAAACTATCATTTAAATTTTGTTATTTTTTCTTTTTTTTTAAATTCTAATTAAAAATTATGGTTATTTATTACAATTCTTTCAATCAAGAAAATAAATTTTGAATTAAATATTTTTATTAAAATTTTTAGTTATTTAATAACAATAATTATGAACTCTAAACCAAAGCTAATTTTAAAACAAATAAAACATAAACATAAAATTTCATTCTATTTAAAAGTCTTAAAGTTAAAAATGAAGATAGTAATTTTTTCAATAAATTAAGGATTAATAACAAATGAGTTTAAATTTTCTAAATTGACAATATTATCAAAAAATTAAAGATATGAATTAATTTAAAAAATTAATTGGCAGTTAAGGGGGTTGGGGTTGGGGTTGGGGTTG